ATACGAAAAGCGTTTAAGGCACTTAAAGCGGCTTTTATCACGGAACTAGTACTTACTTCCTTTACCCCTAATAAAGAAATACGTATAGAGATAGATTCTTTAGATTATACTATTGAAGCCGTGCTTAGCTAGCTAGGCGAGGATAGAAGATAGTAACTAGTCGCTTACTATTCACGGAAACTATTACTAGTAGAACTTAACTACGATATATATAATAAAGAGTTACTAGTAATTATAAATATAGTACGCGAATAGAAAGTCTACCTCGAGAGCGCCGCCTATGAAGTATAGATCCTAATAGACTATAAGAATCTTATTTACTTTACAACTACTAAGGAACTAAACCGATAGTAGGTTCATTAGTACGAAACGCTCTCTACTATAAAACTTCGAATTTCTTATATTAAGGGAACGGAAAACACTAGAGCCGACGCTCTAAGTAAGAAACTAGAATATCTCGTAAATAAAACTCACGAATCCTACACCGTACTACAGAAGGATAGTGATTCGCTAATAGTTAATCACTGATAGCTAGCCTTAATAGGCTAAGTCGCTAAGAAAGTCTGGAGGGGCTATATCAACGACCCGGTTATAGCTGAATAGAAGAAGCAGCTAGGCGAAGGATTCTCCTTTACCTTAGACAGCACGCTTCTATACTAAGGACAAATCTATATACCCACTAGGGACAGGATTAAATTCGTCACGTACTAGCATAGGCTACCCGCTTATAAACACCAGGGGGTAGCTAAGACACTATCTAGGCTATCTAAGGAATACTACTTCCTAGGAATAAGGAAGGTAGTTAAAGACATAGTAGCGTCATATGATATATACATCCGGAACAAGGTATCACACTATACTCCGTATAAGCTCATAAAGTCACTAATAATACTACCTCGCTTATAGAAATTAATCACTTTAAATTTCGTAATCGAGCTACTACCCTCGAAAGACCTAGTCACAGGAATCGTATATAACTCGATCTATATGATAATAGATAGGTTCATAAAGTACATGTACATAGTACTAGTACTTAGAACATAGGACGCGCCTATAATAGCGCAGGTATTCCTTAGAATAATCTTTATAAGCCACGGAATACTAGATAAAGTTATCTTAGATAAAGATAAGCTCTTTACCTTGAAGTTCTAGAAAACTCTTATCGCGCTCTTAGGAATAAAGTAGAAAATATTAACCGTATTCTATCCTCAGACTAATATATAGATAGAACGAATCAACTAGATAATAGAAACTTATCTTCAGTATTATATAAACTATAAGTAAGATAACTAGGTATAACTACTTCTACTCGCTTAGTTTATATATAATAGCGCGGACCAAGAGACTATTAGAGTATCGCCGTTCTACGCGAATTATAAGTATAATCCCACGGCATATAACCTACTAATAGCCGGCTAAGGTACCGCGTAAGAAGCTATACTACAGGTAGATAAGCTTAAATAGCTCTATAAAGAATTGTTAGCTGATATTCTCTTTATCGCGTAGAGATCTATGATCTACTATAATAGAAAGCGTAGTATAGAACTAACACTTAAGGAAGGGGATAAAGTCTACTTACTCAGAAAGAATATCACAACTAAACAACTAAGTCACAAATTAGATTATAAAAAGCTAGGACTATTTAGGATTACTAAAGTCAAGGGACTAGTTAATTATCAACTAGCTCTGCTAAAAACAATGAACATTCACCTAGTATTCTATATATCTCTCCTCGAACTAGCACCGCTAGGAGCACCGCCCGCTCCTATCACTAAAATATAACTAATTAATCTGAACGCTGAATATAAAGTAGAGGCTATTTTCAACTATTAGTATTTCTATAGTAAACTAAAATATTTAATTAAATAGAAAGGGTACTTATAATTAGAAAACACTTAGGAACCTAAATCTAACCTCCACTGCCCTAGGCTTCTGCGGGAATTCTATTAAAGAAATCTAAGTTTACCTAGAAGGAAAGGGACCTAAAGTTAGGGAATAGGCCCTTAAAGAAGGATATTAGGTAGGCGTTAGGTTCGAAGGCAGGGAACTAAGAAGTAGGATTATCCTTAACGGGCTTAAGGAGAGGCGTTAGAGGACAAGTAAGAGTTATAGTTTTTCCTATCTTAAACTAATACATAAGTTATTTAGGAGTAAACCTCTTAATATACCCCGAGGTATTATAATCGTAACGCTTTAAGCGAACACACTTAGAGTATCGTTTTAAAATAGATAAATCTAAGAAGTAGGTATAGGAAAAGCTATAGTAGAAAGAATAAAGCTTTACGAGTTATATAGTACGCTTAATATAAAGCGCGAGCTAGATACTCTATTTTTTCTTTATCTAAGTAACACTTGATTTCTTTATAATACTAGATATAATAGATAAGGAAGATAGTCGTTAGTAACTATCGACGTTTCTTAAGGTTATACTTAAGCGTAGGGACTACACTAAGCTAAGAGGGGGATAGTGTAATAGACCCTTAGCGCTATAGTTCAGTTAGCACCTATATAATAATAAAACTATTAGTAGTACTATAGGGGCATTAGTACTAATAAGGGAGTAGTACTATCGATAAGGTAGCACTAGCCAGGGAATAATACAGAATAGCGAGTAGTACTACTATATACTCACGCTTTAGTAGTAATAGTTACCTAGATCACAGTGGACGATAAGTCACGTGATAAATCCCTAGATCCCTAGATCTCCTTATAGGAAAGCAGATCTAAGAATCTAAGGATCTAGTATCCTAGGGGATCTAAGGCGAACGAAAGTTTTATATAAGACTAGCACGTCTGCTATTAGATAGGAGCTTCGTGCTTAACTTTAAATAGTATTCTGATACTTAGTAACTATCTTCCTATCTACGTGATATACCTACCTCTTGATTATTAGAGATCAACTGCAGCCTTCTGTATTTATAGCGAGTAAATACCGGACCGTTATATACTATTAGTTAGTATTAACTCCTATTATAGTTTAAGTAGTATTATCTGTACTATTTATATCGCTTCGCTTACTATTATAAAGCTAAGCGAGGAGGTGTATTATATACCTAGCGTACTTAAGGTACTCTATAAGGCGCTTTAGCTAACTAGAGGCTACTTATATAACTAGAACTCCTAGAGCTTCCCTTTATAAGGGAGCTCTAGAATACCTTAATAAATTAAGACTTTCATACTATATAAAGCTCCTCCCTATAGTACACGATACAAAGTTATTAAAAGAGATTATTAGAAGGAATTATAGTTTATACAAAGAGTTATAAACAGAGTTATAAGAGTATTTATAAGAGATATTATTAAAAAGAAGTTAAAAGTTATTAGAATAGTTTTAAAGACAGTTATAAGTAAAATTATAAGAGTAATTATAAGAGAAGGTATTAGTAAAAGTTATAAGAATAAGTTATTAAAATAAGTTATTAGAATGTCAGGGGCTCCTGCTATTTCGGGCAGGCTGCAGCCCTTAAAGGCTGCACGCCTCCTAAGCTCTATAGCTTTCCTCAAGTTTCAGTCAATATAATATTGCCTCTTTTGCTCCCCGCGTTCCCAGGTACCCTGTGACATAGAATAAGGTATTAGAATAAGGTATTAGAATAAATTATTAGAAAGAAGTTATAAGTTATAAAAGTGTTATAAAAAGCGTTCTAAAAAGTAGTTTAAAGAGTATTAAAAATTATTATAAGAAGACTTATAAAAATCGTTATAAAAAGCGTTATAAAAAGTACTATAAAAAGAGTTCTAAAAAGTAGTTTTTAGAGTATTATAAAAAATAGTTTAAAGAGTATTATAGAAAGAGTTATAAAAAGAGGTATAAAAAGAGGTATAAAAAGAGGTATAAAAAGAGGTATAAAAAGAGGTATAAAAAGAGGTATAAAAAGAGGTATAACAGGAATTATAAAAGAAATTATAAGAAGACTTATAAGAAGAGAGTTAAGAGAGGTTTTAAAGGGAGTTATAAAACAATTATAAAGAGAATTATAAAGAGAATTATAAAGAGAATTATAAAGAGAATTATAAAGAGAATTATAAAGAGAATTATAAAGAGAATTATAAAGAGAATTATAAAGAGAATTATAAAGAGAATTATAAAGAGAATTATAAAGAGAATTATAAAGAGAATTATAAAGAGAATTATAAAGAGAATTATAAAGAGAATTATAAAGAGAATTATAAAGAGAATTATAAAGAGAATTATAAAGAGAATTATAAAGAGAATTATAAAGAGAATTATAAAGAGAATTATAAAGAGAATTATAAAGAGAATTATAAAGAGAATTATAAAGAGAATTTATAAAAGAAACTCTTAAAAAGAAGTAATAAAGAGATTTATCAGAAGATATAAATAAAAATATAAGATAAATTCAAATTATAAAAGACGCTATAATTAAAATATAGTTAAGATCCCTTATATTTAATTAGTTCTATTACTTATTTAAGTTTTTAATTTAATCTTTACTTAATCCTTAACTTATTATTACTTTATAAGATATTACTTAATTTCTTATTTAAATCTTTATTCTTTTTTTAAAATATCTCTTTAATCTCTTATTTAATCTCTTATTTAATCTCTTATTTAATCTCTTATTTAATCTCTTATTTATTCTCTTATTTATTCTCTTATTTATTCTCTTATTTATTCTCTTATTTATTCTCTTATTTATTCTCTTGTTTCTTCTCTTATTTAATCTCTTATTTAATCTCTTATTTAATAATAGTTCTGACTTTTAAAATACTTTTATTTACTTAGTTTAAATAGTTAGTATAGTATTAAACCTTAATATTATATAGTATATTATGTAATTTACGTGCCTAATAGAGATTTAGTAAGAACTAGCGTTCAATACTCCATTCAACGGTCAATGCCGCTTCGAGTGGCAGTCCTTTATAGAGATGCCTCAACTCTCAGGCGACAACAAATTTTTCGAATGGTTCGAGCTTCAAGTTCAAGCTCCAGCTTCGAATCCCAATTGCAATCCCAAGCAATCAACCCACCACCCAAAATGTCGCGCGCCAAACAAGCAACAGATCAGATCGTCAAGCTGATAGTCGGCGCCGGACAAGCAACACCCAGTCCGCCCGTCGGTCCAGCACTAGGAAGTAAAGGTGTGAAATCGATGGATTTCTGTAAAGTATATACCCCTTCCTTTTTTCTCTCCACCCCTCGTCCTTGCCCTCCTACCTTCAAGAACCTCCCATCTAACGCTTTCCCTTCCTTCTTTAGGAGTTCAATGCCCGCACCGCTCACATGACACCGGGAGTCCCAATCCCCGCGCGCGTCACCGTCCGCCCCGATAGATCCTTCCACTTCGATATCCGGACGCCTACAACTTCCTACCTGTTACTGAAAGCTGCGAATGTGCCGTTGACGAAGGGGAAGCTGAAGGGGAAGAGTGGGAATGAGATTGTGGGGACGATTAGTTTGAAGCATGTTTATGAGATTGCGAAGATCAAGCAGAGTGAGTTGAGGTTGAGCGGGTTGAGTTTGGAGGGGTTGTGTAAGAGTGTTATTAGCACTGCGAAGAGTGTAGGTGTGGAGGTTAAACCTTAGGAAGAGTCTGATTGGGCTGGGTAGGAGAGGCAGATGCTGGGTAACGGGAGGGCAACACGGGAACGGGGGAGGAGAGCATGTTGAGAGGCATTGCACAGCTTTGATGGTGCGGCCGTGTAACGACTATGAGAAGAGGGTTCTTGGCTTGGTATGCCACATATGCCAAGAATGAGGACGGAGGCAGAAGTTCTAGAGGATATTGTGAAGTATAGCATGAGCGAGAAGGATGTGGCATCGGCTGGATCTGTACATCATCATTGCGGCGGCGTTCACGGATGCATATCGAAAGGCGGGTTGGCATATTAGAAGCCAGATATACTGTATTATATGGACTCGTAAATTGTATGGATTATGGTCTTGGCTCTTCTATTTATCCTGATATGATCTGTGATGAAGTTAGGCATCTCATGAACAGTAGCCGAGGTTTCACAATACTGGGGGACCAGGTGAATCGATGGAATTGCGGTCACTTGTTCATGCCAAAGCAGCTTTCGTTAGCTGAGGCATTGCAGTGTTTACTCATAGGTGAGCGAATGTATCTTCACTCCCATTTGGGAAGTATCTAGATAGCTAGCGACGCATCCGAGTTTTCACCGAGATGTATTAAGCTTGTCGTTTCGTACACTGGACTGAAAATTTTGTGAAAGAATACTTTAGTCTGATGGTCTTCCAACTGCAATCCCGCAAAGGTCTTGTAAATTCTTTTCCGCCGAACCGATGGACGAACGCAACTATATTGGTTTTATATTCACGAAAAACACAAGCAGCAAAGCCGAAACGAGGCCGAAACGAGGCCGGATATCGGAATCGGATTACCCATTCCAGCCTCGGCACAGGAGTACCCACAGCAATAGTAAGGCTGAGACTATCAAGATTCAAGCTTCTTCTAGAAAATGTCGGCCTTCCATAGGCTTATGGATCCGTGCTTTCCGATGAGACAACGACCCACCAGCTGAAGCACCTTCCCGTCTGCGGCGGAGGATACGCACCTTCACTCCAAGACTGAAGACCTAAGATCAATAGTGTAAGCAAAGAAAGGGGAGGGCGAAGAAGGCGACATAAATATAGAAGCTCAACGACTTGGTTTATCGCCTTCAGATGAAGAGGCGGTCTGCTTGGATGTTGTTAGTGGTTTTGTTAGTTCTGAAAGGAAATTGTTGGCCCCAATATAAAATATCTGCTGAAAATATGAGTCTTCCCGGTCACGATCTAGCTTATTCGGCAGAAGGGAGGAGGATAATAATAAGACACCAAGACGCCGAGTGCAAGTCATGCCGAGTGCCCGGACATTCTCGTCAGGTCAGCCAGCCGTGAGTAAGTGGATGACTATGAGTCTTACAAGGTGCAGCCCATTTTGATTCTCCGGACTTGCAGGTCCATTTGTTATTCACTGCTCGCATAGGGCGGCTTGCTGAAGTCGATATGATTGATGACCGCTATTTGCACGTGGAATGTTTGTGTAAAGAGTCGTGTTTCAGACCATGGACTATTCAGGCGACCCAATAACCGGCCGAAGAAGTTACCTAGACTGAATGCCTCATCATCGCCGGTTTGTTGTCGTTGTCTCGTTGGCTTTCACGAGCGTTAAGTCCGCCCTGGTCAGCTCGCTTGGATCCCGGCGCTCGAGTATTCCGTCACCCTCTTCCCTTCCACTTCAACACTACTGCTACGGGATTGATAGGGAGACTTTCTTTGTGGCTTCTTCTTACCACTATTTTGAAATCTGGAGCTACGGGCGTACGATTCGTCAGTCGGTCTTACCAACCTATTCTTATCACCTGCTCACGAGTCGTGGAGCCGTCCCCCAATTCGTCTTCATCATTCTGTTCATTCTTATCTTATCCTCCGCGCATTGCATTGCCTTGCATCGCCTCACATCGGCTTTTGGAGCTGCTCTCGTTGCTTTGCTTTGCTTTGTTGTAGCTGTTGCTATTGCTGGTCCCCTGGGCTTCCGCACTCGCCGCACCGTATCGACGATTGGTGGCGCATCTTTATCGCGCCCCTCTCCCCCCTCCCAAACTCTGTAGCACATCTCCCGTCGCCCTCGAGATTTGGTTTAGCCCCACTACTGCCAACGACAGACCCGGTCTTCTAGCATTTGTTTTGCAAAGTCTCCTACCAACGACCTCAATCCACGATCATCTATCGTCAACCCACCCTTTTGCCCAGCCAGGGGAATTGCTCCCGCCTGTCGCTTGTTCCAAGCCCTTGTTATCTCCTAACATCCTCTGTCTCGAATCATGGCTGAACGAGATCAAGTTCCTGCTCCCCAGAAGGGCCCGATTGGTACGTCAGTGCTTACAATTCTATGTTCAATTACACTATTGCGGACCTCTGGATAGGTTTACGAGGTTCATAAGCGCTTTTTCTGACAAACAATCTGGGATGACAGGCTCCGACCATATTACCGACTCGTCCCTCAATCCCAATAAGCCCATCGAGGGTTCTCCAACAGTTCGCTTTGCATCTGCCAACGAGGAGATTGAGCCAGTCCCTCTCGACGACAACAAACCTATACCACCGCGATCACAACAAGAGGAACAGAGCATCAAGGAATTGTCACAGTCGTTGCAGAGTACGCAGCTCCAGGGACGTCGAATGAGCCATTTCGCATTCGAGCCAGTCTCTCTTCCAGCATCAAGGGTACGTCCGGACTTTTTATACACACATGCTTTTGTCCGAACCTCCGATATAGAAGATCACCGAGTGATAAATGACTACGTACTTCATACGTGACGGCGGGCGAAGTTCGGAAGCCCTGGGTGTTTCCCTGCGTTGCCGGCGTCATCTTTTTTATCTTCATATGCATTGAAAACAGACGAGATCCTAGATGCACCCCCACGAAACTAAAGGCTATTTTGCCTGGGATACCCCACCAAACCCCATCCATCCTATATAGTTCTTTTGCTGCCCTGTTTCTCTTTGGTCACTTCAACTCTCGAACTGCGGCTCATCGAATGTCCATAGGTTCCCTCACAAGAAGATAGCTCGCGAGAACCAAGTCGACACAACACTCATACTTCCTCGAACCAGCCTTCGTCTCATCACAGTCCTCGGCCGTCTTCTATGCACTCACCGCCCATAACTCCTGCGGCGACGCGATCGAGAGACGCTATTGATTCTACTCTGAAAGGAGGAAATCTACAAAAGGTGGAAGCAGTTGATGATCAAGCCGCCGTCACCCCACAGATATCTCCTCCCGGCACATCTCCGTCAACGACTAACCTTGATGATTCAAGGCCTACATCATCTGGACAAGGGACTGGTCCAACCAGTCACGCCTCGGATGCTACGGCACCCACAAAACATCACGGTCATTTCTCCATTGGCCCAACTACACACGATTCCGTTCCCGTTTCCCGAGAGCAGAGTCCATCTCGAGGTATTGGACCAGGAGCAACATACAGTCGACCTTTCACACCTGCAGGAGATGCCAATGACCCCTATGCGGCACATAAGCGGGTGCCTCAACCTAAGGGTCCCGAAAACATAGACTCGAGGTTTAAGTTCCAAAGCCTGAGCTCGAAGAATCGTGTGAATTCTGGGTCATCGATGAATCTGCCACGATCATCACGAAGTACAGGCGATGTCAGCTCCTCTGAGAAACGACATTCTCATATTTTCGGTGGACACAAGGAGCACCTTGCCCATGAGGACAGCTCGTCGACTCTCAATGGTAGCAAGCATGGCTCCATGTCAGAGCTGAAGAGGTTCTTGAAACTTGGAGGGCATCACAAGGCGAAACGAGCAGCATCCCCGACACCATCAGCAAAGTCTGGTACCAAGACTCCCCCGCATCACAGAACTCCTCAACAATTACCGTTTGGCGACGATCATGGATTACAATCTAAATATGGAAAGTTTGGCAAGGTCCTTGGCGCAGGTGCCGGTGGCTCGGTACGTCTGATGAAGAGAAGTTGCGATAATACAACTTTTGCGGTGAAGGAGTTCCGAGCAAGACATTCCTACGAGACGGAGAAGGAGTATGCGAAGAAGGTTACCGCAGAATTCTGTGTTGGGTCGACCCTACACCATGGCAACATCATCGAAACTTTGGATATTGTACACGAGAAAGGAAGATGGTACGAGGTCATGGAGTACGCTCCATACGACCTGTTTGCCATTGTTATGACCGGAAAGATGTCGAGAGAAGAAATCACTTGCTCTTTTCTACAGATTCTTAGTGGCGTCACCTATCTTCACAGTATGGGTTTGGCTCATCGGGATTTGAAGCTGGATAATGTGGTTGTGAATGAGTATGGTATTATGAAGATTATCGATTTCGGGAGTGCAAGCGTCTTCAAATATCCATTTGAGAACGGGATCACACTTGCAAGTGGTAAGAACAGCTTCTATCCAATGCGTGGAACTTTACTAATGCATCCCAGGCATCGTTGGATCTGACCCTTACCTTGCACCGGAAGTGTATGACGAGCGAAAATACGATCCCCAACCTGCAGACATCTGGTCACTTGCAATCATATTCTGCTGCATGTCCCTCCGTCGATTCCCATGGAAGATGCCTCGAATGACGGATAATTCTTACAAACTATTCGCCTCTCCTCCATCTCCTGGTACCGACATGAGAAGGTTGTCGGATACTCCGGCACCCTCCAAATCGACAAACGACCTTGATACTCCAGCCAGAGATACCGAACCAGAACCAGTGCCAGTAGTGAAAGTCAAGTCTAACTTGAAAGTCGCACCTGGCTCTGACCAGCCAAAGCCAGAAGTTATCAAAGGCCCGTGGCGTCTACTTCGTCTCCTACCAAGGGAGAGTCGGCATATCATGGCTCGCATGCTGGAGATTGACCCGAGGAAGAGGGCAACGATGGAAGAGGTTCTAGCTGATCCCTGGGTCTCCGGCACTACCATCTGTCGACAGGACGAAGGAGGAGAAGTCTTCCACGCTCCGGGACACACCCACACTCTGGAACCTCCAGCAAGTCAGCCAACCCCAGGGAAATGAGTAACTAGTTTGAAGTGATTTAGATTTGGAATGGGAGGTGCATGGATTTGGGTTGGTGTTTGGGACTATGGGCGACTGTCAAAGGCTCATTTGACGAGTCCAGTTGGGTTATTTCTTGCGTTTCTTCTTTTCTCGAGGACTGCCTTTTCGATCGCAAAGTGTGGTTCATAGAGGCTCCCTACGACAAACATGACAGAGAAGCTGTTATTTGTAGATTGTATATTCGGCAGAGGCTTGAGTAGGAAGAGATACTGAGAGTTTTAAAGACTCTGTTGATTGGGCATTGGGAGGTCAGAAAGTATGGATGGGTTGACCAATATTGAAAAGGAGGCTGGCCTACCTAGCTTCTTGGAGGACGGGAATCATGCCTCGATTTAATGCACTATTACTGTACCCATTCACATTGAGCTATCAGGTAGCAAGTGACTCGCCAATATACTTATTCCCATCTCATCCGCCCCAGTCGCACGGAACTTCCCCTTAGAAAGTAAACATGTGGCGCACGGCACCTCATCACCTGACAAAAGTCGGTTGATCGTCGGCAAAGAAAAAGTTCCTGGACTGGAACCTTCTTCGGAGGTTCGTCAACAGAACAACACTCACTCTTCAAACTTACGAACCCCTTTCACGAATTTCTCTACGTCAAGCGACCACTCGTTAATCTTCTCAATTACACTCTGTAATCAAACAATCAATCGCAAATATGGTATGTAGCTACAGCTTTATACTACTTTTCAGCACTGCGACTCCCATCCGGACCAGCTCCGTCGTTCCATCCAAAGAGCTTCCCTCTCCTCCCCTTCCTCCTACGATTCCCTCTCCCTCCCAATTCCTCTCCCTCTTCCCATCAATTCCACACTTCGGACCTCAAAGCTGACTCCCTGCCTCCCACGATAGTCCACCTCCCTGAAGTCCATCCGCTCCCTCGCACCACTCCTCGACCGCGTCCTCGTGCAACGCATCAAGGCAGAGACCAAGACCGCATCCGGTATCTTCCTGCCCGAGTCGGCTGTCAAGGAATTGAACGAGGCGAAGGTTTTGGCTGTTGGGCCTGGTGGTTTGGATAAGGATGGGAAGAGAGTCGCTTGTGGTGTTAAGGCTGGGGATAGAGTTTTGATTCCTCAGGTATGTTGATTTTTTGGATTTGTGGTTTGTGGTTTGGCTTTTGGAAATGTGGGGGAGAAGATCAGGATGAATTCAATTCTGAGATGGGGGTTGGGTCTGACCTTTGGGGCTGTCTGGAGGGTTAGGAGGAATACCAGACCAGGGGGAAGACGGTGCGCTGTGTTGTCGAGCGCAGGAGTTTAGGAAACGGGACTTCGGAGTCGCGATGCAAGACGGTCCTGGGCTTTACTAACATCTACACAGTACGGTGGATCCCCAGTCAAGGTCGGAGATGAGGAGTATTCCCTCTTCAGAGATCACGAGTAAGTGTTCCCTTTCACCACCATTACCACCCTAGGCCTCTTTTCAGACCTCTCAACTAACAATCCATTCAGCATCCTCGCCAAGATCAACGAGTAAATTTTCCACACTCACTCGATTCGAGAGCACCAGGAGCGGTGGGATGGAATGTACTATACGTGTATAAAAGCATAGCGATCTAGTGATGGGACGATTACCGTGTGCGTGAACAGAGTGTTTGCATATTCAGATTTGAAGCTTGGAGGTGGATTCATGGAAGAGGGTGGAAAGCCATATGTAAGCTTGATCGGCGAAGATGGAAGGGGAAGTTTAAGGAAGTTGATGTGATGTGAAAATGATATCTCCTCTCTTGTGCTACTCTGGTATCTTCGTTACTTTTTTCAGTTGTTATACCAAGCATATGAGCGTTCTCTCTTGGTGCTGCCGATTGATGAGTATCAATCTGCATTGGCGCCTTGATTCCTTTAATGTATAACCCTTTCACTTCTCTTGGATCAAGCTCTTCTTACTTAAGTGGGTGACTCCTCACCGCCTGTCTTCGGTTCCTCTTTATGGCATAAATGGAAGAAATCAGACAGAATGATATCGATATTGGTGTTCAGTAATACTCGCAACCAGAGGGCATCGTCCAATCTCTACTGCTAGGCACCTAGGTATGCTTCACTTCATTCGGTCTTATCATTGGAAGTTCTTGTCAACATATTTATGCGAGCACAGTGGAGTGAATTATTTCGCCTCATTCACTCTTTTGCCAATTTTAATGTGTTTTGGAGGATTGCAGGGCTCGCAAAAGAGCTGTTCGGGTGAATCATACTGATAGAGTACAATGAGCCATGCTTGTTTATGATAGCAACGAACTTGTTATTCGCTAGAAGTCTGTTGACAATAACATCACGCTTGCTTAATATTGTCGACTCAGATTCAGCATTGGACAATCACGACAACCAAGTGTGTACTTACTCCGGGTTTCTTTAGAACTCTCGTACACTTCTTCAATTTATACCTGTGGCAAAGTCCGCCTTCTTTCCAGACGATATTCTGCACGAACTTCCATCAATACAGACAACTAAATTCAATTGCATATCGCAACCGGGAGACCCTAAAGTCAAAGATGTATATCTCAAGAATACTCCCCACTTCTACCCCTCTAGATTTGTCCACTTGTGCCCTCAGCCTCGTACTCTCGCTCCTGCTGGGCACTGTGAACACAGTGGCAGGCCACACGTTGTTCACAAACCTCTTTATTGACGGCATCGACGAAGGCGACGGCACCTGCGTACGCATGCCGATGACACCGCATAATGCTACATTTCCGATTGATGATCTCGAAAGTACAGACATGGCATGTGGTAAGTCTGCGCTCCCTCCAACCGTACCGTTCACTACTTGCATTTTAGAGAAAATTGAGAGGAAATCGAACTGACCGATCTCCAGGGTACAACGGCATGAACGGCGTCGCACGAGTCTGTCCCGTCCCAGCATCCTCAAACCTAACATTCCAGTTCCGCGAATACCCAGACAACTCCCAACCCGGTGCCATAGAATCTTCCCACCTCGGGCCATGCGCAGTCTACATGAAGCACGTCGACTCAGCAATCAAAGACCCAGCCGCAGGTGACGGCTGGTTCAAGGTCGCTTCTATGGGCTACGATCCCGAAAGCAAGAAATGGTGTACACAGCAACTTGCCGAGAAGAACGGAATCCTCGATCTTGGTGTGAAGATTCCGGAGATGTTGGCGGGTGGGTATTATCTCGTTCGACCCGAGTTGTTGAGTTTACATGATGCGGACAAGGATCCGTCAAATCCACAGTTCTATGCTGGATGTGCTCAGATCTTCGTCGCCTCAGAGGGCACCACGCTTCCAAAAGTTACGGTTAAGATCCCGGGATATGTTGGGATAAAAGACAAGTCTGTGCTGTTCGATATTTATAATCCCGTCTGGCCGTATATTGAGCCTGGACCAGAGGTTTACAAACCAGGACAGAGTCCAGGGAAGACGGTTAAGCTGCTGCAGAGACAGGATGAGGGGTTATTACCCGGGAATGCGAGGATCGTGAATGCGAATTGGTGGGGGGTTGAGCTTGATCCGTACGGTGATGAGGATGGATGTTGGAATGTGAGTATCTCCTCCCCTTATTCCTGAATCAAGAGAAGAGTATCTAACATGATTTTCTGACACCAGGCAAGCACAGCGTGTTTTTCACAAGCCGATACATGTTACAAGAGCGCTCCTCCAACTGGTTCAAAGAATTGCAGGGTTTGGGAAAGCAGGTGTAGTGGTATTCAAGGAGCGTGCAAGGAGCATATCTTTACTGGTCCACCGAGTTTCTCGTACCCGCCGAATTTGCTGCCTCCTACGACTCTGAGCAGTACTGAATCAGGGAAGTTAGAGACGACTTCGTTGACCAAGAGTCTTACCACGATGTATGTAGTTTCTTCAACGACAAGTCTCCCGACTTTGAGTATTTCGAAAACGATCTCCCCAACGCATGAAGCATATCAACACCCAAATTCAGAGTGCACGGCCAAAGCTCCAGCTCCTGTTCTTTCAGTAGCTTCTAGTAAGACTACCGTGAGCATCAAGTCACCACCATCACCAAATCCAGGAGATTTTACATCCACGAGAACAATTGTGATTACCTCAACCGTCACTCACTCCTCCACTGAATCCAGCGCTGGTGTTGTTGCTACCCAAAGTATGGAGGCCTCATCAACATCTGTAGCTATTTCTCATTCAAGATCTATAGTAGCCTGCGCGCAAAATGCAGGCTGTCTTATTGCTGGTCTTGATGACTCACTGCCAGCCTTTAAGATCTTGCACGAGTCAATATCCCCGGTTTCCAATGCCAGGCCTCAAAGGTCTGTCTCTGATTCTTCTGATCCTTCTTACAATACATCTGGTGAAGGCAGTTCACCTGAAGCCTTATCCCCGTTCTCAAATTCTGCTACCACGACACGTCCTAGCCCAATCATCGCATCAGTACTTCCTACATCTTGCTCCACCACCAGTTCGAGCACGCCGACAGAGACAGTCATATCTATTGAAATCATACCTTCTCACCACAGGTCTTCTGATACGTCACAAGCTATCACCATTTCTAATACGGAGGCTTTGGTAGGGAACAGGAGCGGGAATCCGGGTGAGAGAGTTGTGAGATCGGGAGTGATATGGAGAGCATAGAGTAGGTAATTGTGCGTACACAACATTGAGAGTGAGGCGTGATAATGTGCTGAGCTGGAACTCACTCACTGTCAAGTCAGGTAATGTAGAAATCAACAAGGTTCCCGGAGCATTGATGAAATTATGGATGGAAGCTATCATGCTCGGCGAGGCTCAATGTTGATTTTACATTTCCTGGAGCTACTGGTGCGAAAGTTGTTTCGCTGGATTTGATGCTCGAGTGTTGTTAAATTACTCTATCGTAATATTGGGCTTTATGATACATCAAGAGTATATTGCTTATACCCTGACGCCGGGGTTTATACTTGATTTTACCTGGGCGAATCAAAGGTAGGTCGTGCAGTAAGTCTCATAGAAACGCGTACAGTTGCACAGCCCCCACGCCACACAATAGAGCCAACCAAACCGGGGCCCTGCCCAGGATACAAAGTAAATTTATATCTCTCACTTTTTTCATTAGGTTGGTATCAGCCATACGCTTGTCTGCTCAGATATCTCAAATTCCATGGGGCGCATTTATTTATTTTCAGTGGTGTGAGGCTAAGCGAGCGAATCGAATCATGCGATTTGGATCAAGGTGACTTTATGTTGACCACTGTCACAAGGCCATCATGTATTGGTGATCGTAACTCACCTTTATATCCTTTGAATATCCGTGTGAAAAGGGTGGTAGTGCCGAATACGGAATATAAAGAGGAGGGTGCCATAGGGCTCATTTCCCCAACTTAAATGTTCGACAGTGCTCCACAGGTTGATATTCTGATTATTTCAGTAGGAATTGGGATGTATGCAACTAGTCCGAGATTGAAGAAGACGATTGCTATTATTTAAGGGGTTTCTTCAAAGTTGGGGTATTTGATGCCGGTTTGTAGGGGTTGGGAATTGCTGCCAGGCAGGAGTATTGGGTGACAGGAGGGCGACGACGAACGAATTCGGCGTGAGTGCAGGAGATTCCTTTGCGTCCGAAGGCGATTGAGTTGCTGCGGCGAGGTGAGTAAATAGAAACTGTTGAACTAAACCCCAGAAAGAATACAGATAGCTAGTAAGTAGATACTTGAAATGTATTCAAAAGTGTTACTATCAGCATACTTGGTGGCAAGCTCAAGTTCATTCAGCACGAAGTCAAATCGGGGCATTCATTGCTGTAAGCGAGCCGGGACAAAAAGTTGATTACTTGGATTTTGTAAGAATGAAAGAGCGGGATCTGAAATGAAAATCTGAACAACAACACCTCAAGTACCAGGCCTAATTCGACGTGAAAACTTGCAAACAGACCCAGACATTAAATCAAACTTGGTTTGCCAGCCCCTCTTGTTCCCTCCGAAGGCGAGAGGCGTCACGTAAGACCCATTATGAAATGCGCACTTCTCGCGTCGCTCATCACGATTTCGTTTGCATAGCTTGGAACACGCGAACCTCTTCTGAATCATCGAACACACAGGCTGATGACTCACGATGTCATCTATTGTGGATGCTAGTGATCCTAGCTACTTGAAGCTCGAGAAAATTCTTGCCGGCCAAAGAAGCGCTGTCAAAAATGCATTGCGAAGAAAAGGGGAAAGGCCTCAAAACCTTCCGGCTCGTTCACAATGCATCAATGAGTTTGAGATGGCTTCTCTTAGCAACCAGATGAGAAATATGCAGGCTGGCCATTTGATGATGACAACTGTCCTCGGATACCCGTATCCTCCAGCGACTGCGTCTGTCGATAATCTCAGGAAGCTCATGATCAAGGATCTGACGCTAGAAACCAACCACCGGGGCCATTACTTGCTCCTGAGATTTGTTTGTACAGCTATGCGAATGTCTGCAGTGATGAACATTGTTGAAGACGAAGCTGGATCGGTCATTCCGTTTGCACTCGACATGCAAGAACCGGAGACAGTGAGGCGCGCTGACAGTATCTTCCGGGAGAACGGTGTGATCATTGTCAAGGAGACATACTTCAAGATTGGGACAAATGGACAATATGCAATCCGTGTCGATCACCCTACAGATATTGTTTGGCTATCGGAGAATGATCACAGAGTTCCAACAAAGTGGAGAGTTCGTCCAGATGACATGCCGAATGCCGCGGAACATTGGAAGAAGAAGGGAAACGATGCTGTGGGCAAAGCGAAGTATTATGATGCTATTGATATGGGCGTAATCAGGATTTTCAAAACAAATTTCTAGTCTCCAATAGGTACTCCAAGGCACTTCTATCAAGCCCATCAGTTGAGGAGCGGGATATCATATACCGTAACAGAGCCCTAGCATATCTCCAAACTGAATCTTTGGACGGCGCCTTGGAAGACATAGCTTGCGTGTCCGATCCTCAGGAGAAAGGACTTTACCTAAAAGGACTTGCTCTTTATGGTCTCGGAAGATTCAACGATGCTATGGAGGTGTTCCAAGCTGTAGTGGATTCCTACCCATCCAGTGGATCTGGAAAAGAGGAACTTAATCGATGTCGACTTAGGATGGCAGAACACGAAAGCGGGATCTACGACTTCAAGGCAATGTACAAGGCAACGAAGCTGCGACCCCCACGAGTTGATGCTGCAACATATAAGGGACCTGTGGAGGTGCGAAAGTCAGAGGGTCGAGGCCGAGGTTTATATACAACCCGTGCCGTGAAGGCAGGAGAAATTCACTACGGGGGTTTTCATACAGACAACGTCTGTAAATTGTCTGCATTTTGTTTGTATTCCTAGTATTAGTAAAATACAGACAAAATTCAGACAATATCTGCTATAAGTGTGTCTAAAAAATACAGACAAATTAGCGTGTGTTAAGGGTAGGTAGGAGAGTTCAGGTAACTCAGACCTTCTCTATTTTAATATAAAGTTAAACATGGACCTATTACTTACTTTCGGAACACTCAGAGCGGGAAAGAGGGAGACCTACCTAGAGGGAGAAGGAGGGAGACCTTGGAGGGAGACCTTGGAGGGAGACCTACCTTAGAAGGAGACCTACCTTAGAGGGAGACCTACCTTGGAGGGAGAAGGAGGGAGACCTTGGAGAGAGACCTTAGAAGGAGACCTACCTTAGAGGGAGATCTTACCTTTAGAGGGGAGGGAGATCTACCTTAGAGAGAGACAGAGGAAAGAGACCTTACCTTAGAGGGAGACAGAGGAGAGAGATAAAGGAGGGAAACGGAGGAGGGAGACGGAGGAGGAAGACAGAGGGAAGGAAATCAAAGGGAAAATTAACTTTACTAGTCAGGAAACTCTTAGAAATATAGATAGTAACTGTATTTCCCTTAAATTATAAGCAATGTCTATCTTTTCACTCTAAATCCTTAAAAAATCGATTAAAATTAGAGAATCTAGCTAAGAAAAATACAGACAATTGACTAAATTATAGATAAAAATCCGTCTAAAATACTTGTTTATAGACAGTATCTGTAGGAAGTGCAGATAGTATCTGTAAAAAAACCCCCGTAGGGATTATGCTCTGTGAGAAAGCTTTCTCATACTGCTTTGCTACGAGCCCAGAAGAGATCGCCAAGACCTCATCGAGCAACATATCGCAGACCTCATACTTGGTTGATGTTGCTGGAAATCGGACGACTCAGGGCACTCATGCAGATCTTATTCGCGTTACGTCGAATAAATTGGTCCTCAATCCTTCCCTGAAATCAACATTCGAAGACCTGCACAGTGGCGATTACAGAATTGTTGCCGATATGTGGATCGATGGAAAGCCCGTCATTGATACGTAGGATGTCCTTAAATTATCTGAGTTTTGTATTGATTTGTGATGCTAATATACATCAGCTTCCTTGTGGCAAAAGCCATCAATATCAATTGCTTCGCATGTCCTCTGACCTCAAAGCATATGATCGAAGACGCGGTTGCTTACAGAAAGAATAAGCTAAGCACCACGGGGCTCTGGATCAAGGCATCCTACATCAACCATTCGTGCGACGACACTTGCGCTCGTAGCTTCATCGGCGATATGTTGATCGTCCGAGCAGCTAGAGACATGCCAACGGGAAGTGAACTCACGTTCAGCTATATTAACCGCGATGAGCCGACAGCAATGAACAAGATTCTCAAGGAGGGTTGGGGCTTTGAGTGTGATTGTAGCAGATGTGTGGATGACAGAGCAACTTCCGCTACAATCAAGGCAGAAAGAAGCAAACTTATCAAATCTTTCAATGCTGCGGGCGTAAGCAGCAACAGAAAGTTGGACATAGTCAGCCAGCTCAACAAAACCTATCAGCAGCCACCTACCAAGGTCCCCAGATTCGACATGTGGGATCTTCATTACCGTCTTGTTGAAGAGTCAGCTAAGAAAGGAGACCCCGAAAATGTCATTGAGCATGTACTGGCTGCGTTTGAGAGCTTGGGCTATGTCATTGAGGGTGCTAGAATTACGCCTTCGCCAAGCACAAGGCTCATTGTCCGCAAATGGGGTGCTCCTCACGATGAAACCACTTCAGCATTCTTGAGCCTGCGGAACATTTATAAGCTTTTCGACTTGGCTGAGCTGGCGTAACAAGCGAAGGAGTATGCTCGAATTACTTGGCTTTTACTTGCTGGAGATGACACCACGTTCGTGTATGGCAATCTAGCGAAGAAATAGGTTGACCACGAACGTCGTTGAATTCAAGTACGATAAGCGCTAAGCGAGGCACACCAACAAGTCAATTAACATTCTTCAAAAGTAGACCTGGCTTCCACTGAGGTTATACAAACGCGGTACGAACTGCAGACGACATGATGTGGCACAGCTCGCATTGAAGACTTCCAGATGAGATCATATAAATATTGTTCAGCAAGGTATCCACCCAACCATAGCAAATATCACCAAATCACATGAGGACATGGAATAAAAACCCTGAAGCTGAACTCGTGCCTGACACAACAGTGAATCTGCCCCTATTAGGTATGGTTAGGTATTAGGTCGGATTTCAAAGTAACCAGAGCACCCCATGGCTTTTGAATTTGTGAACTCCTTCCCTCGGGTAAAAACGTCCACGCAACCACAATCACAAAAGCACCACCACAATGCCCCTCTCCTGTTCGTACATTGTCCCTATCTCACTGTCTGAGACTAACTGAGAACATTGCAGACATCCAAAGCGCCACCATTGGCCTCACCTTTGGTGTTGTTGGAGTAGTCGTTGGCTCCTTCCTCCTCACCTCAGTGAGGAAATGCTTCTCTGCCGCTCCCTCTCCCGTCCCCGCCCCAGCCGCTTCTGTTGTCACCCCAAGGGGCAGTATGGATATCCCTCTGCTCCCAATAGAGCCCCCGGCTGCTATTGTCGTGCCTTCCCGCCGACACACCGTCGCTGCGCAGGATGTTCTTCGATCTGTTGTTGATAGCACGTGATGTGGATGGCCAAGCGAGTCTTGGATTTTGGGTCTTCCAACGTGTGTGTACCAGATGAGTATCTGGGTGTTGTTATCTAGGTCTGATTAATGCCTCGAGATATTTTCAGTACCGAGAATATTTAGCCCTATTATCGTCTGTCCTATTTCTCGATCGGTTTAAGTTTCCGTTGGTGGGCATTCCAACACACGTGATGTTTTGAATTTGTCCTCTTACTCCTCTTATTTTCTCTCCAAACCTCAAGCTTTTGATATTCTCTTGGAACTTTGCCATCTTAATTGACACCCGCTTGTGGCAAACCCCGTGCCTCCAGCCTCTTGCATCACTTTACTTGTCACAGCCTTCAACAGCATTGGTCTCTAGAGGCATGTGGCTTGAAAACAAACATTCAATTATCATTTCGTCTTCAGGCAACTCCATTTCTAACATTTCAATAGGCTCACCAGAGCAAAGGTCGATGAAGAGGAAGCCCACCTTGAAGGCAGCAGGTAAGTTGTCGTCGTCGTCCTTCTCAAAGCAGTTAAGCGGGCTTAGACCCTTGCGCTCAACGCCAAGGCTGGCCCATGCGCAGCTACGTCTTGTCTTTCGCGACATCAGGGCTCAACTCAAGCTTCAAGTTTGCCAACCTCCCCAAGAAACATCACCAGCTCACAACAACCTGATCACGTCTAGCACAACGCTGATCTCCTCAGCCAACAGCAGTCTACCAGCCGTCATTCTCCGCGCATTCATTAACTAAAGAACCCTCGCAAAATGGACTTCTCTGATGCTTTGTGAGCCTCCTTAAGCCCCCAACAGTCGCAGAATGCTGCAAGCCATTGCGCAGGCTCTATATCTGCTGGATGAATGCTAATTGTTGTCTTGTCTTGTAGCCGGATTGTCAACTTGGCAGTGGGTGCCCTTATGATCGTTGGAGCTGGCTTCCATTTCTCGTCGTCGATGTACGCAGGCCCCTTGTTCCTGGAGCTCTGCTTCTAAAGTACTGACAGCAGGCTTTAGTTCGCACATTATCGTCTCTGTGTACATCATCATCTTTGGCGCTGGTAAGTACTTCCTATTTCGGATTGAAAATGAATGCTAACCTCTGCTACAGCAACTGCGCTCCTCGGTTCGTCCACGGCACTCTGCAAATTGACGAAGCTGCATGCTAATTATAAGCGCAGAATTCCAGATTCCTCCACAAGTCGCCCGATACGCCTCATTCCTTTTTTCTTTCATCGGCCGCGGAGTCTGTAAGTCGAAAAATTTAGCAGTCCTATCCCGGCCCAACAACTAACAGCTTCTCTTTACAGTCTACATTTTCGTCGGGTCGCTCCTCATTGAAACCGGAATAATGGACATCATCATCGGAACCATCGTCGGCGCTGTCGGTATTGCATACGTTGTCCTCGAATTCATGCCATCCATCGAGCCTCCTCAGAACATGCGCGAAGCGGACGGAGGATGGGGAGCTGAGCAGGTTTAAGGAATGAGCTTCACAATGTCACAATCGAATTGTCTATAGAAGGGTCTTGCTCGCTGCGCTAATGATGGAACTATTTGTATTGGGAAATATGCTGCGGAATCGGTCGTGCTATCTACTCGCCCACGTAATTTTCTCGGTTAGGATACATGTTCTCTGAAATCGGTTCTACAAGCATAAGCATGGATTTCTACAACAAGTCGGCTGTTATGGGATGCTATTCATATGAAATCTTCGGATGATTGGGATGGATTGCAGTATATTGGTCTGGGTCGATATGGGATGGAAGGAAATTTTGAGGATGGATGGATAGGGTGGCTGGCATGATGCCAACGGGCGGTTATGATACGATAGACGGTTGGGTTTTTTCTTTTTTTCCGTGTACATCAGTGACCTGGTCTCATAATTCCGAAATGAAATCATCTGGACGTCAGAGATGAGATGGGACGATTTCCGCAATGCATGGTTGATGTTCATCCGAAGTCTCGGCTCTGGAAACATTTCGGGTACAAAGTTCAACTGTCTTGTTTTAGGGATAGCACGAGTTGTGTGTATTTTTCGAGATCTTCATAGGAGAAGAACTCGGATACTTTTCTTAACTGCGCGCACCTGCACCCTTTTCTTGTTCAGAGGTGATGTTTCTCGAGATTGCTGCTGTCTTACGTATTACAGTTGCTGGTACGAGCTTGCAATGCTAGAAGCGCCACATACGACACACGGTCTGAAAGTTCAGAAAGTCCTCCGCAAACATACGTTCAAACCCTCATTGACTCCCTTTGCTAAGAAAACTTCAGTATACCTCACTCAATTTTACAGATCATTCAACCCACCAAACACATAAAGGACTGGGCCCCCAGAATTTTTTCAAAGACGCATAGAAAGCCTCTCTGCGACCTCCAGAGAAGAATCAGAGACACCCCGACGCAGGCTTGCCAAGTCATGGAGGAGAGTTCTTGTGCCGCTCGTTGATCACTTGAAGGTCAGGCTGCCTTGCATGTCTGGATTGAGCGTGGGTTAGAGTCAAGTGTTCGTGTGCTGGGTGTTTTGGTGTGGTTTGTGTGAATGAAAGTGGTGGGGTTTAATTAGGAAAGAAGGTCATAGTGAATGGGAGGGCAGGCAAAGAAAAGGAATGACGGCAGTTGGTTGGTTGAGAGTGGCGGTAGACGTGGGATTGACAATAGAAATCCATGCGAGAAGGTTTGGTGCAAGATGGATAGATCGAATGTGAAAGCAAGACAGCAGGGAAATTGTCTTGGTAGGTGGAGATCGCTAAGGTGGAAGCTGTTAACATGGGTTTTGTAGAGGAAGTCTTGGTACACACGAAGCTGGTGGCGACACCATAAGCGTTCTAGAATGTACTGGGCAGCTGTCTGTTGTAGATCGACATCAGGTGGTGGTCGAGGTTTCTTTTATATTCGAAATGCCAGGCGGTCGTGGGTTGTTCAAGCTTCTTTAATACTGTCAGCGAATGCCATGCGAATGAATGAATGGGAATGCTCTTCTGGGAGGTGAATGTAGCAGAGCGCCAGCTCGACCTTGCGCGGCTTGCTATATAAATCCTCAGGTCAAGTCCATGGAACTCCTTTCTTCAAGAAAACTGACTCTAGCTGAAGCGATCACATGTGGCTCTGCACTGTAGTAGAATACTGTTGACGGAGAAGACCATTCAAATCTGCCATAAAATTCTCGCACAATTCACGATCAAAAGTGGTATATTCTGAGATTTCAAGAGTCCTAGCTTGCTGGGGATTTTCATGTGATGTGCTGCTGGGAGCAATGATAACCAGATTCCCGTTGACAGCAGTTATTTGGAAAAGCCTTTAGATAATGATTGGCAGGAGAAGGAAAGGCAAGAATTTTCAAGAACAGATCATAGCTGAACGTCTTCACTTCGCCCTCAGTCGTTCGCGTAAGCTGGCTTAAGTCTTTGACACTGATTTCCAAACAACATGAATCTCAAAATGACAAGCACAGCTGTGCCGCATGTTCTTCAACATTTGCAGTGCCACCTTTTATACTTATTTCTCTTCCCACGCCAGCACCTGGCTAGAGGCGAATTCAATTTCTTCACACTCCTCGCAGTTTCGTACACAGTGAATCCTAAAAGGTACACAATGGCGATCTAATCCTGCCCAATCAGGAACTAGAATCCACTGATGTCATTTCATTTCATTTTTGTTGCATGCCGCAAGAATCTCATCTCATAATCTGTTTTCATATTAAGGTTGGGGTTTACATAGTTTGAGGGACGGCGTGGGGTGGTTTTCGAGCGCGATTGAGGCTGGTGATGCTCATGTTTATGGAGATTAGCTTGGATATTGTGGTTAATGAGTGGAGGCATGAGATAGTTATCTGAGTGAGTTTGATATATGAGAATTGCTCTCATGAAAGTATGTTGTTTTGTGGTATTGACAAGTTGTGAGACTTCCATTCTCCAAGCGAACAGCGAACAGCTGACTAGTCCCGTGATCCGCGTCTACTACAATACCTAGATAGGTAGGTAAGTAGGTAGGTAGATACCCTTTCTGAATGAATCCTATCAGTAAAAAAAAGCACGCTGTCGCAGAGACTCTCAAGGCTAAATTTGGATTGCAACACCAAGACCGCTCCTTCGGCTTCCATGGGGACTCGAGTAGTTAGTACTGTGTTATAAGCACTCGAGCATGTGTATCTTCGTGTCTTGTCGCCGAAAGACGGTGTATTCCAATTTCTATGAGAGCACATAGAGACCAGACTGTGAACAACTAGGGTATATAAGAAGGAAAATATTCAACAGCACTAAGTATGAACGTGGTCAACTTTGACAGCACACTGGAAAATGACGGCAAACAAAAAGAAATCTATCTGATGGTCTGGAGCTTAGGTCTAGCTTCTTATCTTTTCACCTTTGAATTGTGATTGCTTGAAAAGCTGTTTGAGTAGGGTTTTCGGGAGACTTCCAGTAGAAGAAAATTAAGTATTCTGCGAGACCTGGCCGAGACATTCGTCTCCTCTTTGACAGCTGGACCGCTGGTGATTGCCTTCCAGAATGAAGAATTGGGACCCTATTCCAGCTTATATGCACTTCCTAGCTGACTGACAGGACTCGTTCCTCAACTTCACTGGCATCTCTATGAATGGTCAGGGAAAGCACACGTGATGATCGCTTGTACTCTGTGGTAGGTAGGCACCAAGTCTTTGTTCTCCGGCTTACACGAAGCAACACTAGCTGTCCCGTGCAGCCAGCCAGACGTCATGAGGCTTGAGAAGGTAAGACGACGTAATATTAGGTGAAAGCTAGAAAGCTTGATCTGACCCACGATGGTGAGTCTCTGCCAATACCTCACTGATAGTCTGATAGCATAGCATCTGACCCGAGCACCACAAGACCCGCCAATTCTGGTCTCGTAGTGCAGTTGTAGCTATAGACCCGTTATAAGCGAGAAAAATATGGTCGAGACCCGAAGTTCGGGCCGAGCGCAAGGGGTGGGTCAGCCATAATCTAATCAGTTCCGAGAGAGGCAGTCCAGTCTGCAAGGGATCCCTTTTCAAGCGGGGTACATACGGTAGAGAGAAATCCTGCATCTTTGGATCTTTTCTCACCGCCATCTGGTATCTCTTGGCAGATCAGATCAGGATTGTGGGGACAGTGATTGATAACGTTAAAGTTCAATTTGGACCGCCGGTCCCGCTGTTGAAAGAAACAATAGTGGGTTACACCAATCAAGAGTGGCGCGATTGAAGAATCGTAATCTGATGCAAACGGTGAATGACCGATTGCACGGAACAGGAACTGTCGGCATTTTGAATGGCCCACAAAGAAGAGCGCAGTGACATCCACTTTCCGCCGTCGGAGTTGGACGAATGCATGTTGCTGAAGAGTGTTTGGCTGGATAAATCTGACGACTTGGAATGCCGTCCGGGTAGGTAAGGGAGGGGGGGGGGTGTTTGTTATTTGTTCTCATCCCGATTATCAGATATTTTGATGATCGGCTTGGCCACACAGGACCGCAGCTGGATCGTACTGCATTCTGGTCATCATTATGAACTGACGACGACTATGTCACCGTTGCATACAGATTGGACTGATGTTGAGCCCCGGGCCAAGATTCAGTGCACTAAGCCGCGATTGGTTTTATCTCTTGGCTGGTCCTCCCCGGACCAGACTAGTCACGGTACAGCGACCAATCAAAAGTATGGTATTGTCAATTGCATGTCCCGGATGTGACAGTGGACCCGCTCGAATGACATGAGACTACGAGATTAGATTCGCCGAGTCTGAGCGTGAGCGTGAGCGTGAGCGTGTGCACACCCCAAGCAGAACGTGACCTGAGCCTGCCTGTCCTGCGTTGACTTGCCTTGCCTTGCCTTCCATACCCTTCGTACCTTGCCCTGCCCTGCCCTGCCCTGCCTTCAACCCCATCCAACGAACGAGAAGACTCTGCGCACATCCAACTGTTTGCTCACCCGTCTCCCCACTTCACTCACACCCATAACCACCCTCGACCCCCACGAACCGTTTCACCGCAGTATCTCACAACTGCATCTCCACGACTCATCTCATCCTCAACATCTCGAGGGTCTGAAGCACCCTGCCCGAAGCCGGACTGAGCCAGTTCTGCCGGTGAGAGAGCACACTCATTATCCGACATCATCAACTCCGAATCTAGAACCAACAGCCACATCTCCCGGATCTGTCTGTCACTCCACGACGAGGATTGGGATTAACGACTTGCACCAGATCGAAGGAGCTTAAAGGGGATGAGGTGGACGCGAGGGTCAAGATTGATATCCACCGCTCGAGTCAGCACTCTTCTCTAAACGCCTTGCTATCCCACAATCTTCCCCCATATCAAGCTTTTGCGACCGAGAAAAAAGAAAAATACAGCCCGCATGAAAGACACATTTTGAGTTCACGCCACCTAGATTGACGACAGATTAACGGAGTATTCTCAGGTCGACTGCTGAGTGGACCTTTGCCTATCAGCTAATTGCAGCCTTGCATTCCTATCTAGACCTCACGCTTTGGTGCGTGGGAACTGAATCCTCACTTGCTTCTTCAGCCCGAGGATCTCGGGACAGCCTCGTCTCGAGAGAGCTGTCTGATCAGACCGGAACCGAACTCTTGGCAAGCTGGGATTCTCCTGAACAGTCGCGAACGAGAAGGAATATCCCGAGAAGCAAGTCACTTCGGCATCTCTTGTCTATTACTCCTACTCAACGGCTGTGAACCACACCACCCACCCATTCAACGGCAAATCACCCCATCTGGAGACTTCAAACCAGCCATCTGATTACCTCACTCTTCTTTCGTACCCTCAGTACTCAAGGTAGTGGTGTGTAATTTTTACATATCTGATTTTACTTCTCTTGACTCCTACAGGCAATCGAGGAGCATCAATACATCCTCCGCCTCGCAAATACATTCATATGAGCTAGTCGCAAGCCATTCTCGAATCAACACAAAGAGAAAAGCTTATCTTGACCGAGCCCCGCACTCAGGTACCGCTGCATATTGCATTCTGTCATTACCTTGACATTAAAGTATCACTCAGCATTCCTGGATTGCCATCAGCTCGATCTTACATGACTACTCCTGTTGACACTTGATTTACGGAATCGGACAAATCATTGTCGGCACGAACGGAGAAAGGCTCGGTGTGTATTGTCTACCACCACACATCACGTATCTATCGACTATCTATGTCCTGTGTTGTTCGACAGCCTCCAGGGACTGACTTCATGTCGGATCACCCGATGTCAAACCATCCATTCGGCAACATGAGCGACACAGATTCAGCACAGCAGCGGAAGGAGGAGACGTTTTCCCTCCGAACATCTTTACCAGCAAGGGAACGATCGAGAGAAGAGATTGAGCTAGCGCAGCAACTACTTGGGCATGCGCAAGGTCAACGTGACGTTTCTGGAGACAGTCCATCGCCACGATATGATGCGCAACGACCCACCTCGACAAGTCCATCTGCAGACCGAATACGTCAAGCAACGCCAGGTTCAGCGACGGAAGAATTCGGCCAAAGAGAACAGTCTTATGCTCCGATGTCTTCAGCGCAATCAGATACGACTCCTAGCGGCCAAGTATGCAGGTAGGTGACACTGATCCGAGTGCAAAGTCATTAGCTGATAATCAAAGTAATTGCGGAACGAGCAGAACGCCGCTGTGGCGACGATCTCCACAAGGAGCTACAATTTGTAATGCTTGTGGTCTCTACTTGAAAGCAAGAAATGCATCAAGACCAACAAATCTGAAGCGACCTCCATCCATTGTACCATCAGGGCAGCATACTCCTGAGCAACGTGTTGATTCTCCGTCAAGAGCGGGACCTAGTGGACATGTTGCGACTGGAGCAACATATGTGACAGCGGATCAGACTTCCGTAGGATCATGCCCTGGCGGTGGGAGATGCAATGGAACGGGAGGAGCGGAGGGGTGCAGCGGATGTCCCGCATTCAACAACAGAGTAGCCAAAAGCGCCCATGTCGCGGTTTCACAGCAATCGCCTGGACCATCGCAGTCCAATAATGACCAACTAGCAGATGCTCCTTCTCCAATCGATGTTTCTGCACTCAGTTCGCAAAATCAAAATACAACAGTTGTAGTGGCTTGCCAGAATTGTGGGACTACTATTACTCCATTATGGCGCAGAGACGAGAGTGGTCACACCATCTGCAATGCCTGTGGTACGTACATCTTCTAGTTCCTGGTATTTTCTCACATTTATAGGCTTGTATTACAAACTCCATGGCGTCCACCGCCCTGTAACAATGAAGAAATCAGTCATCAAGCGTAGGAAACGAGTGGTTCCCGCAACTCAAGGAACACAAGCCTCGGAATTAGCAAGCACATCAATGGGCTCACCCGAAATGGATCACCCGTCCCCATCAGACGAAGCTCCGCGCGGTAGTATCAATCCAGACGGCTCTGTGAATCTCGGACTACGTCTCCGCGATGATCAAGGTCGCTCTCTTCTCCCTGACCCACTTCAATCGAGTCGTGGCCAGAACGGTCTCAGTTCCGATTTGACCGCCTACTCATCATCTTCACATTCGCACACACACGATCACTCCGATTCTCTGAATAACGAAAACCGCTTGCCACCTATGACATCTTACCCACCACCCACACACCAGCGGCCATCCGTCTCACCAAACTCGTTCCTATCACCCTCGCGCAAGCGCTCCTTCTCAACCACAGAGATGGAACAACTGCCTCCAATATCCGACGCTGCCTCCGCCAGTTCCACACAACCCAAACGTCTCAGCTCGATCAAATCCATCCTAAACCCAGGATACACTGATCCCGACTCCGAGATGCGGGGCGAGAGACGCAGTCCGGGTGGATATCGAGGGAGCCAGAGCCCAAATATGGGATACGCGAGTAGTTCTGGGACGGCGAGGACGAGCAATGAAAGGGAGAGGGATCAAATGACTGAGACTGAGAGAAGCAAGATGGAGAGGAGAGAGATGCTGAAAATGGAAGCCGAGAGAATGAGGGAGGCCCTTAAGGCTAAGGAGAGAGAATTGGAGGAATTGGGAATGGGAGAGTGATATTTGGGAGTAGGAGGTGGGTATGCTGAGGGGTGGGCTGTATGAGGGTGGTGGCTTTGATCGATTGGTGAACGAAGTGGAATTTCAAGCAGAGCGAAATTGCATACTTGCGTATAAGCGCGCGTGTTTCTCTACGACGTATGCTGCATAGAAAGGGAGGGCCACCTCACCTACAGGAGTTTATGGGGTCGGAAACGTGCAATTGCGAGGGGCGGAATGCCCCAATAAAATGGGAGGTGCCTTTTATCGTTTTGGTGTTATGGGTATTAAGGAAGGGAGTGCGTTTATTCCAATTGTATCCAAGACCTGTAGAGAAAACCAAGGAGAGAGAATGGCAATCGATGAATCAGTCAACTTGCCTGTCTGGCCTACCCCAGAGGCGCCGCTTTTGAATGGTGTGGGAGTTGAATTAAAACGAGATATTCCAAATGACTGAATTTATGGAAAAGCGCATGGATTATCCTCCAGTGGCTGACGATGAAGTGCGTTGCTGTGAACAGGGTCCTTCGCTGGAACAGGGCTGCCAGATGTGGAGACTTTGACCAGGGTTGGAGAGCAGGGGGATGATTGCTCGCTTAATTCAACAACAACCAACAGGAGAACGTGCCTTTCTCCTGTGAATCTATGACAAAATCTAACAAAAGTACTTTCGCAGTGTATCATTTCGAAAATCTGGAAAGTTAACCTTTGCTAGAATTCATTATATTATATCATGTACATGCTTGTATAAACATATTATCATTAACGCCTGGCTACATACGGGTAATATCTTGCCGACGACATAGGCATGCAAACGCAGACGCAAATGCAAGCATCAACATCAAGAACTGTACTGTTCTACCACGGTTCTGTAACTCGTCACAAGCCAAACAAGCAAAAACATATACGCTATACTCATAAGCATCGTCAAAGTCTTTCGGAAACACAAAAAAAGCACACCAAACACCACACCCCACCAACACCAGTCGACCACACCCAACTCAACCACGATGTCGTAAATTAGTACCCACTCATCTTATGCAAATCCGGATCCTGCGGTAGCGCCGCATGCGTATTCTGCACACTCCCCAACCCCGGCCCATGCACACCCTGCACCCCCTCCGTCCTCGCATTCTGATGATGCTGATGATGATCACTCGCCCCCAACGTCGTCGCCTGACTAGCCGGACTCCTCGGGATTCTCTCCCCACCATTCACACCATCATCTACTCTCCCAGCCTCCAAATCCCTCTCCCTCCCCTTCTCCTTGCCAGCAATGTGCGCCGCGACATCGACCTCCTCGCCATTCACAGTGGTGTATTCCAGAGCTTTGATCAGCTTGAATTCAATGACTGCGAGGATGGCGCCGGCAAAGGGGCCGACCCAGTAGATCCAGTGGGTGCCGGCGAAAGATTTGGTTACGACGGCGGGGCCGAAGGAGCGGGCGGGGTTGAGGGAGCCGCCGGTCCAGAATACGCCTGTGATGGTTTGATGTCAGTACGAGGTCACCATATTCACAAGACTGTGAGGATGTAACGAGAAAAGCAGGGAGGGAACAAGGGAATCAGGAGTTATCATACCAGTCAACTCAGCTATAAAAAGCGCCAACCCAATCCCCACAGGCGCAATGAAATTCCCCGTATGTTTCTCAGCAGCCAACATGAAAATCGTGAAGACAAGCGACATCGTCAACAGCATCTCGATCAGCACGCCTTGCGTGACGGTCGTGGTGGCGCTGAGTTCTGTGCTGACGTTTAGACCGCCGGTGAAGAGACCGTTAACGATGGCGGCTGCGGCGATGGCGGCGATGATTTGGGTGACGAAGAGGAGGCCGGCTCGTACGATGTCGATGGCGCCGATTAGGTACATGCCGACTGTTACTGCTGGGTCTGTGGGAGGAAGAGAAGTCATTAACTGCTTTGTTGTGAAGACGATGGCGAAGTGGAGCAACGAAATAATAAGTTCTATTACACAGATGAAAAGAGCGATGGAAGGAGGAGAAAAAGGGCTGAGATTTGAGAAGGGAATTGGGGAGACTCACTGAACAGTCCTCCGGAAATTCTGAAAAATGTCCAGGCATTGACAGCCAGCGAGAAACCGAATGACAAACTGATATACAGCAATTGCTGTGGTGTCTTCTGCACTGTCTCTGTGATGACAGTCGTCCCGGTGTTTGGGTTCGACGACACATTTGCAACTTGTGTTCCTGCAAATGCGAAGAATAGGAAGAGGAGTGTTCCCACGAACTCGCCTATCACGGCGACGACATGGCCACGGACTGACTTTGGGAGGGAGTGCAAAGTTCCCTTTATCATACGCGCAGCCGCTTTTGCGGCTTTGCTGTCGTTGTAATGCCCAGTATTCTCGGTGAGCATTGTGACGATTTCGTCAATTAACGATGACTTTGAGTTTCGGTAGAGAGATTAACAAAAGTTTGTAAACAAATGGATTGAAATCGAATGAAGCGAACCGAAACTATTGGAGATGTTAACAGCAGGGGAGGGATGTAATATTACTGCCACGGTTCAGGACAGGGTAAGTATGAAGTATGGAGCCAGGACATGCAGCAAAAAACAAAAATCCTAGGATGCCAGGAAAGGAAAACGTATCCACCTTATACCCCCTCCACGACGAACCTACCTCCCTACTCCCCAGATTATTCTTCCGTACCCAGCCACAGCCACGATCCTCAAAAAGTCCCAAGGATCGACGACCGGGATGACGATGATCCCCCACAGATCTCTTTCTCTGTGTCTCTCTCACACAGCACCTTCTCCCTCCCTCACTCTCTCTCTGATACTCTAGAGCCTTCTACAGTACACAGTAGTAAGAAGCACATACCAAAAAAACAGGTATTTCTCACACCAGTACTAGCTCCTGTTTTCTCTATACAGCGAGAGAGCAGCCGTGCAAAAGATCGCGGCAGCAGTAGTGATGCTGATGCACTAGCAGCACCACCCACAGGAACTAGAAGCAGGACTAATGCATAATCTCCGTCATTGCCTTGTCCTCTCTAGACCCAGACGAGCCTCGTTCAGCCACACCTGAGACCCTAGCTGCCAAGCAATTGTCTGCTAGCTACAGTAGCACGAAAGAGTAGAGAAAGTCTATCTAATTTAGTAGGACGAGTCCAGGGATGGATGCAGGTGTGTGAGAACGAGAGGGTGAGACGGTGGGATGAAAGGAAGGGAAAGGCAGGGAAAGGCACGCTCGTCATCGATGGGTGTGGTGCATGTGGCAGAGCCCGTGTGCCGGACGCCACAGTTGGCGTTGGGGTTAGCTACTCTACTGTAGGCGTTGCGGGTTAGTGCTAGCTACCTTAGTGTTGCGATCTAGATCCCCTCACTGTTTTGGTGGGTGGCTGTTTAGCGAGATCGTGGCGGGTGGGCGGCGGGTGAGCGTGGGCAAGACAAAGCAGTCAAGCAATTGACTGACGATCGAGCGGCTCGTCGAGCTAGTGATTTGGGCGCTTAGTGACCAGTGCTGGGTTATGACGAGGGTCTTGTTGGTGGTAACGCATTATTTATTAGATCATCGTTTGAGGGGAATGTTTGGAGAGAATTATGGCTTTTCATATGGAAAGCGATGATGAATGATGAATAATTTCAGCTTTGTGACTACATTTAATCGACAGTATTGACCTTATTCGCAGCTCCGAAGAATAAAAGAATTTACAGGCGAATCTCTCCGCTGCTGAGCCACTTCTGGGCGCCAACATCCGTGGTTTGGACATGACGATCATGGCTTGCCAGTTCCGGCAATAACAACTGAATCGTCTTGGGCTTCGGCACCTCCTAGCTCTTCCTTACTGTACTCGGCATGCGAATGACCTTGGAAACAAGTACTGTGTCCAGGGACTATATGCCTTGATTTCCAAGACTGGTATGGCTGTGTTATGACTTATGAAAATTTCATTCCAGGATGACATTTTTTGATTAGTGATTGAATAAGAAGGATGAAACGGTACTTTGAGTAAGCTTTGCGAGTTAGCTTCAACGAACATGGATGGGAGTAACGCTGGCGAAGCGTCGTCATGAGTTCTTCTGCGGTAAAGGCGGGACACCTCGAACTTCAACTCAAAACCTTGAAGTATTTGCGGCTTTAAGTAATGACTTTTTATGAAATCCTTGAGAGTTGGTTTCGTTATTTGCCTGACTTGTCCCAACGATCTCTGTTATGTGACTGCCATTCTCGTAATCGCAGTCATAAAGCATCAACTCATCAGCTATAGAATTTACAGAGCATGTTGATTCTAAAGCCCCAAGTACTTCTTCCGTGAGACAAGCCGAACTTTTTGCAGCGTTCATGCACGTTCATCATCCAGAAAATCGTGACCTCTACTGATGCTGTCTGACCCGTCTAGAAGGAATGTACCGCTGGAAACAACGACCTACAGATCGACCTTGTAGGCTGTGTCTGGGCTTTCAAGCTGAACTTCGTGGTGTCTGAGGGTATGTAACATTAGAGATGTCCACGTGGAGCAACATCTTCAACTCCTCGTGTAACATAAGAACACTTGCTCAAGCACTATTTACCTCATACTGTGCGGCTCTAACCGGGTATGGAGCTGATCCAAGAGCCTTCAACTATAATCACAAAACCACGGAAATTTCTCCTGATCGCAGGAGACTGAAGTATCGTCCAGAAAGGGCCAAGCAACAACATCTGTCGGACCTTTATCTAGTCTTGGACGGGGGAATTCCATTAACGGACCTTACATTGAGTTAGAATCTTGGATGAAGGGCAAAAACAAAAGTCATTTCGATTTACCAACCTCTCCGCGTTGCCAAAGGGCTTGTTTGTCGTTTGAAGCTAGTGAGTGTCGTCATTTGACGCTTGGTCGTCATCCTGCTGAGACCTGTTCTGTGGAGGTTCAGTACTTCTCAAACAAGATCAGGCCTCAATTGATACTCTGGAGTCTGAAAACGCGAGAGGTAAGGGAAACTCAGCATTCACTCATCTTGGGAAAGTCAAATTCACCACACTTTTTACAGCCAATCTGAGGCACCGTGTGAGACTACTTTTCAAAATGAAACCGTAACGTTGGCTGTTGGCTATGTAAAGGGTATCTTGTCACTTGCTGGCTAGTTGCCATGGCTTGTTTGATTCAGCGTATACTCGGTTTATAATTTATAGAAATTAGAACTTTCCGTGAAAGAACATGGGATTTGTTTGGTGATTAACATTGAGAAGTTCACTTTAATTGTGGTCTCGTGATTGTTATAGGCAGCTCGTCGAACATGGGGCTTCTATGGGGCTTCTGAAGGCCATCGGGCCAGTGTTGGTATAAATAAGTTCGCCGCATAACTCTGCAGAAGAAACCCTGAGCATATGAAGCGAATCAGTACGATCAGATTATTTTGCATCCAGGTTATGCACATCTTAGCCATCGAAGCCTTGTCGTTGGAGGTTGAGGAAGTTGAGGAGTGGAAGGGAGCAACGCTGCACTGGTCTTTTGAGAATCGAAAGCTCGTTAGAGATGAATGGTTTTATTTTGGTAGAGGGATTGTTGTCATGTTGAATTTCAGTATCATATTACTCTTTCAAACACCCCTCAGGGAGACTCCCGTCTGGACTCTGGAATCAAGAAACTGAATACCACTAGAATTTCACGGAGCTCAATGCATGGCTTAAGAATAATGATCTTGGCGGATGTTTCCTCTTTGAAGTTGTTCAAATGTGCCGTCTATGTTGAAGACCTAACTCTGTCGCGCCACTTAACTCAAGCATTGGAATCTACTTAGAATTTATACCCTCCTGGTGGAGTATCAGATCTTATTGTCTCAAGATGAAGCTCAAGAAGAATTTCGAAATCCATGTGCCACCTGTTCACTACAGTGTATATATAGTATTTAAAAAGGCATCCAAGATCATCGAGCGCTTCTGATCCAAGAGAAAACACACGATCACTACCATCTTAGTCTCTGGCTGGATCAGAAAGTCTGCATTAGTCGGCGCGACTGCCAAAATTGAGGCATTGCCTGTTTGCTGCCAGTGTTTAGCGTTTGTACCAGAGATATTCCAGTCCAACAAGCTCAATTCTTTCATTCCAACATCTACCATTTTGCTGTCAATCTTGGCACTGCTGTTCCTCAAAACTGTAACGCCATACCAATTCGCAAGGCTACACCCTCCCACTTGCCAATGAGGTACAATCATCTCAACAAAAAGTAGATTTGAATGGAAAATTACAAGAGAAATGGCAACAAAATCCAATTTCCAAGGCGGTGCGTCCACTGAATATCTGCAATTCCAAGTGACATCAGTCATTTGTGCCTGCCCCGCATGAGATCACGACTTTCGCACTTGCCATGCTACCAGTTAATAAGAATTTGAGATGAGTCATTCTGACCCAAACAACCCAATGTGATGATCATCATGAACTACGAAAGACAAAATTATATTCTCAAGTGGGTACAAATGAAAGTAGCATCTGCATTTAGAGGTGAGGATACATTATCACAAATAGATCACTGTCACTCTTGTTTCCAGGACATACGAATCGGAAGACGAATAAAACTTCATTGAACCCATTCAGCCGACATCATCACTATCCCAAAACTTGTTACATGCAGCAAGATTTCGCATTAACCTCTGCTCATATGTCTCCCAACGATGCCCGATGTCAAAAAACCGTATCAAACAAAAGAAAATACAAGACGTTCTCGCTACACCAACTCCACGCTATGCCAATCTCATAACTAGCTTTCCACATGACACATTCCACATTACAATCTCATCTGAACAGACCCATACAATGCCTACTTCTTCTCTAACATCAATTTAGGGAAGGTCTCGCCTCAGCGAAGCTTAGTGCGCTTGCTTTTGTTAGCGGCACTGATTATTCCCCCTCCCCAAGTCTCTTCATCCGAGGATTCTGAATCGGAGCCCAAGAAGGAAAGACCGCTGTGGCGGCGCTTCCTACTTGGTGTCGGGCTTGGTGAGGGCGAAGCCGACCGCTTACGGTCCTCCTTCTCCTCTTTCTCCTCCTTCTTCTCCTTCTTCACCGGCTTCTTGACCACCGATATCTTCTCCTCCTCTGGTTCCGAGTCCGAGAAAAGAGCTTGAAGTTCTGGATTCTGGCATGGCGGCGGTGTCGACCTCTTAGCAGCAGCCGCATTAAGAGCTGGTCCTTTAGCAACCGGCTTCTTTTCCGTCTCATCCTCCGAGTCACTCCAGCCCTCCATAAATGCGAGGGGATTGTGTGCAATGCCCGGTGTTCTTGGCGGCGTGGGCAAGGTTGTCGAGGTGCCTGGATTGGCGGAGTTGTCCTCAGACGAGGAAGTTTCATCAGATTCATACCTTTCCAGACGTTCCCTGTAGGTCAGGTCTCCAAATGGCAAGGTCTTAGCTGGTCCAGTGTGAGGACCTTGTATGTTCCTGACCGATTGGTAATGCTGATTTTTCTGTGGGGCATTAGTTGAGTGTTCGGTGGAATTAAGCGAGGTTTTCGGTTCCAGAAAAAGGGGCCGGGGTTAGGTAAACAAACTTACCCAACCCTCCCTAAGGACGAAGTGCCCACTTAGACAGGGCGCGCAAGACCCAAGATTGAGAGATTATGGAATGACGAGAGGCTTACGAATGCCAGATGAAGCCTTCTTCGTGGCTTGGCCTTTGGGTCGTCATCGGCTTGGAAGCAGTCGTGGTGGCCGTGGGTAGTGCCGTCTAGGTGAATTTTGACGTCCATGTCGTAGGTTTTGGCGAATGCCCGGACCTCCAGTTGGCTCGCCCACGTTCCGAGTTGGCGCAAGTCCTCGAGGTAGTTCAACCATGATTCCTCTAGCTCGGCCGGTGAAGGCATTGTGGTGGAGCCCTTTTTCCTAGTGCTGCGCAGTTCATTGCGTCTCGCACCTCGTTCCGCATCCACATTGTGGAACGGCTTGTAGTCCTCCCGATTTTCTTCCATGTATCTGATTACCTTTGCACGTATCCGCTTGTGCATATCTTGGTGTCCGTACAATTGATCGGACAGCGCTCGGAAGAGACAGTTGCCTATGAAATAGTCAGACATGGTTCTGGCAGATAAGTTCGAAGGAAATGTAATCCAAAGTAACCAAACAGCAGTAGTGAGTATAAACAATCGAATAGACTGTAATTTAGTATGAAAGCAAAAGACGACGACGAGGTACAACGACAGCAAGGGAGCATCAACAAGGTAGCAACAGCAAGATGAACGACGACAAGGTTACCAGCGACAGCAACATAGCGACGGCGAGGTGAATCAACGACGATACAATCCCAACTCAGCTAGGGGCGGCTAGAGCCGAGAAGGACCGATGTACTTACTAGTACAAACTAACTACGGTATCATACAGCGCACAAGAAACAAAAATTATTGGCCTAGAGAACACAATGCTATGTTGGAAAATGACAATAGGGTAGGAACCAGAAAGGAAGCGACGATGATAAAGGCAGTGACGGGGAAGCAAAGCAAGCAGAGAAATACATACCGTCTCCTTCGACATTTCTTGCCTTTAGACCCCACTCAGCGAGTTCAGGGAATTCGATAGGGGAGGCTTCACGCATGGTGCGACCCATTTTGTCGTTTGGTTGTTTCTTTAGAGGTAGGTGAAGTGGAGTTTGAGAGTTTGGGTGTATATATTGAATATGGATACGCTGATAGAAGGTGGAATAGCTGTGAAGGCTTAGATGAGTGGATATATGAGCTGTTTGATGGACGAGAACAAGAAAGGAAGAAAGTGGAGGAGAAGGTCTGAGCTTTTTATGCTAAATGGAAAGCTTAGAGGCGAAGCTACTTGCTGAAACAGTTCAAATTCAAATCTGGTTCAAAAGTGAAGCCTAAGATAGTTCAAACTGGCACCCTACGATAGTTCACACTGGAACCCAGCCAGCCTAGGTAAATTATGACGTTCACTCGGAATCACGGTTGATCTAATTCGACTAGATCCAAAGCTATCTATGTATATTTGTTAAACTTAAGTGTAGTTTTTGCCTTTTTTCAAGTTAGATTGGCTCTAGTTTCTAATTCTGCTGAATATGAGGCTCTGCTGAATCTCGAAAAATTAATATGGGCCGACACTAGGGTGCGGTAAAAGTATGGTACACTATCATTAGGGTGTACCATTTCACTTCGCCTGGACTTAACCTTGTTTTCCATGTTTTGAAAGGCACTTATTAGCCCGTCCTTGAATGTTCTATGACATTCAGGGGAAGGACCTATGTGGGACTCGAAGCTCATGGAAGCACCGGTGATGCGGATTTCAATATTCTAGAACAGACCTAAGCCTGCTGCCCTGACTCGGCCCCCTGACTTTCACCTTCGAACTCTAGTTCCTAAGCTTACTTTGTTTTGAGGAGACCGTTTTAGGCAGGAACGCAGGAGAATTGTGCCTAGATTTTTTCACCAGAGCTTGGCCGCGCTTTCCTGCGCACCAGAACCTCGTGGCCTTGGGCGCAACTTCAGTCTATACATTTCCAAATTTGGACATTTGGGTGTCTTGAAAATATCCATCGCGTGGAATGGTAAGCAGGAATTGCAGGGAATCATTCCAACAGACTCTAAACTTCATCAGCACCTCAACACCAAACTGGACTTTTCGCCAAGACTTTTTCGCTTGGGATATGAAGCGAGGCCTGGACAATAGCAACCAGGCTTCAAGATCGTTTAGAAGAACTTGCACTAAGTAATTTGTGCTCTCAAAGCAAGTGACCGGTAACGCTTGACCCAAACACCCTGTCATTATGGCGTCATTCGTCGCGGATGACACTATCGCGCGCGAGCTACCTACACCACAGCTAGTGATAACAATTTGCAGGTCAAATGCCGTAGGCTACCAAAATTGCCACTTCAATAGAACTTACTCGGGTCCCAGCTTTAGATAAAGGAAGGCATAGAATGCTTTCCAAGTTCGCTCAAGAAGTCAGTGCGGGGGCGGATTTGCTGTCAGTCGGACAGGTTGTAACACCCTACAACGAAGGGTGCGGAAGGGCAAGAATATGTTCGAATTTCATAGGAATTGCGGTAAACTCAACGTCAAAATTGCTTGAAGCTTGCACTTGAAGATTCATATGGCCAAAGCAGGACTTGCCTCCCCGATTATCTTCCAAGTTCATCGCTGTGACACGTGACACGGTTAGATCACAGCAAGAGTCACTAACCAGGACCGACTGAGAACCTGGCCTATACGATTGCCATGAGTCTTTAAATGACTTAAAAGAAATAAGTTTGACAGCGCGGCGTCAAGTGCTCGATTGATACCAAGCTGCACTTGATCTTTGGAAGTGAAGTGGGTGATGTATTCACGCAGACACTAGCCAGATTGAACCATTCACTACCTCTTCATTGTAAGTGAACTTTCCTATATTATCGTCTACCATATTGAGCTAAGATCATTATCCGTGGTACCAACGCTCTAATTTTGCGCAGTCAAGGTTGGGCCAAAATTCACAGACGGTGTGTACTCACTAACTCGATCCTAACCTAATCAAATCTCGGGAGCGCACCGAAACTCCATGGATAATCACAATTGAGGTTTCCAAAGTTCACGCTGACGAACATCCAGATCCACCGTTTAATTCTGCTGCTACAATGAATACTCCACACTTTCGCCAGCCTTGGCGACGACAGAACTCAGTTCCGAACCACACACGAAACCGAAACTGCAAACAAAAATTTGCAGAAAAGCCTTATAATGGAAATTCCCAGAACACCTCCCAGTCACAAGACAGTACAAAGCCCCTGAAAATTATCACACATCCAAAAGCCAGTAAAGACATTGCCTACAAGAAGCTCTGGGCTTGGGACGACTACGACCGACGAGATCGCAGTAAGAAAGGCAAATTTGTATGCTTCAAATGTCTAGGATACCTAAATCCACGAGACAAATTCTGCTCAGACTGCTGGTCAGACAACGACTGGATTTTTACATGGCTTAAAAGTCTGAAGCCGCCTTATGAAGAGATGAAGGAGTGCGCGGATGCCGAAGGAAGTCAAAGTTCAGTCGATTCTAGGGTAGCTTCTGAAGACTCGGAAAATGTGGGGGATGGACTTGTCATCACTACCAGAGAAGAGTTGGAAGACTCTGAAGATGGAAATTACGATAGTATTTCGCAACGGTATGGCAATAATAGAGATCAAATCATGATCTCGGAGTATCGGAGGAAGAGAGCGGTATGGAGACATGTTCCCATTGTCGTCAACCTTCCTAAAGAGGCTCCGCGTGGATGGTCAGCTATTGAATGCGGAATGTATTGATGCTTGATATACTCAGTAGGAAACTGTATTTTCTCAAGTATTGCTAAGAGGCTCGATGGCTCCTGGCTTGCAACAGAGTCAGGCGATCAATTCCATCACACACTACTCAACCCGTTGGGCTATCTGCCAGAATTGAGAGATGGCCCAGCTTCATAACTGTCAACCAGCTAAAAAAGAAATCTACCCATTGCTAATTCCAAGGCGCTGAGAGTCCTGGGTAGAATGTAGTCTGAGTACTTGGTACAAACTGGTAAGAATTAGAAGAGAATCTTGGTTAAGCAAGAACTGTGCAAGATGAAATACATTCGAGTACGACGGCTCTTGTGTTAGATATTTCTCTGATAATCTAAGCATTGTTTTATTTTGACAAGCCCGTAAATTGAAAATTCCTGAATCCCAAGTTAAGATTGAATTGGATTTTCCAGCGACGTTGTGATGTCTGGCGCATTTGTCCCGAACCGAGTCGCACAGCCGAGTGGTCGGCTCAGCACAAGCGATGCCGGACGACTTGCATGTTTCACCCATGCAAATTTTAGGATCGCGTATCCAAGTACTCAATTGGAAGGTAGAATCACAATGTTACTTCATAGCGTGTCGTTGTCTGCTCAATTTTCGCCTTCTGCCAATGAGAGCCAAGCGGCCTAGCAGCGATGGCTTTGTCGGGTTTTCCGTCCCAAAAGTCCAAAAGTGGGGATTGAACGATGCTAACCGAGATCTTGTTCAACATCGCCGTGGAGGTTTGACTCAACCCGACGTTCTTTCATATAGACCTCTCTATCGCTTCCAAACCTCATTGGGACGTTGATTTCGGATTATTTATTGAGTATATCTTGCCATAACCACAATCATGCCGAATATTGTTGTCGTCGGGTTCGTCCTTCTCCTCAAGTAAATGGACATTGACTGACATGTTACACCTAGCGCTGGCGTTTCTGGCCTCACAACTGCTCTTCTACTATCGAAGAATCCAGATTATAAGATCACAATAGTTGCCAAGCATATGCCTGGCGATTATGATATCGAATACACCTCACCGTGGGCAGGCGCCAACTATCTTCCGTAAGTCGCGCCACATCAAATCATTGATCACATAAAATCAAACGTACTAAGTACATTACAGAGTCTCTCCAGCATCAGATAATCGCTGGGAAAAGAATACATGGCCCGAGCTAGCCCGTCTCGCCAAAGACGTCCCCGAAGCAGGAATCCACTTCCAAGGTATTTTCCCTCCCCCAACTCCCAGACTTTCCCCAATCTATCCAGCAATCACTAAACACAAAAAAACCACAGACGCAATAGTCTACAACCGCACCAAAGACGCCCAAGCCACAACCGGCCAATGGTTCAACGAACTCCTCTCCACCACACCCTGGTTCGCCTCCATCGTCCCCAACTTCCGCGTGCTCTCCCCCTCGGAGCTCCCCCCCTCCGCAGACTCCGGCACGGTCTTCACATCCGTCTGCATCAACACCGCCATCTATCTCCCCTACCTCGCCTCTCAATGTCTTAAGAACGGCGTGACTATCACCCGCGCCGTCATCTCGCACATCAGTGAAGCAGCCGCGCTGCACTCGTCTGGTGACAAGGCAGATGTAGTGGTGAACTGTACGGGACTCCTGGCATCTAAACTTGGTGGCGTGATGGATAGCAATGTCATTGCGTGTCGAGGCCAGATTGTCGTTGTGCGGAACTCGCCCGGTGCGATGTTTACTGTTTCCGGGACGGACGATGGCGATGATGAGGTTTCGTATGTGATGGAGAGGGCGGCGGGTGGGGGTACCATCCTAGGCGGCACGTACCAGAAAGGGAATTGGGAGTCGCAGGTTGATCCGAATCAGGCGGTTAGGATTATGAAGAGGGCGGTGGAGATGTGTCCGCAGTTGACGGGGGGGAAGGGCATTGAGGCATTGAGTGTGGTTAGGCATGGGGTGGGACTGAGGCCGTTGAGGAAGGGGGGTGTGAGGATTGAGAAGGAGAGGATGGAGGGGGGGCAGTGGGTGGTGCATAATTATGGGCATGGTGGGTGGGGATATCAGGGTTCGTATGGGTGTTCTGAGGGTGTGGTGGAATTGGTTGAGGAGGTCTTGTCGAGTAAGTCGAAGTTGTAAGTCCAGAAAAGTTGACTTCCCTATTTAGCTGCACAAGATAAAAGTAATGGCAAGTCCGTATTCCAGACGAGAATGTCCGCCTACATTGAAATCATGGGTATCTTCTATGCTACAAGAACGAAAATTTCGGATTCATCCCACAACAGCCACCCACCAGCACCACAAGCACTTTCAAGCCAAAGAAAGGTCTCAAACACCTTCGTGGCATCTCCCCAGCTGATTTCCAACCTGTCTCTCACCCTGGACAATTGCTCTACAAACCACTTTCTTTCAGGCTTACCCAACGCCGAAATCCCTCCCAAGGTCAAAATCCACACAAGTAACTCCCCAACAGCCCTGTCATCACAGCTCAAAACATCCGATTCCTCAATCGCCGCTTTCAGCTTCGTGACATAATGCTGCAACACATCAAACGTATTCGGAATAGGAAAAGTCACCGCAACACTAAATATGAACGCCGTAATTCTACAGCACTCATACATATTCGGCAATCCTTCCACTGCAGCAGTATTCTCACCAAGCTCTTCGGCTGTAGGCAGCAACAACAATCGCTTCATAATTGCCGCTCGCGTCCTTCCAATTTCTCCGATAGTAAGTCCGTTCGGCCTTCCTTGCAGATGATAGCTAATTGCCCAAGTCGTTACACCGAGCGGCTCCAGGATATTCAGTAATGGCTCTGAGAGCCCGAAGTCGGTGTACCGACGGAATGATGTGGCTAGGATTTGGGCCGGGAGATGAGGGGACGTTTTCGCCCAGTCTAGAGCTGAGTCGATATATGCTTCGTGGATCTGGATTGGTGGGAAAGTAGGTTTAGAGAATGTGTTGAGAGAGGATATGATGTCGCCTCTATATAAAAAAGAGAATCGTAAGTAGAAGCCAGGTTGTCACACTTGTGGGGAAGTTCTACTTACAAGACGATCATCTCAGCCATACACGGCAACTTGATGACTTCCAGCCCTCCTCGCATACTAACAAGATCATAAAGCGCTTTCATATGCGTCGGATTATAGGTGCAATTCCCGTAGATATTCAGCCATTGCATAGTCTTCAGCGGAGAATTAAACGGTTTATTCGCCTCCTCCTTCGCTTGAAGCGCATCATGCGAAGCGAGAACAAGGATAGTGAGTAAAACCTCATCACGAAGTGCGTTCTTCGGATCTGAGATATTTTCGTTGAGGTCTTGGATTACGAGAAGTTTTTTGATAGCACGTAAGGTGATTCGAGACGTAGTTGCGAATGCCGGAGGAAATCTCGCTCGATGGTACAGGCGACTAGCATGGCGTTGAAAAGACAGGGCAGTTCTAGAGCCGCAGCAACCCAGGTTCTGGATGAGGCGCTAGTGAGGCTCAGACTGCGGTTTGGGTGGTCATCGGGCATGAGTCCCGGGACTAAGTAATTGACTGCTGTGTGGTGGAAGTAAGTTCATGTTGTGCGTGGATATTTCAATTGCACACAGAGTAATTACATACCAAGATCCAGTATCTCATGACTGGCTGGGTCGAGAGTTTGGCCGGTGCTCGAGAAAGGATCAAATCTCCCCGATCCAAGTATCTCTCGAGGACTCAGTCGTAGCAAGGCTCTCCACATCTGATTGGGAGTATGAATATGCTGCTCACTCGCCGGTGTATTCTGCGCAAACGATGCATCGATGTAACTCCCACACACCTTGCAAAATAACATGAGACTTCCTTGCGGCTCATATGATCTCGTCGATATCCCTACACTTTGGGCTCCTGCATCCCCTGGTGTCAACTCCACCTGCTGCTCACCATGGACAGACTTCCTTTTATTCAATCCCCGCGCGACATGTTTCCGAATGTGTGAGCGAACATCAGCTCGATAGCCGACCTTGTAAGTAGGCGATTTATTTGTCTCATTCACAAACAGGAAAGGGTTTGAAGGACTGGCCATCACTCCAGAGGCGACAAATCCAACGCCGATCTGTTGACTTTCCTAGCGAGCTAGGTGGCGAGCGTGAGACCTGCTCTGTCAGGAGGAACCCAGCTCATATTTATTCAATCGCCATCAGTGGTAGAATTATTTACCAGCCTTGAATGTTCGTTGATGTCATTTCTGAGTGTTTGTTTTCTTGTTCTACGGCCGAAGGATATACGGCCGTGGAATAAATCTGGGGTTATGGAGTTTGTGTTACCGTGAGGTGAGGACTGCATGCGATTGGGCTCGCTGCACCTGCCGAATGCGAGGGGGCAATTGATTATTCAGCCATTCAAGGAATGCCACAATTTCTAGAGGCTGCCTGGTACTGTAAGAACATGGGTTTCATGGTTTTGATCTCCGTGGAGAATGAATTTTGGGCAGTATAATAATAGAATAGAATTTATCGTGCAGGCCTCGGCGATATCCGAGGAGCGACACTTGGGATCTAAATTCGTACACAAATCCAGGCCATCACTACCAATACGCTAGGGTTAGGAGGGAGGAGCTCAAACCCTTACAGGATACCTATCTACCTAGCTAGTGGTGAAATTTCACGTTGATGGGAGGGATCGCCAGGGCTCTCCATCTAATCAAATGTCTTCCCCAAGGCCAAGTGGTACCTGGTGCCTATGTACCTCCAGAGTGGCAAGACCACTATTTTCCACGCTGCATTGTAAATTCGTCCTTGGAGCTACGGGCAGCCGCTCTTCATCTGTATGTGAGCATCAGTATCACGTTTCAAGCTAGGGTACGCTGTGCTATGCGCCTACCCAGCTATGCAAAGCTCAAGCACGTAGGCAGTGAAAGTTACCATTTTATTATCTAATCTCCTTCAGAAAGAGGCCACACCTCAAAAAACACCTCCTATACATTCCATACCCCTTGCCCGGGGTTATTATGCACAAGATCAACCCCATTCGTCCAGTGTACCAAGAAATAACTCAGCAGATAGAATTCGTGATTCAATTTTCACGGTGCAAGTATCAGCGCGCCGTGACAAAATGTAAAGTCTTGGAAAATCATGCATCCATTCTTTGATAATCTCTATCCATGACCACTGTACGGGTAGAATCTCTATCAACCAACGCAATCATAAATTCCCCCCAAAGCAAAGCAAGGCATCTCAATGCAGAGCAAAGCAAAGCAAGGCCATGTATCCCATCCATCCACCAATTCCACTCCATTCCATCCCAACCTATCGAAACATCCTCCTATCCCGTCACATCCCATCCTCGCAAGTTCAATTGTAGGTACGTATGCACGGATATTCGCAGCAGACGATCTAAACGACCGAAGCCTCAATAGCCAACTTCAACGCATTTGGGTTGGCGCCTACAACCTCCTTGACCTTCTCGCCGTCCTTGAAGATGAGGAAGGTGGGCATGGCGCGGATACCGAGTTCTTGGGCTACGTCTGGGACTTCGTCGACGTCGAGCTTGGCGAAGTGGACGTCGGGGAATTCGTCGGAGAACCTATTTGCGGACCAGATGTTAGTATGGGGTTTCTCGATGTGTGGGGATTGGCGCGGAGGAAAAAGAGAGAGAGAGAGATAAACGTACTTGACGACTTGAGGAGCGATGACCTTGCAGGGACCGCACCAGGTAGCGAAACAGTCAAGAACAACGATCTTGTTCTTCTCGAGGGCGGTGGTATATTCATCCTTGCTGTGAGAGAACGTTTGTTAGCATATCTTCTTTGTAGTGCCAGAAATAATAAATCGATATCATTGTCAGCAGGTGATGGCGTTGTGGATTCGAGGACTCGAGGGGCGTCGAGGTCGAGATCGAAAATCGGGATAGAAGGCACAGTTGGAGCTCGAGATGGGGACTTGGAATGATAGCAGAGGAGATTGTTGCAGTAGTGCAGACTCTCTGTTCTTCCATCTACCAAGCCTTCTCGATTCAAGTCTTATCCATCCTGCTCCAACAGCGTGTCTGTCGTTCAATCCGCCATCCCATCCCATCCTATCCGATCCGCAGACCTCTTCGTCCATCCATCCACCGAGTCCATCAAGTCCATCAACCCCTTGCACTAATCCACGAACAAGGCACCCAAAAAAAAGAAAAAGAAAACGTGTCCCCTACGCACTTAGCAAGATTGTGAACACCCATTTTGGCAGTCGAACTCTTGAATCCTCTCGTCTTTATGTTCTTGTAAAGGTTTGCGTAAACCGACCTATTGGCAACTGTTCGCGTCGATATTGTTGTTGATATTCTTGTTGTTGTTATTGTTGTTCGTAGTAGAGAAGCGGCAGAGCGGGCGGAGAGTGACATCAAAGGAGGTTTAAATACTGTGTTTGAAGGTGGAGGGGTAGCTGGGTAGATAAAGGTGCAGTGCAGTGCAGTGCAAGTGGAGTGGAGGGGCTGTGAATGGATGGATGCGAGGATGCGAGAGGTGGTAAGAGGTGAGTGAGCGCGAGTCGATTGGTGCTTGGTGCTTGGTAAGGGTCTAGCCGGGACTTGATTTCTAAGGCGAGGATGACGCCTTCATCCGCTGTGAGAGGAGGGCCTTGGCGGTGTGGAAGGGAAGACGAAGACGAAGAGAGATGATGATGAGTAAGCGGACTTTTTCGGGGTTCTCTTATTTTCTGTTGATTTGTGTGGAATCAATCGCCATGAAGGAATAATTCAAATACTACACAGCCCTTTTTGCTATGGAATTAATTAGGATTGGCTGGTTGTGTAGCTGGATTTTTGTGTATCTCTGCACCCTCCTCTCGAAACACCGAGGAGATGACAATTCCTAGCTTACCTACACATACCCCTCAGCCTCTTCCACGTCATATCACCAGGTACATTTTCAGAAGTACTACAAATCTATCAATAGCACCGCCTCATACTTCTCAATAATCTTCTCTTTTACATCTGAACATTAGTTGGAAAAGGATTGAGGTCAGAGAAGCCGAATTCATCAATTCATCAACAACCTCAGAATATAAATACTAACCAAACCCCATCAAAACAACCTCGCTATAGCTCTTCCTCAAACTCGTTGAAATACCACTGTTACCTTCCGTTTACCTTTTCTTTCCTTTTCCTTTCTTTTCTTTGCCTCCCCCCTCCTTTCATTCTCCATCTTTATTCCGACCTTCTCCCGCACTCAAATCCCCATCCACCCCCAAATCCACAACTCCAACCAACAACCCAGTCCTACTCCCTAGGTCGGAACTGAAACATAAATACATACAAACATACATACATACACACACACATACATACCTAATTTACCAACCCCCCAAAAAATCCAAGACATGCAATGCATCGCCGCGCCACACCTCACCTCACCTCACCTCGCCTCGCCTCGCCTTACCTTATCGATAGGAGGATTTTGATGACTTACACCAGAAACAGATCAGATAACAATGTTTAACCCACCCCACCCCACTTACCTATCTGAGAGAAAAGTAATAAAAAAAAGCAAAGAAACCCGAGAGAAACGAAAAAGAAAAGGAAAAGGAAAAGGAAAATATATATACTTTATTATGATATTTGAGTTTGGGATAGATAGTATCTAGGAAGGGAAATGAGGGGGGAAGGGATGAAAGGATGAAAGAGGTGGGGATAGAAGAGAAGAAGCAAAAAAAGATAAAATAAAACAAAATAGGGAGGAAATATTCTCAAGGTTGGTTGGTTGGTTGGTTGGTTGGTGAATTACATCTCATGTCATCTTTGTCTGCTCCAGATAAACTACAGAGATAGGTAGGTAGGTAGGTAGGTAGGTATCTTGATTCTCGCTCCTTGCTTGCATATCAATAAATACTCCATCTTCCATCTCATCCACATCACATCCACATCGCATCCAATATTCAGCCAGCCGAGCAGTCCAGTCGCTGGGAATAAAGCGCGCCCAAGTACTTTAGTACAAAAACAAACAGACAAAGTCAACAGAGCAACTAAACCATGCACGCAGCTTGCTCGCTCGCTCGCTCGCTCCTCATTACGGTCCAGGTAAACCCATCGATCGGTAAGGGTACGGTACAGATTCGCCTGCCTTCCTTCCTTACCCAGCCCCGTATTCATATCCACATCCATATCCAGCCAGCAAGCCATCTATTCCCAGTCCTTATCCTAACGTGAAGGAAAATCGTACTGCTGACCACGGCCGTGATTATGACCGAGTAAGGATTGTATGAGATATGACTTTTGATTAACCCCGATCCGAGCCACCCACCTGATCCCCCGAACCGTTCCCCAAACCGACCGTCCGTCCGTTCGAAATACAGCAAAAAAAGAGCAGAAATGAAAAGTCTATGTGCGGGTGGGGAATCATAATTAAGAATAGAAATTGTCGGTCAATTGTGCGCTATATTGTCTTGTTCTCAAGGGAGAGGCCAAGGGGTCAGTAGCAGAGAGGTGATGGAGTATCAACGTGCTTTCGAGGAGCTTTCTAGGACATGATCTGACAAAGACGAAGTGTAGCGAAGATCTCATAAAAGAAAAGAGTTAAGCGAAAGATTTCGGTCCAAGGAAAGGTTGTAGTGAATGTTTGTTGAAATTGATTGTCGGTCCTAGGAAATGTTTAAAGGAGTGTTGATGTCGATAGTCGACGATGTGTACGTTTTGTAAGGAAATAAAAAGCGAGTGTCGTGCTTGTTCTTATCTTTGTCATGTCATGTCCTGTTAAGTCTCGAGAATTTGGTCAAGTCAGCCATTATACCTCCTCTGCTAAACTGTTCCTCTTGTGGTCTCCTGAGGGTCGAGCCTTCAGATCCAGTAACCGCGCACTGCCAGCACTCATGTGGCGTGCATGCTTCTTGGCCAGATCAACGCTGGTTGCTCTTTGCAAACCATTGTCGGGATTGGGGGAATCTGGGGTATCAGGAGTCTCGCTTGCGGTATCCTCGTCAAAGTCGTTGAGAAGTCCTTCTCTTGACTTGGCTCTTGGTTCTCGATGTACAACTGTGGGATGTCTGCCCACAGCTCCCCATTTTGACTTTTCTGAAGCTGGGCTAGCAATACTGCCACCCTCTTCGTCGTCGCTAGAAGGCATTGGGTTGCCTGCTGATTGCCTTCGGATTTTGTGCTGTTCTTCGGGACCAGGGGTTAAGCGACTGAAGTATTCATCTTCGGCAATACCAGGCTCCTCAGCTGACTCGGAGAATTCCTTCCTGCCAAACGGACTTGAGCTGTCGGCGATGTGTTGTGGTGTCTGGACAGATCCTCTTTTCGACCCTGCTTTTCTACCAGATAGCCACGATCCCTCGGAATCAATTGATGCTAAGGATTGTGACAAAATATTGGCAGGTTCTGGAGAGGGATCTTCAACAGTTCGATGCCCACTCGTAGGCGTCTCATCCCGTAAGCGCATCGCATCAATCGATCTATAGCCACTTGTAGGCGTGTCGTATCGTGTTCGGGGATCTTCGATTCGTCGGTCTGGCACAGGCACCATATCAGCTTCGGGAGATTGTACTCTAGAATCTGGTGGTGATAATGGCAATTCCGGAAGGTCTTCTCGGAATTTTGACATGGTTCTTTTGGGAATATTAGATGTTGATCGCATTGGTGTATATCCAAATGTTTGAGCTTGTCCACCACTATGCATCGAATCTCGTGATGTATTAGAGAAAGATGATGGGGCAGACTCTTGTTGATGCTTCTTTGCGCCGCGGATCCTGAAAAATGAAGTCCAAGACTGGTGTGCTTTTGGTGGTGTGGGAGTTTGCCGAGAATCTCTCCTTGATGCTGATTGAGCAGGAATTGGTATTGGTTCCGATGGGCGAGGGTCTGCCTTAGAAAGATCCATCATCTGGGATATACTAGATGCGCCGCGAGCATGACCTTGCATTCGTGGTGACGAGGTGGGTGAAATATTCGCCCGTCCAACCGTTCCCACAACGGCCGTTTCGATGACTGGGTCTTGTATTTCCGAAGTTGGCGTGTGGTTCTCTGTCCCAAGACTGGCACTTCGGTGAAATGCTGGTGATTGTGTGCTGGCAGTAGAATCTTGTCTGAATGTTTCAGCAGGCCGTTTCCCTCTTCCATTATCAGATCCCACAGATCCTTTTCGTTTGCTAGACGTGACTACCGCCGAGGTACCGATTCCCAATCCGACCACCTCCCTTCCAAAGACACCTCGTTCCATATTGGCTGGTGGGGGGGTTCCTTCTCGAGCTGCCGTAGCCTCGTCTGCCGTTTGCTTCTCTTGCCGCCTTGCTAACCTCCTTTCCATCTTGATCCTTTCCGCAATCTTCTTCCTATCTCTCCTTTTCTGATCTCTCTCCATAAGTTCGCGCAACTCGCCAGCGCTCAAATCGTCTGCAAGGTCATCTACTCTCTTGTTGGCCTTCAATGTCTCCTTTGGTATGGATACCCGATCTGATATCCTCCTTCTCCTTGACTCTGACCCGTCAGAGCCAAATCCACTTGCACCAGGGACATATCGAGGATTCTCAGCATATCTGATTGTAGGTCGGGGAGCGAGCATATCAAATGCATTCAGGATGTATGAGGGCTGGTGATCGGAGTTGGCGGAAACCGAGGATCGTAATGACTCAGCTAGAGGTAAAGATATATCAGAGGACGGGTTATCCATATGTCTATTGAGTCCCCCACGCATTTTCTTGCTCTCACGCTTCATTGGTCTTCCAGAGGCAGTTGAATCTGTTGCAGGTCTACTGGGCATGAAAGCAACCATAGCCTTGATCTCAGCTTCCCTTTGATGTTCTTCCTTCCGCTTCTTACTCGACTTTCTGTGAGCCAGCTCCTGAGCGCTTCGTTTGTGTAGTGTAGGCATCCTTTGCCAGGTCGGGGTGTCCTCTGGAGGTTGTGTACTGGCTCTAAGAGGCCTCTTCTCAGCTGCAACTGGATCTGGTTTATCTGCGTTTGACCGTGCATCCCCTTTGATATTGGCAGGTAGTGGTGGGACAGGAGGACGATCTAGAGTTCGAGGCACTCGGATGCTGTCTTTGCGACCTGGCGAGAAGCTGTACGTGCGTCGTCTTTCTGGATCTCGCTGTAACTTCTTGGACTCCCTCGAGGACTTACGTTTTGTGTCTCTCCGGCTCCTTCTCCTTTCTGGACCCGCAGAGGTTAATTCGGAGGCATTATGCTTCCCAGGGTCTCGGAGAGCCCCAGCGTCATGCATCTCGGACGACTGAGGAATTGCTGCCCCACCCGCCGCAGATGCAGACTTTCTGCGATTGCTTCTCCTCCGGAATGGCCACATGCCCATCTTTCCATTCGGGTTGTTGTGTGTAGCACGACGCTGCCGCGCTGCAGCTTGGTCTTCGTCGTCCTGGTTGCCGTTCTTCTTGTCTTCAACCTGACTGCCGGACTACCCAATGACCCAGTCGTCGTCCTAGCCGGTGTGCGTGTCGAGGAGGGCCATGGACCCGTATGTGAAGAGGGGCGCAGGGATGTATTCGAAATATATTCCACGCCGGCGAGGGCCTTCCTTGCGGGAAATTCTTTAGCAGGCCGGAATATGGGGATGTGATTTCTAAAGAAGGTCGTGCGGTATGCGCTGCATGGTCAGTGCGGTGGCAATTCGAGGTGAAATATGCGTTGTATCGTCGTCAGATCGAGGCTGGGAATGGAGTAAGAATGGGACGTCGGCTGGGTGAAGTATGTGGTGGTGCAGTCGTGTAGTCAAGCAGTCAGTCAATCCCGAGGTGAATAGAATATGAAGCTCTTAATGCAAGGGGTCGCTGATTACTGCGTCGCAGTGGGGAGGACAGTGACGGTGAGGCAAGCTGATGTGTACAAGGAGTGGGTTTGCAGAGAATCAGGAAGAGAGGAGAGGAGAGCAGAGCGGAGCTTTGCAGTGGTGCAGTAAGTACAGTACTCGTAGTAGGTAAGAAGAAGTAAATGCACGCCTGATGCAAAGGGAGGGATGAGGGATGAGGGATGCCCTCGACGCCCGTCTTGAGGTTGGCGGCATATGGGAGTACTGTAGTAAAAGCAGAAGCAGGCCAGGGCAAGCCGGACAGGAACGTCCCTATGCAGCAGCTCCCTCGCTCGTCTTGGCCCTTCCGATGCCCTGGCTCGCCTGGCTGGCTGGCTGGCTGGTTGGCTGGAACCCAAAACCAAACCCAGTCCAAACGATCAGCACTTCCACTTCCCTCCTCTGCTTCTGATGCTTCTAGCAAGCCGGGATGCACAGCTTCATTCGGCGGACTGCCAAATTAAACCTCAATTGGTATTAGTAGCAACACTCATTGGGAGGGATCTAGTGATACTTCCACGAAGGTAGGTGGTGTGTATCGAACAAGTTATGCATCTTGCAGAACATCTTGAGCCTACCTTCCATACAGTAGCTGAGTAGTACTCGAGGTACTGGAGTGGTGATCATTCTCCTCGTCTCGAGTCTCAGGATGCATTCTATTCAGTGTTTCTTCACCAATTACGAAGCCTTTCAGAAGTGCGATCACCTGGATACCACCACCCTCCTCCACAACATGCCAACATCGTTATGTTATCTCTCGACCTTGCAGAGCCCCGAAGCTGCAGGTCCTCCCAGATACCGAGCATAACGTGGTGTACGTACAACCAAAGCTGCAAGAAAGAGGGCTGTGGTACCCTTGAGACTTCCGAGTTGACAAGTGACACGTTGGAGAGGGAGAGGGGCAGGGGCAGGGCTATCAAGGGTTGCTCGACCGCTGACCCTGGACACATCGTGGCGAGCATGAAGTGATTCAATTGAGGCCCAGAAAACACTTCTTTCATCCCTTGTGCAGTCCAGACAGATTAATTATGCCCGCCCGGCAGGCTGCATTAAGTGCGACTGGGAGACACCAGACGAACATTTCTCTGTGCATTTGACTGGACAAGCGGACCACAAACGAAACGGGGCATTGATTTGATGCCAGGTTCTGCTGGCCATCCGTAATGCGCTCATCATCGGGAGGTTGACTCGATGATCTTGTCCCTTCAACGGCCAGTCCTCCGACGGTTCAGCCACAAGTGCCGTTTCTACGGCCATGTGGCTTGCAAGTCAGGTATGAACGGCCTCGGTGATGCCCCAGATGACCCCTCGAGATTTTGACAGCTTGGAGAAGACGAACGCCCAAAGGAAGGTATGATGTCGACTACTCGTAGATCTAGACAGTAGCACCTATCATATCCTGCTGTGGCTGCTCGCGCTCGGTATTCTATGCGGGAGGGTGGGTCCTGCTGCCAATAACAGCTATACCCATTACTCGTATGCTTTGGAGTACAGGAAATCAAGAGAGACCAGAGAAGACACATTCGCGCTGAATTATTATAATGATACGACAAACCATCCTGAAAGAGAATCATAATTTTTGCCAATGTTTCCGAGGTTTCCTCTCCACCTCGGAGTCTGAGCGTCTGCCCTGCCCGCGATTGCGAGGTCGATCGATCTAATTTTGGGGCCCAGCCAAGCCGTTCGCGAAGGATATTTCGTCACATAATCACCGAAAGAGATGAGATCAAAGCGGATCCGGCACCCAAAGAACGACCAAAAGTCGTATCAACTAACCCGAATCATCGTTGGTGGTAGCCTTGCGACCGAGGGTGAGATATGTTTCAGTGATGCACTGGATCCCTTCTTCATTGGCACTCACAATGTTTCGAAAGAAAGAATAATCCGAAACTTATAGCTATGACATGCTGTTCATATCGCACCCCTTCATTCACAACTCCAGGCTGTCGAATCATCTCATGATGGAAGCTGCTGCGGGCGGGCAAGGAGAGACAAAACAAGGACGAGGGTGCGAATTCCCAGGTACGATCGCTGATAGGCTTGTCGATCAACCAGTCTAGATGCAGGGGGCTTCTGCAGCATCAAAGTGCGTACATTGCCGAACTCCTGAACCGACGAATAGAACTCACGACATTGGAATATCTCGAAGACTGCCTTAAAACCTAGTTCATGGACTGTCAAAGTACAATCCAGGGCCGGCTACTAAGAAGGAAACAATCAGGACGAGCATGATATCAGCTGAGTCCCTCGAAGCCTCTTGATTTCTCTCCGAGTCAGCCTGCACACCTTCTACAAAGATCTCGGGATCGCGACAGTTCAGTGGAATGCTGCCGCAAATGAACCGTGGTACGAGCGAGATCACGACAACCTGCACGATAATCCCATTGGAAAGTCTATTCAAATTCCCAATTTCCGGGAGGGTTTAAGTTTTGTTCCTTTCCTTTTGTCATCTGTGACACGAGTTGCCACAAGTTTCCCCTCTGGTTCTTGGAATTCTGTCTCCGTGTGAAAGCTTTCGTTTTGATGGTACCATAGTCCGTTCCGAGGGCTTGAAGGAACAAAACCTTCTCGTCATGCACATTTCGCGGCTTACATCCGAGAGCCGTCTTCCTCTTTTAGTTTGTACGCGCAGTCCGTGATCATTTTTCCACAGACAGACTGTTTACTTTGAGTTCGATGGACTCGTTGGCCGTGGCGGGAAAAGTCTCGTGTGGTTAGTTCCAGACCACTGCTGCATCCGTGTCAGAGCGCAACGAGAATTCGCTTTCTGGACCTTGAGAGTTTGAATTTTCACTGCATTGACTTTCTCCTTCGAAGCTACTAGCGAGGTGTACTTTGCAGTTGCTGCTCGATTCGGACCGTACCGGTATCGTAGGGTTAACGAGGCCAACCGCTTTGGTCCCACCATCATTCGAGGCGAGTTTGAGCCCCAGCAGTTTGTTTTTCCGAGCAGTGAGTTTCGCGATATCACGAGCATGTCTATCACGCCTTTCCCTCAAAAGAGATAGCAGGACGGAAGTAGCCGAGAACTGTGTTGGAGCTTTACTTCATTGTATGACGACGAATGGTTCTTTACAGTAATAGGCCACTCAATGAGGAGGTGAGCAGTTTTGTACGTGCTTGGTATGCACATCTATTCTTCAAAATGTTTAAGTGAGGGACTTTGCCTGGGAGTTCCACCTCTTAAATCAATTCACATGAAATCATGTCTGATGTGCAATGAATCTTTCAATATTCTTCAGCAAGCGGATAGAGGATGGTGATTGGACCAGGATAGAAAGGCACTTGTTAACCTTTTTGGGTCCCACCGCTGCTGTATGCGGCATCTGAATATTCTGGCCAGCCTCTTCCACTCTAAACCAGATTTGCAGGTGTGAATCGAAAGAAGTTCTCCGGATCAATCCTTTTCTTCAACGCTCTAAGCCTTTCAAAGTTCTCCTTCCCAAAGCACTCCTCAACACTCAATCCCTCCTCCAGAATCGCCACATAGTTTGCCTTCACCAGCCCCTCCTTTTCTAATGCCGCAAAGATACCTTCAGGCCACTTCACAGCCTCCTCAATTCTTGTTGGATCCAAAAGTGGAGCAAGGGCATGGACAAAGACATACGGCTCCCGCAGCCTGTAGGACGAATCCGGTCGAGGTTTAATTGCTTCACCACCAACAAAGAAATTCCCGATGCCAAATTGCACGCCCTCTGGGATTCTATGCGTTGCAGACGAAAGGATCTCTACAGCAGCTGGGGTCATCTTGCTGATGAAGAATGACCGAGAGTGGTTGTGTGAAGGTGGGGGAAGCATCGGTCCCATAAAGTCTGACCATTTCTTTGGGGTTGCTACCAAGAATGTCAACGACGACCCGATATAGAACGGGGGAGATGGAAACTTACTTTCCGAAACCATATCCATCATTACCTTGCCCAAACCTTTGATTCTCTCGAGCCACTTTCTCCCCTCCTCAATATCCTCCGAGACCCAAGAAAACGCCGACGACAGCATAGGCGCCCCTCCCCTCTTAGAAAAGTGCACGCCAACACACAACTCCTTAGGAACCACTTCATTCTCAAAAATTCTCTGCGCCTCCTCAATGACCTTCCCAGCTTGATCGAATTGAAACAAGATCATACCACCCAACATCCTCTTCAAGGGATGAACCTTAATCGTCAAGTCCGTCACGACTCCAAAAGCACCACCAGCACCTTTAACACCCCACAACAGCTCCGAATCAGCCTCCACCACTTCCCCAGCCGCAGCAACAACTCTAGCACCAACAATCTGATCCACACCCAACCCAAAAGCATTAACCAGCGGCCCAAACCCGCCCGCAAAAGCCCACCCCGCCCAACCCACTATCCCAGCCAGCGAAGCCGGCGTCACCAGTCCCTTCGCATCAAGAAAGTTGACCAAATCCACAGTCTGGACCCCTCCGCCAATAACGACCGTCTTCTCATCATCAGCGAGCTCAATGCTGTTCAGCTCTCGAATGTCGAGAATCACAGCGTCCGGTACGATAGAGCGCCCGAATAAGTCGTGGCCGCCTGATCGGACGGCCAGAGAGATGCTGTGAGCGACGCAGAACTTGACGATGGTGGATACATCTAAGGCGTTCGTGGGGCGGATGAGGGCGAGGGGTTCGTTGCTGGCGTACTTGAGGTTCCAGACTGATTTCAGGACTTGGAAATGTGGGGAGGCGCGGGTGTAGATTTTGAGGGCTGGGTTGGAGGATATTAGGGGTTGTAGGCTTGGTGGGGGGCTTGGACCGATGTCAAGGACGGGATTGAAGTCCATGGTTTTGAAGAGGTTGGGAGTGGCTGACATTTTGGTTGATGAGGGCGTTGGTTAGGGTGAAGCGAGAGGGTTAGTTACAAATATGATGAAAGGTCCATTGAGAAAATATCTAAAGGCTATTAGGAACATATTTATATGACTATCACACTCTTTTTTTGGATGTTGACACAAAGTCCAATACTGTGCCACTCTAAAGGGAGCAGGTATTCGGTAGCTGAGAGCAGCTCGTGCATTTCAGCCAATGAAGCGACGAGATCTACCTAAGCGATTGGCTATGTAAAATCCCGATGGGACAGAAGAAAAACATGGGGATTTCCATGCCTCACGTCAGCATTTCAACTCCCCCACCCTCTTTCATACCCAATGTACGCGCACGTCGTTGCAAAAAGGATCAAACTCAAGCTAACTATTTCTAAAAAGAACAACATATTATGTACGAACGTTGAGCTTTGTTGACGTGTTAGCAGTCCCTTGAAGCGAGCATGTTGATGGAGAAATCTCAGTTTCCTAGATATGCCAGAGGATGCTAGAAGGGTCAACATATGCCCACAAGAACTGAGCAGTTTGTAGTGCGAGTTTAGATACCACGTTGGGATGGATATAAACAAAGCTGCATAGAACAGTGCAAAGTAGTGATGCATGCTTAGTACCGAAAACCCTGCGAAATTTTCACTCTCACTGGAGCAACGCGTTTGAGGTTATGTCTTGACATTGATGTTGAAATGTGCCTCTTCAGTTCCGCGAGGAATGATTGTGAGAAATTGACGATTGGTCGTAAGTTCATGCCAGCAGATACTCATTTCTATTCCTCACACAGTTCGCTTATCTTGTATCAAAGCGATCAATTTTCAAGCAGTATTTTGGAATAGCATCATGTATTATGTAATACAATAAAGAGGAGGTAAGTATAGGCCTGGATGGATTTCCTCGTCCGGAATTCCACGCTCCTAGCCGTGTTCGACCTATCTTGATGTCTGCTGTGTATGCACCATGGGAAACCTTAAGATGCTAGGACCGTTCAATTATGGACTGCCTTATAGATCCCCTTAAACATGCAGAAAGAAAAGCTGTAAGTCAGTCTCAAGTCGATGGTGTTGCATCCAAGTCTAGCATGTCATTATCATTAAATTATGTGGCAGACCGCAAACTCATCCTGCCTGCAAAAGAGATCAACCACGGTGTTAGCTGTTTGTATTTTTCGACAGACTGAGTCAAGGTAATCCAAAGTAATATCACAATAGCTTACATATCATTGCAATAACAACTACCTCATAAATTTGAGCGAAAAGTGTGGTAATTCGAGGAGGCTGTCGAAGCAAGTCACTGAAAGTCACGTGCTCGTAGGGACAAACTCCAGCAAGGTTTCACATGAGCCCTTTCATCCCTTTGAAACAAGAACGAACAGTAGAGAACACCGGCATCCGGCAGAAAGAGGGCACAGGATGGCCTTAGAGGCTCGAAGTCCCGGTCGCGAGCTTCCCAAAAAAATCGGAAAAGGTTGCAAACGTAAACTCACTTAGCCTCTACGAGCCGGATTCAGCAAAAAGGCTTTGTTTGAAAGTTTTTCCTATGAAGAATGCACTCTAATGATGATTAAAGGGATCTGTAAAAGATAATATGGAGTGGGTACGAGCTAAGCCTCTTTGTGAGGAATAGTGAAGCTCGTTCCGGCGTGTTTATGTTGAAACTACCAGGATAATCTGGCCATCTGCCAGAGCGGGGCCAATTGCACAGGCTATGTTGGAAATTGAGGTATGTGAGGCACCTAAGCTCTCAAAGAAGACTGCCTGCCGACTCAGAAAAAATCTTTTCCAGGTATGAATAGCGGTTCACCTGGAATGCTGATTTCTTGGACTCGAGAACAAAGACACCACCTATCATTTATATCTCTGCTCTGGTATTCCGTCGAGGGGTTGGTGAACTAATCCTTGTCAAGCCTCCTCAGAGTTGAATTTCAGGTAGAATTTCCACAAGTTTATTTCCATCACATACCGTCAAGTGTCACAATGGACCCAGACCCCAAGCATCCAGAGAATCATGTCAAAGATATTATTTTTCTGCCGAAACCAATAAGACTATCTGAATTTAACGAGAGTCAGCTGGACAAGTTGAATAAAGTCAAACCCTGGCTTGAAACTTCAGAAGGGGTTGTGGAGGAAACAGTCGAGTTATGTCGCTCCTGCGGTTGGCATTCTAAGCACGAGCTCTTGTCGGCATACGTATCGCGGGTCAGGATAATGTATACAAACGCGAATAGAGGAATGTGGACTCTGGTATGTAACTTGCAAGCATGAGATTTCCCCTGAATTCTTGTCCTACCATCCAATTGACGTCGTCGAGTCCTCCCAAACATATGGTGTTCAGAGCCAGTGTTGACACGCTCTTTAACCTAGGGTGGGTCGCAGTGGATACTTATTGATCAACCAAATGACCCTGACACCCTCGGAAACGATTTCATGACCCAAGACTTTTTACGGAATCAACCTGGTTGCAAAATTCCGCTTCTAAAAGAGATGAGATGCATCAGTCAACCTACAGACAAAACAAATTTCATTTTGATGTCTCGAGCACAGGGAGTAACCTTGCAATCCATCTGGGTATGATTATCGCTCGTCTGAGCCCTTCATTTTAAACATACGAACTTTCATTTGACAGGGACCACAGGAAGAATTATCCAGCGACCAGAAATTGTCATACTCGAAACAAGTTGCTGATGTCATCAAGGAACTCAGAACATATACTTCGCCCGTTCCACAAAAGGTTGATGGTACGCCATTGGATGATTTTATCATAGGATTTTGTTATCCGATGGTACCGCATTGTAAAAAGATAGGATCCACTGGGAAAACCTGGATTGACAACTTAGCTGAAGAGCTTCGACATGGGCTGGCTATAGAACACGACACCAACGATCCTGCGATCATTGATGAAAAGTTTCGAGATCTCAGAGAAAATTTCCCAAATCAAGAACCATATGTTCTTAGTCACCTAGATCTCCATGCTAGTAATATCATGGTAAAGGACGGGAAGATAGAAGCAATACTTGACTGGGAGTACGCTGGATATTACCCTTGGTGGGTTGAGCGATACCGTAGTTACGCCGCTGGGGACGACGTAAAAGATGAGTTGTTCGAGCCAATATGGGCGAACGAGACTAGTCTTAATGTCGAAATGGATCGCAGCGAGTGGGATGCCTACACAAATAAGATTGGTGAAGTAATTGGATTGTACTCGCGTTGTCCGAGAGAACATCCAGAATATGACGGATGTTGGCAACGACCAGCGTTTTGTGAGTGTAGACCATTCGGAGGCTTCATCAGACTAGAACATCTTGGGGGACCAACGGGGCATCGTATCGCGGGCAAAAGTTTGACAACAGAAGGGGGCACGAACCTAAATGAATCAGAGGAAGAAGGCCTGAGATCTTAGGGTAAAGGTGTGCTTCAGTGAGATGATAGCATTGAGGAAATCTGGATGGAACTTCTGGTCATTGTGGTTTGTTTCAGGCTAGTAATTGGCTATCATAGTACCTTACAAATTCGTCGAATATGTATGCTTTAAGTGATCGGAAATGAAGCGAGAGCCGCCGAGAAAACATGCCGTTCTCTCGAGTAAGGATAGACGTAGAATATTATTACAAAAACACTCTTCGGTGTGGTTTTCGACGTCTAATTCAAAATCCGCCTGTAATTACAACGTATAAAATACCGAAGAAAAACAGCGTACAGGCTGAAATTAAGCTGAACTAAGGTGGGAATCGTGCCAAGGGCAAAGCGAGGTGTGTATAGAGACAATTTCAAAGGGGCGCTGAACGCTGAGCCTTGCTTAGCCTCACTTACGTTACTTTATTAAGTTTATAAGGGCAGTCTTCGATGTTAACGTCGAAAAGTGCTTTTGTAGGCCATGCTGAACGCAAAGGAAATCCCATTCCAGCTAGAATGCGTAGAATATGGAATTCACATTGACTAACAGAGTGCTTTAATGTCTTCACATTCAAGCGTCAGGTAATGGCACCAATCTTTCATACTCTCTCAAACTACCCAAATACCGAGCCTTTCAGGGCTTAACGGCAGCCACGAATACGATGGTCAGCCCGGACATAGCCTACCACCAGTGATCCGTGACCGAGGCGACTGTTGAACAATGATCTCAGCAGAAAATCGAAACAACAAGAAGGCATATCACGTCTCAAGGAAGAACGACAAGCATTATTTTAGCTGATGAGGAGTATTATTCCATCTCTGGGTGCTAACGTTCTTCTCGTTCAGCTTCGGTCCTCCAGAGCCACCGATAAGTGACGTTCGAAGTTGGACGAGTCTCCGGACTTCACGAACAGTGAAAAACGCGAATTACGCGAGTTACTTGTGGTTCAAGGACGTGGAACGGCAGTAATCCACGACTTACGTCAGAACTAGACGCACGTCCACAGGGAAGGTATGATTTCTTTTATCCCCCAAACCCCTCAACACCCTTTTCCAGGGAACAGTGCTGATGCCGGGCGCGAAGGCTGCCTGGACGACAACGTCGCTCACAAACTTCACACAAATTTCAGCGTTCTTCGCGTAATTTCAGGGTTTCGCTACATGCTGTGTGCACTGCCATAAAAAGTGTGTTCCGTTCGGCAGTCCACCAGGTCGAGGGGATAATGTTCAAGTGGCTGGCTCTCCTCCGTTCATTGTGTCTGGACATTCTGCGGCTTTCCCTAAATGACAGAAGTGTGCGTGATGGATGTCATATCCAAGAAATCTCCACTTGCGAGGCTTGAACTGTTCAAGGAAAGGAAAGTCATGTTACATTCTTGTATTTTGCATGCCTCGACCGGTGAAGGCAGGTCGAGAGTAGGTAACATAATGCAGAGCTTCTAGTGCTCTCCATGCCTCACAAATTAAGCTCTATTCTTCGGCTGCGTCACGGGCGCGGGGAATTTTCGCCTCCGTCCCCCGCCCCGCCCCGCCCCGCCCGGCCTCTTTTTGGTGCTTTGGGACCCACGGAGGGGGAAATCCCCGTGCAAGGATAAATTTCTACAATTCTTGTATAACTTAGAGAAATATATCAATATTGTGTATAAATTAAGCATTTCTTGTATAAAGATGTATAATCCCCCCGGCGGGGGATGTCAAAAAAACCCGCGGGTCCCCAACAGGTGGGGGGGTTCGAGCTATCCCCCACCCGCGAGGCTCTATGCTGCAGCTTATCTACCTACCTTAGAGGCGAAATGAGGCCAAAACCCAGTGACAATACAGCGCTTCACCAAGTGGATAGTTGCACGGCTGTCTAGCGCGTGTCAACTTTTTAAGGGGTTGTCAATGGAGAGTCTACCGAGAGTCTACCGACTATCAAGCGAGGGGGTGCGGTTACTGTTAACTTAGCGCTGTATTGTCCCTTGGTCTCGGCCGCATCTTTCCTTTAAGGTAGGTACTGTACTCTAGTGCGTTGGGCAATCATGTGACACTTGGATCACATGAAGTCAACAAGACAAAGGCTTCGAGGTTTCAATGTGTGCTTGCTTATATTACATTCGTGGAGATTCCTCCTCCGTAAAATCTCATAAAGTTGTTTAAATTTTCTCATTTCGATCTAATCAAAATTTTAGCATCCTCTGTCACAGGACGAGACGCTATCATATACCCATCAGGTCGGCGAAATTACCAATGAGCCCAGAAAGTTTACTTCACTTGTCGCTCGGAAGGTTGATGGTACTCCGTTGGATGACATTATTCTGGGATTCTGTTTTGATACCTAGAGAACCATTCTGCAAGAAAATCGGAGCCACAGGGCATGAGTGGCTCGATAACTTGTCTGAGGAGATACATGATGGGCTTGCCAAGACTCACCAGACCAACAATCCAGTATTGATGGAGAGAAAGTTGCAAGAACTTAAAAGTCGATTTCCAGACCAGGGACCTTACGTCCTCACTCATACGGATCTATCTCCAGCTAACGTTATGATAAAGGATGGTGAGATTGAGGCAATCATTGATTGGGAATGGGCAGGCTATTATCCTTGGTGGGTGGAGCGGTTCCGTTCTGTGGGTTTCGAAGATACTCAAAGAGAGTTGTTCGCTCCACTCTGGGATAGTACTGATGGTGAAATGAAGCAGAATGATTTCAAAGCCTGGCTGGAACCAGTTCATGAGGTTGGGGACCTATTTAGGAGATGGATAACAGAGCATCTCGGCCGCGACGGATTCTGGAGGCGTCGTGCTTTTTGTAAATGCTAGCGATACGGGGGTGTAGTCCATATAGGAGCGTTTGGTCAGCCAACTGGGCACAGGGTCATCAAAAAAGGCTATGACCCTGAAGAGGAAGCTTGCAGAAATCAATTCTTAATCCCAATTGATGGTGAATAAATGGGGCAGCAAAGCACCTCGGCCTAGAGATTTTGGGATGGACGAAGAGGGGGAAATTGTCTTAATGAACTGGAGCCTCCATAATTTATTTCGCAAACCCAAAGTTTTATAGCAGTTCCTACAAAAGCACCTGGAGCATGACTACGGAGTTTGATCCTGTTTTTAATTACCAAGCGACCGTAACTTCCTCCCGAATTATCAGCCGCAGTCCCTCTCGCTCAGCTCCCAATGCTCGGCTAGCAGACAAACAAAAAGAGACCCTCAACTACAGCACATGATGAAAATCCCCTAGTGACTAGCATTTCTGTCTAGCACAAGCTCAAACGCCGGTGAAAATCAACTTCAGACATTTGCGGACGCCATGCCTACTGCGTTTTCTGCCTCAAGCCTGGCGACCTCCAGTCTGCCTGCCTCCAGCCTGGCTACCTCTAATCTGGCCGCCTCCAGACTGGCCGCCCCGAGACTGGCCGACTCCAGCCTGCCTGCCTCCAGTCTGGCTACTTCCAGTCTGGCTACCTCCACTGCCTGTATCCAATCAGTAACATATCCGAAACGGAATAGGAAGACTGAGAATACTCACTTCCTGCTACCTGGGAAGTGTTATGGTTATCATGGAGGCAATTGATGAAATCATGTTTGTCCCTCGGGGTGACCTTTGCCCAATCTTCTGTCTCGACTGGAGTGTGGACCTGAGTGTTGACCTGAGTGCTGGCCTTCTTGGACGAGAAAGTTGGAGTACGACGTGCCAAAACCGAATCATTGGATGGATATCGAACAAGGAGATATTTATCACCTCTATTGGAAACGTGAATGGCGAACGCGTTCTGTCCGTGTCGCTGTTCGAACTCCTCCACGGCTCTTGGCAGGAACCAGTCTGGAAATCGATCGGCCCGTGGGATTTCGTTCCCAAATTGATAGACGTCCCACTGTAGAGCTCCACCGCCAGAGCCTTTGGCAGGAGTAGTCACACCTCCACAATTGCCACAGGTCGAGGCTCTAGACATTTCTTGGCTAGAACAGAACCGGCATCGGACCACGAGTGTCTTAGGGGGAATCCACAATGCGGGAGCAGACATTGTTGATGAAGCTTTGTGGAGTCGTTCTTGTTTGAATTGCAGGTGGGAGAGGGTGGTAAGGGAGGGAAGTGATGTGATGAGGTTCCTGTTTTTCTGCCCACATCCATTCGCATCTCAATACTTATGCTATTCAGAACAAAGGAAAGCATCATGTGGTTTCAATTGTCGCCCACCACATTCCCTTCCAACAGGATTGAAATCCCTCAGCTGATGATGCGGATGTGTTTGAACCTTGAAACTTGTCAGTCAGGCACGATGCTCGCGCCCATGATAGAGGGCCTTTGCTTGGACCCTGGTTGATTTTGTCCCAAGCAGAGCTCTGCTTCAGGCGGTCAGGTCCGTACAGTCACGAAAGTTTCAATTTCCTTTGTAAACAATCAAGCGAAGCAAGCCACTACCAGGGTTGATTGGATGGCTCGGGCACTGACATCCACCCATCCAACGGGTACTGACATCCACATACTCATCAGAGTGTTCTAGAATCTCAAAATGGCTGACGCCACAGGTCATGGGCGCGGTACCAGGAACCTGAAAATGTTTGAGAATCGATGCAGTCTCCCGCACACCACAAGCAGCGAGCAAGCCCCCAGAAGCAGGTCACCAACTCATCACCAAATCCATCACAAGAGGCATTTACAGCAAAGCGGTCGCAAAAGTCACAGCGACCGCGACCGCCAACACATTCCCACCCACCACAAAGTTTCCAGCTGCGCCACCACCCTCTCCAGAAAACTGTTTCTCAAACGGATCTCTGAAGTTCCCCACATCCGCTTCCGAAACATTAACCACAATAACCTCCCCATCCATAATTGCTCTCGGATTCGTGCCCGTAGTATGATAAACAGGAGCACACGCCTCCAGCACCACCCCATCCGTCAGATTCCCAGTACAGTTTGACATGGTGCCCACAAAACACCGTTTCAGCGTCGTGAAGTTCAGGTACGCGGATGTACCGGGCTCGATAGCCTCCCAAGTATTGACAGAGGCAATGACGCTGTTGTTCCAGGGCTCGCCGTTCAGCGATGCATTGACGGCTGTCTTGACGATGGATTCGAGGAAGCAGGCTGGGCCGTCCGGCGTGTTCCAGCAGCTGTCGCGGAGGCTCGTGACGTTTTTGCTGTATTGCACTTGGATGTCTCCGTCGGCGTTTAGAGCGCAGTAATGAGACTCATTGTTCCGTGGGGCGCATGTTGAGGCTCCCGAGATGCGTTCTGGTGGGCCGTACACGTAGTAGGCGGGTTGTTGATCCCACGAGAAGACGGTGCAGTTATTTGCGGAAACAACTTGGGCATGGACAGTCGCAATGGACAGGAGCGCAGAAAGTTTGGCTATGTTGTTGGCCCTCATGTTGATTTCGTGAAAAGCAGATTGATGTATTGGTGTAATATTTGGAGTAAGTGGTGACAGTGACCGATGATTAGAAATGAAGGCAGGACAGGCCAGTTAAATACTTAAATCTCAGCGAAAGGACAACAACTTTTAGGACACAAAAACAACGTGTTGGTTACCACGTTACTTAAATAAGCACAGGAACCAACAAAGTAATTGTAATGATGCGGTTCTGCTTAAGCGAGAAACCAACACGAAGCGCCTAATTGCATGCGCCGCTGCCAAGACATAATACCCACGGCAAATTCGGAACGGTTTTCTAAAGATCTACCGAGCCAAGAAGATCCTCTCCTTATCCATTGCATTGACTGGCCTACAGAAGTCTAAGGTTCTACTCGTTTGTGCCTTCTTGGAAAAAGGTCGTACTCGAAGTTGAACAATGACGGGAGCCAAGGGACTAGGTGGAGACTTGGGGGTTCACCTCGCTTAAATATCAGCCGGACAACATGACATTTACGTGATTGGCGATCACCTAGGTAGCGAGGATTGACGTGAAGGGAAATATGTAACGTCTCTAATGTGACAGACAAACGAACCTCACTTGAGTACACAGAAGAAGGAATAAACTTGCATTCCAGAATCTGATTGCCTGGCCCGGACTTTGACACAATGGGATTTGACATTGAAGACAGTAGACACCGGTTACAACTTGAAGGCTTCAAGGTATTGATACAAGGAAAAATCGATTATTACGGAAGGAAAACAATTATATCATCATCCAAATCAGGACCTCACCAGCACTGGAATAAAATTTCAAAGTAAGAAAACTTAAACATGCAATCATTTACTCTAAAACACTAGAATGATCCAAACTCACGTTCCCACCCACGACGTGAAGTTCTTCAAACATCAGTCCGTTACAAGAAGTCAAAGTGGGGTGAGAATTTGCAGAAAGTAGTTACACTCAAACTCGTGCCCAGCCAATTGACCGAACAAGCTTTATTAAGTAGGATCGCAGGTTCCGAATTCAAGTTGGCAGCCGAGGAGGCGGCGACAGTAAAGGGATTCACCGCCACTTCACATCACATATATTAGCAAAGACTTCTAACATCAAATGAGGCGAGACGAGAAGCGCCGGCTTCGAAGACTGCAAAGAATGTAGGACCGAGAGATGTCGTGAACTGCGATGGGATGAACATACCAATACCCAAAACGCGAACAACAAGGTCCATCCGCCCATCCAGTGCAGGAGAACCCATTGCCACAGGTTCCATCTCTAGTTGTTGGTAGACCACCTGGTGTCGGCGTCGGTGTAGGAGTTGGCGTCGGTCGAGTCGAAGATGAGGTTGTCGATGTTGTAGTTCCAACTGGTGGTGTTGAGGAGCTGGAGCTGGATCTAGTGGACGTTGTCGATGTTGTCGACCTGGTCGTTGATGTAGTAGGGGTTATGACGCTTGTTGACGAAGTGGTAGGAAGAATTACAGTCGTTGATGAAGTGGTCGGTAGGATCACAGTCGTGGAGGATGAGGATACACCGCCACCACTGCACGAACCGAAGAGAGGATTGCATCCATTCCCGCAGTACTCGGCTGAGTTACCACAATACCAATATGGAGAACAGCATTGTCCGAAGCCTGATCCAGTACATACTGTGTTGTTACCACACATACCGTTTGTCGAGATAATAGTTCCGGACGGCAAAGGTGGACCCGTCGAGGTACTGGATGTTGTTGGAACTATCACTGACGTCGAAGACGAAGTCGTACTGGTCCTCGAAGATGTACTGGACGTCGAAGACGTAGTTGGCGGCAGTACAGTTGATGTGCTACTCGTAGTTGGGGTAGGCGTAGGTGTTGGCGTGGGTGGTACAGAGGTCGTCGGAAGAGGCTCCCCTTCACACCAACCATACGCCGGCTGACAGCTAGCAATCTGAGAGCAATGATCCTGACCCAGACCACAGTACCCGAAGAACGAGCAACATTGATCATTTGAACAAATCTGTCCACCAAAATCTGGCCCACAGCGTCCAGCTTGTTGTCGCCGAGTCAAATCCGGGCGCGTGTAGTTTGCTTTACTGGGAGGTTGGTATGAAACCATGATGTCAGGGATGAGCTGGGATCCATCGATAACATCGGCCTCCAAAGAGGAGCAAATACTGCCTAAGGGATAGAGAGATGCCAATAAGCAGGTAGATATCCAGCGCATTGATGGCATTGCAAGATTATTGGTCAAACGAGACGGCAAATTAAACAGCAAACGAAAACACGAATAAGGCTTCAGTAAAAGGAGCGTTAGGGCAAGGGCTGAGTCGAACAACAAATATATACAGAAGTACAGCGTGCCCGACAAATCATTGAGATGGGACTGAGCATTAAATAGATCCAGGATGGTGCTCGAAGTCCAATATCGTGATCCCAAGCCGGGATTATGGTTATTTGTTGTTCCTAAAAGAGCTTCTAGAGGGAGTGACGCCCTTGAGCCAAATTCCGGATTATATTCTCATCCGGGGAGGTGTTTGGGAGAATGATCAGAAGAGGCTAAACGAGGTTGTGGGGTGCTGGTGTACCGGTAGTTGGTATTAACAAAAATGCAACCACCTAATTGATTCGGATGAACATGGCCACGTAAGTGAAGCAGCTCTCGACAAATCCGTATCGTATAACAAATATTGGTTCTGGGTTTCAACCTTGGCACTCCTCCGGCTCCGGTTGTTATGGTTAATCTGATGGGTGATTTGAACCGCAAGCGATTCTGGACGACTTCCTTCACGAAAAGAGATGGCTGTCTGCAACCAAATTGAAAGATAACATTAGCAGGTCAATTTAGCAATAGCACAATGAAACATATGGGTATCATAGAAAATACAAGTGCGCCACAAACTCCAAGGTATCCGGGCACATATTGTGTGAAAGTGCACCGAGATCGTATCCTCTCACAGAAATTGCCCCTCTTCTTGCCAACTCTTTAAGCAACAGGCAAACGCACGAATAGTCTCAACCTCCTGGAAATATTCCGCTAGGTCGCAGTAGCCGCCGTCTCTGCTTGAGACTTACGTGCTTTCTTGGTGGCCCCTTTAGCCTTCTTCTCGACTTTCTTTTCCTTGGTACCGGAACTTGCACTAGAAACCTGTATTTTTGTCAATCTCGCATCTCCCGGCTGTGCCAACCAATAAACAGTACCTTTGGTTCTCTTGATTTCGTCAGCTCCTTGACCACAAAGGCTTCGAATGCCCGGATCTCAGCATCGCTGGCATCTTCTGGTTTGATTTTACAGTTATCACTGGTCGAGTTTTCAACTGTGACTGTTTCGAGACCCCGCATACTCATCAGGTTATCAAAGCCACTGGTCTTGTTAAATTTGGCAACTGCGGGCTCATTCTGATGCAGGAATTGGCGTGACGATCCAGGTCGGGTGGGAGAGTACACACAATACTTTGACAATACAAGATGAAAGACCGTAAGTTTCTCGAATTCCTGGAAGCTCCGAAGGGTGTTTGCGTCTTTGATCTTAAATCCCCACCAGGCCCAGGTGATCTCTTGGATATTCGCCGTCAACTTTGGAAGTAGAGGCTTGAGCTGCCTGCAGATGTCATGGATTCGGAAGTGGTTCCGCCAGAAAATGCCAGAGGATTCTTCGTAGATCTGTCGACATGTGCCTCTCAGTTGGATACCCGGAAGAATGCTCTCTGCGCAGTATTTCCAGCTTCCAATATGAAGCTTATCGTTAGCACGCACAGTGAGATCGTAGATGGTGAGTCGAAGCTCTAGTGGCAACTTCAGAAATCTGAATATTCTCAAATCTGACGATCAGTTAGCGGCATTGGGCCGGGACGAGACTATGTTCGTCCGAGGTAGAACGACAATTCTTTGATGATGTTGAGATTAGATGAATTTAGCTTACTGGCACTGCTCAGAACTTGGCCAATCTTCAGTTCGGAGTCCTTCCAAGACTTCTCGACATCTTCCAAGGCCCGCATTCTGCCGCCAGTCTCGTCAGCGAGAACCAGACGACCAACCTCCTTGCTTCCGAACAGCTCCGCACTAGCTGAGTTGAGGTTTACAATCTCGTAGCTGCCATCTTCGATTTTGCGAATGACACAATGGCCTTCTGTCAGAGCTGTGGTAGTCTCAAATGATTGAAAGATTGCTGGCGCAGCCTTCATTGGGTCAAGCATGCTTTGCGACGGCTCATCGACAGCCTGCTCTCGGGATGTAGTCTTCTTTGCAGGTACCTTGGGCTTGGCCTTTATTGCTCTGCGTGTTGTGACCGGCATGGTTGAGGAGAAATGCACGCGAGGCTGGCGGAGGCAAATCAGATCAGAACGGAATCAAAACGCCGGCACCAGGCAATGATGACAGACAATGACGTTCAATTGCGGCTGGGACGGTGAGATATTCAGCGTTGCCCACCGAGCCGATATCAAATGGACGTTTCGGTCAGGTCAAGAAGCCGAGAAGGTGAGATAGACAGGATGACCTACCTACACACAGGTAGGGTTGTCATGAAGGTGGAAGGCTCGGGAGGAGGAGAGGGTGGGGCCGGAGCTTCCAAGCAAGCAGTCGCGCTACCTGCACGTGCCATCCGCTCGTATCTTGTATCTTGACCCAGGAGTCGATCTGAAATGCCACAAGACCAGACCTTAGCTTACTGCAGAGTCGCATCTCAAGTGCCACAAACATTATTTCGCTTAGAAGGGGGGAGGAAAGGGGGACAGAAATAATCTTCGTGGCTTACTGACATTCCCATCAGCTGAAACCGAAGTGACCTCAATGCTTCTCTTCGCATTCTGAGTCAAGAAGTCTACCGCGATGTTGGAATAACCAAGATGGAGCAGGATGCTCTGTTCGTTCCAGGTTTTGGTTCCCACATCATTTATACAAGGGGAAATAAAAGATCGGAACAGCACAACAATGAATACATGCGTCCCTATCATATATCCATGCACTATGGCATATATCGAAGAGGTATCGCTTGCCAAAACCACTTGTCAAGAGGTAACGATCATGCTGTCTGGTTGCGACTTCTACTGCGTCAGACTGAGTCTCGTCTCTGATCATTCTGCTCGAATATAGAGGATGCACGAATTAACGTGTGTGGAGCATGTCTATGAAGACTGAGCTCCTACGTGGAACCCATGCTTGATGTTACTTCGTTCTCACCAGCCCAATGGTCAATCGGTCCTCGGCATATTTGAGTCGAGCGAAAGGTCGATCAACTTGACGTAAAGGGCCTGTGGGGTAAGCTGACGATGATCAGTTCAGAGGCACAGCACAATACAAAACCAGCCCAAATCCAGACTTATATATCTCACCGATATCAGGAACTTCTTGAGTTGCATCATAACTCCAAACTAAAAACAGAAATCAATCAGGAGAGATGTCTTGCGAAAACCCCAAAATCGCAGAAGACCCAACTCATTCACCCGACGGTCGTCCCCTTGCACGGGTCCAATATGTCGAGCCAGACACCAGTGTCGACCCGTGGAAATGTAATTACTTCGGCATCCCTGTCGCAAAAGAAGTAATCCACTTCGTCCAACCCCTAACCGATCTCCGTCCTTCCATCTTCACCCCTTCAAATCCATACCAGCTCTCCACCCATGCCTTCACAGCACTTAAGCACAAATCCGCGCTGGACATCGCAGGAGGAGAAGCTTATGACCAAGTCAAAGCCTACGATGTGCTTATCCCAGAGATCAAAGACATTTTGAAATCCGTCACAGGCGCAAAGACAGTCCATGTTCTTGGACTGGGTATGCGGTTGAAGGAAGCGGATCCAGATACCAAGCCTCTCCGTGAGCGTGATCCTAATGCTCCTCCTGAGCGATGCGGCATTGACCTCCCTGTCAAAACGATGGATATGACAGTGCCGTACATGGGAGGATATGAAGGCGGCAATAAAATTGGACCAGCACGCTCAATCCATATCGATTATTCACCCGACGGTGCAAGACAGATCCTGAGGAATGTACGTGGCGATGTCATCGCTGACACCAAAGACATCGTTGAAGGTGAAGATGCAGCGGTGGCGGAAGGCAAAGACATCGCGTTCTACTCCGGACGACGCTACGCCATGTTCTCGGTCTGGCGGGCGTTGAAGAAAGTCGATCGGGATCCGGTGGCGATCTGTGATCCCAACAGCATCAATTTTGAAAGGGATCTAGTGGAGCATGTCAACAAACAGCTTAGCGATAGGCGGGGTGATTATCTGGCTGGACTGTCGATGTTAACAGGCAATCATGCGGAAAGCCAGAAGTGGTATTGGATCAGTGAACAGGATGTTGATGAGGTTTTTGTGTTGCAGTTTTATGATAGCTACGCGATTAGGGAGGGAAGGCCATGGGGTGCGCCGCATGGAGGTGTCACCCTTGTTGGAAAGGAGGAAGGTGAGCCGAGACATAGCGTCGAGGCAAGATGTATTGCCGTCTGGTAAAGTAAAAATAGTATATAATGAAATGAGATTGTTCTGTTTGCGTTCGAATATGACAGCAGAGTACTTTCTCGCTTAGTCACAGAGTCTCGGTCGTTCCTTCCTCCCTCCCGTCAACAAGGACGCACTCGCTTTGCAGTCGCCAAACGATCTCACAGAAATTTCTGCTCGATCATTCAAAATCAACTTCCGTTCTCATGAAAACATCTTGACGTCTTCCTCCAGCCATCTCAAAACATCCTTCATCTAAAATCTCTATCGCGGAAATTTACAGATTCACCTTGCAACAATGACCCGAAGAAAGCGCCACGCGGTCGAAGAGCCTGATCATTTCAATGACCCTCACGAAAGCACACGCAAGTATATCAAAGCCGAAGCAGGAGACGAGACTCCTCATGCTCCAGATCCTTCGTACCCTGCCGTCATCTTGTCGGGCTTTACGTGGAATATGGATGTCGATGCACGAGTAAGCCTTCCTTTCACTACTCCTTGACCCCCTATTCAGGCTCTATTGACACGATACTGACACTGAAATGCAGATCTCACGAGCATTGGAGATATATAAACCATTGTTTCTTGAGGTGTCACTTGAGCTGCCTGCTCATGAGAAGCTCGCCATTAAGAACCAGTATGGGATCCAGACCGATTTCGTCAAGGTGGTTTGCGGTAGTGCAGAGGATCAGGAAAAGATGGCGAACGACCTTAATCATGCCAGGTACACGTGGACGAATCCTCATCTTGAGGTGAGAAAGGTAGATGGAATAGGTAGAATCAATGGTGTTAAAGGTTGCTTACCTTGCATAAGATTTCTGGAGGAAGTTTTTGCTAACAGGCTTTATAGCAAATTCGCAGCAACCGCGAGAGTCTTGTAACCTAAACACCGCATCGATACTCAATCCCGAACAAGAGAGACGAGAAGCACAAGCCAAGGTGTGGATTAAGCTTGCCGAAGCCATTACTAATGCACGAACGCACCTCTTTGGCGACGATCTCGATACATTCGAAGCTCTGATTGCCAAACCCATACCTGGAGTCGACCCAATGGACAGAGTAAATAGCTGGATTCGTGGTGGTGCGCCTATTTCACAACCACAGAAACTGAAAACGGGTATTCAAAGAATCAAGGTCGATAATGCACGAGATGCTGGCGAGGACAAGGAGAATGTCACTATGGATGATGAGATGGCTGATATGGGCGTGACGTTCGGGCGGACTGATATGATTCCTTGGTGGTAAATACATGGCTGAGGCGGAACTTGCTGTTAAGTAGGTGTTCTGTGAGACTTGACAAAGGATGTCAAATGACAATGGTCGGAGGACAGATTTCATGTTCGATCTTCGCTATGTTGGGGTTATGTAGCCGGAGGTAACTGGTGGAGTTATCAGAGTGATCAGGCAGTTCACAACTCAGAGTGCGGTTTCAGTAAAGCCAGGGACTCTTCATGTCACTTTACTCACTTTGCACTCGCAAGTATCACAATCGTTCCCTCCGTATGGGGCCGGTTCTCAAATGCCCAAAGACTTTGAGAGCATCCTGAAGCAAATATTTTCCCAATCAGCACCTTAACCTTTCCCTTTCTCTATACCCTGGCCAATCTCCCCAAAAACCTGAGCCTACTAGTGGAAGCCACGAGATCTAAAGTCCCTACCAAAATCTTCAGGAAGTCTTGATTGGCGATTACTCTCATCAAAATCCTGATTACAGCGATAGGAGCAGAACACCTTGCATACATGAAGAGGATGTTTGATTTTGAGAAATTATTCTCGGAGTGCTTCAAGAGGTGTTGCTAAATCCCTTAACTTATCGACAACGACTGAATAGGTTTGTCCTTTTGTCTGTTGAGATGATATTGGGAATATAGACAAAATGAACGTGTTGTTCCCAAAGCATAAGGTACCAAGGTACGAGGACGCGAGACGTGAGGTGATGTGCATGATCACGTGATAATGATCCCTGCTAGTGCATTATCAATTGAGTAAATTTCCCCAGCAGCATGTTGAGGCTTCATTTGAACAGCTTCTAATTACACCACTACACGCCCAGGAATTACTTGGAATCTGGCAAGTTGGCATTGAGACTACGCGGGTACAGAGCCCGAGTCTCTTGACGGCCAATTGCCTTGTCTTTGACTCACGCCTGACCCTTTAAAACCTGGGCTTTACCCCCAAAGCCATCCTCCCGAGGTCGCTATGGCATCTCGAAGTGTGTCGCCTGGTGGTGCTCTCCTAAGGGCATCAAGAGTATTCTCACTTCCTCCTCCACTTCCACGGCCGATGGGCGAACTGTCATCAGCAGCAGTATTCAACTCCGACACTGCAACCCTCCCCCATCCGATCCACCAGACAATAACAACACCACCATCATCACTCGCCAGAGGAGACTGGGGATTCAAGAGACCACTACCTCTTCGATCGACTACGAAATCGTCTACTCCTTTCATACGAGTCGAGGCAATCGACACCTTCGAACACATCACGGAGTTCAATTCGTCGGCAGACCATTCGATAACTCTACAAAAATGGCAGGAAATGGGAGTGCCACTGACAACGGCCATACCGGACACAAACCGAGGAGACTTTAGGGCAGGTGAGGTCAGAAGTGTCTTCGAGAGCGGCCTTGACTCAACAGGGGACTCGAAAGGAAGTAATCTTGGGAAGGAAGACACGCGGTGGAAGTTCAAAGGCCCGTGGCTAGCAGGACAAACAGAAGGAGATTTCAACGCCTTTCTCACATCCGAGGTTCGCAAACGAAAGTCAGAATTCCAACAGTACTTAAGAACTGCATGCACACACGCCTTGACAGCAGAGGCCCGGCACTCCGCAGAAGGAGAAATGCCTCCCGCAATCGAGGAGAGCGAAATCACCGAAGCCCAATTCACAGAATTCGTAAAAGGGCTCCGAAACACCCGCGCGGAACTGTACAAGCACATCAGGGACTTTTTGGACCTCCCGCCCGCGCCGGCAAAGAAGGTGGATATCGAGCAACTCCTCCGGAACAACGGTGTCAACATCCCTGACAACAACGTCCTCCCACCCTCGAGATCTCCTTACGCAGAGACTGGCCCGCCCAAGACACATCCCTCAGCAGGCCTGTCCTACAGTCTCACGAACGCACATACCTACAACCATCCCGTCTGGGGCCCACAGAAGCATCCCGCACCAGTGCTGAGTCGCGTCGTGATGCCCAAGAACGCAGCAACAGGGCAATTCGGCGCCGCATTAGGTGTGGGCGGATTCGTGACCGAGCTACCAGCCGGCCAAAATTCTTTCAATCTCGGCGGCTCAGGCAGATACAGTAGGCAGACGAGAACCAAAGAGACGCCGGGCACGATCACCGTTGATCCAACGAAGGTCGGCGGTAGCAAGATGTGGGTACACCCCACCAAAGCACACGTCGATCCGAAGGGCCGTGTTGTCTTGACTGTTGAGTCTGGGGACCCAGAAGCTGTTGCCGTGCATCAGGGGACGACGGACCAGATCCCTGTTGTGGCGACGCCGAAACTCAGCTCGAGGACATATGGTATGGGTGCTGCGCCAACATTTGACAATATGGGATATAGAAGGAACACGGGGAGGGGGTATGGATTGGATCTTGGTGGGAAGTTGGAGGAGCAGCCAGTGAGGAGAGAGAAGCCTGGAAAGCAGGAGGATCCTTTTAGCCAGCTGACGGGGTTGATGTAAAGATAGAGTGGTATATGTAAAGACGAAGCACAGTATAGCCTTGGCGGACTAGATGTAGCATAGGAACGATTGTATATCACCACAATTTACCGAATATTCTCCTGGACCAATTTCGAGCACTTGGACTAGTTTCTATACTGAAAAATCTTGATACGCTCGTAAATAGGCGAGAGGCGAGACTATTTCTTTGGAAGCAGAGTAAAGGATTCAATTGCAATGCAGGCAGGACAATGCTATGCGTAACTCAACTAACTGTTCCCCTACAACCGCTCCTCACCACCCTTGCATCTTAATTCTCATCATCAAGCGACCGTCACGATCCTCCACTCCCACCATGTCTACATCAACCCCACCCACACTCCCATTCACCCCAATTTCAAAGACAACTGCCTCAATTAGGTCCCTGCCAGCCAACCCAACTCCTCGGCATAACCCTCCAAATCTTAACCTCACCACTCCTTAAATCATCCAACTTGAAGCTCTCCAGCTTAACCTTCTTACTCTCCCGTCCCTGCTCCCAAGCCCTAACCTTTTTCTTCGTACCATCCCATTCAGCTACGACACCCACGTGATCCGGCTTGCCGACTTCCATGCTGTATTTGGCGTGCATGGGTCCGTGCTTGCCTTGGAATTTGGTGTTGCGGAGCGTGATGATATCGCCAGGTCGGATCTCGTCGTTCTGTTGCGTCGAGGCGTTGGCAAGGTTGCTGTAGACAACGGCACCGTAAGCCCGACTTCCGATGGGCAGGAGGGCGTCAGAGAATGGCTTGAGCAGCTCCTGAATGAGGCCTTGCGGTGTTCCGTCTCCAACTACAGTTTCCTTTTTCGAATGGACAGCCTCGTATATGCGACGGCCGTATTGCTCATGGGCCTGCTCTAGTTGATCCTGGCGCTGTCGAGAAGGAGGTTGGTCATGTCTTTGCTCGAGTCTGACATCTTTAGGGTCCTGGGCGTCAAATTCCGCTGTGATGATTGTTTGAGAATAATCCTGGAACAGAACGGAAAGATGCTTGGTGACAATTGTCCTTCCCCCACGTCCACCAGTGCTTGATTCTTCAAAGTCAAACAGAATATCCCGTCTGCCTTGGAAGACCGGAGGAATACCTCGTGGTTGAGTCCACCAGAAGGAGTTTGGTGCAAGATCCACATCATTTGCGACAAAACCAGAGTCCATTGACATTCTTCCAAGCTCCACAGATCTTCTAGTTCCAGTTTGGGACCGTGAAACATCTAAGGATTGTCGAGGAGGAGGCCGACTTGCAGAGGGTGGAGGAGGGGGAACTGCTCTGTCTTGGGGAGGCGAAGCGAAGGACCTGGGTGGAGATGCGGAATAGAGATCATCTTCTGTATCAGCACGTGGAGGAGGCCCCGGTGGTGGGGGACCTGGCGGAGGAGGACCAGATGGAGCTGCAGACTTCGGAGCTGTATATTTATACGGATCATACTCATCGTCATCTTGCTCCCATGGTGCTGGCGCTTTTGTCGGTGGTGGGGGAGGAGGGGCAGCTCGAGGAATGTCCGTAGATTGCCGAGGTGGTGGCGGAGGTTGTGCTGGCAATGGCGGGGGAACTGCACGAGGAGCCGCTGTAGGTGGAAGGGGAGGTGGCGCAGATGTTGGTGAAGTGACAGGTGGGGATCGAATAGCAAGATTCTCATCCGGTTCTGCCGCCTTCAAAGCATCTTTGTGCGGTACGGTAGAGGCAATATCTGTATCATAATCACCCTCATATTCCGTAACTTCTTCCTCACTCTCCTCTTGTGGTACATCTTTAGTGGAGAGAGTATGTTGGTCACCAGTAGGAGTTCGGTTGATTCCAGGAGGTGGAGGAGGAGGAGCTCTATTTTGTGGCTGTGACGCAGGCGCCACACCAGGAATTGGAGGAGGAAGTCGGCTGTTACGCTTGTTTACTCCAGGCGTTGTAGGCGAGGATGGCGAAGCTTCAGACCCAAAGTACGATGCTCGCCTAGCGTTAGGCGACTTTGGAGAGCCTGGTCCTTCGACTGGTCTTGGCGGTGCTCTAGGAGTATCAAGAGGCTGAGGCACGGATGTCGACAGTTCCCTTGCGGACATCTCATCATCTGATTCAGATCCAGCACTTGGAGACATCGTCGTAGTCTCAGGGCGAGCTATTCATTTTAGTACGGGAAGATTTCATGGATCGTCGTACAACTTACATTCTTTAGGAACAGGCGGAGGAGCTGGTCTTCCGCCTGGTATCGGTGGAGCACCTGTCTCACGTTGTGGAACTGCTACATTTAGCTCGGAAAACCCCAATGTGGTGTAAATCTTACCTGGAGGTGGGGCAGATCTATCACTTGAAGGAACAACATCTTCAACGTCAGGTACCTCATCAGCAGGGCGAGAGGCAGAGATTGGAGTAGTTTCCTCGTCATGTGCATGGGGTTTATGTGTCTCCTCTGGGCTTCGGACCCGTGACAAACCTGGCAAAGGAACTGGAGGGGCAGCACGAGAAGTGGGGGATGATCCATCATCTGCTCCATATTCCCCTACATTCTTCTCACTCGCCCCTGTAGATTTCTTCTTTTTCGGTGGTAAAGGAGCAGGCATTGGCATACCACCACCAAACATGCCGTGCATACCCATCCCACCACTCATTTTGGCCATACGAGCTCTCAATTCCTCCTTTCTTCGTACCTCAGGGTCAATATCATCTTCCTCTTCTTCTTCCTCCTCCTCTTCGGCCTCACCTTCCTCCGAAGCTCCCTCTTCTTCTCCAACATCAGCCTCTCGGATTGGCGCAGTCGGAGCTCTAGCAAGTGGCGCGGGCTCTTTCTGTTTCGGCCTTTCATCGCTGTCATCTTTTCCAGTAGACATTTCCTCTGGTTCCTCCGTAGTCTCGCCAGCCCCAGACATATCTGCCTCATTGCCATCGCCAAATGACTGTCGAGGTTGGATCGAAGCTTTGCGTTTCTTTGGCTCCTCCCTCACAGAATCCATAGATGCCTTACCAGCTGTCTCTTCCGTATCATGTCTCTCCAAAGCACTGCCTTCATCGCCTTCAACTGGCTCGTGTGATTCAGTCCGCTTCTTAGCAGGACGTTTAGGCTTCTCCTTCTTCTGTGCCGCATCAGCATGTCGAGATGCCTGTTCCATCTGCTGCTTCTGCAGAAGTGCAATACGTTCCTTCAGGCTCGTTGGCTTTGGTTGCTCTTCTCCATCTCCCTCGGTCGATGTGGGGGCCAAACCCGCCCTTTCTGCTTGTTCCTGAGCCTCCGCTTGATGTGCTGCCACTTCAGGATCTTCTTCACGTCTGTATATCTTCTGTGGCGGAGGATCTCGAATGACAGGTACATATGCATTTTTGCTCGGTGGCGGGGCCACAAAGGGCTTTTTGATGAAGTTGTTCGATCCTCCTGAGCCCAATCCACCGGGCTTGAATGGTGCTGGAGGCGGAGCAGCTTTGTTGAATGCAGCAATGCGATCTCTGAAAGAACCACCACTTGGTTTCTCGGAAACTGGAGGCGGCGCAGAGGGCTTCGAAGCTGGGATCGGCTTGACGGCAGCAGGAGGTGGAGAGAATTCTGCTTGCTTTGGCGCAGGAGAACTCACAGCCTGCGGCTTAGGAATCGACGGAGGAGGCTCTCGTGCCACCGGTGGTTCATGAACTTCCTCGTGTTCTGGCTCGGGCTCAGGCTCAGGTTCGTGAACTGGCTGTGGAGGTGGAGACGGGGCGCGCGTCACTTCAGGCTCTGGCTCTGGTACATGTTCTGGCTCTTTCTTTGGACGCGGCGCACGATTTGGCCTCGGGGGTGCTGTAGGCTCATATTTCTCCACGAAGTTCTTGGGAAAGATGCCCTCCTGCAAGGTGCCAGAAGCGTCCTTGTATTCTCCAGCATACCAATCATCGTCTTCCACCGCTGTGACCGTGATTATCTGTCCATTCGGGAAATGAAGGTCGTCTTCATGAGGAGAGGTGTATTCGTATACGGCCTTGACTTTGAAAGGTAGGCTGGCCATTTTGGAGGCGTGTAACAGCAACTGCTATATTGCAATCTTGCTTGGCCTGGAGCCTACACAGTTGTTGACAGAAAGAGCCCGGAGGCTGCCCACAAGCTGGCGTTTCGAGTATTCGCAGATTAAGATCTGTACGAGGGTAGGTAGCAAATTCCGGAGTATTGGAAGGTGGTATAGGTCAGGGGCGAGGAGAGTTCGGGTTCGACGTGTCTGAGGTGGGGGGGTGGCTGTTGCTGAGGTCTGAATGTACGCCTAGTCTTGAAGTACGTCAGCGCATGAACTTCGTTGTGTGAAACAGCTTCAGACAGGATGGATAAATCAGAAGCTGGAACAACGTACTAGACGACTGTATTCAAGCGACGACGAGCATCAATTAGCAGAAACAAAGGTTCCCAGGCAGTTGTTAAGCGGCATCTGCCATTGAGGAGTATTGAAATCGCTACGTAGCAATCCGTGGAGCAGAGAGCGGTGGATGGATGGTTGATGTTGGCTTGGTCCGGGTGAATAGTGGGACAGGTCGATTGAAGCAGGGGTGTTGATCGCTTCCCGAAGCTGCCGCATCACTTCGACGTCGACGTCCACATGTCTTCAAGGCGGAAGGGAGGGACTTTGAGGCAACAACAAAACTGACTTTGTTTACAAGGAACGCCCGGGATTATACTCTAATCTGAATGCACCCATCATCACGCGTCTCTTTTCAATGAGATCATAAGTTGTCAGCAAAGTCTAAGATTGAGTGATAACCAAGTGAGGGGTCTGGGTGGCAACAGCTGAGGAATGTGCTGCAAGGCTACCAAGCCTCGGGATAGGATACCATTGAGAACACAGCACCAGCTCAAGTCAAGCTAGTAAAGAAGCTCCGGGGTTTATTCAGGTAGGACTTTTAGGGTAAAACACCAACTTCGAGTTTGTATTGCAGCTCAGGTCCCCTGCTCAAAATAAAGCTCCGCCTTTGTTGCCGCGACTAAAGCTCTTCACCCAACGGCAAAACAAAGACAACAACGTCCATCGAGGATTGCCACACAACGACTTATAGCAAACAGCCTCCAAGTCCCTCGACACCGAAAACACAACATCCTCACTCCCTCCCTCCAGCCAGCGAGCACCTCATAATGGCCACAGCAACCCCCCAACAAATAAAATCCATCCTCAAAAAATACCCCTCCTACCCACCCACGACCTCCCCCTCCCAGCCATCCAGCACCCCCCCTCCACCGCCCCCTCCCGAATCCAAAACCTTCGAAGAGCGCAACCGTGAAATAGCCCTCTACCATGCCCAACTAATCCAACAACGCAAAGACACCGAGCTCGAAATCCTCCTCTCAACAGAAACACTAATCGACTACCCTCTCTCCCGACCTCCCATCTACACAGCCTCCTCGCCCTCTCCCACAGACACCAGGACGTTTAAGAAGCTCCTCGCGCCCTTCACTACAAGCGATTATGATGCCCTGATCGAGGAGCGGAATATCAACGAGCATTGCGGGTACACGTTATGTCCGAATGAGCGGGTAAGGGAGAGAGGTGGGGGCACGTATAGGTTGCTGGGGATGAGTGGGAAGGCGAAGGATTTCAGGGTTGTGAGGAAGGAAGAGTTGGAGAAGTGGTGTTCGGAGGGGTGTGCGAGGAGGGCGTTGTATGTGAGGGTGCAGTTGAGTGAGACGCCGGCCTGGGAGAGGGGCGTGAGTGCGAGTGTGGGAAGGAGTAGGATTGATTTGTTGGATGAGCCGAAGAGTGAAGAGGATACGGTTATGGAGGGGATTGAAAGGTTGGATTTGGACGGAGATAGGGATAGGAATGGGGAGGGGAGTCAGAAGAAGGGGAGGGAGGAGAGTGATTTGGCGCTCGAGAGAGGGGATAGAGGGATGGGTTCGAAAGGGGGACTGGTGGATGTTAAGGTGTTGGAGAGGGATGTTACGAGAAAGGCTGAACCGCCTACTTTGGGAGAGGAGGATTTGAGTGGGAGGCTGGAGCATTTGGCTCTTGAAGGTTATACGTCGAAGTTTGAGGATCAGAGAAAGACGCTACTAGAGAGAGAGCGTGAAACGGATGATGATGAGATGGACGAGGATGAAGAGGATACGGATTGGAAGTTATAGGTATTACGAACATCATGAAGGCATGCACAAGATTATGGGATTACGGGGTTCTGGCGTTTAACGTTCTGAAAGATTAGAAGTTGTGGCATCGGCATGCAAGTTACAAGCGGGTATGACAGGAAAAGTATAGCGTTTGTAAAAATTTCATTTGACAATACTATGATACCCATTGAAGAAATAATTCAGAATAAAATATCCGCACATCAGTTATTTAGATCGTTCACATTTGCCGCCAAATACCCAATGTCGAGTTACTACCTCAATTAGCACATCACAATGGCTGAAAGCCTATCTCAGATACAATCATTACAGCTCCATCACCTACCTGTGAGTCGCCTGGACTTCTCACCAAATACCATCTCGAGTCAGAGGTTCACCAGCACAGTCACAAAGCAAGAAGGGGAAAATGGCAATCAAGCGTCATCTCCTTGCAGAGAATCGGCGACACCTAGGTGGGAAAGATCTCACATTGATCTAGTATGCGCAAACCATCCATCCAGCCGGCCTGTCATCCAGCAGAGACGCCGAGAAAGCACCCCAGACCCTTAAAAGTATCCCATCCTTCAATTCGTGACTTTTTTACTTGCTTCCTGACCTCGAATCGTACTCGAATCGCAATGCGATATTTATGCGCGTGCAGGACGGTCGTTGCCGAAACGGCGGCGGGGCTCGATGGCTTGTTGTTGGGAAACAGCGACGACGCTGACTGGGATGGAATCGAACTGTAACCAAAATGTTAGAATTATTTCTGATCGGGGTCGGAGTTGTGAATGGAGGGGCAAACGTACACCAAGGCTCTTGAGCAAATCCTTAGTCTCGGAGTCGACCTCGAGTTGTCCACCGTTCTCGTTCTGGGAGAAATCGAGAGCGGAGATCTCTGGGACGTATTGATCCTTTCTCTCACGCTCCTCTTCTTGCAGCTTGAAGGAGATACCACGGACAGGACCACGTTGAATACGCTTCATCAAATGGGTGGTGTAACCGGCAATCTATTCAGGCTTCAATCAGCACATGGTTCCAACGCCGCGACCGCGGTTTCAACCTCCAAACTCGAACTCGTTCGCTGAAGCCCGTGGATGGATAAATCGTTCGTACCTTGTTGCGGAGACGCTTGGAAGCAATAATGGCAATCTCATCGCAGATTCTCTTGTTGGTCTCGAAATCGAGAGTCAACTTGGGGTAGTACCGCTCAATGATGACCTTGGCGGACTTCTTCACAGTCTTGGTACGAACGCGACCCATTTTTGCGGTTTATCGTGGTTGTCGAGGAGGTCGAGAATTAAAGTTGTCGTTGCGATACAATTTCTTGAATCTCAATTTCGCTCTTGTGGGATGGCTCGCTTGTGGTGGAGCTAATGTAGCGGCAATTTGCACGCAGGGATTTGTATCACGTGATCTGACAATCAACCTCCCCACGAGTGCAGTTTCTTCTTTAGTTGTTAGACGTATAGCGATAGGGGGTTTCATTGCCTCACATACTAAATTCACTCTATAATCAATTCTCGAATTCTTTTGCCTTCTCAAAATTGCCGAATGCCCTACTACAGTCCCACGACCAGTTGCTTTTATTGGCTGTCGGCTTGTCACCCAAGCTTCCCAGTTGCTCGCCTTGTTGACTCTGTCGAACGACAAGCGAGAAGGCTGCTGTACATACCTTTAAGCAGCCATGACTGTAAATGTTTTTTTTTTTGCTCAACTTCACAATCATTGAAGCAGCTGTCACATTTGGCGACGACTGAAGAAATTCTTGATACTCCAGTTTCGCTGACGGCAGTGACGGGTATTGTTATTTAGCTCGCTGACCTTCAACGGCAAGATTTCACGACGGCCAAGAAGCAAGAACTGCCTTTACGAGAGGCATCAATGATTCAGTGAGCTCGATCCTGAAACTTTGAGTCTCTAGGCTCACATATGATGATATGGATGAAGCAGTCCAAATTCATTGTTGCATATTTCTATCCTGACCTCTGTTGATTAATTTCTCAGCCTCTATTTATGGAGAAAAGCCATGCTTCATTATTACCCTCATAAGTCTACCTACAGACAGATTATGATACGGTCATATTCGTGGCCCGCCAGCTACTGGAAGCCACATTTCAACCCTCACAGAAAAGCCTGGCCTGCAAGTCCTTCCACCTCAACCTACCAGATATTTGACTCCCCAGGCGGCTCCCTCACCATCTCCTCACCTTCCCACCTCTATCCGCCCACCCCCACACCACCTACATTCTAATCTCATCCCCACGCCCGCAAACGACCCGTTTACGACATCCTAGTACCAGCCCGAATCGTCATAAAAATGCGCATATGGATCAGGCCTAGGCCGCGAAGGCACGAAAACCGCAGCATTGGGGTTAAACGGTCTCACGGTTGGGCCGACTGGGACTCTAGGAGGGGCTACGAATGGGAACTGCCCTTGTACGACGCCACCGGGTATGAATGGTCCACCGCACACATAAGTCCGCCAATCCTCGATGAATGGCATGCTGGCTGGCTGGCCCCAGGGGTTGTTCCACAGGTGTCGGGGATCCATTTTATGTTTCTTTGATGTTTTTTTTGTGAAGTTGTTATACTTTTTGGTGTGTTTGGGGTTTTGCGAGAGGGTGCTGGTGTTTGAGATTTTTTGGCTGATGAGAATGGAAAGGTTGGAAGAGGATGAACTCGTCTCTTTTTATGCTTTGGGAAAAGACTGCTGTTATTCAAACATTCTGCTTCGTGGTTGGACAGTAACACTCCTGTTTACAGATTTAGAAGTCTTGGAAATGGTCCAAAAAATCTAATTTTCCCATACGATCACATTCGAATATTTTATTTTTATGCTTTTTACTTTGACTTATTCCCCGCCGAGGCAAGACTAATCCGATCACCGTATTCACACCTTCTTTCCACCCTAAAACGACCGATCAAGTGTGCTTACCACCTCAAATATTGAATCCCAGCAAATGTTCCAAATGCTGAATCCGTTGTACCGCTACTCAACTGACTGCTTTCTCCTATTTGACGTCACGCTGCAGGTCCCTGAAGCAGAAATCTCCAAGTAAGATGTAATTCAGACAGACAGACAGCAGGTCCTCAAAAACCACTCCTTCTAATTATCCCCTACTTGACACTCGCACTTTGTAAAAGACTCCATGTTCCATACAAAAACACCGTCCTCTAAACCTCATAGTCAGTGATAAGTCGCTAACCCCATTCACAAACCACACAAACCGCGTCAAAACCCCATAAATCCAGCCGCGACTCATAGTTCAAGATCATTACTTCCCAACTGTTTCAGCCCCCTAGGGAGCCTTTCCGATGATTCAATCCAAGCCGAACCCTTCCCGCCGCAGCATGTTTACTTCTCTAAAATTAAGCGAGCCCGCGCCTTGGCCCCAGGCCTCACTCCCCAAAAAGTAACCCCAACTGAAATCAGTATCACAAAGTCAAATTTCTCCACACCCGAGGAGCATCAATTATCACCCTCTAAAGAAAATGTACCGATTCTCATCCCGGATATCAACTCTTTTGAGTCGAAGTTCGAATATAAGATAAGTCCAATTAGCCACATTCACTGCCTCAGGTACCTACCTCATTGGGGTTTTCTTGTTTCAATACAGTCACATGATATGTGCAGTCTCCTTCCCATCCCTGCATAGGTAGCCTTGAATATACCTAGGTAGCGTTGAATAATTTATCTATGGCTGTGAATCGAGTTGTTGAGTGAGACAACAAGAAGGGGTTTGAAGAGAAATTAGATGGGTAGACGGATAGATGGATGGGAGGACATGAGGGGCAAATATGAGTTTCATTCCTTCCTATACTTCATACTGCTCCAATACCACCACCACCACCGCCAGATTTTCGTGGCACTCTACAACTGCCTACTCATCAACTACAACACGATCGCCCACCACTTTCCCTCTACTATCCACCAACAAGTACCATGCCAAAATGCCAAGATCCTCCCCACAATCTACTGCTCTCTTCAACAACACACCAAATACCCATCCATTCAACCAGGAAATCATGCACCATATATTTTCGTCTCAAGGTTAAAGGTTCCCTACTCAGAAATGTCCATTATCAAGCCAAAGTCGTCCATGATTCCATTAAAGGAATTCACGCCATATCCAATCCCACTCCTCCCACCCACCCAGCGGAACTTGAATGCCAATTCCAATTCCAACTCTAACTCCCAATCCCAATCCCAATCCCAATCCCAATCCCAATCCCAATCCCAAATCTCCCATCCAGCGCTAAAACACCAGCCATCTCACATGTACCAAACCCCGTAGAACTGACCAGCCGAGAAAACACTCCGCCCCGCTCCCACCAATCCAGCACCAACAGAAATCTAGAGAAAACGGAACCCGAACATCCATTAGAAAATCCAGCCATCACTCGTAATACCCATTCAAAACCCTCCACTAAACGGCCCTAAGTCCACGTCGCACCCGCCAAAGGTCCTCCCATAGGCATAGTACTACTCCACACAACCTGCATATGATTCGGGATAGCTCTGGAATCCTGCTGCAACACCCACGCATCACCAGGATTCTCCTGCGCGAAATTGTCAAATCCAGTATTCATTCGGATGGCTTCCTGGTCGCCTATCCACTTCTTGTATTCCTCGTCAGAGGGGTACTGTTGCTGGACAGTTGGTGGCGCCATGGTGTGCTGTGCTACCGAGGGGTATGCGGCTACGTGCTGCGGTTGGTTGGGCTGTTGGTATTGCTGGACGTTGGCGTAGGGGGAGTTGATGCCGGGTGTGGACTCGCCGTTGCTGGGACTGATGAGGCTTGGTGCGTTGGAGGACTGATTGGGGGATTGTTGGTAGGAAGGCATGCCGTATGGGGATGGGCCGTAGTTGTATTTTGGTCGCTCGTCAACTTCGATTGAAGGACTGGCGGCGTTGATGGGTGCCCATGCACCATTCGGTCGTTGTTGCGGAACAGCTTCAATACCTTGCATTGGCTCGCCATTCGTACCAGGTCCCACGAGATCGTTGGTACTTGCTCGTGAACGAGATTGATCGACGGTGTCTGACACGTCTGATCCTATCATTTGATCTGAATCTTTCAGCTCACCAAATTCCTTCAACAGCTTTTCATACTTCTTGTACTCTTCCAGACCTCCCCCAGCGAAGAAGGGCTTCCGCTTGAATCTACAGCAATACTCTGCCACTACGCGCTGGAAGTAATTCCGCATCCGTGGAAGTGTCTTCAAATACCCTCTTACCATCTTCAGTCTGGGAACCATCTCGCTGAGCATCTTCCTCGTGACTTCTGCCAGACCTGAGTCGTTGTCGATAGGATTCAGACTGCCTTCGGGAACTAGATGGCAAGCCATGTCCATCTGTGGAAAGTGTGCCGCATAGAGACAGACGAATGATGCCTGGTAGATAGCAAAACCCATGAGCGGGGACTCTGGCAATACATTGTCTTCTTGACACGTCTTGACAATCTCCACGATGTCTCGAGAGGCTTTCATAATGCCTTCGGCACTCTCTTCCCAGAATCCTGGAGGAATTGTGTACTTGTCTTCTGGAAAGGTTGGCTCATCCAGAGGCCCAACCGGCTTCTCACAACGGATTGGAATGAAAGGAATATATTCGCGGTGCAACATGATGAGGCAGAGCGAATACAACGTGTGAAGGGAAGCATATGTCGTAGCGTTGCGCTTCTCAATATGGGCCGAGAGATTGGCTTCGGTGTATGTAAGGTTCGAAGGTAAAGCATCATTAAAGTCTTTCAGTTGTTGGCGTAATTGGAAGAACTGTGTTGATTCATCCCAAGGAGGTCGTTTTTCGGCTCTTCTTCCACCAGCGTAACTGTACTCAGACAGACGTCCAAATATGTCAACCAATCGGATGAACCGACTCAAAACCCCATCATCGTTGACTGTTGAATCATATTCCGATGAATCGCTGTCCAGCCAATCCGAGTCCAGGAAGCCAGTTTTAACGTTTCGGACAAATAGAAATTGGTCGTCTGAGCATGGGAGCTGGACTCGAAGCTTGTTAACGCTCATCATGGTCGGTCGGTACTTTCCAGCTGCCAGCATACGATCCATGATGAAACAGCTCCAGACTGTTCGCCTACGGACTTCCTTTTCAATGGCGTCTTCCCGCGGTGATGGTGGCTGTTTGGAAGGCTTTCGCGTATCTGCTATAAGACTGTGTGATTTTTGGTCGGGATCATCCTCGTAAGCTAATCCCATGGGGAATGCAAGCCTGATTGCCAACCCAACATAAAGCCAAGCACTAAGACCTCGTGTTTGGCCCCACTCGTAAAGGCCAAGCATGAGCAATGCTTGAATATTCTCCAGAGATGGGATTGTGAGATTCCGGATTGTTGGTCCAAATGCAGCTGCGAGTGGTACAGCATAATATTCACTTGCGGCAAGTGGATCATCATGGTTGGGCGAGTGATAAGCTACCAAGCCAGGATGGAAGCGCGCAGTCAGTGTCAATACACCAAGAAGCAAAACTCTCCCATCTTCCAGATCCGCTAGGGAGGTTGATGGATCTCTAGGATAAGCTGCTTGGCGCATTCGATTTCGAAACGTAGGAGGATGAAGGAACGGCATTTCCGTAGAGAAGTGTAGCTTGAAGATCTCAAAGAGCTCATCCCAGACCTTTCTAGTGAGAATTGGCGATTCCAGTACATCTTCACCAGGCCTTGTGCTATTCCTCCGTCCGTGATCCTCGAGCTTTCTAACCCGTTTCTTGCTCTCGCCAATATCCCCTTCTTGTTTTATGCCCATCGGTGGCTCGTTCCGTTTTGGAGCTGGTGTCGATCCTGCGATGGGATAGGTACAGTCTCGGTTGCTCGAAGCACAAGCTTTGCATGTTGAATGTACCCCATTATTGACACCTGGAAGAGGGGATTAGCATGAGTCCAATAAGGTTACGGAGGTTTCCTCCGCTCCTAGGCTCTTGCCAGAGATAGACGATTGAAAACATCTAAAGCATGCGCCAGTCCCCATATAATCTACAGATCCTACAATGCAAATGTAAAATGTGTCGAACTTACATTTGACTTTACTCCTCCTACACCGAGCGCAGGCAATGGAACTCCGCACCATCTTCTGGGGCTTCTTCTCCTCCTGCCCTCCTCTCATGGCTCCACCACCCCCGTCATCCGCCCCGTGTATGCCTGGACTCGGTTCCCCAGTCGACACGATACTGGCACGGTGTTGGGTCGGTGAAGCCAGTTGAAGATAAGGCTGATCTGAGTTGGACGAGAAGGCCTCTGCGTGTGTGCGCTTTGGGGTCGAAGACCGCGACACACCTGGAATAGGAGCTTCGGGACTGGGCGACAGGATCGCGGCGAGAGAGTGCGGGGAGGGAATCGTGGCGGTTTGGGACCTATGAGGCCCAGGGACTTGGTGGAGCGGAGGGTGATTTTAAAGGATGTCTTGTCTGCTCTTTGCTGCTTGGGGGCGCGCAGAGAGAATCTCGCCCATCAAAGAAGTGTCGTCTCTCTGGGTCACTGCAGCTTATCGATGGTTGTTGTGGATCGTTATGAGGTTGTTGTCCACAGCGCGGTGAGAGTGAGGTTTGCTTGTGTTACCCCGGGATCGCAAAGTGCTTCGCCGAAGGCAGACTCTCCTCCAATGACAACGCGTTCTTGGTATCTTTAAAGGCAACACGAATAAGGATTGGGTAGGCGATTGATTGCGTGGAAGTACCAAATAGCTTGTGATTTGGGAAGCTTCAGAAGGTTTGGAGTCTGAGGTCGGTGGTGGATTGTTTCGATATCGAGAAAGAAGCCGTGGTGGAGTGGTGAAAACAACGGGCGCAGGATGGCAGATGAGGATGCGCAAGAAACAGGCAGAGCTTGGTTCGCTCACTCTTTCGTATTGGTGGGGTGAGAAACGAAAGGGAGGAGAAGAGAGAGGAGACGATGCTGGGGAAGTTGAAGAGAGGGAGCTGCTGCCACGAGTGGAGTGAAATGAGTGGATGGGATGAGGTGGGTGGACCCGTCAAGGTCGAGAGTCGCATGGAGCGGCGAGAGCGGGCAGCGGGCAGGGCATGGACAGGGCATGGGCAGGGCAGGACAGGGCACGGCAAAGCCTGGGGCTGGCCTGGAAGCACTGGAAGCACAGGCGGCACGGGCTTCTCCAGAGGGACTTCAACAGGGCAATTCATTGGCTGGTGCCCGGGCCGACAGGGCTTCACTCCTACTAAAATCTGAGGGCCCCATCCTTCCCTTGACCCTTCTCCTCTTCCTCCCAGACAAGACAAACTCCTGCACCACAGTACGACTCGTGCCCACGATGGTCGGCTAGGGCTGGGGATGATGAGCAGTAAGATCTTAATGTCAATTCTGATATTGACTGCCTGTCCCCCGACTGCTCAATCAGTCTCATGTCTACCTATTTTAGTTGAACATACTTAGGTAGTCTTTCGTACCTGGACACCTACAACATCTTGTTGCCCTAATGATCCCTTGGCAAAGTGTCTAGACCCAAGATCAGTTGTGGGCTTGACTTAGGATATTCGGCTTTCAAGTCCCGGGACTTGTCCCCTCCTGCTCTTCAACTCCCCAATTCAGCCCCTGTGATAGGTGGGAATGTGTATCTCGAAGTATCTGGCCCCCAGGCCCCCAGCAGAAGATACATCCGTCTACCCGACACCCAGCCAGCGTTCCACGATTCAAGATGCCCGGAGAACACTAATTACGACTCAAGTCGGGAGTGCAGCACAATATCCGCCAGAACGGACGGCTTGCTGGCATGGGACACGGTTCTTTGCTTTTTGCTTTCTCGGGATAACCTCCCATACTCGACCCAGACTCGCCAGATCTATTTTCAAAATAATATTCCGGTCCGAGATGTTTGATCTTCCCCATGACTCGCATCACTTAGTCTTGGGTCATCGGACATATCTTACTTCTACAACTACCGACTACCGAATGTCAGGACATCTCCAACTTTCATCAGCGCACAAGTACTTTTGATCGTCCACACTTACTCGTGCTGGACATGGACCATCTCGGCCGCCTCGGCCTGCCCACCTCTAATGCATTTTACCCGGTTAGTGTGCTAATACCGTACGGGACGGAGTGGAGGTGCGATCCTCGGCCCCTCTTCCCTTCTGAAGACATCGGTGGATGTACCTCCTTCGAGACTTGTACAAAGCTTCTCATCTGTTCGCGAGAAAGCACTCTCAGGTCACCAAAAATGTGCTCTACTCTAGTTTCCGGCCAGGCCTCACGAGCCTCGGCAATCTTGATCCAATCTTCACGTCCTCGTAGATCCAAGTTAGTGGTACAAATTAATAAATCTATCACCCGCTGGCGCAACCATACCTATCCCATGCCATCAATTCCCATTCTCAAATCAGAGGTCAGGAGACTCGTAACCGCCTAACCTTTCCCACCACCCAGGTTATCTGACTGCATATGCTGTACCGTCCGTTGTACCACATCATGACATGCAACGCCACCCACAAGATCCTCCGACTCCAAAAGCAAAATCAAAGGCTCCGAATGGGGCGAAGCCACACCCGTACCACACAAAAAACACACCGATGATGTTTGCTTACGCCTCGAAAGAGCGTCTTGCATATCGTGTGTGTTCGGCTGCTCGGCCGGAATTGCATCGTATCAACAATTCTTGTTGTACAGTGATGAACGAAGAGGAGGATAACCCGACTGATTGACTGACAGGAGTCGTAACCCCAAGGTTACGATATCAAACGCCGCAGGAAAGCTGCAAGACGGTACGAGTTGCCTGCTTTCCCACGATCGTTAAAAAATATCGTCCCTTGTATCCCCTTCTTTCAATCCCGATCTCCCTGTGACGCCTTACTTGAGATGTGAGGGGGCATCTATTCTAAAATCGCTGGATATCGTTCGACGCGGCTAGATTCCTGATTCGTTGTCTGTCTGTCTCACTTTGCCTTCCCTCCCGCTCCGTCGAGGCACTCATGGCACAGCACAACACGGCACATCCGTCATACAATACTTTCTTTATCCCACTCCCACTCCTCATCGTTCTTTACCGAACGAGTGCATCTTCGTCCGTCTATCGCATCTAGATTTATTTCTTTCACGTTAAACCATCTGTTTCCCCCACATTACCGAACACAAGTGGAGCACCCATCGACCTGCCAAGCCGAGCCAAAACTCCCGTCCGGAATAATGGCTTCGCTTGGAATATTCTGCACCGCCACAACTCAACTCGAATCGTGGCGTTACCTTCACCTCGACCTCCTCTCTTCACATCTCCTGTCTACCGACAAGTTATTGATGTCTTTCCACCCATTTCCTATCTACAATTTTTCTTCAGAGAGTCCTAGACAATAGTGTCCAATCAAAAGCGCACACTCATAATCAAATGCACAAGAGCTCGCGCCTCTTACCCAGGTATCTTTGCGCTGCGGGCGCTCGCCCCTCATTAATTGACTTCGTGAAGCGAAAGTAAAGCTCGCCAAGAATCTCGAGATTTGCTCCTCAGCGCATTTCTTCGAGGCGTGCGATGTGCGACAAAAGCTTTAGTTGCGGCCGCTAGCGGGCTAGCGTGCTCTGGGGAGGTACATCACGTGATGACCTATAACTAGAGAATTTCTGCTCGGAAGTTCCACGCATCAATGGATTGAATGCTCGCTCCCTGGGAAATCTTGCGACTGATTAGGGTTATAGGCTTGTAACAGATATGGGGATACTAAATTCTCAGGTGGATTTTGATTTTGTAGGAAGGTATGGAGAGGCCATACGTACAGCCTGGTTTTGACCTGACAATTCGCAGTAATGTATTTGCTACCACTGGCCTCGGACACCAGAAGGAATATCTTTGTCTATTTTTATCCAAGGAGCTGGTGAATTTGATTTTCGATTCCACTGCGCATGTTCTCAAGAACAAAATCTCTTGCGGAGATTTCATCACTGCCCCTACCACCCCCAAGCGAGAACACGAGACTGTACTTCCTGCATCGCCCACATCTTTACTTCCTTACCCTCGCAGCTATCCAGAAAATCTCCCTCTAATACCTACTCCTCAACACACAAAAACCCATCAATTACACCACCCCTTGTCCATAACATCATCAGACCACGCAACCAAACAAACCCCAGCAGAACAACCACCTACCCAACCCATCCACTCACCATCACCTCCCCCACAAAAACCTTCAAAACCCCCACATCCCCAACTCTTCCTAAACTCGTACCTCCCCTCTCCATATCTCCTCACCATCTCAATTATTCAACCACCAACTCGCTACTCTCCCACAACTAAAAAGGGCCTGGGAGAACGCTGGATCCAAGTCAAGCGAACCGGGTAAACAATGCCACTTGAGATTAAGCGAGACGGGCCGCTGCAGCTTCCCGCGCTGGAGCTGGACCCCACCGTCTGGACCAACATCGCGGAAAATTGAAGAGAACCAAAAAAGCCAATACAGAATTAGTCTTAAGTTTTGTGCCCATATGCGAGGTGTTTCCCCTTATCGATGTAAAAATTTTTTACACATATTTGTTAAATCGAACGGCCACCGGGAATTCTCTCCACCAGCCTTCAGTAGGCTGGTAATGTCGCGCCTGCTTCGGCCATTTCGTCTTTACAGAGTGCTGTGATGGGAGGAAGTGGCATGGTGGCTGTGAATGGAGTTGTGGAGGGATGTGTGATTGTCCTTGGCTGTGTGGGAGATTGGTTGGGATTTGGGAATCGGAGCGTGATTTGAGCATTACCAGAAACTCTAATTTCTGATGGGCATCCGCTATCCTTGAATTTATTCTGTGCTAATATCAAGATGGGTTTAGTTGGTTTTTCATTGCAATTGAAAGCTTTGTACAGCGACTGGAGTTGACATAATTGGGGTAATTGAATATTTGGGACATTGTTTCCATGTGTTTACAGTCTAGCTCTATTGTAGCATATCATCTAGTCTATCCGACTTCTAAGCACAGTACATGTCCTTGAACAGACTCTCCCGTGCAAGCAATTCTTGAGGGCTGTCGAACTCCACCAACTTGCCACCATCCATCACAGCGATCCTGTCACAATCTCTGATAGTATCAAGCTACACCGGAAGACGCGTCAGTGAAGCTGCCTCTCCATATTTGGCAGCAGATTAACATACCCTATGAGCCACGCATATCACCGTACGATCTTTGAACTTCTCTCTCATCACTTTCTGAATCAAGATATCAGTCTCGCTATCCACACTACTCGTCCCCTCATCAATAATCACAACAGCACTATCCCTCAACATCGCCCGTGCAAGACCAAATAACTGCTGTTGGCCCTGCGAGAGGGGTCTCTCAAGTAAAATTGTGTCGAGACCACTTCGGTCGCTACCCTCAGTTTGGCCTTCCAACGCGTCCCAAATTCCGACATCTCTCAGCGCGGCGATGATCATGGTATCGGAAGCAAGACCGAGAGGATCGGCATTGACACGAACGGTACCGGGGAGGATAAATGATTCTTGAGGGACAACTGTAAGTCTTTGCCGAAGGCTGTTGGGAGAGATGGTGTTGATATCGATAGTATCTATTTTGATAGAGCCCGAGGAGATTGGTACGACGCGAAGTATAGCATTGAGCAACGAGGTTTTGCCGCTACTTCAGTATCAGTATGATCCGATATTCATAGATTGATCTTACTTACCTTCCTGTACGACCGCAAACTCCTATCTTCTCCCCAGCCTTGATGCTCATTGTAATCCCATCCAAGGCAAGAATGTTGGAACCATAAGTAGCAGTAACATCATCTATATCCATAGACCCTGTTGATGGCCAGCCAGCTGGTGGTTCAAGGCTCTCGCCAGGCTTCTCTTCGGATTCAGTCGTCTCCGCAAATGTTTTGACTCTGGCGACTGCTCCCAAAGAGGTCTCAAGCGATGTCCAAGAGGTGACTAACTTCGAAAGCGACTTGTTGAAACCGAGGATGTTGTTCAACGATAGACCTAACAAGCCTGCTGCTGTAGTGCTTTTCAGATTGACAGCCAGCGCTATCACAATCACGGCGAGCGCTGTAACCAATAGATCCAATACGAGATTTAGCCATCGCTGAATGCAGAGGAGCATGTAATATGGCTTTTGCGAGTGATCCAGGTGGCTGTCGAGTGTCTGTTTAGCTTTAGTCTCCCAGCCAAAAGCGCGTATCGTAGCGAGACCGTCAAGGGTCTCCATGAAATGTGTGAACAGTGGACTCTTGTTCTCTAGATCAAGGTAACGAAGCTGGCGACTCGTTTTGAGGTAGACATTTTGGATACAGTAGATTGCCAAAAGCGTGAACGGTATTGTCAAAGCCATGTAAGAAGAACCTGTAGATATCAAAGCGATCTGGGCGATGCAGCCAAAGAGAGAGCCAAGGACTGTGATTGCGGCTATCGGTAGTTGGAGGTCGACTAAGCTCATGTCCTGAGAGAACCGATTCAAGACCACACCGGAATCCGTTTTTGCGAAAAATGACGGTGGTGCATTCATGACTGTTTGCAGCAGGATGTGATGGAGCCGGATTGCAGCTCGTGGCATAAGATTCATGAACATCACCCCTAGCAGTCGGAGACTATCAGCTTGTGCGGGTAGATTGTGTTTAGCCTGGGGTGAAATTCGAGCACGTACATATAGAGAGCATTGAAGAAGTTGTTGCGAGCAGAGCCAGGGCGGCATAGACAGGCAAGTAAAGCGACAAATGTTTGCCTCCTGCCTGCACCCACCAGTTCAACCAGACGACAGGGAAATTTTCAGCGAACGCTACCAGGGCTGTCGTAATCACAAAGCCAATCCAAACAACTGGTTCCACATTACGAATGTAGTATTTGTAGATTTTGAGATCACCAGTTCGCCTGGTCAAGTCCATCATCTTGTCTGTCTCAATCACCTCCGATGCTTCATTTGAGTTAGAAGGATATTCTGGAGCTGGTGGGCCTGATTCGGTTGATAGCTCGACGAGCTCAGTTGCGTATGCCGCAAACTCTTTCATGTTGCTCAGTTCGCGATAAGTCCCCTGCATGACTAGGTGCCCCGAGGTGCCGAGCACAAGAATTCTGTCCCCGAAACGTAAATATTTCACTGTGCAGACCACTTTGTCAGTTTCAGTTGATTCAAGTCGACCATGTAGACTTACCAGTGTTCGTGACGAAGATCACGGTAGTTGAGAGTCGACGGAAAAGTCCATCGCTTGATAGCAGTCGGTTGCTTAATATACCTTGGGTTTTGTTATCGAGCGCGCTGAAAATATCATCCAACAGAATGATAGGTTGCCGGGTATATACTGCGCGAGCCAAAGCCTGGATATCGGTTAGAATATACTGGGTTCAATTCGGGGAACTCACCACGCGGTGTTTCTGCCCGCCAGAAAGTGTGATTCCTTTACTCCCGACCACACTTTGATCACCTTTAGGCCATTGATGAATGTCTTGGTCCAAAGTGCAAGCGTGTAGAACTGTTTGATACCACTCTGGATCCCGATCTGCATCTGCCTCCGCCGAGCTCATGGATCCACATATAGTTTCCTTGACGGTAAGATTCATCAACCATGGCGACTGACTGCAGTATGCGATTTTCTTCGAGTTCACCTTGATTTCGCCGGTCTTACACAACAACTCTCCGAGGATAGCTTTGAGCAATGTTGACTTCCCAGAGCCAATTGGCCCAAGCAGAACAGTAAGCGAGCCAGCTTCGAGCGCGAAACTGATATTCTGTAACGCTACTTCTGTCACAGTTGGAGCTGGGCAGACGGTGACATTGTCCACACATAGAGCATAGTCTAATATCGACGAATCTTGTAAAGTGGCGTGTTTGCTTCCGTCTTTCTCGTCGTTCGTCGATGAAGAACTCGTTCTAGTGGTTGTCTGGATTCGAGAGTCCTGTAATGATGGTGATCTCAAGTATGCTTGTAAACGATCGAAGCAACCTAGTGCAGCTGCGAGCTGCGGTATGACCGCGAGTAACTGCTCAGCGGGTGACGTGACAAGGGTGATGATGCTCAAGGCGGCGAAAGCTTGTGCAGTGGTCAATGAGTCTTTCTCTCTAACTTTGGCTTGAATGGCAAACACGAGGAAAGAAATGGCAGGTGCCCAGACTTTAGGAAAATCCGCTATTTCTGTTAGCTACAAGGAATGCTAGGGTGGATCAGGTGGCAGTACAAAGTCCATTTAGCCAAACGATACCCCAGAAAAATGGCCGGGAGATCTTAAGCTCTTGCTCTCGTTCTTTCTGGATGTTGGTTGAGATTTTGCTTCCAAGTCCTGTTCTTTTGATTTCATTTATTGCGCCGAGCATCGACGATGTGTTCTTCACACGTTGTTGTATAGCTTCATTCCATTGCTGTTGGTACTTGCCGATGGACATGGCAACCTTCCCTTGCCCAACAACACAAGCTGGGAGGAATGAGTGTAAAGAACGAGTTAGCGGCTAGAAGATGCTTACCAAGTGCAACAATCAGGGGCACAACGAACGCCGCGCCGATTTGGCGCTCTAACAACCATGTTCCAATTACAATTTCCAGTACGCAAGCCCATATATTGTTAATTTTCTCCAAGAATTCGATTGCGTTGTCAAGATCTTGCGCAATCAAGTCAGTCGTGAAGAAAATACAAGAACACAGTACTATGACGTAAGACTAGACCTACCAGTACTCATATGCGTAAGAACTGCACTTTGGGTACTTGAGCTTTCTTGCAGCTGCAATGTTTTGTTGTAGAGTAGCGAAATCATTCCTCCTCTTAGCATGGTAGTAAACCTAGAGAATTTCTGATTGAAATGTACAGTTGAAATCTTCGTTCATCAGCTCGGAAGTTCTTAACACGAGTGAATCCTTACCGCGATACCCATGTATATGAGGAATGCAGCGCCAATTAATCCATAGCCATCATTCTTGGTCGCTTCTTGGTTCTTCAAATTCTCAATCGCCGCAACTATCAGGAAGGGCTGGGAGAAGTTGAAGCCAATCAGACATAGACGAGGGAAGGTTGCAGCTAAGAGTGTCCACCGAAAGCACCAAGCCACTGCCAGAGGCAACCCATATCGTGTTTCGAATGCTTGTGAAATCAGTCAGAATCTCCTTATGACATGGAGAGACATCATTTAACTACCCTGGTCATCCCAAGAATCTTTTAATCTATGTCCTGCCACCTTGGATGTTAAGTTGCGGTCTATGTCGAAAAGATCTTGAGTTGTCATGAGCTTTTGAAACCCTGTGACAAAGAGTTTGTTCAGCCACCAAACAAAACTCAAGTTCCAGAAGCCACTCGTAGCTTCGGGAGGGTAATCTCTATAAGGATGCAGAAGATATTGGCTCTTTTGCTTCGCCTCCAAGAAAAGCATGCCGATTTTGACGGCAATGCTGGCGCTCTGGACGGCGGCGACATGATTGTATTTAACAGTCCACAAACTTCGGACTGCGGCTGCATCGAACAATACCGAGAGTAGAAGGTATACATTCAACAGTGTCGATGGCCTTGCCGCCTTTCGATCTTCGAAATGAGAAAGTAACAAGATAATGCCTGACGCAAAAAAAGAAATTGCAGCAGAAGGAATACTCATGAAAGGTCTGTTAGGATAAGATGTTGACCATAGCACTATTAATGCCAATTGGAGGACTATGTATCCTGTCGCGGTAATCTGTGGAACATCAGTGTGCATTCTATTTTGAAGACTTTCACGTTGAGTGCTCAACGGTATGGGATGAGGCGCACCGTCTTGAGTGTGTGGCGATAGTGAGGTAAGGTGCGAGAATTCCTTCGGAACAATTGCGCCAGGCGAAAAGATGCGGCTCCAATAAACAGCACAGAGGGTAGAACAGTCAAAATACTTTGCTCGAAAGTCAGAGTGAAATCAAAATCTCTCGTGGAACTCGCTGGGCCAAAAGCGTCGTCGCCAGCATGAGCAGCTGGGAAACTTCCGTTCGCCATGGCCACATGGAATGATTGGTCAAGGATTCTTTGCTGCCGAATGAGCGGACATGTGAACAATGAAAGAATCAAAATGTCAAAAGTGAAAATGCCTATCAATCATCCAATGCAGATGATAGAAACAGGCCGCAAGGACGTTACGCACAACTGCCGCATTGCGTTTAAGGTTGCCAACGGCATGGTCCTGGTGGCCCCCGTAGGGAGACGACTTCCTTGGTGCATGGGAGGAAAGGCTGCAGGACGACTGGGAAGCTGACATGTCGCCGCACAATTTGCTTCGTCCTATCATCTCCACTGTCATCACAGCAGGGGTAATGGGTAACGAGGCAATTCGATCTTCCTATCTCCTTCCTTGCTGCTGGAGATAGGCATGTACAGCGGACCTAAATGGGCAGGTGACGACAATCTTACTATGCCGAATATGCAAAGGCTGCATCGATGTTAATGAACCCGAGGGTGCACACATCTTCATCTTGTGAATCGTCAGCTCCATAATTAAAATGATGGGTGATCAATCAGAGCAAAGTTTAAATTAATATCTGCCTACTATTCTGCAAAGCGTTTGTCATGCTAAAATTAATGTAAGCCTGAGTCAAATTCTGGACAAGACTTTCGATCATTATTACTCGCTTCAGCATTACGAAATTATATGATAAACTAGAACTTGCCCTCACTCTTGTCCTGGCACCTGGTCATTCCATGACATTTTGATTTCGTACCCTCAACAAAGGCAAATATTCGGAACGATCAGAAACATGTCAGAGGTACCTCTTAACAAACCAGAATTTACTCCGCCGCTGAACTAATCAACGGATTTGGCAGTCTGTACTCTTGAAATCAGCTGAGGATGGATCTCGTGTGTCTGGTGAATATGAAAAGCGCCATAATCGGTGTCCTCAAGATTCAGGGATGCTTATTGAGGGTCGAATACACTTGCCACTACGTCGTCCACGTCATGCGCCTCTGGTCTCCCGGAAATCCATTATTTACCTGTGCACTATCATACTCTTATCAACCGTCCTTGGCGTTCAGACGCTCTATATGGGGCAGAAGCTTCCAACTTCTCCTACAGGACGCGAATTTGGTGGGTGTGGAGATAGTGTAGCATCAGCAAGAGCTCTCGGCTGTCGTTTTGAGCCCATGTCCTGGCAATGGGTCCCAGAGGCATGCTATTATGCTGAGCTCATCGAGTCTTTCAAAGAAACAACGGAATGGCGCTTCTATGGAGACTATAAGCTGGAGTCAAAGGACGAGCTAGACTGTGCTGAGATTCTCGCTGGCGATCATGAGGTTGTCTACACATCTGACAAGTATCATCTTGTTCACTGTGCATATCAGTGGATCAAAGTGCATCAAGCTTGGGTCAACCAAAAACCAATTGATAACACTGCCATTGCACTGGGACACTCGAAACATTGTCTAATGAATGTCTTGAATCCTTACACAGGGAAGCTTGGAGCTGGTAATTGCACTGCGGATGGAATTTGCGTCACCAGGCTAAAAGCTAGTTTCGGTACTTGTGGGTTCTATTGAAGAGGATGGAAGATATGGTTTCATGAATGGAATGCGCTACAGACTTTAGATATGCAGTACTGGACTTCAGAGTTTGAATTCGGCAGAGGTAGAAAATCGAACACATCAATTTGTTTCTCTTGCTTCTCAATCTAAGTTGGTCACTACAGAGTTGTGACAGATTCGTCCGGCCAACCTCGAAGCTAATCGTCATCATTCGCAACCAGAACCCCCACAGGGAGAGACCTGAAGTGTTCTTCATTCTATCCCACAGTCCGGGTATTTCACCTTGATTCTAGTGTTGAAATCACTGAGTTCAAACCCTTCTCCCCTCGTCAGGAGCATTTTCCCACAGTGCTGAGTGTGAGAGAAAACTCCGATGTAACCATCTACAGCCCGCTTTCCTCCTCCCAAGAAAGCCCGATGCATCTTCTCCCACATGAAGACACAGTGCTGAACATGATACTCCCAACTGACGTATAGTCCATCCAGCTCTCCAGTCAGTGCGTCAGACTTGGCCACAGGCTGTGTTTTGTTGTGATCCAGAAACCACTCCCAGTTCGAGAGTTTGTCGAATCTTTGAGATAATTCTGCGTCGTAACATCGATTTGGTAACCAACAAAACGATATGATGTCAAATGTACAGCCCAGCGCCTTCGCCTCGGCTGGGGATGAGCCACAAGGGGACCTGAGAACATCTCGGTTGACATTCAAAAATGCACCAGTCTCCAACTCTGACTTGGTCGAAACATACTCGATGTGATGCCTATCGCTCAGCATGGTGAAGACGAAAATTCCAAGTGAGGTTGTGAAACAACAGATCGCTATGATGTAGTGCATCATAGTGTAATTCTGGGCTCGTTTCGGTAGTCTTTCGTTGGAGAGTTGATTGCGGCAGGTTTTCTGGTAGGACTCATCCCCGAAATCATCCACTTCCAAATCTGAGAAATTGGAAGGGAGTATTTGATTGACTTCATGAGGATACATGTCGGTGTCCATACTTTGGCGCAGATATGAGTGGAGAAGTTGTGGAAGTTCGACAAGAAGTTGAATGAAGTTGAGCGTAGCTCAGGAGCAGCCAGTTGAATGTGGCTCAGTATAAGAACCGAAGACAGCACTCAGATACAGAATTCCGCAAGAACTGACCTCATGTTAAGGGGAGTCTCCTAGACCCTGAAATTCAAGCTTTCCAGGGTTCTGGGCAAATGCTCCGTTTCCAGCAAACGTGGGTCCCGGAAGCGTGCCGCATGTCAGCATGCAATCGTTGTGCAGCCACCGGCAATGCAACCTCGACAACATGCAGATAACCGACAGTCGTTCTACCTCGAATGTGAATCGTATGCATCCTTTTGTGGAAACTTGCATCATATATCCAACGACAATTGCCTCTTGCTTACTGCGATCAATCAAGTGATACGATGTCCGTCAGATCATTACTATTACTGGCAATTTAAGAATGCTGGATAACATGCATTGACAGCACATACAGTCAGTCTTTTTTCGAAATGTCTAAGTTACGTGATCAACATAATATACGATTGCAGCCGCGGCCGATTTATTCAGTCATTGATCGTCATCTTGTGGACCTGCCTCATATCGGTATACGAGGTGCAGAGCCTACCACATCGGGAAGGTAGCTTGATATCAACTTCGTGCGAAGGCACTGCCAATAGCAAGCTGTTATCATGTGGAGCTTTCTACTCTTCTCGAACAGCCATCACTAGGTGGGCAAAAGCCTCTTCCAGATCTTAGATTTTGTCCGTGGCCGACGTTCTCCTTTATTCTTCCTCTGGTTGATCTCCAAGAAAACCTCTGTAAACTACGATCATGGCTTTCAGTTGGCTGCCCCGGAGTCAAAAGACTTCGACTTATCGACTCGTTAGTGAAGACGCGTCCTTGGAAGAATCGAAGTCCTTTCTTGAAGAGTCATCAAAAATCGAGAGGCAGCCTGCTTCTCGGCGATCTCAACTTACTCTCCATATCTTATATGGAATTTCTACTATCTTTGTGATATCGGCACTTATTTTGACATTCGCATTCAACTTCAGTATTGTCAGAAGGGGAGGTTCACAAACATTGCTCCCCCAGCCTCCGTATGGTAACCCGATCAAGAATGGTAATCACACACTGTTACTCCCTATCTCTGCATGAAATGGAAGAAAAGCCTAATTTTATTCAGTACCATGGGAACTAAAGAAGTTCGGCCCATCTGAGATATTCACGGAACGGCAAAGTGAACGAAGCGATGCTGCTTGGATGGCTCTGGCAGGTCGTAAGTGGCTCTTTAAAGTTTCGGAGTCAATATGAGGACCGATCTAACTTACACTTTATGCAGCCACAAAGAATGCACAAGGTTTCATCTACATCCCTAATGCCCGAGAGCTAAATCTGCCACCTGGCTCTCAAAAGTCAGACGGCTCCGGAGAGCTCTACGGTATCAGCATGTTCCATCAAATCCACTGTTTGGTCAGTCCGAACTCAGAATCATAATAATCTCAAAAACTCATTTACTGATGTAACTCAGGCTGCCATTCGGCACGTTTTCTGGCAACTCATGGATGGGAAGCTTGACCCCAAGGAATTTGAAGCTTCAGATGGGGACACTACTTCTCCAAATTACGTTCCCCATGACCATGGTCTCTGGCATATCAAACATTGCTTCAATTACGTTCGCCACGCTTTACAGTGTGCTGGTGACACGACGATCGAGATACCAACCTTGTTCAACGGGCATACCGTCTTCCTTGGCTGGAATACGACACATCAGTGTCGGAATTATGAGACAGTGTGGGATTATACTTTGAAGCACTCCTGAGTTAGAGTGGGAGTGGAGTGGATTTGGGCGGAGGATGAAATCTCAAATAGGAGATTGGAAGTTTGCTCCAGGAACTCCTCTTGAATATGTGAACAAGAGAGGTTGATGATGCTTCACGTTGACTGAGGTTTGAAATAGTAAAAACCTATTAATGCAACCCACGTGAAAGCTTTTCAGTCTTTAGCACTACTAAAGGCTCATGGCTTGTAATTGCAAGCTAACTTTCAATGCCAAGCAAGATGTTTGCCCACCTCGGCTCACGTTTAAGCAAGCAAGCACATCTCATGAACCTCTTCAAAAGGTCTAAATAATCATCGTATATCTGCCAATCTACGGTTGTTTACACCGAAGAGAACAGTTTTGTTCATTATTCAACATGGAGACTATTCGCCATAATTCTTGTTCCTATGATCGTCAGACCCTAAATCCGACATGCGGCTCTCGCAAAACTCTTACTCACTTCATATTTCCAAAGCTGCCCCAGAATTCTGGTTTCCCCTGTGGGTACCACACACATTCAAGGAAGCCTGCTTCCGTCATAGCAGAGCTGCTGACCCATACCTCGTTCATATGCACTTCGGCTTATGGGTTGCATATGTCCAACACATACCTCATATCAGCCAGATAATGCTGCATGCAGTACTACAGCTGCTCTCCCAGCGGCGGCGAGACCAGTAAGACATGAGAAGCTTATCCGCAAGCTATGATCTGCATTCAATTTCAAAGAATAATCCCTGGACCTTGCAGCTGGAAGGTGTGCGCATCTCTCGCTGGTTTTGGAACAGTGCATCCCCCCACTTGGTAATAGGCTATCTACATACAATGTAACGAACGATACCTTCCTAATCAGGAATCTCGATAGTGTTTGCAGCAGTGTTATGTGTGGTTCATGGAAGAAGACATCCATATCATCAAGCCAGCTCAAGAAGTCACAAGTTATTGCCCCTTTACCTATATATCATTGCTTGAAGCCCTCTAGACATCCTTCATCCCCCCATCCATTCCAACAGTCCTGGACCCTCAAAATTCGTTCATCCAACTGCCATCATGAAGTTCACATACGCACTCTCTATTGTTGCACTATGTGCCAGTGTCTCCTTTGCGGCTCCAGCACCGGTGGCACCATTGCCAGATTATGACCTCGGTAGGAGAAATCTCTGCTTTAGGAAAGGTGAGATGCTGATCCTTAGTGTAGCCAAACGTGAGGAAGCCATCAATTGGATCAAACGCAACCCAGAGGAAGCTATCAATTGGATCAAGCGTAGCCCAGAGGAGGCTATCAACTGGATCAAGCGTAGCCCAGAGGAGGCTATCAATTGGATCAAACGAAGCCCAGAGGAGGCTATCAACTGGATCAAGCGAGAGCCTGAAGAGGCTATCAAATGGATCTGAGTGACAGGTTACGGCAGTCCTCTTTTCCAACGGTGCTTGGATAGTGAGTTACATGATCGGGATGAGTGGAGCTTTGTGGGAAGAGTCGTGGAAAGTCGCATGACAGACTGGACCCACATTGGATAGCACGTTCTCGTAAAGGATTAAAATACATTCCTTCTTGGGGTCAGAACTACTTTCTTTCACCAATTATCCGAAAATGCCGTTTTGCCAGTGATTGTCAGTATTCACCAACCATTCCACAACTTTTTGCGTATGCGAAACATAATGTCCGCTTGTTCAGATCCGTCCAGGAGCAAAATCAGTACTCCGCATCTTTTAAACCATTTACGGGGTGTGCACATGTCTTTCTGGATATAATTTTAGTGTCAAGAGGGCCGGAAGTGCAATTTTGACGGGGCTAGGCACTTACTCTCTTGTCACTAAATGAGGTACACGCATTGAAGGTGGATTTTTCACTTGTTGCATTCCTTGGGGTATGAGTGAATTTCGAATTGCCTACCTTGCTCGTTGCAGCTAATGTGCAAAACGATAGTTTCAGTAAGAATATGTCACGATACATCATTCCAAGTTCAAAGGACGTGGACACCAAGCACGTAGCGATGTCATACATATACTCATAGACCGGGATAATCGAGCTCATAAGCGTCGAGTTTCGGACTAGGGCGACATCTTCGCTGATAGCTAGGCCTCTATATCCAAGCACGTCAGTCATATTGGAACCCCCAGACTATTCTTGCTCGTAGCGGTTCAAGTCTCTTGTTTGGCAACGCTATATAGTCACACCGAGCGGCATTTGTAGGATAACTTCAAACCCAGAAGACATTCCTTAACGTTCCTAATTCCAGGGGCAGAACAGATCATGTATCAATTGTATTGAAACAGGTGCAAGCCGCCAGTATTTCCACATCACTCACGTGATGGGCGTACCGAAATCCTCCAGCTGCTTTCATGTCTTGCATCAAGGAAGAAGAGAATGGAGACTCATTATGTCGTACAGGTAGCTAACATCGCTTGGGATTCTTCACACCATACTCGCTAATCTCTCCAGTCAATATCTTTGCTCTTGCTGTTGCTCTTGTGACAGCAGCACTCGATCATACCTACTCATCTTCACTCCGGACGCGCATCTTACTTCAGGTCAGTGCGCGTGTTCTCCTTTTCATCTCGGAATCCCTCGAGAGCAACAGACCTGACCTCGACGGCGTTGTTTGGCTCAAGAAATTCATTGACAAACTCAGTAAGGGCGACATCACTTCCCCTGTTTGCGATGATTCCGATTGCTGCTGGAAGAAATTCATCACGCTCACTGATACGTGAACGAAAGCGCGTTTGACCAGCTTTAAAACCCTGTTAATGGGTGTTCGGCGTTTTTGCTAGCGGGGAAGTGAATGCTTGCTTACCAGGAACTATAAGTTCAGGGGCTCCAGCATAGGGTGAGAGATTGTAAAAGAAGAAACCGATGCCAGTGAACTTTTGTGCAGACTCGCGATATTTGTCTCTGTACTCAGGCTCTCCGTTGCTCCAAGGTATCACCATGATCGTGTCAATACAACCGGTAGTGTCGGACGAAGGGATGACGTTATTCTCCCACCAAGAGCTGAATATGCGCAGTCGCTTGGTGCCTTCCTTTTGCTGTTCCTTGGTAACAGTCGGTAGATAGTCTCTGTCAAACCAACAGTTAGATCAGTACGATAGCTACGTGCAGGGTTTCGTCTTGCCTCTTGAACTGCAATTGGGGATTCACGGATGCTGCTTGTCCGAACTTCTCCGCGTAGTCCTCGAAGAACTGTTTCATAAACCCAGTCCACTGGTCGGGGTTTGCGACCCATTCAAAAACGTGCTCAAAGTATTGTGCTAGACTGAGGTTGGTCTTGACAGGATTGGTCTTCCGCCACACATCTTCCAAATCAATGCGAAATCGCTTCACGCCAAGATGTGACTCCAGTGCTGCGACAAATCGTTCGAAGACTTCTTGAGACTCACCATGACTAACAGGCCAATAGTTTACTGGGTACAAAATCTTCGCTGGCCTCTGAATCTCACGTTAGTATTTAAATTCGTAGGTTGAAGTGGAGAGAAAAGACTACCGTCTCGCAAGTGGAGCCTGAGCCAATCTCTGGCCCATAAAGCGCCTTTGCAAGCTTCGTGAAAGCTGCCGCATCGCGAGCAAATCCTCCTACTGTATCAAACTTACTGGGAGACAATTTAGCTTGATATACTCCCGAGCTGTGATCTCTAAACTCACTCTGAATAGGGAATGATGCCCTCAAAATTGGCAGTGTCAATAGAAGGTCGCATGCCAAAAATACCCTGTACTGTAGCAGGCGCACGAGTACTCCCAAGAGCTGTTGACACGTAAGCAAGAATAACATGAAGAAAGTGTTAAATGCGTACTATCAGTGCCTATTGTGAAATCAAGCCATTCGTAGCTTGCGATTGCGGCTGCACTCCCCGCGCTGCTTCCACTCGGCCCCTGATATCCATCGGCTCGAGGGTTGAAAGGAGCGTGATAATCCACATAGTCACATGTCGCCCACTCCGAATCCGCGAACTGTGTAGTCTTCATCTTGCCAACGACGACCATGCCAAGCTTCAAAAGTCTCTGAACGACTGCCGCATTTCGATCCCGAGGCCCGTAGAGCGCAGTGTACGAAAGGAACGAAGCTCCAGTTCGAAGTCCTTTCAGATCGATGATGTCTTTTATCCCTAAGCGGAGGCCTGCATAAGGTTGCTCGTCCGTCTTCGTGAAATACAGACGAGACGGCACTGCAACTGTAAGAGCAGAAGGATATGTTTCTCCATACGCAGCCGCATCGAGGGATTTGTAACTAGAGCAGTTGTAAAAATATGTTTTACCAGGAAGTGCAGAAGACTTACTGAAAGGGATCATGGGTGGGAACTGTGGCCACGATGAAAGATTCAGAGGTATCTGGGTACAAACGATACGCTTGATGGAGTTTCCCTCGATCCAAGAAGTACGGGCCTTCTGGATACTTCTTGGACTTCGTGAGAACCTGGCTGTAGTATATGTTGCGGGTGCCCAAAAGTGACAGGAATTGCTGAGTATCTGGCCGAACACTGGATACGCCACCGTTTGTCTGAATCACGATATTTCTCAGAAATGCTTTCGACCAAACATCATCAGAACGTCCGAACCTGGTGATGATTTCGTCGAGAGAATCTGGGCACATGTGGGCGCTTCCAACCTCTATCACTGTGCAAGGTTCATGCATTTGGTCCATGCCGAAATTGTTGTCAATCTACACTGGAGTGTCAGCACAGCTTCCTCAAGAAATATACAAATGAGTTGAGAAAAATCAAGAAGGGAACTTCAGCTGTACCTCTGGAACGTCATACATGTAATAGGCAATATCGCCCAATCGAATGACGGTCGAGCCCGATATCTGTTCTCTTAAGGCCCCAGAAAAGCTGATCAGAGTAGCCGTCACCAGTAGAAAGGTTGGAAAGATTCGTGCCTTCATGATTGTCTGCTGGCTGAGGTTTCAAGGTCCAAGGAGGCAGAGGTAGAGGAAGAGTCGTGAAGTGGTGGTGTACTGAACGCTACCAGCACAGCAGTCACGCAAGGCAGCGAGAGAGCGGGTTTTCATCAGAATTGCATGGTACACCGAGAGACTGTGAATATGGTGGGGCTTGATATTAAAGAATGAATAGCGTTTGTCGTCGAAAGTATCAATATGTTACCGCTTTGAGACAAGCGGCAAGATGCCAAGGCTTCTGTGGAACGACACCTCTCTCTGAATACTCCTCTCGAAGCGGACCAACACAACAACTGCTTCTCTTCCTCTACTTTTCAGATTCGAAAACTCCAAATTTTCAATCCACCCGTACCTCAAATTTGTGTCGATCAGTTCGTTACATAATTCTCAACGATCCTGCACGGCCTCGGTCACGGTTACCCCTCTGTTTAATAAATAGCCTCAACCCCTTCAAAAGTCCATCATAAGATAACAAACTCTACCACCACCACCACCACCACAAAAACAACAACAACAGACGATCAACATGGTTTCCTCACTAGCCAGAACACTACTTTATGTAGCAGCAGCTGCCAGCTCGACGACTGCTCTGGGCCATACGAAGATGGGTTATGATCTCGTCTTTCCAGCACTGAAGAAGTTAGGCGTTAAAGATAAAGGGGCTATTTCCGCGAGGATTGGATGGTTGGAAGTCAACCAAGGCTTTGTGATATTGTGTAAGTCATTTTACTTCTAAAAGTGGTCTTCCACTCTACCCATTCCTCAATCATTATGCTTCAGGGCTCTGCTCGAAGGAAAGGATGCCTGCCCACGTGACCAAAATGCTGATGAAATTGGACCAGCTATTTTCTGCCTCAAATGGGCTCAATTTGGTATTACGGATATCTACGATAAGGCTTTTGCTGGTTTCTATTGCGCCTGCCAGTTTTATTGGGGATGGTGCTATTTACAGGCGGGCATCAAGGAGCCTGTCATTCCTCTGTGGGGTATCCCGGCGTTGGTTGGCTTGAGCCAGGTGGTTTAAGTTCGTGAGGACTTGTGGGCTTTTGGAGGATAGGAATTGTACTTCTTGTGCGCATTTGTGCATTTGGTAATTCTAGGTTGGTGCGGATCTCCCTTGTAAAAGCTTTTGTATTGACATGAAGAATTATTGTCTTCCACATTACAAGGTCGAATGGAATGCACACCATGTCTGCTGCCCTTGGGACTTCTTTCCGTTCATTTTTGCCTCAACTCCTTGCTCCAATTCTCCTAAGAACTGCTTGATCCTGAATAACAGATTGTCCGATACAAAGCAAGGTTTGACTGTGACATCAGAATACGAAATTGTGATCGAATTAGAGTATTATGTCAGCGGCCTCGCTCGCCAACTCTTCATCAGACAGGGAATAATGATACTGAGATGCACAATAGACTATAAGGGAAAGACAGAAACAAACAGTCGGACTATAGATACGTTGACATGATGCACTGGAATATCCCCATGATCAACTACGTGGAATCACATTCATTGACCAGCTTACTCCTGCCTTGTTGTCATCCTGTTCTTATGCAAACCGACGAGCTTCGGGTGAAGATAGTTATTACATGATACTTGTATTGTTTGACTGGCGTGCTATTATTTTCCGTCCCAGCAACATTTCGCCCCTAAAATCAGAAGGCGCCAACTTGGAGTCAGAACCGCGTAAGCTACCAAGCTTTAAGATTGAACTGCTGCACTATCTCAAGCCCATTCAACCCAACAACACCGTTTCTCCATCCAACCACCTCCCCACACGACTTCTCCTCCGGAAGAAAAAAAACCCACAGCAATATATTCAGTCTCAACGCAAAGAAAGGAAAAAATACCAACCAGCCTTTCCCGGTCCTCCACCCATACTCAAGCTCCTGCTCCAACACCGGCTATGCATAATCCACCCAAACAGAAACGAAAATCTAGTCACAATTCCCCCAGGTACCCCTCAAAGCTTAAATCGCATTTCCTGTCTCAGAATACAATGCCGAGTATGTAAAAAGGATATCAAGATGAAAGAGAAAGACATGACCTCTTCTAAGATTACTTGTCCGAAATGTAAGTAGGACAGGTAGAAAGGGAAAGCAGCTCATGCTGTTACTTACATGAAAATCAAGGAAGCTGCGGGTAAGCTTTCCGATGCTGTGTGACGGTTTGAGAAAGCGTTGTGATATTGTATTAGCTCGATACTATGGTGTTGGTGGTGGTGGTGGTATTGCATCTCAAATAGAGGAATTCTCTGGTATTCCAGATTTATTTCCCAGCAGCTACTTGATAGTTGGTTCCGTGATTTCAATCTATCGAAAACACAATTCCCCACTCCCAAATCCCAACCCCCAAACCCCTTCCCACCTCACAACTCCTAGCCGCAACGTAAATCCCATACCAACACATGTTACACATCCCCATCCCCATCCCCATCCCTCAAAATTTCTCCAAAAGGTGACCTTCCACCTTTCCCTTTCTCTTTCCCCACCTCACAACATTCAATATCCCATCTCAACCGGATCAATCGGAAAGAAATATCCATTCATCCCCTTCATCCACCGAAATAAAACACTATCTCCTATACTCACCCACCTTCCACGTCACGGTGAGGCCCCTTCAAAACCATGATGTGACAAGACAAGCTCCTGGTTTCTAACAGTTTGCGGAGCTAAATCGCTTCTCGGTCGGATTTCATCCACCTCACCGCGATTAGGTCTGAGAGTTTTGCTTGTCCCTGCGAGACCAATTATTTGGATAGTGAATTTAGTGAATATCTTCTTCTTTTTGGCATCTGTGCATGTTGTTCCCTTTGTATATAATGACGTTTTTTCTTCTTCTAGATATATTTCGACGTCAGTCACTTTGGTTCTTTTTGTTTGCATTCTCGTTCCGCGAGAACAATTGACCAATCGTCATGAATATCATAAATTGTTCATTCGTGCCTGCCATAATACCTGCCACAATGCCTTCCAAACGCCGGGGTATCGTATCACCAGGTATACACACACATACGTACATACATATATGCCCCATCCCTCATCCCTCATATGTCATAATCACTATCATCACCCCCCAACCCAAGATCTACCCCATCCTTCTTCGCCCCATCAAACCATCCCCCAAAATCCAATTTCATCAACAACCGATCCACCCTCCCAACCTTAGTCGGCACATACGCGCCCTCCTCGCCACGTACCAATTCCGCAAAACCATTATCCCAGCCCTCCTTCTCTTGATCAATATCCCTTAAATTCTTAACCAATTCCTCAATCCCGCTCTTCACCCGATTCGCAACAGTAACCAGCTGCTCTTTGATATCCCTCTCCTCCTTGTGGAAATCCGAGAAGGCATCGACGACACCCTCATCGGTTTCCAGATCTAGTGACTGCCAGATAGAGTGGACGCGGTAGACTAGAGCGACGAGATGGTCGATTTGTTGAAGGAGGTGGTAGAGTGGATCGGTGAATGAGGAATTTGTTAGGAGTAGACTTGTCGCCAGCGCGGATAGATATCTCCTATGGGCGTCGGCGAGAGTCTGTGGATCATGAGTGTTTATATTCCCAGCTTGTTGGCGTGGTTCTCGTGCTGCTTGGAGCCATATATCGTCGCCGTCGTCACCTGAGCTTTTTGCAGAGGTGGGTCGCGACTGTGCGCCACCAAGCCAGGTCTTGAAGCCATCCCATGTACCCTTAACAACTTCTCCTTGAAGATATGCTTCTGTCTCCCCCAGGAAGAAAACAGCTGCGCTACTAGTTGCCCAGACGCTACGCATGGCTTGGGATCGCTCTTTACCACGATTTCGCATTGTTCGGACTTTATTTCGCCCAGCAGTCGAGCTGCCATAAGGAGGCCCTGGTGGAGCCGGGTGATCTCGGCGTAGTGAAGTAATTTTCCAAAGATCTGTCAGACGCAGATGTGCTCTGTGTATCGACAAGAGATACGCATTAACACTCGAGTAGGTTTGGACATCCGCAGGCGTGAGAAACAGATCCAACGGAGAGGGAATATGTAGTGATAGCGAGACAGGTACCGAAATTAATAGATTCTTGAAGGGTGTGGAAACAATCGTAGATGCAGATTGCTGTCCTTTGGAGGGGGTCGTTGAGCTTGACTTCGTAATAGACAGCTGGACGAGGTCTCTGGCGAGTTCAAGAAGTTCGTCTTCGTCCTGCTCATCCTCGTATTGGCCTTGAAGAGCTCCCATCGCGGCCCACGTGCGTGCTAGAACCGCAGAAACCTCGCCGTCCTTCACGACGATGTTGCCCATCCCATCTCGCTTATCGTAGCCAAGATTATCAGCTCGTCTCCATCTTGACCTGATCTTATCATCCGCCTCGGTGATCAGGGCAATTGCAAACTCGCCACGACCAAGTAGGAAGAATTCCCGCAAAAGAGACAATATTTCAACCACTTTGCTGAGAGGTAGAAGTTTTTGCAGTGTTGTCTGAGATAACGAAATCCGGATGGAAGTGATAACCCTGGAGAAGTGTGCGCTGTTGATTGGAAATTTCAATGTTGAAAGCTGCTGTAGATGAGATGATAGCAGATCCAATTCAGGAGACTTCGCACTAGATACACCTTTGACTCGAATGTGGTTGAGGGATCGGCCTATAAAGAGCAACGAGTTTGCTGTTGACGTCGACACAAACGCAGGTAATAGTTCTGGCCTGCTTTGATATTCCTGTGACTTATCAGAAATTGGTCCTCTTCCTTCAACAAGACTTACTTACCTGAATATCCCCATTCACTACTTGAACAAAAAAGTCCTCCCTTCCAAAGCTAGGCAACCTCCCATACAGCACCCAAGCAGAAACCTGCTTCAACCACGCCGTCTCCGCAACCCGCACCAAACTCAATGCCGCCTCTTCAATATCCACATATCCCGTCTGCATAGACTCACACAACCGATCAATAACCATCGCACCACTACAATTCTTCCCATCCCCTCCACCACTACCACCCCTCATCATAAACTCCACCACCTCAAGAAACCACTCCATCCTCCTAGTCCACCCGGAGAACTCCCCCACAATAGCCGTCAACGGCACAATGTTATACGCCCCCACAATCCCTGCATCTTTCCTCAAAATACCATCTTCCACTTCCAAGACCTTCCGCTGGAACTTCGCCAGGTGCGTCGATTTGATAGCCGTCGCTACAGCCTGACAGATACTGGAAGGGTGCGAGCCGGCTATAGTAGCTGTATGTGCAAGCAGCTTGCAGTGGAGATTGCTTAGGTGGGCGATGGAGGAGAGGAGGGCTTTCTCGGGAGGGGAGAGTATTGAAGTGGGGGATGAGTGGTCGGCGGTGAGGAGAGGGGAGGGGTGCCCGGAGAGCGAGAGGAGAATTTCGTGGAGCATGGTGGGGATTTGCATCTGGTAAATATTAGCAGATTCTGTCTACCAGGCGTTTGCTGCTGCATACGGAACTCTGTCCCCTCGACGACCTTGGAATCTATCAATGAGGTCCTGTTTGAGCAAAATGAAGGTGCCGAGAAGTTCGAAGCGGCACATTGAATCACAACATGCTAGATTGTTCTATGCCTTTGGCGACTAACAATTTCCTGCGCCGCTGGGTGTAGCTGTCGCTGTTGTCGTCATGCTTTCGCAGGGAGATACAGACGAGTTGAAGTCGGCAGTCGCGTAGATGCCTTGGAGGACGCGATGAGGCACGTGATGTGTATAAAACACGACTTGATGGCAATCCTCCTTTGTTAACTTTCTAGACTTTGATCATCCAATCGCACAAACACATGTTGTAAAATCCTCGCAATTCCAAAGCAAGGTCACATGGCAGAGGCATAAATAAAGCCGTGCGGGAGTGTATACTCTGCAGTATCAAACCTCAACATGGTTGTATACGAATCAGCAACTCTAACCCAAATCCTTCTGAAGCATTTACCTATCATCATTTTCGGCCTTCAAATCACAATTGTTTTTTCTTCCACTAATTCGACCTTCAGCCCCAAATTAATTGATATAGCTGTTAATCCAGCTTGCAGACTAACTAACCTAGAGAATCCAACAGGTTATGATGCCTACCTTATCCCCTCCACTGCCGAAAAACACGCTTTTCTCGGGCAGGGCGCTGAAGCGAGGCGCTAAGGCTGCTTGGACAATAACGCAATATTCAAATTTCAGCGTTCTTCGCTTAATTACAGGGTTTCGCTACAGGTGTGTTTGAAACGGCAGTGAGGGGGCAGGTATGAAAATATACTATTTTAACTTCCTCACCCGTTCTGTCCTATCTCGTCCCATCCTATCATGATAAACATGCAAGAACGCACTCTACGTAATGAGCAGTAGTATCACGATATCATCTCATTCCCCATCATCTCCTCACCGCCCCTCTCCGTCCCTTCAGTCCGTATCTAGGCAGGACGAGATTGTCATGCGCTACATCATTTACATACACCATTGTGCATGGACTGAACTGCAGAAATGGCACTGTGGTATCGTGCTATATCATACTATACTATACTACACTATGCTGTGCCGGATTATACTTCTACTCAGCTAAATACCATTCACGCTTCATGTACGAGAGAGTAGATGAAGGAGAGGTTAGGAGGAGCGGACAAGAACGTCGTTGTACTTACTTACTGTCCTGTACTACAGAGCCTCAGCTGCCTGGTTGTGATACTGATCCTTAATTTTGTGAGTGAGTGATTAATGGAGTTTGGTATGAGTATGAGGATATGTAATAGCGTTTAAGCTCTGCACATCGTGATCCAGTAATTTTTGGGAGAAAGAGATACACTGATCATAATCATAATCGTGATCGTGATTGGGGAACTGTAATATGAGATGAGATGAATGTCAGCTTGTAGTGAGCTAGCAAGCAGTATTAACTGCTGATGATGATATTCCCAAGGTGGCAGTCTCAATCTCAACTGAGACTAAGGTTGGTAAGTAGTTAATATTCTATCTGCTTAGTACCTAGGTGCGGAAGTATGTTCGCTACCTACCTTCGCATTAGTATGAATATCAACACTTCAAAACTTCAACACTTCAACACCTCAACACCCTAATACCCTTCCTCAACACCCTCCCTCAATCCTCAATCCTCAATCCCTCATCACATCTGACTACCTAGCTGGGCAGATAGATAACAACCATTCCAATCAAACAAACATCCATCCATCCATCCATCCATCCACCTATCCACTACCCCACACCCCATCCCATCCTCATTCCTCCTTAATCCCCATCCCAATACCCGTCCCCATACCCAATCTCAATCTCAATCTCAATCTCAATCTCAATCTCAATCTCAATCTCAATCTCAATCTCAATCCACACACCTCCAACCTCCAAACTCGCTATCTCATCGCCAGCTTTAAACGATTTCACGATAGGTAACGCTACGGTGGCAATGGCTCCATTGGCATGGAAAGACTCTCTATTAGCATAGACAGAATCTCTATCCTTATGGAGATTCTTCCATAACTATAGATATTCTTTCTATACTTAAGGATAATTTCTATCCTTATAGAGATTCTTTCTATACCTGTAGAACCTACTTTCTCTGTTAAAGCGTGTTTTATACTTAAACTTTAATCCTTCTATATAATCCCGCTTCTTCCCCTCTCCCTTTTCCTTCTCTTTTTATCTCTCTCCACGGTAAGTATCTCTCTATAGTAGGTCTCTCTCTATAGTAGGTCTCTCTCTACGGTAGGTCTCTCTTCACGATAAGTCTCTCTCTACAGTAGGTCTCTCTCCACGATAGGTCTCTCTCTACGGTAGGTCTCTCTTCACGATAAGTCTCTCTCTACAGTAGGTCTCTCTCTACAGTAGGTCTCTCTCTACAGTAGGTCTCTCTCTACAGTAGGTCTCTCTCCACGATAGGTGTCTTTATAGTTGGTCTCTCTAATCTTTCTACAGTAGGTCTCTTATAGTAGGTAAGGAGGGAAAAGGGTCCGAAGGTCTAAAAGTAAGAAGGTTTAAAAGTAGGAAGGTCTGAAGGTAGGGAAGTAAGTAGGTAGTAGGAAACTGTAAATGTTATCTATAGAACTAAATATATTAAAATAGAGGAAAATCTATATTTATAGAGAATATTTCCATTGGAATAGAGAGCCGTTGCCACCGTAGTGTAAGTAAGGAAGGTAAGTGAGGTAAAGGTACCCAGTAGAGCAACATCCTCATCCTCACCAGCTTCACCAGCCTCGCCAGACTTACTGTAATACTTTTTTTCCACTCTAAATCCGGGAGTGCGGGCGTAGCGTTGGGCAGCAATACCGATACCTACAAGAGGATTGAGCAAAGAAGAAGAAGAAAATGAGGCTGTAGGCTGTAGGCTGTGTGTGTGTGTAGATGAATGGATGGATGAGTGGATGAGTGGATGAGTAGATGAATGTATGAACGCGAGTAAACTAGGTAGCTAAAATGGCGTTGCGCTCACCTCAGCTCAGCCTGCTCTCAAGTGAAGGGAGGTATGAGTTGAAATGAAATGGATTGAAATGGAATAAAATAAACTGAATATATCTAGCCTTAGCCTTAGTATCACTTAGCCTCACCTAAACTAGTATTACCTGAACTAATATCACCTAGCCTTAGCCTCACTAAGTCTTAGCTAGATAAAGCACTTTATTTCTCTATTCTTTAAAGCTAAGTCTAGGTCCAGATCTATCTATCTCTTAATTTTCTATTATCACTAATAATATTAGAGTAGTAGTAGTAGTAGTACTAATACTATAGTAGAAGTAGTATTAATAGTAATATAATTCTAAAAAAAGAAAAAAACAGAAATTAAATCCCTCCCCCGCTAAACCTACGCATAAAAATCAATAGCATGAAATATAATACTTAAAATTATCTTATCTTATCTCATCTATAACTACTACTATCACCCGGTACATTTCCTATTCCTATTCCTATTCCTAATTCCTAATTCCTAATTCCTAATTCCTAATTCCTAATTCCTAATTCCTAATTCCTAATTCCTAATTCCTAATTTCCTACTTGAAAATTCAGTAGGTTCTAAGTAAGTAAGTAAGTAAGTAAAAGCCCGATTAAGCTATCCGTTTATCTATTTATTTATCTTCCTCTTCTTTCTCTCTCTCTCTCTCTCTCTCTCCCCTCCCTCCTCCTTCTTCCTTTTCTTCTCTATAAGCTAAAGCTAAAGTTAAGGTTAAGATTAAAACTAAGTTCAATAAGTACTGTAATTAATTAATCTTTTAATCTATTATAGCACGAAGTAAAGTAAAGTATAGGACCAAACGAGACGAGACTTTAGGGGATATAACCAGATGTCTTATTACCTGTCTGTGTCTGGAGGCTTGCAAAATTTTGCTGAAGAATTTTGTCGATAGGAATAAAAAGGAATATAGAGACTGATCTAGAACGTTTCGGAAGGGGACGGGACGGGGGATGGGGGGGGTTTGTGATGGAGCAGTGGAGAAAAAGTAAATAAATAATGAAGGGAAAGGAGAAGAAAATGAAAAAGCAAAAAAAGTAAAGAGATTTCCGCTGTACCCCGCGCTGCTTACTGCGAGTTGTAAATTACCTCCGGAAGGCTGGCTGGCTGGCTGGCTGGATAGATGGACCGAAGGAAGGATGGATGGAAAGATGGATACGTGATGTGGTAGGCGGACCACGATCGTCTCCTCTCTCTATTCGCATTCTGCCATTTCATCGCACCGGGCAGTAGCTCAGACACGAGAGCAGGACAAATACCTCCCTCGTTGACTCCAGAACAGTGACAACAGAGACAGACAAACAGACAGCGAGTACCTCCCCTCCTCCCGGGAAGTGAGTAAAAAGCAAGTTAGGCAAAGAAGGCGAATATCGGGACCTTGCCCAGCCTCCAGCCTAGGTACTGGGGCGTGCGTATGGAAGGTGTTTATCGGGATTCGGCGTATCTGGTTGCCTTTCCTTGGGTGAGATGAGACGAGACAAGATGGGACAAGACAGGACAAGGACAAAAACGGGAATTTGCATGCGTCGTGGGTGTCTTGTGTGCACGCGACTGCAGAATTCTGTTTGTCGGCCTTGTGATTGATGGATGCTGGAGCTAGAGCTAGAGTCTTGCGATGACGAGTGAGGTACGTACGTACCTTGAAATTTGAAACTTGACTATGTGAGATGTGAGGGCAAGGCGAGCGAACTTGCTTGACTCACTTACTGTGTACGTACTCGTAGACTTGTTGCGTGTCGGGCGAGGCTGTGGTATTCGAGCTGGTTAAAGCACAGCAGGGCAATAATGCAATTCCAACCCATCTCCCAATATCACATCACGATCCTGATGTCCAGATGGAGTCAGAATTGGGTATACATGAATTGCCACTGGTCAGTCAAGACATGGATATTAAGCTCATAGGCCGCGGCCCACTGAACCCAGGAACCGAGGACAAGTAGGAGGCTGCCAGCGTTCCATGGCTTGCGGTTGCAGCCTCGTCCAGCCATACGGAGGAAAGAGGCTTTATCATTCATTGAAGAGTATGAGGCATTATTTGCCCTCACTTTTCGCCCTCGTTGCAAGAGCGTGGGAGAAAGTTTAGTTTCCGTTATCGGGAATATCGCCCCGTGGAGAATTAAGGTTGGCCTTGATCGGGCAATTGGGATAAAAGTGCAGAAAAAGAGAGTTTGGGAGATAGAGTCTGGACCCGAGATCTAAACTCTACCCAACTTCAGATGCTTCAGATGCCTCGTACTGTAGCATGGGAGTGCTGGCGCTTGCTTGACCCCGTGCACAACTCAGTTGTGAGGGAGACCACGAATTGTGCATTTGACTGCAGAGGTGTCAGGTCGTACCATGAAACTTGGGGCGTATAAAACAGATCTTAAGCGCAAGTAGTGGAAAGGCAAAAAGGGGAGAGACGTATGAGAGATGGACCCTACAGCGATGAACGCTGTACTTTTCTGCGGGAGGGAAAATCCGGAAAGGGTCGTGTGAGAAGAACCAAAGCATGTGAGTGAACTATTGCAGCCAGAGAGGTTCGTGAGAATTGCTGGGAACGGCTGTCGCGGGGTGCTGGCGATTTTTGATTCGCTTGACTGCTGTCTGGCAGTTGATGGATTGGATTGGTCGAGGTGGATGGTGGGGTAAAAATGTTGTGGTCCTTGGTTGGAGGAAAGAGGACGATAGAGGGTGGAGGGGTTCGTTGATTGGGGTGATACGAGACAGGTCGTGCAGATTTGGCGGTAAACGTGAAAATGGATGCATCTCCATGTATCTCCATGCATCCATCTGCATGATATCTATCGGCTGCACATGCAAGTATTTCAGGCCACCTGAACGGTCCGCTGCTGTCAGTGAGTGGTACGGTGCGGAGCGCTGCGGTGCGGTATTGTGGCTGCAGGTGTCAGTCAGCCAGAGAGGATGGGAAGGATGAGGGCAGGCCCGGCCCACGAGACATCCAGCTTTGGTGACGGGAGTCAGGTACTCAGAGTGGAGTTCTCAGCTTATGCTATTCTTGTACGATTCGAGTAATTCGAGGCTGTATTCCTTCCAGCTCCGTCTTACAGGATTAATTGCTCGCTCACTTGCTCGGCTCGCCCTGAAATCATGATGACTGTCTGAGGTGAGGTGACGACTCATCATGATCTTGAGTTGGGCATCATCTAGGCAGACTCGTTTCGTTTCGCGCGGGAAAGAGGTGCGGAAAGTAAACAGAAAAAGCGATGCGAATTAACTAGATCAGTAAATGGTGCCAACGCTGCAAGTGCGGTGCTTCTCCGATGGGAGATACGGCGAAGCATCCCGAAGGCGAAGCTTGCGTCTCCAATGTGATGTTGCCAATACCTATTATTTTGCTCTCCTCTTGCTTGGGCTTGGGGGGTCGGAGGCAAAAGGGGGCTCTGTTGATGCGAGACGAAGCGAAACGAAACGAAAGCAAACGAACGTTCGAAGTAATCACATCGCACCTGTCATCGAGTCGAGGACATGTTACTCCGAGACTACGAGACTACGGTCATCATGGCGATACTTTTCGTACTTCGTACGTATGTGTTCCGATAGATGAGTGGTTTGGGACAATGTGAGGACCCGAGTGCCAAGACGGGTTTTCAGCGATTGGATGGTCGTTCGTTCGTCATGGTGCATCCAAGTTCCCAAAGTGCTCGCGCTGCTCACCCCTCACCCCTCACCCGCTGTCGATAAGGAAAAGCGCTGGGATCGATGAAACCTTCGATGACCAGACATCTGAGCAGATTTCTGCGAATATCGGCTCGACACTTCCTGACTTTCCTCGTTCGTTTGGAAATGCTGAGACTGGTTTGTGATTGATGTGCATTTTGGGGCGACCTACTCTACGACGGAATCACAGCCAGCGCATCTCCGCCCGTGTGTTACTGAATCCTCACTTTTCCTTTCCCACCGCTGGTCTGTCTGCCTGGGGGTGGATACTCTTCTTTGGAGATGGAAATGCGAACTGCCCTCATTCCTCCGGGCGAACTGGAGCTGGCTGACTGACTTGCCTGCAGCGGCGGCAAGGATAGCCATGGGGGTTAGGCTGGGTCGGATTGTGCTTCACGATGGGGTTGTACCCTCGAGCCTCTCTCGCCTCTCTCCTCCGTAAGGTATGGTGGCAGGACAGGGCAGGGCATGCTGTCATCAGAACCGAAGACAAGGTGGGTGGGGTGGTCTGCACGATCCAGCCCGCCATCGACCAGACAGGTGCCCTCGGTGCCAAAGTGTGAAATCCAATCAAGTATTCCATACCACCATTTAATCATCCAATTATCGCGCATGTTGGGGGCGCCAAGAGGCTCGATGCTTCACATCTCATTCCATCTTGGTCGTCGCCCCTGTTTTTCCCGTGCCCGTGCCCTGGCCCACGCCCACGCCCTGGCCCTGCAAACCTTCACCGTGCTTTCCCATCGTCTGTACTACTACTACTCGTGGGCGTGGGAAGCGAGGAAGGGCCCGAAAGCGCAACGCTCCGAATCCATCAGCGAGGGAGAGGCAGGGAGATATCCACTTTTCAACGACCATCAAACCCGAACCCACCTAGGTAAAGACTGATCAACCCCCATGCTTCCTCTCGCTGCTCCCACTTCCTCCCCTCTGCTATCTAATCATCACATCATATCACTCCATATCCCGACATAATTGTCCACAAAACATCCCACTCACTCATAATCGACAGCATTCCAACGTGCTCTCATCCCATTGACCGGATATCCATCCTTCCACCCATACAATACATTCGCCGGGTTTTAATGCTACATCGGTCCACCAACCTCCACACTGATGCACCTTCAAGACCTCCCTCCTCCATTCGAAAGCTCAACCATGTCAAGTTCAAATTGCGGAATCAACCGATCGTAGGTAGCTATTGCTTTTGTTCAGAGTTTTACTACTGCATCTTCGTCGACGTTTACCTGAATTAAACACCGCATACTTTGTGGAGCAATAAATACTTGCATACTCCCATGCTCGATATCGACGCCACCAAACAACAGCTTTCGTGAACATCACACATTCATCCATCATGTCCCATTCAATACGAAGATACAAGACCGACATCAGCGAGCGTAGTGCCGCAAGTCATAGCGGCGAATCTCAAGACTCCCAAAGCACAACCCCAACATCACTCTACAGCAGTCCGAGTCCCTCATTACGGCAAGCCACAGACCTCTACTGCAAAGAGCAGTACGACATCTCACCATGCACAACATTTTGCGCTCGCTCGTCCACAGAAACATACTCTTCAACCGTTGAATCCTTCGAGGAACTCTGCGAAGAGCCCGAATCTTATGACCCCGAATATGAAGTCCCCGAATACCGCGACCCCGTCTCGCACAACCTCCGACCTTCCACTCCCTCCGACTTCGCCGAATTCTTCCCAACCATGAACCGACTCTGCATCCGACACGACGACACCACGCACGACGGGAACATGAACCTGCGAGTCGACACCGAGAGGAGGAGAGGCACGATCCAGCTCTTCCACCTGAAGATGAACGACCTCAAGAAACGCGAATTCTCTCTTCGCCGGTACGAGCGCTCGTCTGGCCGAGAAGTATGCCATTCAGCACGCAAATTCACGACTCCCTCGTCTGAGAAACGTCCTGCTATGGCAAGGTCCGTATCCAATGCATTGGCCAGTATCGTGAAGCCGGACTTCAAACGGGCAACTTCGGCACTGTCCTCGCAGAACGCTAAGAAGCCAATCAAGCGTCAAGACAGCGGCTATGGATCGAACTCGGAGGATGAATTCGACGAGGACTACTTCCCGAGTCCGAAATCCAAATCAGCTATCCAAATCCCTTCCAATACAACAAAACTTGAGTTCAGCAACTACTCACAAGTCCTCGTCAAGCGTCGAGGTGCTAAATCGTCGAAACGATACGAGTTCGAGTACTGGGGCCACGACTACACGTGGAAGCGAGTCGTAAAGAAGGACGGCGATGACAAGGAAGTCAGCTACCACCTTTACCAAAACGAAACTGGCAACGCCATAGCGCACATCGTCCCCGAGCTTCGAAGTCGAAGTCAAGTTCGCGAGGAAGAGCGCAACGGCGGCTGGATTAAGCCCTGCTCATTATGGCTTGCGGACAAAAGCGTCATGGAAGCCGTCACCGACGTTGCAGAGTACGTACCCTATCCAATTAGAGATTATCACCATCCCTAGTCTAACATCCCTCCCCTCACAGCGTAATCATCGCAACCGGCCTCATCGCCCTCGTCGACGACAGCATCAAATCGCACTTCCACGCCACCCACTCCTCGTCCTCCTCCTCCTCCTTCAACAATAACAACCGCCCCTCCCTCACACGCACACACACCCTCCCCCTCCCCAAACTCGGCCTGGATCTCGAATACGTCGGTCCCCGCGCGCTGGTCGAACATATGTTCAAGCGGAGAAATAGCGGTGGTTCGAATAAAGACCGCGATGCGAGGCCGAACCCGAGCCCGTTGAGGGCGAATGCTGTTACGGCGTATTAGCTGGCTTTGGCGGCATCGGAGGGAAATACACGTCGACAGTAGGAATGTCTCGCAGTGAGAGACGAACAGGAATGGGAAAGGGATTGGGTGGGAATGAACAGTACGGCGCAGTTGCGCTGGTTGGGTTATGGGATTACATATATGGATACAGGGATATATACAGGACCGCCCTAGATCAGATCAGATCAGATCAGATCAGATCAGATCAGATCAGCTTCCCCAGTCAAGCAGGCTGGTAGGAAGGTAGTCTAGGGCGGGGAGAACGTTTCTACAAACAGGACAGAACAGCACGGGAAAGGACAGCACTGGATACATGTACGTTACGATAGGATTGGACGGAACTCACTTTTCTTGCATTGGGATGGTTTGATAGGATAGGATACCTCGGATAGGAACTCGGAATTGGGACTTGGGAATCTAGGTATAGGGTATGGAACCAGACATGGCATGGCTTGGCAAGGCATGGGACGGCGCACACATTGGCTGGCATATTTATTTTATATTATATTATATTATTCATTTATTTAATGATATGCATGTATGTATGCATGGCGTTTTGCATTGGGGCTTGTGCTTGAGATCGGGGTGTGGATTTAACTTCTTCCTTCCCTTTGAATTGTTAGGGAGGATTGTGGATGTGGATATGGATATGAATATAAATTGGAGGATGGTTCTTATTCTTATTCATAATATTTTATTTTATTTTTCAAAAAAATTTGTCGTATCTTCTGGGTGTTGTGTTGTGCTGTGTTGATTGTTGTGTCATTTGCTTTAGTGTTAAAACTGCCAAATGTACTATACCATTCCATATTCCGTACTCCGTACCGTTAGAGACGAACGCAGAAAGATTCTTTTCTTAACTCACAACCTGCTAGCTATAGAAAGAAAGGTATAAAACCTCTCTCTCTCTCTCTCTTGAGTTTCCCTCCTTCTGTCTGCAGCAAGAAACCCCCAAGTCACGTGGTGTGTAGATTGGGATAATGGACAGGGGAGAGAGAGGGACAAGAGATAATATCTCCTCTCCTCTCCTCTTCTATTTTTTTTTTTTTTTTTTTTTTTTTTTTTTTTTTTTAAAAAATTAGAGTCCCTATACTTACTTATTCATGCTTTTCCAGATACTTTACTATTCTTTCTCTTGATACGTTCGTTATTGAGTCTAGAATAAGGGAAGAAAAAAGAAAAGAAAATCCCATTCTGCCTGGACAATAATAGTATAAGCAAGATATGTCTCTTTTTCAATACAAGTAGTTACTCCGGCCATCGCTTTACGCCTTTTCATATTACATCACTCTTGCACTGTATTTACGGTGCTGCACTGTACGGCACCACTGCACTGCACTCAAACGAACGTATTCACGAAATCTATAAGTCAGTGCAGTTGAGATACGCGCTAGCACTCCCGCTGGTAAAATATTATAAAAGCCTCACTATAGATCAAAGTACTATATCATTTCAAACATGAGTTCATCGAGTCTCTGCCAGGAGCTGTGCAAAAAAAAAAAGAGAGAAGGGGCATTCAAAAGTTTCCGTGGTTTGTTTTGGTTTTGTGAATTAATGACTGGATTAAGCGAGCCGCTAGTTTTGGCCCAGTCTCACCAACAGCGCTCTATGTAGAACGCAATATCAACTTATGAGCATCTCTGGTTAGCCAGTATTGGCCGAGAGCGACGGTGGAACTTACAGTGTCAGTTTTATGTCACCTGCGTGGGCGATGTGAATCAATTTTTACCTCGACGAGAGAATTGAAATTGTACGGTTTGTTTTGGAAAGGTTGAGAAGGTGGCTCCGAGCTGTATAGTCAGTCAGTGTCTCTTCGGATTACAAGTCAGCTGTGGCTTGAGTTTGGAGGATAGAGGGCGCCACCACCTATCGATCGTCTGCATGAGTAACGTGATGGACTGGGAGTTTGGTGGAGCAATCTGGGTGGTGGGTGGATTATCCTCTGTTTGTGTGGTTTTGTTGAAGCAAGGTTTAGCAGCATATCGGCTGGATGCGGTAGATGATGAAAGATATGCGCATGCAGTAGCACTAGAAATTAATGTCTGCAACAAGGGCAGTCTAGAGAACTTCTACATTTAACGAATATCCAATCATAGTACAATTATTGGACTAATTCGTTGCCAAGCCTCAGGATATTCCTAGAGCCTCCCTCCTAGAAGTCGATGCAGGGTCGAGGTACGGTTGTTCCCCAATAGAAGAAGCACGAATCCCAGTTCGCACCGCTCCAGGTACCAAATGTGTATCAGGCTACAAAACCAGTCAGCGATGCACGACGAAAAAGAAGAAAGAAAGTCTCACGGTAGCAGCATGCCAAACACACGAATTATTCCAAATAGCCGCAGCACCTTTCGTCCAATGCATACGAGCAACACAATCATGATTAACCGTAATCAACCGCAAAATATAATCCCTGATCATCTTCTCCTCAAAATCATAAAGTCCATTGATCCGCGTGACGTGCAGCCCAACTCCAGCGAAAATGCTCTTCCAGCCTGTTTGACGGTTGGTCCGAACGACGGGGTGGACTGGAGCGAAGGAATCTCCGATGTTCAGGGGGGATCCTCGGGGTGACATGACTTCGTATCCTCCTGCTGCACAGGCTGTGCGGAAGACTGGTTGGGCGCATGTGGCTGTTAGGCCATCGAGGAATTCTCGCATGGGTGGTGAGATTCGGTCGTATTTGGAAGGAGTTAGTTTACGTTACTGCGAGTTGAGTCAAGAAGATCATACATCTCGTAACCTGAGCACCAAAGAGTATCTCCACCATGTGCTGGTGTCTCTTCCATGAGAAGACAACTGAAGTCTGACGGGCAAACTTCAAATGTTGCTGGTGTTGTTATTAACTTGTGTCCACCAGGTCCCCTTCGCTAAGCGAGACTCACCATCACTGTGCCATTCTCTTCCAAGATCTTTCGGTTGCTGCGAATCTTTACCTGCCATCGTCTTGTACAGTTTCTTCGCTGCTTCGGAATTAATCACGTATCTACCAAAGGTCAGAAAATGTTTTTCTCTCAAGGACCCAAACGCACATATTCTCATCTGTTTCTCCATTTCCCATAGGAATATTACCAGGGTCTCGATACAGTGGATGCACATGAAGTCCATTTTCCTTCGGTCTCCCACTCAATTCGCCCACCTTATCAGTAAAGTTTTTGAGATCCTCAACCGATAAATCATCCTGATTCTGTCTGAAGAAGACAACACCCCTTTCGCTGATGACGACTGCCAGGTCACGGATTTGCTCTTCTGAGTTGTCGGCTGTTAGGATATCCTTTATTCTTGCTTTGGTGTATTCGCGTCCGATGATGGGAGTAACTTCTACAAATTCGAGGTGGTCAAGGGAGCCGCCATATTTCATGGGCTGAAAGATAAGTTTAGACGTGTCGGCAGCGATCATTTTGAGGACGAATGTAAATCCAGTGGCTTTTTGTGATGCTTTTTTCGATCCTTTACCAGCTTGTTATTGATATAAATCGCATGGACCGCTCCTCTAGAGTGAAGCACGCTCTTTTGCAACTGCCGAAGGAGTTTTTCCGTGCGGCGGTCAATAAAAGCAGTCACACGAAATGACCAAGTGAGGGGTAGCATGCCAAAGATGGGAGTCAAAATACTATTCGCCGTGACATTTAATGATCCGAAACCATTAGCTCGCAAGTCGTCTTGGACCGTGGGGCTGATGTCGAAGGATTAAGTTCCCTTGACGATGCTTGTTGTTGCTTTTGGCTTTTCAGGGTCCCCCTGGCGAAAGTTTCCCCAGATACTGCAGTTTCAATAACTAGTTAGAAACCACGGGCTTCGCCCCGCCCTCATCAAAATCGATTTCCCCCCCCCTCTCTGAAAACCTACCTACCTGCATCTCTACGAAAAGCGATTATAAAACACTATAACTTCATAGAAATAAGCTAGAACACTAATAAACTAACTTACAAGTTTCCTAGTTTTAATTGAATATCTAGTTGTAAAGTTATTAATTGATTAGGCTGCACAGGATTTGCGGCTTAAAATTCAAGAGGTAGCCTAAGGTGGTCTATGCGTAAGGCAAGCTGAAGGAACAGATATTTGAAGTTCTAAAGAAATCAGATTAATTCTATTAATATAACGCTACAGATAAAAATAAATTATCAAATTGAATTAAAATATGTTAATCTTCAATTCCTTAAGATATCTAAGTGTTATATTAAAAGGTAGTTGTGATACAGGTAGGTAGGACTTAGAGAGGGGGGTGGAAAAAGATTTAGATAAGGGTGGAATTTCAGCCCCGCGGTTTCTCACTAGTTATTGAAACAGCTGTACAGTATCCATGTGCGGGGTACCGCCAAGCTATTCACCCTAACGAACAACTCTTCAGTTCTGAAGCCACAATTTTGACAGCCCACACGATGATACAGAAATCCTGATTGTATTCCCGTGTGAATCAAGAGGCCAAGACGGGTGCCGACTTCCAGCCAAGAAATATCCCGTCAAAGAGTCTGTTTACGAACTTTGGGGGGTCGGGGAGGAGGTTGATGATCGTCGGTTTGGCGCGGATGCAATGCAACCTGTAAATTGAAGGGATTGGCGACCTGATTGCCTGACTGGAGATAAGATAGGGCTGCCCTTCGAGTAGGATTCTCTAATCAACATGCTCTGAAATATCGTCAATATGCGTGCTGTACCGATTTCTGCGAATCCTCTTCAGCTTGACTTACGAAGTCATAAACGATGTCTAACGATCTGTTTTTTCCTGACGATTGGCACATTTCAATATGGCCTTGATTATGCGCTTGTGGGAGGGTTTCTCTCGCTAGTATTACCGTTCTCGTAGGATTACTGGGTCTAATGGTTTGCAGAATGCCAGGTTTTCTGAAGATCTACGGGTACTATTCTTCAGAACTTGGAAAATGGAATATTGATGTGAGTATACAACGACAGAATGCTGAGCCAGAACTAATGGATTCCATGCAGCCAACAGTTCAACAACTCATCTCATCATTGATGACGATCGGAACATTTATTGGGTCGCTGCTAGTTGGTCCAGTGAGTTCCAAATTCGGCCGACGACACGGACTATGGGCAGCATCAGCGCTCAATGCTATTTCGACAGCAATGATGCTGGGTACAACCAGCGTGGGAGCCTTATATGTTGCTCGTCTCATTCTTGGTAGGTGTGCCATTCATTTTGGTACCAATTCGCTGACCCTTTTAGGTGTTTCCGTCGGATGGTTCTTCACTTTCTCTCAGCTCTACGTCCACGAAGCAGCACCAGCTCATCTCCGTGGGATCGTTTTCGGATTCTATCAAGTCATGCTCTCAATCGGATCCATCACAGGGGCCAGTGTTGACTTTGGAACGCACACCATAATGAGCAAACGAGCGTACCAAATCCCGTTGGCTATTTTCTTCGTGGCTCCCACAATTCAAAGTATTATGATTATTTTCTTCCCAGAAAGCCCTCGATGGCTTATGGTTCAGGGTCAAGAACAGAAAGCCGAAAAAGCGCTTCGAAGACTTCGCAATAGCAACATTGATGAGCATGAACTCCAGGCCGAGTTGAACGAAATTCGAGGCTCAACACGAGATCAACTTGAGAAAAACAAGAAGTGGTTGTTCGTGGAGATGTGGCGTGGTACGAACCGACGTCGAACTCTTCTCTGTCTTTCTGTCGTCTGTTTCCATGCAGCAAATGGTACGTAGCAAAATATTGCCTGTTGTGACACATGATGCTGATACTTCCAGGTTCGTCATGGGTCAACATTTACACCACTTACTTCCTCACCATTGCCGGTGTATCTAATGCGTTCGCAATGTCCGTCATGATCACTTGCATCGGACTTCTAGGCTGTCTCTTCAGTTTAGGCTTCACCCGGTATGTCGATCGCCGAACGGTAATAATTATTGGTTGTGGTGCATGTGCGATCTGCCAACTCTGCATGGCGATTGTCTGGAATGTCACGCCAGGCTCTGTTGTTGCTGGTAAAGCCGTGGTTGCTTTCATATCTCTCTTCACGTTCTTCTATGTGGCATATTGTAAGTTAAATCCGTCGCAAGTGTCGAATATTCTCTGACTTTACAAGCCCCGACTGCTTGGTTAGTGGGAGGAGAGCTCCCCAATAACCAACTTCGCCCTTTCACATATGGTCTAGCTACTGCTTTGAATTTTGTCGGCAACTGGCTTGGGACATTCACTGCTCCATATTTCATCAACCCTGCAAAGCTTGGTTGGTCCGCCAAGTACGGATATATCTGGTTCGGTACGAACACTCTGCTCGTATTCTTCACCATTTTATTCCTGCCAGAAACAAGAGATAGGACGCTTGAAGAAATCCACGAAATGTTTGAGAACAAAGTGCCGACTCACAAGTTCAAGCAATATGTCTGTACTGGCGTGGAGGGATACGCTGCCCAAGGAGTTGCTAAGGCCGAGGTTCTGACCGAGAGACGCTCTACCCATGGAGAAAAAGAGACGGTAGAGCACGTTGAGGCACATGTACCTGCAAAAGCAGCGTCCAAGCAGGAAGTGTAGTGAAGTTCTGAGTTTTTGAGGTGTTTGAGTTCTGGGGTTTTGAATTTAGCGGGCCTAACCTGATGTGAGACCAGCGCGAAGTGGCGGGACGGACCGCAGCAACGCTTCCCATTGTCCGTTGAAGGCTAGATAAAACTGAGACTCACCCACCCTAAAATTATCAATTAGGTCGCTTTAGCTGGTAGTGACAGAGACCAGCTTCAAATTACCAGACCACGATTGCGATAACTAGGTAGCGAGAAGCCTAGATGCTGCTTTTGGACCATATGGCATCATACTGATACGTCTAGTAAACTCCACGAAGCCAACAAGAAAATGAACCAAAAATAGCACCCATACATAGATTTCTGAAGTTACTATTCACAAGCCATTATTTCCTCATAAAATCATACCAACACCGCCTTGATTCCCAATTATAGTGTGAATTTGCGACTATCTCAAACGAATCGAACTCTCGACGAATAATACACGGCACATAAAAATGGCTGTAAACCCACCAGATGACAGAATGTCATCTCTTTCTGGACGTATAAATGCTCCAAAACCTCCTCAACCACATGATTCAGAGACAAGCACCCAAAATCAATCATCATCACCCTTCCAGACCCAGAACAAGCAACAAGAATCAGCACCACTCCCCAACTCCAGCAAAGACAACTCCCTCTCCCCAAACCTCCATTCATCCACAGAGATCCTTCTCCCAACAAAGTACTATCGGTTTTACTGGACATGTTGCCACTTTAGGCAGAAGGGGGGGATTTTCACGGTTGTGGTATGTATCCTATCTTATATCACCAATCCCATGCACCTAATCCTATTTTTACAAGTTGTCAAACTGAGTCTCACTCCTTCTCCTTGTAATTAATCCGAAAATGACGAACGTGGAGTACAGTCTGTAAGATGGAATATGAATATGTTTACTGACAAATGAACCGAACAGATGAAGAAAAAATGTAACACAACCAACAACCTCCTCGAAGAAACCTGTAGAAAATGCAGACATGTAATCTGTGATTCCTGCAACAAATTTGCGCGGAATAACGAAGAGTTCGATGCAGCTGCACTGCATGCCGAACCGACGTCGATTCCAAAAAAGCGCTTGACGGGTGCGTATCTGGTGACGTGAAAATAGAGCTTAGGAAGCCTTGATGACCGAGTATGGTATGAACGGGCGTAAGGAGTGGGAAATAATTTGTGTGTGTGAAGAAAGGTCGTGTTGTGAATATGAGTACGAATGAATCACGGGCCTGGGAATTGAGTTTGATGGGAATGTGCTCGAATTCTCTCATGCTTGGACAGAGTATAAGTATTATGATATACCTCCCACGCTTGATGATATGCATCACCGACAACTGTTTCCCTACTGTCGAAACTGTAGCGTTCGAAAGAAGAAAGTTTGGACTGAGGGAGAATCTGTTTCCCAATTCATTATCCGACCGTAGTTCAAAAATCCGAAAATTTCACCACCTCCCAAAATGCCGACATCTTCTCCCAATCCCAATCCGCAGCCATACTCCCTTTTCAACAACTCGCCACGCTGGCTATGCTGCAAGACTCCTCCTAACGCAGTCGTTGAATCTCCCGTAAGTAGTCCCTTTCAAAAAGTAGAAAAGTGTACACAGGGACTGATAATGCTCCGCACCAAAGTGCCTCCAAGGAAACGCATTGAGTGAGAAAGGATGTAAGAAATGCCAGCATCAGAAATGTGATCTGTGTTTGACGTTCGATGGGCGAGAAGATGGTGGAGAGAGCTAGAATGGTTGGGGTGTGGGATGAGAGATGCAGGTGTGATGCGGAGGGATTGGAGGGAGATTCGAGTTTGACCAACATAGGGACAGTGTTTTGCTTGAGGGAACGAAGATGACTTTTGGGTTGGGAATAAGCCCGTTCTTTAGCTTTTGCGTCGTGTTAGTCATTTTCTGCAAGGCAAATGAGAAACATTCTGCGCTATCGTGAATGTGAGTAAAACCGAAACTTCCTGGAACTTTTCAGTATATATTCAACTTGTCACTCCCAGTTTCAACACCAGCATTCGACACCCACTTCTCAGTTCTCACTCTCAGCATCAAGCTTCCACTGTTCAACCACATCCTTAACGCTATCTGCCAACCTCCCTGCTTCAACACAATTCACCAATCGTCCCATTCTCGTACAAGCATCTCAATCATCATCACCATCACCATGCACCCAAACGGAGCAATCGCCATAATCATCATCTTGATTCTCCTCGTCTTCGGTGGGCTGACCTACGCTCTCGTACATTGGATTACGAATACGCCAAAGAAAAGCCCTTCAAGTGAGCAGCAAAGCGGCACGACAACTAGTCGGGGACAGAGTACTTCGCAGGCGCGAACTTCATCATCATAGAGGGTGCCAAGCGAGGGAGGTGAATGACGATTTAAAGAGAAAAAATTGGATGGGTATGTGACGAGAGCGGGATCTTGGAAAGGGTTTTGTATACTTCGTGATGGTGGAGAGAGATTGAGGACATGCGAGGGGAAGAACGGAAAATATGAAGAGATGCGAGTATTGGACTTCGGGTAGGTGACAATAGTGTGATGCGGCGGTGTGATGATATATGAACAATCATAAAAACTGATCTCAGAGCAATAACATATACGCAAATGATCGCAGAAGAAAAGAGTAAGAGACAACTGAAGACTTCTTCTACATATGTATATGATGCAATGCTGTGTATATACACCCAGGGTATTACAGTACTGTTCAATCCTGCACCTTCTCAAAACGCCATGTGAAATGGGAGGTATATGCCCATCCACAAATCCCCACCCAAGGAGCCACGACCCAGCCACGATTTTCCCAATTGTCGCTTGTGAGGCGAACAGGCGATCATTGTCCTAGTGGCCTCGCTTGGATTCGCTTCTTGCCAAACTCTTGATTCTGTTGCAAATCGCTGTTTAAGCGATGTGCGCTTGTGAAAGAGAGGCAATCCGCAACCGAGTCGGTAGTGGGGGATACCTGGTCCCTCATTTCGGAGCATCCCAATGTAAACAGATGCCTTTCTTGTTTCCAACGCCAGATCATGCAGCAGCTTAATCTAACTTGTCCATGACGTGTTTCCGGAATTTCCTGTTGACAACTCCGCCAATGCCAAAAGCTGGGACAATACGGCATATTCTCGCAACGGCACTGATAGCCCAGTTCTTCTTAACAATCTGCCATCTGTCTCCCAAAGAGAGCTTGTCTCCTCTGTTGTACAAATCTAGTCCTAGCAAGTGCATAGGTGTGCTGAGGATCTGGATCCCAGCCGGCGCAACAAATTGTGCAACTGTCATTCCGCTCACCCTCTTTTCCAACTCCTTGTTCATGTTCCTGGTCAATACCGGCCCAAGAAGAGGCGGTATATTGAACGACGCAAAGATTGTGAGGCAGTCGCGGAATGCGAAGAGGGCGTAGGAAGGTAGAGGAACAGGTCTGGGCGGTCCGCCAGAGCCAAACATCTTTGCAAACGTCGAGTCCTTGATCAAGCAGAGCCCAACATTAGCTGTCGAAGAAGCTGCGAACTTTGCAGTTCCACCTGTGACAAGCGAGGCAGGTTTGTTTTTGGTAGTCGCAGTCAGAGTATCGAGGGTATTTGCAGTGACGTATGTCCCGCCGTAGAGCATGCAGATGAGGGCGAAAGGCTTCGAGAAGATAAGGTTATGCGGTCGCAGCAAGAAGGTCTTGAACGAATCTTTCAGAGAATTCTTGAGAGATGCCTGCCCCGAGGCATTCTGCATTATAGCCCTGCGAACATGTTAGAGGAGTCAGAGGCGTAGTTGTGGTGAATACTTACTTATCAATGACTGTAATGAGGGGTGCAACCATTGAAGCTGCGCCAGCACCAGAAACAAAGTCTGTTGCCAACCGCAGACCCAGATTCTTTGTATTCCATACTCGAGGCTCTTTTAAAGGTGACTCTGCAGCCTTCGCGATAGGAGCTATTCCCTTCGTCGGGTTGGCCATGTCGAGATTTGGTGCTGGAGATTCCAGCTCCGTCGATTGTCGTGTCATATGGGAATCATTGACCCTATCAATGCATTTCCCCTGAAAGCTGCAATAGAAGCAGACACTGCGGCTTGGGCCGGATTAATCGCAGAGATTTGGAAGGCTCTGCTGCCCGTCAAAATGCTCCCGGTGCATCTTGCATGGTAAGCTTCGCTGACGACCCACCGATTTCGGGATTCCTTGTTTTCATGACGCACGGATTTTGGTGCCCACGTGACTATACATACCTTCGACGTTCCGAGCCGTGGACTGCTTTTCGCGGCATAGAGACAGCACGTACTTCTGATAGCGATCTTGTTTGACGAGGAAGATGAAGTTGGATGGATATCCACGAGGATTCAAGCGCTAGTTTGCGTCTTGTGAACTCGCTTACCATGTTGAGAAAGTTTCGCCCATGCATTATGCTTCATTGCTTTTCCTTCTAGTGGCATTCGATTGCATGGAAGTGCATCACCTGGTGAGCCAATATCAGGGACAGGGGAAGCAACTATAAAGGTTTACAGGATGGAATAGAGCCCATGCTGACAAATAATGACGAAAGATGCAGTTAAATAATTACTCCAAAGACACAGTCCGATGGAGCACGAGCATCTAGAACGACATCCACAGGGCTTTTACCTTTTTATAACAGAATTTGGGCAGGATGAGGTGCCTAGGTAAAGAAGAATATCACGTGAGTGGCTTGTGGCAGTGTTTTGACTTCGAATGCCTCACACTTCCCGTCAGAATCATCTCTCATCTACCATCTTCAATCATGCCCAGCTATCAACATGGACTCACATGGTCTCTCGACAGAACCCATCTCATTCAGTCGCTTGGCCACTCAAAACATTCGTCAAATTTATGCCCATAAGCTACAGGGATTCCGATGGTTGCTTGGCCTAGCTGTAGTCTTCCAACTCACGCCCAACACTGGCAAGCTATACTGGCACTACTCTACTCATCATTCACCGTCGATCTTGCCCGACTTTCTAGCCTTCTCACTTTCTCTGGCGGCCAGAATTACTTGGTTGTTCCTGTTTAGGAATCCAGCTGAATTTCTGCTCTTTAGACGACCAGGACGAGGATACCAATGGGCAGTATGTGGAACAGTAATCTTGACTACGCTGCCCAATGGCGTGGTCCATATCTGGGCGTTGAAGATGGCACTCAAAAATGACACCGTCGTGCTCTCTGGGATATGGACTGCGATTCTCGCGATCATCTTCTTGGTACCTTTGGCGGGACTTGTGTCATGGATGGCTTGGAGGTTTCTTTTGGGCTTTGAGGAGACCGATGAAAAGTTTGAGCCCACAGTCAAGTACGGCCCATCCATCGCAGAGTATAGGGACAATCCAACACCGATTTTGACACGCACTGATATTTCCTCGGGATATCTTTCTCAGGCGTACGAAGCACAAAAGATTAGCGAGCAGGAAGAACCTGCGCTTCAGAGCCTTGCAATACGTGAAGTTGTACCAACATCAGCGGATGCACAGGTCGATACAGTTCAAGAATTTTTCGTTGAGGCTGACCCCATTGTGCCTGTGGATGCTGCAAAACCTCCCCGCTGTCAAACCATCGCACGATTTGAACATATGTCTGAAAGCCATTCTGGTCCACATTCTTGGTTCTCCTTTCCAATAATACCAGTTGTTCTATCTGTCTACGCTGCCCTTCTTCTGGTTGCACTCATAATATGGATTCATGAGGATCGAGAGTACAAGCTCAGGGATCCTTCACAGTAAGTCCACTTCCTTTCCACACTTTGAATTTCGGCTGCTGACGCAGCTTAGATTACTGAAGAGGACCCTATGCATGCCAATTGGAATGTGTCTCTTAGCCTTCTATGCCTACAAACATCATATTCGCGCATCGATATTTGAACGCTTCGACGTAGAACCTCCGCAGCCATGGAAGAAGATGCTCTCTATTCTTCCATCCTGGTTCGGAACGGGAGGCACGTACAAGAACCGAGATACGGGAGAAATCACAGTTTTTGACCCGGGCCGTCGTGCGTTCCCATGGCGTGCTACTCATCGGTCCAAAGTGATTGATAGCCGTGAGTACATTACAGCATTCAATGCAAATCCAGGACTCTGCACCACCTATTGGGGGCATTCCGGGCGAAGCGTCAAGACAGACTTCAAATTTCGTGCAACGATACACCGACTTGGTTTCCTCGTTCTTGCCATATACCTGACTTTGAAAGGGTTCTGGAGCATAATATGGTATAACGTTCCGAATGTCTACGACGAAGTGTTGAAGCATCCGACGACGATCACGAAAGAAGACATAGCGCGAATTTCTAGAATCCTGTCCATCTGGCAAGTCTCGGTATTTTCGGGTCTTTGGGCAGCATTGTTTGCTTTATTGTTCGGATTGGGATGTGTGGGGAGTATGTTGGTACTTTTTGTCAGGACGGTCTGGAAGTATGTTCCGCAGGAGGAGAAAGATAAAATCGCCAGGGACCACAGAGCATGGGAACAGGGGAGCGCCGAGCGGCAGGGCATTCCGGCATGATGTGCAAATACAAAAAAACAGCATGCTATGGAGATTTCATGATACTTGTGCACCAGCCACATAGTACATTTGAATTCTCAGATGGGGATTAGATGGATGTCGCTACACATATACGCGACTTTTGATTTCGAGGCTAGAGGATATGTTCGTGGGATTGCGAAATAGGAATAATCCTCTACACTAGGTGGAAATCACGCTCCTCGGCGGCTTCAAATTCGGCAATCAGCTGCCTATCCGCGATCCTCCCCACACCAAGTCGCCGAAAAGAAATAGATCCAGCGTCTACCTCCTCCACAAACAAAACATCAATCACGGGCAAAGACGTCTTGATCCACAGCCCATGGGTCAAGTATCTCGTCGATACATGCAAAGCATACACGGCGATTCCATAATCGGCACAAGCTGTTGGGTGTGGCTCAAGCTGTTCAAGAGATCCCCATCCTGCAATGACATCTGGCCGAAAGGCAGAACAAATTGCACGCCACTTGCAGGATTTCGGAACTGGGGAGTAGCTAGTTGACAGTGCAGCATTCTTCAGATTGTCTTCCGTCTCGAGATATCCTCGAACATGGACGGTGTGCAACTTTCCTCGGACGTGGAGACATGAAAACATGTTCGTTGGATCGAAAGTCGGTCTCTCGATCATTTCAATGTAAGGTCGAAGTCTACAGCCATCGATGACGAGATGATCAGGGATGTCATGCCGTCCTTTACGCTCAAAGCACAATCCAGTAATGGCGCAGCTCGGTTTCGTCCCTCCACTCCTTGCTGGCCAATGTACGACGGTCAGAAGTGATGCCCAGGACCAAGACGGCGCCTCCTTGACTTTCTCTGTCCAGAGTTTGGCAGTGTGATTTTCCTCCCAAAGCAAGCCGTGATGGATATCACGAAGCCACAATCCAGCCACATAAACCTCATTCTGCTTCTCATTCTCCAAGCTCGGAAGACGGCCTGGATTTGCCAGGATCGACCCAACTTCTTTCGCTAAACCCGCTACCGCTAGGATACGATCCAACTCAGGTTTGGTGAGATGTTGCCCAGAATACACTTCCAGAACTGGATACCAAAAGCTCAATATATCAATATTCGAGAAATGGAATGATGCTTTTATCCTCAAGTATGCTTGAAGATCAGAACTTGCTCGCGCGAATGTGAGCTGAGATTGATCATACGACCGTGGTAACTCCTCTTGACACTCGAAGAACAGCCCGTGAGGAGTGTACCAGAGCAATCGCTTACTCAATAGCCACTCTTGCAGGATCCAGCCTCGACGAAACAGAATACTTGACCACACTTGGTCCACGTATTCTTCTACCACTGGAACTCGTCGTCTGTAACAATAGAAATGACCTGCCACCGCCCTTCCCTTGTCTCGATATGGTAAGCGAACGAGCTTTGAAGACCATGGTATTGCGTCCTTTGCATATGGTCGAAGCAGTCCATTAGTCATATCTTCTGCTGTGCCCGCGAGTGTGAACACTGAGAATTGGTAATACTGAGCCATTTTTGGTGCTTCATGGCGCCAGTCAACATAGTTGTCCCCTTGTTGGATGATGCAACTTGAGTCGATCCAGATGAAATTAATCCCCAGCTTTTCCGCAATAACAAACGCGTCACGGAATAGCTGCGGCAACTCTCCGAAATCTTCCCCAAGCAAACGAGCCTCAATGTTAGAAGTCGTGGTGATACATCTGCCTGTAAACTCGTTCCAGCGATGGGTAAGAGTAATGTAAGCGCCAGTTAGTCCGTCCGTATGGCGCAGATATAGTCGTTGGCTGTCGCCCTCTCGAACAATTTCAATTAACCGAGTCGGAAGCGGAGCATCGTAGGGATTGATATTGATAGACCCCGACACGGTATCGTTGCACTTGGAGTGAGAAGTACATTCTTGAAGCCATTTCTGGGCAGTCTCGTAGTGTGACGCTGATGATGGATCACCACCAATGTACCGCCCGAGGACATCTCCACTCATAGCTGCTGCACTTTCTATCATGAATGTATTAGTGCGGTTCCGTTTGTTTGTGTTTCGCACCCGAAGAAAGAGGTGACATACGGGGATCTGCTGTGATGCATATCTCGTGACTCGACGAATTCCTCATGCCACTGAACCGATCCCCAAGCTCAATCAACAAGCGATTAGCGCGCAACCCATGCGATATCTCAACCTCTTTCACATCTTTATAACTTTCAGAAATAGTCATATGAACATATAGATCCGGATTCAGGGTCGTCCTGCCCATGAACGCATTGCTGTAAAAGTAGTCCGGCTTCTCCGTATCCTTCACCGCATCCAACAAAAGGATGCAAAACTGACAGCCTTCAGCTGCAGCTGCTTCAACATCTTTCAACAGATAGCCTTTCCTCTTGCTCTGAGTGAATGACTGGATATCGAAGCTCTGGCATCGTGAACACAGTGAGGGTTCAACCTCGGCTGGCTCGTCGCTGTCCTCGAGCGGTGGCACGTCATACTCCCAGTCGTCGTGGTATGGTGTGATGCTCGGATCAATGGTCTCGAGCGAGATAAGACTGGCTCGCTGCCTCAGCATGGTGGGGGTGCATAGTGTCTGCTAGATGCTTCTCGAGGTATGATAGTTGAAGGGAGAGGTTGAGCGGTTGGCGAGGAATTAACCGATTTGAAGGATTCTTGCCAAGCATTTCTAAAAATAGTTGTGAGGCAAGAGGAGTCACAAGCACAAGTAGGAACTGTCTTTCATTCTCAGGCTAATGGTGTTCGGTTTGTGAGCTACCATCAGAGTAATGTAGTGTTATTTGGTGCAGAATTAGTATGGAGTGCGTTGCAAGAGAGCTCGTGCTCTTTGCTTGGCGATCTCAAATTCTTGATTGTCGTATCAACAAGGAGAATAAACATCTACGAATGTAACTTTGTGACTGATTGGGACACCAAAGAAATGAGGATGTATAAATCAAATGTAACGAAGCTGAAAATGCGGGCAATAAAGTGCTACAACCGAGTCAAGCGAATTGAGTTTTGACAACGATGCGAAACGTTCTTTCTGAAATGCCAAGTACCACATGTCAGAATATATTAGCATGAGACTAATTGAATTCAAATGCATTATTTCAAGTCAACTTCACCTGAACACGCAAAGATGGTTACGGACCAATATATAATGCTGATATATTGCAACTACCCCACTCGATTTCTTTAAGCGAGAGCCAGATTCCCTGAACCACCCTGGGGTATTTTCGGTATTGGGCCAGGCAATAAAGATGACACAAAACTCAATGATGTGTGGAAATATTTATATCGTTACACTTATGTTGGTGGGTTCTTTTTCAGTAGCTTCTCCGAATTTCAGAAATTTTTCTTCCCCCGCATCACAAAGCCACGCCTGGCGTCCAGGTGCGTCCCAGGAGGTATTAAGTGAGTGACACTTGACAGAGAGGTCCATCACTATACCAAAATTTATAGCTAGGAGTCAACTGAGCAAATAGAATGGCTCAACTCACTGCGGCTGGCTTTGCCAAACACTGTTCCCATTGAATATATTTTAAGCTTCTTCTATTTCATATCAGAAGAGCGTACACAACTAAACACCATTCAAGCCCGATCAGTGGTCTAGAAATAGCAGCTTTGGTATCCACAGTCTCAGGATTAATATCCCATCTTTCTGCTTCCGTTTTAAGTCTATGGACGTGAGCGACTGCTGCTTTAAAGCTGAATTGACAGTGCGCATGCCTAAGCCGAGATACCAAAGCGGCAGAGCTGATACTCCGTTATTCTAACATGAAAGATAAAACAGGATATAGTTCTTATTCATCACCCGCTCCAGGAAAAGTAAGATGGGAAAAGTGACTAAGAGCAAAAGGTACGTTCCGCACAAGTGACAAGCCTTTTCATCGTTCTCGTCTTTCAAGTCACAATCTGTGGCGTGACTGCAAAGATAATTGCGGCCCGTACCGCTCCTGAACTCATAAGATCGTGGGGTCTAACCTCGTGCGTATGGAACTTGGTTGAAAAGCATCGGTCTCCCGAAACATTTGGCAGCCCCCGAGCACGTCCATGATCACTCGGTCTGGATCCGCCTCCCTCGAATTCTCGACTGGCAGTCAATTTCATTCCTTGTTTAGCATTTCGTTCAACAATAAGACAACAGCTCCATCCATCTTCCTTATGTGGTGGGAGTTGGTCACTGGATTCAAGCACGGTAACACCTACAATCTTCGAGACCCCCCCGCTGGACATGTGCTATATCGATAGGGTGTGACGATTTCTGTTCAAACTGTGAGCCATGCAAAAATGGCGTTAATGCAGGTCATTCTGGTAACGATTGGTCAACGCAAAAGAAATGCAACTCTACTACTTGGACAACGGTCAAGACCGTAATCAGAAGAAGTAATGAGTGCAAGGTTGATTCGACTCACTGTCTCCAGTCTTCTAAATGCAGTCAGTGGATCTACCACCTATGACCAATGATTGTGTTCCTTTTCGCATTTAACCATCCACCGTTCACGGGTGCTTCCTGGGGCAATGGAAGAAGGGCCGAGCCGGCCGTTGTGCCGCTGAAGAATCTTTCAGCTCATTCAAACGCGCATTTAAAAACCAACTGCATTGATAACCACTGCATTCAATAGCCAACTGTATGAAACTCAGCAGCCTGCAGTACTGTAACCCCGCTGGTGTAGTTCATTGGGAGATCACGGAGACACCATTCTGACAAAGCTACACCGACAATAGCTTTGCAGGAAAGGTGCGTCTTCGATCCCCCAGTTACGATCGCCAGTGAGTCAATTGCGCCAAGCCTTCCGGAAAGTTCACCAGTGCAAGGGGCAGAGCCACCACAATCAGGGAATTGGAAATCAAATGAGCCAGCCCCGAAAGTGCGATTCGCCGCACATGGTGCAAGCCAGTGGGAAACCCTGCCTCCTGTAGTGAGCTTTAGTTAAGCGAGCAATACCAAAACACATGCTCCACCACCCAAAGTCAAATACAAGCATCCATCGAAGGCTAAGCATTATTACCAAAGGAGTTTTTCCGCTGTTTAAAAGGGTACGATGAACTTCCCCTAGTACTAGCTTGGCCAGGATTAAGAGCAATGTTCTGCAGGTCCACCTGTTTTCGATGTGGGATCTCCCTGCCTCTGCCCTGCCAAGTACCCCAATCTCCTATTGTTGATATCTTCAAAAACTAGTTGGACTACGCAGGTAACTCTGAATCACCTCAAATCATATGTGAGTAACGCTCTTTTCAAGGGTTTGGGGCATCTCTACCCACGTCTTTTGGTGCTCGATCAGTTGAAACCGAAAATCATCTTGCGTGCTGAACATAACAGTTTGATTATTCAATTGACCCTGTCGCTAGTTTATATGAAATCAGGCCGTGCTCAGACATGCATAGGAACACTTGATCTCTGCGCAGATTCAAGCGGTAGCTGCTTAATTCCAGACACTAAAGGCGAACCAACAAAACCAGCAAAAGAAAAGGTTGGGTCTGACTTTCTGGAAATCATATGCACTTGGAAAACAGCGGTGACAAGACCTGCTATTATTTTCAACCCCTACAATCAGATTTGAACTTCTACATGCAGAATGCTTGGTAGAAAACTAAACCTCCAATCTTATTTAATAGAATAACGTCGTTCAGGGATTTCTCAACTATCAACCGCTATTCATTCTAGAAAACGGGACGTAAAATCTCCAACCAGTCAGTGGGCTCTGTTCACTAAGCTTCACGTTCGAGCTGTTCAGAAAGAGGAAAGTTGTCAATTGAAATGCATGTCATTCCATTTCGGGTCTTTGGTGAGTGGTTGACAACTACTACCAGAATTTTTTAAGACAACCCCTGTCGTTGCAGGAAGGGAGCATCACTGTGCCATTTTGACAACCAAAGGATCTGTCTCAATCAAGACCAACATTTTACATACCGCAAGCATGACTGGCCTCTCCGGGGACCTTCCGGGAAGGTGAATGACCAGGGAACGGTCTCTAGAAAGATAGTACTCACCTGTAATTACGGCCTCACATAACTTAACAAACGATATCTAAAGAATACTAGTGTCTTTTAGCATCCTTTACGATCAAAGACAACAGCTAGAGAAAATAGAACTTTACATATAAATAACAGGGAAGCACTAATGCACTTTTTTAAACATTTAGACGAAGTTCGTCATAATCAATGGATAAGGTAGCTCAACACGATCGGACGTCTCAGCCTTCCATTCCGCGCTTTGTCTCTTTCTGCGATGCTCTTATGTTAATCCAAAAACACAAAATCCACACTTCATGTTAGCACGTTCATTGAAAAGAATTCAAGAGCCAGATAGATATAGTGGCGGCTCGTAATTGGAGAGTCGAGTAACTGCATCGGAATGTCGATGAACCTAGTTGATTTGATGCAGGTCGAACGCAACGTGGTGGCATAGTGAAGTCAATCGAAAGAGGGGCAGGGAAAAGAAGAGTCCAGTATTGACTGCACCAGAATGTCGATGGACGTACTTATTTTAATGCAGGTCGAAGGCAGCATGGTGGCAAAGTACAGTCAATGGAAGGAGGGGTTGAGGAAAGAAGAGACCAATGTAGAAAGAAGTCCGACAGACAAGCAGAATAGAGCAAGGCAAAACAGGTAGTGTGGCCATTCCCAATTTTCCAAATAGCCAACTCAGCAAGATAATGTGCCCCTAAGAAGCCAGAAAATGGCTATAAAGGAAAACCACTTCCTCAGGAGAGGAGGAAGACATTACCTCTCCAAAAGTCGTCCACCATTACCTCCTACATTTCCAAACACTCAAGCAACGTCAAACAATCTCCAACAATGCGTTTTACATCTCTGATCTTCCTCATCCCAGGCATCACCGCCTACATGGTGCCAGAAAATGCCGTCGATGGCATGTACACAGTCTTTACCGCAGCAAATGGCAGCGAGATCCACACTCTTCTTCCAGATGGCCTACTTGCCGAGAGAGACGCGCCCATAAGTAGTGATCTTGTCTTCCCATCTTCAGCAAAGTTTCGACTTAAACGCCAGAACAACCCAGGTCCAAACCAAATCACCTGCGGAACCACCGTTCTGGACGTGACGAGCACCAACAATGCCAACAACAACATAGATACTCAATGTGGCGCGGGAGCAACTGTTGGCAAGGGGAAAACTTTCTACGCAAAATTCGGAAGCACAGTCTCCTTCTACTGCAACTATGCCAATGGAGCTAATGTCTGCTATGCTTCGGAGAGACAGCTAGCTGCAAACCTGATCAATGGCAACTGTGGTGGGTTTGTGGCTGGGTACGACCATGTAGTCAATAGGGCCGACACGTATGGATGGCAAAACATGAACATTTGCTTCTGCTTCTGCTGAAGGTAAGCTTAAAGTATCCTTGTTGGCTACTTAATAGAGACTAACTTGTGGTATCAGAGGACCGCCGCTCCATCACCAGGCTTGAGGACCTTAGGCTCAATGATCTTGAAAAGAATCGTAGGAGAATCTCATTTTGGATTGGGACGGTAATATACGAGCAGTTTTGAATGGAAGGGCCTTGAGAACTGAAATGTCTAGCATCTCATAATTTGTTGGTTGCGCTTCATTTCCAATTGGATCGAAATATAAACTCTCATTTTGATGAACATGATACGAGCTGGGTAGTAAAGTGACGAACGAAACAAAATTTTGAACATTAATAGAGAATGGACAATTTCACTCATAATTATTTATACTTCTAGCATTGCAGTAACAGTTTGCGGAACCAAGAACAACCATTTTTCTTCTGCGTTAACGATTGTATGCTGGAAAGAGTGTGTCAGCCAGAGCAATGCAAATAGAAAGACCAAAACCACTTACACAAATGTTTCGAATGGTATGCCTCGTACTCTTCTATGGCCTCCGTCTACCCCCACCTCCCACAAAGTTGGTACAAAACTAACCTCAGCCCAACTGGTTATCAAGCGCCTCCAGTAACAAGCCTGCGCTGCTGGCGTTAAGTACCTGTCGCGAAAGGTCTCCGTGCTATTGATCGCGATCTGTTGTGCCTTTGCAGGATCTGCCAATAAGCTAACCATTGTTTCTTCCAGATTGGAGAAGTCTTCCTCCACTTCCACAAAATTATGGCCAGATCTTAGAAGGGAGTGGTGTGGTTCGATCCAGGTTCTTTTTGGAATAATGACAACGGAGTTGCAATTTTGGAGATATTTGCCGCGACCAGAATAGCTGTGTCCTGTCACTAAAGTGAGTGATTGTGACATTCAGGGGTTTGGGTAATGAAGTGAGCAGAACAGTTGTTTCGAACCTTCAGTTTGTATCAGAAACTGATACAGACAGTGTTCTGGAATTGAATTAGCCTTGCCATAATCCTGGGCTCTCAAATCTGTCGCATCTTTCCACAAAATGCCTTTCACATCAGCCCAAATCTTTTCATTCGTGACCCTGATCAGATCTTGGCGAAATTTGTTTGTCTTTACAGCGCCTCTCCACACCACTTGTGGCTTCTTCTCAGAAAAAGCCACTTCTATATCGGCAATTTCTCGCCGTATTTGATCATATCCACCGACCAGATCCAACGGCCAGCTCCAGTAACCAAAATCTGACATAAGCCACTTCTCTTGCTCTGAGGCCGTCCTGGCTAATGCCCAGATTGATCTTCCAAGGTGGTGTTCATCTGCAATATCCGATACCGAGAAAGAAAATTCGATTTCTGGTAGCGGCGCAGGCGATGTAATCATGGCTCGGTGGATAGCGTGAAGGATTGCAAGTGCTCGTGGAGAATCGTAATCACTCCCAGAGACCTTTTCCTCAATTACGTAGAGCTCCACGTATATGTTAGCCTCGCAAGACACAAATAATAGAGGATCACGCAAGCTTATACCTGTTGATCTGAAATGAGAGCTCTGACAAGTCCTTCTTTACTCCACGATATATCCACATCCTCTGGAGAAAGTCTGCCAATCTTCTTTCGGTATGCCACTGCTCGCTCGATCTCGGCATACAGTCCAGGGAAGGCGATATTACATTGATCTGCGGTAAGCGAATAGTCTCTTGTATCGCGACTCTTGTCGAAACTCCACTCAGAAAGGGTGGCAATGTGTGTAGGCGTCGCTAGAATTCCCGACGTGGGCGCAACACCTGAAACTTTGTTAGTAACTTGATCCAGTCGCAAGAATTGTGACCTTGAGGCATACAAATTGTATCGTTTACTTGTCTGTTCTTTGCTGCGTCGGCCATTGTAACGCATGTAGCTGGATACGTCGTCATTGGTAAGCTATTGGTGGGTCGCAATGTGAAAGGCAGGAGACGAAGGTGCCATGGCCTCAGAATGAAAGCTGCGTAAAAGAGAATAGAAGATGCGACTGCAGCACATGCAAGGAGGACAGGACGAAGAGAGCGCCTTTTAAACAGACTCATGTCTGACGAGTTGACAGACGTGATTCACGACATCGAAGGTAGATTGGTTGGGTCTCATGAGGTTCTTGCGATGGTAAGAATTTGCGAACAGAATATGGGGGCAGCACTGGGGATTCCCCAGGGGCAGTACATCCACTTTTAATGGTGCCGCTCGAAGGTCAAGGGTACTCAGACTGCTGCCTGATCTGCCCTGTTCCGCGAGACCTATCATGTACAGCATATTTGTCGCTGTCAAGATACTCTTCGCTTACAGGCTGTTGCTTAAAGGACCTTCAGTGTGTTGGTTGCGTAGGCGCTCGGACTCTGGTAACCGTAATCATAAAAGCAGCGCAACGAAGAGTAGAGACGCAGCACCTATTACTTAAATTGATGTCAAGAAAGATTATAGCTGCTTCAAATCAGGAAGAGAATTATGTCAGTAGGTTGGTTTTATATGCATTGGCGCTAAGGGTAAGTTTTGAATTGAGCTTTGGGTTTTTGAGTGCAGTTATGGCGGGCCTTGGCACTTCGGGACGTCCCGCAGTTAGTTTAATGACAGGGGGTGGAAATCGCGTCTGGATTTCTCCACTAGCATGAAGAAACGCGATTTAGGTATTCTCCCTACACTGGTCGATTCAGTCCAGACAACAAAATCCGCCTATTATGACCAAAGATACGCCTCAAATCAAGCACGGAGGGCGCTCAGGGTCCTTAGGGTGGTGAGGATGCTCAAGTGAGTTGCCCATGTTGCTCTGGTGCCTTAGGTGAGTTCACTAACCCCTAGGTAAGGTAAGCCGAGGGCGAGTCGAGGATTAGCACCTGAGCAAGAGCGGCAAACTTACGAACTGAATGCAATGCGCCAGAAGGAGAAAATTGATCCATCATACCTGTTCATAGCCTAAATTGTAGGCTTGAGTATATTTACAATCACTACAGTCGAAAACCTCTATCCTCTTGTTGTGTGTTGCCTATATACACGCCCTACGGGGTTTTTCATGCAGATAACGTCTGTAAATTGTCTGTATTTTGTCTGTATTCCTAGTAGTAGTAAAACACAGTAAAATGTAGATAAAATTCAGATAATGTCTGTTACAATTTCATTAAAAAAATACAGACAAATTAGCGTGTGTTAGGGTATAAGAGTTTAGGTACCTCGGACTTTTCATGTTTTAATACAAAGTTAAACACAGACCTTTTACTACCTACCTCCGGAACACTCAGAAGGGAGACCTACCTTAGGAGGGAGGGAGACCTACCTTAGAGGGGTGAGAGGGAGACCTACCTTAGGAGGGGAGGGAGACTTACCTTAGAGGGGTGAGAGGGAGACCTACCTTAGAGGGGTAAGAGGGAGACCTACCTTTGGAGGGGTGAGAGGGAGACCTACCTTAGGAGGGAGGGAGACTTACCTTAGAGGGGTGAGAGGGAGACCTACCTTAGGAGGGGAGGGAGACTTACCTTTAAAGGGAGACCTTAAAGAAGGGAGAGAGAGTAAGAAAAGGGAAAGGAAGAAAAATATAGGAGGAAATAGGAGGGGGGAAGTTAACTTTATTAGTCAGAAAACTCTTAAAATACAGATAATAGCTGTATTTCCCTTAAATTACAGATAATATCTATATTTTCACTCTAAATTTTCAAAAATCGATTAAAATTAGAGTTTCTAGCTGAGAAAAATACAGACAATTAACTAAAATATAGATAGAAAATCTGTCTAAAATACCTATTTACAGACAATATCTGTAGGAAGTGCAGACAGTGTCTGTAAAAAAACCCCCGTAGGGACGTTGATAGTATTCCCACTCTTCAGTGCTTCCATATTCCATACTCCACCGCCTAAGAGAGCGCATAATTAATTACGTGAAGCCCTTCATTCCAATAACAAACACTACATTAAGTACAGGCTTACTGAAGACATGAGCACAGCTAGTTGGACTTCATGGGATATTATTCAGCCACGACATGTCCTCAAAATCAAACACCACATTCGGGAACCCCTCGGGTGCATGGCCAATTCCAGGCTCCATGCCACTAGCAATCCCATCCGGGCCACCCACCCTGCCAATGTCACCGCTCTCTGTACCACCGCCAGCTTGCTCATCGACAGCCGAAACAGTAGCAGCAGAAATGGTTGCCGACAGGATCTCCAGCGCAGCCACACATCGCTCGGCTAGTTCTCCATGACAGCAGAGTGCTTTGAGCATTTCGATGGCCGAGGACCAGGACTCCGCGATTGAGTAGATGGGACTGCTCTGCTCAAGGGCTGGTCGCAAGCGTGATGTCAAGAAAATGGTGGACGCCGTGTAGATATCTTGCATTCTACATTAGCTGGGTAGTAGCTAAATCCTATCGTGGGGTATATACGTACAGAAAATACAATACCACCACGCAGGCAACATCCCAATCTTGCCCCTTGAACGGAAGTGTGTGCTAATATGACCAATCAGATTATGTGCTGCTGTAAGACAGAGTGCAGAGCACTGAAAACTCATGCGTTCGCCAACGCTCTCGTCAAGAATCGTGCCGGCATAGAGAGGACGGGATTGAGGGAGGCAGAAGCGAGAGAGAATAGGGCGGAGTATGAGAATTCGTGCATGGAGAAACCTTAGAAAAACATTAGTTCAAGAATTCCTGATGTGCTCGGTTGAATAGAATATATATCTCACCTGGCTCTAAAGACAACCGCCTGCCGCTGGAAAATCGGAGATGTAAATGAATCTAATGAGGATATCCGCAGGTATGAAGGTAGGCTACGACCACAACCCATGAGATCATGATCCATCTTTAAAACCGTGGCTATCTCGGAGGAATCCACATTGTTCGTTACAGCGTCTGCATGTCCCCGGTTGTTTTTCTCCACTCCAGGAACAGCATAGAGCGTACTTGAGAGGGTTTCGGATATGATGTCGTAGAGTTGAAGGGTCTTGACATAGAATGTCAGGGGCGAAGCATTGTGCTCTGGGGAGTCTATGTGTGGTGCTTGGACTGGTGGTCGGGGATCGTGAGGGGAAATTTGTGGTATAGGAACAGCTCTGGCGACCACACTGGAGATCATAGCCGGACGACCAAATGTCATGGACAATATCCTGTCATCATCATAAGCTTCGGAACAGCGAGTTCTGTGTGTGTGATGTACCTATCCATTAATATACACCCGTGCCAAACCCGTCGGGTAAGTTCACTATCCTGAGCGGAATGATTCTCATACGCGTTTGACTGTGGTAAGTGTAGTCCTAAGCCTTGAGCGATCCGGACTGCATGGCCGATAACCATCCAGCATTGATGGGCATTACTTGTACTCTGCAAATATTGTCCCATGATGAGTAGACACTGGACGGTCTGTATTGATCCCACAGACCATAAGCTCTCATGGATGAGGTCCTGGGCCCGTGTAAAGAAGGTTGCAGCTAAAGTTGCCCGCTCTCCACAATCCATACTCTCTTCTAATTGACATGCCGAAGCAAATATCGAGTTGAGAATAGCTATGAGGACAGGGTCTTCTGGATCCGGAGACTCTCCAAGCCAGATCGACGTGTAAGCTTTGTGCATGAAGTTTTCATCGAGGAACGGATACAGAGGATGAATCAGCTCCCAATATGTTTTCATTAAACTGTCTGCCACCCTCCGAGGAGGAAGTGTATAGTCGAGCCTCACACGTGAAGCTTCAAGGGCTGACCGGTGCGGTGAAGTGCCAACAGGATACATGTACACAGGCTGCTCATGACCACGCGGAATTTGTACTTGGATATTTACAGCTGACTTCAGCTGCTGCATAAAAGAACTGGCACAGCTATTTCCGAAGAAACTTGGACTCGATGATTCGATCGGACCAGTCATGGAATTGATACTGTCAACAGTCGGAATTCCAGCGCCATTTGGAGTGTGCATACTCCCTGTTCTATATGGACCGCGAAAGTTGGAAACATCATCGACTCTCGGAGCTTCGTCTGTTGACTGATTGATGTTTGTTGATACAAAAGTAGACGGATGAACCTCATGGCATTCTTGAGAAGTTCCGACTGTGCCTAAACTGGTTGAAGCTGGAACCGGGAGAGGGGGCTGGGCTACGGGCGAAGCACCGTGCAGTGTTCCATTCGTTGATGATGTAGGCTGGTGATTTTGGATCGTCCCAGCTGGCACCCGAGTCGAAGCAGGAGGCCTGGGACTGCCGTCATCAGTGTAATTACATTGAGCATTGCGTCGCATACATTGTGCACACACTAGTTTGAGGGCCTGTCAGCTATACTGCTCCCATTGGAAACCCAGAACTCGCAGGTCCTTATAAAATTCAACCAAAATATCACCACTGCCATGGAGCACCTAGGACTGTTCCCTAGCGCTGCCCTGACAATGAGTGTCTGATTCCACTCACCTGGCCTGCTCCCACAGCATTTAACCTTCCGAGCTCGGCAGCGATCACACGCAACATCAATCTTGTGGCGCTTTTGTTTTGGAGCATCAGACATATCTTTGACGTTTGAATACCCTGTTCGGCAGAATGGAAGGGAACATCGGAAGGCAAGACAAGCTGGAGCGGAGAGAGTATTTGTGGGGTTGTGGAGAGAGGGGTTTACGGAACAGGGTTCTTCGGAAGGGCGAGGTCGATTGAAAGTGGCGTACTAGCGAGTCAGCAGCCAAGGCCATTCGCCAAATTCAGGAGTCCTTGGCCTCGTATCATGCAATATCGGAACAGTATTGACCTACTGTAATTGTGACCTCGCCGAAGACCAAAGTGGCTTCAATCACATCCACAATTAACCAAGTTATGAGAGCTCCGGGCGAGTTCGGATGTCAATGTTGAGTTTCATCCTGCTCCGAAATAGTCTTGCATTCAGAGAGTAGAACTGTTCACATTCCTTACATAAGTAGTCATGTACAGGTTTTCCTGCGCTTCCTTCTCCCTCAAACGATTTTATCCATACATAAACTAACGGCTGCGTTTTGTTTCGACTCCCTGAATTTCAACCAAGTCTTCTCTGCAAACAAACATGGCTTGGGCAAGGTTAATCAGATTTGTAGACACGAAGGGTATCACGTCTTTTGGAGAACCATGTATTGAGCACGCGGAAGACCTACTTAAGTCACTTGCCAGCCAGACGCTGTATGCTCTGAAGCTCGAGGGCTCAGATCCGTTTGCTCTGTCAGCCCCTGGGGAGAAAGTTCAAGTACAGAGCATACTCGAAGTTCTGAAACCTACGGATGTTCCAATCATCAAATGTATTGGCCTTAATTACATGAAGCACAGTAGGCAATCATTGGCATGTGTATCTTGGGATATTTGATCTAACAACCCCAACAGTTGCAGAGGGAGGCCGCAAACCCCCGCCATTTCCTTCTCTGTTTATCAAATCTTCACCATGTCTTGCGAGATATGACGAAGATGTCCCAATTCCAAAGATAGCACAGGGAAAGAATCTGGATTATGAAGGAGAGCTGGTCAGTTCTGATTGTGTGAATTGCTGCAATATGAACTAACATATCAAAGGCTGTTGTGATCGGCAAAACCGGCAAGAACATCAGTCCTGAAAATGCACTTGAGTATGTTGCAGGCTTCACGCCATCCAATGATGTCTCAGCAAGAACATGGCAAAAAGATCCCGCATACGCAGGAGGTGTGCCACAATGGTGCTTCGCCAAAGGATTCGACAAGTTCGCTCCCATCGGGCCAATGCTAGTTTCGCCATCAGTAGTCGGTGCAGCAGACAATTTGAGACTGCAGACGTTCGTCAATGGAGAACTTCGTCAGGATACGAGTACAGATGATCTGCTGTTCAATGTTCGCGCCATTGTAAGCTTTTTGAGTCAGGGCTCCACGTTAGAAAAGGGAACGGTGATCATGACGGGTACACCAGCCGGTGTAGCGATGGGAATGGCTGAGCCGAAATGGCTTATTGATGGTGATGTGGTGGAGGTTAAAATTGAGCATCTGAGTAGCTGTATCAACAAGATGGTTTATGAATAGAGCGTATGAAGACATCCTATTAACACAATCTAAATGCATGAAACTAAGATATGTCCTTTCCAGATTGCAGAAAGACTTTCGAAAAACATAAGACTCAATCTTAATTTACAAAATATTGCGCTTCATGACACATAATAAAGAGCTTAACAAGCTTTCAAAGTTTACTTAATGTCCTCGTGAGCAGTTCGGAGAGTGAAAAAGGTTGTCCGCCATTACGTGGCGCCGGAGTTGTTGTGAAAACATAAATAGCAGCTTTCGCACCTTCTATTCGATCCGGCTGCAATTCGAGTGTCTTTCTGTAGACTCCTCACCGATTCTCATTACACGATGTCACTTCAACCCATCAACGGTGCCTGCTTGTGCGAGGGCATACAATTTAAAGTGACAGGCTCGCCAGAAAAGGTGTTCGCTTGTTACTGTATTGATTGCTCCAAAGGAGCGGGCGGGCTATATCAACTTGTAAGTCAAAAACCTCTACCTGTAACAACACACTCGCTTATCTCTCCTTCTTAGATGGCAAAGTTCCCGAAAGAGTCCATAAACCTCTGCCAAGGTCAAGACCTCTGCAAAACGTGGATTGTGACCGAGACCACAAGCGGGAAAGACAAGCACAAAGTTTTCTGTGGTCAGTGCGGGTGTACGCTCTGGACTATTCCCATGAACCATGGAGGAGAGAAGATCATCGTCCGGACGTCGTTGTTTGGAGAACAGTAAGTGATGCTCCTTGGTATTCTCCGCTTCCTTTTGTTTTGGCAGCCTCGGAACCAAGCTTACAAGTCCAACTTCCTAGATTCTACTCATGTCAACCCACTGCCGAGTTCTTTGCCAAATTGAGACCACCTTTCCTCGCCCCAATTATAGGAGGGAAGTCATTTGACAATATGCCTGGTGCATAGCAATGGATCTCGTCACAGTGCGTCCAATGTACTTCCGAGCGGAATGGGCTTGGCTTCAGAATTTCGGAAGCCTAATCCTGGTTCCGCTTTTCGGAGGAGGGGTCTCAACCCCATCCCGTGGTGAACGGCGGCCACACCCTCTGGGGGCTCGGGGAGGATCTCCTGATGACTGAGGGTAGCTGGACTAGACCAATGAATGTATTCTGACACGGAATGTACGGATTAGGACAGCTTTCTTTGAATTTCATGTCTACCACGGTGACCTTCTCAGATTTTTCCGTGTAAACACCATATCAACTAGTCAAGTTGTTTGACTTCATTAAAAGTTGTTTCTTATTCCTCCTAAAGGAAGCCTTTATCAATCGTCTACCAGAGAAATGTCTCAAACAGCTACTGCCACTGCTGCCGCTGGCACTGCTGAGAAGCTGTCACTCCCAGCAATGACTGCCGAAGAAGCATTTATGGCTCCTCTACCAGAGCTACACCTTCAACCTCTATGGACTCAGATGAGCAAGATGGTTCCACCCAACCCAAATCCAACATCAGTTCCAATGAAATGGGCATACAAGAAGTGCAAACCTCTGCTCATGGAAGCTGGAGAAATTGTTGGCGCAGAAGAAGCTGAACGCCGGGTTCTCATGCTCGTCAATCCAACGCTGGGTAAGCAATGGCTTCTCTCATATATTAAAGAAATAGCGTCGTTGATAGTTCCATAGATGCACCATACACCACAGACACCATCTATGGTGGTCTGCAGCTGATCCTCCCAAATGAAATTGCACCTGCACATCGCCATATAGCCTTTGCCATGCGTTTCATTATCGAGGGCTCGAAAGGCTTCACTGCCGTAGAAGGCGAAAAGATGTTCATGGAGCGCGGGGATGTTATCTTGACCCCATCCTGGCACTGGCACGACCATGGAAATGAAGGCACAGAGCCAGTGATCTGGCTAGACGGCTTGAACCTCCCGCTATTCAGACATATCCCAGTTAATTTCGCCGAGATGTATAGCGAGAGCAGATACCCAAGCACGTAAGCGAAGTCTGGCCTCCAATATCAAAGGAGAAGGTACTGATCTTGATATAGATACTCCGAATCATACAAATGGCGCCATCCTTGGAAAGAGGCACAAGATGGCTTCGATTCTCAGACAGGACCTCACCGCGTACATCATTACAACAGTGACGGAGCCCCTTTGTCGACCACTCTCGGTGCGCAAGCTGAAATGATCGAAGCTGGTCATCAAACATCTGAAACGCAGGAGTCAATATCATTCATGTATCATGTCTATGAAGGCGTAGGACAAACAACCATTGTCAGCCCAGGAGGGGTTACCGAAGTCATCGAGTGGGAAGCGAACGACACATTCAGTGTGCCTGCATGGTCGAAGATAGCCCATCTGAATAAGAGCGACGAGAATCCGGCGTTTCTGTTTGCAGTACATGATAGACCATTGTTAGATAATTTGGGATTGTATACGAAGGCTGGCCAAGAGAGGAAGCTGTGATGGATTTTCGGTGGTGGCCGTTCCTGTGTAATATATTATTCTTTCTTCGCCGTGTACATTTTCCCTGCTTCGATCGTGGTAGAGGCTGAGACTTGTCTTCCTGCCAGTGTATCTCTTGCTAACATTCAAATGAAGCATTCTTTTCACAGCTCAGTCTGGCGTGACCGAAACGTGATAAAGTTGTTGCAGGGCAACATGTCTACTGGCTACGTTCGCCAGGGTATGAAGTTTCTACGAGGATTTTGAACCGGATCTCTCTAGCAAGGCTACCTTCGTATATCAAAGATGGAAACGTACTGCGCTGAGCTGCGTCAAGCATTGATGAAATTTCGCTTTTCACCCCGCTTGTCTTTCCGGCAATGGATGAAGATCCATATCCTCTTCCCAACTTCTCATCTTCTCATCCCGTTTTCTTTAACAACACTGCATAACGAAACTTTGCGATGCACCTACCTTGCGTCATAACGACGAATGGCTGAGGGAGCAGCCCGTCTCACCAACCTAGCCCGTGCGGATCAGCCAGCCTCACAGCGCAGCGCAGAAAAGCAGGGGGCGGCAGTCCCCCGCAACCAAGGGACCCAACGAACGAACCCCAGGCTTCATGGCGTTGAACTAAGTAAGCCATTCTCGCAAACATTCGATAAGAGCTCGCTCTGATCGAATACAAGCCTTCAAATCCCTGTGCCTGTGCAGATAACCACTGGTTACATTTCACAGGCTCAGAGCGCCGGTCTCCTTCGTTATCCTTGCTGGCAAGGGCCCCAAGTCGACGCTACAGCACAAAAGCCTCTCGATTACCAGATTTCATTATTTGTTGCACGTCGAACATCCCCTGCTCCCCTCTTTGATCCCAACATCTTCCCTTGTTCTGAGATCTCGGTCGTGGTGGCGTGAGCAAGGCTCTGCTTGACTTTGCACCCTAAACCTTGACAAAACTCGCTTGGGCTGAAGCTGAATGTTTGATTTGTGTCTGTTGCATATCGAGCATCCCCTGTTCCTTCGCAGATACCAAGTTTTGCTTCTTTGGCGTTCCAATAGACAAACTCAAGCCAGCACTATGCTTCCGAATCTGGATTGATGCAAGGGCTCACAAGATCGTCAATCCTCGAGCTTATATTTGTTGCATATCGTAGAACCCATGTCGTCTAAATTCTCCCTGTCGATATCTATGATTTTCGATAGCGGGGTGGAGTCAAGGAACCGAGTGGAGGGGTCCGTTGTGGTGAGGCTGAAGCTTGAGAGCAAACCTTCAACAATCTGCGAGTAAAACATCACATCTCCTTGGGTTAGTCCACTGGATTGGTCTTTATATATCTCAGAAGAGAATGAAAGATTGTAGGCTCGCTAGCTGCGGAAAGGATTGCCGGGCAAAAGACTGGAACTTCGTTTCTGGAAGATCCATTCTCGAGAGCCCATCTGAATATTCCACAAACTTTGGAATGTTCACTCATTGCGTACTACATGTTTTCTGCCTCATATGCGACCTTGCAATGGGTTCTACTCAGGTGAACCCTTGGCAGCACCTAGACCGGGATGAGGACTTCAAAGAAAGACATGGCTGACGTGTCAATTTTACTCGCGGAAAAAGACTGTCCACTTATTTTGGAAGTGAATTATTTTATTCTTCATGTTTCGTATCATTTATAGACATGGGAAATCAGCGACCTGGAGGACGTTGGAAAGTGTAAGTAAATGTATAATGGTCGCATCACATGACCAGGCCCAGGCCGACACCAACGTCATGGGCACCCTTGGGCTTGCCAGCACACTATCTCTACATCCCTGGTAAAAACCTAGCCCGGTCTTCCCGCCCTTTCTAGTCTTTCCAAAAGCAGTAATCAAAAGCATCTGTTGCACATCTTACCACCCCTGCAAACCTTGCTACTTTGTAAGCGTGCCACATATTCCAGCTTTGGGACCGCCTGGCTCAATAAGTTTATCTTTGTTGCATATCTGAGACCCCTGCGGATTATATCGTTATTGATTAGCTTGATTCATAGTCTGATTTCTCGTCTTTGTTGCATTTCTCATACCCCTGCAAGTCTGATATTTTGGACCAGAAATGGTACTGGCTTTGTTGGCCATTCGGAGCCCGTCTTGGACCATGATCGTTTGTTCTGTGGTTTCCATTTATTGTAACAACTTATAGTGAACTATGTTAGACATCTCCTCACTTGGTTCGGGAAGAAACTAGGTAGTAGCTGCCAAAGCGGTCACTTAAAGACCGAGTGCTCCACATCGTCCTTTTCAGGATCCACAGTTCCTCTACAACACAAATGCTAGCACCAGCTTGAGTTATACCAGCAAGGCCACTAAACTATCGAACGCGAATTTTGTTGCACATCTTAATCTCTTGGCACTCAATAGCATGTGAAAATCGCAGAATGCCGTTCTGCGAGCTGGACAAGGCAAGGACGGCCGTCGCAGCCTTCGAAAGGGTCAGGCAACGTTTCCAGAATGCCATGTGTTTGTTATGTAACACTGGACGAAAGAAAGACTCAAGTTCTATCATCTTATCTCATAGACGTAATCCATCGATCAAACAAGATCAGGGTCTGCCAGCTGGAAAGGATTGTTTAAAAGCTGTCACGTGAGTTCAGTATCTAGTCGAACCATATCGAGAGGAAAGAACAGCGTTGGAAACACGATTCCGTTGGTCATCCCTCCCCTCTGATCGTCACATGTTGCACTGAGTGGATTTTTTGGCAGCTTTTATCAGTATTCGTGCACTATCGCCAAGGGTCTTCCAAACGGTTGTTCTTCTGGGAGGAGCCGCAGGCGAAGTTGACGAGCATAGCAACTAGCCAGAACCGGTGTCTAGTCGTCTCCATAAATTAAGGTCTTGTTCTACACTATCTACCTCTACTAAGATGCTAAGGCCCTGGTCACCAACCCGCACTATTGCACACCTGGGACTGGACTCTCAAGCCGATGCGTCATCAGACCCTGGAAATACCGAGACACCGGGACGCTACTCTCTACTCAAGCATTATATTTAGAGTATCCTTCTGTAAATGCCCAGAATCAATCGGGGTTTTATGTATCACAGCGAGGCACTGTTTTTTTCCACGGTAAGGTAAGCGAACAACTGTATTTCTTATCTCAACCCCGCTTCTGTTACTCCATCTAACAATCTAAAACTCCAACCCATGACTTTCATCGTTGTATATATATCTGTTCTATCACCCAATTCTAGTCGGTGCTTCTACAAACCCTTCCACCAAGTCGTCCTAGCAATAATAAAGCTCCCCCACAAGATCTGTCCACTCGCCGCACTGGTATTTGCAACGAGTACGTCATACGTATCCTGCTCCGACACCCACTCATCCCTCTCCTCATCCCAAAAACTCGTCGCATACTTGGTCTCAATCTCCACAACGCCAGTCTTCTTTTCTCCTGGCTGAAGGTGTACTTTCGTGAAGCCCTTCAGCTCTTTCTTTGGCCGTCCGATAGATGGATTTCGCTGCGCAACATACACTTGCACCACCTCCGCGCCTGCAATCGAACCGGTATTCTCCACAGTAACGGACACCTTAACGATCCCCAAAGTCGTATTATGTTCAATTTCTAAATCAGAAAATTCAAAAGTCGTATAACTCAGCCCATGACCGAAAGGGAAAAGCACCTCGCGTCTGACAGACTCATAGTACCGATACCCAACATACACATCCTCGCCATAAAGCGTGCGGCCACGCTCGCTCTTGAAGCTGAGGAAGGTAGGGTTATCCTCAAGGATCTTGGGGAAGGAGAGGGAGGTTTTGCCGCTGGGATTGACGGTACCGAACAGGACGTCCGCGATGGCATGACCAGCTTCGTTGCCCCCGTACCAAGCCCAGACCACAGCTGAGACGTCATCTATCCATGGCATGGAAACTGGTGTTCCAGCTTGCAGAACAACTGCAGTATTTGGATTTGCGCGAGCGACTCGGGATATCATTGCGTCGAGATGCCCTGGGAGGGACATGTGCTGTCGGTCGCTGCCTTCAGTCTCCCAATCGGCCTATGTACACGGGTTTGTCAATTTATACTTTCTTAAAATATTTCGGGTAGAAGACAAAGTGAGAACTTACATTGAGGCCAGCGCAGATTATGACTTGGTCAGCACCTTGAGCCAGCTTCACAGCGGATTCAATTTCAGCCTCAGGATCAATTACAAAAGCTCCTCCGATACGGAACCCACCACCACCGAATCTCACCACGCCTCCGGAGCCAAGCGTATTGGTAGGTGCGCTTGAATACTCGACTTTGACATGATATGTCTGTCCCTCCTTGACTGAAATCACCGCCTTCTCTTCTACAGTCCCACAGCCAAAGAAGGCAGTCCCCTGGCGCTGCTTGGTGGAGTTATCTATTACCAACTTTGCATCTACAAAAAGCTGACCTTGGCCATAAACACATAGACCGAGCTCATATTCCCCGCTGATTTCCGGGGTGAAATAGCCTTCTATGTCGGCATACCAAAGGCCACTTGTGTTTGTTGGCACGACGTAATCCATTAGCATGGCATCAGTCTTAGTTATGACCTTCCGATCGACTTGATAGCGTTCAGATGCCGTTGGAGGTTCGTTGTAGACGCTGAAGCTCATACCGTCCTCACCTCCTGCGGTCTTGACTTGTAATCCCAGAATGGGAAGCTCCTTGTGAGAGTAGGCTCCTACTGTGAATGGAACCTTGATGCCCAAGGCTGCTTGGAACCCTTCATATGGTGTGCTGGCATTGTAAGAAGGTAAAGATGCGGACCCACCACCACAAATTGTAGCTATCCTTGCATTCGGTCCAATCACAACTGTCTAGCCCGAAATTAGTGCTGAATATCTACGTAACATTCTAAGATCTTACAGATTTCGTCTTCGAAAATGGAAGTGTTTTGTTCTCGTTTCTCAAAAGCACGATTGAGCTGCTCGCTAATTCTCTCAACAGCGCTCGACTTTCCGGACTATCAATTTCTAGTTCTGGTGCATTTTCGGCTATTCCTGATGCAGCACAGCTGTTGACAAGCTGAAGCACTTCTCTCACTCGCGTATCGATGACGTGTTTTCCAACCTTATTCGTCGTTATTGCATGGCCCAATGCTGTTCCGCGAAACCTCGAAGGACCAGGCATTTCTAAATCCAACCCCGCGTGAATAGCAGTTGAGGTGGAGTAAGTGCCGAACCTGAAATTCGTTAGCAGTAGAATCATATTGCTCTTTCGAGATCTTACCAGTCACTCATAATCAGTCCCCGCCAACCCCATTCTGTCCTCAGCACATTGTTCAGCAACTCTTTACTCTCACTGACATGAATGCCATTGATTTTGTTGTACGAGGACATCATTGCCCCTGGTTTCCCGCCTTTGATAGCAAGCATAAAAGGTAGTAAATAAACTTCCCTCAGAGCTCGTTGTGTGATTCTGACATCGACACGATTTCGCTCATGCTCTTGATCGTTACAGACAAAATGCTTGAGACAAGCAACCACGCCGTTGGCCTGAATACCCTCGATTAACGATGCTGCAGCGAGACCGCTCAGAACCGGATCTTCAGAGATTGACTCAAATCCACGTCCGCCGAGTGGTCCTCTTTGGATATTGATTGTCGGCCCTAAAACAACATGGACGCCTTTTGCGACAGCTTCTGTGCCCACAAGCCGTCCCGCTCGAACAAGCAAGTCACGATCCCAAGTTGCACCTAATGCGGTACCACATGGAAGAACCTGTTCTGTCAGTCATCAATTTTCCTTGAAAAGCCAGAAACTTACTGCTCCCCGGGTTCCAGCAAAGAATGTCTGACCTCTGATTCCATTTGGTCCATCTGAAAGTCTAAGTCCCGGGATGCCATGTTTCGGTAAAGATTTTGTGTGCCAAAAGCTTCCTCCTGAAATTTATCAGCGAATGTGGTCGCACAGAAGGGTTTATTTCAAGTATCAGAGGCAGTTACCTGATAAGAGGTCGATTTTCTCTTTTGGCGACAAATTTGACAGAACATTCTCCACGTCGAGTGCCGCCATATTGTGGAAAAGATTCCAAAGAGAATCTGAATTTTGGAAAGAAAGCAAACAAAAGCTGACTGGGACTACCGTGCAATTGTCAGGACAAAATGGTTCGGGATGCGATTTCGACAGGATGCTACTTCGGTTGGATGAGACTTTTCAGTGCTGGCCAATTACGCTAAATACAAAATCAACAGAGCGCAATCACAGATGCCGCAGATAAAGCGATATACAAACGGAAATGGGGAAGAATTTTGGGGAGAACTCTCCTCAGAAGAAGTCGGAGAGACGGGTTCACCATATCACCCACTTTTGTTCTTTATTGCAAAAAGGCGATCCTCCTCATGATCCATATATATTCGGGTTATCATCGGAGATCTACACAATCATCGGACGACTATCGACAATATTAGGTCTTATCTCCGCTTTGCCCAGACACATCCAAGATAGTCGGAGGACAAGAGACAAATGCCAACTTTCGGAATGCCAAGTAAATGCATTTATAGGAGGTTGGGTTGAAATGGAGGACTCTGTGGCTTCGGAACAGGGGCAAAGAACAAGGTTTGTAATTCTCGGAAGGTTCCCAGTACCTGGAATCTCCTCCACAAAACACGAGTCATGTCTCACTCGATACCTGGCTTCCGATGAAACCCCCTTTTTCCACCAGACTTCATGCCTTGGACCTCTTGGAAGCGCAAATATTGGTGAATTACTGGAGTCACAACCATCTCCACTCCAGATCCCCAGACTCCAAGCCCCAAGCCCCAGAAACTGGTTCTTTGCTAGCAACATATTTAATAGATGGGGCTAACGCCTTCGTTCGGCAACTCCGCCCAGGAGAAAGTCAAATCGAGCACTTCAATAATTGCTTCTCGTCTTCAACTCACGGCTCACAGCTCACTCTCTCTCCCTCTCTTTTCATCCTTAACTCCATCTTCCAACAGCAGCCATGAGCAGTACTAAGGATAAAGATATGCCCGAGACGCATGTTGAGGACGCAAGTCCTCACGTCCTACCACCGGATGTCAACAATGAGATGTCCGTCAGTATCTGGGATACTATCAAAGCCAATCCAAAAACAATCGGCTGGTGTTGTACACTGGCTTCAGGACCCATGGTATACGGATTCGACCTGATTATTGTCAGCCAGGTTGTTGCCATGCCCGCTTTTCAGTATGTTTTCCCTCACATTCCCTAATCGTTGAATCAGCAATGAACATTGAAATGAACAATTGCTGATTGAATACCTTTCCAGGAGGAGTTTTGGAACTCTTGTTGGCACGAAATATATCATCCCTTCCATGTGGCTTGCTCTCTGGAATTCCATGATCCAAGTTGGTGCCATGGCTGGAGCTCTTGTGTCTGGTGGTATATCGGATCGATTCGGTCGAAGGACTACATTTCTCTTCGGTGCCATCGTGACAGCTATCGGTGAGTACATGCAATCTGTATATCACCGGTTCCCAACTAATCATGAGCTGTAGCCACTGCCGTTATTTACTTTTCCGATTACCCCGCCAATAGAGAAAGTAGACGAGTGATGTTTCTCATGGGCAAGATCATCGCTGGACTTGCATTCGGATTGATCACACCCGCATACCTAACCATCATATCTGAAATCTCACCCTCCCGGTTGCGAGGGCCTCTAGTGTCATGCTTCACTTTCTTCACAGTACGCACATCTTCAGTTTGGCTCATCCGTATGTTCACTAACGTATCAGGTCACTGCACAATTAATCGGTGTTGGTCTAGTTCGCTCTCAAGTCAATGATGTCAGCCCCTCTGCATATCATGTAAGATCTCTCCCTGCCAGCCAACACATCACCACATATCTAAGCTCTCAAACAGAGAGTTTTTGCCAGTCAGTGGGCCCTTGCAGGTGTCGCAATCATTGCCGGAATCTGTATCCCAGAAAGTCCCATCTACCTAATCAAGCGCAACTACATGGACAAAGCTCTGCGATCATACAAACGTCTCTACAGCCACGATGACCCAGAAGCCAGGATCGCAGCCCTACAGACCGTCGTTGAACATGAGTTGATGGCCGAGAAGAACCAAGATTCCGTTTCCTACGTTCAATGCTTCAAAGGAACCAACCTGCGTCGAACCCGTATCGTCATCTTCGCCAATGTAGCGCAACAGCTCGTTGGCATGACGTTCATCATCAACATGACATACTTTCTCCAACTCGGAGGAATGGATCCTGCACTCGCGGTCAACATGAACTTGATCAAGCTTGCTATTGGAATTGTTTTCTTGTTCGGTACCTTCTGGACAATGACATGGTTTGGACGCAGAACACTGATGCTGGTGGGGTCAGCTGTTGCAGCCGTCTTCTGGGCCGCTGTTGGTATCGCGGGTTTCTTTTCAAGTCCAGAAGCTCTTCTGTGAGTACTTCCATCACGAACCTCTGCTTCAACAATATGGTAAATTTGAAAACTTGACTGACGTGGGGCATTATCAGATTCATCGGTCTGGGCATGATCATCGTCTATGAAGCATACGCCCTATCTGTCGGCGCCGTCTACCCAGTCGTCGCCTCTGAAGCATCTTCAGTCCGCCTCCGCGCTGTATCAAACAGTATCGGCTTCGTCAGCCAGTTCTTCGCGGCCTGGCTCTTCGGCTTCACAGTACCGTACATGTTCGGTGCCGATGCTGGCAACCTCGGCGGCAAGACCGGGTTCATCTTTGCGGGGTTGAGTATCATTTGTGGTGTCGTCTCATGGGTAGATATTCCTGAGACGAAGAATCGTACGTATGCTGAGCTGGATGAGATGTATGAGATGAACTTGCCAACGAGGCAGTTCAAGAATTTTGTTTGCACTGGTATTCAGGTGCCGCATGTTAAGTCTGAAGATGCTTAGATCGATGTTTAGAAATAAATACTGTATATTTTGATTATTGTAGCGTTTTATTCACATTTTATTGTGTGTTATTCACCTTGGTCCATCATGAGACCTCTGGGACATCCAAAGACCTAGAAGAAGCACTTCAGTTCTTTACATGCCACACAATAATTTGCTCCCGTGAACTAGAAATATATCTCGATATCCACTTCTCCTCCATCAGCTCCACCAACCCGGATCTCTTGCTCCTCATGATCTTTCTCTACCTCATTAATCTTCAAACTCCTCCTCTTTACCCAAACCTCCTCCGGAACCCTCGCAACTCCATTCAAACCCCCAGGAGTCTTACACCACAACCTCCAGCCTACACCAAACAATTCCCACCTCACAACAATCGGCTCCCCCACCGGAGTAGGCACTCTCCCCGCCGCCCACCTCACGCCATCCATCTTGAATCTCGGCGCCACGAGGAATGTCTTGTATCCAGGCGTGACAGGCTCTACGCCTAGCACGAATCTCGATAAGATTGATGTCGGACCAACACTGAAGAGCTGCGCATACGAGCAGAATTGATCTTCGAATGGTGTACCGTCAGGATTCATAAACTCCCAGGTCGTGCCTGTGAAGTGAGGCGAGAATACATCACACATTGGTGCCCATACTGTGCGGAAGATGTGCTCGGCCGAGGAGACGTCGCCAGCTTGTAGGCATGCGAGGATGTGGAACGTAGAGGTGATTGGGGAGATGGTCCGTGGCACGTTTGGAGTATCTTGGGAGAACTGTGTAGGTGAATTGTTGTGTGTACCAGTGTAAAGGGCATTGAGTTTCTGGAGTAGGGAAGCTTGGATTGGCTCGGGTGCAATGCCCGTGGTGAGGAGCCAGGCGTTGGTTTCTTGTTGGAATCCAGTTGGGCGGTCAGCTGTAATCTTGTAGTGACCCGTTTCAGGGTTGAAGAGATGCTTGTTTATGGATTCTGCTGTTCGATTCGCTTGGGATAGATAGATCTGGGCGGCTTTTGGATCGTCTATGGCTGCAGACTGAGCCATTGTAGCGCACTTCCTGAGTACTGCGACATAGAGGACATTGCGTTTTGTAGCAACTCCCGCTTGCTGACCGTTATAATAGTCGTAGTCCATAGCTATCTAGGTCAGCCCTTTTCTTGGAACGGGAGAGCAGTACATACCAGCCATTCCTTCAACCGAGATCAAGCCATCATCGTTCGCCAGCTCCTCCATGAACTTTAAACATCCTTGCATTTGTTCCCAATAAGTAGAAACTAAAAGGTCATCGCCTGTATAAAGCCAGAAATCATACACAGCTAGGATGAGGTACAAAGAATAGCTTGCCGACAGAACTTTGAACATGGTGTCGTCGGCACTACGTTCAAATTCTCTGCCAGGCGGAATTCCTCCTGGTAGAAGACCCGCGGCGCCGTTCCTTGCCGTAGACCTCATCATAGAAGCTTCAATGTTCCCTCTAATATATTCCAGACCTGCTGTTGAGTAATATAATGCCGGTCCTCCAGTGATGATGTCGGCAGTCCACGCATACCGGTCTCGCTTAGCTCCATCAAAAATGTATGGCAGCGGATTCCAATTGATTCCAAAATCGCCCAGTACCGAGGGGTTATTGAGACCGGATGTGTACAGAATCTCGTCAGAATTTGCGGACTTTACTGTGACATTACGAAATCTACAGATCTGATCCTCGCCAGCCCCGAAACCGATTGATCCTTGTGGGAATCCTTGGGGTCCGAAAGAAAGACTTTCTGGTTCTATGGCAGAAGTCAATAAAAGGTTCTTGTTGAATGCGAATGACTAACTTGGTGCATTAGAGGCAGCTGTCTTGAAAGTACCCACAAGCTGGCCATCAATAAAGACCCTGTATACTTCGGTTCCAACACAGACGCATTTGATGTTATACCACTTGCTGGCCTCAATTTTGCGGTTCTTCAACTCTTGAGACTCCAACAAAAGAGGAACCAAAGTCTTCTGTGGCTTATTGTAAAGTCCAAACCACAGTTCCAGTGTGGTTGAAGTGGCGCCTGCATCCACGTTGAGAACGAAGAGGTGGCCGCCAATTGGCTGCATCCTCACACCCCAGCAGAGACCCCCTTCAATGACCATCCCTTCAAACTTCACTTCATAATCCCCCCACCCGCCTCCCCACCCGTAGGCATTGCATCTCTGTGAATCGACTAAAATTCCCATATCTTCTGAAACTTGCCATGGAGGAGGAACAGTCCTCGCAGGAATACAGTTAAGTTGCAACGTACGTGCTCCGTACCCCCAGAGATCTGTGAGCTGGGTATCTGAGCAGGCAAAATATCCCGGAAGTTGGTCTAAAGGCGTGTTCTCGGTAGTCGGCTTGAACGCAGCTAAACTCAATGATATCGAACACGGCTGTTTTGATGCCAAAGTGATTTTCATCCATCTCTGACTTCCTTGGACATGTTTCGCTTCGTAGAAACCAGGCCCACGAATCCTGAATCTGTTCCGCCGCTGTGTGTCTGCTCCGGCTGAGAAAGGGAAAGGCCCATCACCACCATGTCGTTCGATGCCTGGAAAGCCCTCTGAATATGTCAGATCCAGAAGAACGGGTAATGAGGTATGTTGAAGAGTAGCAACTCGAATTACAGGTATACCAGCAACGGCAAATCTAAAGTCAAGAATGAGTGAAGCGGTCTCCTCTTGTCCAGCAACCTGCTTCAAAGTACATGACGATTTTGGCTCATGGTCATTTTCTCGTGATAATAGGACATCTGGAGTTGAAACATTTCCAGTACTCGAATGTACCTTGAAGGGAAGAATATGTTGTGGGATCTCAATAGTGTTCCGATGCTTGTACTTCGTATTGAGAAAAGCCCCGGAGGAGCTGAAAGCCAGACTTGACGACATATGGATTCGGATTTAAAGCGAACACAAATTGGAACAATTATGACGAGACAAGGAATCTTAAACGAATGTCCAATGTCTTCGGCGAAGCCGTCAACGAGGGAGGCTGAACTTCACGGTCGTTCCATTGGTGGGGTTATGTGTTTCCCATTTGCAGTAGGTTCCGGTGGGGTGCTTCCGAGCCCAGACTTTCTGGTGGGTACTGTATGGTGTGCGTTAACGAAGAAGGAAGTCGTATGCACAACAATCCGAACCTAAAATCTGCACCTCTCCACAGTCTCCATCTTTTGGTGCGTTGGTCATCCAACTTTGGGTCAAGGCAGAGCGGGCACAGAGGCCCGGGGTCTTCAGGCGGATACGCCGCAATGTGGGGGAAGCTGGGAAGGCGAATGGTTGAAAGAGAGGCAACATAATGGACATTGGCTCAGTGGTAGCCTGTACGCTTAAATCCAGATTTCGATACTCGAAATTCTTCAGTATGATATAGAAGAATTGAAAATCTCATTGGAAGCTCCCTATTCTGTCATGTCTATCCACTCAACTGCCGAAGACACAGTTTTTTAAGGGACCAAAGCTGAAGCGAGGCACTAACGTTACCTATCTTACAGGGAAGTAGCGTGTTACAGGCTGTTCTTCGCTTAATTACAGGGCATTTCCTCAGAATATTAGCCCCCTGCAGAATAGGTGTTTAGTTTACTAGTTGAAGGGATAGCTAATCCTGTGCACTCTAGACAATCTGAAAAAGTACTCTTGTGTCTCGACTTTTGGAATCAGATTACTAGAAACGATACCCAGAAAAGATCTTTGACAATGGGACCAGCTACTACAAGTCAACACAAGACTATAGAGTCATGTTCTACTCAAATTTTCCGGAATTGAAGTCCAAAGGACATGCGACCAAACACTCAATGTAGAGTATTTTTATATAAGCTGCGACCATATCATTCACCATATCATACACTTTCCTCTCCTCAGAGAACTCGAAAAGTTCATATTAAAACAGCCTCCATACTGAGAGACTTCCCCATTGTGGTGGACCTGTTCTAGGACATATGGACTGATGAAGAGAATTTTTGCGTGATACGGGCAAGCGAGCATCTCCAGGTACTGTAACTTCGTAAGGCTTAGGATCGTCTAGTGCTATGCGCCCATAGAGAATGCGGAATCGGACTCAGAGACGTGGCTCCCGAATTCGATGAACGCGAGGCGGACCTTTGCTGTCAACTTGTAGTCTGTTGTCACTAACTTGTTATCTGTGTAATGACAGCAAAATTTCTGTACAGTACCTCATTTGTTACATTTGCAAATTATCACTCTTATCTCCAAGAATACTCGTATTCAAATAATTTTTCACAGCAATGCATGTGATGACCATGTTTCCGTCCGCTCCTTATTGGCTTCTTTGAGCTCATCATCGCTCTCTGCCATTCCAAATCACTCAAACTGTAGAGACTTATATACTCAATCTCCGTCCCTCAGTGAGACAAGGTACTTGCAGGTGAGTCTCAACCATCATTCACTATCCATATGATCCTCTCCCTCAGCAATGTTAATATTCCTTCTCAAAAGTACGCTCGCTCCTCAATCCTGAGAGGCATATAAGCAAACACCCTTTTCTCTCAGGGAAGGGTGCAGACAAGCAGCGAACTAAAACCAGAAAACATATGGTTTGAGAGATAGATGGAACTGCTTGTAGACAACAAATTCTGTACTTGTGTATATTCTGCTTCAATGGGAGTTTGAGGTAGCTATGGAGGGAAGGATTTATTTACTTTGTTGTGCTGTGGCAATATGACACTTTTTCTCCGAGCTCTGGAAGACGATTGCTGTCATATTCAAGTCTTTGTCAGATTCAACTTCGCTGTTGTTGATCTCCCTTAATCAGAACCAACTTTTGAACTTCTTTTTCGACATTCTATCGTTTTCCAGACTAAATCCGCAACGCTTCTTAGCAATATGCTTGCTCAAGGGACATCTCGTATTTCATGGTAAGCTTGGGGAATGAAAACTTCAAAATTAGAATTGAATAGATGATGACGAGGCTGGGCGGTTATTATATATCTTTTTCCTAGGAGCGGACAGACTGTATTTCTTACAGTATGTATGTATACACGTAATTATCTAATTTTACAAGCCAGAAAATCTAGACTAGTTTTTTTTTACCTACTATACAGGTATTTTACAAGGAATACATTCAATTCCGAAGTATCCATCAATCTATCTGTTATCCAGCCGCTTCGCTTTTGAGCTTGATCTCAAATAAACTACTTCTGATCCTGAGATTTCCTGGAAGGTGGCATCCACGTGGGGATGCTTAGCCAAAGAACGCCCGCCCGTAGGCCTGACGTCGATTTCTTTCTCCCTGTCTTTACAGGTAAAGGCTGGAGTAGCACCTCTCGCTGTCTATCTCTCGATGACTCTGAATTGTTGTCTCTGATTTTTTTGGAGGGTTCGAGCACGATCCTCGTTCTAGAGTATCGCATTCCATTCGCGCCTCATCCGTCCTCCACCGGCACCCATCCAAACCAACTCCTATTTCTCTCTCTCATAGAAGACCCACCCTCCCCTTGCCTTTTCCATTCCCCTCAAAATCCCTCACTCACTCACTCATCAACAGCCAAACACATAGCCGTGGCATAATCCCCATCATGACTAATGCTAATCCTCACCTCCTTCGGCAGCGCCTCACCCTCCTCCCCATTCCACCTTTCCGGCAGCACAACCGCCACCGGCGCAAAGCTCCTCGTCTCTCCTTCTTTCTGCTCCGGTTTTAAAATCAAGATATCGTGGAATGTGAGGCGGCGGGACTGGTGAGCTTTGATGATTGCTTCTTTGGCGGCGAAACTGTGGTGGGGGAGGGGAGTATGTTAGTTTGTGGTTCTGGGGGTGAGAGGGTGGGTGGTGATGATGAAGTTGAGATGTCAGGGCGAGATTGGGTGAGAGGAGAGGTGCTGGGGGTGTATATGGAGGTGCGAAAAGGGAGAGGAAGGGAAAGAAAGGGGGATCGTGAAGGTTGTGTGAAGATATGGAGGATATAGGAAGGGCAGACATACCGACCAGCCAACCATTGTGCGACTTTCCGCAACTCTATGTCAGCAGCTTCGAGATCCCTCCCTAGCTCCTCAAGACTCTTTTCTGGCGTCCCGGCCTGGATCTCATTTATTTCCTCTGAGGTCATCTCGTCCGTGTATTCCAACAGCCTGTCTCTCATCTCCTCGGAAGTCTCCTGGTTGCTGTCATCTGAAATCACCTCTCTCAAATGCTCAAAGTTGTTCTCTTCCACAACATCATGAGGAATGCCATCCTCTTGCTTTGGAGGTTCGTCCCCAATTTGCGGTGGCACGCCATTAGTCCGCTCGGGCTCGCTCTTAATACTAACAGTGCGAAACGTCGGGAACTTTTTAAAATACTCGTCCCCAACCTGCTTTGACGAGCTATTAGCGTTCGTATGGCGATATCCCCGCTTGCCATAGCCTCCCCAATCATCAAGCATCTCCAACTCCTCTGCCAGAGCAGCAACCTCCCAAGGGTGCACGTAAATCCCCTCTCTCCCCATCAGCGCGAGTATGTTCGCCTCTGATCTGCTTGGTTTCTGCATTCCTCTCGGATACAACTCTCGGTAAATGGTGAGTGGCTGTGATTTCTCCCTAGCAAGGTCAAGATCCTCCGGGTCGACTTCGTTTTGCTGGGTAAGTTCGGCAACCCTGTTCGATACTTGTGAACTAGACGAGTTTGACGAGGACGAAATCGAAGACTCTGTTGACTCGGCCAAGTTCTGCGTCGTATTTGGTAGAGATAATGCAGATTCCTTCTGTTCCGTAGTACTTTCTTCACCATCTATATCCCGTCCCTCCAGTACACTGTTGTCTCCCACTCCGGAGAATGGGTTTCGTTCTGATGTCGGAGGAGCCGATTCGTCAGAAAATATCGATTCTGGGTCTGTTGTCATCGCTGGGATGTCATGGGTGGTTGTAGGCTGTTGAGAAGCAATGCGCCCTGCGTCGACCGTCCCCTGGTCACCTATAGCTCCATCTTTTATCTCTCCTGAAATGCTATCGATCACTCCGCCATCTTCGCTCGGTATCGGTAGACTTAATCTTATATGCTTCGCAACTTTTCGCAGAATGCGATACTTCTCTCGCTTCTGCAGTAGCTTCTGTTGAATCCAGTCCTCCTTCCCCTCGGAAGGCATATTTCTATTGTCTTGTCGCCATTGGTCCGCCACCTCTTTCATGGTCGCGGTAATCCAAACACGATCCCCTTGATTCTGAATTGGGGTTTTGTTTTCGTCTTCATAACCCTCGTAACCTCTCTCCGTCATCCACGTCTTTCTGCATTCCAACGCAGCCCTCAATAAATCTAGATCATTTCTAGCCTCATCCTCAATATGTTTTGCCATATCTGACTTCTTCTGAAGGTCTTCGGACCTTTTTTTGTTTCCTGGCACATCCGCGCCAAGTTCAACCGCCTCTGTCCCCTGTTCCAAGTCCCTCTCCGCTTTTCTGCCCTCCTCCTGAGGTCCTTTCTTCGCACCGAAGATACTCTTGACATTAGAAAGCCAAGTTGCAATTCCATCACTCTTCTCCGCCACCTCCTTATCCTCCTCCGTGACCTTCTCCGATTTGGACTCCTGAGGCTCTTTATTGATCGCCAATAAGTCCTCTCGTTCAAGGTCATTTTTGCTTGACTCCTGGACTTGACCCGCATTCTGAAACTCTTCTTCTCCCACCAACCTTATTGCCCCTCTGTGTTTGCTCAAGAAAGCCCTTCTACGCGCGTCACCTTTAAGCATGAAAGTCCGTAAATCCTCCACCTCCTTCTTTCTCATCCCCAATTTCTCCATAGTTTCCTCCCACATCTTCATGCCAGTCCTTCTCTTCGCAGAGGCCCGAAACAATTCGAAATTCGCATATGTCCAGTTGTGTAACACTGGCCTGATACTGCGCTCTTTCACCTCGCTCCGCTTCAGGACCATTTTTGCAAACCTGAATCTACGTTCGCTCCTCAATATTTTCAGGATCCGGGAGACTTGGCATATATCTGTGCCAATCCGATATGGGGAAGGAAAGGGCGTGTAGCGTGGTAATAGAGTCATGGTTGCGTTGCTAGGTGGCTAGCAAGCTGGCTCTTGGATGTTGGACAGAAGGGTAGCTGGGTAGCTAGAGATTCGTGGTGCAGCTTTTGTAGATCCGGTCCGAGGTGCCTGTATTCGAAAAGATGCCAGTACCAGGAGTAAATCAACGCTTCGCCGACAATTCAGTGTGCAATCCCCACGCCGCCTCATCCATCTCTTCTTCCCCCTCCGCTTTCCCGCCTCCGCTCCTCCAAATATAGTTTGCTGGCGTTCAGTTCGTGAAATGATTGGAACAGAATGTTAGACTAAGGACTGGCGAGTCCGTGAAGTGGTGGAGTGTACTTGGAGTTTTGTTGGAAATGGATCCAGCGAAAGACGGGATTCCTATGAGTAGGAGACCAAAACTTTTGGACAGGAGCTTGGGCCCGGTCTTGGGTTGACAGGGGGTGCGGGAACGCTATCATGTGGGGCTACGGTAGGTGAGCATACCTTAAGCATCACAATGGAATCAGAAAATACATCAGACCAACTCTCGGGATATTTACAGAGAGGATATGACAGATGCGAAAGTAAAGTCGATTTCATTCAGCTACAATGCAACGCCATGCCAAAATACAGACTTGAAAGTACCATTTCCTCCGATTCATCATCAACATCTCGCATGGTCACCAATCGGAGAAGCACGCCTGATCCACACATTGCTCGATGCATAAAACAGAGGTATCGAAGACCTCGACCATAAAAGTAACCTCCAGACGCGATTCGCCGTCATATCATCATCCTCTCAATCTTCTCTACCGTCCATGTCAGTGTGACTTAGTTGTCGTCCAGCAGAGGAGCTCTCTCCTGATCAGCCGAAACGACATTTTGATCTCTTCGGAGGCTGATCTCCTTGCCAAAAATGCCTGGGATGGCAATGACGAGGGTGGCAACGAAAAGGGTAGCCATGATGGTGAATGCGAAGATCCACTGGAAAGCAATGGTCTTGGTGAAGAATTGGCCAACTCCGAGAGCAGCGGTGAGGTAGCTGAGAGCAAATCCCATGGTGTAGTCCTATTTCTGTCAGATTTGACTCACAAGTTCGGCTTGGAGATAATACCTTGAAGATAATCAAGAAGAACAATCCATAAACCAGAATACCCCAAATGGCAATATTGGCCAAAATACGAGCAGGTAATGTATGCGCATTAACAGCAATAGCTCCGTTCCAGTAAAGCGCAACGAAGTTCCAAGCCAATGGTCCCGAGACAGCTGGGATATGGATTGCTCGGGCGTATGTGTTGTGGCGGAAGTAGAGGGAGGAGAGGTTGAAGAAGTTAACGACTAGGATGACTTCGGACCAGAAGAAGTGGCCCCGGACGAAGAGCATGATCCAGCCGAATTGGAGGAGGTTGTTGAAGATGAAGTGGCTTCCTACTCCAGCAGCAGCTTGGACATGGTCACCGTTCTTGGAAAAGAGGTGCCACATGTAGCCAATTTGAGACAAGAAAAGAGCGAGCCTAGAAAGTTAGCCTAGTACTCGGAAGACTTGCGGCTGGGATTGAAGTGGAGAGCAGGAGAGAGCAGCCAGCATACCAGTACAACGAGCCCATCAAAGCATTCAAGGCGAACGGCGTTGGGTAAGCCTTGTTCTGGCCCCATATAGTATTTCTCCAATGCTTCTTGTCATCGTATGGTTGGGCGAAGGTATAGTTGACGGTGGTGATAACTACGAGGAGCCAAGTGATGATTGTCAAGACCTTGTATGTCCAAATTGCCTGAACATTGTGAGACTCGCGCTTGGCGAATGGGTTTGCTGGGCGGTGTTAGCAGAGAATGGATTTTTGGTGGAAATGAGTATTTGGTGTCAAGGATACTGTCAGGTTGGTGGGAAGTTGCTAGATCGGTAGTATTTACCTTGAGAGAAACCAGCCATGTTGGTGGATGGTGTTTGGTGGTTGAGAAGCTGGACGTGCTAGAATTTTACAGACGAGGCTGTGATGCGGGAGTCAAGGTTCAACCTGCCTAAGGAATGAGAAATTTGGTCTTCTTCCTTTGAGATGGAATTTGGAAGCAAATTATATGTACTCACGATGTCAAAAGTCACTTCGCTTCAGTGAATGCGGATGTCGAAGACGAAAGAGTGAAGAGAGAAGGAATGGAAGGAAGAAAAGAATTCCCAGCCCACAAGGAAGCTTTAATGAACTTTTAATTTCGATCCGATCCGATCAGGCAATACAGACAAGGCAAGGCAAGGCAAGGCCAACCCACTTGCCTCAGTGACGTACCTACCCAGGTCCCGCAACTCCTACTCCTATTGGTCACAATCATTTAAACCAGGCCTCGGGTGGCCATGCAACAAAGGAAGAGCTTTTCTGCTGTCCTATCATTTGCCCACTTCTCCCCCCACCTGAATCAGTTTACACGACTTTCGTCTTTCTTGCGAATCGAACAGGCAAGTGAGAGACGCGTCGAGGAGTGTGGCGTTGTGACAGGAGGGCGAGGAGGGGTACGAGTGCAGATTATGGCTCTGCTGGGCTAAGTGCGGGGAAGGACAGGGTCAGCTGGGTCGCGGATCAGTGAGATGCCAGGATGATGGCTAAGGGCGGTGTTTATTATTGTTAGTCTGGAAAATTGAAATCTCCTGATCTCTTTTCCATGCGGGTAGTTGTTTGTGCTCTTTTCAGGCTCTTATTGATGCGAGTTAGCTAATAGAATGAGTAAACGACCAAGAAACTAGTGTTGGTGTTGATGTTTTGTTGCCCCTGAGCTGCATCTCAAGCAACGGCGTCTGTCACACGGCATCAGATTGACGGTGTACAGAAAGCGTGGTACCGGACTTGTCAGATTTGCAGCTGGGGGACGGCGTGCTGCCAACTAGACGGGACTTTGCTCTAGATCGGTCCAAATTACTGGATGATTTCTTCAACCGGTCGAACCTTTCTAATAGACGGCAATGGGATTTGTCCCAACTCTCCTGATAAGAGCTCTTGTGGACAGTCCTTAAGCCGACGCCATCTGAAGTCGTCTATTCCATGGTTACGAGTACTTTCGTGGGCCAATACTGCATGCTGATCTCTCTGGGCGTTCATGCAGAGGACGAAGACGAAAATTAAAAGGTTACAGAAAGTCTAGCAGCGACGTCATGTTTCACGTTTCAGCTTGAGCCACAGTTGAGGTCTCAACAGCCACAACCTTACTGTGGACGCGCGATTTGCAGCTATCGGATCTTCCCGAGGTCCGATCAACGCAGGCTGACTGGTTGCCTGCCCACCAGCTCTGGAGCTTCCATTGATGATTGTACAACAACAACAACACAGCTCTATCAACTGTTCTCAACCAACAACATCATGAAGCTCACTACTGTCTCCCTTCTTGCCCTCTCGGCTGCAGCTGTCAATGCCCGATTCGTAGAACAGCATGAGACTGATCAAGTCGTCATCAACGCCATAGAAGATGAGCGCTTCCTGATAGAGCTCTCCCCAGGGAAGACACAATGGGTTACTGAGGAAGAGAAATGGGAATTGCGCAGAGTAAGTCCTCCATCTTATCACCTCTAGCCTCCACTAATACATCCAGAATGGCCAAAACTTCATGGACATAACCACAACCCAAGACCTAGGCTCCAACCTCAAAGCCAGCTCCAAGAAAACACCCACCTTCCCCTCCAAACCTACCCTGCAAAAGGACCTCTCCCCCCTTATCAAGACCCTCTCCAAGAAGAACATGCGAGCCAACCTCGAAACTTTCTCCGGCTTCCACACCCGTTACTATAAATCCGACTACGGCCGCCAATCTTCCGAATGGCTGCTGCAAAAAGTACAAAAGACAATCTCGGATTCAGGCGCAGATAAACATGGTGCCTCTGCAGTACATTTCAAACATCCCTGGGGTCAGAATAGCATCATCGCTACCATTCCCGGAAAGAGCAATTCCACCGTCGTGGTTGGCGCTCATCAGGATAGCATCAACCTCTTCCTTCCCTCCATCTTCTCCGCGCCTGGCGCAGATGACGATGGATCTGGAACCGTAACTATCCTCGAAGCCCTGCGTGTACTCCTCACATCTGAAGATATCATCAAGGGGAAGGGAGAGAATACCGTGGAGTTCCATTGGTACTCTGCGGAAGAGGGTGGATTGCTGGGCAGTCAGGCTATTTTCACAGAGTACGAGAAGACGGGACGAGATATCAAGGCTATGCTGCAGCAGGATATGACTGGTTTCGTGCAAGGGACTTTGGATGCGGGAAAGAAGGAGTCGGTGGGAGTCATTACTGATTTTGTGGATCCTGCTTTGACGGACTTTATCAAGAAGATTGTCACTGAGGTATGCTTTCCCATCCACTCATCAATCACTTCCGAATGTATTTGCTAATAGCTGCAGTACTGCGAAATCCCATACGTCGAGACGAAGTGTGGATATGCTTGCTCTGATCACGCATCAGCTTCCAAAGCAGGATACCCATCAGCTTTTGTCATTGAATCCGCTTTTGATGACTCCGATAAGCATATTCATACTAGCGATGACACGATCAAGTATTTGAGTTTCGATCACATGCTTCAGCATGCTAGGTTGACTCTTGGACTGGTTTACGAATTGGCTTTTGCGAAGTTGTAGGAGTGGGTTGATGAGGGAAGGAAACTTGACTCCTAGTAGCCGGCCATGATGTCTCTGTACCGAGTTTAAAGATTGTAATCTATGATCGATCTGTTTAGTTTTAGAAATGATTCGCTTGACAAGCCGAAATTGTAAGTGATTAAGACTTCCTCCAACCATCAAACCAGCAAGTACTTCCCAAATGGGAATCTCACTCTTGCTAGGCTCTTCCTCACAATCCTCCTCCCTATGCAAGCAGCTTAATACAAACATGTATTACAAACCGTAAAGTATTTCCAATCTCGCTTTTTCTCTCAGATCACCACATGGTTCATACAACTCCAGCCTTCGACTCATACATCAACCATACCTCCCAAGTCAAAGAGTCACCACGCCCTCCCCTCCTTCCTCTCATTGGTCACATCCCCGTCTCTTGATCCCGCATTTCATGCACCCAATTCCAGGCTGCCCCACATCTTCTTATCGTATCGCATCCTAGCTCCCGAGCTCTCCATATCCGGTCCATCCAGGCTTCAACATCCATTTCCCCTTTGTTTTAACAACACCAGCATCAATCCATCCATCTACATCTGCATCGATAGATTCCTGCGTTGATTCTTCATTCTTATCGTAAAGAAAGGATAAGAAACCCAGTTCTCGGCATCAGAATACCTAGAACTACACAGCGCAACAAAGCTCCGATAAGCGTCGCATCCAGACACGTCTACGCGTCATTCATCCATCCATCCAACAATCTATCTTTCAAGTACAATTACCCAGTCCGCATCACATTTCGATCCCACGAAGCACAATCCAATTCATCTCCAACCCGCAATCATGGCGATTTACTCCTCCGTCCCACCACCCTCTCAAGTCCAAGCCCCAGCGCAAGCCTCATCCATCCCCAACCAACCCACGCAACCCATCGACGTCGCAACATGGGCATCCACCTCCCTCCAAAGTCTATCCATCTCGCCCTCCGCGCGCGGAACTGGCGTCACTCTCTCTCTCCCATTGGAGGACGATCTTGAAGTTAAGGTAAAGAAGGCTGTCAAGGCGGAAGGAGGTGCAAAGATGCGGAGAGATAGTATGAAGAGACGGGAGGCACTGCTTAAGGGAAAAGAGGGGAGTAGGAGGAGACAGAGGTGGGAGAATGGTATGTCTTCTCACTTCCGCTATGTCTTACATTCATTATCAAATCCCCACGCCAAGCCCTCAATATCATTACACTTTCAAGCAGAAATCTTATGCTCTCCCCCACAGACAACCTCCTCCACAACCCACACATAACCCCCCCTCTCCCCTCCGACTGGGCCCCCTCAGCAACCCACCGCGTCCGCCACATCCCCTACTACCTCGCCCCCCTCTGGGACGCCGGCATCGCCCACCGCGCCTCCGAGCGCGCCGCCCACTCCTCCCCATCCTCCATCCACGCCAAACGCAGCGGCATCATCGAAGAGAAGGGCCGAGTCCCAGCCGATCTCAAGAACAAGCTCAAGAAAGCCAAGGGTGCCAAAACCCTCTTGCAGGAACTTGAAGGAGAGGTCAGGGCATTTGTTAGGGATTTCGAACGTGCGGAGAGAGTTAGGGAGGCGAAGCTGGCGGGGAAGATGTCTGGGCTTGGTGGGAATCAGGATAAGGATGAAGATGCATTGCTAGATTCTGAAGATGAGGAGATTGTTTTTATCGGGAGAGATAAAGACGGGAAAGGCATCACAATGAGCGATGAAGTCAAAGACGTCGTCGAGGAAGAACTCCAGCGCGAGAAAATCGTTTATGAGGGCTTAGAGGGTAGTCCTAGCGGGGGGTTTGCGAGGTGGCTTGTTCATTCTCTGGCGGGATATTATGGCTTGCAGAGTTGGAGTGAGACAAGGGAGGGCGCGCCGAGGAGGAGAGTGGCGTTTGTGGGTGTTAAGGGTGGGAATGGGAATGGGAAGAAGGGTGAGAACTTTGGAGTTGATGATCTGCCGAGACCGCTTTGGGGGATGGTTTGAGGGGTGAGGGTGTTGTTTACCTACCTGGTATCAGCGAGTGCCTTGGTTTTATCCAGGGCGAGAGTCTCCCAGACATGCTTGATTCTGAAGAGCAGCGGCTTGATCCCAAGCGTTTGTATGTTGCTACAGTCCATATCTTTCGTCCTCGCTTTTGATTTTAAAATTGTCTGATTATGTTTAATACCGTTCATTTCCTTTCATCCTCATGTATTGCATGTTTCCTTCTTTCATTCACTATCGATCTTTCATTCCATTGCTTGTCCGTCGAGATAGAACCGTACACATCTAGATACACGCACATAGAGCTAGATTTCCAAATCTAAACAAAACTAAACTCTCAATTTTTTCTCCAAATACAGCTCTTACACCTTGGCCAAGATACATTCTATACAGCCACATACTTCAACCTGTCCCGTCTTCTTCATGCCACTGCCTAAGAGTCAATGCCTGTTGTTTACCCATACTTTAAGCGAGTCCCCAAGCTCCAAGCCCATCCCTCCTCCTCCTACCTACCCGCGTAATACCAAAACCACCGTCCACCTCCCCACTTCAATCCACTCCAATCCAATCCCACCCTCCACAACAACACCACTTCTCACCACTTCTCTCCTATCACTATCAGTCCTATGACTCCCTGGCCTTTGATCTCCTCTTCCTACTCTTTTTCTCCTCTCCTCTCCTCTCCTCTCCTCTCCTCCTCTTCCCTTCTTTTTTCTGAAGTTCAGAAACTCGGTAAGTTACTTTAAACGCTATCTATTCCAGGAAACAATTTTAGTTTCCGAGATAACGTTAGTTTGTTGTTTAATATTGCTTCCAGGTCTATCCACTCCTACCCCGAACAGTCTATTTATTCATTGCTTTATTCTTTTATTCATTCACGGCCGTAAATGCCAACCCACCTGGTTTAGAAAGTCCGTGTGTCTAGCTATAGTCTTCAGAAAAGACATAAATACGGTAGAGTTAGTGAAGGGATTTCTATAAATACAAGTTTAAATTCCTGGCATCAGAAACACAATTGCGCAAGAAGGCAAAGACACGAGTCAACAATGCTGGGCGCCGGTTTGTATGAATTACTGGTAGGCTTAATAGTGGGGAATGATGAATCCTGAAGGAGGATACTGGAATGAGAGGTGAGGTGCGTGCTGCATGGCGCAGTGCAGGCCAAATTGAGTGATTCGTTGAAAAGATGATAGGAAGTAGAGATACGATGGGGGAGTAAATGACAGCAGGACATGTGTATGACAGCAATACCATACCTTCACCTGAAGTTACTACGTCTTGTAACTTCAAAGTTAGACTTCTCAGGGTCTCTTTCTTTAAGATGGTGCTTGCCAATCATATAGATTTTTATACATACAGTATCTCAATAAGCAGATCCAAGGTACGGACTGTTTCGTGCATGTGGTGAGTAGTGCTGCACACCATCCCACACCATCCAAGCTGTTGTGTATTGTGCTTATCGTATGTTTGATCTCTAGAGTAAGTGGTAGAGGGAGAAGAGGGGTTTATATAGCTTGTCCTGTCGTCTGGGACGGGACCACCGAGGGTAGGGAGATGGTTAAGGATTCGACTTTGCCAAGTTGATCATCAAGCGGATTCACTACACATGAAAATTTTCAGTCACTCGTACATACTTCATTTTCATAACCTGAACAATCCCTCCTGAATCGTCAAGTCAACCATGCCATGTGTAAAAACAAATGTGTTTATGGGCATCTATAAAAGCTCTACTGTCAACCAGAAATTCCCTGTATTTCCTTGTAGTAAGTCAGACGAAGAGACTGCGACTATAAGATATGGCGCCGACACTTATCGGAGAGCCCTATTCAATATAACCTCCTTAGAAATTCGCTTGGTGAAAACTCAGGCGGTAACTAAATCTCCTACTCGGCGCTGGAGAAAAGGTAAGAAGGCTGGTGATTCTTGTATTCAAAATTGCTAACACGAGGGAAAAGGAAAGATATCATGCTGTCGCCTCGAAAGAAGGAACAGAAGAAGATAAGGCTGGAAGGCCAGAGTATCACTAGCAAAGGATCGAGGCAACAAGCCAATTGCGTTATTGGGCCAGATTAACTGGTATCATCGAATTTCAACGAGGAAGTCGATGTTGATCAGATCATAGCAGACTGGGAGTGGATGTGTGCTCATGCATAGAACCCTGAATTCTCTGACAAGATTATGATGGAAGAGGTGAAGGATGTGATATTAATCGCAAGGGTGGGCAGACATCTCTAAATCAACATTATGGAGAGCGAAATATTGACAGTGGACGTTGAAATGACAACAACTTCAGCATTCTCAACAACGTTTTAGATCTAAATTCTCCAGAAGACGAGTTGATCTATTTGCTGTCCATATCCATGTTGCTTTGACATTTGCTCCAAACGACTAGCTTTAAGGATGAATTGTATTGGCTGCCCGTTTCCATTAGCCTTCTGAGCAGGGCGATCCTTGAAGTCAGGTCAGGAATCTCATTCGACCGTTATTGTATTTTCTAGTTGCAGGCAGTGTTGCGGTGCTTATATATTATGTCTCTCGGGCCGACTTTCTGATGTTTGGAGAGAGCGTCATGCGCCAGGCCGATTCTCAGAATCCCAAGTTCCGGCATTGGAAGTAAATTACACATTCCGAAAGGCCTGTTTCTATTGTTGATCTAATTCACTCCAAAGGATCAGTGTCTCTTCTCAGAACATGTAATTTGAGATATGAAGGAGCTGGGAGGGGCTATAAATATACCCGCTCGTGAGTTTCTTCGGCATCAAGATAACAAGCTAGGTAGACTAAAAGTCGCATATGATACTTTCTCGTTCAGGATTTCAAAAACATATTTGGATTATAGGTCATAGCCATGACTGGAGGTCTCTAGTGCTCCGTGGGATATTCCGGTTAGTGCAAGGGGAGATCAATCTGGCTGTGGTGTGGAAACCAAAGCTGCGGCAGTCGGAACGTGACAACCGGAGCGAGGAATGGCAATAGTTTTGGCTTTGACAACAAATAGTGACTTTTTGTAATCAACGGCTTATTCCAATTCGTCGCAAATTTTGAGTCTTTACCTACTGCACGACTTAAATAAGTATCAATGTTTAATATCATAATCCTGTCAAGTTCTGATACTCATTTTACAGCACCAGAGTACTAACGCGAGCCGTATGGTGCTACACCACCACATGCATCGCTGAGATCGTGTAGGAATGCCTTTGCTTTTGAAAGATTAAGCCTCACAGAAGCCGAATATATACCTCACTTCCACAGGTGGGTACGCCTATCTTTGGTCGCTAGCCTTTATTCACCGGATACTTACCAGCAAGGTGAAAACTTGAAGGTTCCATTGTCCTCCAAAGACTAAATCAGCTGGCAATCGCATATTGCAGGAGTGCAGGTGACCTTCATCGGGGATCAAAAAAGTGACACAGATCAGGCAAGGTATCCCCTCAACTGCCGAAAACACACTTTTCTAGGGCAGAGCGCTGAAGCGAGGCGCTAAGGCTGCCTGGACGACAACAAAGTGTTCTAATTTCAGCGTTCTTCGCTTAATTACAGGGTCTCGCTACAGGTGTGTTTGATACGGCAGTTGAGGGGATACGTATCCCCCGGCTTGAATGTTAAATGTGTAGAAAACTGGAGTCAGTGTGGGTAGCTTTCTAGGGTGTCTATCCAACAGAAATCGCTGCTTTGAGCCCTTCTACGGAGGAGTCCTCTCAAACCTTCTACAGCTACTCTTACCTTTTACAACAGACCTAATTCTGGCTCGTGCTCTAGCTCTGTCTAGGGCCTCCGACCACTCAGCACTTGAAAGTCAGGCCTCCGACCCGCAAAAGTTCACATTTACCATTCAAGCCGGGGGGGGGATAGTAAAAGGTTTGAGATACACTTAAAGCCTTACTTAGGGCTAATAATTAGTAAAATCATTAGATTAACACCTTAGCTGACTACCCACACAAGGTCCAGTTTTCATGAGGTTTAACGTTTGTTTAGGGGGGCTAGAGTAGGCTTAAATCAACTTAAATTCAGAGGTCCCTTGAGATCGACTCCATCGCAACAGAACATGAGCTTTATGTTGTGTACCAGAGACACGCTTTTCTGGCTTCCATTCTCTCAGATTCATTCCTTAAGTTCTGTGGGCTGTTTTAAACTTTCTCTGAGACAAGCTTTTCAGCGTTTGGAAATGACAAGAGAATATTTTGATGTTAGCAAGAAATGTGATGGAATGACATTGAAAGGACAAATGGCAGCTACATGTGTGGATGTTTACTAATATCATTTCACCAGTAAACTGAGATTTATTTGTATTAATCTATACCCAGAAGAAAAACTGCTGAGCAAGTCAAATCAAGCCCCCCCCTCTGCAGATTCTCGCATGCGGCCCACATTCCCTGAATCATGAGGCTCATCTGGCCTTACGAACTCACACTCCTAGAATTGTCCTCTGTTGAGTTCCAAACTGCGTCGATACCGGCTGGACTTCCTCTCAGCATCCAAGCCATGTTTTATACTTCCATCATCTCTTTCCATCTTCTTGTGAATACAAAAGTAAAAGGGCATCCAACCTCAGCTTAGTTACCCCACTTCTGGTGGGGACCTCGCTTATCGGTGAATATTAACAAACCATTGTAGCAGAGGTCCACGCACACCGAAAGTACGTCGTCCGGAAAGCTGAAGGCACGAGCAACTATATAAAATCCTATGGATACTGTGTAATGGGTTGTACAAAGCAGAGAAAACGGCGAAAGACTTTGCAATGGGTCTGGGTTGGCGGGTTTGCAAACTGCTGGAAGATTCCTGCCTTTATTGCAGTATTTTGCTGAGCGGTTGGGCAGCTGGACAACCAGTATTGCCGATTCAGGGGTGTAAGATGTTTTTTGCTTATGTAGTCTCATAGATCATGGGGCAGGTTTCCGAGGAATGACAGCGAGATCCGAGGTGGCAACAACCACCCTTCTGATCGCTGATTGTGAGCCGAGAAACATTACATTCAGCTTTCTCATTCTGTTCTTAGTGAATTGGAGCTTACGTTCCATGCTCCCGCAATTCATCAATAGATTCGTCCTAAAAACTGTTTTCTCTGCTTCAGTCAGCTCGAATGTTCATGGTGAACTGAGAAGTTATTACGGTCCCTGACTGCATTCTGAAAGTCAAACAGAGTGGTTAATATAGCCATGAGCGGCCATGCTTGACGCCAGTCTTTGCCATATGTTCAACTTTGCTGTGAACTCGTGAAACCCTGTTCAGTTTCGAAGCCGCGATAGTGTCAAGACGGCCCTCAGTTATTCGGAGAGAGCGTCGCTCGTAATTGCCTGTTTGTACCAAATCTGTAAATGAGTACAGCCCCACAATAGGAAAGTCCAATATATTGAAAAATCGAGAGTATTTGTACCTGATGATTGTAGATCTATATTCTTCTGGAGAGTCAGAACATTCACCGTCAAGAACTAATGACAGATATTTCAGGCCCCGAGAATCAAGTGTATAAGATGGGCATACAAACACGTCGATGGGCGAACTTTGAATCGACGGGACTGTTGATGATGACACCTATGTCAAGAAGCTCACATGATATGGTGGAGTTGCGTAACTTTTACTGCAGATCCCTAAGTCTTTTCATATCGTGGCGATCCTCCATGATGAGGGGTTGAGGAACTTTCGATGCATTAGCTACAAGAAATTCCTGAATAGAAATTGTACACGCTTACCGTGATGGCGAATTTGCAAGATGTCGGTTTTCGAGTTGGATATCAGCGACAATCAATCATTACATATAGAGAATTTTTCATAGTTTTTCGTCCGAAGTCTCTGGAGTACCTCAAAACAGGCTGCTGATGGTGAACTCTATATCCTTTATGTAAAGTCAACAAATGTCGACTTTCTTATCTAGCTTTGAAGATCATTGAAGAAGTGAATATTCTGTCCGAATTACAAAGTATACATTGAACTACCCAACTCGATCCCCTTGCTTGCCGCTAATCCAGACCCCCCACCCTCTCTTCCGCTAACTGCTTCACCATTGTCTGGACTTCGCACTTTACGAGATAGGAAACCCACCAGCCAACAACATTACACCCTGCGGATCATACAACGACCTAATCGCCTTCAACCTCTCCGCATTCTTCTGACCATACAACTGATCCCACGTCGTAGTCCCATAAGCATATCCCGGATACTGACTACCCTCAACCAAGATACCCTCCGCCCTTGCAATCTCCTTCAAATGAGCAATACTCTTCTGAATCGCATCATTCCAAAACGCATCGTTCTCTGCCTCACCCCATTGAAAAAACGCATTGAGTGGAAGTGGCGAGTCCGCATGAGGATACGCCGAATCAGTAGCATGTTGTCCGTATGGCAGGAAGGGCTCAATATCGTACTGCATAAGAAGACCATCACGTGCTTCTGTGAACTGACTCCAGTAATCTGTTTCGTTGGCTACAGCAGCGAGCAGAGTGTGGGTGAGTGTCGTAGTGGAGATTGATGCGAAAGTTCCACGAGCACCTTGTCCGAGTGATGCCAATGTTCCTGTTATCATGGAAGTGTAATCTTGCGTAGCCAGATTACCGAATGTTTCGTTGAAACCGTTGAAGACATCGAAGTCTGCTGGTCGGCTCTCGCCGTCGTAGAATGAGAGGAGGATGGCGCCGGGGAGAGCTCCACCGCCCATGGTGAGAATTACGGAAGCTTTGGGGTCTTTGCTGTTGAGGTGGAAGGACATAGTTGCATTGATGAGACCTGGTACTTGGGTCCTGTCAAAGAATTGAACGCCACCATAAATTTTGCCTGGTAGTGGGACAGTCTACAAGATACGAGTGTGAGTTTATATCCTGGCTGCAGGGCAAGTAATTGAACGTACCTTGTAGACGATCTTCGTCACTATGCCGAAGCGGTTCAGGCCACCTTTCAACGCAAAGAATAGATCCGGTTGACTCGCATCGACGGTTTTGATTTCTCCACTTGAAAGAACAAGCTCATACGACACCACAGTATCGGAAACAAGCCCGTATTGGTTGGTATACCAAGAGTAACCACCGGACAGAGTAACTCCTCCTGTCCCAGGGCCATCAGCTCGACCTCCGAGGACATTGACACCTGAATTATTGAGAGCGTTATAAACTTCCGTGAAGCCCTTTGAGTGTATCAGTCAAGAGGCTTTTTGAAACAGAGTGAGGGAGACAAACATTTCCTAGACCAACTTCAACGGTCGATTTGTCTTCCGATAATTTCACTTGCTTCATCTTTTGCAACGATATATGAACACCCGTTGTGCTTGAGAATCCAGGTACTGAAGTATATCCAGCAGATTTGACAGCGAAAGGTGTCTTTGTCTCACCAATAATTTGGAGGGCTACCGACACATCATGGGCGTTAACAACCTCGACGACACATAATGGTGTTTGAGACGAAGAGGTCATGTAATGTGTTATGGCTTCGGTGTATGGATTCGTGGTAGTCGAATTTGTGTCGGTCGAATTCGTTTCCCCAGGATTATAGTATACATTTCCATTTATGCTATTCGCGATATGAAGACAAACATCATCAGGAACTGATTGGCAAGCTTCGTCTGCATCGCTTTCTGCTTGGCGTTGAATCAGAACTCCAGCAGATACTGAAGAGATCAGAAGTGGCAGAAGAATTGGAACATGCATCGTGATAGATTAAGCAGTTGCTGGCAAGAAAATGTGACTGATATCCTTGAGTGAAGACGCAAAGGAGGAATTGGAAAGCATTTATTCCATAAAATCGAAATTTGTCGGAGTTACCAGTGAAGGCGCGAATTACGTGTGTAAACTTCTGTCAAGGCGTGAATTAACTATGTAACTTTCCTTCATAGTTCCTACAGCCTTAATTTCTTGCAAAGTTACATTGAAAGGATTAAATTAGGGCCGAGAGTGATCTAAACATACTTTTGCCCAGAACACCGAAGTTCCGAGAACAGTTGACATCCTGGGCATGATGTCGATATAGACTTTTGTCACTCTCGCTCTCGCGCCCAACCACTTTCTACGTAAAGAGCCGGGACTCCCGGGCCATTATTGCGCAAGCCAAAATCAAGGGTAACGGTCGCTTCAAGTCGTGCTCTGCCAGGTGAAGGAAACCTCGGCTCACTGAACATGTAGACTTTGAGCTGTTCCCTGGCGGCAATCCTTCATCTTGGAGAATTGGCAGAGATGATCTCGCTTACAGTCAGTAAAACGCCGACACCATTGGCTCCTCCTTGTCACCGCCACATCGTTGCCTGAAATTCATGCATCCAAAATCTCATCAATACAGAAGCCACACAGGTGACCAGGCGTTATTCTCGTGTTTTGATATGTCCCTTGAGTTCGGATCGTGAGCTTCGAGGCAATGATCTTCAATTGCGTGCTGTTCGCTCCCTTACCATTGCTAAGCAGAAATGAAGCTTGTAAGACGGTGAGATATATTCCGATCGATCTTCCCGTGTGGTGTAGACATAAAGATATGAACTTGTTCTATTGTATCCTTCCTTCAGACATCACATCGACCAAATCTATAGACAGATTATTCTTCCGAACAATCAACTCACAATGCCAAGCAAAGTCAAGTGCCCTACCTCACAAACTAACAATGATGAACTAACACACCTCCAGATCGCAACACCCGAGGAGTACCTCCCAGCCCACCTCGCGCTCCTCGCCAAAGAAAAACAACTCAGGGAGCTATCCTCCTCTGTTGCCGCCGAGCGGCGTGCTCTCCCCATGGTCCACATAATCAAACCCTACGCTTTCACCAGTCCCACTGGCCCAACCACCCTCAAAGACCTCTTTGGGACTAAATCCCAACTGATCATCTACCGCTACATGTTCGAACCTACCGCTGAGGAAGGTTGCCAAGGTGGCGCCAAAAGAGTATAATTTCGAGCCTGCTGAGAAGCTGAGTGGGGAGAATCCGGGGCTGAGTGTTTTTAAGTTGGAGGATGGGCAGGTGTACCATACTTATTCGGGGTTTGCCGGGATTGAGAGTCTAGCGGGTGCTTATGTATTTTTGGATTTGACTCCTGCAGGGAGGCAAGAGGGTTTTGACGGGCCGGCCGAATTTAAGACACCTGAGCAATATGCGCGGGAGAGTAATGGTTGGAACTGATGGCATGTTAGCCACACTGGATCTTGAACTTGAAACAAAAGTACTTACTATGCAGGTTTCTTGATTGTGGTCGTTTTTGATATTTTAGCATTTTGCCATTTTCCAAACTTTATGTTTGGAAATGGAATGATGAAAGAGTAGCAGCCAGGGCACGGGGTATCCTGGCAGGCTGAATGACAACATGAATATAACAAGATAGAATTTACTAGAACTAATTTACAGGGGGTAAAATATGCTAAATATAGCCATGGGGGCCATATGAAATAGTTACACTACTTACGGTAGCGTATTTATGGTTATTCTAACGTGGGTCAACACGCCCGTGAGACCCCTCATGATTGACTTAGGTTTAGATCCGTTCGCTCTACATGTCTGATATAAGTCGGAGCCATCTCTGCGTTATGATTTAATGTTGAGAGTGGAGCTGAGGGAACTGTTGTTTTTGGCTATCCATAGAATTATATTTGTCTGTAGAGGAATCATCAAACAATCAGATGCCTGCCACGTCAACTGCCCGCTAAGATACCCTCGCTCATAACACCATTTACATGACTAGCGAAGTAAAGCGGGCCTCGGTCAGTTTTTTACAGTATGACACCAGGTATGGACTCGCCAAAGTGACTAATGGTTGTGGTGGTAAACAACATCGTTTGCTCCAGCCAAGGACCTTTGCTGGTCTAAGCGAGACGACTTGTATTTTATTATTATTGGACAACTACAAGCGGAGACGACAACAATCAAGTTGAATTAAGCTTAAATTATATACCTATTCCCAGGTGAAGAATGTTTTCGCGGGAATGCACGCATTCAACGAAATCGCGTTATTCTCCACTTTTGAATCGGGAGCGGTTCAAGAATTTGTACAGAGGCTGGTTTTATTCTCGCAGAACAGTTTCCTTTCCTTTACTTTGCTTCTTTCCCATGATCCAAATATATCAGATTCATGAAGCCCATCTCCAAACCGTTTACTAGAGCTCTGAAAATTATCATGTGAAGTAAAGAATCAGAATCCGGCCTCATTGATATTGCCCCACTTTCCCACACCCCGCATTGACCCCGCGTCCCGGAACGGCAGTTCAACCTCTCGGACTTTCCAAGAAAGGCAATTTCCATTCTCAGCACCCTAAATTCTTTCCTTTCCCCGAAATTTTCTCCATAAAAAAATTCGCAAGGATTTCGCGAAACGTCTTTTTAAAAGCCATCAGAAATTCATATCAGATTCTATATCCAATATTTGCTTCTGCGGTCCTTGATTCTCTATCAACCTTGAGGATAATCGCTGTAATTCACATCTCCAGGAACACCAAAACTCAAAATGGGAGACATCTCAGCTGCTTCACCAGCACCTCTGATAACACATATCGTGTTGTTCAAATACAAACCTGACATCACGTGGACGGATTTAGAAGCACATTTCGATGTCTTCTTACAATTACCTCAAAAATGCTTGAATGAGGATGGAAAGCCATACATGGTCTCCATGAGAGCTGGTACGTATCAATTCACACCACAAACCCCAAAAACACCTGGCTTTCCCTTCTCCCTACAATCAAAGTTTTAACACCCACTTCTAGGCAAAAACCAATCCTGGGAACCCTTCTCCAAAAACCTCACCCACGGCTTCGTCCTCGAATTCGCCAGCCAATCCGACCTAGACTACTACCTCACCACCGACCCCGTGCACCTCGCCTTCTCCGCCGCCGCCAAACCCCTCATAGAAGACAGCGTCGTCCTCGACATCCACGACGGCGTGCTCTTCGGGCCCTCACCACGCGCTCCACCAAACCAGACCAAAACCTACCAGGGCTCCTGCCACTGCCAATCCGTCGCGTGGGAAGCGACCCTCACGGACGCAAAGCACATTCTGTGTCATTGCGGCACGTGCCAGAAACTTGGGGGTGGACCCTATAGTTTGAATGCGATTATTGACAGGAAGGAGTTGACAATTTTGAAGGGGGAGGAGGAATTGAAGGTTTATACCTATAAGGGGGATTCCGGCAAGGAGGTTAGGTGTTATTATTGTGGGAATTGTACGAGTCATGTTTATCATCAGCAGGAGATTATGGGGGAGAAGATTATTGTGAGGACTATTCTTTTGGAGGGTGGGAGCGAATTGAGTGTTGGTGGGGAGATTTTTGGAGAGGGGAAGTTGGGGTGGGTGAGGGAGTTGGGGAAGGTGTTGGATAGTGCTTAGATCGTTTTGAGAAGTCAGGTGCTCGGAAAAGTTTAGGAGTTGAAATGTCAAGATGACAGCAAGATATAGAATGATAGCAGCCGCTTACGCATCGTCGGGTCTACTTAGGAGCTCAGGTTGGCGTTAGAATTATTGGTCGGTCATATTCAAATTTCAATTTCTCTTGTATCATTTCAATGTTCCAAGTGGAGAGAAGGTTCATGCCGCAATTGAACGATTTCGATTTGAGGCGTGGAGATTTTGATGTTTGCCTGTAGCTGAAGGGGCGTTTTATGCACCTCCACGCTCTTACCACTTTGCTCCCCATCCACAACATTCACTCTTTGACTTCACTCTTTGACTTCACTATTCAAAACCCCTTTCCCCGCCCCCCCCCATCCCCCCCCCCCCCCCCCCCCCCAGAACACTGCCACCATACCAGCCACCTCGCACCCAAAACACACTCCCTACTCCTTACTCCAATCCAGACACAATGCTCCATTCACTAATTCAAAACATTTCAACGACTTGAAATTTCCTATAAAAACAACCGCTCATCACCGTACTTCTCAGAGCATGAAAACCCCAAACGATCAAAAGAATAGATAGGGTTCAACCATTCAATCTGCTTCCTTGAAGATAGCTAGGTCTCTAGAGGGCTGAGAAATACAACCGAAGAAAATTGAAATTTGAAAGAAGGTACAATCGTTAACGTTAATAATTTGACGAGTACGTCATTAGTTAACAAATCAGAAGATCCAAATTCACAAACTTATTTCACATGACAACAAACCAGTCAATGACAACAACAAAATAATCGACCTTCCCTCGCAACAACAACAAGTAAACATCACCGACAGTATCCTATGTTTTCTTCCAGTGGCTGAAACACAAGCAACCACATCCATGACCAATCTGAAATAGTCACGTCTACCTGCGCGTACATCTTCATTCTCCAAGACGACACAATCCTTTCCTTGAGATATCCATAAAGTGGCTTTTGTGATGCTCATTCAACCAATACAGTCGACATGTTCGTATATATATACCCCCCTCAAACTCCCAGCCCCACTCCACACTCTCCAATCGATCAAATTCCAGACTCGTTTCTTCTTTCCAATCTAGCACACAATCTCACTCCCTCCCCCGGCTACCTTAGTAAAGTGAAGTGAAAAGTGAATCACTACCCTCACACCCAGACAGTCTCAACTCGCAGATAATTGGGGTGAGTAGTAGGTCTATCTATACATATATATAATCCATCCCAAGCCCCTAAAGTTCAGATCCTCAACACACCCACAGCTACCACTTTGTGATGTCACATGGGGGTTTCCATGTATACGTGCACGATTCCCTTCCTTAAGTGGCTTGCTCGTGTAATATTAGCTTTTAAGGTTAGGTTGAGAGTGAGAGTGAGAGTGAGAGTGTGAGTGTGAGTGTGGGATGGGAGTATTGGACATTTGAGACTTGAGGGTTGGATATGAAAGCCGCGAGGGATTGATGGTGGGTTGGTCGGTTAGGAATGAGAGTGAGAATGACAATGAAGTGGTAGATCACAGCAGTAGCTATAGATGAAACTCGCGGAGACGGTACTGGAAACGTCCACCAAGGTAATTATCGAACTTCTTACAACAGTCACGACAACAACTTGTAAAAGATTTATTTTTGATAAAGGACTGTAAAAAGAAAATCAACTGGTTATCCAAATCCAGTGCTCAAGCCTCAACTGCGGAGCTTTAAGCGTCTCTTCTAATGGTATTGTTGTTGGGTACAAGAAGGACGGTCAAGGAGCCTATATAGCTCGAGAGAGTAGCTGAAATAAGTGAATTGTTTGCTTATTCCGTTATTCTGTGAATGCATTCAGACAGATGAAGGGTATCTCAAGACCAACCGACACCAACGCCATTTCCGTCCGTACCCCACCCCACAATCCCAGCGCCGCGCCCAAACTCCATTCCAAACCAACCCCAAAGGAAGCCCATCTCCACTAAATTTGATGGCCAAAAGGATCTCAATCCTTAATCTCCAAATTCGACACCCTCCTCCCCCTCCCCATCCTTAATTGCCCCGGACTATGCAAAATCGGCACATCATCCCCCACAACCTCATCAACCAACTGATACCTCTGCACGCCATCATCATCCTCCCTCCCTCTCCTCCTCCTCTCCTCCCGGAGGGGACTCTTCGGCGGAACAGCCCATTCTGGACTCCTATTCCCACGTGCACCCCCATTCCCATTTTCTTTTTCATTTCCACCTTCAGCTTCCTCACCTATCCCCACCCCTCTCCCCCTCCCCGCATTCCCAGTCCCGGAAAATGACCCAGGAGGAGAATGAACACCACCACCACCACCACCAGACGACCGCCTCATACTCAGGCCCCTAGGACTCCACCCCGCGGGTTTGATCGGTACAGGCCCCGACGCAAGTCTCGGTCTCTGTGCGCGCAAGGCTTCAGTCGTGACGCCCCAGTCTTGACTTCGTCGTCTTCCTCCACCGCTTCCGCCACGGAGGAGCATTGGTGCTGCTCCAATCCCGGATACAGCGCTGGGAAGGTCCCCAGTGTGGATATGTGTATCTCGCTCTTGTCCTTGTTCTTGTTCTTGTTCCTGGCGAAAAGCGTCGTGGTAGGAGCGTGAGAAGTCGTCTATTTCAGAGGTTGAGATGAGGGGTGTGTTGGCTGTGGCTGTGGCTGTGGTTGCGATTGCTGGGGGGAGATACATTGCTTGGAAGGTGCCTGGTTCGGAACCTGGATGTGTAGCGTGTAGATTAGGAGGTGTGAGGGGTGGTGAGGACTGATTGGGAAGACTGGTGTAAGCGTTATTGTATGTCGTTGGGAAGATACCCGTTGCGTTCGCGTTTCCGTCTGCGTTGGCTGTTACGGTTGTGATGGTTCGGGTTTGGGACATGGACCCGAAGTCGTCTGGGCCGTAGGGGGCGATTCTTTGGAATGGTCCGGATGTTGGGGGAGAGCCGCTGTTGTGTTGGGTTATGAATGAGCCTGCGCGGTGGGCTTTTCGCTTGTTTCGGCGGCGACGTCCCCACCACAGGGCGAAGCCTACGATGGCTGCGAGGCCGAGGACAGATCCAATTACTGCTCCTGTTATGGCGCCTTTGTTTTCACTATTTTTGGAGGTTTCGCTTTCCACAGTTGCGCTTGATGAGGAGGACTCGGATGCTGGAGTAGCTTTTCCTGCCGTGGCGAGGGTTGAGGAACCCGAGGATGTTTGAGATTTTGATGAGCTTAAGCTTGAGCTCGATGTTGACGTAAATGAGCTGGCCGAGCTCGTAGTTGAGGACAAAGATGACGAAGAGGATACCACAGACGTTGACTGAGACGAAGAAGTCGGGCTACTGCTTGAAGCTGATGTGGTACTCGCCACAGCAGAAAAAGGACTGAAATTCACACCCGTAAACACAACCTGCAAAAGCACATCCGAAGCCTGTCCCTCATACGTCGTCTCAACCGACGTCGCATCTTGAGAAGCACCACATCCATACTGATAATACCCTCCAGGATACGTATTCCGATAACACACATCATCTCCAGAACTAATGGACACCAATTAGCAAAGATCCCATCCCGAAAATACAGCCTCGTCCACCTACCAAGAATAAATCCCATTATTCTGCATCCCCTCATTCGGCGACCACCCCACACTATTTTTATCCACACAACTCGTATACACACCCGCCGTACACGGTCCCTCCGTCGCACAACACCCAACAACCGCATGTATCGTATCATGGATACACGACGACCCCGACGAACACACAGCTGCAACAGCCGAATTGCCCCCAACCCACCCGCAAACATTTACATCGAGCGACTCCCTCTTGAAGATATTCGCTGGGACGTTTGGCACTGCTGTCGGCGCTGGCGACCACGCTGCTTCGCGGTAGACATTTGTTTGCTGGGCTCCGGTCCAGGGGAGTGCGTTGGTGGTAAGGCTGAATGCGAATGAGAAGAGGAAGACCATGGATGAGGAAGGCATGGCGAAGAAATTGACATTGACAGCGACAGCCATTGAAAGGAAGGAGAACCACTATTGTAAGAACTATTTGGTAAGATAAAATAGAGAATAACGAAAAGAGGAAAAATCAAGAGATCATGACAGATAAGTAATCCAGCAGCACCCCTCCAACAAACCACGACTCGTGGGAGCAATAAGCTCTACATATCTATTTGGAAATCTCGACGCCATCCATCCAGCAGCCAGCCTCGCTAGCAAAGCTAGCTCTGTGCAACCGTGCCGCAGAGGCTGTGAGTTGCGTTCTTACAGTAGGTTTCCCCATCCCATCCCATGTTGGCGCACACCCACGTCCACTTGACGAAACCATCAACCCAGACAGCTGCACACTCCGGAATCATCATTGGACGGCAGCTGTAGGATTCAAGACGATACTCCTGACGCAGCCACTCAGCATGCATCGTTTGGGAGCTTGTTCTGAGGCTTAGGTGAGGATATGCAGGACGGCGGGTGCTGAGCCACAATCTCACAGGGGCACCGCTTAGGCTCCCTGCCTGCCGAGACGAGTTGAGGCGAGTCGGAAGGTTGGGTTATCTGCCTTGTGGTATCGTTGTTCCTTGAGTCTCCAGATATTATGAAACGCGCGCTGTGCTGAGATTTAATAAAAAAACAATGTTGGAAGACTCGACTCGAGTCATCGCTTGAGTTTCCGCTTTGTTGTTGTTGTTGTTGTTGTTGTTGTTGCATTGGTTTCGTCGCGTAGGATTCTGCACCTTCGGTGGGTTTTGGAGGGGACGTTGGCTCGGTTGAAGGTTGCTTACCGAGCTTACCTACTGTAGGTACGGAAGTACCTGCGATCGACAGGCGCGGACGTGGGTTTTAGTGTCTCTCGCTTAAATTTAGGTAGGCTCCCCGAACGGCGGGGAAGAGCTATTTTTACCACTCACTGGACCCAGCCCTCCTTCACTCGACCTTCATTCGTCGACTACCCATTTCTGATCTTCCTTTTTCCATCCTAGATACATCCTAGATGGTATCTTTCTTGGGTGGCACGATAAATTTCGTTATCTACCTACTAGGCTAAAGCTGAGTGAGTACAGTACAGTACAGTACAGTAACTATCGCCCTCGCTAAAGAGAGTGCAGTGCAGTGCTCGACTCCTCGCGCTTCTTGGGAAACCTACCTTAGGTAGGCCTGACTCGGCAAAGACTTGTCACTTTTGTCACTTTGTCACTTTGTCACTTTGCCACTTTGTCAAGTGGAAGCGGTAAGAGGAGAGAAGAGAAGTCGGAAGGAGATTGACTTTACAAAACTTACGGCAGATTCAGATTCAGATTCAGATTCAGATAGGGGTTAGCTACAGTATCGTGAAGTCAACATACAACCAACAATCACTCATTCGCTGTGATCCGGGCTGGGGTGGCCACTAGCCATTCATCCGTGGGGGCTGAAAGATGTCAGTGTGAGCCTCCACGCAGGATTGATTTCGCGGAAGTGTCCAATGGCAATTTGGTATATACCCAAACTTTCTGTTCTGGAAAAATAAAACTCGAGTCAGGTAGAAAATTTCATCGCGCTGTGTATTGCCTGTTTTTTGGAGTAGCATTCGGGACTGCATTCTTCCATGACTCTATCTTCCAACTTCCGCTTGCTCAATCACCGCTCTACCATCGACACTTCAAATAACTCTCCATCCAACTATCTGGGTAGAGTTCGGGCTCGCATACCCCACTACACTAACATCCAACATCTTACATGGCCTCAAGCCCCCAAAAGTACCACGCTCGTCTAAACCCATGTACTTCACTGCACAGTTCGAGGATTTCTGCGCGTGAGATTGGTTCTCCAACCGCCAGGCGCAGCCCCAGCCGCCGACCTAGAGCACCGCCTCCATCCATCCTCCAATATAATCCACTTCCATGCCTTCATACTGCACCTAATACTGCATGTTGGCTCACTGAAACAAAGTTGGTACTTTTCAAAACACCAGCTCCTGCGTATCCGATGTTGGAAAGCGTGCTTCAGTTGGTATTCTCGGCCTTAGAAACATGAGCGATTGCTGGTTCCAGACTACTGGATACCAACTTGTCGAGGTCCCAATATCATACAAGAACAAAGCTCGATTCATGAAATATATCCAAGCCTCCAGCGGGTTTTGAATACCGGAAGAACCCCACACGCTGAAACTGCTTCTCACCATCTGGAGTAGCCGCAACATCCCCTTCTCCCAACCCTTTAACCTCTCGAAGAACCAAACAATAATCTGTCCGCGCACTCGAAACTACCCTTAGGAGGTAGTACTGAGAATCAGCAAATTCCGTGCCATCTCGAATATCAGCAATTATCTGACCCCTCAGAGCAACCTTCTCCCCATCTGCTGTTTGCGAGGAGATTTCACCATCGTCGTCGAAGGTAAATGTGGCCAACACTCCCTTAACACGTATGATGCCACCATTCCGAACTTCCTCTCCACCCACGAATTCATAATCGTCAGCAGCCCATTTATCATCTGGTTTGTAATCTGGCCGGAACCACACCGGTCCACTCAACGATAGCCACGACCAAGAAGGACAAGGGATTTTTGTTCTCCGTCCCGCACCGACTGAATACCATAGGAGGCAGAGCGGTAACTGTTCTTTCCAAAGCCCAGATATGTAAGTCATGGACCATTGCTCCGATGCCTCGATAGCCAGTCCTGCAATGGCGTTCGACCTATCGTCCTCAAAGGTCAATTTCATGGCAGAGTATAAATTCGCGATTTTTCCCCATGGTGTGATTGTATCCAGCTGCAACATCTCGCTAGTGGGCATCTGTCGAATGTTGTTAGGGCGAGTATCGCTACGCTGAGGGCTACACTCGCACGTAATATGGGTGTCACATTCCCAAACGAGCTCAGAGTGGCAGAAATGCAAGACTCTTCGAGAAAGCATTCTTTCTTGTAGTACCCAAGCGCGGGTTTGCAATTCGTGTTGTAGCTGGATATCTTTAACTGGTGTAATTTTTGGGACTGGTTTGAAGTGGGAGAGACAATCGCCGTCGAGACTGGGCTGTTCCCCAGTGGAGACTCGGACACCCTTACATCGACTTATCGGTGACGATGCAAGACAAGGACTCAAATCACCCGTCCTCCCAAGGCCCATGGAAGAGTCAGTGGCTGAATCCGCCGAGATATTGATGACCGCGTTTGCATAGATACTATGCATCTCTTTGCACTCTTTCTCCCAATATTCCCGCGAGTCTTGGATGATACACAGTGAGTCAATCCACAGATAGGTCAGACCAAGAGCGCGTGTAACAACGATTGCATCTCGAAACGTTCGCGGCAAGTCATCGAACGAGATTCCAGCTATCCTTTCATCCAACGTTTCTTTGGTCGTGGTAAGTGGTCGCGGTCTTCCCTCTGCACCCCAGCAATGGCTCAAAGTTGCGTATTTTCCTCGCATGCCTCGCGTGATAACCAGCCTGGGTTTCTTATCCGTGCCTCCTACTTTTATCAGCCGCGTAGGTAACTCGACTTCTCGCACAGTATCACAATCCAGGTGATGCTCTGTACACTCTTTCAGCCAGGAACACGCTCGACTCAACGTTTCCTCAGACACCGCATTCTGGTCGATCGATCCTTGAGATCGGGAGCCTATCTGCGGCCATTTCCGACAAGCCGACGTACCAGGGACCGTGTATATATGACAACGGGCGCTAGCATCTTCCGAATCTCTATTGACATAGGCAAGAGAAATGGATCCAGGTTCATACTTAACTGCTCGAACAGTCCGTATGTATTTATCTAGGATAGTCGGCTTCCTAGCGAGTTCGATTGCTTTGGTGATGATTTCGCACATCTCGCATCCTCTCTGCTCATTGTTGAAAAGCTCTGCACGCGGTATATCGAGTTTCTTCGCCCCTTCCACCTTGTGTACTTCGTAGTCGACGAAGTTCTCGAGATCAAGATTCTTGCAGACTTCGCACATCTTCATTTTCCCCTTGCTGCCCATTGTGCAGATACGTAAGGTAGAGAAATAATGTGAGGAGGTAAGAATGAACGAAGGTGTTGAGGCTGGCAGACTAGCTTTCACAAGAGTCAGTATATGGAGCGACCTCCCCCATGGCGTGGTGAGGAAGAGGTTCACCACAGCGCCCGGTTTGTAAGAATGGAGACCGATGTCTTAAACAATGTTGTGGTTCGAGAAACGATGTTGATTGTCGGTCATGACGAAGTCGTGGAGACTTGCACTAAACATGCGAAATATTATCTGGGCCGATCTTGAACCTGCTCTATTCCTTCCTAAAATACCTATACTTCGCAATCATTTGGAGAAGCAACTTGCGACAGGAAGGAGCTACCGGGCTTCACAGCCAATTGCCTCGCTTGCCACGGACAGCAACACCAAGTTACCAGCATCACACACACATAAACACCACACCGTTGAATCCCAAGAACTTCAGAAAAGCAAAGTCAATTCTCCAACTACGGGTATCATAAAGAATATTGAGCTCCCCTCGCCCTTCATAGGCCCCCTCTCAAGGCTCAAACTTAACATAAATTCCGAAAAGCAGCAGAAGGTCCTCAAAATAGTACAGTATCAAAAACACCATAACATAACATACAAAAGGAAGCCTTCCAAAAAGAATGCTCGGTGGAGAAACTCAAGAGCTGACCGCAGGTCCCAAGAATTCATCACTTCTCTCGCGCTTATCGAAACATACAATACAGTACAGTACACTTTAATGAAAAATCTTACACTCCCATCTTTCTTGATACACCACCGTCAGTGTGGATAGAGCGGACCTAGAACGGGAAGAGCACTTGGTAAGCTCAGCGACGAGCAGGCGTGACAGGAACTTCCCAGATATCAACATCCTTGTCCTTTCCCAGTTCACTGCCAGAACCACCCATCTTCACAGCTCCACTTACACTGGTATTCACATTCCCTTTATCCCCACCCTCAGCACTATCACTTTGCAGCACTTCACTACCCCTAACAAGCGGCTTCGCCATCCCTGGAACTCCAAATGGGATAGCGCTCGTAGCCGTCCAGACAGGTAGGTCGGCCTTCTTCACACCAGCGCCAGGACTGGGACCTTTCATAGGGCTAGGGGTGTTGGTGTTGGGTTCTAGCCATCTGAGAGGTTCTTGGGTGTTGGGTACGAAAGTTGGTGTTGGGCCTTCGGGTTGGTAGGGGATGAAGACGTCTGGTGTTGTGGTTGGGACGGGTGGTGGTGCAGTGGATTGAGGGAGGTTCTGGGGTTGATAATTTGGTTGTGTGGGTGGCCCAGTAGGGGGCTCAGAAGTATGTGAAATAGGTACTGGCGGCGAGCTTGCGGGAAGGGGGATTTCGGTTGGACGTCGGAGATGGGTTGGTATAGATGCCTGAGGTGTTGATGGTAATGCGGGTAGCATGTCTTGTGTTTGTTCTGGTTGCTGCTTTGCAATGCCATTCGTTTCTGAAGCAGGTGTTGGAAGCCTCGCAGGAGGCAAAATCGCACTCTCCTTCCTCGCAGGAGCTGGTCTGGCAGCTTTAGGCACAGAAGGCTTCGCCGCCGCCGATTTAGCAGCGGCTTTAGCCTCTCGTTGTGCTTTAGTCGTCAGGCTTATCTTGACTTTCTTCATGCCAGAAGTCAGGCTATCAATATCTGATGCTTGTGATGTTGTCGCGGAGGTCTCGGTTGTGGGAAGAACCACGCTGCCAGATCTGGATGGAGGGTTCTTTGGTAGCGTATCTGCGGTAGAAGCGCCTGCATCATTCAGAGGTGACTTCTTGCGCACTCGAGAGGTTTTGGCTTCAGGGCGAGGTTGAGCTGGAGCTCTAGTCTTCTTCAGGACGATAGGGGCATTGGGTTGACCTCGTACACTTATGGATGATTCTGGTCGAACGCTTTGAGATGTTCCTGGTCGGGCACTGTTTGATGGTACGCGATAACCATTTTGGCGTGGAGGTGCCTCTGATGTTACGGATCCAGCGTTTGAAGACAAACTTAGCCGGCGACTTGATGCCGTGGTCTTGGCGTAGTCTGGCATGGGAGTAGTGCTCCTCGAGGTTGCCTGATCGTATATTAGCTCTTGTTTGTCAGTGATATAGAGAATATATGATCTTACAGTGCTAGCAGCAAGTACGGCCGCTCCTGCAACTGTCTTACGACGATTTGTCTTTGCAGCGGCTTTCTTCTCATCCTCCTCGGCACTCTCAGCCAAAGGCTTAGCGGGTTTCCTCGTCCTCAAAGCCATCCGGCTACCTGGGTTCTCAACAGTCGTTTCTGTAGGTGGTGTCAAGATCGATTGTCGATCTCTCCTAGCACGAGTGGCTTCCGCTGATAAATCTTCCGGCCTACAACTGAAAGTCTGTCTCTCTGTGGGAATAAGCAACTTGCTCAACTCGTGGGCTGCTACTGTCCAGTCTACTTCTGGAGGAGGCGGAGAAGGTGCTCTTGACGGAGCTCGCGGCGAGCCATTGCTGAGACCCATGTTGGAGACCGTTCGACGTGCAGAAGGAGAAGTGACTTTGGCGATAAAAGATTGTGTGGGTGAGGAATATGTTGGAGTTGGCATATCTCTCGGTTTTCTGGGTTCCGCAGTTGCTGGCTCCGGGTGTATGAGAGCATCGAGTTGCTCAAGTCGCGGCACCGACCACCACGAGGGATCGTAATTTTGTATCTGAGAACCGATGGTGAGTGTCTCTGGATGTGGGATACCATCATATGTGCCGATCTTCTGGCCCATCTCATATCCCAAGCCAGTTGGACTGCGCTCTTTCTTAATGATCATGGGATCTCCCGCAGACATACCGCTGAGATGACTCAGCACGCCTGTACATAATGCGCGATCACTGTATCCACCCTCCAAAACACTGATAATCCGACCGTCAACACCGAGACCTTCCTCACCTGCAAGCTTGACCACGTCTCTCGTCAGACGAGCATAGAACTCTGTAGGAACGTTGACCTTATGCCGTTGCATCCCTGAACTTTCCCACTCGCTGGCATCAAATCCAGCAGACAAGAAAACAGCCCCTTTTGGCTTCGGTCCATTAGGCGATAAGCGAAGGCGCTCTGTTTGGGCTCGCAGGTAATTCCTGGTCTTTTCCAATAGAACTGCATATTTCGTCTCATAAAGCTGCCAGAATTCCTGCTCACTCTTCCATGGCTGCAGATGAACATTCCAGATGCTCTGACCGTGAGCGTTCTCGATACACAAACTCGCATTTTTGACTTTCTCCTCATCGCCCATCTCACAGGGATATGAATTGATATCGTGAAGACTGAAATATCCGATCGAAGTCTTCTTCCACTGATGAGCATTCTTGGCGGCGCTTGTAGCTCGTCTATTGCTCTCCCATGCAATAGCCTGAGACCCATCTCCATGGTGGAGATCGAAATCGATGATCGCCGCATGGGTCAGGCCGTGATTTAGAGCCGCATGAGAAATCCCAACGTGCACATTATTCAACCAGCAGAATCCTGATGGATAACTTGCTGAGCAGTGATGTCCTGGAGGTCGAATCGCAACGAATGTCCGTAATGGTCCTTTCCCACTTGCTGCTCCTTGGAAAACTGCATCCACACCTTCACATACAGCACCCAGTGCGCCTTCCATGGCATCTAACGACTCAGCGCATAAGTACAGATCTCCTTCGTGAAGTTTCGCAGGCGTGCCTTGATCTGGGCTCCTATTCATATCCGGTCGAGTCAACTCCTTCCCATTCATGGCCAGCCTTGATTCTGCATTATCGCACATAATCTTCAATTCCTCCATCCACTTTGCCCCGTGAACATTCGTCACGGCCTGCGAAGAAAGTGCCGTCTTGCGTGTAGTCTTGCGAATTCGAAATGGTATACTAGGGATCGAAGTCGCATCCCGATCTGGATGTAAAGGAAACTGTCCGTCGGCATGTCTCTCCCCCAGGCAAACATACGCCACTGATAGTCCCAGAATACTGGCATGTATACGCTCCGGTCTCTCCACAATCGTACTGAGCGAAGCCTTCGAGGTCCTAGGTCTAGAATACCGGTGGCCATAACACGAGTCGTGCAATATCACAATGACGTCCGCAGATCGAGAATCGTCCTCCCTACTATGCAACTTCAGCTCGCTCTTGAAATGATTACTGGCAATGGAAGCAGGTGTATGTCGTGGCTGAGGAGGGATCGGGTCCTCGATCTCTGAAAGGGGGGATTTGCCCACCATGGTGGAAGCGTTGTTGAATTGCGCCGAGGAAGATCTCCTTGACGTCGATGAGTTACGCGACGGGGTAACACCTCCTACACCATGCAGGGAATTCATAGAAGCCTTTCGAAGCAGTGTAGGTGTCGAGGAGCGAGAGGTTGTGCTCATGGAGCTGGGCGAGCGATGGAGGGGGCTTCGAGGGGGCAATCTGCCATTCGGGGATGCGCTGGAGCTGCTTCGTTGGGGCCCAAGATTCCTGGCTGGAGAGGATGGCTGTGATGAGGGTGGTAGAGCCGTTGCTGAGGCTTGATTGAGGGTAAGCCGTCGATCTGATTGTGAGAGTGCTGCGTGGCCGTTGTTTGTTGTCGGGGGCAATGGTGGTGTCTCTCCGGACACGTTGTGTGGATTGGGATACGCCATTGCGAATGATGGTGCGGCGGTGAGCCCGACCTCACCAAACCTGCTAAATAAGAGAAATCAGGTTCTTTGTTTACTTTGATGCGCGGATGTCGGTTGGTGATGATATATTTTGGAGAGCTTGTTTAAAGTTACGCGTGCTGCACGGGGTGCGTCTACTGACGCGCACCCCTGTAACCCCAGTCACAAGCAGCATGATATCACCAGAATGCAAGGTCTCAGATATTCCAGCCAAAGAGTCATTGTTGATTTCTGTATGTTGACTTTCCTTTTGTTCAAAGCCCTTTGTCAATTACTATCTATCATCTTCTGCTATGCAGGTGGTGGTCTGATGGGGAGTGGAGACTGACCCCTGGATGATGAGGCGATTGACGGCAAGAGAAGCCTGTGAACTAAGGTATGGAGGGGTAGCTGCATCTTGTTTCTAAGTTGTAAACATTGATTCATCTAACGGGTATCTACTCTAATGCAACCTCTAAACTCTTAGTCTACCATTAAATCAACCCCAACAGTTCCTAACGCTTCAACAGCCCAGTCGGGGTATTTTGATTTATCCCCGCCATGCAGGTCCGAGAAGAACTTCTTCAAGAGAGCTGGAAATCTGTCTTCTATGATAGCTTCTCTGACACTTCTCATAAGCGCCAGCTGATACCAGACATTGTGCATGGTCAGTAGATGTGCTCCAACTGTCTCTTTTGCAGCAATATGATGCACAAATGCTCTTGTGATCTTTAACCCACCTTCGCCTGTTCGACAACAAACACAACCACATCCATCCTCCACAGGTCCAAAGTCATTCGCATACCTAGCATGCTTCAGATTCAGAACACCGTACTTTGTGATAGCATTGCCAAATCTGGCTGTCCTTGTCGGCCAAACACAATCAAACATATCCGCACCAAGGGCAACACTGACAACCAGATCTTCCGGATATCCAATACCCATAACATATCTTGGTTTCAGTTCCGGGAGCAGACTCGTGCATGTATTGACCACGCGACAATAATCCGCCTTTGCTTCCCCTCCACTCAAGCCTCCAATTGCAATTCCTGGTGTCCCCCTCGCAACCATCTCCTTGCAGCACTCTTTGCGCATCTCGAGATCAAGCCCTCCTTGTATAATGCAGAACAGATTCTGTGTCGTCGGATTCGCATGTGCAGCTATACATCGATCCAACCACCGCACACTGCGCTCCATAGCCTCTCGCATCCGTTTCGCATCTGGCGAAGTCGTAACAAGGACGTCGTCAAGTTGCATGATAATATCGCTGCCTATCGTGTTTTGCAGAGCTATGGAATGTTCCGGTGTGAGGAGCATGGGAGACCCATCGTGCGGACTGAGGAATCGGACGCCTTCTTCAGTGATGTTGGCCAGTTTCAGCAGGCTGACCATCTGGAAACTGGGAAATGTACTTGTCAGCGACAAGCTGCGTAGCATGTGAAGTGTTCGGCATACCCTCCGCTGTCAGTCAAGATATTGTGTTTCCATCCTTGCAGCTTATGCGCTCCGCCAACTTTCTCAAGCACTTCTTGTCCTGGCTTCAGGCCAAGATGGTACGTGTTGTTCAGACAGAGTCGGCAGCCCGTTGCTTCTAGCTGCTGAGGTGTTAATCCCTTCAAAGAGGCCTGTGTCGCAACTGGCATGAATAGAGGCAACTGGACTGGACCATGAGGAAGTGTCAGGTTGGCTGCCCGAGCTTTGGTAGTCTGCGATAATGAGCATAATGCGCGAGTAGGACACAAGAAAACTTACTGAGCAACGCGCAATCAAGTCGAAAGTCAGCGCCGACGGCATTGGTGTGTGGGACATAGCTGGGATGGATGTAGGGGAAGTGAGAGAGTGGTGGGGCAAACTTGGGATGAGAGGAAGGAAGATGGAGGGAAATGTTTCGGACGAGAAGAAATTTGGTATGATTCTGCCGCTTGACAGGAAACCCCAAGAGGCTTGTCAGATCTGCATCTTCTTTTGACCATGAAGCAAGTAACGGATGGTGAGACGCCAAAATCGATCTAGACGATAGAGTAAGGAGTCAAATAGGATTCTTCTTTATTTGACTTTTGTTTGACTTGGAGGAGTTGAAGTCCCTACCTAATGAAGGGAAGGGAAGGTTTGGCGGGGTTGTGTTGTCAGTGAATCACTTTCTAGCGAGACTAGGGGGTGTAGCTATCAGTCATGCTCCTACCTAGGTAAAGCAAACATTGCCCGTGCCACTCCTTTTCTTCCTGGGCATTACAACTTAAGTTATGTTATGTCCATATCGACCACAAGAATATATTTTTCAAGAAGGTTCCTGCTTCGCCCTGAACAATCAAAGGAGCGCCATTTGATGATGCATACCTGCCCAATCACATGGAAAATCCCGATTCTACCTACCCAATGCCAAGTGGCCATTCATATCATTGCCTCCGTGTCTTCGCGAAATGTCAGGCCATTATGACAGTTCGCGCGACGGGTCTTCCTTGCAAAAGCATTGCGCCCTTTCTGTCTCTGGCACTCTGTCCAGGGTCTCCCTCCCTCAGCCAGATTACTGCTTCAGCCCCATTTGGACCAGTTCAGGAGCTCCTTGTCGCCAAAAAATTCTAGACTTTGCTGGACGTGGCAGGTCTGGTCTGGTCTGGTTCCTGGGATTGCATTGAGGAAGCTCTCCGATGACCCACTACAGAGCCCACACAAGAGCCTCTCCCGCCTCTCCCAGGAGTTTGGTTCAAGTACTGTGCATTTTCCTCTTCATTTCCTCTTCTTTCTTAGTCCTGTCCGAGTTGAACGTCGTTCCATTCTATTTCTTAGCGCAAATTGTGTTTCCTGTACTTCCGTCTTTTTGCTGTGACCTGGTCGGATCTTTATGCACAGCGCTCCCTCCAGTCTCGACCACTCACTCCCAGAAACGAGGCGCTTCAAAACACGCCACAACCACAGAACCCCGGATTATTATCACCGCCAGTCGTTCTCATTATCTTGAGGTGGACCCAGTCTTGCTTTTTCTCTTAAATCTACCATTTACTCGGTATTTCACCGCCAAGATAGATACGTCACGATCCGACTGGTTGGCATCTCTTGGACACAAAGCGGCCTAGTACTTGCACACGCGAATAGCACCTCGCCCAAGGAATACGCGCCTTGGCCACATGCTCCAGCCTCCACTCCCAAGGCTACTGACGACAGAACAGCCTGGGCAGGGATTGAGGATTACAAGATATTATCGGTCTTCACCCAACATGTTTTCCTCACCAAACACAAACAAAACCACCTTCCCCAGGAACAGATACGGCAACTCAATGTCATCTACATACACCACCACAAAAATGTTTACTATCTTCTCCAACCTACCCTCAGAGTTACGAGTTAAGATATGGCAACAAGCTTGTTTCCCACGCACATTAACACTCACCTACAACTCCACAATATCCTCATTCACCAGCACAACTCCACCTCCTACCCTTCTCTCGGTCTCTCGCGAATCCCGCCATGAAGCCCTCCGCATCTACACGCTCTCCTTCGGCACCACCTCCCAACCACCACAGACATACTTCAACCCCCTCTTCGATACGCTTTACCTCCCCCGGCACCAAGAAATGGGCTACGACGAAACGCTCCGCGATTTCCGCCAACTCGTCCACGATCCTTCTTGTCTACTCAACCAAGTCCGGTACGTTGCCATCGATCATGTAAACGTGGACGTCAAGCGGCCCTGGGAGTCCTACAATAAAGCGGTCTTCCTACGCAGTTTCAAGCACCTTGATGAAATTGCACTGATTCTCAACGCAGACGGGACAGGAGCAGGCGACATCTCACCACCTCTTCTATCGCCCTCTCAAACTACCGAAATCAAGAAACAAAGCCAAGTCAAGCTCATCTTCGAAGAGCTACGCATTGATCCAGAGCGCCTCCTCAAGATCTGGTATTATTTCCGCCAGAGCTTCATGATTGAGGAACGACTGCTGGAAGATATATGTCGTGATTCAGGGAGAGAGTATCAGGCTTTCGAATTACCTACTGTGCGTATCCTGGCTAAGGGGTTCGAGGATGTGGGAGCTGTGACTCGGTCTACTTCCAATGAGTTCAAAGCGGGCAAGCATATGCAGGCTGCACTGGACATGATGCGGTCGTGAGCATGGCATGCGAGTGCTGCGGTCTAGGCTGCGGAAAGCAGTTTCGATAGGTTGTGCGCAGTACGAGGTGCATATGATAGAGATAATGGAATGATAAAGTTCTAATCTCCGAGGCTGTTACTCGCGGGATTGTATTATTGACATGGTGATGTGGTCACTTGACCAGCATGTGAAAGGTTGCTCCTTGCCAGTTTTGCTTTTGCTGCTAAGCGAGATGTGTCTCGCCCGAAAATTCGGGATACAATGCGGTAGAGGGCGCTTGAAGACGTGTTCTGGGTGCCAAGGATTTTTGAAATGTGATAGCTTTGAGGATGATGAGAAAGGGAAAAGGAAGGTTGTGGTTGTGGGTTCAATGATAGAACTTGAGCAAGAAAGCCTGCTGGTGGTTGGCTGCTATGCCTATCAGCAGCGGAAAGATACCAAATGAGCTACAATGAAAATCGCCAGGCTGTGTTTATAGCACGTAAACAAACTAAAAAGTATACGGCTCTTTCTATTTCAAATCCTGGGATCCCTTTCGTTTTCATTTCTGTCACGAGTAGAATTTCCGTCACCAAGTTAGAAGACAGAAGACGGAGGTCAGCGTTCAAAATCTGCGATTGCCGAAATAGTTCTTAAGGTGAGAGAGCATCCTGACAGGAAGTACAAAGCCTTTGTAGTATGCTTTCAAAAGATTTTGAACTAATGAATCGTAGAAGATTTGAGTCAAAAACATAACGACAGTTGGCAGCACTCACAAACACTGGTCGAGTATTTGCAGACCTGAGTTTAGATCTTCGCATGCTTGTCGACAATATAGATCAGTAAACAAATAGAGCTTCAGGTACCGTAGACGAGTCCCATATAATCGTAACTTCCCTCCCGATAAATTTCCCTTTTAAGCACTCTCAAAGCAGGAACAAGTTACTGTACAACCCATCTACCATAAAAAATGGCCGACCGGATCCTCCCGCAACCACCAGCCCCTTCGGCCTCGGCAATTTTTCCCTCTCATCGGAAGCCAAGCGCGATCCCGGTCCGCCTCTTTCCAACGCCGACAAAACCTCCCAAGCAAAGAAATCCAATCGTCCACCACCACTTATTCCCACCTACAGTTTCTCTTCCGCCATTTGCATATATTAGAATTTTTTGGTTGTGCTTTTGTTGCGCAGTATACACATATACATACATACAATGCAGCACCGGTAACGTGCTTTTCTTGGGAACAGATTGGTTTGGTTGCGATTGTTTTTTGGATTGCGGCCGTGATTGCGAGTTCAGATTGGCATTTGCGAGGATGAGGGTTAGAGCTGGAGCTGGAGGGAGGGCCTTGGGGAGGGTGATTGAGGGGACGGGGAGGAGTGGAAGGAGAGGGTTCTGTGTGCAGTGTCGGCAAGAAAGGGGAGGAGTATCTGCGACTTCAATTGGGGTGGGCTATGTGGGAAGACAGAGTGTCACTGGGAATGCTATGGGGAGGAGACCAAGGTTTATCCTGCCCTCGTCATTTATAGCTGGGCAGAGAAGGGCTTTGGCCACGGTGAAGAATGGTACAGCTCCCCCACTCCACCAGAAGCACATCAATTAATCCCGGTGGCAGTAAATCCTGACGATCGAGGGCCATTGATCGAGTACGACGACCGAGTTGATAACGGCCGACTCAGAAACGACGAACATCAGAGAGGTTAGCAGAGATATTCTCAACGCCTGGGATATCGACTGATAGCTTTTAGGCATCATAGAAAGTCTGCAGCACTTACACGACGAGCTACGACCATACCACGCCCGTCCCATCACGCACCCCACCATCGAATCCCTCAAGCCGCCACCGCAATCCGTGTTAGGTCGGCTCTTTGGCAATGCGCCAAAGGAGAGAAAACTACAAGATATACCCGAGGATTTGCCCAGAGGGTTGTACCTGTACGGCGATGTTGGGAGTGGCAAGACGATGCTGATGGATATGTTCTACGAGACGCTTCCCAGTAGCGTGACTTCGAAGACGCGCATTCATTTCCATAATTTTATGCAGGATGTTCATAAGAGGTTGCATCAGATGAAGATGGAGCATGGGAATGATATCGATGCTGTGCCATTCGTGGCGGCTGATATTGCTGAGAAGGGGAATGTGTTGTGTTTTGATGAGTTTCAGTGTACTGATGTTGCGGATGCTATGATTTTGAGACGGCAAGTTTCCACCCTACTTCAATTTTAGATGTGTACTAACAGCCTACAGCCTTCTGGAGGCCTTGATGTCTCATGGTGTTGTACTTGTTACCACGTCTAATCGCCACCCAGATGACCTTTACCGCAACGGCATCCAGCGGGAATCCTTCATTCCTTGCATAAATCTCCTCAAGAATCGCCTACATGTTATCAATCTCGACTCGCCAACAGATTACCGCAAGATCCCACGACCACCCTCAGGAGTCTACCACTCTCCTCTAGACAAGCATGCCGATTCCCACGCAGAGAAATGGTTCCGCTTCCTAGGCGATCCAGAACAGGACCAACCTCGCTCAGAAACGCAACGAGTCTGGGGCCGCGAAATCCACGTGCCGAAAGTCAGTGGCCGAGCCGCCATGTTTACATTCGACGAGTTGATCGGCAGACCCACCAGTGCAGCCGATTACATCGAGCTGACGCGCAGCTACGACTCCTTCATCGTAACGAACGTCCCTGGCATGACCCACCGCGAACGCGATCTCGCCCGGCGCTTCATCACATTCATCGACGCAGTGTACGAGTCCCGCGTCAAGCTTGTCCTCACTACCGCCGTTCCCCTAACACAACTCTTCCTCTCGCGCGAAGAAATTGAAAAGGACGTCAAGAAAGACAAAGCGGATAAGAGAGGCCAGGTAGAAGACCACGAGGACTTGGACTCAACGATGCGCAATCTGATGGATGATCTTGGCTTGAATATGAAAGCGTTGAAGAATAGCAGTATTTTTAGTGGTGATGAGGAACGGTTTGCGTTTGCGAGAGCGCTGAGTAGATTGAGTGAGATGGGAAGTAGGGAGTGGGTTGAGAGGGGGATGGGATTGGAGAAGGATGGGGGGAAGAAGGAGAGAGATGATTGGCAGAAGGTGAGGAGTAAGCAGATGGAGGATAGTATGTAGAATCCTCGTTGGTAGGAGCTGAGGTGCGGAAGCGCGCAGAAGCGCTGTTGGATAGTTTTTGGGAAAGTACCTATAGAAAGAGAAGAAGTTTGGACACCATAGATGGCGCCGGAGCCATTGGCATGAGCCAACCGAAGAAACGGTAGGAAAGACAGACATGATAATCGTCTGGAACACCGTACCCCAATCTCCTCCAAGCCTCATATTACATACATCACAATTCACCACCCTCGGGATCAACCTTCCTCCCCCCTGCTCCTCTCCTCCTCTCCTCTTCCCCAATGTGCACACATCCCACATCCCAAAGAGCCCTTCCCTTCCCATCCCTTCCCTTCCCGCCGCCAAACATTACGCCACTTCCTACATACCTACCCACCTTACCACCCTCTCCCATCCCACTCCCTGCCCATTCCCCCCTCCCCTCTCCACGTCCAGAAATCCAGGCCATCAGCCCATTTCTCCATTCTTTTCAGCTCCGCGCCGACCCAATCAACCAATCCCCCTTCACCGGTTAAATGCTGCTGGACCCGAGGGAGTGGTTGTCTGGTTGTTTAAGCGAGGTGGTACATACCTAAGGTAGGTATCCCTTGATGGGATGGGATGACGAGTGGAGAGGAGGTATAGGAGATGCAGTGTTAGTGTTAGTGCGAGGAGCTAAATTTTGAGATGTGCAACAACGTTTTTGGTGGAGGGACAGGGGGAGGGAGGGGGAGAGGGAGGGGGGAGGTTGGGGGCTGAATTTGAATTTACATTTTCTGGGTGAGGAGTTTGGATGAGGATTAGGATTGGGAGTGAGTTATGGATGGGTGGGTAGGTATGTGAGGATGGAGGTGTTGGTAGGATGAGATGAGATGGGATCGGGGGATAGGATGAGATGAGATGGGATCAGGAGAGAGTACTGCTGTGAGCTTGAGACGGAAGCAAAGCAGAGAGGCGATGGCCTTGCAGTGGATGGGGCTATTGAAGTGAAAGGGCGGGGAGAGGTGAGATGGTGAAATTATGCGATGTGTACGAGCAAGCATGTGGTTTTGTGGTAGTATTAGAACATTCTTGAAGACAAGACGTGGTCTATAGAGCTCCTTTGCGGATGGTTAGTGAACGGGAAGTTCAGGTGAAGTTTGAAGCTTGAGGTTCTGCGAATGGGCCAGGTGTCTGAGGGCAAGTCATCAGCAGAGCGGGAAACAACTCAACTTCGACAATTAAACACACCGGCTATTTCTTAGAATATAGTCTTTACAGACTAGTAGACAATGTTGTTTACTTAGGTAGGACGGGCTGAGGGGTGGTCAGGCTGGTAATCACTTGACATGCGATATCTCAAGCTTCCCACACCTGAGATGAGTGAGACTTGATTATTTAATGCTTGGTTTTCAAACACCTACAAAGAAGAGATAATATTCTCTGAATTCAAATTACCGGTATATGGGTCGAAAAATATAAAGGACGTCTCACTGCTAGCCGAGTGAAATCAGGGGGCGAGATTAGAGTTTCGCTTCCAACAGTCGAGTCAACAATCCGGTCTGAATAAATAACTAACAGTCCGCTGATGTCTCGGGCAGGGCCGGGGTTTTACGATGCTGGCCTTATAATGGTTCTCATTACCTGAAAAGATTTCTCTTGAAACTAGAAAGCGACTTTATTCAAACTCCCTCTTCGTGCGCTCGATGACACTCTCATCTGCTAGCCAACCAAGGAAGCCATGAACTCTTCGTCATTAAAGATTGCTTCTCAATGATTGAGAACTCTCAGTTTGTCTTCGACTAATCCACTCATGGTCGATCACCGTTCATAATAAGCTGTGCATAAAGCCTGACCCCCTTAATATGCTCTTTCATCCCAATCCTCTCATTAACCGTATGTCCATTGGCTTTTCCCTCGTTCCTTAGAGCACTATTCAGAATCCTCAGGATGAAGCTTGCAAGTTTGTGATTGATTGGAGAGCCGTCTTCCTAGTTTAGATATTTGTAATTCTTCGAGGAAGTCATATTGGCTGCTACATCCAACAAAAGATGCAAGGAAGAACGTAGAACTGTCCATTTGCGGAATAAGAGATTTAACAAGGCATAACAGACCCGTTACGCCCGATGATATGCAAGTCTTGTTAATTCATCGGATATACCGTTATAGAATGGTGGAGCTTCACCGCACCTCCCACCTTCAGGCTTAACACCATGATAAGCTGTTATACTATTATCTAGATATATGTTACTACTTCTCTCTATAGTATAAGATCCTATAGACTTAGTGCAGGTACACCTCATATGGTTGTGGTTTATCTGTCTCGTCATGGGCAAGCTCAAGAGCTGACCTATCTAGTGTCACCCTAGTTCTATGTACGTCAATAAGAAATCGAGGATAGACTTCTGACATATTATTACTGAAAACATTCTATATTACTGAAGATGTATTAACAAGTTTGCCTGAATCTCAAGCTTCATTTATGATGAAGTGCGGAAGCCAGGTTTTGAGACTTTAGTATGATTAGGTTCCAGATCCTCCGCCACGAACTTCAATCTCAAAAAGTACTTGTACTCAATTGAGGTGACCAGAATAGTATTCTGATCTGTGTGAACTTCTGCCATCAGTTGCAACTGTGCTCTTGAGCCCTCGCCGATGGTGGTTAGCAGTTCATCACGATGTAGTGATTACCTCTGCGACGACTTTCCATCAGATTTGGCAATTTTTCGAATGATATTTGTGAAGCTGGAGCTGTGTTCACATATGCATAGTCTACTTTGTAACGCTATATGGTTTGACAACTTAAGGAAAGTCTATATCTCTATCGTCTAGCAAGATTTAGCGAAATCTTACTTGTCATTGTTTACATCCCACATTTGGTCACCCAACTCAATCTCCCACGGCACCTTCTCCGTGAACGGCATCTTGTATGGTGGTAGCTCTGGCCAATGCTTCCTCAACACTGCAATCAAGCCATCGAAAACAATTTTGTAGCCGGATGGGCTAAGATGGAGGCCTGTGGCATTACCAATTAGCACAGACGCCAGAAAGATCTTGAGGATTATTCTTACCGTCATGTAGCAGTTCAGCAAGGACAGCATTCCTCACTTCCGCATCGCCACCCGGCAAAACTTCACCACTTTCTCCTTTCCATCCAGCTTTCTCCATACACAAACCCCATGCATCAACCACTGGAAGATTAGTTTCTTTGCCAACCTGCTTCACTATCTCGGCATACTCTTGAGCATCTTTTGCCTTTCTCGTTTCGCCAGTTGCACCCCACAACTTCTGGAGCTCAACAAGAAGCGATTCTTCGAACGGCGGTGGAGTGATCAAGATAATGTTGGGCGAGTGCGCTTTCACGGCTGCGTGGTTGATGATGGCAAGTAAGTTGGATTTAAATTGTTCAGGAGGGACGAATTGCCCTTGCGTGGGGTTCTTGTTGGGGTCATTCGCACCGAACCAAATTGTCTGTCAGGCTTTGTCAGAGTCGTTCAAGTGGCTTATTTCTAGAAAGAATACGGGAAGGGACTTACCAGGAACTTCATTGAAGCTTGTTCCGGGGTTGGAAGAGCACGAGTGATGATCTCGACAGCATGATTGGTGTTGTAGCCCCTAGAGTACAATATCAGAGACCTACAAAGTTCCATTCGACTATGTAAGATCAAAATGCTTACGAATATCCACGATTTATGACATCGAATCTTCTCACATATGCTGATAAAGTCAGCGAACACTGTTGAAGCGAGACCAAGCGAAGACTTGTTGTTGAATGGAGTCAGGTGTACCGACCTGCTTGGAGCTCTGCGGCCATTCCAAATCCCATTGATTGATCGCTTGCACCCTGTGTGATGCTGTCCCCTGGATCGACAACATTAGGTAAATCTTGTTTCCTCGTGTGCAGCTGGACTGACCAAAGAGGACAATCTGTGGGAGAGGAGCCTATCACATGTCAGCACATCAAATTTCAAGAGTCTATTAGCTCGAAAGTACTGACCATCTTCAATTGCCAATTTGTTGAACACTGTAGCGGAGGTTCAGGGAGTGTTCGGTGGCGGAGAAATTCCCAGACTGCTTTACACTGTTTCTTTGGCAAGACTCACTTATCCGTGAGAGAATTATCAGACATGCGTCACAGAGGCACAATCAACTGTTCAATGCTATCACCACTAGCGCTTCAGCTCACTGATTTCCTATCCGTTCAAAATCGCAAGTAGTCGAGGAGGTAAGCTGAGGCGAAAGCTAGAAGTGGGGGTAGCGGGGTACTCCACCTAACGGGTATTCAGCCTGAAATTTTGCATATGCACGCTTCCACAACGCTTTCCGCCAATGATCTTTGCAATGCCATGATCTACAGCTAGGTGTTCATCGAACCGTTTATCCATTTTAGCCGTCGGTCCAGGACCCGAACTTTAAAGTTGCCTTGGTCCTTGAAAGTAGCCTGGACAGGGGATGACATACACCTTGTGATCCTTCGACCTCGGGAGCTTTTGACACGAGCAGAGCTTGTGCGAAATGTAAGTCGATGTTGACTTCGGACACGCGTTTGTCTTTCAGAACAATGCGACCTGTGGTCTTCTAATTGTGTTCAACGTAACAAACATTTTCGAGTGTTTACCACCACGAATCTTGAGGCATGAATCCACAAGCAGCAGAAAAAGTCAAGGACCTCAAGGGAGTCCTCGGAAAAGATTTCTATTGGGGCTACGCGACAGCTGCAACCCAAGTCGAAGGAGCATGGAATGTTGATGGCAAAGGGAAATCGATATGGGACCAGTTCGCACACACACCTGGCAAAGTCAAGGATGGCAGCACACCGGATGAGGCAGTTCTCAGCTACTACAAGACGAAAGAGGATGTTGCACTCATGAAGTCATATGGAGTTACTGGATACAGATTTTCGCTATCATGGGCGAGAATCATTCCATTGGGTGGGAAGGATGATCCTGTAAACGAGAAGGGAATTGAATACTACAATGGTCTGATTGATGAACTACTGGCTAATGGAATCACACCTTTCGTGACTCTTTTCCATTGGGATATTCCACAAGCATTGGAGGATCGATATGGCGGCATGCTAAACAAAGATGCATATACACCAGATTTCGTGAGGTATGCAGAAGTCTGTTTCGAGAGGTTTGGGGACAGAGTCAAGCACTGGATCACGTACAACGAACCAGGTGTCTACACATTAGCAGGCTACGCAGCTGGCGTCCACGCTCCAGCCCGATCTTCAAATCGCAAACTAAACGAAGAAGGGGATTCATCCACGGAACCGTTTATCGTTGGGCACACTGAGCTCGTCTCACACGCATACGCTGTCAAGCTCTACCGTGAGAAGTACCAGCCTGAGCAGAAAGGTATGATCGGCATCACACTACACGGTAACTTCTCCTTGCCTTGGGATGCCAAAGATCCTCTCGATGTAGAAGCAGCGCAGAGGGCTCTTGAGTTCGAGATAGCGTGGTATGCAGATCCAGTACACAAAACTGGCGACTACCCCGCCTCAATGCGAGCTCAGCTTGGAGATCGTCTGCCGACGTTCACTCCAGAAGAATCGAAACTCGTACTTGGTAGCTCAGATTTCTATGGTATGAACAGTTATACGACTTTCTTTGTCCGTCATAGGAATGAACTGCCACACATCGATGATCATTCTGGTAATGTGGAGAAGTTGGATACCAATTCCGAAGGAGTGTCGAGGGGACCGGAGAGTGATACGTATTGGCTGAGAACTGCACCGGGGGGATTTAGGTTGTTACTGAATTGGATTTGGAAGAGGTATGGCGTGCCGATCTACATTACTGAGAATGGAACGACAGCGAAAGGGGAGACTGAGCCAAGCGAGAGTGTCTTGGATGATAAATTCAGAATTGAATTCTTCGAGGGGTATATTGAGTCCATCGGACGGGCCGTGAAAGAAGATGGTGTGGATGTGAGGAGTTATTTTGCTTGGACGTTCACAGATAATTGGGGTAAGTTTTTATGTTCTCTGGGATGCCTCAAACATTGTTACTGACTTGTGACAGAATGGGCTGCGGGGTATTCGGATCGTTTTGGTGTTACATTTGTGGACTTCCAGTCAAAGGAAAAGAAGCGATACCCAAAGAAATCGGCGACTGTGATCAAAGAGCTTTTTCAGCTCATGGTCAAGTTGGAATGATTTGTTACTGTATGTGCAGAGACAATCATCTAAGTAGAATAGATAGAATGCACTCCTGTCCCAGTGAACTCTACTCTCTTCCCTCCAGGAAACTTTAAAATGCCATCTTTTCCAAGTCGAGAGTTGACGAGAACTGGCTCTTTGATGACTTCATCCACCCACTCAAAGGTAACTTCGAAGCCACCTCGCGCCTTGACTCCCTTCAAGTAACCACAACTCCATTCCTTCGGGCAAGCTGGAAGTAAGTGGATATATCCATCATGGCTCTGTATCAGCATCTCAATAATGCCTGCACATCCACCGAAATTCCCATCAATCTGAAATGGAGGGTGATTATCCAGCATATTCGGCAGCGTGGAATCTTTCAACAGTCGTCTAATATGTTCCAAACATCCTTCGGCATCGCCAAGCCGGGCATGCAAATTAATCAGCCAAGCTCGACTCCATCCCGTGTGCCCACCTCCATGTTCAGCACGACGGTGAAGCACTACTGCACTTGCTGCCGCTAGAGAAGGTGTTTTTGTCAAACCTATCTCATTCCCGGGGTGGAGAGCCCAGAGATGTGATGTGTGTCTGTGTCCAGGTTCGTGTTCCTTGTAATCTTTCTGCCATTCTTGGAGTTGCCCAAAGGAGCCGATTGACATCGGCGGGAGTCTGTCGAGAGAAGCTAAGACTGTCGTTAGGAGATCGTCGGAGATGTTCAACTCGTTGACAGTGCCGATAAAAGCAGAGAATACGGCGCGAATGATCTGAATGTCGATTGTTGACCCCTCACAGAGAACTCCTTTGGTGTTGCTTTCGCCTAGGAAGGTGTTTTCTGGAGACAGAGATGGATTCGTGACAAGATAATTCCCAGAAGAATCCTCAATCAGGAAATCGACCAAGAACTCAACAGACCCTCGCAGAATGGGATACATTCGTTTTAGAAATTCTTTGTCGCCATTGAACTGATACTGCTCCCAGATATGGTAACACAGCCATGCACCAGCAAGTGGCCAGACTGGTAAGAATCAGTAGATGAACGACATAATTATGAGCGCATATACCGGTTGCAGGCATCCAACGATCTTGGGGGTCTGTGTCTGCCCAGATATCGGTATTGTGGTGAGCACACCATCCTCGACAGCCATACATGATCTCAGCAGTTTTCTTTCCGCAAACGGCCATTCTCTCTAGCAGATCAAAAAGTGGCAATTCGCATTCAGAAAGGTTGCAGAGATTCGCGGGCCAGTAGTTCATCTGAGTGTTGATGTTGATGGTATATTTGCTTCCCCAGGCTGGCTGAAAAGAAGGGTTCCAGATTCCTTGAAGTGTCGCTGGAAGAGCTTTGAATCCGGGACGACTGCATGAGATGAGAAGATAACGACCCAAGTTGTGGTAAAGAGCAATGAGACTTGCATCTACGGCTCCAAGCAGCCTTTGATCAGTCGGTAGGTAAGACTTGTTCTCACCAAGATGTAGTTCCATACGTGAATATAACGCTCTGTAGTTTGTAAGATGATTCTCTCGCAGATATTTTTGACCAAGTGCTCGATTTACATCACCTAACGTAGCAGATTCAACATCATCGCATCGATAAGTAGTTTGAGCTGAGATAACAATGGTCGTCTTCTTCGAATCAACGACAAGACAACCGCCTACGACCTCAAAAGTTCCATCTTCTTCACACTTTACCTTCACAGCACAGCAAAGTTTATTACTTCCCCGTCCACCAGGTGTCGCATGCATGATGATCGTACCATCTTTTGCCGCCACGACAGAATCGACAAAGTCATTCGTTTCGTACTCTCTCTCACTCACTCGCGTCAATCTGAGAGTAAATCTACTCTTAACCGAAGATTCAAGGCTTAGTACCAGAACGCCATCTGGCTGACTTGCGAATATCTTGCGTCTGAACTCGACCCCGCCATGCTCATAGAGCACACTCGTGATCGCAGTCTCCAGGTCTAGTTCCCTCCTATAGTTTGTCACATCAGCCTCTACATGTCCAAAGTCGAGCATGAACGTGCCCAAGGGCTCGTAATGTCGTTGACTATGCGGCGTAGCAAAGAATGCTTTTCGGACGAGGTCTTCCGCTTGTTGATGTTGTTCGGATCGGATCAACTCTCGTAACCGAGGTAAGTTCTTCAACGCATCTCGAGGTGTACGATCCAGTGGTCCTCCATACCAAACCGAGTTCTCATTCAACTGCAACAATTCTGTTGTCGTTCGCCCATACACCATAGCACCCAGTCGCCCATTGCCGATGGGGAGAGCCTGGGACCATTCCGTTGCGGGCTTTGCGTAGTGCAGTTTGTTTGCCATGTTGTTCGATATTCTGCGTCTCAATAATCGGGTCAATGTCCAGCGACATAGATGCGCTTCCTCCGAGCAGGTATGATTGTACTAGGGGTGGACCCTTTTCAGTCCCTGGTACTGGATTATGATCAGGCACCGAATGAACCTATCATAGACGTGCCAGAGAGACTGGAGGTGGCGTGAGAAGTTCGATACATTTCACTGTGAGGACATCATCCAGACCATCAACTTCGCATCGGATCTACAGACCTTTGCCTATCGTACCATTACTGAATCCACTTTTCGAGGAGTCCATGAGGCACAGTAGAGGTATCGTTACTAAGTTGGACATGTGTGGAGTTGGGAGCCTCTTTGGGGCTAGCTGCGGAAAAGGAACTGAAAATCCACCAATGAACATGGCGCCTCATCCAAATCCCGAACAACATTCACAACTTCCCCATTCTTGTGGGGATTGAATTCTGGGGACGTGCGGGGGTATTCAGCATGCAGCATGCTATCGACGGCTGGCAGGACCGAGATTCCTTTACTTGAATGATTCGTGAAGGAGGTCTGGGTCTGGGGATGCGGGGGTGGACGAACCAGATATCTGGATCTTGACAATGGGGCCAGTCGCTAACATAAAAACTCAGCAAACTCTCTTCTCGTCAGAAGTTCGGTCCAAGTCGTTCACACTTCTCCATCATGGCGGCCAGATATAACGACAATGCCGATGATCTCGGCAGAGCCGACACCAACAATGACTATCTTGCCGACCTGAAGACATCTCCTGACCATGTTGAAGAGGTAGTCATCGCTCGTCTAACTGAAGAGGATGTCTTTGGTCTCTCGCAGGAGTCCCTTAGATTCAAATCATGGACCGGCTTTCGCCTTTGCCTCATCATGTTTGTCATGGGCTGCAACCAAGCTGGATATGGAATTGATTGGGCAGTTATTGGTGGTATCAACGCCTACCCAGCGTGGCATGAATACTTTGGTTTTGGTACAAGCGGAGCTACTTTTGGTACAATCAATGCTTTGATGACAATCGGAACTGTCTGTGGTGCGCCGTTCCTCGCCCTGTCAGATGTGATCGGACGTCGAGGCATCAACTTCCTTGGTAACGCCATCGTCATCGCAGCTGCCCTTCTACAGGGTCTCGCAGTCAACCTACCAATGTTTATGGCTGGCAGATTTTTCCTTGGATTTGGTTCCGCCCTCATGTCTGCTCCTCAGTATATGGGAGAAGTTACACCAGCTCATCTTCGTGGTCTGCTGGTCGGACTTTTTGGTGCCTGCTTCCAGATTGGAAGTCTGGGAATGAATGCTGCTTTGCTTGGGTTCAATAAGATGGAGGGGAACTGGGGCTGGAGAATCCCCCTACTTCTTGAAGCACTTTTCCCCGCGATTGTCTGCTCTAGTATCTACTTCATCGCCCCAGAAAGTCCGAGGTACCTCATCATGAGGGGCAAGAAGGAGCAAGCCAAGAAGATGATCGCTCGCTACCACACAACGGAAGGGAACAACCCAGATCACCCTCTCGTTGGAGTTGTTGTTCAACAAATCGAGGAGTCTCTGGCACACACACCAAAGAATCGTGAAGTTTGGGATTTCAGAGCTTTCTTCAAGAGAGGTGCACGTTACAGAGTTCTTGTCTTGGTTCTCTACTCTGTATTTCAGCAATGGAATGGCGGTGGTATCATCGGCCAATATCTGGTTCCTGCTCTGGAAACCATCGGCATCAAAGATTCCATGCAGCAGCTCGGTTTTAACTTCGGTTCGACCGCAGTGTACTTCGTCTTTACTGTGTTCGGTTCCTTGATCATCGACAAATTCAAGCGTCGCACCCTGATTTTCGCTGGTTTGATCTCCTTCATTATCCTTCAGACATGCGCTACAATCACTTCATGGCAATACAATCTACACGAATCCCAAGCTCAAGCCGCCCTCACCGTCACGTGGATTTTCATCTTCCAAGCTTGTTCGGCAACACTCATTGCTACTATGCACAATCTCTATCCGGTCGAACTTCTGTCCTTGCATCTCAGAGCAAAGGGTATGGCTATGTATGGTCTCATCCAGGGAGCAGCCGGAACCGTCAACAATTACGGAATTTCCGTGGGTATCAACAAAATCGGATACAAGATTTGGGTCGTATACATTGTATACAACTCCATTCAGCTGGTACTTTCGTACTTCATATTCCCTGAAACCCATGGATTGACGCTTGAGGAGATGGATGCTGTCTTCGAGACTCCTGGTGTTCGACCTGTCAAGATGTCGATGGATATTCAAAAGGCAAAGAAGGAAAAGGCAAGAATGGAAGCCGAACAAGCTCAGCATGGAGAGCTTTGATTGCACTCATTCTTTCGTCAAATCCGGTTGATTAGTTCTTCAGCGTTGTTTACCTTGTCTCTTGGAATGTGATATCCATTAAGTGGCTCGCGCCTTGATTCAACAATATATGCAGCTCTCTCTTGCTCAGTTGTGGGTTTTTTCACGTTGTTGAGATTTTGATTTGGTCCCTAATCATGACAATGTCACTTCAAAAACAAGTGATGGGAACTTACCCTTTAATCAGTTGCCAGGTCTGTTAGAAAATACTCATAGTGCCGAGACCTCAACCCGCATTTGTTGTCTCGCTTATTCTAGGTCCATCCTAAACAGGAAGGTCACGATTTTCCGAGAACCCTGCCATGGTGATATCCACGGCTTTTGGACTGTTCTGGGACTCTCATTCCGACTGTTGTCAAACAAGCTTCAAAGTGAGCAATCTTCGACGCTCAAAAGAAACCTCTTTCTATAACGGAGATGAACATTTCTTGGCCGCTTGGCAATACGTCCTATTCAACTCCTAACTGTCATGGGTTGATGAAACCACGATACTCCGTCACTCACAGTCTTCTCAGCTCACAGCAACATGCAGACTTCGCTCATAGCCGCGACCATAGCGCTTTTGGCGTGCGTATCTGCATGGGAAATGCCACCATCGGGCCAGAGAGATCCTTCATTGTGTGTTGCCCCAGCTGAGTACGAAGCGTGCAACAAAGATGCGTGGGCCAAGGTCGACAATTATATGAATGGCAAGAAACGGGATACATCGGAGTATGTCGATTGTTTTTGCTTCAGCAATGCATATCTGCTGAACTGCGAAGCACAATTTTGCTGGAACAAGGTTCGTTGTCGTCACCATGAAGTGAAAGAACGTCGCTAAATCTGGATTTAGGTTTACGGATGTGAATATAACGACATAGCCGAGAATTTACTCAGCTTTTGTAGTCCAGATCTTGTAAAGAGCGACGGAATTCCCTTCTGGCCGGCTCCTGGCAATGCCCCGGGAGCTTGTTCTTGCGACAACAGCGCCACAGATCTCGAGATGGCTGACATTTGGTCCACTACTCGTGAAGCTTGCAGTACCGGCGAAGTCACAGATCCAAATGACAAAAATTCGGCGGCGAACTGTGGGTGCTGTTACTGGAGCATCTCATTTCTGTCGTGAGTCATCCCCTATTGGGTAAATCAAAACATGAGCTCACGAACTATCTGCTACCTAGAACAATCGAGAGCTGCCCTAAATATGATTTTCCATATTTTCGCTACGACGATGAGAGGAAAGCAAATCTCAGCAATTTCGACAAGACCTGGTTGTCTTGCCAAGATACTCTCCCAACCGCGGATTGCAAGGCTTTAGGATATAGTTACACTCGCGAAGTGTATCTACCTTCTGCTCTTCCCCTTCCGGGCACGGAGACAATGTCCAATCTTCCAGGTCAAGTCACTGCTCCTGTCAGTGGATGGACATTTACTTGGTCTGCTGCAAGGTTCAACTATGCTGTGACTGCTTTCTCGCCGACTGGGACGATTATCAATGTTCCTGCGTCCACAGATTCTTCTTCGAGCTCTGGAGGAATATCGGGTTCTGCCAGCTCAGGGACAATCACATCTAGTCCTATAGCAGCAACTTCGGCTTCGAGTTCGAGTGCAACTACATCGACATCTTGGGGGCAGAAAGCAATGGATGGAAATTTAGTCTTGAAGGGCGCAGTTGCTTGTGTTCTGTTCCAAGTGATTCTTGGTTTCTCGGTCTAGCTGATCAAGACAATTGACGAACTGTACATCCGTTATAATGTTTACTTCAGCCTTCAACAGTTTGCTCCAGTAACAAATTAGTTTTGGCTGGTAGTTGCCTAGCTGTGCCGCTCACGGAAATTACCCATGACCCGTTTCCGTAAATAAACGATTATTTTACATCCCTGCACCGATCCCTTTTTCGGCTCAGTGCCCCTTAAAATATCTCAGTGTCCAATCATCGATGAACAACAAAAGAATGTTAGTTGGTGATAAAAGCCGGTTTCTTCAGTGCCCGACAACTTCGTTCCTCCAAAGACTAACTCACCGACCTTGTAGTTGAGACCGTCAGTATGTGGAGTCAATATTTTGCAGTCTTTGCATCTTGGGGAGCGACCATGGCCGTGGGGCAAATCGAGTTCGACAACGGTTTGCTAAACGGCACTTCATGCGTTGCTCAAGAGCAATTCGAGCAGTGTCGCCTCGACATTCTGAACGATTCTAGTTGTTTGGATAATCTGGAGCGAGGAAATCCCTGCGTCTGCCAGAAGCGAGCAGAGATGCTCAACTGTTTCGGGAGCTACTGCTGGAATTTTGTAAGTGGCAGTCCCATCTTCTCTGAGCTGCACTAACACAATACCAGATTTATGGATGCGAATATCAGGAAACGATTCGCCAGTTCATGCTCGATTGCTATCCTGATCCTGTCTCGAAGCTTGAATCGGTACCATTTCGGCCGGCACCTCCAGAAGGACCAGGTGTCTGCTCTTGCAATCTTGAGTCCATGGAACAGGATTTAACGGATGTCTCATCTCAGTACGATACATGCATCGATATCAGGAAGAGTGACTCGAATACACAGGAATGGGATTGCTACTGTTGCTCAACAAGCAGAACTCTCTCAATGTAAGCTTGACGCCCACGCAGCCTCAGCATACAAGTCAAGACTAATGCTTCGGGCAGTCCGATCGACGTATGTCAAAAGTCTGATATTACAGAGATCCATTTGAATGCCTCGGATGTGTCGACCGAATTTGGCGAGCTCTGGCTGAATTGCGCACCTGTCCTGGAGCGAGTTGACTGCAAGAAGATAGGCTACAAAGCCCTGCCGTCTGCAACCCTCTACCAGCCTTCGAATCTTCCATTACCTGGCACTGAGCCACTTTCAAATCTCCCTGGTCAGATGTTGACCCCAGTGAGTGGGTGGACGTACTCTTGGACTCTGGGGACGAAAGAGTATGTCGTGAGTGCATTTTCACCATCTGGTACTGTCATCAGCACTCCCACGGCCTCTGTTCCTGGAGGGGCATCTTCAGGACCAATTTCATCGACAGGAAGCGCAGGTATAGGACCTACTAGTACTGGATCTGCAGCTCCAAGTACTACCAGCACATCATCAGGCTCATTCAGGCACACGAGACCACTCAGATCACATGATGAGCAGATCATGGTAATCATCATTAGCCTCCTCCTGATTGCCTTGTTGGTGATGGCCGGCATGTACTTCTAGAGAACTCTTTCAACGAATTCACTTGAATTTCGCAAGCCTCGATTTTCAACGGTAATATGTATAGCTCCCCCGACACATGCTATCTCCCTTGGAAAGAAGGTCCTCCGTCTCGCTACTTTGTCTCGCTTGGAAGACTACACGATTTTACATCAGACATCGACTTGCAAACGCTGTTGGAACAACATATTGACCACGGAATCCCTCATAGTGGAGTTTGACTCCGAAAACCTTGTCCGACCCGCTGTCAACGGTAGGGCACCATTTAAGGTTCATCTATGTTCTGAAGCGAGAACTCAATCATTGGGAATATCAACAACAGCAACAGAGCTCAATTCATATCCCCCAAAAATTGAGTTTGAGACACTAGCGGTGCTGTAAATTTGAAGAGGGTATCCTCCAATGACATGAAGCTGGCCTCTGCTCTCCTGGCATTTCGCCAGCCTCGTCAAGCATAATCATAACCGCTGGGTACGAAGTCACATTTTGGACAGGCAGGATGCCAAGCATAACATAGCCAGGAGCCTGGAGAAATTAAACCACAAGTAACCTAGAGAAACGTCATTGGGAAACTTCCCATACACTGTCTCGAGGCAAAGATAGCTGATTGGCCTTCTGGAGCAACTTGAACAGGCGGTGGACATTTGTAGCGAAGTGGTATTTCTATGAACAATGCCAAAACATGACGGAAAGCCGAGATGGTCCTCAAACGCCGATGCTAACATGTACTGTGATCCCACCATCCTACCTTATAGTTCCTTTTCCTTGTTCCTGACCTTGTCTGTGGCCCCACCTCTCACTACATTTTCTGTCTTCATTCCCAAGCTTTCCTCGCGTCCAGTCGCAGGCGCATTACCGACCGCCTCCTTTCCTCCCACGATCGCGAACCCTTTGTGGAACACCCATTCTACTGCTTCCTCCACAGGCTTGTCGAACAAGTAGGGTAATGCTGGAACAGCTGCTAGACCTAAACCAATAGGTCCATATGTCCGAATACGCAAATTCTTCGAGTCCTTCAACGCTCGCCCAGAATAGCGCACAATCGAATGGATAGTGAAAGCCGGGAGACCCATTGATGCAATGCTCTGGAAGACAGCCCGTTGCGCCATAACAGTTCTGTAATCCTCCAGGGGAGTAACCTTGCCCGGGGCTAAAGATACACCCGCGTCTGCCGCCACAGCTTTCAAATCCGTTTGCGCATCGTTGTATCTCTCCGTCACAGCTTCTCGAGGAAGATATGGGTGCAATATCCTTTGGTTGCTGCAGTATGCTTTGTATCCCTCATGCGCTACATCCCCTAGAATATACGCCCAGGAGATTCCATATGCTGTTCGGACGAGATTCGGATGTGCCACTGGACGGAAAGATTCTCCAATGTCTGAGGTATAGGCCACGTATCTTTGGGCAGAGAGAAGTGCTGTTCGAATACGGGTTACGTATGCAGCATATCGAATATTGCTTTCTGTTGATTGAGGGGCACTGGGGAAGTCAGCACGCGAGCACTCGGAAAATAGAAAAGAATGGAAAATGTTGGGAATAACATACGTTCCATCATACAGCTCGTCGTAGAAATTGTCCTCGCTATCGGATTTGTCTATGATCTTCTGGAACGAGGCTGGCAGCTTCTCTCTTGCGGGAAGGCCGCGTGGTGGTGGACCTCGGGAGTCGTTCTTATCGGAGTCTTTTCCAGACATTATGGTTGTGTTCGACTTGCGAACAGATGATAAAGTTTCAATCAAAGAGAAAAACGAAAGACGAATGCAAAAGAATTGGTGGATGTTGCCCCCTTCGACCTCGGGCTTGGATACGATAACGTCGGCTGTGTCCGGGGAAATGACGCGCCCGGGCGTGGGCCTGGTGGGGAGGCGGGTACGCTTACATAATCGCCAAGCATAATGTATCTTCACCTCGAGTATCGAGGTATCTACAACTAACCTTGTCTTAGATTCGTAAATGATTCAGATTTGTCTAATAGCAGAATAGGTCTGCTCTGTACTGGTCTGATTCGACGAATAGTGTTCAGAACTAACGCTTCTTTCTCCTTCAACACCTCTTTCCGGGCTCGTCACTCTGCATCTCATTCGTAGAACAACGGTTCCTACCTATTTATCATATTCCTCTCATACAAGTCTAAAGAGCACTTAAATGACCTCTAGAGCATATTTCATCTAGCTGTTTACCTGCGTTTCCTCTACCTCTTATGTCTTGGTCATCCATTAAGTTTTGACGTAATGTCCTTGTTATCTCCGTATCTCCATCCTCAACTCCACTGCTCAAAAATACAAGCGGCGAATACGAGCTTCAACTTACTCTAGATGGTAAAAAGCGCAATTAGAATGGAAGCTCTTCAAGACATTCCGATTCATTTACCATATAACAAGTGTTGCCAATTTCATGTTCTCTCTTACCTGCGCATATCAAGCTTCTGGAGACTTGACCGAAACTGCTATCCGTCACGTTCCCCATTCATCGGACCACAACATATTTGACATACATCTCCCAACTTTTCATCAAGTCAACGCGCAGAATGACAACCGTACAACAGCCGATAGTAGTCGTCACTGGAGGGAATCGTGGAATCGGCTTTTCAACAGTTCAAGCACTATCCCTACGCTATCCATCTGGAACATACATAATTGGTAGCCGAAGCGTCTCTTCGGGTCAAGAAGCCATTCAAGAGCTTCGAAGCTTGGGTGTAAAAGCCAATCTAGAAGTCGTCGAACTGGATGTCGTAAACGACTTGATAATTGAGGCAGCACAAAGCTGGATTAGCCAGAAGTTCGGTCGCCTGGATGGTACCCTCTCTTCAAACCCTCGTCTTTCCGTACTGACTCTCTTAGTACTTGTGAACAATGCAGGCATTGCACTCTTCCCTTCATCATCCTCGCCAAGGGACATCCGAGAGACATTCAACACAACTTTCACCACGAACGTCACTTCCCTGTACACCGTGACCCTCGCTTTTCTTCCACTTCTGCACCTCTCCAACTCGCCAAAAGTAGTCAACATCTTGTCCGGCAGAGCCTCGCTCACCCGCTCTTCCAACGGAAAACTACCAACAACCAGGGTGATGTCGTATTCGGTTAGTAAGGCTGCAGTCAATAGTTTGACTATAGATTTGCAGAAGGTGGAGGATGCTTTACTTACAGACAACCCTGCAGAGGAGGGAAGGAAGGTTGGAAAGGGCAAGGTGCAGTTCTTCGCTGCGAATCCGGGACATTGCAAGACTGCTTTCAATGGCTACAAGGGGACGAAAGAGCCGCTAAATGGCGCCGAGGTAGTGGTCAGACTTCTCGGTGGAGAAGGGGGGAAAGGTGGATTCTGGGAGTTCGAGGAAGGTGTGTTGAGGGAGGTACCTTGGTGAAATGGGTTGAGATACATGAGATGCCTCACAGGTGAGGAGAAATGGACAAAGTATCGCACAACACACCAGTTTTGGAAAGATATGAAAGTTTACACTACATAGTCAGGTTTCAGAAAATCGAACGTTGTATGTTCAGTGTGCAGTGTGCTAGTGAAGCTGAAAGAAGATTGTCCTGACCTTGAGAGTTTATTCAGCCGAAAACGCTAATCCAATTTGGACTTTAGTGGATTGGCTTCAACCTCTTTCTGCAACCTTTCACCTTGTCCACGAAACCTCCTTTCAACTCAGCACCCTCACCGAACTGTACATGGCCATAGCCACCTCTCTATTCATTAATTCAAATACGACTATGGCCTTATAATTATAGTCGCCCAACTGGTATTGTTGTAAGAATGGCCGGCTGAACAGCGCATAGAGTGAAATCGAGTTGCGAGAAATATTGGCGACAGCCAGCTGAAAACCTCGCCTTCCCATGGCTTCGCAATTATCCTTCAATTGCGACTCTGCTTCCCAGGGAACTGTGTACGACATTCTTTGCGATGCTTGCGAAGACTTCCTTGGAAGACCTGAGGTAGCTGTGAGCTCCATGGTCACGAGGACCCGTGCCTATCATTGGCCTCCAGGTCACAATGTTCCTGCAGCAAAAATCCACTCCACATTCGCCAATATGAAAACATCCTCTCAAAACGGCTGCCACATGTGCACACTGATTCTCGCATCTTTTGGGTCTCAAGATGACTGCACAATACCAGATACCTGTCTGATATTGGCAAAGCTGTGGCGTTTTCCAGACAGCATGGGCCAAAACATGGCTAGTGTAGCTGTATGGCCGACCGGAGTTCGCGACAACTCTGACTTGAATGGCTTCTTCAGGAAGTTTTTTATATCGCATCTCGTATGTTTTCCGGATGTACTTGCTCTGGGGCTTATCTGATAGTCACAGAACATCAGAGAAAAGAACAACATCCTTGCCAGACGGGCAAGATCATCCACGAAGATTGGAACGAGACCTCTCAGCCAGGTTAAGTCGTGGCTAGTAGCTTGTTGCAAATATCATTCCACATGCAAAAATTCCTGGACTCTCGTATCGGAGCAACGAAAAATGCCGACACGACTCCTCGAAATTGCTCAGTCAAGTGGAGATTGGAAATTGCGTATCATATACGGCTCTAGAATCCCTATAGATTCAGAGTATGCGACCTTGAGCCACTGTTGGGGCACTTCGAACAAGATTCGTCTCACATCTGAAAATCATCATGTATACACAGACAATTTACCATTCGAATGTCTTCCACGGACTTTTCAGGACGCAGTCGAGTTAACCTTTTCCCTAGGACTCAGATTTCTTTGGATTGACTCGATCTGCATTATACAGAACTCCAAGGATGACTGGATATCTGAATCGTCAATGATGGGTAGCGTCTATGCTCAAGGATATCTCAACATCGCGGCGACATATTCTCACAGTGGTGATGGGGGACTCTTCAACCAGTCGAGTTCGCTATCGGGCAGCCCATGTACTATCCGAATGACCGACAGTGATGACTCAATATCAGAGGCCATTTTCTACCAAGACAGTGTCTGGGAGCGTGAAGTTGAAAACGCACCTCTTGGAAAGCGAGCATGGGTCGTGCAAGAGCGAATTCTTGCTCCAAGGGTTGTACATTTCTCCTCGAACCAAATTCTGTGGGAATGTTGCCAAGAGCGAGCAGCTGAGTTACTGCCTGCAGATGCTGTGAATGAAGATGGCGAACTGAAGAAGGTTGCTCCGTATCCAGCGACCAATGAAGCCCAAGATCCTGACCGTATTTGGGTGCATAGGAACTGGGCCTCTCTCGTCGAGAAATACTCGTCTTGCTCACTTACTGTCCAATCAGACAAATTAGTTGCCATCTCTGGTCTCGCACGTCGGGTATGTGGTCAGCTTGGACTCACACCACAAGATTACATAGCAGGGCTTTGGAAATCGAACCTGATATATGGCCTACTGTATAGAGTTGAGCGCGACAGCGCCATCATACCAAGCAGGTTTTCTGATAGAGCACCATCCTGGTCCTGGGCATCTGTCTATGGCGTTATCACGTTCTTCCCGCAAGATTATGGTAACCTAGCACAATGGCCATACACTACTGTTGTTAGTGCACACATAGACCATAACGGAGATCCTTACGGACAGTTGAAAGGCGGCTCTATTCAGCTTCGAGGGCCACTGTCTGAGATCCCCTTAGACACTAGTCTGTCTGAAATGCCAAAGCGATCGGCAGATGAGGAGTCAAGTACCTTCACTGCCAGTGCATCTGACATTTTCTTAGATGAGTCGAACTCTGAACGAGTAGCTCGGCTCAACCGAATTTATTTCCTCCTCCTGATTGCAGAATTCAACTTCGATGAGCCAGCGGAAGTTCATGGTCTTCTACTTTGTCCAACCGGGCTCAAGAAAGGGCAGTTCGAGCGCATTGGAGTTCTATTATACGGTCAAGCGGGAAATTTTGATTTTTCTCTGAAAAATGCCAAGGATCCTGCGAAGCTGGACGAGAAGTTGTACCTGGATGCTGACACTGAGAAAGGTTTCACAATCGAAATAACTTGACACACTAGAATGGGATGGCAGCAAATGCGTTAGGAATTTGATGGCCTTTCAGCATCTCCTCTTTGCTGGCTGGCCGATCAGAACTAGCAGTGAATGGGATATAGTACAGACACCGTGGTAATGGAATTTCAAAGACCGAGCTCCAGACTGAAGAATCTCAGGATCCTCACAACTCCTTCTTCGCTTCAGCCACCTCCTTGGCCCGACTCGCATCTTTCTCCTCTTTGCCCTTCCCCATTCTCTGAACACCAACGCCATGAGTGTACACCAAACCGCCTCCTAGGAATGCCGCATATGCTACGCCACCCAGCATCATAAAGCTAACCAAAGTGTTGCCTCCCATCGGCATATACGCCTCACGACCCCATCTAGTCAACATGTTGTAGATGGCCCCAAAGATAGCCAAGTCATTCAAGCCCGCATGGATAAGTGTAGTCTTGATGACAGGATTCGACAGGTCAAGGCCCTTGGCTGAGATCATGGCATAAGCTTCGAAGAGACCAGAAGTGATAGCTGGGAAGGATGTCAGGACACCTGCAACGGTGCTGACGAAGCTGAAGAGGCAGAGGTGGTAGACGACAGCGACTGGGCTGGCGGTTGAAGAGAAGATACTAGATATATTGACGGCGAGATTGAGGAGCGACGAGGAGCTGACGCAAATGAATGTCAGGATATCGAGTCCTGACGCCGCGAGAAGGAAGGCTATTGGGAGATGGACGGTTGCGGGGTGAATTGGATGGCTATTGATAAGGTATGTCAGCATGCTACGACACTCGAACATTTCAATATTGCCTACCTGTTACCGCCGACTTTTCCCAAGCCAATATCCAAGATTGAAGCCATATCTGCGAGATTCTTGCGTGGAAAGCTTTCGTGTGGATTGGTTTACTAAATAGGAAGAAAGGGCGGTATCAGGAGCAATTTATCGAATCATATCTGTTCGCAACCTCAGCAATTGGCCAATCGAATCGAATGTTTACTGCGTGACGAGTTCTCAATCTCGAATTAGTTACGTCACGAGTGCTAAGCGGTGTTGCACACAAACAAAGAGAATGGCGGGGTTGAGGCTGGAAGCTATGCTCCGGGGGATTGCTTTGTCGCCTCGATTATCTCAATGGCAGGGAGACTACAGATTTTCTGTCATTAAGTCTAACAGCTATGGATTGAATTCGAGGAATTTTGGGGAAAACATTGACAGGAACGCTATCGGCCCATGTGACAGCTTTTCTTACTGTCTATTTTATCATTTACGCCCATAATTCCGTTTGTCACACTCCTTTCATACCCCCACAACAATCCAGCCTCTTCTGTCTTACACCCCGCCATCAAAATCCACGAGATTTATACCACGGCCAAGAACCCAGCCACAGCAGCAGCTCCCAATCCCGCACCCAAACCAGCCTGCGCAAACTGATTCGATTGTGCCCCAGCACTACTCGTCGCACCAGCCACCAGACTTGATGCCTTAGAAGCCTGCGACAAGACAGCAGACGGACTTTGCACAGCAGACGAAAGAGCTCCCGATCCGACACCAGTGTACGTCGCCGCGAAAGATGATGCTTCTCCGCCAATCTTGGAACTGAGTTTCGATTCGACAACGTTCGCCAAGGAGGAGGTGAGGGCAGAAACGATTGATGCGTTGGTAGTGGAGAGGAGGGCCACCAAGCCAAGAGTGAGAGCGTGGAACTGCATGGTGAAAGGTGATATGCGAGGTGATTTGATGTGAGTCTTGATTTTGCTTTTTGTGGAGGTGTAGGATGGAAATCGACGGCCAATTTTCCTTTCCAAGCCAAGAGCTTCCAAGCTATTTATCTAAATCTTCTTTCTTTATTCCAGCTGACAATCTGTCGCCTCAGCCCCATCACACCCAAGGCACATGCCAAACATCTTGTTCTTTGTTAACAACCTGGGAATGTTCCAGTTTGCCATGTTTGTTTTGATGTTCCGGTTCGGGAATTTCGTGCGGTCATCGTTTTAAGCATCAAATACCCGCACGTCACGGAGATCACCCACCAATCACTTGCCCATCTTGCAGCCGCAGCATCGAATTCTTGGTACAGCATGCGCCACAAAACGAAAAACGTCCATTCAAATTGGGTTACTTGAATATGACATGCCTAGATTTCGGGAACTTGCTGTAAACGGAGCAAATGGTCCTCTTTCAGCTTGTGGGAAGAATCCAATGTCCAATCGGAATAGATTATGAGATCAGATTCCTCTTGACAGCGGTAGGGGTCCAGCTGGTTTGTATCATTCTCGACGTACATGGCTGCTCAATACAAGTTTGCGGGATGTATTCAATTGAATGGAACGCAGGTTTCTTTATTGGTGTGGCAGTACTCAATGACGCGACCCCGTTGATCATACAGCTGAATTGGTAAATATGGACCCAATGTATCGTACCCCATTCCCAAAATCAAATCCGTTTTTGGAAACTTGACTTTATTTCTGACAGAATGTCGACTCCAGTACATAATTTTCAAGATGTCAGGACTCCGGCAAATATTCCTGCAGGTGAGCAGAACTTAGTCGCCGAAAATGGTCGAGAGCCGAATGAATACGATCCATTCAAACCCGAGACGGAGAACTTTCAAGATGCTCTGGGTGCCATTGCCGATGACCAGCCATTGCGTGCCAACGCAAGAGTTCAAGAGACAGTAGCAAAACTGAACCCGGTCCCCGCCATTCAGCAACAATCGAGTGTGATAACGGAGCACTTCACTGCAGATAGCCATGATCTTGCTCGCGGCTCAGAGATTGAGGGTGCTTTACAATCCCACGATGGTCAAATTAATGGTATGGTGAGGGACATTGGTTGGCACAAAACCAATAATGAGATCCCGGATCCTCTCATTGGCGGTCTATTAAACGGACAATTGTTTGCCATGATCAGAAGATTCAACAAGGTACGCATATACCTGCCGAATCATGTGGGGTAAGCTGATCACGGTTCTGCAGGATGTATTTTCAGTCGAAGCTGTATCTCCCTATGTCGCCAGAGGTCTCGATTTGAACGACGCTTGGAGCGATGAATATGCATCAGACAAAATCACTTTGCATCTCCAGCGACTATACCTGAGCATCGTTCTCGGCCTAGCAAGCTTCGGGAAGCAGGTCTCTCGACTCCGTTCTTGGAAAGAGACTCAGCGAACTTCGGCATTTTGCTCAGTAAGAATGTTCTACACGTTTCAATAGAATGAACTGACGCTCGAAGGTGTACTTCGTAGCATGGCTCTTGGATCTCCTCATGCCACTCTGTCTCGGGACCTTGATGCTCGTTGTATCCTCCGAAACGTGTCGCGATATACTCTTCCCACCTGCACCCCGAGCTCTCGTCAACATGAACACAGGAGGGCTTCAAAACCCCGCATCTGGCAAGCTTGGAACCGACGACAGCTTGACAGGCGCACCTGAGAAACAACAGGGAGAAGCAATCGAAGAGGAAGCTGCCAACTTCGTGAAGAACGTCCGACACATGGTCCAAAAAGCCGTTGGTATGCACGAAAAGGACCAAAATGAGGGCGATCCACTTGAGGGGAAAGTGCCAAAGCCGGTCCGGAAGGCTGTGAAAGCAGTTAAGGCTGAGGGAACTAGCGATGGGCACGCGACTGAAGAAGATGATCAGACACAAAAGCCGATGGAAGATGTATTGTGGAAGAAAGCAAACCCAGAAAATCTGGCTGATATGATGGAAGTTGCTCCGCATGTGGTGGGTGAGATTGTGGACAATTGGGAACGATTTGCGAAGTGAGTTCCGATCATCTATGAAAGTAACCACTCTAACTTTGGCAGTGCACTTTCTCCAACACCGCCATTTTCCAAACTATCTTACCTCAGAATAGATGCTGTGCTTTTGCCTCTTTTCCTGGGTTCGTTGTTCCTAAGCAGCTACATGGTCTACAAAGGAACCGGCTTCGCAATTGGACTTGGGATTTTTGGCGATCCTTTGTTGACTCCAGCATTGAAATGGCTGAACCACAATGTTCCTAACTGGGTCGAACTTTTAGAACCCAAAAAGTATGATACTCCTTTAGAGACAGGCACCCATTCTCTTGCTAACTATAAACAGCAATATCTTGCGTGGAGTTCCAACGAACAGCCAGTTGACACTGGCGCTTCTCCGCATTGGAGAAGTTCACAACACGCCCATCCCGCCCGTACCCACTTCGAACCCAGAAGATGCAGACCAGCACCAGGCCATCGATCTAGAAGATATCCCAGTCGGCTCTTCTCCATCCGCGAAACTTTCAGCAATTCAAGAGTCGCCATCGACGCAAGCCCAGCACGAAGAAAAGAAACCCAAACCCAAGCACAACAAACTGTCCAAGATAAGTCGAATCTTCAAAGGCAACACCAAAACAGCCGTCGAGTCAAAACTCGCCATCGATCACGTCCGCGCAAAAGTCGGTTCCGACAAAGCGAAAGGCCATCTCGGCGTTCTCCCCAAACCAAAGAATCTCATCTACGCAGGACCAAGCCATTTCAAAGCTCGCCTGGACGGCAAACAAGGCTGGCTGTACATCACAGAGGGTACTCAACCGATATTACTTTACACGATGAAGGACCCAAGGCCAAACAGTAAAGATTCTGGAGAAAGCCTGGAACCGGTCGTGCAGATTGATGTGGAGGCTATTAAGAAGTTGAAGCGAGCGACTGCGTTCGTAGGTAAACCTGCTGAGATGGCGGCGGGTTGGTCGAGTGATAAGGAGTTGTTAGGTAGTGTTGAGGTTGAGGATGGGGACGGGAAGATGTGGAGGTTTACGGCGCTGCCCGAGAGGGACGAGCTATTCAATAGATTGATTGCTGTCGGTGGGCAAAGATGGGAGAATAAGTGAGTATAAAGCAGAATGAAAGTGTAGGGCAGCACATGCAGTTCATTTAAATCTTTTGTTTTCTTTTCAAATACGACATTTCGATGCGTGAGCGATATTTTGTGGAAACACTGTAAATTCCATGCATCTAGTATTGTGCATACCTGAGTCCTACCTGGTACGGTGGGCACAACAAGTCTGAATCTATTGCTACGTGGTTTCTATGGTGTTAGTGCAACAGTTGTGGGATTCCCATATTTCAGCCGCTCATAAAAGGGAGGAGTCCGATGTTGGAAGCAAAAGATTTTCTCCAGAAATTAACCTCGCCTCCTATCAACTGTCAGCGGCGTGTTTCTGGGTCAGGCTGGAAGCTTGCACCTGCTATTCACTCGAGGCGGGTATGGGGAGACCGTTGGATTTGAGGAACCATGGCGTTATGAACCAGGGTGGCGGGGTCATGGTTGCCTTTAACTGAATACTTTTGGGATACTCACTGATCTCAAGAGAATTCCATACATTCAAAAGTGAATTTTCACTTTCCCTAAAAGCCTTCCGTTCACGAAATAAATATATTTACAAAGTGGTCCAAACTCATTTTTCATTCAATTCAAAGTCCAGAATCAATCTGGTTGATCACCGTCGTCCCCGTGAAAGTGGCCCATTCCCTACAACCTTGGGCAAGTGTCTGAGGGATCTTGATTGCCTTGATCTTCTCAGGCTGCTCCAAAATCGTGATATACAAGCCCCCGGAGACATGCCAAGCAATATGACTAGAGAAATGTTAGCAACATTTATTAATCCAAGATAGTAAGTGATCACGAACCAATGGAATGGCCAGGCGCCAGGGTTGTCTGTAACTATCTGGATGGCAACGTGCCATCCACCTGGTACCTGGATCACATCACGTCGTATTGGATTGGCAGCATTTGTTACTGATCCATCCCATGCTCCTGGTCCCTGATGTAGCACGAAGAAGTTGTGTCCGTGCATGTGCATGGGGTGAGCTGGGAAGCCAGCTGGGTTGTTTACAACGAAGCTAAGACAATCTTCAGCATACGTCGCATAATAAGATTGTCGTCAAGTTTATGTACTTACGTGACTGATCCGTTTGTTCCATAGTTATAAACATTCCATTCCGGTGGATAGGATGTGTTTCCAAGATTGGCCAACATCAGCACTGGAGCGTTGTAGTTCCCTCTGAATGCTTGGCCATTGACACTCCATTGAAAGATGTTGGAGGCATTTGGCGCAAAATTGATGTCGTACTGTTGAATGAAATCTGACTTCGCTGGAGGAGCGACGGGAAAGAATGGAGTTGTAATCGCAAGATCATCGTTGGCGCATGTTCCTGGATCTGGCACATCCCAAGGTTTGGACTTTGGTGCTTGAGATAGACTTGCAAAATCATACCCGACTGCAGCGAGTGCGAAAGGTTGCTTAGTTACAGAGCAGGGAATTGACATGTTAGCTCTCATCCAGAAGCTATCAGTTAGACCTCCGACGTTTGCTGTGACGAGGACGTCGGCTCGTTGGCCAATCTATGTGATGTTAGCATAGTCTCACGTGAGATGACAGGTACATACTCCGAGCGTCACAACTTTCGTCGTGTAAGGCTTGATAGGTACGAAATCATTCGATATAACCGTCAACATGTGACCGTCAATGCTGAATCTTTGAACCGCCTATCAAATTTTCAAGTGTTAATCCAATGAAAGCTAGAGTAGCGAAGACATGTGTGATAGGATCACATACCTCAGCACCAGTGTTGATCAGCCGAAGACGATGAACTTTTCCTTTGCGAAAACGGAACTTGCTTATTCCAGCATTCGGGGTACAAGGACGGGTTGTGTTCGAGCAGTCGAAGATACCCTTGCCATTGATCATGTTGTTGTCGCTTGCTGGTACGATAAGCGAGAAGTCAAATGTGTTGGAGAGCACTCCTTGGAGAATCTCAAAGTAACTTTTGTGGAAGTAGTCACTCAGCATGACTGGGCCGAGGTCGATATCGTAAGCTTGATTTTTCGGACCGTGGACAACGATGGGTCCAATCAATCCATCCGCACTGTTGGAAAACTTGCAGTTAGTAATGCCGTTTCAGGATGCATTTGCGAGTGGGGTTCGAGCAAGTCACGAGATAATGAATTTATCTGAGGCGTTGTGCAAGAGTGTGAATCCTTTTAAGAGAGCTCAATGAGAGAAGAAAGGAGTGGAAGGTTACGTACTACTGAGCACTGTAATGCGAATGATACCAGGTGGTGCCGTAGGTATCAGCCTGGAAGTTGTACGTGAATGAACTACCGGGAGCAATTGGGCATTGCTGAACAGATGCAACACCATCGTAGTACTACATCATGTTAGTCAGAGAACATGTTTGCTCGCTGTGATGTTCTCATGCCTGAGTTTTCTTTTGAAGGAATCCATGCCAATCTATCACAGAGATGTTAACAGAGAACTATATAAGTTCTACTCAGGGACCTCACGAATACCAATTCCTTCCCCAGGACTCATGATATTGTTATGAACAGTAACCATTATTTGGTCTCCCTGAGTTGAGTTAGACAATGTGTGCTGGTTTCGAAGATATATTTTGCTTTTACCCAGTTTGCTTCTATCGTGGGTCCTGGGAATTGACCGTTGATGAGGATGACGTTTTTGGAAACACCATCAGGTTTGATCACACCTCGGGAAACCGTAAAATCATAGAATCTTGTAACTCCAGTAGTTGGAGGGAAGTCAGGATTTGTGTTTCCTGCGGTTCGACTTCCCCACGGAAAACCGAGCGGAAGGGGATTATTTGTGAGGAAAGCAGGCAGTGTAGGTGCATTCAACGTGCCATAAAGAGAAGCACCATTCTGCTGACTGGGAGTCAGATTACCAACTAGTGACAGTGCACCAGTAAGCAATCCTGAGACGATCTTTCCCAAATTAGACATTTTGATTGATGATTAAGTGAAGGATACTGAAAGAAATCTCAAGACTCATGGTGGGGATGCCTCATTTTATATACAAGCATTCCGCTGCGATAAGGATAGAGCACATGGATTTGCTCTCACAGGAAACGGTCAGACTTCTGAAAGTGTCCATACTCGAGAGAAGTGGATACTGTGGAGTGATCAGACGTCTTTCGACGAATCACGATTGATACGTGAGAGCAAGCTCGGCAAAAACAAGACATCACGGCAAGAAAAGCTTACTGAGAATAACCCATTCCTAAGTTCTTGGAAAGCTTAGCATTTCCCCCACTTGAGTGGATGTTCGGACAGCATATGGGTCTGGCCACTTCTATCTTGTCCAGTGGCTGAAGTGGGAAAAAGCCCTCCAAAACTCACCGACTGTTTTTGCAATATTTATGCTTTAAATGTAAGCTTACAGTTGCGAGGTGCAGTAGCATGCAGCAGTCAGGAAATCAATAGATTGGAAATAAGTTTTTGAAAAAGAGACGACATATGCACAGAGCCGCCCTGACCATGATTGAGGCATTGTTCTTGCATCTCTTCGGAGCGGAATTCCAGAACCCTATGAGCTGTATTGTTTTTGCTTTTCTTTGGTAACACAAAAGGACAGCTGCATCCAAAGTCATATTGGTCTTGCTCCGTTGGAGCCTGTTTGTCGATGAATATAGAACATAAACACTTCTCGTGTCCTCAGAGCCGTGTATGCAAACATGCCCAATAACTTTTCTACTCACTCCCACAACATCGACGACATCGCTACAGAAACCTCTCTCTACTCCCCGACTTCTGAGTTGCCTCTTGTGCACATCATTTGTGGTCAGACCAACCCGCCGAGATCCGAGCATAATCCCAGGAAGCCCTAAGTCTCCTTCTTGGTGGGCACTGACCGCAAAAAGGTCCGAAAAAAGTAATCTTCGACCCGAGCCTCGAGTTTGAACTCTTGACAAGCTTCCAGGGCTCCAATGAGAGTTTTGCCGGGCGATCCTTAGCACAAGGGAGTCTCAGCCTCATTGAGCCAAGCTCGGTCATCAACCGCCTAGTAATTTTAGCACCTCGACTAAATTTTCGTACCTGATCTCAGGACCTCTTCGGATACAGATACGAGGTCACTAGATAACTTTGGGATTTTGACATGGCACGGGAAGGAGGCTTTTGCAGGGGACTATTGATTTGGCGCTCGGACGAATTTGATGCAGAAGCGAGTTTGCGGGAGAGTGCTGCATGGATCTCCAGCCATCAAGATCTGATAGGCGCTGATTATCAAGGTTCCCGGACCTGTCCATGTGTCCTTGGCTGAAGCTTGGCATGGGAATCTGATGGAGGAAATCCGATGGGCTATTTTAGCTTGGAAGCAATCAACGGGAATTTTCTAGCTCATCTCCAATATCGCGAGAGCAGAAGTGTGCGAGACTGCTGATCATGAGTGGTCCTATGTTTTGAGAAGATCCTGAGTCAATATGGATCCATGTGTTACTTTCTTTGTACCGAAACTTTCTTCTGATGTTTGTTTTTTAACTTTTGCTGATCAAGTCTTATCGTGAGATGAAGTCAGATGGTTAGAGTTTCCGAGGAGGCGTGCCGCGGCATATTTATAACCACTTGCATACATACTAACGCACAACAGCGGTAGCCACATGGCACAGCAGGATAGGCTAGGGCTCGTGCAGATAATATTTTTCGGAATTCTCTCCGAGATGCGGGAAGACAACGGTCATAGGTTGGTCAGGATTATTCAGGACTGACGAAGTGTTTGTTCAGTGCACGCGGTTAAACCATGGGAAAAATATCAGATGTATTTCCCGATCAGGAACGCATGGCTTTTAGCCGCATGTAGCTCACTGACCACCAAGTGCTTTTTCCACATAATGGAAAATTGGCTGGTCCAGATTCACAGAGGCTTGAGGACTTTCTTATGATATTGGACAATACTGGCTGTTTGAAGAAGATCGAATGTTAACAGCTTCTTACATTTTGCTGCGGAAACAAGTAGCTTTTGGATACAACCGAGAAAGCTGTGCATCAAAGAAGGAAAAATCGAGGAGATGGAGCCATTGAGCCGAGGCCACGCATACTGTTCGTGCTTATGCGCTAGGCAATGAAGCCTCTTGGAAGCCACAAATGATATTCTCTGTATCGAACCCAAAAATTGATAACTTTATTTCTTCTTCTTCAGCAGCATTGTAACACGTCGACCTTGTCAAACACTACTTCCTCTGTACCGTAATAGTATGCACGAAGCGGATCTTTCCCTTCTCAATCCTGAACTCATGACTATCAGGCAGCCCCGTCTTACCACCAAAGTTCAGGAACACATCAACAACACCCACCGTCTCATCAATCACGTAACGACGATTAGTGAGATCCAAGCCACTCGGCACGCCCACATTGCAGGAATCGGTTGGTTGACCCTTGCCAGTATACGATCCTCCTTCGAGGCGAGCACACGGGGTACCCCAAGGCACGACCGTCTTCTTGTCAAGGAATAGATTCAGGTAGGCGTCCCCAGCTGCTTGGATGACGGCTCGGGTATCTCTATCTGCAACAGGTATAACGCCCCAATTCTCCCTCGAAGTATAGTACAGTGTTCCCGTGGCGTTGAAGAGCCAATCGCCCGTTGTGGTCACAAGACTCCTGACACTGGTAATCTTCCCGTCTGTCAAATGCATCTGGGTACCGATCACGTATGGCTTGGTCTTGTCTGCAACCACAACCTCGGTGTAAGTTGCGCATGTTGTGGTGTCAAAGGAGCTTCGGTTATGGTCTATCTTGAGTGGTTGCGATTGGATTCCAGATGCTATGATGGCTGTCTTGTCATTTTCGACGTATTCGGTGACTCCGGTGAGAGGTTTGCCGTTCTTTTGCGCGGCGAGGTAGGTGTCGGTGGCTTCTTTGAGGAGTGCTTGTGTGCAATCTACTGCAGTAGGAGCGGCTGAGATGACAGCAAATAGCGAAGCGTAGAAGATGAGGATAGAAATATGCATTTTGTGTGATACTGTTGGCAATCGAAATCTGGAAAAAGAAACCTCGGGTGCGTCCGTGTTGAACAGCATCAGCGAAAGGTGTGGAGAGTCTATATGGTCCCATCACCTATTGAGTTCGGCATTGTAAATACCGTAGATATACCCGACATGACTAGCAACCTACCACAGATATTGGGTGCATGTTGAGACGGAAGGTAATTGTCAACAGGCAAGAAAATCTTGCTAGCTGTGTCTAAGCGAATGGACCCACGTAAACACAAGGGATAATTGGCAGCAACCGTCAACTACGGACCATCAGCGTTTGACGACCAAAAATGAGCAGTCCAATGGTATCAAATCCATGCGAAAAACAAATCCCTTGTTGAATTGGGATAATCAATACAAAAGGGAAGATGCGGGGTTCGGCAGTTGCTAGATTCAGGGGGTAAATCGGCAATTTAAACTTAGCCGAGACCAATCTAAACAACAACCATTGCCAAGCCAATGACATTGCGGCCGTTGAAATGGATGCGACGATTAAATTCGAATTTCTCTGATGCCAGTACAAATAATTGGCCTCCCACGGCTACATGATTCCGAAGCTCATCAGCGAATATTGGGCCCTGAAAAGTGAAGGCAACGGGAACGTCGTGACGAGAGAAAAGTTCCAAAGGGAAATAATGCTCCCATTTGGAACGGTCTTCTCTCCTCAAAGTCTGGTTTTGTTGATTATTTTGAATTTTGGCACGTTTCGAGTCCGGCATGCTCAAGGGCTCGAGAAATGAGTCGCTGCTACCTTACCAAGCGCCAAAACCTCATTACCAGCTGATCTCGTGATGCTCCCTGAGGTATCATCGAACGCTCCTTTAGTACTCGTTTCGACACCCATAGCCTCATATGAATTACTATAATTGTCTGATAAGTCTTCCAGTTCATCATGAACTGTGAAAGTGACCACAAATCTTGACATCTCGCATCGGCGAAAGCAATTTTGTCCTTATGGTGCCGCAAAGACTCCTTTGCTAACCCCCCTGATGCTGCGGTCTCCAGGAGCTCGGCTATAAAATCAAAAACGAGTGTGCATAGGTAGGTCAATGATTGACTTTCCATATTCTCGGTCGAGGCTCGTGCCCGGCTGAGCGCGCGGTTCTGTATCATGTGATACTATTTGCAGCATATCTGCTGCCTGCCGGTTTGTATGCTCTATGCTAATGACTATCGTGCCATCAAGTTGAGGCACCAGAGCAGTCAAACACAATAACCCACTGACGTATAGGCCGGCTAAAGCCCACGCTGAAGATGAGCTACAAGAGGGGCAAATGCAGTGACTCCCATAGATTCTACCCTGCATGCAGCGTTAAGCCTTCCCTCCAGTCGTTCCTCCTTGATATTAGAATCTCGTGTTGGAATTTTTAGTTATCCATGTCATTTCGGAGCTTTCATTCTTTCTGCGGATCAATGGGCCGTGCTGCTTGATGAGACATCTACGATCTATTGACCATATTTAGGTATCTTTCCGTTCTCTACATTTACCTATGCTCCCCAGTCAGACTATAAGGTCACAGCAACAACGAGTTTTTTTTTTTGATTATCTTTGAGAACTCATGGAGATAACACCAATTTCTCCACTGGCGCCACCGGTCTCCCCATCGATACCTTCGCCGTCCTCGCCTCCAGATCCATCACAATACTAAACAACGTCGCCAAACTCCCCTCTACATCCGTCTCCTTCCTACAAATCGACGCACCACACCCCATCTGCTCATCCATCAACATGCCTTCCACAGCCTCAACACTGACTCCCTTCCTTTTAACCCCATCCAACAACTCCCCAATCCTCTCTAGTCTGAACCTCGTATCAACCAACCAGTCCGGAGCTTCAACCACACTCCATTTATGCTTGACGATCATATGATTAGTATGCGTCACAATCCCATCAGCGTTCATCTCTAATCTGACGATATCGTCACTCGTGCATTCGAGACCGGTTCCACCTGTTGCGTCTGCGACGAGGATATGACATGCGCTCGCTACACCAGCAGCTTCGAGTCTCGAGATTGCATCTTGCCGAGATGACGATTCCATGACTGTCCTGAGCGCGAGATGGCAGGGTAGGCTGGTGAATGATACGCCTTTTGCTTTTAGTGCGTTCAAAGTGCATCCCACGCCTTTGGAGTTGAGTCCGATTTTACCAATGATGCCGGCTTCAGTGATCATTTGGATGTTGAGGCCGTCTTCTTTCTGGATCTTGAGACAGATCATGTTTGGTAACTGTCTAGTAACATTAATACAACATCTGAAATCTAAGAGGAAAGGTCGACACTCACTCATTATTCCAATCCCAATTCTGCGCTAGCACACTTCCACCGTCGCCTTTCCATGATAGAGCAGTACATCCATCACTAAACGCCCCAAAAGCAATTTCAGTCCTTACATTTAACGCGAGAATATCTTTATACTTGACTCCTGCACCTTGAGCTACTCCTTCCATTTCAGAATTATATTGTGGCCAGTTTGCGGACAAGTATGGCTGGTATTTGAGGGCAAGTTGAGTGACGGCTGACCAGTCTAGCTTGGAGATTTTCTGGAAGAGAGATGCGTAGAAAGCTATGGAGCGGCTTATTTCTAGCGATGCAGCCTTGCCGTGTTGAAGGCCTATTGAGTGGGGTGTGCCGGTGCAGAGAATTTGAAGCATTTTGGGAGAGCGAAACTAGATTTCGCAGGGTCAGACCCCAGGGATCGAGATTTTGTCTGGACTATTTGAGTTCTCGCGAGCCAGTATCGAGCGCGATATATGAGTTGGGGGTCGAATATACCTCGGATATCATCGAGATAATCGTTAATTTGGCCTTGACCCCACTTTTCAGATTTGCCATCCATCCCATCTCCCACTTTCGTCATTCCCGCTCTTGAGCCGCATATCTTAAGAGCACCTGCATAGGTAGATTTTTGACACCCCTGCTGCTTCTTGGAATCCTCTTCGATACAAATTGAACTCTATGTGCCGTCACGTGAAATAAGCTAAGCCAGCTTCTTCTGCTGCACGTATGAGTCGATATGAGTCGGGATAAAAGAGTAATGCCAACAAGGCGTGAAAAAATACAAGAATCGGTTCGCTTGCTTAGTCGCATATCCAAAGATTTCAAACCTTCTTAAGAATCGTTTAGAAAGCTGCTCATCTCGTACTCGTACGTCCTGACGACACAATGATCTCCGAGCCAGGATCAAGAATCCTCTTCCAGCCTCCAATCCCTGTCACCGTCTTAGAGACCTACAAACTACTACTCCCAGCAACCTCACAGTCCTCTCTCATCCCACAAGTCTTCCTCGACTCCCTCACCGTTCGCGCCACAGTCTTCGTCGAGGAGCAAAAAGCCGTCCCATTGAAACACCACATCGACAGGGATGATGCACGATCCTGTTGCATGGTGTTGTACTCTCCTGAGCCAGAGAGTAGACCTGTAGGGACCGTGAGATTGGTACCTCCACCGCATCATCCGCATCCTATTGAGGGCGCGAGGTTTGAAGCACCAGGTGATAAGGTTCCAGAAGTGTCTGCTAAGGAGCTATTCTCTGCGCCGTTACCGAGTTATGCAGTTGATGGGAAGACGGCATTGCATGACGGGGTGGAGCCGTATGTGAAGTTGGGACGGCTGTGTGTGGTGAAGGAATCTCGAGGTAGAGGATACGCGATATTGTTGGTGAAGAGGATGTTGCAGTGGGTGAAGGAGAACCCGGATTTTGCTTGTGGAGGTGGTGATCGAGAGTGGAAGGGCTTGGTGGGAATACATGCAAATGTGAGCGCGGTTGGGACTTGGAAGAAGTGTGGGTTTGTGGTTGATGAGGGGATGGGGAATTGGTATGAAGGCGGGATGAAACATGTTGGCATGTTTTTGAGACTGAACTTGGATGGGGTTAATCAGAGGTGATAGCATTGCGGAAATGGCATCCCTGTATCAATTTCTCCCAGAACATCTACAAAGCTCGGTATGATGGGGCAATGGATATCCCATCCGATGTCCTACGTGCTCGTCACACGCCAGATCACTGCGTCCTCAGCATGACATAGCTTAAACAGGTCTCCTTGCCCTGTAGGGCGGAGCGAATCTCTTGGGGGTCACTGTCTCCTCCCATCTGGGCTTGAGGCCTTAGAATCTCTGACAGTATAAACCCCCCTCAATTCGAAGTGGATCCCGGAAGAAGCCCAAAAATTGTTTCGTACTTTGCCGTCTGCTGGTTCTCAACCAGCTGACAGCGATCCCCCTGCTGCCTGTCCAATGAATCCATTCACAAGTCGGCGAGTAGCTGCACCTCGAGACGACTCTGCATCACCACTTCCCGTCAAATATGTCAACTTGACTTTGCCCTCAGCACCAAGAACAAAAGCACCACAAGCGACTCTTAGAATCTTGACTTTCTCATTCCGCAAGTCCAATGCTAAGTGTCCTTTGATGTACGTTGCCAATGCATCAAAGAACGGAGATTCGCTGTTCTCTTGCCGTCCAAGCTTCTTCCCTCTTGCGATCATGCGAGGAAGATCCTCTCTTGCGATATTGATATCAATCGTTTTCAGACACCCAGTTGCGCCAGGAACATCAAATCCAACCACCACTAGCGTCTCCTTGATTGTATTTCTCAGAGCTCGGCTCTTCTCAATCATGTCCAGTGGCTCACCATCACCGCCAATGGATATATCTGCAACGTATCTCTCGAACGCATCAGTAAGGTACGTAGTTGAGAAATGCAATGCCGAAACTCGTGTATCGAATGTCTCCATCAGGAAGTTGGCGAATGCTTCCCGCAACGACCCTGGCATCCGGGACAGCAGCAGCGGGAAGTGCTGGAAACCATTTGTCTCCTCGCGGACGGTTACCATCGAAGCATCCGGGTAATCGCCCCTCTCGTCTCGTAGCAGAATTGCCTTGTATGCCATTTTCTCGTACGTGACTGTAACAATCATCCCTCTGCAGACAGCCAAGCTCACAGTCGTATCGTCGTTCGCCAATTGTGTCTCGTCCTCCGCGCTCCATGTCTCTTCCTCGGGCAGGAGTCGCCATGTCACAGTCTCTAGAGCTCCGACGCGTGCCAGTGCATCGGCGTCCTGTCCTAAGCCTATTCGTACGCCGCGCAGGACTTCTCCAGCTAGTATATCGCGGAACTGTCTTGCAAGTTTGCGCAGCGTTGAGTTGCTGAGAGCGTCCTTGCTGCCCGTGTGGAGGGGAGAAACTCGGTGGAGGGAGAAAGTCGTGTTGTAGAGGGGATAGAGCTGGCTTGTGTCTTCGGGAGCCATGATGGCGAGCTGGGAGGTTTGCAGATGCGATTTGGAGACTTCGGATGTCTTGCGCACTTATTCCTGGGTCGAATACAGCCTTGCTTGTAGCCTCGATGTTGTGGGGTGAGGCTGAAGAATATCTGGCGATGGATATTTCTTGACGCGTTGTCGACGCGATGTACGCGTCTTTTGGCAATTCGAAGACGAATTGACCCTACGAGATACTGTATTGTGCGCGTAAGGTAATCCGCAGGGTCCTGCAAGATGTTGTCGGAGTCAAGAGTGCAGGAAGAGTGGCTGAAGTTGGTCGTCTTCAAGCCGCTCGCTTACATATTTGGTGCACGATCATCCAACCTCACATCTTGCGCCATCCTCTCCTACCTTCAACAAACGAGAAAGTCACAACGATCGGGCTGGCGCTATGTGAACATTGCAAGTACAGTAACGCTACACAATGTTATGTGCCGGCTGCAAATGCTGACCGGATAACAACTTCCTCCTGATTACTCATACAGTCTAATTTAGAACCGAGGATGATCACAAAATAGAAAAACATCGCACGATGCGTTTGCCCTTCATCCAGATATATATCTTCGATTCTTGGACAGTTTTATCCTAAATCCTCAAAATTGAACCCTAACAACTACTCTTAATTGAACCACCATCATGTCGTACAGCCCAGCCTTCCAAAGCCAGACGTTCGAAGCAACTCGCATCACTCTCAAATCCTCAAAACCCTACGACGATGTCTTGACGGCCCTCCATAATTCCATCGGCTCTCCAGATGCCGTCAAGGAATGGCCAAAAATGATGAAAGCAATCTCCGAGTCATCAGAACCACGAGAGCAGTTTACCGACACTGTCAAAAACTCTGTTGGTCCTCACGACTTCATGATCTTCCAGGTATTTCCCCTCTTACACGTCTAGGCACTTCTTGCTGAATGAACCTAATGAAGGAATTCAACCACGGTGCATGGGTGCCTCTTTTCGGAGTAGGCAGTGGTTTGAAGTCAAAGCGGATCATCCTCGGCAATCCTCTGATTGCAATTACTATGCTCAAACATGATATCAATGCAGGGCTATTCGTCCCAGTTGAGATACTTGTGCTTGAGAAGAAAGAGGGTACTGAGATCATCTACAACTTACCTAGTGGACTGATTGCTGGCGTGAATAAGGATCCCGAGTTGGTCAAAGCTTCTGAAAAGCTGGATGAGAAATTGGCAGGTCTGATAAAGCATGTGCTTTCTTGATCCAACAATCAAGTGCCGATCTTTGGTGGGGTTATGCAAGTCTGGATTTTTGACTGTCACTTCAAGGTTTCTCTCCGGTCCCTGAGAATGGGCAGGACTTTAGTGCATGGACTCTTTAATGTAGCGGAGGCTCAGCAGTCATGCAGTAGGGAATGACCTGCATGTTGGAACGCTACTTTTTATCTTTGAAAATAGCAGCAGATCTACAATTAGACGGGAGTCAACAACTGTTTCACTACGAATGATGGAGCACAGGCTGGCTGGAGTGTGCAGAGTTTGCAAGTTCCTGCAAACAGTCTACTGCTCCCTTCGAATAACTGTCAATTCTCCTCGAATTCCATCCCTGTCCTGCCTCCAGCTCCAGCCTCAGCTTTATTCCAAGCGTCAGCACAAGCCCCGGCTCAGGCTCCAGTCCCAGTTCAAGCTCCACTGCTCCAGTCTGATTCGGAAATCAGAGGCGTGATTTTATCTTCGAAAACGTTAACTCGCACCGGGCGTTGGTCTGCCATTTGCGAGGAAAATGATATTCAGCCTTAGATCAAATCACATCCAGTGGTTGGGCGGCTCCCACGACATAGACATGGCCAAAAACAAACATGAAACATCTTTAATAAATTCCTTCTATTTCTGTGTTCGTTGTGTACTTGAAGTTCTTTGAATGTGGCAGTACGAGACTCAAGCAGTTCCTGAATTCACCAACCCCTCCTCAATACCCTTAATTTGTAATGCCAACAATCTACTATACCATCTACAAAGCGCCAAATTACCACCCATAAACCAGAAACCCGGATGTCCACTCCCCCTCCACATAGTCCGGATTTCACCCTCCTCGTCAAACCCCCACACATCCTTCACCCTATCCGCGACCTCATCACCAAAGATCTCTCTACACTGCGTCCGCATATTCAAATACCCCGTTGCAAACACAATTTCATCCGCCTCCATTACCTCACCATCTTCAAATACCAAACCTGTAGGCGTAATCTCAGCGATCTCCACTCCAGATTTGACTTTAATCTTCCCCGACGCAATGAGCTGGCTACACCCCACATCAATGTAATACCCACCTCCACGCTGCAAATACTTGATCCAAAGCCCACTCCCATCCGGTCCTCTATCCAGTCTAAACCCCGCCTTCTCCAATCCGCCCAAGATCTCCGCATCCTCACCAGCCTGTACATCCGTCATGTCAATGTTCATCCTCTTCACCACCGCATTGGGAGTGCTCATGAACACCACATCGGCATCGTCCGTCGCGGGACCATCTTCACTCCAGAGGCCTGCCATGTGACGGAGGTTCGTGTCGGCGTTGAGAACGAGGGTTGTGGACCGCTGGATCATGGTTACGCTGTAGCCGTTCTCGTGGTAGTCTTGGGCTATGTCGTGTGCGGAGTTGCAGCAGCCGACTATGACGGCGCGTTTGGGGGTTGATTGGTTGTGAGCGGGGACTGCACCAGTGAAGGAGGACGAGTGCACAAGGCGGGTGCCTTTGAAGGTGGAGATACCCGGGATGGTGGGCATGTTGGGGAGGCCGGATGCTCCAGTGGCTTGGATTATGTGCTGGCAGTGTCAGTTGATGTCTGCGTCTTTGAGATAGGTGAAAAGATCACCTTTGGGTGGAGGATTCGAGTTTGAGTCTTTCCGTCTACAATTCTCTCAAGATTGACTGTCCATTTCAGAGTGCTGTCATCCCACGACGACTTCGTGATGCTGGTGCTTGTCCAAGCGTTCAACTCAAGCAGCTTGACATAGCTTTCGAACCAGTCGCCTAGCTTATCTTTCGGTGTGAAGATAGGCCAATACTCAGGGAACGGCATATATGGCAGATTATCGAACCAGACGCAGTCGTGTAGGACTAGTTGATGATATCGTGAGCGCCAGTTATCACCAATTCTCTGTTCGCGATCCACGATCAGGGATTTGACCCCGAGCATCTTGAGTCTGGCTGCAACAGTAAGGCCGGCTTGTCCAGCGCCTTTCAAGAATCAGTTCTGTTCATTCCATGGTGTTGAATGAGAAAAATATCGCTTACCGAGAATCAACACTGTTGGCTCCTCCCCATTCTCAAACCCCTCTTCAGCCTTCCTTCGATCTGCCCAATTCTCCCTTGACTCATGCTCACCGTGCTTCACACCATTCGGCCTCTTCCTTCCAATGTTTTCCTCGAATCCTTTCAAGCTCTTCAAGAATGTAAATAAAGTGAAGACTTTCCACACTCCTACTTCTTCGACCAGGCGCACTAGTCCCTCGCCACTCCCGACATCAGTCTCGACTTTCAGGAATGCTTGCACAACTTGCACTTTCCCATCGTCAAGAGATGAAAGTGTTGGAGAGCGATAAGCAGAGCTGGTGTCGAGAGCAATGGAAGTGACGCGGCAAGGGTTACTGCTGAGCAGAGAATAGATCTTGCTTGGTCCAGACAAGGTGTGGAAATCCCATGTAAGACAAAGCTGGTCGCGCCAGTACGATTCAGTCAAGAATAGCCTGGAAAGGTCTTCGGTTGAGGGGTTTAATATGGATTTGTTAAAGGCAGTGACCCATTTGGAAGCAACGTCATTGGCATCGACAGTCTTGGGCTCGGATGCAGCGGGAAACTTCGCTGTGATAAGAGGGAATGAGCCGGGTTCCACTCGGTCTGAGGAGGGTACAGAAGTGGGGGATTGGACTGCAATGCTTCCCATGATTATCAATTGATTGCGAACAAATTACGGTCTGTATTCTGAAGATGGACAGATGGGGGATGAAATAGAGAGATAGGAGAACAGGCAGATTCTTAAACAACAAAGATCGATCCACTCTTGGCAGCATGGAAACTTTTCCGACAGCTGCTCATGATCACTGACATGCTGGTGGCTGAGAAGTTTTCGACTTAGAGGTTGCCTCTTTGCGATCCTTGTATTGCGTGCATATGTGTTGCACGGGGAAGTGAGGGGATCGCGGGGTTGGATGGTCTTTGGAGGGGTGGATGTGTTAGCGTCGGCATACCTTCCCTCGCTTGACACTGGCCCGAGTTGACTGTAATGGAAGCTCGAGTCTGCCGAAGACGGGGGAAAATAAGGCCAAACTCACATGGCATTTACCGACTGGACAACCGAACCTGCAACAATGAGTAAGATGCGGAAGCAATCGAACAGCAAACATCGGCAACTTCTGGCAATAGTCACGTGCGCGGTGTCGAAGGGACAATTGTGTTTGATAGGTTGCGTGATGAGGACTATCCCGGACATGCCAGATACATGGAGTGAGAATGACAGCAGTCCATGACAGTAATCCAACGCAGCGCAGCCTTACTCTGAAAGTCAAACGCAAGCAGAAAAGGCCAACATGTCAACCACCAGCACTCTTCAAGCAAACAGCCAAGCAATGATCTGTGATCAGTCATGATTCGGAAAGGTGTTCTGGAATCTAATAGATCCCTTCCCAATTCATCCAAGGCCCCAGATCTTGTCTGTCCCGGAGGTGGGCGCGCATCATTGGGTTTGTCCCTGCCCGTCGGGGTAGCCCTTGGCGAAAGTTTTCTGCTTGTCGGTGGGCATTGCGCCAATACTGATCATGTTCAACGTCCCATCTCTGTCCAAAGTCAGCTTCAGCATCAAATAAAGCATGGGGAACATAAACCTTTGGTCCATGGGGAGTCCAATCATCACCCATAGCAGCAGGGTCGATCAGATGACCACGCCTCCTGATTTTCTGCATCCTGATCCATTCCTCACGAGTGAATCTTGGCATGCCATTCCCGTGGGCGCCTACTCCTAAACCATCAACTCCAAGTCCGAACCAATCATGAGGTGTCGACCACTCTTTGTAGGTCCGGTCATGAGGGTCGTATCTTTGGTAGCCTCTGGATGCTGGATTGATCGACTCAAGAACGTGAGCATCGTGGAAATGGTAAGAATCCCTTCTTGATCATCAGAGCTGCGTGCAAGTAGAGTCAAAAGTAACATACCAGTTCTGCCATTCATCCGGCATGATAGGTTCAGTCGAACCTTTGCGTTGGAGGAAGATATCTGGTCCTTTTCCAGTCCTGATGTTGTTTAGCCGGCCCCAGAATCCGCGTCGTCCTCGACCCTTGGGCCCATCTTTCGGCCACACGAACTGTAAGTTCGGCGATCTTGCCATTGAAGCTGAGTGAAGGTTGGTCTCTTGAACTAAAATCTATGGGCTCGGGACGTCTGAAAAATTGAACTTGATGGACGAAGAAAATTAATGTCAAGTGGTTGTGCCAACTTGGCTTGTTCCATGACTCTTATGCCCATCTCTAGATGTTTGGGTGGTCATAACTTTGAACAGCCCATAGCTTGTCAATCTTCGCTGTCTATGATTACATTGCCCGTTGGCCTGATAATCCAACCGATTTGAGCAAACGAACGAAGCAATCCGGTGAAGCAAAGCAGAGCCTGATCATCATCACATCATCCTCATACAAGCCAGCAAAACTTTTGCGATATGAAAGAGGTGGTAGGAATGGAGCCGTGCCACTTGGCGGGCTTCACTATGATTAGCAGCCACAAGGCACATTCTAAATTGCAAAGAGAGGATCTCGCTTGCAATTCGTTTTTGAGGTGTCGTTCTTGAGGGCGACGCAAAGCCAGCTCTCTGACTGGCTCTCCAAGCGAGAAGCCTAAGAGCCACACCGGCTCACCGCTCGCAGCATCAGGCTTGGTCTGGAGAAACGACAGGGATTCGTTTTGCCAAAACATACGGAGAGAACGCGACCTCTAAGAATCAATTGCAACCTCATCAGCTCCTCCAGTTGGCACGTCTACCTCTATTCTTTGGTTTAGCAACAACGACGGTGTGCACCCACAGTGGCAGAACACCATAGATAATATTCGAGACCGTCTGGAACAAGTGCGATCTATACTCTTACAAATTCCTCGAGGATTCGGAGGTTCGGCGCGTCTTCGATCTACCCTGCGACCGACGACAACAACCCTTTCCCTCCCCACAAGCCTTGTGCACAGCCTGCCAACAAAGAATCTAGTCGTCAATCTGCACAAAGAACAGAATCAATTCGAGATTGGTCACAAGGAATCATACTTTGGCGCAGGATCCCGCCCCGCAGTTGTCCTGCCTTGTCCAGATCGAGGGCAGCTAGGCTAAAGGCACCAAGAAGAATTGAGCCAGCAGCAGACAGAGGCGTTACTCCACAGTCTGATCTGACGTTCTCAAGAGCATTCTACCTCTGAAGTGGTCTTGTGGGAATTCTGCGATGATTTGATGGTTTTGTAAAGGTGAACAGATGAGAAGTCGCGTCACCGGGAGGGACTGAATCACGCGTCCAAAAAAGGTACATGGGCCTTGATAACGTCAAGGAATTCGAGCCCTGAGTTTTGATCATTTGCCCTCATGAAGTACTGAGAATTGGGGCTGCAAGTGGAATTAGGACGCGTCAAAGCTTGGTACTGTACGAGGAAGGAAAGGCAATAGGATTGACTGGAGGAAGGGAAAGACTGTTCAAAGGCTGGACTACCAGCATCAGACTTGTTTGGAATATTGTGATTGTACAATACCGCAGCATGCCTACCATTCAAGTTGGCCCAGGCTCAGACCTGGAGCTTCAAGAGGTTGCGGATATCATGGGGAACTCGAAGAAAGTCGTGGTGGTAACTGGGGCAGGCATCAGTACCAATTGTGGCATCCCGGTAAGTTGTAAACCTGAAAACAAAACACGCTAGCTTGTTAGCTTGGTCTACTCACATTTGCATAGGATTTTCGTTCTGAGAATGGTCTGTACTCTCTGATCCAAGCCCAGTACGACGCAGCTATCAAGAATCCTCCTTGGGAACATTCCAATATCTTCGATATTGACGATAGGCCGAAGAAGAAGCGCAAGCAGTGGTACTATGAAGTTGTGGCTCCTGACGGTAAAGTTGTCGATGTGATAGACGAGGAAATCGCTCCACCAGAAACTTCGCAGCCGGACCCGCTTCCCGAAAGTCAACAACCGCACACTCCCAGGCGTTCTTCTCGATCTCGCTCATCAAACACCACCAACTCCAATTCTCGCACTTCTACTCCATCAATTCACTCTTCCGCAGAGAGTTCGCTATCGAGCTGCTCCTCTATCACTCCTGAGGTGCCCCTTTCATTCTCGCAGAACACAGTCAAAAGCTCTCCACCAATCGCCTCCGATCGCTCTATCAGCCCAGTTGCTTCACGAAACGTAGCCGCCGACACATCCAACAGCATAGACGCCTCTTCGCCACTCTCCTCTCCAATATCCTCTCCAGAACCCTTTCAAGAGTCCTCACCAGAACCCTCACAAGAATCTTCGCAAGAATCATCTCCCGCTCCTCAACCATCCCAATCCCAAAATTCGTCTAGTGGCAATCGACAAAGTCTACCTAACCTTAAGGGGCGCGATCTCTTTGACTCTATGGTCTGGCAGGACGCTTTCACTACAAGCATCTTTTATATGTTCATTTCGAGTCTTCGACAGAAGGTTCAAGATGTCGCCTCAACAACCCACTCCCACAAATTCCTCCGTGTGCTCCGAGATGGTGGCCGCCTTGTGCGAAATTATTCGCAAAATATCGACCTACTGGAAGAAAGGGAAGGCCTCTGTACGGACCTGGCTCAAGGGACTGGGTCGAAAGCACGATTCAGCCGACGAGGAGGAGGAGGATCTGGATCTGGAGGCTGCGAATCTGTTACATTGCACGGATCTCTGGAATGGCTACGATGCTCGTTGTGTAATACCAAATCCAACTGGGATGACGAGGGTCGAATTACAACAACACTCGCAGGCAGCGCCCCAGACTGTCCGACCTGCCAGACGTACTCCAACAAGCGGACTGGCAACGGTCGACGAAAACTTGCCATTGGGCGCCTAAGGCCAGACATTGTGCTCTACGGGGAGGAGCATCCCAATGCCAATCTTATTGCTCCTCTCGTCACACATGATCTGGCCTTAGGCCCCGATGTGCTCCTCATAATGGGGACGAGCCTTCGCGTACACGGGCTGAAGATAATGGTGAGGGAGTTTGCCAAGGCAGTCCACTCGAGGGGTGGAAAGGTAGTGTTTGTGAACCAGACTAAGCCCTCAGAGAGTACCTGGGGCGATATCATCGACTATTGGGTGTCCTGGGATTGCGACCAATGGGTCCTTGATCTGAAGGATCGGAGAGAGGATCTGTGGCTGCCACCAGGAGCCGTGACTGAGGAGAGGAGGAAATCGGTTGGAGCCTGTACAACTGTACCCAAGCGACCACAGTGCAAGAGGGACGACAAGATAAATGGCGTGTACATAACATTCAAAATCTTGGACCAGTTGGGAACCTTCAAGGACGATCAAGGACAGACAGCCAAGCGATCATCATACTGGACTGGACGAGCACTGCCAGCTAAGAAAGAACCGGCGAAGAAGCAGCCTGCAAAGACAGGAACGAAACATACCATGAAGTTCACGCAAGTACCCAAGGGCTTGGTGACGAAACAGACCACATCCAAACCGAAGAGGAAGTCAGCACCAGCACGAATTGAGCAAGACACATACCCTCAGAATAACCAAGTTGCCATCGTCACAAAGTACTGGGAGAAGCTTCAAGGCCTGGCACCTGGATTGGGTGCAGCACCACAATACCTACGAACTCCCCTCGCACCATTCTCTGGCAACGAGAAGCCCGATTTCCTCAAACCCTTCGCATTCAACTCCTCCTCCAACCATCTTCCGAACATCGGCACTTCAAGCGACTGGCTACTCTCCAAGATAAACCTTGTCTCACACCCACCTTCTGGAACATCGATTCCTATCCACACGCCAAAGCCAGAAGAGAGGAAAGCAGCAGAGCAACGAGCTAAGGAGAAGAAGGCCGAGCAGAAGAAGGTCGAGGAGAAGCAAGCCGAAGAGAAGAAGGCCGAAGAGCGGAAAATCGTACACTCCTACGGCACTCGAGCATCCAAACGGTTCAGCGCAGCAGACACAATCGTAGTAGACAGCGGCGAAGTTGAAACGGTACTACAGAGCGGAGAAGTCGAGAATCCAACAGACGAGAGAGAAGATACCATCGTGGTGGACGAGACGGCGTGTACACCAGCTAGCGACGATCGTATCAAGCGGAGCTGTAGTATTGGAGCGATTGTGTCGAGTCCCGAGGAGGGAACTACGTGGCATGATGCGCAGGAGGTTTTGTGACTTCGGCTGTTGGAATTGAGTGAGACAGATAGACAGAGACAGATATAGTGGAACACAGTGTTGGTTTAGTTCTAAGGCAGTGGATGGGTTGGATGAGATGACTATATTGTGTCTATACGGCACTAACATCAGCAAGACAGCATGAGATACGAAATGAAACATAATTGAACGTCCCCTCTTGACCCTTGTTTGTTTACTTCCGTTTATGCTTTAACCCGTGTAAGATATTTCGTTGCGAGCGTAGTAGTCTAATGTCCATCTGAATAGAAGTCTACTCCAGATGGAAATCGGATGTTATCGTTTTCTTCCGCTGGTATTTCGATCATTCCAACAATGATTTAGTAGGGGTACCATTCTTCGACCTCATCGTCCCGTCGCTGAACCTCAACAAGCCTCACCACCTGGTCTCTACTTAAGGTGCGACTTTGCTGCTTCTGAAGTTTTACCTCACGGGATGCAATGACTAACACCGACTCCAGCTCCTGCACGTCCCATCTTTTGTCACGACCGATTCCCAGCCCCGGATCCCCTACTTTGTCTCAGAACATCAGGTGACATCCAAAGTAAAGCTACTATTTGATGCCTAGACAAGATCTCTTTTCTCTCGCTCTTCTTCTTATATTACTCCTACCTACTCCCGTCCTGTCTTGTCAGAAACAGAAGCATAAGCATTAGCAAACAGCACCCAAGCAACACCACCACCACCGCCACAACCGATGCCTGATCTGGTCAACTGACTCCCTTGACTAAAACCTATTTCATCAACTCCGAAGCAACGGCGGAGGGCGTGAAGGAGGCTCTTAAGAGAAGAGTAGGAAGAAAAGGTCTTGTCTTCTCTATCTACTCTAACTTTCGTCCAATCCTAAAATTTCCCCTCTTTCCTCAATTTCCACCTCCTCGCACGTCTCTTCCTCGGATTCTCTTTCTAGCCACTTTTTTTTCTTATTATTTTGAGTCTCTATTCCTCGCGAACAGTGGTTGAGCAGGAAAAGAAAGAGGGGAAGAAGGGGAAAAGGGAGAGGGAGAGGGATTGGGGAGTGGGAGTGGGAAAAGGACTTTGAGGAAGGGACCAGAGTGGGGAGGGGGAATGGGAGGATGAGAGGATGAGAGGATAGATGGTGTACGGCTTAATTGAACGTTGGAAAAGTGGGAAGAAGTGAAGATGAAGGGATATGGGATTCGATATAAGTAGAGGGCGAGGGAGGTGAGGCGAGGGATGGGGAACAGTGAAATGGGACCTACCCGAAGCGGTCTAGCCTAAGATCATGTGACTAACAGGTGCCAGCGAAGCACATCGGGATCAACTGGATAAACTGTACATAAATATATACAATCTCATTGACATATATCATCATCATTAGCCGGAATCAGAGTCGTATGCATCAAGAATGGCTAATCGTCCTTGTTCAATATGTCAGCGAGCGTTTGGACGTGACTCAACTCTCTTCTCCCTCTCGAATGACAAGATAGGACTTTCGCAAGGCCCCAGAGTTCTTCTGGCACCCATAAATAGCATTAGAAGAGCTGCCTCAATCGGCTGCCCTCTATGTACAATTCTGACTTCTAGTCTCGAAGTCGAGTTCTTGGACCCCATAGCGCGAGAGAGAGAAATAGCCACTCTTCAGAGAGCCGTTCTAGATCCAGCCTGCGCGTTAGCTATATATGTAGGCGTCGATGACGTCTCTCATACAAGTTTCTCTCGAGTACCTGTTTCTTGGAGTACGTATAGCCGCGATATATTGTTTAATTAGTTACCATCCGGCTTATCATACCAAGACCATCTCCCGCTTGGACAACTGAACACACCTAACGAGGATGGTATGGTTATGGAAGCATGGGTCGTTGACTGTGTTAAGAATCACCCAAAATGCAAGAATGATTCAGGGTCCTTTATTCCTACAAGACTACTTGATATCGATGCCTTCGAAAACTCTGACGACATCCGACTCGTCAGGTTGGATTGGAAGCTTTCTTCGCCGCAATATGTGGCTCTGAGCCACTGCTGGGGCCCTGCCACACGGCTCCCAATAACCACTACCACATCTACGCTGGAAAATAGGATGAATCGGATCAAGTTTGGTCTCTTGTCACAAACGTTTCAAGATGCTGTCAGGCTCGCTAGGCAATTAGGTCAACGCTATCTTTGGATTGATTCACTGTGTATTATCCAAGACGACAAAGACGATTGGGTGGCCGAGGCATCAGCTATGGCCGCAGTATACCGCAACTCCATCTTCACCATTTTTGCACTCAGCTCTCAGAACAGCACAGGGGATGTCGTGTCAACGCGCATGGCACGTCACCTCTGAAATCGTCACGTTACTGTGATATCAACACTGGCGCGGGCAGGATTCGTCTCTTTGAGTCTCCTCCTAAGGAACGGCATATCGAATATGGTGATGATACGTATAAACATGGCCGGTATAGCACTCATAATCCTCTGAGGACAAGAGCCTGGACACTGCAGGAACGAGAACTGTCGGTTAGGGGTATCCACTTCTCTATGAGTATGGTACTGTGGGAATGTCGTACCACAAAAGCCTCGAGTGAGGTCCCTTGGGGGACGATCCGGCCGCTGGATGATTTCCTTCCGTGGCCAATACGAAATAATCCTTCTGAAGATACCCATTCTGGTGGACCCGTCTCGCTTAGGGACCGCTGGTATGTCCTCACAGAGGACTTTTCGTCTCGATTCCTCTCTCATGAAAACGACAAACTCCCAGCACTCTCGGGGCTAGCTTCTACCTTCGCGGAGTCTTTTGGACCTGAGACATACCTCGGAGGAATTTGGCGCAGTCATATGCCTTCTGGTCTCCTCTGGAAAACCACTCTTCAGAGCGAACCATCGCTATTTCCAACGTTCCAACCTCGACGGCCCATGTTGTACCGAGCACCGAGCTGGTCTTGGGCGTCGATAGATAGTTTGATCTCATATGAAAGCCAGAGGCTCTCACACATGGGTGACAGTAGACCGGAAGAAAGCGCTGGCAGTTACGATTATGGGTTTTTTGAGATTGTTGCTAGCGAGCGGAAGCTTGCTAGGAGTGATCCCTTTGGTGCAATATCTGCCGCATCACTGTTGATAAAAGGATCTATACTGCCGATGCAGTTTCGTTACGAGAAATTCGGAAACGAGTCCATGTACGACGATGGGATGAGAGTCCTTATCGGCGACGATGGTAGTACTGCTGGAGCATTCTATCCAGATATTATAACCGAGATCCGAGACATGGAATGGATTCACTGCTTGAGTATCAAGGGAGAGTCATTGTTTGCAGAGAGGTCCGTACCATACGAGTTGTACCAGAAGCACTTCTCTACAGAAGATGAAGTTTCGGGAGAGAGTGCGATGATCATGGGGCTTGCTCTAATGAAGGACTCGACCAAATCAAATGCATACCAGCGAGTGGGACTTATACGATGGGTGAAAAAGTCTCTATTTTCTGGCATTTTGCCATCAACTTTCACCTTTCTGTAATCTAAGAGATCTGCCTTTTTGTTTTCCTCGAGTATGGTCGGGCTGTCGAATGGAATGATGCCTGTAGGGTTTTCCCAGGAGTCTAGTTTCTAGCCGTGCGAGAGAGTTCCGTCATCACTATACTATAGCGGTTAACCAGTTCATGAAGCACACAAAGTCCCATCATGTTCAGCAGCTTGATTTCACCTGCATGCTGCATATTGTAGTGTATCACATGACATCACGCTAGGCTCTTCTGCTACCTACGTACGATGAGAGTAGGGATTTTGAGAGTTGTTACAGGTTTGGGTGGAGGGGTAAGGTTGGAGGAGGTAGAGGTATGTCTGGTAACTGAAGAGACAGTTACTTACTTCTCACTGTTTTTAAAGACTCAAGATTTTTCAAACAAAAGATTGAACTGAGTGCATTACTATCCGAACCAATATTTTTATGATCTATGCGTCTAAATATTTACCTAACTCTCATCAACGATCCATCGCAAACTCCCAAACCCATACCTAAAAAAGAAATCCCTCAAAGCACAGCAACCTCAATCCTCCTCCCCGTCTCATCAAAGTTAATCTTCTTTCCCGAATTCAAACTCTCCTGCAACGCACAGCCAATCTTAACCGCCTGCACCGCCCCACTCAACTTCATCGGCAACTTCGCATTATCCAAACAACAAGCCGTAAACTCATTCGCCTCAGTAACAAAAGCCTGCTCAAACCGTCCATAGTAATCCCCAGGGATCTCCCTCTTGATGCCCCCAGCCTCATAGATATTCACCAGGTTACTCATCGGCTGCGCATTAACCTGCAGCTTCCCCCCCGTGCCAATAATCTCCGTGGCGTCATCCTGCCCCGCCGCCATCATCCGCGAGCAAAACAGATACGCGATCTGGCCACCATAGAACTCCACAATGCCCACCGCATTATCCACATCCTTATGTTTGCGAAGTTCCGGCTGCACGGCGGTGATGCCGCTGCTGACTACGCTCTTGACGCGGCTGTCTTGCCCGAAGAACCAGAGCGCCAGGTCGATGTCGTGGATCGAGCAGTCGACGAATATGCCGCCGCTGAACTCGGCGTAGGCGACGAAGAAGCCCGATGGGTCGAGCTTGTCGCAGGTTTGGGAGCGGAAGATGGAGGGCCGCCCGATGAGCCCGGAGTCCATTTTGTTGAAGGCGTCGCGGTAGGAGGTGTCGAAGCGGCGGGAGAAGCCGCACATTACTTTGAGGTGGGGTTTCTTTTGGGCGGCGTCGACGACGGTTTGAGACTGTGCAAATATTCCCCAGTCAGTATATGAAATTCCAATTCCAATTCCAAAATCCAGGATATCTGATCCTGAATCTGAACCCCCCCCTTTTCAAATCCCAAATAAAAGCAGGGGAAGTGAAATCAGGTGCTGCAGCAGCTGAAGGGGAGGAATTAAAAAAATGTAAATATACTTACAATCTCCGGCGACGTCGAAAGCGGCTTCTCGCACAAAACATGCAGGTTCGCCTCAATGGCCTTAATCGCCTGCTCAGCATGCACCGTCGTCACGCTCGCAATCACCACCGCCTGCAACCCCTCCTGCTTCAACATCTCGTCGTAGTCGGAATAGATCCTCACTCCCCACGGCTCCAGGTGCTGCTTTGCCCACTGGATCTCCGTCTCGTCGGGAGTGCTGGCTGCGACGAGTTGGGCGCGGGGGGTGCGGTTGAGGAAGTGGAGGGCGTGTCGTTTGCCCATGCGGCCGAGGCCGGCGCAGGCGATTTGGAGTTTTTGGGGGGCCATTTTCTGGGGGAGGGTTTGGTTGTGAGGACGTGAGGACGTGAGGACGTGAGGAGGAGAGGAATTGAATTGAGAGGGTCGTGAGATTTGGTTTTGGTTTTGCAGTCGAGAGTGGGAGGGGGAGAGAAGAAGCTGATGGGGAAGAAGCTGAGGGAGAAGAAGCTGTTGAGGTTGAGTACAGAAGAGAGTTCAAATTCTTGTCCGGGGAAAAATATTATATAGGGGTCCTGCACGACCGAAAGTAAAAATTCCAATCCAGTCTAATCCAGTCCAGTCCAGAACCAGTCAGCCAGTCCAAACCATCCCTCAGTCAAATCAAGTCAAGTCAGGTCGGTCCTGATCATCCGACGACGTGCTGAATCAAGTCAGGTAGGTCACATCGAATAGAATCAGCTCAACTCAATTCAGATCCCGACATATCAGCGACGCGCCGTCCTTTCCCTTCCCCTTCCCCCAACCCCTCCATTCCATTGTACCTACCTACCCCTCATTACCTGCAAAGGAAAAAGAGCGGAAGACGTGTCGCATCACATCCTACCGTGTCGTGTCGTGTCGTGTCGTGTCGTGTCGTGTCGTGTTCCTGCATACCCACATCACATTCCAGAACTTCCCTAGAAGCGCTGGCAGCCCTCCTCAGCCATCAAGGAAATTCCCTCGCGAAACCAAAAAAAAATTAAAAAAAATTGCCCGTTTTAGAGAAAAATCAGGAATTGCCGTTCCTGGAAGTTGGGGGCTCGCTTATTCAGAATGGGCAATTTTCTGGGGTGGGCGCTTGGGCGTGGGGTGCTGCCGACTCCACAAGCCCCCCATACCCCAGACTTTGCATTAACTTATTAGGTGTGGAGGCAAGCGAGGTGAGGTCAGCCGCCGTTGTGGAGTGGAGTAGTGGAGTGGAGCCGCAATAATGTAGGTAGGAGGTAGGAGGGAGGGTAGGTAGGTAGGTAGGTAAATGCAATTTTGAAGGTTTGCTCGAGGTTGGCCCCGGATGGGGTAGTGGATGGGGTAGTGGATGGGGTAGAACAGTAAGTGTACTGAGTGTAGTGGACGGGGATTAAGTTGTTTCCTTTCAGTTGGTGGCATGTGGACCGTGGAGTAATAATAATGTGGAGTGAGTTTTAGGGAAGGGTCTCGTGCTGCTCATTTGGAGGTATGTGTGCCTAGGTATGTTTCTGTTTCTTCTCGGTGGAACTTCCATACATGTTGAAACTCAAGATAAAAATATGGTCATGTGATGGATGGTGTTAGACTTTGGAGATTTCCATTATTGTACCTTCTATTGGTACCTTGAGGTACCTTGTCCCCGGATCTTGATCAGGTGAACTGATATTTCTGACTTTCGACTTATAACTTCCCTTCCATTTTGAATTTTGGCTTGACAACTTGAACTTTTTGAGTTCTGACAGACAGGCTACCAGGCTTCCAGGTTATATCTTTTTTTTTTTTTTTTTTTTTTTTTTTGGAGTTTGCGTGTGAACCGCAGACGAAGCTTACCATACCGTTCGTACTGTAAGATAAGAATAAAAGATCATCCCTACCTACCTACCTGTCTTAATACCTTTCTCTAGAGATTTTCATTCGTTCGTCGATGTGTTGTGATATAATAGCTTTGACTCGGCTTGGCTGTGGGGTAGGTGTATACCATTCGTACGCGGTGCAAGAAACAGTCTCTGTAAGATTTCAAGACTAGAGATATACGATTCAAGAATTGAACCTTGAAATTTGAGATTTGAGATTCCAAAAGAAATGTCCAGGTAGGTACATAATACGGAGTTCTCGAATCGATAGAAAAGAACAAAATGCGACAAAGCTGGCGAAAATACCTACCTACTTACTTACCTGTACCTCTACCTAAGCAGGTAGCCATACTGGTAACGTGACACAAGTCAACACTACCTACCTACCTATACCCACCTATTCCAGCACTTTTCTTTTTTTCTTTTCCCTTTCAACTTTTGGGCTTCCTGTAGGTATGACACGTGCAGGTGCGAAGAAAAAACGTGGTATTCATGTATGAAATCTAAGACTGACCGCAGACGGGACGGTACAGGACGGTACTGAAAAGTCTTTTTTGTTTCTTTTTTTTTCTTCTTATGGACGGACGGATGGCTGACTGGCTGGCTGTTGTGTGGTGTTGTGTTGTGTTGTGTTGTGTACCTTACCTTAGCTTAGCCCAGGTCAGGTAGTACCGCAGCGCAGGATCATGCAGAGATGATCGCGATCACATGTGAAAGAAGGAACTGTGGAATGCAGGTAGAGGTGAAGAGTATTGCTTGTTCAAAGGTTGGATTCTTATTGTATGAACAATTGCTTGCATTGCTTCGCTTTGCTTTATAAGGATAGGAAATCATGACTCCCCCAAAGTCTCCAGCTAAACTCGCTAACTCCCTGAAAAAAAAATCCCAATCCAATTCTCATCAATCAATCAAAACACCCGACTCTTTCCAGTATCATATCTTGTCAAATCCCCCAATCAAACTCCACTGCCCTCTCTATGCCGAAGCGTTATCTTCAGACTTAGCCTTAAGCTTCATCTCCTTCTGCAACTGTCTAGCATACTTAACACCAAACCCATGCTTAAAGATCTCCCTAATATCCTCCAGCGTCATACCCTTGACCTCAGGATAACAGAAGTAGACCGCAATCCAGCCAAAGAAGCAGATCGCAGCGTAGAAGCCGAATGCGCCAGATGGGGTCGTGTTCTCCATCTGCGTGAGGAAGGTGGATGCCACGATGATGTTGGAGCCCCAGCACGAGCAGGTCAGCATCATGGTTCCGTACGAGCGGACCTCCATGGGGAAGAACTCGGACGAGAGCCAGGCTGTGTTGCCCATACCGGAGGAGTAGAAGCCGACGTAGATGATCATGCAGGCGAGGACGACGTAGGCGGGCCAGCCGATTTCTTGGGTCTTGAGGGTGAGGTCGTGGTTGATTGGGATCCAGTGGAAGGCGACGGCTGCGAGGGCGAGGAAGAGTGCCTGTTGGGAGAAATGTTAGATATTGGAAAAGCAAGAGTTGTAGCGTGAGTAGAATTTTGACTTACCATTCCCCACATGGTGCTGAGCAAAATGCGTCTACGTCCGAAGCGATCGACAACCATCAGGTTGACCCAGGTGAAGAAGAAGTTGGTGGCTGCAATGATGGTTCCGACAGCGACTGGGTTCTTGAATCCGACGAGAGCGAAGAGAGTCGAGGAGTAGTACATCAGGGCGTTGAAACCTCCAAGTTGACTGATAGCCATGAGACCACAAGCTGCGATCAGAGCTCTGAAGTTACCGGGAACGACGTAGAGTTGCTTGATGAGCCAGAGTTGACCCTTACCCTCCTTCAATGCCTTTGCCTCAGCGACGTGTGCGGCGATGTGCTGGACCTTCTGCTGGACTTGGAGTTCGGTTCCTTGGGGGAAGATCTTGCGGATGACATCCGCGGCTTGCTCATGCTTGTCGTGGTAGATGAGTTGACGGGGTGACTCGGGGCAGAATGGGAGGAGAGCGCAGAGGATAATCGCTGGGAGTGCTCCAAGACCGACCATTGCTCTCCAGCCTTGATTGACGTGTGCAAGAGCTGCGCCGATGCCGTAAGAGACGAGCTGACCACCTGTGATGGACATGTTGTCAAGACCGATCATGCGTCCTCGATATTTGGCGGGTGCGATCTCAGCGATGTAAAGCTGGGGAATGTCTTAGCTAAATTGCACAATTTTTGGGGAAGGGGAAGAAAAACTCACAGGAACGATCATGGCGGCGGATCCGACACCGAAACCAACAACAAGACGTCCAATGGTCATCTGTGCAAGAGAGTATGCTGCGGCCTGCAAAACAGCGCCGACGATGAAGAGGAAACATCCCATGTAGATAGCGCCCTTGCGTCCAAAGCGATCAGCTGTAACACCAGCAGCGATTGCGCCGATGAAAGCTCCACCAGATGTGATCGAAGTAATCAACTCCTTCTCGCTCGAGTCCAAAACATGGCCGAGATCAGCATCGAGGTAGACGAGAACAGCCGAGATGATACCAGTGTCGTAACCTGTGATCCGAGTCAGTGGCAAAATTCTATTTTCTTTGACGAAGTGCGCTTACCGAAGAGCAAACCTCCAACACCTGCTGTGATGGCGACCAGCCAGGCGTACTTGCCAGACTGAGTCTGTTCGATGCTGTCCAAGTCTTCGAGATGTCCTGATTGAAGGACCTTGGAAGAGTCGGAGGCGGCTATCTCAACATGTTGAGAGTCCTCCTTGGAATCACCAGTGAAGCCCATGATGAAGATACTGAGAAGTTGCGAAGTGTGAAGATGGAGGAGTCGGGTGTTGCGAATGATGTTGTTCAGAGGATTGGAACCGGGGTGATGATCGACTTGTTGAGTTTTCGAAGGGGGGAGGAAGGGGTGATTCTTATATCAAAAAAGTTGACGTTGGCAACAACACTGGCGTCTCAAATCGATATTTGTCTGATCTCGATGCTCCCAAGCCATCATCCATGCACGGCAATCTGGAAGGAAAATACTCAGACTGAGGCGCCCAAACAAGTTTTTCGGAAGAAAGTTAATTCGCGGTGGGCGGGCAGCACCTGGAAGCGTGGTGGCGTCCCCCTAAGCTGCCCACCGAGGGATAACCGCGGGGAAGTGGAGAAACCCCAGACGGACCCAGGACCCAGCCCAGGCCCATGAGAGTTGCCGTTGGGGAGAGCAGGAGGGCGATGGGCGATGGGGCTCCAGGAGTCCAGGGGGCCCTCGTCCCCCTGCAGCGCATGGTTAGACAGGCAGCTGGGCAGCATGCGAGTAAATGCAATTGGCGTGGAGCTCATAGGTCATGATCCAGAACCCCATAATGGGCTTCAGATGGTGCCGGTACCTACGCCTCAAGTCCCTCTGATGATTGGGGAGTTGCCCTGTTCCAGAACAGCAAAGTAAGAGTTAGTGAGCAGTTAGTTGGTCGTTAGTTATGCTGGTGTTGTGTTTGGGTTGGTGGTGCAGCGAGTTACAGTACGGCTTTACCTGACTTAGGTCGGGATGGGTCGGCTATCAGCCCAGCACCCAGCACCAGCACCAAGCCCAGCCCGCCCAGCTGGATCCCCAGTGAGGGGTCTCCACCACCTCCACCACACTCCACCACCTGCACCTCACCACCAGTCGGGCTAGCTCAGCTGGATCCCAATCGAGTATTACTACTCTTGCTTCCCCGCATTTGGCATTTTTTCATCTTTCCCTCCGAATTGCCCTATCGACAGTCCCTCCGCATTCTCTCAGCGATCCCTCCGCGATACCTTCACCTTTGCTTTGGATGTTTATACTGTGGAGACACCGGGCACAACCGTAACAGCCGCATTGAGAAAGGGAAATTTCTCCATGTCAACGTCGAGCCCCAGGTAAGGGACATGCCCAACCATACGTCATGCTCCACTGTATAGCCTGAAGCTGATCGAGGTGTGGTCCTAGGCTGTCTGCCAGTAAGCAGAGTAACGATGGTCAGCTCTCCTCCAGATTCTAAAGATACCGTCTCGTGACGAACACGTGGCTTTAAAGTCACATGACCTCGAATGAGAATCGACGACGAGTGTGCTGACAGATGCTTTCAGGCAAAGAGAATACTGATGGGGCAACGAAATCGACGTTTGGAAAGCTGAAATTCCGGCATGGGAGTTCAGCCAGATACGATACCGACTTCGCGAAAGACCAAACATGGGTGCGGGTCTCAGGCAAATGTATGAGAGTACTCCTCACGCAGCAATTCAAATGCAGGCCTCGCACTAACACTTAATCGTACAGTGTGCTCCGAGTTCGTTGACGAGCTTCCAGAGCTAGAAGATCTATATTCTATTGTGCCAAAACCAAAGACGCCCATTGCCACGTCAACCGCGACACCTCCAGCCGCCCAATCATCTCCAACAGGCTCGGCAACCCCAGTATCAACATCTCTACAAGATTCGTACCTGGCTTCATCATCAGGATGGACTCCCAGATCTCTGTATTCCGGAACGCACGTTACATCTCCCATCAAACGGCGGCGGACAAATGATTCAAGCAGCGACCGCGGATGGTCAATACCAGATCCTGACGCCGACTCTTCTCTTTACCTACCCTCATCCTTTCACGCGAGAACAACCAGTTTTCCAGGATCGCAGTATGGACATGAAAATGCTATTGACTCGCTCCTCCGGGCGGCAGACTTCTCAGAACAAGTGATTGATGAAGAGACAGCATTTGCCTCTCCGCAAAGTCAGGTTCGAGCTCCGCCTCGTGTGCCTTACGATACACCGCGAGCTTGGTCACAGGGAAATACACAAGAAGCATGTTTGATGAGGTATTTCATTGACGAGCTTGCTTGCTGGGTAAACAATCTCGCCGTGCTTCACCACGTGCAAATGCTAATTTATCAAGTTCGATCTCTGTGATATGGAGCGTCACTTTGCGCTCGTGGTCCCGCAAAGAGCCCGAGATTGTCCTGCTCTACTCAACGCAATTTACACCGCATCTGCAAGGCATCTCTGCCGAATCGACCAATACAAGAAACAGAACTCAGTAGAGTATCTCCAGAAATGCCTCGCTGATCTGCATATCGACACCGCGGTGGAGTATCACAGCCGCTGCATCCAGCACCTCGTGTCCGTCTCAGACGATCCGGATGCGGTATACGACGAGAACCTGTTAGCAGCATCCATAATACTACGTTTTTACGAGGAACTAGATGGTGAGTCTACAATATCCCTTTCAATCTGATAGAATTGACGATGTACAGCACCCCTCAACGGCGGAGACTGGGAAACCGCTCTCCAAGGCACCCAAGTCTTCATTGAAGCACAAGCCTCATCAGGAGCCGAAAGCGGCCTCCGCCGTGCCTGTTTCCGTGTAGCATGTCGTCAAGAAGTCTACATGAGTTTCGTCAAACAGAGACCATTTCAATCGCCGCTCAACTGCGACGAGTATCGCTCTCTCGAGCCTGCTGACGACTTCACCTGGGCTCACAGGGTTGTTGTTCATACTGCAGATGTGTTGAGATACTGTTATGGAGAGCCCGATGCGAAGAATGGTGATTATGATGAGCTGGTGGAGTTTCATCGTGGTTGGGATGCGTTGAGACCTAGTTCCTTCGAGCCGATCTTTGAGCAGGCTCCAGATGCTTCGAAGGGCGAGTTGTACCCTGAGATGTGGTATTTGTCGGATTGTCATGGTACGGAACACCAAACTGATGCAAACAATGACTTGCTAATGGTTTGCAGTAACGGCAGTGCAGCATTTCGATCTCTCCAAGATCCTGCTTACAGTCTATGACCCCAGGATTCCCCGCTTAGGTCCCTCTCAACGCATCGCAACCAAGCGAATCGAAGTGAGTCTCAACAACCGAAACAACTTCTTGCGAACAAAAATGCTAACATCCTTACCAGGACGAAGTAAGCATAATAGTCAAGCGCCTCTGCGGCGTAGCTATCTCCAACCGGCGAGCTCCGCCTGCAATGAACGCAGCTTGCATGGCTATTGCTATTTGCGGAGACCAGTTCACGGACCTGAGGGAACAGAGAAGTCTGCTTGATGTTTTGATCTATAGTGATACGAAACATGCGTGGCCGACTAATGAGATTCAGGGTCGGTTGAAGGAGACTTGGGGATGGGCGGCGGAGTCTGACTAAAATCTTCTTGTAAATTTAGTTTTGTACCTCCTATGAACATATCTTTGTATCTATTCTGGAATCAATGTGTGGACTCCGTAAAAATCATTATATCAAGTTTTGACAAATTCTTATACTAAATGTGGACATGTCATTGTATAAACTTGGACAATCATAATATTATCTTTGAAACATCAGATAATGCTTATTCATGTTCATGTCTTCAATTCTTTATATCAAGTTGTCTATTTAAAGATACAATGCCGAAAAATAAAACCCTCAAATCGAAGAGGACATCAAACCCCACACCCCAACTCCATCATCATGAAAGAAGAATCGTGCAATCATTCCTGCTCATCCGGGAACCGCCTCCACACCTTCAAAGGCATCGGCCCAGGCGCCAAATTAAAGCTCTCATACCTATCCGGCACCCACCCCTCATACGGCAACGCAAACTCAAAGCGATGCACCACACTCGCCAACAAAACCGTCTGTTCCAAATACGAGATATTCCTACCAATGCACCCCCTAGCACCCGTGCTAAACGAAATAAACGCAGCCTGCAACTCCTTCGCATCATCCCCCAGCCACCTCTCAGGACGGAACTGCTCCGGCTCAGGGAACACTTTCGGATCCCTGTGCGCAACATACGCAGAGATGGAGACGGACGTCTCACCCGGTATGAAATCCCCCAAGATCGGCGCACCCTCCGGTGGAGTCCTCCGAGGAAGACCGAACGTAGAAGGCGGGTACATACGCAGCGCCTCATCCAAACACGCCCTCAAATACGGCAAATGCCTAACCTTATCATACGGAATGGTAACCTCGGACGGCTCAATCACGGCATCCAGCTCCTCCCTCAACTTCTCCAAACAAGACGGATTAGCCAGCAGCAAGTACATGGCGTTGTTCATCGCAATGGCAGTCGTGTCCGACCCAGCATTCATCATGATGGATATCTCCGCCACGATCTCACCCCACTCCATCCCGTTCGGATTCCCATTCTTATCCTCCATCAGCGCGCTGAAGAAATCATCCAGCTTCTCGCCCGCGCGGTACCGCGCTAACCGCTGCGTCGCTCTGTGCCACACAATATCGTTCCAGCCTTCGTTCAGCTCGAGCATGCGCGCGTAGTCCTTCGACACGAACCTCGAGAGTTTCCACAGAACGGGGAACCACTCATAGCACCACACCAGCCCAGACTGCGCGCGCGCAGTAGCATGCAGACACTCCCGGTAGTTAGCCTTGTAGAGCTTCCCGCCCATAGTCTCAGCCGTGCAGAGGTCGTGGCCCTGGTCGAGGAAGCCGAGGCGTTCCGAGAGCCCTATGTCGGCGATGGCGTCGAGGGTGAAGAAGTTGGCGTAGGCGCGGTAGTCGAAGGTGAGGTCTTGCGGGGTGGGCTTCTCGCCTTTTTTGAGGGGAGAAGTGCACGCTTTGTCGGCGGCGAGGATGAAGCGGTCGGTTTTGTCGGCGACTTTGTGTTCCCAGCCCTCGAGGTTCTTGAGCGCGTAGGCGCTGGAGAGGATCCGCCGTTTGCGTTGGTGGTCGAGCTTATCTCTGGCGTCGGCGAGGTGGTGGTGTGTGCCGGCTAGGGTGTCGTAGAAGACGTCTTTTACGCACTTGGTGTTGTGGCCGTAGATGTCCTGGGGGATTCAGAATCAGTACGTTGTTCTTGTAGAGAGGAGATTTCATAGTGGGAACTTACCTTGATGGCTGAGAGGTCTGAGTAGGAGAGTGAGTTTGGTCCGATTCGGATAACTGGTGCTGTCTGGTGTGCTTTGAGGAGAGCCTCTGATCGAAAGCCCTTGTGAGCTTCATAGCAGAAACTCAGATCTGTGATGCCGGAGAGGAAGTTGAAGTTGGGGTATTTGCGGAGGCCTTTGGGATCGCGGAAGTACTCGACGACTGGCCAGATGATAAAGTACGCAGTGAGGAGGAACGTTGTCGTTCCAAATAGTATGTATCCGTACATCGTGATGTGTGTATGTTCTGATTGTCCACAGAAGAGGAGTGAAGAGGGTAGTTGTGGGTTGAGAGACTCGTGGACAGATGTATGTGTATGCCCTACTTATCCACAGCAGAGGAGTCTTTATCTTTGGTTGAGGATGAGGATGAGAGACCGTGGACGGATGTGGCTTGTGTAAATAGAGAATGGGAATGAAGCGAGATTTAGTGGGAAGTCCGACTTCGAGATAGGAGAAGTGTGTGATTTTTTATCAATTCTCTACGCCTACTGGAAGCACGCAATAAATCCAAAGGAAAAATATGATTTTGCCCCACGTCAGCGTTTGAGGAAGGTACTTCGTTCTCCTTCCCCAGATTGTGCCAGATGCCGTACTGTATCCCCCCCACCTTACATGTGGGGTAAAACTTTGCATATTCTGTTGACGAAACTAGGCAATGACCCTAATCAGGCCTCAGCGCAGTAATTCTTGCAGCTACTACGTGTTTCAATGTAGTCCAGAACGTCAAATGCGAGGCGATTGATCCGGCTTGAAGGTCTTGGTGGTCTGGAGCAGATTAAGCGAGTGCTGTCAGGAAGGGAAATTTACTAGCGCGGTTCAATTATTTCCCTTCATGGATCCGAGAAAGGAAATTCTCAACTGTGTCCCCCACAATTAGATGCGAGCAATTGCCTCGGATCGGAAATGCCCCTCCATGCCACACGATAACGAAGATTCGATACGGAAATCCTGGTTACCCCGGATTTTGACAGCTCGGCAAACGGGAGGAGCGTAACTTGCGCTTCCAAAACCCTTTCGGGCATTATTGATTTTTCGAGAGGAAAGATATGCAATGTGCTTGGCATAGAAGTTTATGTTGAGTTTTCGACTCTTTGGCATATATGAAATGATCGTGTTGTCCTGAGAGCTCCTCCAAGACACTCACGGAACATCATACCTTCTTCACACATCATGGCGACCATGTCCACTTTGCAGCTGCCAGACAGCTACTCTCTTGCGAATGTGAAGAACCTTCTCCAGAATCACCAGGGAGACGATGCCGCATTCGTTACATTCCTTCTCTTCTGCTATCTTTTCTATACCCTCAAAGTACGCGACAAGGCAGACCCATATCACCATCTCTGGTTCGAGAGACCGCAGGCATCAGCTATCAGTGGCCAGAGCGCGGAGACAAGAGATGTTGGACAGAAGCTTGAGCAAACCGTAAGTACATAACCTCTCTGAATAGTCTGAGATTGGTGAACAAGGAATCAGACTAACATTTCAAAAGGGCAAAGACTTTGTGATCTTCTGGGGTTCCCAGTCCGGTACCGCAGAAGGACTCGCAAATCGCCTGGCTCGAGACTGCCGCAAGAAATTTGGCTTGAATGCCTTGGTAGCAGATCTCTCAGATTACGACCCCCAGTCGATCTCCACCATCAGCAAATCAAGCTTTGCAATCTTCGTCATTTCAACATACGGAGAGGGAGATCCCAGCGACAATTCCACACAATTCTTCTCTTGGATCGGTTCGAATAAAGAGACCCAGCTTCCAGATCTCCGTTATGTAGCGTTCGGGCTTGGAAACAGCAAATACAAGTTCTACAATCGCGTTATCGATGTTGTTGTTGAAGGATTGGATAAATTTGGTGCCACGGCATTGATGCCAACTGGAAAGGCAGATGATGCGAATGGAGCCACAGACGAGGACTTCACAGAGTGGAAGGAAAATCTTTTCAAATTGATGGGAGAGAAGCTGGGCTTCGAGGAGCGTCCAGAACAGTATGAGCCTATCTACCGCATTGTTGAAGACACCTCTCTCGATATCATTGATCTCCACCGCGGCGAGCCACTCCAGCCTCGTGGAAAGAAGAACACGGCAGCGACATCATCCATCCATGCTTTGCCGGTCAACTCAGCACATAAGCTTCTCTCAACAGTGGAACGAAACTGTCTCCACATGGAGCTCGATACCAGCGAGTTCCCCGAGCTGAAATACAAGACAGGTGATCATCTGGCTGTGTGGCCTTCCAACCCAACAAGCGAGATGAGCCGTCTCGTCAACATGCTGGGACTGCAGGACCACTTGCAGACACCTCTTCTCATCTCCTCACTTGATCCTTCAGTCCAGGTCAGACATCCATCACCTACAACCTGGCACTCTCTCTTCCAACACTACCTCGAGATCTGCGCGCCTGTTCCCAGAGAGACTGTCCTTTCCCTGGCACAATTCGCACCTTCTCCCTCCGCCAAGAACCAGCTTGAGAAAATTGGTAGCGACAAAGATGTATACCACACATATTGCTCGCAGAACCACACTACACTCGACAGACTTCTCGAGAACGTCTCCTCACCAGGAGACTCGTGGTCCAACCTCCCCCTATCCTTCATCCTCGAAGCACTCCCACCCCTCTCCCCACGCTACTACTCCATCTCCTCATCCTCCGTCGTCTCCCCCAAACAAATCTCCATCACCGTAGCCACAACCTCCGAGCCCGCCTCCTCCACCTCCGTCCCCATCCCAGGCCTCACAACCGGCTACCTCGGCGCCATCGAATCCAGAGGAAGCAGCCCAGCCTCTGGTAGCGACTTCAACCTCTCCGGCCCAAACTCAGTCCTAGACCAAGGCAACAAACTCTTCGCCCACGTCCGCAAATCTAAATTCCGCCTCCCAGCACAAGCCAAGACACCCATAATCATGATCGCATCCGGCAGCGGCATCGCCCCCTTCCGCGGCTTCCTCGCCGAGCGCGCACGCATCTCCAGTATCGGTCGTGAAGCCGGCTCCTCAATCCTCTTCTTCGGCTGCCGTGCTCCAGAAGACCTTTTGTATGGCGATGAACTCAAATCCTTACAGAGCAGTAACGAGAATGTAGATCTCGTGACTGCGTTCTCACGCACGGAGAAGAGTACCCGTGGTGGAAAGATGTATGTCCAGGATCGGGTTGAGGAGCGCGCCGCGGATGTGGTGCGGTTGCTGATGGAGGAGAATGCGTATTTTTATATCTGCGGCAGTGCGAGTATGGCACGGGATGTGGCGAAGAGGTTGGGTGAGTGTTTGAGGGAGAGGTTGGGGTGGGATGAGGATCGGTTGAGGGAGTGGACGGAGGGGATGAGGAGGGGGAAGAGGTGGCAGGAGGATGTTTGGGGTTAAGACTAATTTGTTATGTGCTCGTTACCTATGTATAAGAAATATGATATATGAATAGATCCATCATGAGATTCCGCAATCTTCGCAACGTCTTTCGGACTAGCCTCTATCGTTTCCCGATGATATCCCCATTGTTGTCTATTGTTGTCATCAGACTAGGCGAGCCACTAGCGCCTTTACGCGTTGTCACGCCTCGTTATCTCCATGTTTACAATCTTATCTTATTTCTCACAACACCAGGGAACACAGACCTAGTTTGCTGTATAATAACCACCAACATGGTCAGCGCAAGATGGCTGGCGATCTTTGATCGCGCGATTCGAAAACCCCGACCCATCACTAACAGACAAATCCTCCAATCTTGGGTAAATATCTACACCAACCAACTTCGGGTACGACCTCGAGATACACACGAGCAATGCCAAGCAGCGGCAGAGGTGAGATGGTGGAATTTTCTGTGTAAGTTACAGTATTCCCACTATCACATCCCCAATCTGACAGATCTACCTCTCAGTTAATGATCGTGAATGCCCTGAATCACCAGCCGAAATCTACATGTTGGAAGTTGCCAATGAATTCTACTTCGACAACCTCCCTGGAGACGCTCGCCAATGGCGCAATATCGTCAGGAAGGCGGTTCAATCTGGTCATAAGATTGCGTCTCTGTGTCAATCATGGATCGATGTTCGTGTCGAGCTGGCGGCCAATCATTACCTCGTTCACAGACAACAGACTGATATGTTCGCATACGCCGCAGAGGTGAAGTGGTTCAAACGTCTTTGTGAGCTCAACTCCAACAATATATTTGTGCCAGCCTGCTGATAAATTACAGTTCCTAATGAAGCATTCATGGGCAGGCCTCCTCAGGAATGGCTCGAATATGAGTTCGCTAGAGAATCTGCGGATCACAAGCACAGATATGAAGAGCAGAAGATTCTAGGTGCAAGACACGTACGGCTTTGGCTTGGGATTCTACCCGTCGGTGCGAGTCTCACAGTCAATCCATCGCCAAATGTTGGTCCTCAGCGCGACATGTCTCGTCTTCAGGCAGACGCGTCAAGCTCTATCAAGTCTTCCGTCACAATGCAAGCTGAGCCCCAGCGCCGAGGTGTTCAGACTAAACCCAATCGCAAATCTACTAAAAGCACTCCCGCACCACCTCCACGTACGGAATCCCGCAAAGGCAAGCCGAATGGTCCAATTCAGAGTACGAAGGAACCTCGAAAGCCGTCTCAACACCCAGGACGTGAAACGAAACGTCGCCCTACAGCACCTTGGGAAGAGCAAGGTATCTCCGCAGATGAATGGTCGACTTCGTTCCTGGATTCTATCGTATCACAGTACCAGAATTCCGCAAATGAGCAAGTTCGTCAAACTCCTGCCTGCAAGCGTTCTGCTTCAAGATTCACTGAAATGCCAGCCGAGAATTCTGCAGAGGGTGACTCTCGGAAGCGCGTTCGAGTTGAGTGACCTCAAATTTGATGGAGGGTGTTGGAGTATTGTTTTAGTGTAGAGTATAGAGTTTTGAAGGATTATGTTGGTTGGAAATTGAGGTGGAGACGAGATGTATGGGTCGATTGCCAGTACGACCGTGGATCTTTTTATATGGTTGAGCAAAGCGGAGAAGTGCTGCACATGGAAGTAGACATGCATGACTTGGGCAAATCAGGCACTGTGGCGTCATACAGGCAGCATGAAAAGTCTGTAGTGCTACTATGACCGTAATTTTTAGTAAACAATGTCATGACTCTGATGATGGTGAATTGCCGCCCCTTCACCACCGCCGTCTGGGTGAAATTGTGGAGGTGCGATTGGTCATGACTTCTCCTAAAGAGCAACGGTTTGTAAGAACTTATACCCTGTAGCAATGTCTTCAAGCATTTAAATGCAACACAGGTCCATTTCAAACTCAACGCGATATCACAGACCAGTTGGCGATTCATTGCTGACTAATCCTCGCTTATCAAACAACATTGAGCACCTTGTCGTCTTCCACACATACAAGACCCTCAATTTAGCTTAGTGAATGACATAAAAGTATTTAATGTTGTATCATGATGCTTTAATGCGCTTAGACAAAGGTTCGGTCCTTGCTGTGAGACTTGCGTCTTGGCCACTCTGATTTTAAGCCTACACTCGTTTGCTTACATCAGTGAATCCAACGATACGACACTATTGATGCGCCTCACGCATTCAGGCAGCAAGTCGCTTCGAGGTCGCGGAATATCTAGCTCGAGCTAGTGTATACACACTTGTATCCTTAACCTCGACTCTTGAAGCCCTTTTCCCATTACACCTACCTCGAGAAACAACTTGGCCACCATTGACGATCTACCCTGCACAAGAAAGAAACTGCCAAAAAGCCAGCCCCTCACGATCAAAGATTCAGTATCATCTTCAAGGTTGCACAACAAAATGAAAGCTTCACTGATCAAGAGCTCTTGGCTTTGTTCGAGTCGGCTCTAGAGCGGGTCATGAAAGAGGAGCCAGAGCTTTCAGAAGATGAGGCGATTACCAAAGCTTTACGAGCTTGGTTTTATCGCGTTAGTATGTGATGGTCTTCCTACCAATTGCCATTATTCTTACTGACCATGAAATAGTGCCAGAAAAGGATATGCCAGAGTTCCTGGCTGAGGGATTCCGCCAGAAGCGACTACCTAGGCTTGGGGATGCTGTCGTCATCCCGTCACAGGCCAAGGGCACTTTTTGGTAAGTATCACCAATATTCACACATGACTTTCCATCTGGTCTTGAGATCTGACGGCACTTCATGCTCTGGAAAGACTAGTACTGATTTGGTTTTACACAGGTGGAATCGCGAGACCAAGAAAGTCCAATGGGTGTGGTGGGATCCAGATCCAAGCAAAGCTGGACAGGTTCTTCACACTGAGCCACAAGCTACGACTAGTCAATTGCCAGAGGAACAAACACAAATAAGCAGGACAGGGCAGCGTTCTCCAAGTGACGCTGTCAAGACAGAATCTAGGAACCATGAGGACACAATGGGGGCTGCAGGTTTCTCGGGAATACACCAGGCCAGACTGGACAGATCCAGGCTCGGCTCCGCTCCACCTGACAGTGGTGAAAGAAATCAAGAGTTCCAAACAGGAAGAAAGAATCTGCCCGATCGTCGAGTCTCGCCTACACCGGAACGGCCAAGCCACTTCAGTCCACAGGACCTCAATCACAGATCTTCTTCTTCTTATCTGACAACAACTCGCTCACATCGAGGCCCCACTTCCGACACCAACAAACACCCTAAACACGACGACAGAAGAAAAGATGTGGCCAAGATGGCAGACAGAGCACCTTCTTTAGCACGCGAGCGCTCCTCTGGCGCAGAGAGCGACGATCCCCGCAGATCCTCTGCCATTCATTCACCTTAAAGATCAGCAACTCCAGGCGATCCCACAACCGATAATTCCATCATCCACACCGACCAATACAACGAGTACTACGCCATCCAACCCTTCATCACCATAAAAGCCGAGAAAGAAGGATGGACCACGGCAGAAATCCAAGATCGCTGGTTCCGCTGCTCGGCGCACTGCCGCAGAGAGTTTGGACACATGGGTCGCGCTTATGTTCAATTCAAGATTGAGTACAATATCTGGATCACGCTGTGTGAGTAGACACTTCCCTTTCATTGTTTGGATCTCTCTATCTGACCGAGAAATAGTCCCCGATGAGCTGTTCCCGGGCAAGGATCCACTTACTGGACAATTTACCTCCCTCACTGGACGAGAGATTTTGACTAGACATGAGAGTCAACAGGAGAATGCTTCGAGCTCGTCCCGATCTCGCTCCCCTTCTTCTGAGCCACCTCGTCGGCAAGCAAGAACTCGTGCCATGACCAATGTCCACGACAATGGCAGCCGCAACGGCAACGCCACAAATGGAGTTCGCCCTGATGGCAACCGCTAGACTATTCTGGTGGCGCAATTCCTACTTCTCTTACAACGTTTTAGTACAAGAACTGTCAGAGGGGATTGGACTTGGCGTCATTGGACATTGGGATTGAGTTTTGGATGGCTAATATCCGGAAACTGGCGTTTTTCGAGGTCATAATTGGTAAGAGCTTTTTCATGCATTATTTGGAGAAGTTTGGGGCTCTTGGAATTACGAATTGCAAGGCTTTCATATTAAGCACTTCTGGAGACAAATACAAAATAAGGCTCGCACTCACATTGGGATTCCCTAACGTGAAATATATGCAGATTAAGTAACATCACGTTTGTTTGTATTGTTTCAGTCTCATGCAAGGTGAACTCTTTAGGCAAGAAAAGAGGAATACCTACAGCCGTTGCGTAGGCCGAACGATACCCACGTGACCCACCCGCCATAATCCACAGCAAGAACACTGAAAGAACACCAACTTGGAAAAAATGCTCAAATAAAATGAAAATGGTCAAGCTTCTCACTTGTTATCAATTCCTCAAAAGACGTCAGCTTAAAGTCGCGCTAAGCACAACGCCAGCGCCATGTGGCCTCTCTCGCTTAATTTGATCGTTGACCTTGAAGCCGCCCGCCCCATTGTTGACTTTCACTTTTCCACAACAAGCCACGTTCGCGATCTTCACTGGAGATCGAATTCTCCACAACACTCAATCCTTCCCTCATCGCTGCATGCTTGAGATCGTTTCTCTCACTGGATACTGTATGGAAGACGAGATGCTCGCAACCATGACTGGGTTCGCAGTGAGAGCAGATGAGGAGCGCGAAGTTCAGACGAAGACCGCTGAGGTTGATCTGTTCTTCGAACGAGACCTACAGGAGATGTCAGCATACTTCAAGTCTGTATGTTGATCACTAAGATCTTCTCACCTTCTGTGATACTGACAGCTTTAAGGATTGGTTCGAGTCGACCTCCACGTCTGGTTCAATTGACGGTTTCTCAGTCGAGAGCAATGGTGAAGAGTCTCCAACAGTACCTCTGTAAGTTCAATGCTTATTTGTGTTGTGGTTATGCATTGATGGGTCAAGGCCAAGACAGCTCGCCGCCCAGATCGCTGAGATTGTCGAGATGGGGTTTGGAGCCAGAATATGATCTGGATGGATACCAGCACGAAACAGAAACGTCAGTCCTCAGCAATCTGCTTCTAGACACCAGAACATCAATTTTCAAGAGATTTAAAGGCTTGTTGCGATGAAGCATGGGCTAACAACTTTATCTCTAGATCGGCGTGCTCTGAACTCACTCTCAACAACCTGGCTCGCGTGCCTGCCGACAGTATCTTCGATGAAAATGGTTTCCTGCGGTATTAAAATACATATCTACCTAGGGATGATTGACCAGATGCTAACTTGTTCTCTGCAGTTCCGATACATCCTCCGCGATGTCACATTTCGATTTAATCAGCTCCGCCTCTACATCACCGGTACCACGACGAACCCGTTACATCCGACGTGAGAACCCGACTGGGCACAGAAAGTATCAAGCTTGGGTTAAGGATTCTACCATTCTTCGGGATGTGAACAGTGAGCAGACCGAACATTCGAAGGAGCGTACCGAGATGAACAGGATCGGAGAATACAATACGATTATTGGTGAAGGAAAAAGTAGCAACGTTACCGATAGTGGCGCTACTTCAGCCAAGCTGCCAGCCAAGTTTAGGCGTGGGCGAAGAAGAAAGACGGTTTATAAAGGGCCGATATGCTACAGATGTAGTAGAAAACATCACATCAGAGACTGTGGCGTTCGAAAGTTGAAGGGAAAGAGAAACAAGAAGGGCTGGAACAGCTAATAATGGGTATTTTCAGTCTTGTAGGTATACTTGTTCGGAAAATGTGGTAATTTGTATGGTGCGAAAATGTATGAGGTTACTATACAGGATTCTGCTGGTGCAGATTATCTTGGTATTGGGAGTGCGTTGGTGCATCGATTGATTATGGGCTGGAGGGTTTCAAACTGTACTTTGCCTGTGGTCAACCTTTGATGGAAAACAGATATACAGTCTAGAGGAATGAACAATAATACAATGACGGAAGTTTCGCAAAATCTAGCTTGACAATATGATCTTAACCTTGATTTTAATTTGTGATAACGACCAATAAGGAAAGAGCTCAGCTGACGTGACAGCTCTGTGGCATGGAAGTGGCGATATCGAAATCAAACCCCAGGAAAGGAAGGAACTTGGGTCAACCCTACACAACCTGGGTCAATCAGCCATCTTCATGTATCAAGGATACAAGCATATATTATGGCGAACCATATCAATATACCTCCTGCAACTCCGGAATACGTCCCTGTTGAGTGGCTTTTAGAAGTCCACATGCACGCTGATCGCCGACGTAATCATCCACAAATACACCTTGTCCCTCGCTTGACCGCTTCCGCAAAAATGCCTCTCATTAAACCGAAAATGCAGCGCTTACATAAAGCTCTCAGGAATGGCAATATGCGAGGTCTTGCCGACGAGATATACAAGATGAATGCAGAAAGGCTCAGATACTACCGAAATGTAGGAAATCGCAATGAGGATCCCCATTGGCCCAGTGAGTGATCATCTATAGTTCGGTGAAACAAACTTATGTTGCTCTCAGATATCATGGCTAGCTTGGAGCGACTGGAAAAGGATAGGACAACCTCTCGGATTGTGCACCAGTTACTGCTCTCCGTGCCTTCCTCGATCATTCACACCCTCATCACCAATGAAGTAGGACATCAGTATAACACTAATGACATGTTCAGAAGAATGTTTGTACCGTCAGATGGTTCTCCAGGTGCTTACGTTGTTACTTTCGCGAGGATTGGCCGTGATCTTAGCATCAGTGATGGCGTCCTGAAAGCAGATCTCAAGCGGATACGTGACAGAATAAACCGGTATTACACTACAAATAGACTCAAATCAGGGGACTAATGGAAAAGATAGATACTTCAAATACCAAGGAATTGTTGTCCCGGAAGATGACCAACATCCAGAACACGACAAGATTCTGCAAGGTGCTGAGTTAGCTACAGATGTCGAGCGGCAATTTTATCGTCACGAAGAAGACAGGGCGGATATACTAAGTGATATGAAAGAAGGCTTTCGAAGTCTAGCTTCCTATAGTAGTTTCCAGCTTCTCAGGGATCTAAACGACTACGTTGAATTTGACGATAGACAAGCCATGAACATCTCCTCATCCCAAGCACCCATTTTTGTTGGTAGCAGTTCATCAATGAGCAGCGCGAGAAGAATTCCAAGGGATGGCGAAATACTTGGAACTGAGTCGAAGTCATTTTCACTCATGTTCGGATGCTTGAGGTGCGTTTCAACCAAGATCAAGGCTATGCAACTACCTATTTTCAATGTTCGGAATGAGAACGAGCTTCTTATTGCAGAGGACACGCTGGGTTGGCTTACAGGAGCCTACGGAAGCCTTACGCCTTCAGTTCCCCAGCATCTCTTTTTCTCAGGTTCATCTCAAGCACCAATGTCTCACTACGAATGGCGGCAAATAATGGGTGCCTGCCCCCAAGTCATGGATAATCTCGACCAGGACCGTCTATTATGGAGAATATCTGTTGCAACAGAGAGCTATCTCCAATTGGTGAAGGAATCAAGGGACGAGGCTGATGCTCGAATGATAAAGCATTGCAAGGACTACTTGAAGGCTAAGGACAATCAATTTCTGTACTCTCAAATGAAAGAAGCTATAGATGAGTCACGCTCGGCTTTGGAATTTCGAACAAGTTCCTTAAACGCGGCAGCTTTGGAAACAGTGTTCTCTAGAAAAAGGATGGAAGCATATAAGTGGCTGAATCTTTGCATAGGCATTCGGGGCTCGGCAGAAGCCATTCTCAATTATTTCGAGATGGAAAAGACTTTAGCTGGTGAAGAATGAAGTTTCCTTGCTTTCGTCTTGCGGCGCCGGTCCAAGAAGTGGAGCGTTTATCAAACATCAAGAAAACACTGATACGCCTCTGAAGAGAAATGATGAGACCACTTCAAGGGCACTCTAAGTATATGGAGAGCTGTTGGTTCGTTTAGAGCAAAAACCTAATTGGGTTGCAACGTTTAGGTAGCATACAAACACACTCCTTATTAGAATTAGCGCTTATCAGCATTCATAAAGAGACTGTATCTCAAAGCCGACTTGAGTTCATTTGAAGATAGATCCAGAATGACACCCAATACCAACAAAACACGGTAGTAGAGCATGAAGGATGGATGGACATAAAACTTCTCCGAGCGGGCATTGAGCGATTATTTATCAACCACAGTCGTTTCATTCTACCAACCAGCTGCGGAGCGACCAGTGACGAAACATCTTCGGATGCTGATGAAAGCCGATTTAGAAAAAACTTTTCTCGTGCTGATCACTCAGCCCGCTCGAGTTACATCAAACGTCACCTACCACAAATCACACAGGAATCATGGTCAGCCACAGAGTATGAGAGGTTCTCAGTCCAAGACTTTTGCGAGCGAAGGGACTCTTGCTTGTAAGGCCTGTGGATTACCAATGGATGTGCTTCCAGAAAGTATATTCCTGCTGATGGAAGCGAATGTGGCATTGTATGATGCTTGGTTTCTGAGAAGAACCCTTCTGGTTTTGTTTTCCAGTTTCATAACTAGTGTTAACCTTTTCACCTTAGTCTTACTGAAGTCGTTGGAAGAGCGCCTGGGAGCGATAGACAGTTGGAGCCATCTCCCTGACCTGGTCTATGAGGAGAGACCACAGGTGGCTAGTTCTCCTTCACCCGATTATCCAATACGATTAGCTATTCAAATATCTGGACCTGAAAGTAATAGAGTTTTCAAAGATGGAATCCCTCGCAAAGCTGGCTTCGCCTCCACCATGTCAGAAGTTTCGGAGCCTATCGACAGGCTAGAACTACGAAAACGCCAGGCGAATAATGAGCGGCTTCTTGTTGAAAAATCTTTATTGTTGCTAAGCGGGTTGCCGGGTCAAACATCGACCAGTGCTATCGAGCTTTCACGGTTGCTCACGTATTCGGCTTCTCCACGAATACATTTGAAGGGTGTTTTCTGACTTGGCTGAACAATGATATCTTATGTCTTCGCAAACATGTCTTCGCCGCTTAGCACAAAAGTCCACCATGTGGCAGTTGAGTGGAAGTAAACCAACCTAAGTCCAATATGACGTCTTATCTTTAAAAGTATGGTTAGTCAAAAGGTCGGGTGCCCATGACGGCCAGACTTGCAAGAAAAGATCCAAAGTTGCATCATCTGACGACAAGGCTGAGCGAAATATTTTGTGACCAGTGACTGTTAGGAAGCTGAACGTCACATCATTGATACAATGAGCTTCAACTTTCGAGGATATTAGAGCAGTATATTGATTTCACGTCCCTCCAGCGCAGTATCCTTACATTTACAAGCTCACGTGATGGAAGCATGTGAATATGTTGGTACTTTGAGAAACTCATCAGTTTGCAAAAATTATCATCTCTCTTCAACGATTACCCTGCCTGCGCTTCTCAGCTTCTTTCTCGAGCAGCTCCACAACCTCGAAACGGTTGTACTCAGAAGCATAGTCAAGTGGTGTTTTTCCGCCTTTATTAACCGCTTGTATATCAGCTTTCTTTTCAAGGAGTAGCTTCACAACCTCGAGTTTCCCCTCCAAAATAGCGTTATGAAGTGGTGTATTTCCGAACTTATTAACCGCTTGTATATCAGCCCCCTTCTCAAGTAGTAGCTTTACAACGTCGATAGACCCTGCACTAGAAGCCTCGTGAAGTGGTGTGCGTCTGTAATTATTAACCGCTTGTACATCAGCCATTTTCTCAAGTAGTAGCTTTATAACCTCAACACGCCCTGCACTAGAAGCCTCGTGAAGTGGTGTGTCTCCGTTTTTATCAGTCACTTGAATATCAGCGTTATTCTCGAGTAGTAGCTTTACAACCTCAAGTTGCCCTCTCCAAGAAGCCCAGTGAAGTGGCGTCCAATCGCGTTGATCAGCCGTATTGACTAGCTCGACATTGAAGTGAAGGATTTTTCCTGATGATACAGCTGTTTGTTTGTATGTACAGTCATCGACAGATAGATTCAGGTGTGGGGCTGGATGTGCTGAAAGCAATTTCCTTAGTACTTCGGTGAGATTCCAATAGCAAGCTAAGAGTACCAATCTACCTAGATACCCATTATTCGAAGCCTTGAAATTTTTGATAAACCCGCTGCTGAGACTAAGAAATATAGTGCTTTTGTCGAGCCAAGTGACCCAACTCTCAAATGTTGTCGAGCCTAATCCCTGAAGCATCCACGCATCCAGCTCATTGGACACGGCAAGACTTTTCCGGTTCTTTTCAGTCGACTCGCGACAGTGTTCTCCCCAGAAGTCTGAAGCATACCAAAAAAATGCTCTCTTCCGCGCAATTCTTTCAAGAGCGAAGGGAGTCTGAGAAGATATGCATTTTATACACATTAGGGCGACTTGGGCGTGGCATATCGGTTTGCTGTATTGCGACCCAGACCTGCCTTGCAAGTAGTCCTTCACTGACACATGAGCAAACTCCAGCTTTCCACTACTTGCATTCTCAACGACGAAATCTGCAGTGAGTCGACGAAAGCATGTGTCATGAACGTTGTGGGTATCAATCCCGAGAGCAGCTACAGCTTCGATAATCATTGCTATTGACAAGGGCATAAAGCTGCACAATAATATCCTGTAAATGCTGGTCGCATATTTGTATTCGGCTGAGCCTGGTGCGGTGTTGCGTTCGAAGATATCTTTGTAGGCAAGGTTCAAGTCGTTATCGTCTGCGACGGAGCCGGTGTCAAGCTTCTTGAGATGATCTTCAGCAGTTTTTTTGAAGAGAATGTCGGGTTTTCGTTCGAAGAAGAAAGAGAGCTGCAATTGAACCCAGCGGAACCTTGATACAAGTCAGCTTACTAGTAGGCTAAATAGGAATAAAGACTTGTTTACATTCCGCCAGCCCTTTCACAGAGGATTTTGATGAGCTTGTCCTCGAGTTCTGGGTATTTTCTTCCCAGGAGTCTCTCGTCGTCTTCTCTTTCCTTGACCTCAGTGCTGATGTACGTATACATATCGGTTTCGGATACTGATGACCGAAGATCGATTATGGCCATGGGAGTATCGACAAACTTTTCGTGGACACGCACTTCGTATCGACTAGACATAAGCAGCTCAAGTCCGCCAGGAACAACCTTGAAAGCTTTTACCAAAGCAGCTAAGAGTTTCTTGGGCTCGTCACACTCATCGAGGGCGTCGATCATTATTCTGAGCTTGACCCCAGATTTAACGATACTGTGTAACAACCGCTCGCAGTCGTTGGTAAAGGAGAAATCTCGCAATTGCGATGAAGCCCCTCCAGAATTTGTGTAAGCATCCAGAACATCCGGAGAGATCTTGCCTGTCTTGGGGTCGAATGCTGATTGTTGGAGGATTGCTCGAAGAACATCCTGCCACGAGTGTTTGGAGTTTGTAGCTGTACCTCTAGAGCAATAAAAATACGCAAAGCGTGTCCCGGGGTATAAAGAAGCTGTATCTAGATGCCATTGAATTATCCGACATCTAAGGGTGACGATCAGCTTCTTTCATGTTGGCAACAAAAATACTCACAAGAGAGTTGATTTTCCAGTACCAGCTGTTAGAAGTTAGCATCATATCTAACGTGCTGAGATAATACTCACTTGTACCGCGAAGCCAGATGATCTGGCCATCTGATTCTACTTTGGACGTCGAGGCCCAGGTCTTGAATGTCTCATTGTCCAGCAACCATTGCCCGCATGCTCGATATTTCAGGGCGACCCCAGTCCTCTCAAGGGCATCATCATGAGCTTGTTCCGGTCTGAAGTTCCATACCCATTTCTTGACGCTCCCGACTATTTCGTCCTCTAGCTTGCAGCGGTCGAAGTTGCTTTTACAGATATCATGATTCGCGTTTATGTTACTGACAAGCTCTTTCCAGGTGGCGCTTCGTTCCGGTGTCTTGAGTAACTGGGCTATTTTATCGTCAGACTTGCTTGCATACAGCATCGGAGAAATGGCATACCGATACGTCCAGTAGAAATCCAACCAAACAGTTTGGCTTCTAATTTCAGGATCTCAACTTGCAGATTGACCAAGGAAGGCTCCAGATCCCTGAACCTAATTGAGCTAGCATTCTTCGTTTTCCCCAAATACAACAACTCGATGTTGGTCCATTGCCTGAGGTTCGAGATAATTTTCTCCAGTTCTCTTAGCTCTTCCCGAACGAGTGCAGAATCGCCTAAGCACGTCTAGTCATGGAAATAGCTCGACTTAGTTGCAGCCATTGAGGTGTGGGACATAGGTGCTTACCTCCAGTATCAGGCAGAACCCACGCCAAACAACTGGTGCGATTTTGTGGGGATCGATAGTCGCGGCAGCTGATACCATGTCCTTGAATTGGAGAATATACCTGATAGTATTTTCAATCGCTTTGGGCATCTGCTTAACATCCCTCATCTTTGGTAAAACAACGTCCAGTAAATCTGAAGGATCAATGTGATCCTTAATCTCAACTGTGGACTTGATGTCCACCAACTGCTTGAAGATCTCTGGCTGACCCACTTCGAGTCTCTCCATAGCTTGGACCACGCAAAGAGTTCGTTGCTGTAAGACATCGGGAGTAGCTGGGGCTGTCTGTGGCTGCATTGTGGGTATGGATGTACGGGCGGGTTGACTCTCCTGACGAGCTTCGGGACCAGGCTCAGTGAGAGATTCGAGGTCGGGATTAGCGCCAGGCGGGAGCGGCCCGGTGCTTGCGGGACCCATGTGGGCAGGCGGGTGCAAGTTTGGAGCAACATCTGGATGTCGTTCTGGCTCTCTCATACTACTCGGCGCAGCAATGGTCATGTCTATATAGGTGTGTCACAACTTTAGTAGGCCGCACATGCACCGAGATGCGAAGGAAGCTTGCTAACCTGATAAGGGCACGGCAGAAGCAGTCGTGCTGCGGTCTTTGCCAGACCTTGGCGGCAGCTTGCTGCAAGAGTTCCCCATGATTTCTTGGGACGCAGGCTATGGCAAGAATGGATGGGATGGCAACAATTGGAGACAGGTGTATTCTGGAGAAGGTTGTGACAGCTGGCCAGCGAGGTCATCACTTTTGGATGGCAGCGCTAACTTGAGGCTGAGTGATTTGACGTGGTACAAGGCTGCCATTCTCAGCTTCATAGGTAGGTAGGCATTCTTCTATTCAGCCTGTGAGCCAACCAAAGCCTCAGGCGGCGCCATATACAGGTATGACAACTCCTTTCCCGACGGTCTGGCCGGGCGTACTCAAAGCTTTCAGCTCGTCACGTGGGTATACGGGAGGTGAGGCTGGCGGCTGGGTGCATATCTTTAGGCACGCTACCGGGGATTTTGTGTGCGTCATGAATAATTCCGCGAGAATGAGGTGAGATGTATCAGAGGTCAATGTTACTTCTATCGAGCATGTATCATTCAGTAAGGGTGAATCATTCAAGAGTCATTCCTACACTATTCAGGAACCATTTAGTCGCTTAGTCTCGTTTACAAAGGTATAAGAGAGTAAACATGAATGTACTTGAGTGGGGACCTCAGGTATCTTTATTTTTCTAAGTAAGTGCTGAATGCGGGGAGAAGCCGATCTTGTAAGCGACTGTAACACTTATTGAAGTCCCTCGTGCATTTTGCGAAGGTTTCCAGAGGCAAAGTTAGTCGTTATGCGTACCAAAACAAATATGTGCTCACATCCAATCAACATGCTCTTGGAGTAATGCAATCTTAGCATTCCCTCCATCAAGGTTCTAAATGTTCATCTTGAATTTCTGGATAGCAAGGGACGTTCAAATCATCGTGGGGTATTTCCCCCATCTTTGGTCTCTACGAAGAACCTTAAATCTTCGCTCCGAACAAAAGTGGGGTGGACTGATAACCACCAAACCTGATTCAAGGAATGACTCCCAGGTCCTTGGACAAAGATTGGCATGCCCCTTCCAATGTTGTATTTCTGTTTTGACCATGAAAAATATTGAAAAGTGAATCTGAGGAGTCGGCCCCGCATCACAATTACTGCCCTATCTTTCCTGGATGACCTCTGGACTCCTGTCACCTCACGAGATCACATTTTTCTCACCAAGGATAGCCGATAACTCCTGGGCCTTAATAAATATCACTTTATTCATCGATCACGAGCCAGACATATGAACAGGTCAATATCCTTTCATCCATTCGTTCCGATTAATGGCCACCATGTCAGAGACGTTGCCCTTCGCATCCTCACCCGACATTCCCGCAGATATCTTCTTGCCATATATCACACTCTCAAGATCTCCACCCTCATTTAATACCGATTCACCTCTCTCCAAGGATTCGAGCCTATCGCATAGCGCTCGTACTGTACCTGGCACTGGCTCTCAGATGGCCATCGATTCTCCACCAAAGACCCAAGCGGACCAATCGTCTTCACCACCGCGTAAGCGACGGAAAGGGGGCAAGATATTCTCGGTTAGTTTGTTTATTCCCATACCCCTTGTCAAGGAAACGGAAGCAATGACTAATAGCTCTGATAGGGATGTTCAACATGTCGGCAGCGGAAGATGAAAGTACGTCACTCCTCACCCAATCTACTGTCAGATGTGGATGTAAAATTATGACAGCCAGCTGACTTTATAAGTGTGACCAACGGCGCCCTGTATGCTCCAATTGTGCTAGATCTCGACTTTATGTCTGTCGAGGCTTCGAAGATGATTCAATTTCCAAAGAATCATCCCGTACTCCTCGCACCGAAGCTCAATCTCGACCTCGACCTCGAGATTCTGCATACCATGAAACAAAGCCGCTGTGGGACTCAACTCTCCAAAGCAATCCACAGATCTTCGCAGCAGACCTGAACAATTTCTCTCCATTCTTCTTCCAAGATAATACCAGCCTGAGATTAGATGCCCAAATCCTCGCTCCCACTTTGCAACCACCACAGCCACAGTCATCCCGACCCATCTTCAGCACCCAGCTCGAGGCACCTCTACCACCATCTGACATCCCAGCATTTATCGACGACATTTCATTCTGGGATCAACTCCTCGACTCGAATGACACCACTCACCAAGACTCTCAGCAAGTCCGCGACCTAATCCACCTCCCACCACTCTCCCGTGTCTCCTCCCCCTCCTCCTCCCTCCATCCATCCCTTTCTATTCCAACCACCTTTCCCGCCCCATATTCCGAACTCCTCTATCACTACCGCACTCTCGTCTCCCAGCAAATGATGCCTACATGTTCACCATCCCAAAACCCTTGGCTACAACTCTATCTTCCCCTCGCACTGCAAGAGCCTCGTACGGAACCGAAACAGATGCTTTTACATGCTATTCTCTCTGTATCGGCGTTCAGTCGTGCGGCGTTGGCGAGTAGTGAGGGAGAGAAGTATAGATTGCAGGGTGTACGACATGGAGAGGAGGCGGTGAGGAGGCTGAGGGAGGCGATTGATGGGAATGGTGATAGGATGGATGGGGATGAGAAGGGGAAAGGGAAGGGAAAGCAACAACAGAAGGGAGAAATAGATCTGGTTGATAAGCAGGCGTTGTTGGCTGCTGCACTTACGATTAGTACAATTGATGTAAGACTTCTCTCTGTTTTCACCTCTAAACAAGAAGCCCATCCCTTTCATACACCCTCATACACCTATAAATTTCATTTGGTTACATTAATTGACACAATACAGGTCTGGAGTGGCGCCAACAAAGGAAATGGCTACACCTATCTCCGCATGGCAAAAGAAGTCATCCAGCTCACAGGTGGCATCTCCTGGTGGCTATCAGCAGCACCGCCTACCATGACCATCTTCCAGATCTTCCGCTGCTACAATATCATTGCATCCACGACCAGCTGGCCTAGCCCACAAGACGAGATTCGAGATCAAGATCGATTCCTACTCGAAGAAGATGACAATGGAGAGCTAAACGGGGATTCTCCTACCATAGCCAAAAGCGAAGATGATCCCAATTCTTCTTGCTCCCCAGACCCCCAATCAGCACTACTGTCCGCCGATAATCAAAACCACATCCAAGAACCCATCCATGATCAAGTGATCCCCTCATTCCCATCAACCCTGGACATCCAACACCCCAACAATACCCCCTACACACTCGACATATCCTTCGGCATCGCCATCAAAACCCTCTGGTGCCTCAACAAAACCGTCTCCCTCTCCACCCTACACTCCACCTTCACCCCAGGAAAAACATGGTCCCCCTCCCAACTCCTCGAGATCCAAGAACTACAGAATGAACTAGATTTCCCGTTGAGGAATCCAGAGGCGTTTAGAGCTAGTATTGCAAGTTCGAATTCGAGTTCTGGGGTAGCAGGAGGAGGAGGAGGAGGAATAGGGCCTGGAATCTCACAGATGATAACCGATGAGATCAAAGAGAACCACGTCTGGGCCTTCCACTACAGCGTCATCCTATTCTTCCGCCGCGCACTAGCACACACGCTTCCCTCCTCTATAATTTCCAAAGCACAGCAGGCGGGGGAGTATATCCCCTCGCAAACCCTCATCTCGCACACCCTAACACACCTCGAAAACATCGACACGCTCACGCCCTCCCTCCCCATCTCCAATACCCTCTGGCCCGCGTTCATCGCTTCCAGCGAATCAATCCACACCCCCCTCCGCCACCGCTCCCTCGCATGGTTCATCCGTGCGCGGCGCCACGGAATCGGTAATATTGAGGAGGCGAAGAAGTTGGTTATGGAGGTGTGGAGGCGCGTCGATAGGGAGAGGTATGTGGTTGGGGAGAGGGAGGGAGAGGAGGGGTTGAGGGGGGAGCTTTGCGCGGAGGTGGATTGGAGGGTGGTTATGAGGGAGGGGGGGACGTGGGTTATGCTTACTTGAGGTGGGGAGGGAGCTGGAGGGGAGAGGGGAGGAGGAGTAGGGTAGAGATAGAAGTGGGTTGTTTATGGAATTTGAATCTTATAGTATATATATATCTTATCGTTATCAACATTAGAAAAGACGTGACGATTTGATAACGAATTGGGACGTCACGGAATGCGGAGGTAAGCCGACTTGGACAACTCTCCTCGTTGCGTAATCCAAACTAGACACAGAGAAAATTGACATGAAAGGAAACCCTTTTATATCTACTACAATCCAAAGAATGAACCTGCTCAAACAGGGGGGGATAATTGTAAGCTGAGACTTGTCCATCCATTAGTTTTATGTTCAAGATAAGTTCCCTCTGAGCTTGACACAACTAAGAAACTGCTATGTTCTAATGCTCAAAAATGTAAACAAATGCTCTTCCTTACCCGTGTTGTAAGCGAGCGCAATGGTAAGTTAGCTGCCACCTTGACATGACATCTCTCGAGTGATATTTACCAAATGACCCAGGTAGACATCTTACTAACTAAATCCCCAAGAATCCAATGATAGGAATCACTACTGTAAGGAGGTTAAACACCTAACCATTCTGCATGATTTGAAATCAGCAACGAAAGAAAGAAAGAAAGAAAGAGAAAGACAAAGTAAGGAAGTTCGGCTCGTTCCGTATCCTGTAACATCATCCATCCATCCATCCCAACCAATTTCAAACAAACCTCCCAATCGGTTTCCAAAGGCAGCACACCCACCCATACAGTAGAAGCGAACTACCAAATACACAGACAACAAATCAAGCGATACCGAAAGCTTGAGAAACAAGAAAACTGGGAAACGAGGATAAGCATCGTTGAAGCACTGTTACCACTACCACAACATACTGTACACAAAGGAGAAATTTCCTCGTCGTTCAGGTCTATAGGTAGGTACTGTAACTTATCTCCTTTCTACTGTATCTCCGCCCCAATGCAATCAGCATCCGCTCGTGCTCTTCCGATTTGAAATGCTTGTCCATCCATCCATCGATCTGTCCGTCTGTCTGTCTGTCTATCTATCTATCTATCTCTCTATCTAAAAACCTCGGTATCTCTACTTAGTAAGGTAGGTAGGTAGGTAGGTAGGGGAGGGAGGGAGGGTGGGAGGGGAGCTTCGGATTGGGGGTTTCAGCGTCTCACCCCGCCTCGCTTCACATCACATCACATCGCATCGCATCTTCCCCCTACTACTCCACTTCCATTTGCTAATTGCTATGCTGGGCTTGCTTGCTCGCTGTGCTGGGCGAGCTGGGCTGGGCTGGGCTTCCTTAACCTTAACGATAAGGTTTTTCTTGATGCTTGCTTGCTTGCTTTGCTTGGTTGACAGTATGTATGTTATGCATGAACTTCTCATCCCCCCCACTCCGTTCCCGAATGAATGAACGAATGAATGAATGAATTGAATCAGCAAATCATGTCTGTGATCCTTACGTTTTGCTGGATTACCTAGATTGGGAAGGCCCGGGCCCTGGCTTTGAGATGTGCGTCATCTGCATTGCATTGCATTGTCGGATCGTGAGGCTGCCGGTAGTGTCGAGTGTTTGTGTGTGTATGTGTGTGTGTGTGCTGAAGGAGGAAGGGAGGGGTGTTCGGTACTTGGTGATTTTGATGGGAGGGGGAGGGGGAGTCCTAGAAGGATTTGATTTTGATTTTGAGCTTGTAAATGTCATTCAATCTTGTTAAGCTTGTTAAGAAAAAAATACGGGGGAGGCGGGAGGATATTCGGAGGTTTTTAATTACTGGATGCAGGTATCTCCCTTGGATGGATGGATGGGATGTGTGGATAGATGTGTATAGGATTGATTGGGGTTCCGGAATAGGTATATGCAAGATGCAGGTACGGATGGAGTTGGTGGGCCGCAATGGTGTGCTGTACAGAAGGAAATGAAGTGGAATTTCTATGACGAGGGAAGAAAAGGGTGGGAAGTAAGGTTCGAATATTATTGAATGTTATTTACTTGAAAGCAGCGGGATTGAAGTGATCAAAATCATAATCAGAAAGATCAGCAGGTCTCGATCATTCTAGAGGATCATCACACTGCTGTAGATCCGGAATATAAATTTGAAAATCAAGAGGCTCAAGACAGTCACCTTCTTGGCATTGAATCCATTCCAAGGCATCACATCATGTCACTTCACATCACATCACGTTAGATCGCAGCCGTCACTCGTTACTTTTCCCAACCCAACCCAACCCAACCCACACATTCTTCGTCTCCATCCCTCCAGAAGTTTCAAAGTTGGTTCCCACAGCCCCTCAGCTCATCACGGAAGCATCCGCGGCTCCAGCTCGTTGGTTGGCTTATCGATAAGTAAGGCACCCGCCCCGGCCGGAAAGTTTCACTCTCTCCACCAGGCAAGGCAAGGCCTTCAAGCCTCAGGGAAGTCTCACTTATTGTCTCCGTAGTGGAAGTGCCAGCTCCCAGATATCATCCCGGCATAGGAGATGCGCGTGTCAGGGGTTTTGGCTGGGATGCGCCTTTTTCGGGTGCTGGGACCGTATTATGGCGCTGCGCCTGTAACCATAACGCGTGGGCAGTAGTGGGCAGCGTGGCAGGCTGGCCCATGAGCGAGCTCGAGGTTGCACCGCAGTAGTGAGGTAGGTACAGTACTGTAGTAGAATTGAGTTCCTGCATTTGTGAAGGGCTGAGCTGAGCAAGCTGCTCGGGAGAGACTCGGACTACTGAGGAGGGGAAGAAGATTTGATGTGCACTGCACTGGAGGGCAAAAGTCAAAATTATTGATTTACGGCGGCTGGAGGGGTTATGGCATCTGCTTGTTTCCTCTGAAAAGTCAAGCGCGGTCCATGTGGGTGGTGGGGAGCCAGTGTTTCCATGAATGAGGTATTTCAGGTCTGTCAGTGTCAGAATTTAGCTCTCGTGATGACCTTTTTACGTGCCGGTCGGTGGCGAATCTGTTTACATGTTCATGCTGAACTTAGACCAGTCCAGCCCGAGCTTGATGAGTCCCATGATAAGTTTATGACCGACCGACACATGGAGGGAATTATTGAGAAGATTTACAGGTACAGATACCCAAATAGGCTGAAGAGCACACCCTCAGCCCTGGTGGCAACCCTCACGAGCCTATCTCGACGCCGGCACTGCCGCCCGTTGGGGCTGAGAGCGCTTGCGAGCCTGAAGAGGGGCGTGATTGGGTATGAAGAGGTTTATGGGTGGGGTACAAGCGAGGAGGCGAGAGGGAGAAGACCACAGAGAGCGAAGATGGACCTGCAGAGGAGGGGAGCTACGGATGCAAGTTTCGTACAGTGTACCGTATTATGTGGATGGGAATGGAGTAGAACAATGCGTATGCTCGGGATTGGTGTTGTGTAAGCTTGGTGTTGTGTGATGAGACTTCCATTGGAGAGAATAGGGGAAGCGAGCGGAATGCGTGTTTTGATTTCGGGAGAAGCTGGTAAAGGTGATGGTGCTTTTACGTCCTTGGCTGTAAATTAAAAAAGCTGAGCTACTATTGACTGTCAATACCAACATTGCTGCACTTGAATTTTTACAATTTTTTCTATGCCTACCCATCGATAGAACTCCCATTATCAAATTTAATATATCTCGCACCATTCGGATACCCCTCCTTCCAAAACACGCCGCGCACGCCCACCACTCTGAGACGCAGACAGAACGTTGACATGGATGGACATTGAAAACGATGGGAATTCTCATAGAAGCATAAAAGAAGTACAAAGAAGCAAGGAATCTTGGCATGTACTGAGGAATAGGAGAATTTGTTCTTATCGCCGAGTACGAGTACCTCGTCCAGCTCTTTGTTAGTCGCCATAGTGGAGTGGAGTTCCTCGTGCATCAACGGTCCAACGTCCAGGCATCTCTACCCAACCCGCCGAGGCGTGCCCGCCCAGCACTTTGTTGGCTGAGGACTTGAGGACTTGCAGCTCGGGACTCACAAAAATCCACGAGTACCTGAGGTACTGGCGAATAACTTTTTGCGCTCGAATCTGTGGCGACCATTCATTCAGTGGGATATCCTCACTCTCATCTCTCAGCTGTCCATCTTTCCTCCCAGTCGAGCTTCTCTATCTCATATATACCTCGCCCTATCGCATATACCAGCCCCTCTTTATATTTCTTCTCGCTCCTTCGCCGTCTGTGCAGGGCCCGCTGGGACTTGGACTTCCGTTCTTTGAGGGGCTGACGCTAGACCCCTTTTGCACCTCTCCTCCCAGGCCTTCCCACCTTCACAGGATTCCTTCCTTTTGATCCAACACCACCAGGACAACCGCGACCAAGGGATTGCAGAAGCTCGACAAAAACAATCGCGAATCAGTGTATCGACATCTCGACCATCCTCATCGTTCTCGCACTGCTCCGCGGATAGATAGATTCTGCCGTCGTCGCCATCGCTCTCAGATCCCCGGAAGAAGGACGGACTTGCGCAGGAGCAGAACAAACAAATCAGCCGGGCTTGTGGACCAATACAGACCAACCGGCCGACGCACCCCGAGCGAGCGACCGTGGACACGAGCAAGAGCGAGAGGAGGACCAGGAACCACACGACAGACTTGCTTTTGGTGGTGTGCGACCGAACTACAGCGACGTAAAGCAAACACAAACAAATATGAAGGCATGTCACCCCAAATCTCCAATCTCCTATCGATAGAAGCCCACTCGCCGCGAGGAATGTGCTGCACTGCGATCGCAACCCGTCCTCACAACACAAGCTAACAATGCTGTTCCTCCAGGCCCTCAGGAGGAGTTTGAAGAATGACAAGGACAAGGTCAACCACATATCCATCACGCCCAAGTCTGCGATTGCGATAGTGCCGCCCAAAAAGGTTTGTGCTTCGAGTCTGCGACACAGAGAGGGGTAATATACTGACTGCGAGATTCTGCGACCCAGGTAATCCGCGCATTATACGACTATGAGGCTCAGACCAGCCAGGAGCTCTCATTCACAAAAGGAGACTTCTTTCACGTTATTGGCCGCGAGAATGATAACGACTGGTACGAAGCATGCAACCCGGCGCTTCCTGATGCGCGAGGACTGGTCCCCGTTGCCTTCTTCCAAGCTCTAGGGAAGACGGAGAGGGATAGCGGACAATCGGAGAAATCTCCACAAGCTGTGCGAGCCCCCGATCACGATTCTGGATATTCGGATACATCTGGTTCGGGAACTCTGGTGGGAACGGATACTGCGCGATCGTCGAAGACCATGGGGAAAGGCTCGGGTGCGATGGTGTATGGCATTGTGATGTATGACTTCGTGGCGGAGCGACCAGATGAACTAGATGCGAAGGCTGGAGAAGCAATTATTGTCATCGCTCAATCGAATCCGGAATGGTTTGTTGCGAAGCCGATTGGGAGACTGGGAGGCCCAGGATTGATTCCGGTGTCATTCATTGAGATAAGGGACATGAGTTCTGGTCAAGCTGTCCCCGATGCTACGGAAGCGGTACAAAGGGCGGGTGTTCCGAAGGTCGAGGAATGGAAGAAGATGGCTGCGGATTACAAGAATTCGAGTATCACTCTAGGGAAGTTTGAAGTTCCAAATTCGCAGCAGGCACAGCAGCAAAGTTTGGAACAGAGTATGGACAGAATGAGTCTGCAGCAAGGCCAACAAAATGGCTATGTAAGTCTTCGCAGTTCATAGTTGTGACTGATGCTAATGGATTGATAGCAACAGCAACAGATGAGACAGTCGCAACAAGCCAGAGCTTTCCAGCAACAACAGAATCCCCTACAGGACGCATATGCCTCCAAATCCACATCCCAACTGTACGCTCCAATATCTGCAAAGATCCCAAGATACTGCTTCGCGGAGGACAAATACTGGTTTGTCATCGAGGCAGCGCTGGAAGATGGACGACACTGGGAACTGTCGAGATACTACGAAGACTTTTACGATTTCCAGATTGCCCTCTTGACAGAATTCCCTGCAGAGGCGGGGAACACTGGACAGCAGAAGAGAACTTTGCCATATATGCCTGGACCTGTCAATTACGTTACGGATGCGATTACGGAAGGAAGACAACACAATCTGGATGCATATGTCAAGAACCTGCTCACACAGCCACCGTACATCTCAAGGTGTACTCTGGTAAAGAAGTTCTTTGCACCGAGGGAGGGAGACTTTGAAATGGATCCTAATGCTGTGAATGAGGAGTATCGTTTGTCTGGAGCCTCTCAACAATCTTCAACCGACTCACCAACAAATGGCGCCTCGAGACAATCTTCAAGGGGCAATTTGAATGGGGGTGGATACGGAGGTCTGTCAGCCGCTCCAGCTCACCAACGAGGACAAGCATCAATCTCCCAGAATGGTGGCCTTCAGCCTCGTCAGATGTCAACCATGTCCCAACCTTCGAATCAATCCCTCTCCCCCGGTCTCAACGGTGGCCAGCCCTCAGCAATGAAAGTGAAGATCTACTTCGGAGATGACCTGATCGCGATCCGAGTGCCGTCAGACATTCAATATCAACAGCTATACGAGAAGATCCGTGAGAGACTAAAGATTCCAGAAGGAGAAGAAATTGCTCTGTTTTATAAGGACGAGGCAAGTGGGGAAAGACCTGGCCTATTGAGCAACAACGATCTGGACTTCGCCGTTAATCGAAACGACAAACTCATCATCTACGTCGAGTACAATTGAACTGGAGCAATCTGAACCTGCACAATATTTCTACTCGAAGGGTTTGAGCCGCTCGCATCGTCAACCACATCACGCCGAACGAAAAATTACACTTATCCTCTAATCTACTTCCGATGTACAGACACAGTTCTCCCGAGGTGGTAATAGCTGCCCAGCCAGGGACAGCAGCGTACTCTACACTCACTTGACGAAGACCCCAAACATCATCAGAATTATTCTTTACGAGCAGACACTTTTTGTTTTGCTTCTTCTTCTCTCAACTTGCTTCTTCTCTTTCTTCTTGCACCAAATTGGTACGACACTTTTTTTTTAGGGAGGAAGCGAATACGACATGGGATTACTATTGCTTGCTGGATTGGGATATCATTAAGCTGGGATAGGCTGGATGGCTGGATGGGATTGGCGTTCCGAGGTGCTCCTTCTGTTGTTTGAGATCGGTTGATTGATAACTGGTCTGGTCCGGGCTTCTTTTCGTGTCTTGTCTGCGCGTGTGTGTGCCTTCTTTCTCCGCGGTGTGTTTCAGAGGGCTGTGAGCGTACTGAGTCTGGATCCATCACGTTATACTTTGTGGAGAGTGGAAAGCGGAGAGGCGGTGTGGAGGATGGGGAAGGAGAAGCATGCCACGGGCGTGGTCCTCTGCTTCCTCGTCTCGTTTGGATGGACTGGCTAACGGAGCCGAGAGGGAAACGTCATTACCGCTCCTGTGGGAGGTAGGGTTGAAGGACGATGATTCGTGGATAGCCGGCCTGGGGCACGTCAAGGTGGTGATGGATGGGTGAGCGGAAGTGGATGGTTAGGGACAAAGGTATCGGGGCGATTTGGATGGTGTGGACGCAGCTGACGGACGGAAGGAAGGCAAAGGCATAAACACAAGAGATGCATAGCAGGCAGGCAGGCAGGCAAGCAAGCAAGCAAGCAAATCAAGCATAGTATGGATAAGGTAGCGATGAATAAGACCATCTACAAACACTTGCTCCTCTCTCTCTCATGTTGTCTTGGATGAATTTTTTTTCATTTTTTTTTTTCATACTAATATGTGATTTCTCATACCCACTTCGCCCCCCTATGCTCTACAATCTACAATCTCTCTATCCACTGCCCTCACCGAGCTTCATTCTTTTTATTCCTTATAGGTAAATTCCTTCCCGCTACCTACCTACTTATCTACCTATCTACTTATCTAGCTAAGGTATTCCTCCGATCCTCTGAAGTATACCTAGATAATTTTCTCTTCTCTTCTCTTCTCTTCTCTTCCTTTTATACTATAAAGTATTTATTGTATTCGCTTGCCCTGCCCTACCCTTAAAAATTGATAAAGTGATGAAAAAAGGTGTAAGATTTATATTTATATATATATATAGACACGCAATTTTCAATATTACCTACCCCAAGGTAAGAAAAATTATAATAAACAAACTAGGATCAGATGTGCTGTGCTGTTGCTCTAGAAGATAGTTTAGTTGAGTTTGGAGTTGGAGTTGGAGTTGGAGTTGGAGTTGGAGTTCTAAAATTGTTTTATGCCTTCCTTCTTCGTTTCTATAATGACGTATGTATGTATGTATGTATGTTAAGATGATCGATTTCGAGGGAAGGGAAGGGAAGGGAAGGTATCGTAGGAGGGTTGTGTTGTGTGGTGTGGGAGAGGTGCGTGCGGGTGGTTGGTTGGTATTGGGCTTGTTGGTGGGTTTTTTTTTCGGTGGAGAGGATAGACGGTACGTGCGTGCACTAGTGGTAGTACAGTACAGAGTAAATGCTGGACTCTCAGGTATGTATGGGTGGTGAAAAGAAAAGAAAAAGAAAACCAAAAAGAAAAAAGTTATGCAGTATACTTGATCCTACTGAACTCTGTCTGGGAAGAAAAGGCTTATCTATACTTGCTTAATCACTAATTATCGTGCACCCGGCGCACTTGACAGCGCACCTAAGGGGCTCTAGCCAACCAGAGGCTGCTTTTGTAACTAGAACTCTAGGAGCGTTGGGAGCGCTGGAGCAACAGGAGCTGGTGGAGCTTCCCGTATAGGGAAGCTCCAAAATACCTTAATAAATCAAGACTTTCACACTACTTGAACCTTCTCCCTGCGGTGCACGATACGAATGGAGTGGAGGAGGTAAGTAAGTCAAAACGATAATTGATTTTCAAGATGTGGATATTCTGTAAGGCAGGAGAGGGGAAAAGTCTGCGATTCCTCTTCGTACCAACTACGACAGATTATTATTGTTCTTATTTATACCGTTTCCTTGAACGCGATCTAGGGAAAGGAAAGGAAAGGGTTTCTTCTCAACGTTCAACAAGGCTCAAACTTTGATTCCATTGTTTACATAGAGCCACCCTTAAGCGAGGTGGAGCTACTTACCTACCTATTTCGGAACTCGAATCCCCCTGGACTGGAACAGCGACGATCTCGAGCCATTCCAATCTTCTACATAGGTTTCTCGGCATGCTTCTTAGATTGGAAGTTAGATGACGGGATGTTTCAAATGTGCATCAATGCATGCATGCATCTGTCTGTCGCACGGATTATCCCGTGGAGTCTAAGACGCGTTAGACTCCACGGGTCGCTTACGACTGTTGACGGACGGCTCCACACACCCCGGTTGAACTGCTCGATGACTGCCACAAGTGACGGATATATCTTTGAAGAGTGAAGAGTGTGGTACAAGGTATTGCTCAGGCTTTTATAAAGGGCCTTTTTTTTTTCTAGGAAAAAGAAGGGCAGGAGGGAGGGTTCAATAGTCGCTGAGGAAATCATGTGCAGATTCAAATGACCCTGTCAGGATACGGTGAAGACGTCAAGTTCCCGTGACAAATGAGCAATAACGGGCTTATGAATGCTTTTACAAACATACTTCTGAGAAGTGAAACGTCCATTAAATGATCTCTAGACGCCGAAATCTGGGATAGTTTCAAGGTACATGTTAAGTGAGACCTTTTGCTGACATAACCCCCACGGAATTCCGTCATCCACTGTTGTGATGGGCTCAAAATTTTGTCTTTGGGCTTTACAGGACCATTCTGACATTTTTATTTCATAATTCTGTGTCTGGCTACAAGACTATAGCTGCGCTTCCTTAAGTCAGTTCAATGGATGATACTCTGCCTTCCAACTGCCAGAGACATTTGCCTTCAAACACACGGTGTAGTCTTGCCTACTTGCTATCACCACTTAACTCTTTGTATGTTGAATGATGAAGACTGAAACGATATTGGGTTTGTGATTAACGCTGTTAAGCTTTACTATTATTAGACAGGCTTAAAGTGAAGTTCTTGACGGCCATGTGGACTTTAGACTTCTCAACGATGAATAAATTCTGTGACTGGAGATGATACTTCCTCCGAACTAAGTGGTCATCTGTCCACACAGGGCTTGAGAAGACAGGCGACGTGGACAAGTTTAGAAGTCGGGTTTTATGGTGCTGGTGCTACCGTGATTGAACTCATTCTATAAATGTCCTCCACCAGGTCGGTAGCTGTGATTCCCGGTTGAGTTATAGATAACACTACTCTGCGTGAGTACATAGCTTGCTCAAGACTCTAATATTCTAGACTGATTCACGGGCTTGGATCTTAAATTAAAGGAAAGAATGATTGACTGCCTTGCAGAATGAGCTCGGGGGAAAGCCCATTATCTATACGTGAACCTGCAAAGGGTAGTTTTAGCTTGTACAATCTGATGTCATACTCAACAGATTGGGAATTGTCACTCGCTCATCCGCGCTGTCTTCTCACAAGCTTCAATGTCAATGAATGGGCCTATTTTACTTGCTCTCCTAGAAATAAAGATATAAACAGTATGAAAATGCAAATGCAAATGTTTAATGTCTATGACACATGTATCATAGGATAAACAATAATCATCTGAACTCATGACTACTAATCTGTCCCTCATAGCAATAGTTGTGTTATTAAGATTATCAACGCACTCTCTATTATTAGTTCTCTTAAACATAGTATAAATTCACTCCTTTATGCCTGGAATTCCTCTCTTTTCATCAACACCCCTAACAAGACAACACCTCTTCGATCGTATGAGCAAATCCGCAAGTTCACGAGACATCTGCTTTCCTTTTTCTAACTCCCAGAAGCCTCAAATCCTCAAGATTCGCCTCTCCAGCGCCTAAACGGATATCTCTTGGAAACCGGCAAGCAGTAAATCCACAGTGCCTCTGTCAATTTTCCATCCACCCCTGTTGGTCTGACGATCCTGAAGGTCACGTATCCAGTGGTACGCCAACGAAGAAGCTGAATTTTAGGACAAGATGTGCCTTTTATATTCTTGGACCTCGGGGTGTCTACACGTTAGCTCTGGAACTGCTTTGCAGACGTGTATGCATACAATGCAGACAGGGTATTGCTATGGTATTCAGACCATGCATATTGGAATGTGATGCATGCTCTCGGCGGAGTCCCGGCTACGCCTGAGGTGTTCATCTGTCTTCAAACGTAGTGCTGGGGTGGAACGTCTGGAAAATAACAAGGTATTACAACTGGCGGGCTTGTGCCATTGTGCGTCTTTTTGGGGGGTTGTTTGCAGACCGAGCGAGGTTAAACCTTATCGTTTCTTTGTCTTCATGAACTCATTGGACTTTGGAATTTGGGTAAGAGTGATGTGACATACTCTAGAGTTTGTTTCTAGCGTCGCCAGATATCGAGTAAAGGGCTAGGTAAGTAGTCGACTCCTTGCATGTTCACAGAAATGTTGGATCTTTTACCAGAAACCAAAACGTGCGATCTCATGAATGTGACGTGATGTTTCTTGAAACCCTAGAGAGACAACGTGATGGAAGACTAGGTTTTAGATGTTTCGAGGCACTTACTTTTCGTTGCTAAACTAAAGCTATGACCTGTGGATATTGTGAGAGCATGACCAAGACCCCGGGCCAGTCCCCACCGCCATGAATCACGGAAGAGAACGTGTTTCTCCTGGAAGATCTTCTCCCAAGTGCAATGAGACATTCACAGGGGTCGATATCAAGACAGACACTACTGACGATGCGTCACGGCCCGCAACGTCATTTAGTAAACGAAGTCAGACACTTGTATAATTCGACTACACCAAGCCAATTTCACTGTACTTTCTTAAGCCAAGTCCTACATCAACAATCGCTTCCCCATCTACCAGCCCAAGAACGAAACTATTCGGAGCATGTTAGTAGTGACCAGACAAGTACAGAATGATGCCGGACCTTTCTCCAATGAATTGCCAATAGCCGTTATTGGCTGGACGAATGATGCACGGCAACTGTCCTCCCGTGAAAACACAAATTCGATCTCCGACCTTTGCTACATGGGGGGCAATACCGAGCCTACCTTCTGAAGTAATCATTAGTCGGCGGGAGAAGATACCACCCCTTTCTTTGTCCAATATCTCAATTAGAAAGGTTTCTTCGTCTTCATTTCTTGGAGGAATGCACAGTCCACTACCCGATATCCTACGAGCAAATCCTCTACTTGCCATCTTCTGATTCTCAATATCAATTTTGTCAAGCTCCATAACAATTGTGCGCCAGAAATCTCTCGGGCAATAGTCATTGGCCAAAGTTTTCCAGTCCTTGAGGACCGATCTAAGAGACTTTTCGTGTTGGAATACCTCTTCCCGGCTGGGAGCAGAAGCTCCGATCGCTGAAATCCCATCCATGAGAATGCCTCGCAATATCAGAGCTTTGTTATTCTCAGAGAATCGCAAGGTCAAACCCAATGTTAGAGGCTCATGACCACCAGCGTGGTAAAAGGGTCGTAGCACCCCTCGTTGCAATCTATATGCAACACGGGTCAAGACTAAGTCGCGTACATTCAGCGTCAAGTCTCTAACCCACGAAGGCAGCTTTCGGCTTGCTGTGTCGTCTCTCGACTTATGCCCTGTAACCCACCCTAAGCACTTCAGATTACGACATTCCTTCAGGACTTGTGCGATACAGGTTGTATTGACAATAGCATAATCCAAGCTGTAGGTGACTTGTAAGGGTGATGGTGAATCGAAGAGGCGAAGGAGACCAAACACTTTGTCTCGTGGATCGGTAGCTAAAAATTTCTCAGAAAGCTCCAGTGCCTCTAACAAAGACAGTGAATATCCGGTTTTCTTGCCTGTGTGCAAATAGGTAAGAGTCATGGCATTTGACTCCGCCGCTCGCTGGAAGAGGGTCAACGTTTTCTCAGAGAAGCCTTTTTCGGGATTTCGATCTCTTTGGTATCTCATTTGATGAAACTCCGCCGGACTGATGCAGTCAATCAGGCGTTGGAGAACAGGCCATGACAATTTGCCCGCCCCGTGATAGATGTTCGGATGATTCTTGGCTAGTGAAACCTCCTGGATGATCCAGGTTCGGGTCCACCACGGCAGGGTGAGGAAAGAGGTCAAGTGGCAGAGACCATTTCTGAAATCCGTGTCCTGCATTTTCTTCCAGAATCCGGTACGACGGTCGACCCACCCCGGTTCGCTTACAGACTGAAAGAGACAGGGGATGAACTCAATGGCTCGACGAGTTTCCTCGGTATACTCTCCTAGCCAAACGGCAACTTCGAATGCATTTGAATAGACGGCTCCCATCTGGGAGACCTAGAATTCTACATATCAGATCTTTGCAAATTAGTTGATGGTATCATGTTGTTGAGCTACCTGGCAGTTCCTTTCATCAATATCGAGCTGATTGATACAGATGGCGTCTACCCAGATTCTCCTACATGTATCTGAGCACCTCAAACGTGTCAAAGCACGGTGAAGATTTCCTCGAACTGGAAAAAGAATACCGTCGATTGAAATTGACTGATTTGGAGGATCAGTCCCCCACGTATAAGACAGTGCGTCATATGGTTGGCTCGGCGGTAACTGTTCTCGTACGAGGCTGCATTCGATTTCCAGCCATGGCTCGTGGCCTGGGTGGAGAAGCAGTATCCGAAACTCTCCGATGTTCACGGGTTCGTAAGGGAAGGGTTTAGTTGCATTCATCGTTCCAGAGATGAGGCTTTCGTCGAAACCGCGTTGATGAAATCTAAACTTCTGAAGATCATCTGTAGTGCTTACTGAAAGATCCAATTGAGGCAAAAGTGAGGCTGCTGGGGTACGCGAACAGTGTCACACTGTGGTTTGCTTTAGCATGTTGCCTCAGCAATATCCACAGAGCTCTAGTGTACGGCAATGTGTTCTGAATGTAACATGGATGACAACAGTTTGAAAGGCTACAATCTACGTCCTTCAGCTCTCGAGGCGGAAGTGCCAGACAGATCCTCCGGTTAAGACGCCGGCATGAGAAGCAACACATTACACAGTTGTTCTAAAGAAGAAGATATGCACGTTCACCGAGTACAAGTCTGATGTATGACAAGTGGAAAGTGCATAAATAAGAAGGCTGAGAGGAGTTACATATCATACAACGGCAAACAAATCAAAGTGAGGTGTTTAATGCAGGCATCCACTTTGCTGAATGGGGTTATAGTGCAACACACAGCAATGACAGTCTCGCGTGTGTTGAATGGAGTAAGTCAAGAGCGACCTGACTCAATTTCGCAGTTTGATTTCTGGTCTCTTCTGGGTTTCTTCTGGCATCAACAGAGACGGATCCTGAGCCGGAACTAAACCTTCCTGATTGGTAGGAGAAGCGAGGTTTGAGCCTACTATCCTCGGATGCTTCAAGCTCCACTTGAGGGTTCCTTCTTAACTTGAATAATATAGTGCACCTTGTTCTTTTTATTCATCAATTTGCGTAAATGTCAAAAGTTCAGAACTTCACGTGCTTTATGTCACCCTGATATCCTCCTGTCCAGATACTATAAACTGTCCAAAATGTGGAACCTATTTACCATTTTTTTACGCCTAGCTTCTTCCTAGGCTATCTGCACCTTCTGAGATGTCGCTAGCCTATCTCTGAGCAGTACCCCACTTCGCCTTCGAGGTACCTAGGTAGTTAGATAGAATACGATCACGTGACATCAAGAAACGACTTCTCTGTACCCCAGGAACGCAGGATTACTCTAAGTAGTAACACTTACTTCTCAAGTAAGAGGTACTATTAAAAAATTGCTCTTTCGAATATGTGACACTGCAAACGTACTTGAAGTGCATCTCTGGGGATTCCCGGGACCTAGCTTTTGCCTTCAACGTACCAAGATTCCATTTGTTCCACGTGATTGGAACCATTCAAAACCGAACTGCCCGTTCTCCAACCATTTCTATCATAAGCTGATAAATTTACAATTTAATATCTTCGTTGATGAAGCTGAATATTGATAGAAAGTTGGAGTAAGAACAAGAATACCAAGTCCTGTCAAGATACTAATTATACTCACTTTGACGTAGCATGATTGACTGATATTGGAAGGTGAGTGTAAAGTGGAAGTGGTAGGTCTGGGGGATTATTGTGGGAAGAGAGAGTTGATATTCTTGCGCAATGGGTTGGCTGTGGATTGCCTTGGTAAAGATCCTGTTCGGACTGTTTCTAGGAGTGACATGTTACATGAATCGGACACATGCACTGCAGCTGCTCTAGATTTTGGTGGTCTGACTGGGATTGAACGCTGTGTACTGCCTGTATATCTACCATTTGATGACTTTGATCTAAGAACAACTCTACTTTTTCTTCAATGGCTTACATGTCGAGCGGTTATTGTTGTGCCGAATCGATCCGAAGTTCGAACTGTAGGATAAGTTCTACAATGCTTACAAGACTCTATCATTTCAGGTTCCCTCAAGTTTCAAAACTCAAAGTATGTGAAACGTATGTGAAACGGAGGATATGGAGATAGTTTTATTTGGCGTTTGCACATGGGGCGGACTTGGTCATTTGAGCGGAATGGTAGAGGGAAAGGGGAAGTGCGAGAAGGTTACGAACACGTAAAGCTAACAAAATGTCATAACTCGAGAGCCCAAAAGTGGAATTGAAAAGGATAGAAGCCATCCAATCTATTAAAACAAACTCTGGCGCCTGGGATTCTACGAACGAAGTTGTGTCATTACCTTTCTCAACTATTAGATGATCTGAGCCATGTCCCCCCGTGACAACATTCACAAGGGCCGACATCAAAGAGATAAGGACTATTCGCAATCTCAATCAAGCCATCATCAGAGGAGTCTCGTGGCTCTGGTCCCGGGATATTGTAAGCCAGAATATACTGCATGTGTTCCAAAAATGGCCCCTTCGCTCCGTATGAAGGGCCACGACCGGATTCTTCGCTTGCTAGCCAGCTTGAAAGTGCGCCATCGCGGGCGAGCACTACATCTACGAAAGGTCAGCTAGCCATATCTTGAACAAAATGCGCAGGGAACGCTGGTTGTAACGTACTTAGCAACTTCAGAACCTGGACTGAGTGCTTTTCTAAATCCCAATCTTGATCAACCTCATTCTCCGACTGGTTCGGTGAAACACAAGCCACAATATAGTCTTGGAACCTACAGTCCCGCTCATTGACACCTGGGATGAAGCTCGGTATATTGGAACAATTGGACGCAACGAGGACTTTCATAGCCCCGCCTTCATCCCAAACCGAGATGCCATGTTGCTTTTTGAATTCCAGTTGCTGATCGTAGGAACGACCAATATGCAGGTGACGAGATACTTCTTCGAAGCTACTGAACTTCCCGGAACATTCAATGACATGCAAGGTAGCTGATCCCGGTGACTTCCAGCTTATATGTGAAGGATCTTGCTCGGAAAAAAATGTGATTGTCCTTGATGTATCCGCACTGCGGACGATGAGTTCATTTGAAGAGACCGCTTCTAGCTCGAAGCTGTGCGTAGAGTCTCGATATGGTTCTTCCCGAAGGATGTCTGCCTTTACAAGGTATTAGTAGATAACAACGACACAGCACAATGATGTGCTGTGAGAAGAGTATGACTGACCGCCTGTTTTGCGTCCACGAATGGGTCATTAATCGCAGCTACAACAGCATGAGGCCAATGGAGACTGGTGCAGAAAATGGCTCGGCCGAGTGAGCCGAAGCCGTTAATACCGATCTATCTATATATCAGACATGGCGAGATGAGTAGAGTGTATTTCGAGAGCACGGGGAGGCTCACTCTGAAAGTGTGGTCAAGGTCGTCAAGGATCACGTCCACTTCGCGAAACTCGTCAAAGGGGAAGAAGACCATAGCTGAACGGTAATAGTGGTGATCTTGTTGTAGAAGAGTAAGCTGCTCAGGGTATGGCTGATTAGCAGACGGATGTTCTTGAAGGATCCATCTGCTATAGTTCAAAAGTTCTGGTGTCACACGAAGTTGTGGCTTGGAGGTTGTGGCTCTATTCTGTTGCCTGTAGAGCTTGATGCAGGTGGAGTGCAGGTGATCAGGAAGTGAGCACGAACCTCCTTGAATTGGTGATCTTATATTATACGTTGAATGACTAAGTCTATCCCGATCGAACAGCTGTGTTGGTGTCTAAGACTGCAGAGCCTGCAACGAGAACAGTGACTAGCGTAGGTATCGCCCCAATTCAAATGGTCATGGTCAAGAGGGCCAAGCCATTGCTGCCTCCGGCTAAAATGGCGAACTAATTTACGTAGCGCGCGCTGTTACGAACACAGTAGGTGTGCTTTGTTAGCCCAGTGCAGCGAATTGGGACGTCCCGTTGGGAATAAGCGGGGTTGGTAACATAGTGTAGATATGGTGAAATTAAGCGATACTATGTGAAAGGATGTCGCTGTAATGCTTTTATGGATCATTTCTGTGAGGACCTCACTCAGCGATGCGAGCCGAGCTATGTATGTTTAACTTTACTCACATCTATCCAAAATTACCTTGTAGGTGACTCGAGCCTGACGAAAGCGGTTGAACCTTATATCAAATAAGCTCAATATGAACTTGATGGAACCGTGCCATTCTATTCATCCTCGATGCGCCAAGAATGGGCCCTTGCAGAGAATCCCAGGCATCTGCGGCATGCAGCTGCCTCCATATATGACAAGGACAATCGTTTGACACTAGTACCACCCTGTGCACCGGAAGAGACTCCCCAAACAGCTGATGTAGCGCTATAAAATCGTCCGAGTCGCCTGGGCAGAGGACTAGCTTTCGGAGAAATGCTCCGGAATTCTTCACAGGCTTGACTTTACTGTTAAGACTTTGATGTGCTTAACCATCAATAGACAGGCAGTCATAATGTTGAATGCCAATAAAATTTCACTGCCACTCAAAAACACTCAGCGAAGACCGCCTGACTAACCCCAACTCAGATGCTCTGCTGTGCCAGACTGCTCCAACTCTTCCCTGGTCCTCTCTTATCCTCCTTTACTACATGCCTGTCTCCCCTCCACACTAGAACCTGCATAGCCTGAGCAATCATGACTTCCGGCGAAGTGGCTTGACTGTATCATCGACGCCGCGCTGTTTCTTCTCCGGGCCGTTTTTCGACCACAATAGCACCGGTTTATTGTCAAAACCTTTCCTAGGGTCAATTCGCCAGTTACGTTCGACCTTTTTGTTCTTGGTCAATGCTGGAAACTCCCATCCAATCCATGTGAGATCCTCTGGATTTTCGTGCTTCTCGCCTGGCTCCTCATCACTCTTAGTGAAGAAGGCTATATCACCCTTGCACTCCTCTGGAAGCGCTTGGCTAATAGTCCGAGGCATCAACAATGAGCCTATGCTGCCCGGTCCTCCTTTCTGACCCATTCTCCTGTTCAAAGAATTTGCCTCTGCAGTGACCCAGTCTTTCTCAACAGCATCTTTATAGCCTACACATGGTTTCCCTTTGCTGAACTCATTGGACTTGCATGTGCAGTATTGTCTGATGGTTGTGATGGCTTGTTCCTCATCCAGATTCTGTTTCAATTCAGCTAACACGCCGTTTCACAGCTGGGGCCCATTTTCATACCGCGTAGAAATACTGTCGATTGATGTTTGCCTCTAGGATTGCTTTTTTTTTTATAACTCTCTAGCCTCTGTGATGCTAGGAGTATTGTTGTTGGCGCAAACCCACTTGTTGCCTTGTTTCGTGCATTGCCCACGCTTTTGCAGGCTCCCCGATCCAAGGTTTGTCAAGTTGAACTGGGAGGTTGGAAAGTTTTCGAGCGCGCGTTTGTCATCTTTCCATCTACTGCTTTCTCGCGTACTGGGAAGTACTCTTGATGAAGAGGGTGAGATGACACCAAGTAAAGTCAGAAGAAAGAAGAATGAAAAGACAGAGACAAAGATATGAAACTGAAAGTACTTCATGCCTGCTGTGTTCCGCTTGTTACCAGCAGTATGGCGATGACCAAAAAGGGTGGGAGACCTCCAGGTATTTGACCATTGCTTTACAAATCAACCTGCCTGACCATTTAACTCTCGTATCATCAACATAACAATGAAATGCAGCTAAGTTGACTTGGCTGAAGTTCTACTCCATGCCTGTTATCAAATGGTAACCTCAACCAGGCAACCCATATTCCAACATCACATTGTCCGTCTTGCATGAGTTAATTAAGTCGACCACACATAATACCCATGCCAGTAGCTTCGGTTGTGATCACACAAGCTAAGCTGCCTTAGCGGGTCTTCCAACCAAGTCAATTGCCTATATCAAAATGCACCTTTTACTGAAGAAGGTTTCTCCGCACGCGAATCACACACGCCACCAACATACATGATTGTATTTGGTGTACTTTGCGATCTTGCCAAGCTGGTAGCTGAGTCCTGGGGATTGATGGACAAGGAGGTTGTTCCCAAGCGAGTTCGAAACCGAACTTACGCCAGTACCGCTATTTACAGTCCTATCCAAAGGTACCCGGGTAATATTAAATGTCACAGCTTGATGCTACACTGAGAGGTTATTATGTACTGAGCTTCGACTTCTGACGAGGTGTGTTGGGAAAGATACATAGGTAAGTCTCTTTCGCGTTCCTGACGACGTCACTTACTTGTGCTACATCTCACCTGTTATTCTAACTTTAATCATTGACTCTGTACATTTTAAAAGCTACGTTTATCGAGTTCCAGTGCTTTTTTGACTCTTCGACCCTTAATCGTTCCGGTTCGACCATGTGTCGTCGTTGAGATGTGGCCTGCTTGTGGTGAAGCACAGGCCACTACGTCCCACTGGAGGCGGCTCCCGGGAAAACACCTGAATCAGTAACTCCGGGTGACTAAGGGGCACGGCACGATTACGCGCAGGGCTTAGCTCTAAGTTGGGGCTATGTAGTAGCAGTGCATTGACGGTAAACAAGTGCGCACTACCTAGGTAGGATTTGTTGGTTGGAAATCTGATAAGCGAGGATGCAGTACAGTATCTATGGAAGCGAGCTCGCTTCTTTATTTACCCGGCATACGGAACACCTATGTTTGCGGTTTAGATGTGGCATAGCAGAGCTTACCAAAATACTTAACAAGACCGTCATAAGGCTCATATTGGCGCCTTGCATAATTCGACTCATTAGAGGCTGGCCAAGCTGATAGCTTCGGCGCTTGGAATGGTGATGTTGGAGAGAAACAATAAGACCTGAACCTTGTTGCTAAGAAAGTAGTCTTTCAATCCCAGTTTAAGATACCTCCAACTCGGAAAGTACAGTCTCAATAAAGACAGATCAACTGTGACCAACAAAATAGCTTATGGAACTTCATCTGTAGGCACTGCCGAGTGGTAGTCTGGCGAGGTACTACCCCGCTGTTGGTGATTGGAAGATACACAGAGAGGCTGCATTGGGTGATTGCAAGCCCACGGAAAAATACATGGAGATAGGTATGGACGGGGAACACTTTTCGTCTAGCTTCGTAGCCGGCAGGAATCATGAGCGAGGTGACTCCCGTTCAACCTCTTGGTACCCTCTATGTGATAACCCTCAGTGCTCCCATCTCTGCTTTCCCCTTCAGCATTCCCTTTTCACTTCCACAAAACATCTCATTCAAGAAATATTCTCACCATGTCTTGGCCACTTTCTGGTGACCAGCGCATCGCTATGATGCTTCTATTGTGTATCGTTCTGATTATTTCTCCCCTGGCAGCAGGTCAGAACCTGTCTGTCGACTTTTCATCTGCAATAGCACAGGAAGTCTCTATTCAAACTGAGCTTATGCCGGGAAACCTGAGCAGTCCGGTTCCACTCCCTCCTAGTGCTGATGGCATTCCCAACTACGACAGTATCTTGAGACTTGCAGCGTCAATGCCTCCATTACCGGTGACGCTAGGCGAGCCTGTTGTCAGCGATATCAAATCTGATGTTATTCCACCCGAAAACAGCAACGAGTCAGAAACAGAGAACACTTCCGGGCACTTGGATACACGACAAGATGTTTTGAGAGTTTAGTGGTTGGAGACTCAATGATCCATTGCCGCGAGGGCGACTTCACCTGGCGGTACAGATTACTAGAGTGGTTCAATTTCCAAAATATCGCAATACGTTATGTTGGACCATATGCTGGTACAAAGGCACCTCCTGCACCTGGGCCTCCAGATAGACCTGCATTGTACAGAGCAAATCCCACTGCATCGCCTCCTAATACTGACGGCGGGTACAATCTAGGCATCAAGTCTTTGGGCAATTTGTGGGTGAAACCTGCCCCATCCACATTCACGATAAGCTTCTAAATATTTACCCAGAAAACATTTTGCTGTCACTGGTCGTGCAGCCTCAACTGATCAATATTTGATCGAAAAAGTTGCAAGAGACTATCCAGCTGATCTTATGTTGATTAAGCTCGGTTTTAATGACCTGGGATTTTATTACTCCGACGACAAAGGTTTGATTAGTAACATGCGGAATCTGATTAATAATGCACGCCGCGTAAGACCTACCCTACGGGGGTTTTCATGCAGATAACGTCTGTAAAGTGTCTGCATTTTATCTTTGTTCCTAGTAGTAGTAAAATACAGACAAAATTGAGATAATATCTGCTATAAGTGTGTCTAAAAAGTGCAGATAATATCTGTAATAGATACATTAAAAAGCATAGATAATTTAGTATGTATCACAGACTTTTCATGTTTTAATATAAAGTTAAACACAGACCTTTTACTACCTACCTCCGGAACACTCGGGATAGAGGGAGGGAGACCTACCTTAGGAGGGGGAGGGAGGTTAAGAGGGGGACTTACCTTAGGAGGGGGAGGGAGACCTACCTTAGGAGGGAGGGAGACGTACCTTAGGAGGAGACCTACCTTAGAAGGAGACTTACCTTAGAAGAAGACCTACCTTAGATTAGAGGGAGAGAGAGAGAGTAGGAAAAGGGAAAAGAAGGAAAAGGAAAAGAGGGGGAGGAAATAAGAGGGGAGAAATTAACTTTATTAGTTAGAAAACTCTTAAAATACAGATAATAACTATATTTCCCTTAAATTACAGATAATATCTGTATTTTCACTCTAAATCTCTAAAAATCAATTAGAATCAGAGAATCTAGCTAAGAAAAATACAGATAATTAACTAAAATACAGATAGAAAATCCGTCTAAAAAGCCTATTTACAGATAATATCTGTAGGAAGTGCAGACAGTGTCTGTAAAAAAAAAACCCGTAGGGCTAACATGCGTCGGTAAGCTTGATGTGTGTGCCCATGGCACGTGCCGAACATTCCACTAATACATGCTTCAAGTTCACCGAACATTTATTGGTGGTCGTGAGAACCTAGTCAAAATGACAGACTCTTATAACCGCATGTTAAAGTCTCAAGTCAGAGAATGGAGCACGCCTTCATCCCCAGTGAGCCATATGAAAAGTCTCTAATTGCCACAGCTCAGCTAATCTTTCTCGTAGGTTACATGGGCACCAGTTCGAGAAGAATACAATTGCGGGCCTCAATACCCAGATAACTGTCCTGCCGCATACGACGGCCTTCATCCAAATGAACTTGGTGAGTATCAAATTGCTCGCGGATTCAGCCGAGCACTGGTCAGTGGCCTAAGAATCGGGAGAACGCCGCTCGAGATTCCAGGGAACATACCTTCAAGGTCACTGCCTACGCCAGGGAATTTCCGAATGTTCTCTTCTGATCTTGGTGTTACGGCTACTTGGGATAAAGGTATGCTTACCCATCGACAGTGTGGTATCGGTATACTAAACCCTCACTAACACCGGTTTGCAGTTTATGGAGTCTACTCATACGATGTGGAGTACATAATCAATGGTGGGGCTCCATATAACTTCTCTCCCGGAAGTGTCGCGTCCAATAGGTGGGATTCGAGATGGGCTCTTGATGGCTGGAAGTACGTTTTTCGAGTCTGCCGTCTTCACCAGACTATATATAGGACTGTAGTGAAGCGACTGACATTGTGTGGTGTAGATATGAGGTTCGAATTCGATCGAGCGCAGGAAATCGCAAAGGCGCATGGACTGCGTGGTACTCTGCCATAGCTCGCCCTCATACAGCATCGGCACCAACCAATGTTGTCACCCGTCCTACTGCGAATGGGATAGACGTCACTTGGACGGCATCTACAGGCTCGTACAGTGACACAGTATCACAGTACAACGTCTATTTCTGGGACCAGGACCAGCCTTGCTCGTTTCTTCTACTTGGAGGTTTCCTTCCCGGCGGCTCTGCATCCCTTGTGGACCTTGTCCCCGGCCACAGGTATCTCATCGCCATCGAAGCTTGGAATGCCGTAGGTGCTGGTTTCCCACTTGTAGCCAGACGTGCAGTGCCTGGACGTGGTGGATTGTACTGATCCGAAGACGGTGTCAGTCTGTACAGAGACAGTGACTAGCTTCTCGGCGACGACTACCACCTTTACCCACTGCGATGAGGTTACGGCTTGCGATGCACAAGGAGCGACGAAGACAGTGACTGAGAATTGTCAATGCACAGCATGTTCCGACGATTCTGATTACGATCCATTTTTCGTTTACGAAGACCAAGGACCGGTGTTCAGAGACCCGCCCACATATCCATCTGACCTTATCGTCGTGGTTGCCGGAACGACCATAATACCAGAAAGTCCTTCTGAACCAACTTCAGAACCACCTCAGCCGACTCAACCTACTACGCCATTGTGTATCGCAAGCAGCAGTAACCCGGTTCCAGGTGGATTTCCGGTTTATAACTATGTTGCCTTCTTTCCGGGTAAGTTTAATCTCGCCGGCATTTATATGAAATCGTTGATAGATCTTAACATGATTTAAAGTTGATACTTGTCAACAAGGTTAGCCTATCGCGGATCCGAATATTGGATCTCCGCCAGACTTTTGCAGTATCCCACGAGATGAACCTGTGCTGGACTACTGTGACTTCAAGGGAAGGTTTGTAAATCAAGGTCAGAAGTATCGTGAAACAGGGTGTGCATTGTCCGTTGAGATTAAGGGTAGCGTCTACTCTGACTATGAAATTCCGAAGGAGGGTGAGGAGAAGGATTTCTGCCGTTGCAAAGGGACCAATTGGACTGGTCTGTTAATTTTCAAAGCATTGCCCTCGTTTTAAATGTATGAGTAGTTAAGAAATAGATTCGAATAGTTGGAAGGGGGTTAATGACATAGGGTCATGTAAAGGCTGATTGAATGCTCAACATTTCACCTATTACCTCATTGAGGATAATCATGAAAGAATTCTGGCAAAGGTTTGTTGCTCTATGATTGGCAGAGAGTCAGAAAGGCGTTTCACTCAGCAACTCGTTACTATATCTCGCCTCAATTGCCGAAAACATATTTTTACACGGGGCAGCACGAAAGCTGACTAGCACGTGCGTCCTCCAGGTTTTGCTGGCTTAATTAAATGGTGTCCCTTGAAGCGTTCTCCCCCTTGTAAAACAGTGTTTCTCGTCTAGCAGCTGTGAGGGCAGTAAAGAGGCGAAGTGGATTTAGTTGGGATATGAGAATATTACCTTGGTGAAGATGCCCATGCGTCACGGCTATCTTCCAGTAGCTGAGAGGAACGATCTTCAAGAATCTTCAAATCTCGATATTGACCACAGAAGCCCGTTGAACGTCCATGAGGCATTGTTCTACATAGAATCCATGAGTCATGGTGTTTAAGCTTGACTACGCACTGACCTTGGAGAGTATAATCGAAGGTCCGGCCAACTTGCCTTGAGTTGATACGAACACTATCTGGGACAGAATATACTTTCACTATCAACGGCGAGCTTTCATGGCTTTATGCAGCTATTCTAGATATACACAGTGAATGGAGTATCTTATATCCACTCCAATATTAATCTCAGACCTTGAAATCAGCAAGTACAGTTCTGGGGCTCAAATGTTGAGCTTTTCGATAGATAGTGAGATGAGAACAACATCACCACTTCTAGAAACAAAGACTAATCTCGATTCCACATACTACAATCGATGGCTTAACTCTAAAGAGCGCTTGGTACCTTAAGATTTGATAAATAAGATCGTTGGGGACTAGCATTGAGATATTTCATGCATACAAGAGGATGAAAATGGCAAGAACTGACGATGCTTCCAGACTAGACAACAAATATCTAAATTGGCAAGATGCCATACAAGAAGACAACAAAGCCAACATGCGAGTAACCCACAAGAACTTATGGATGGATTGAAGGCTTGAGGTAGCGTCTGGTTCTGTAGCTTTAGGATGGTTGTCATCTTAATATTGCTGCCAGCAGAAGGGCGGAAGAAACATGACCGTAAGGACCCACAGCTACTTTCTCCTCGGATAATTTGGGTGAAGTTCAGAAACCAGCTTGAAAACATGGAAGTTTAATTGGACTTTCTTACTAAGGTTAGAGAGAACTTTATGTTCAGAAAGGCCGATCAGTGTTCGCTTTGAGCCTGACCAAGGCCATCAAATATTCTCTCAGGACTTCAATAAATCCGAATTCCGACAAAACATCAGTTACTCAGTTTTAGACTCGAATCCATGATTACGCTGCTCTTCCTGCAGCTTATGAATAGCGTCTTGGGAGCCCGAGAACATATCACGTTACGTTGTTACCCCGCCCCCACCATCAAGCTCCTCAGTGACCGCCCCTCTTCTGTGACGATCTGACCCCTTGGCATCTAAAACAAGACGGGAAGGTCAAAGTATCACCGTCTTACCCGCTGCCATGTTGTGGTGTTACTTTCGGCTCAACCTGGGCATCCGAACTCTGATCTCAAGACTCTGGGCAATAGCATGACGGCATGCCGATGAGGGTTTTGATTCGTTTTGGGGAACCAAGCCAGTCTGCCTGGGAACTTGCAGCTTGGGATTACGAAATAATGGGACTCCGGATCAGCCATATATGATCGGGATGGCTTCTCCTAGACATCAAAGCGAATGCACATCATCCTCGTTACTCTTCGGGAACGTAATTTTCACGCCGAACCAAGATGTATCGCTTTTTACTCTCCCTCTCCTTAGCAACTGTTACACTTGCCTGCTTGCGAGAATTCAACCAAGCTCCGAAACATACTCACCGCAAGCGCAATTTCAGGCGACAAGCTGCCTTCCCACCCGTGCTCACCGATCAAGAAACCACTCTTGTCAACTCTTTTGACAACAATACCATTGATCAATGGTCCTACTACTACACGCACGAGAACAAACTTGCCGGACTCGGCCGTGCATCAGCTCAATGGACAGCTGACAAATGGGCGGAGTACGGGTTCCAGTCTCGTTTGGACGAGTATGAGGTCTATCTGAGTTATCCCGTGTCTGCTTCCTTGCATGTGACTTTTCCGAATGGGACGACGCAGGAGGTCAATATCAAGGAGGACGTTTTGCCAGAAGATGATGTTACAGGCAGACCAGATAATCAGCCAACCTTTCACGGATTCTCGGCCAGTGGTGACGTTGAGGCGGAATATGTTTATGTTGGGTGAGTAGAGTTTCAAGCTTAAAAAGATGACAACTCACTAACGGGTATCAGACGTGGACAACAAGTTGATTTTGAGCGCCTAATTGAGCTTGGTGTCGAACTTGAGGGCAAGATTGCCCTTGCGAAGTACGGGGGCCCTTTCCGGGGTCTGAAAGTCAAAAACGCTGAAGAGCATGGAATGATCGGAACTGTCATCTTCTCTGATACTGATGGTGATGGTGAAATTACGGTTGCCAATGGCTACGAAGCATATCCTAGTATGTACTATCCCTCGTAGTGAATGGTCAGATTTGTTAACCATCACATTCAGATGGCCCAGCAAGACATCCAAATGCCGTCCAAAAAGGCTCAGTTCTCTTCCTATCCACCAACCCCGGTGATCCCACTACACCAGGCTACCCTTCCAAGCCCGGGTCTCCGTGTACAGGGACCGAAAACGTGATGCCTCAAATCCCATCCATTCCCATCTCTTACTCTGCTGCACAGTCCCTCCTGCAAGCTCTTGACGGGCACGGAACACCCGGAGCTGAAGTTAATCGAACTGCTTGGGTTGGGGCCCTGAACGCGACGTATAGCACTGGACCTGCGCCGGGTGTCAAGCTATCTCTTCACAATCTGATGGAGAGTAACATCACGACTATATGGAATGCAATTGGATGGCTTAATGGAACCAATAGTGATGAGACGATTGTTGTGGGCAATCATCGTGATACGTGGATGATTGGTGGTGCAGGGGATCCAAATTCTGGATCGGCGATCATGGTTGAGTTGTCAAAGGCGTTTGGAAAGTTGCTTGGGTCTGGGTGGAAGCCGAAGAGGAACATGCAAGTGATCTCTAAATTATTTCACACAGTACAGTATTGACTTGGTGAAGTGTTCTAGCTTCTTGGGATGCCGAAGAGTATGGTTTGATTGGATCCACTGAATGGGTCGAAGAATACATTAACTGGCTCACCGAGACTGCTGTCGCCTACTTGAACATCGACGTCGCAGTATCTGGGCCACGACCATCTCTTTCCGCTACTCCCGAACTCCATAAAATTGCATTAGAGCTTTTCGAGAAAGTCATTCATCCCAACGATGGAGCTTTTAACATCTCACTCTATGAAGCCTGGAACGAAGCCTCTAATGGAGAAATTGGGGTTCTTGGAAGCGGAAGTGATTATACCGCGTTCTTGCACAAGGGGATAAGTTCTGTAAGTACTTCAAATATCTTCCCCCACCTCAAATCACAATTCCATTAAAATCATGTTCCATACTGATGCACATTTTACAAACAGCTCGACGTCGGATCCGGCGGCGGCCCCACAGACCCAGTCTGGCACTACCACTCCAATTATGACACCTACCACTGGATGTCCACATTCGGCGACCCAGGCTTCCACCTCCACTCCACCATGGGCCAATTCCTCACGCTCCTCACCTACCACCTCTCATCCGACAATCTCCTCCCCCTCGACCTCCCCAACTACGGCGTAGAATTACAAGCCTACTACGAGGACCTCCAAGACGTGATCTCCTCCGCCTCCTCCCCCACCAATTCCACCTCCAGCTCCAACTCCACACTCGACACCTCCTCCCTCCTATCCGCCATCCAAACCTTCCAAGCCCGCGGAAAAGAAGTCAAAGATCTCGAACAACAAGCCATACTAACCAACAACAGCGAGCTAATCACAGTCGTCAACCACAAATACCGTGATTTCCAGCGCGGGTTCGTCTCGCAGGGTGGATTACCGACGAGGGAGTTTTACAGACATGTTGTTACGAGTCCCGGGCTGGATACCGGGTATGCGGCTGTGACTTATGCGGGGATTACGGAGGCTGTGGAGGCGGGGGAGTGGGATGTTGCGAGGGAGTGGGTGGGGAGGACGGTGAGGGGGATTGAGAGGGCGAGTGAGATTATTAAGACATAGGGAGTGAGGGGGGTTTACTGGCTGGCTGGCTGGTGGGTGGGTGGTATGGTGGTAATGCCGAATTGGGGGGGTTGTTAGTGAGGACTAGAAAATATAATTAGTGCTATATAATTCCAATCTTGAATGATATCATAATTTTCAATGATCACGCGAGTCTTGAACGGACTCGCAAAGAGGGTGACCAGTGCTGGATGACCAAACAAATTAAGCGAGATTGTGTTCCCTCAATCCTCGGCACGGTCAGCTCCTGTAGCATCATATCTCTCTAGCTGCCCATTTGAGGACAATTATCAGATTAAAAAAAAGCTGCATCAAAGCATGAAATTACATCCAACCCAGTCCGGTCCAGTTCAATCCATGATTTGTCGGCGATACCAGGCCAAAGATCCCGACCAACCCGCGAATATCAAGAAAGTCATCTATCTGTATGACAACATCCTTTGAAGAGCAGAAACAATATACATGGAACCAGCTCGACACCTGCCATTGCTCACAGACAGCTTCAGCAGCCAGCGAGACAAGAGCAACTAACGGCGTATGAATCTGTCTGTCTTCCTCCTATGTTGCATTGGTTGACGCGAAACCAAGCTACCTTCTCCGCTGGGCAATGGTTTTGATTGGTCGAACAGGCATAAGAGGTTATTTACGTGGGTGTGGAGGTGAGTATGGCTGTCGGAATGGGGTTTGGTGTCGACTTTGCTGCAGGTAGTGGTGGGCAGAATGGTTGTATTTGATGTTCGATGAACTTCTGTTGCTATTCGCTCTTGGTGGTGTTTAAGAACAGATATTTCTCAGCTCTAAATATCGTGTGAAGGAAGGTCAAGATCAGGAAGAAGAGAAAAGATGTTATCTGTCTGAGAAATTTTGAGGATGTGAGGAGGGTTTGGTATAGGTTATCACAGGAAGCTCGCTGTGAAGGTAACACACAAGCGAAAGGGATATCATATCATTCACACCATTAATACTGTGTAGGCAGGTGACCTGTTTTCCTCTGTATCGAGCATGTAACACCAAAGTATATCACAATTACCAAGCAAAACTATCCTCATGCAAATCAATCCTCGTCCCCCCCTCCCCATGCAACCTCACCACCTCCCTCCTCACTCCATCCGCCAATCCCCCCGGCGCGCAAACCAAAACCGCCACCCTCCTCACCCTCCCCACCTCCTCCTCTACCACCTTCGCAACATCCAACCTGCCCCTCCCCACACCCTCCTCTCCCTCTCCTTCCCCCTTCACCACCCCCTCACCCCCAGTACAAGTCCACCTCATCTCCACCCCCCTCTCCCTCGCATCCAGGGGAATCATCCTCCTTACAACACTAGCAAGTTCTCGCTCGCGAAAGCTCCACGTAAGAACTAGCCGCGAGGCTTTTATAACAGAAGTGGCCCCCGAGCGTCGCGCTTCAACGAAGAATTGAATGTAGGATAGTAAAGCGGTGATGCCGATTCCGCCGCCAATGCAGAGGATGGTGTCGGCGTGCGAGAGGTCGATGGAGTGCCCGTAGGGTCCTTCGAGTGTGAGGGGGAGGTAGGTGGGTGATGGGGGTAGGGATTGCGATTGTGGGGAGGAGAGGGATGTGTGGAGGGAGGAGGTTAGGCCTGACATGGGGCGGAGGAGGAAGGTTATACTGGGGCGGGAGGCGAGGGCTGGATGGGAGTGAGACTGGGTGATGCGTGTTGTTGTGGTTGAGGAGTGTGAGGCTGGAAGCGAGGATGTGGAGTCGGAGTCTCGGACGGGGGCGGTGGTTATTTGGAGGTCTTTCTCGACGTCTTTGTTTGTCGGCGTTGTTGCGGTCACGCCGGACTCTTGATGTGTTGCGATATTTCTAGACGGTGTAACTGAAGTCATGGACCCGGTATCCCATCCCGCAATGGAGAAAGGATGATTTTCCCAGAATCGACCTGTGGATGGGAAATACAAGAATGAGTGTTGCCCGGGCTTGTAATTCCAGTTCTTGGAAGGGTAGACGGTGAGTTTCATGAATTTTCCGCCAGGGGTGAGTTCGGCTACTGCTTGGGTGGTGGTCGATCCGACCATGTTTCTGTATACGATGATAGCCATTCTGCTTAGACGTTCGAAGCCCCAGAATGCGATGGCTATGTACAACCAGACTTCGTAGCCCCAATTATAGGTGAAGCGAAGAACGACGTGGTACCAACAGCCTACCAGCGCGATGATAACCATGATGATGTGTGTGACAAGGAAGATCTCGTACTGGAAACGCCGGATAGGGAGGATTGAGAAGGTGATGGCGAGGCAGAGGAAGATGGTACCAATTATGCCCCAGTAGTAGTATGGAAGCTTGATATTGGCGTAATATTTTGCTGAACCACCGCCCCAGAAATCGAGATACGTGTATATGATCGAGTGGACGACAGCCTGCACTGTCGCTACGCGAGCTGCCCAGCGGTGGAAAGTCAGACATGTAGTTTGACTGAGGCCTGTGAACCAGATGAGGGGATTGTTGCGGCCAGCGAAGAGGATTGATAATGCGATGTTGGCGAATGAGAGAACGCCAGTTCGGTTGGTCACGTAAGTTGAGATTTCGGATTTGGAGTCTGCGAACCAAGCACTTGAAGATTGTGGGAAGACTGATTTGTATGGTACAGCGGAGAAGATGAGGTTGAGGAAGACGTAGATGAATATGATGAGGGAAAGTAGTCGTGATGGGGCGTATCCAATGTCTGGTGATGTGTTAGAGGAGTTTGGTTAAGTAATTGGAAACATACTGCCTGCGAGAGGTTGCTGATGCTTCCCGTTGAACAGAGCAGGTAGCAAGAGAACTTTTGACAACTTGATTGGAATCATGTTCCCCAAGCCCGCAGCACTGAATTTCATGTACTTTCCAGCGAGAAGAGTAAATCCTACTGTGATAGTCATGATAGCGACCCTGGTGTTTGTCAGCACAGTTCAAATGCTAGGACAGGTCCAACTTACGAAAGCTGAGCATGCGTTTCCTCTTGATACTCAAACTCTTGTAACGTCTGCCGATTCATAAAGTACATCTCGTAGTTTACCAAACTCGTCTCATTCAACCACATCGCATCGGCCTCCAACTCCGTCGTGGGCGCCGTAGCAGGCAGCATCTCTTCGTATACAGCCGTGTCAGACATCGAAAGCTTGCTGTACGCCTTGGCGATCTTCTTCTCTCCCACCCCATCAATTCCACAGCGGTCTTTCAAACAATACGCCAAAGTCTGTAACCAAGGCATGTTGCTCGCCACGCACTCCATTGATGTCGTCGCCTCGACTTCTTCTCCCATATCCATCCGCTTGAGAAGCTTCATGTCCATACCCTCCATGTCGTGGTCCCCGGTTGAGAAAGTCGTGCAGTTGAGCCAGAGAGAAGCGAGGGAGTCGTGACACGCATATGCGCAGACTGGCTTGTACATGCTGATTCCCATACCGATGATACCATGTTTAACAGCTACAGCGCCCGAGGACAGCTGTGCGAGCAGGACAAGCTGGGTAGTGAGATGCATGGCTGAGAACGGCGAAGTGTTCGCCAGTGAGTTTGTCCTGGTATGAAGGTTCTCGCGTCGCTAACTTCACCAACACATACAAAGGTAAACAATAAACACAACCAGAAAAATCGAAGCAAGGTAAGATCGTCCGTCTGACAAGCAGAAAGCAAGACCCAGATCTTATAAACAGCCATCTTATCTACCCAGCGGATAAAAACGTGCTCATTCATGGGTAAAACTTCCCCACATCAGTGCATGGATCCTCGGCTCGTCGCTTGGCAGTAGTAGCTGCATCTGAAAACCCGCTCAATCGTTCTCGTGTGGGACCAATCAGAATGGTAGTCAGCCAAACAGATTCTGAGAATTGCCAATAGGGACTGAAGGAAAGGGTTTTATTATGGAGTGGCGAGATCAATAATGGGGTCGTGTCCGTGGCCTGGATTCCGCAAGGAGCTGTTATTTGCGGCTTTGTGCTAGGACCCTGGAATCTGGAGCTGGTTCTGGGGAGGAGGCCCGAGTCACGTGACTGAGTTGGTGTTGCGATGCCAAGAGTGTGAGCGTAAGCCACAGAGAGGATTTGAGCTGGTATGAGAAGTGAGTTATAGAGCTCAAATATCTGTGTTTGCTGTAATTGGTGAATAGTTAGCGCTCTGGTTTCGCGTCTGTGTTGGTTGGCAATTTCTGTATATCTCTTGGGTTGCTGTTGGTTAGAATCAGTCGACGTTTGATTTGGGCTCAATACAGCGCAATTATTTTTGGAATGCGAGCTTGAAACCTGGGTCGTATAGAGTGTCAGTAGGCATACAATAGATTATTGTATAATGAGGTACTGTGAGTGGCGTTGGATGTTGACAAGTGTAACAGAACGATATCAGGGTTACGACTCGCTTACAGGCTGCTGCTCCGAGACCGTCAGCGTAGATTAGCACAGTGCCCTAATCCTGACAGGCCGACGGAAAGCGACGGAGTCACAGACTGTTTACTCCATCTCGCTTAGATTCGTTAACCACATGCGGCGCATTCTCTCCTCCAGTGTTATGACCATTAGATATCTTTCTTTGTAAAGATGATAGTAATCGATGAATTATAAAAAAGCAAGAGTCGAAACGCTCGTTAGACAGCCACTTCAACCTGCGTGTTAACAGAGTGGGTTTGGTAGGAGTAACATGTTCAGTCGGGCTCATCAGTTTTGACTTCTCCTTGCTGATACACTGCTCTGCTCTCAAAGTGTAAGTTCACTCCGATTTTCTATTCCTACATACATTCAAATACTCATCAGAGCAGCCTAAACAAAACATCCCATAACATGGCCTGTACGCTCCACCTTTTTCATCCAAACCAATACCTTCCATTGAATTACCCCTTTCCAATGAAGCTTCACTCCTTCCTTCAGGAACTACTTTTTTCTGCGTCTGAGCCATCTGAGCCAAAATCCGCTTTACCTCCTGCACATACACGCCCTTATTCCTAATTTTTTCTCCATACCTATAAAACCAAAACGGCAACGGCACACAAACCAGTGCCAGAAAAGCCGGAACACTGCTCGCCCAATGAACTCCCAGCTTGGCATACATAGCCTTAGTAAATAGCGGAAAGCTCGCAGCGAACAAACTTCTCAACGCCGCATTCGCAGCCAGGGCAGACGCCGCGTATATGGCGTACGTATCTACAAGATAATTGATGACGCTTAGGAAAATAAGAACCATTCCGAACCCAAAAGGAACGGTACCCGCTATACAGATCATTGGGTTTAAAGGAGGGCCGTTCGTCCATGCGAACCAGAATAGTCCTATTGGTGTGGCAACACCCCCTATCATGCAAGGTACTAAGCGAGCCTCGGGTGGTGCTTTTCCATTTGGAGACGCCGCTGCTGTTCGGGCGTACTGCTTCCCTTGCAAAAACAGGAATAGCAAAGCGAGTAACATCCCCACAGCCAAACCTAGAAACGGAAGACCAGCGACCCCGGGACTGAGTCCATACCCGTCCACGAAAACAATGGGATATGCTGCGAACATCATGTACATAGTCCCGAAGACAATGGCCGTATACACGGAGAGAAGCGAGACGATCGGTTCCGCGAAGAGGAGTTTCCAAGGACGCAAGAGTGCCGTAGAGATGGTTTTCTTGAACGTCTGCTTCCCTCGAAGATGGTCCATCTTACTGATATAATGCCGCCCAGTCTTGACAGACATCTTAGCCGCTCGACAACGCAATAGATAAGGCGCATACGTCTCCGGCACGCACATATAAAAAAGCGTCCACATCAACGCACTCAGCCCCGTAATCAACGTCCCAATCCCCCCCCAACCCGCCGACTGTCCCAAAAACCCTCCCGCAATAGGCCCAATAACCGGTCCCAAAAACGGCGCAGAAGCAAAAATACTACTTGGCAGCCCTCTCTCCGCAGCAGAGAACATATCTGCTATCATACCCCCCGTATTGGTAAGTGTAGCTGAGCCGAACGCTCCAGCGAAGAATCGGAAGACTATCAGTTGAGAGATGCTGGTTGAGAGGACGGCGCCGATGTTGAAGATTACGAATAATCCGTATGCGAGGACGAAGACGCTTCTGCGGCCGTAGAGCTCGGAGAGTGGTGCCCAGAGGAGAGGACCGACTGCGAAACCGAAGACGAAGAGAGATACGCCGAGTAGAGCTACTGGTGAGGATGCAGAGAATTGGGTTTCGATTGAGATGAGAGCGCCGGTGTAGGCCGAGGAAGCGAATGCCATTGTGAGTGTTGAGAATGCGGAAATGGCTGTTACGAACCATTTTACTGTTGTCGGGAAGTTTTGGGGGTTTCGTGGGTCTGATGGAATCCAGTCGATTTGGTGCATGCTTGTAGCTGTACCATCACCGACATAGTTGTGCTCTAGTACTTGTGTTGTGATGAGGGTTGCGTCCCTGACTATTCGCCAGTGTGAGTATTTGGTTGTCTCTTGCGACTTCTTTTCTTCTTGCTCATCTTGAGGGCCCATTGTGAGGTTCGAGAAAGACTTCATTGCCTGGTTGAGCATGGTGGGCAGTAAGCAAGAGGACTGTCTCCCTCATAGTGCAGTTGTGGGAGGAGGGCAAACCCAAAGTTGGGAATACAATCTGCTCATACAACACGGGATTGCCAAACGGAGGAAGTCGAAGGACAGCACAACCTTGGTCGAACTTCGGCTCCCACAATGAAGCTAAGCTTTGTTTTAGCCAAAGTAAAGCATACTTGCAGAAAGTAAATCCTCGTCTAAAACGTCAAATGTGTAGCCCGAGACTGTGGTTTCGGATCTCGCTAAAGCTTCTAGGTTGTGCCATCCGAAGATCAGACAAGTCAGATCAAAACTTTAAGTCTGTTTCGGCGGGCCGGGTTGTCAAACATGTTTTATTTCATGTCTGTAGTGCATGATATGTGCGGGTACTTGGAACTTAGTAGAGGTATTAATATTTGTCACTGTCGCAATTCCTAACGGACAAGTATGGTTCGTGAAAAAAAAAATGGGCAGGGTTGAATGAAGGAAGTGTTTGGAAGATATGCATTTATTTTGAAGGTTTTAACGCAAATCGATCATCAACGAAGAGTAAATACATTGATCTAGTGAGGAAAAAGATTGAAGTCGTGGTACTAAAAAATTAATTCACCAAGCAGTGCGGACTTTATGCAGAAGTGGAGAGAGTTCTGACAGATAAATCCTTGGGTGACATAGTTCGGCTGGATATCAATACACAAATCACATGCAGACAATGTAGTAATGATGGAGATAGAAAATGCGATTTATGTTCTCAACCGCTCTAGACAACATACACCCAAACATTGAAAGACTCCAGCGCCCCTCTAAGAAACAGTCCAGCACTAAGTCTAAAAATCTAGCAACTCAACGCCTTTTGTACATACCCTTTAAGCACATCACCAACTGCATTCATCTGCGGTGCCTTCACAACCGAGAAGTGATTTCCGCTCACCACAGTGCAATCCACCTCCCGTCCCACCAACTTGTCCCATCCTGCTGGTCCATAGTCACTTCTCACTCCAAACAGCCAATTCCGGGCCTCGTTAGCAATGTCATCGTCACTCAAGTTGACACCAATTTTCTTCTCTTCACTCAAACCCTCCAACATGCCATCTTTAGCCCAGACAGCAACCACATTCTCGATCTTCGCATCCTTGGCTAGAGGAACCGGCTCAAAGTGCTCCAATGCTCTCACACTCGCTAGGAAATGCTGTCTCGTTTCCTCGGGGATACCTTTGCCGCTTTTGTCCATTCCATCGAACAGGCCCGCGTTCTCGAGGATATCCAGAGTCGGAGCCGGAAGTGGTGGAAGGGTGCGCGGACAAGGACTGTCGATGAACATGAGCATCTGTATTTTCTCACCTGCTTTCAAGAGCTGCTGTGAAACTTCGTAAGCGAATATCCCGCCCATTGACCAGCCTGCCAAGAGATACGGGCCATGGGGCTGGAGTCTCCGGATCTCTTCGATGAAGATGGAAGCGACTGTCTCGAATGGTAGGGTGTAATTCTCGGCGCATTTATGGAATGGAGAGAACAGAGCGTAGACCGGTAGGGACTTTGAGATTGGTGGGAGATCAATATAGGAAAGCGCTGATCCTGAACCATCTGGGAGAAGAAAGACTGCCGTTGATCCGGAGGAAGGAATGCCCTGGAGGAGAATGGATTTGCTTTTGAAAGGCGACAGAAGCTTCGAGACCACAGCTTTCAACTCAGGTACATTTGTCTGGCTGTACTTTTGAAGATCTCCAAATGTCTGGTATTCAGAGAAGAAAGATGATGGAAGGCTCACACCTGTCAGTTCTCGAACTGAGCCGAGAACAGCTATGCTGAGGAGTGAGTCCAGGCCGAGATCGGAGAATTTGGCTGTCGGATGTGCTTCACTTGGCTGGATACCCACTTCCTCGATGATGATTGATCTCAAAACTTCTTCAATATCATTGCAGGGAGGAGTGTGTATGCTGACTGAAGAGCAAGCATCCAGAGACGAAGTATCCGAGAAAATGCTTCGCACTGTTGATGCACTCGACGCTCGCGACCTTGACTCTTCCGATTTAAGGAGAGGCAGTCTCTGGGGTACAGGAGGTTGAACATGTGGCTGGAAATATTTCTCAAGCTCGCCGAAAGTGGAATAAGTGGTGAATAAAGAGCTGGGAAGCTCCATCTGTGTCAACTGACGCAATCGCTGCAAGATAGAAATTGTTAAAATGGAATCGATACCCAGATCTGACCATAGTGCATCGTCAGAGATCTCAGATCGTTCAAGTCCTGCTTCTGAGAGAATGGTGTCCATGACGGTGGGAGGTAGAGGGGCATCAACGATGCGGCCTCTAGGTGCTTCGGTATTCTGAGGCTGAACCACCCTGGCGCGCTTGATATCGGAACTGACTCCAAGTAGCGTGGAGAGCAAAGTGCGTTTCATTTGCTTGAACTTCAAACCAGCAACTACAGCCACAACCTCATGGTCATTGAACATGTAAACGTTGCCTGCATAGACACCACTTTCAGAGGTCGGTTGCATCCTGACATAGGTTTGGTATTGTTCCGTTTCTGATAGCTGGCCAAGGATCTTCATGCTCTTCCACCCATGGGAAATATAGACGTCATCTTGACCGCTTGGTGGATTCACGTTCAAGCAGAATCCTCCAATTTGCGCAAGACTGTCGATCCAATATGGGCTGTGGGTAAAGGCTCCGTCTTCATTCGACGTTCTGAACTTGAGTAAAGCGGACGCTTCTGGAATGTCGTCACTCATGAAAGTCTCTTTCAGGGCTTTATACTCATCAGAATAGTCAACAACGGTCTTGAATAGCTTGTACGCCATCTTCCGTGAAATGCTGTCGACATTGCCGTTACCGCTTCGAGCTTTATCTTGAAGCTCATTGCTCCTAGCCCGAATGAGATAGGCACTGCTGTTCCAATGTTCCATCATCTTTACACCATCGCAAAGTGAGACTTGGCATCTGGCATGCTCTTTCCACTCTGTTCCAGTTTGTGAATGGAAAATTATCCTGACTGGGTCGGAAGAGGATTGAGTGGCGGTGACTCTCAGAATCTGTCTCTGCATGTCTGGCTTGACCATGAAAGGGCTGAATATTTCCATGTTTGAAAGATCCATCGGAGGGGTTGTTAATGACCCATCCTTTTGGCGGAAAATATACCTAGCAGCCGTAAATGCCATTTCGGCGTATATAGAGCTACGTATATTAGAATAATATTCTTCAAGAAAGCCACAAATTACGTACCTAGGACAAAGCCCAACACCACAGACAACATGGCCGCGCGCCATGCGCGAAAGTTCTGGACAGCTGAAATCACTTTCGAAGATGACCTTCGCATCGGTTGAATGGAATGACTGCTCCTCAATTCGCTGCAAACATGTCGACGAGAAAATTGGCGATAATTCTGCTGTTTTGGACAGTTGAGGTGCGTCTAATCGACTTCGGTAGTCCAGCCAGTAATTTTTCGCATCAAAGCTGTATGATGGAAGGTCAACCAGTTGAAGAGCATGTTTATGCTCCTTGTGAAACTCAGCCCACTTGACATGGCATCCCTTTTGGTAGCTTCGTGCCAGGTTCTTGGATATCGTGACCCAGCAGTCTTTGTTCGCCTCGAGGGTAGTGAGCGAGTTCTCGAGAGACGTACTCAACGATGCCTTGACGAAGGATAAGCAGGTTGCTCCTGGGCCACACTCCATCCAGAGTGTTCCATCGTCAACTAGGCCATCTCTGACACAGGAAGTCAGTGCTGCTGGAAAGTTCACAGATTCTCTGGCTTGGCGACACAAATAATCAGCTCCAAACACTCCAGCTTCGCTAACGACTTGTCCAAGTAGTGTTGATGCCATTGAAAATTTTGGTTTGGCGAAGCTGATCCCGTTTGCGATCCTGCGGAACGAAGGCAAGATTGATTCCATCTGCTTAGAGTGGAAGGAGTAGGGAACCTCGAGGAACTTAGTGATGATACCTTGGACCTCAAGCTTCTCCTGCAGCTTTGTTACCTCTTCGGATGGCCCACTGACAACCGTGGAGTTAGGCCCGTTGATGCAAGCAACTTCCAAGGTAGTAGATCGGCAGCCTGAAAGGTATTCTCTGACTGAGTCTACTGGTAGTCTGATCGAAAGCATTGAGTGCGTAAATGGAACACAGTTGATCTGCATCTGTTCCGCCCTCTTTGCCACCAAGTAAAGCATGTCGCTGGTGGAAATAACGCCAGCAACACAAAGCGCAGCATACTCTCCCAAACTATGACCAATGACAACACTGGGAACAATACCCCATGATTGCCATAGCCGAGCAAGTGAGACCTCCACCACGACTAGACAAAGTTGATTCTGCGCAGGGCTCGCACGCTCCTTGGCGCCTCCTGTCAAGACGTCCAGGAAGGAAGGCAATTCCTGCTGGTTGCATAAAAGCTCACATTCTTGAACTTGATCTCGGAAGAATTGACAGGAGTCGTACAGGTTCTTCGCAACTCCCATAATTGCTGCTCCCTGCCCAGGAAACGCGAAAGCAACTTTAGTGGTGTCGTTCGACGATTTCGGTTCTTCCCAAGTGTTGATGTCTCTGTCCATTTCCATACACAGCTCTCCAATATCTTTCACAGCATACGACTTCCGAAGAGAATGGTGCAGTCTTCGAGCGGTTGAGGTGTATGCGATGTCAGGTAGAGACGAATTGGAGGAATCGAGGAAGTTCCGCAAGCGGGAGACATTTTCTCTCAGAGAGAACGGAGTCTTTGCAGAGACGGTAACGATATGAGCTGTTCTGGTGTCCACTCCAAGTATTTTTGTACTTGGACCATCTTCAAGAACTATACTTGTGTTGCCGCCCTTCTCTGCATTAGTGAAATTACTTCCATCGCTGTCATAAGGTGACTTACGGCTGCACTGAAGTTGTTCAGTAATACCCTCCTCGTTCGTTGTCTCGAGAACTTCTGGGAAGATGCAATATGGACATTGTATTTCGAAAAGTCGGGAAGTTTTGGATTCATTTGGCCCTTGACACCGATGTGTGGCGCGACTTGCTCTTTTTTAAGCATCAGGAGCGTTTTGATCAGAGATGAAATACCAGCAGCCTGAAAATGTCAGCACGCGTTTTTCCAAAACAAATTCCACTACTTACAGCTTCTCCATGTCCAATATTTGGTTTTATAGAGCCGATAGTCAAAGGCCGAGATCGAGGTTTCTTCGCCAAAACGCTCATCATTGATTTCGACTCCGCTGCATCGCCAGCTTGGGTTCCGGTTCCATGCAGTTCGACATAATCTATGTCTTCCGGCTCCACAGACGCTTTTATCAGCACTTCTCGGAATAGTTTCGCCTGGGTCTCGACGTGGGGATGCGTAATGGACACTGCTTGAGCGGAATGGTTTGTGGCGACAGCCTTGACAACAGCCAATATATTATCTCGGTTCGCCACTGCGTCTTCCAATCTTTTCAAGACGATCACACCAACACCTTCGCCACGACAGTACCCATCGGCGGATGCATCGAATGTCTTGCAGGATCCGGTGGGCGAGAGAAAACTGCCACGACTGAGACCAGCATACATATTGCAGCCAGTTAAAATATTCGATCCTCCTGCGACTGCCATATTGCACTCACGTGCCTGGAGCGCAGAACAGGCCAGCTGAACGGCCAGCAAGCTGGATGAGCAAGCGCTATCAATGCTGTATGACGGGCCTTCCCATTTGAAATGATAATTGACCCGTCCAGCACTGAAAGCTCGAATTCCTCCAGTGACATAATACATGTCAACGTCTTCAGCTGCATTGTATTCTTTCCAATCGTCGATGGTCTGACCGAAGTAAGTCCCAACATTCGGGTCCCGATCCTCCAAATCGTGCTCTTGAGTGTAGCCTGCCATCTCCAGGGCCTCGTATGTTGACATGAGGAGAAGTCTCTGTCCAGGATCTGTTTGAGCTGCCTCTCGAGGCGACATGTTGAATAGCCGCGCATCAAACATTCCGGGTCGATTGATAAAGCAACCATATGGCGTCGAGGTGGAATTCGCCAATTTTCTTGTTGGGTCGTAATGAGTTTTAACATTAAACCTGTCTTCTGGAATCTGTCTCTTGTCAGTGATCTGCTCACATTATAGTAGAAATGCCCATACTTCTCTGTGGAGATCGAGTCCACTATCCAATAACTTCCAAAACTCCTCCAGACTTTCGGCCCCTGGAAATCGCCCTGCCATCCCAACAATAGCGATATCTCCGCCTGCGGAGGAAATGCATGCTTGGGTGCTCTGTTGTGCACTTGTCACCTCGAAATTAATATTTGCATCTTTCAGGCATTTCGTCAGACGCTTTGTTGTACTGTTTGAACCGAACGAGGTGATCAAAACACTTTTTCCATGGAGCATCGACAGGACACTTTCCTGTGTGAGTATGTTGTTTATCGGATTCTTCATAACATCGTCAATTATAGCAGAATTGAGTTCTGCTTGATTTCGGAAATCGTATGGTTGGCCGGAGTGTGGTGAAATAATGAGGCGACATCCAGGTTGGAACACCCTGGGCACAGGTTCTGGTGAAATGATCCTTTCCGATTCGAAGAGAAGATGATCAGCGTGGAAAGCTGATGTGATAGGAAGCGGCATCGTTGTGAGATTCTTCATTGGCTCGGACGATAAAAATAAGTCCAATGAGGAAGGAGGACCGCTTATGGTGGTCGCAGATTCAGACATCGAACTGATATAAACTCTCTTTTGATCCGGAATTGTCTATTCATGTTAGTGATAATCATCTTAGAAGATAGCATCATTACATTGTAGTCATGGAACTCTTCAAGGGATTTCCGCAAAGTACCGATGGGAATGCCAGTCACAACTCTGGCCCAGCTCTCCTGGCAATCTTCTAATAGGGTCGATCGACGTTGAACTTCTAGTCCCAGTCGTACGGATGTTGCTACTATTTCAGGCGCGATAGCAAGAAGATCAACCATAGAATGCGTCAAAGCCGCTGCGGCAGCTGGCAGGAGTCCAGTACAATAGCCTAGCACGATTGTTCGGGATGATGAGTCGCGATCAAGCAATGTTGGATCTCGTTCCAGGTTCCTGAAATTTTAGCATCTCATGGACCCTGAAAGTGGGTAACATGACTTACTGTACCAAAGCTCCAAGTTGTGCTACGCACAACAGAAGTGTGCTCACAACGACATCTGGACGGGCATCCTCCTGCACAGTTTCTGCCAATAGGCAGAATGAGGAGAATCGAAGATGTCTTTGCTGGGCACTAGGAAGGTCACCAGCCAATTGACGCACAGCATCTTCAGCGGTCTTGAGGAAATGTGAAAGGAAGACGGATCTCTGTGATTGGCAGTAAAGATCTTTGATGGTGGGTAGGGGGTCTTCGGTTTGGTCTCCAAAGACCAAAACTCTCATTGGTTGCGCCATGATGAGTGTTGATAACAGTGGGTGGGAGAGATGAGGAAATCCCAAGACAATACTTCAGACTCATGGTACTTATCTTCATCTATAGTTGCCTCCAAGTCCATGACTTCTCTAGTCTCGATTATCTGAAAGGGCAAGACAGAAATCGACTGGGGGAAGATCCTTTGGAATCTGTCCAAACACGTCTGACAGCGGGTTTGATATCCAATGTCTTGTTTCAATGTTCGATCTGGAGTCAAGTCGAGACTTGACATGATAGGTTCTCATCCATATCCGGTATATGCTTGAAGTGTTTACGGTGACAAGCAGTGGGAGCCGACTTCATTGTTTGTTGTTTGATCTCCAACCCACCTCATGTATGAAATATCAGCCAGGTGGACACGCTCTCTGGATCAGTGCGAGACTCTTGTTTCTCAGCCTACCTCTCGGTAAGTACCCGAGTGGAGTTATCGGATGATTGATACAAGGATATGCCTCGTACACCAGGGGTTTTTCCATATGGTTATGTACTCCGTAGTCTAGTCTGGGATATGCCGTTGACTTTGAGGATCAGAAAAACCTTAACGAATATTCAAACCACAAGCGATAACACAATGCACAACCACCTGGACTCCCATTTACCAGCAACCTTCGAGTCAGATATTATCGCTTATTGTTTGGGATTTGCCACGAGTCATGAATTTATGACTTAACGAGAATCTTCTATGCACAAAAGATCGCCGAGATGTTTTAGTGTAGTCGAGCCCCAATGCCTGTAGCAGCCCCCACGTTTTCGCTTAGAAAGTCTGTGCGGTTGCATTTCCATTCCATAAAAATTGCGGGTGGAGCTGGGTGAGCTGCCAAATGCATAAAGCTGCTGAGCATGACATGTCTCGAATGTTTCCGAAATCTGCTTTGCGACGGGACAAACCTTATTCAATATGACTATGAGGCCATATAATCACATGTCAAATGAAGCTATCATGAAGCAGTTCCTATTCTTACCCTCCCCATTCGGCAGACACGCATTCTTTAACTCAACGACAAGATTCGAAATAATCATATTGAGCAGTTCCGAGATTTACTTGACCTGAGTTCGAGATTCAACCGTCAGTAAAGAGAATGGGAGCTTTCCAAAACGTTGGTAGACAATTTCTTGATAAAACGCCGCCGCTGACAGCAGATAGGTTATCATTGTCGGGGCTGGCCCTGCTGGACTACTTCTAGCTCTGTTTCTATCCAAGGAAAAGATACCTGTACATGTTCTGGAAGCTTCCTCAGAAATCGACAGCCAGCCTCGAGCCACTCTTTACGGCCCCGCAGGTGTTCAAGAGCTTGAACGTGCCGGCGTCCTTGAAGCTATTCGAGCAGAGGGTTGTTTGCCAAAACACGTTTGTTGGAGGAAGGACGATGGCACCATGATCGCCGAAATACAGCAAGAACATATTCCGCTACATTCGAGAGTCACTAGTCTGCCAGTAAATCGAGTTGCTCATATCATACTTGATGCTCTTCGGCAGCATCCCACTGCTAAGGTAGACTTCAATTGTAAGGTCACCAGGACTGGCCAAGATGAGAGCAAAGCATGGGCGGAGGTTGAAACGCCTGATGGTGTCAAAATTCTGGAAGCAAGTTACATTGTTGGGAGTGACGGAGCCAGCAGTACGGTTCGGAAGAATCTCTTCGGGGACAGCTTTCCTGGTTATACCTGGGAACCATGGCTCATCGCCAGTAACGTTTACTATGACTTTGACGCCCATGGTTGGGACGATATCAACTTTATCATTCATCCTCAAAATTGGTACATGGCAGCTCGCATCACGAGAGACAATCTCTGGCGAGTTACGTATGGCGAAGATGGAGAACTAACGCGAGAACAATGTATCGAGCGACAACAAGAGAGATATCGGTCTATGCTGCCGGGCAACCCTGGACCGGAGCAGTACAAGTTGGCGAATATAAACCCATACCGGGTGCATCAGAGATGTGCTGAGAAGTTTCGAGTAGGGAGATTTCTCCTCGTCGCTGATGCTGCTCATCTCTGCAATCCATTTGGTGGGTTCGGGTTGACTTCTGGAATTGTTGATGTTGGAGGCTTGTACGACTGTCTTTCTGGAATATATAATGGCCTGGCCGATGAGAGCATTCTCGATAAGTACGATGAGGTCAGGCGCGGGATATTTATGGAGCAAGTTGACAAGCTCTCGACTGCAAATTTCAAGAGGGTGATGATGGCCGAGCCTGACAAAGCTCTCGAGCTTGATCCCTTTCTGAGCGCAGCGGCGAATGCAAAACAGGATCCTGAAGCAGCAGCGAAATTGGCTCAGATGGCGAGAGTATGTATACATTCTTATTTTGCCTTACCGTACTGACTACAATGACAGGGTGCACAGGCTCTTAAGCACGATTTCAGACAGTATTACAAGACGCTCAAGGGAGAATCTAGCGCAATGGAGAATATTTGAATTTTATTTTTCTCCCATTTTGTACATAGATCTCTCAAAATCTTTCACGACACCCATCAGATTCATTCATAAAAGCATTTATTCCGTTGATTCGAGTTCGTATCCCCCTGTTTCCCACTTGTTGATTGTCTTTGCCCATTTTTCCATAATCTTCATGACTAAGTTGTACTCGATATCCTGCTTGACATTGATACCTTAAAAGAGAGGACAAATTTGCCCCCACCGTGATATGGGCATTTTCCTGAAATGGTAACCTCATGACCATCAACAAATTCCACTCGCTCTCAATTGAAACCTCGCCGATTTTCGAGAAGCCGCTCGGTCGGCGCCATAAGCAAGTTCCTCATCACAGTCGAGTATCTCCTTGATGAGAAGTCTCATTGAACCATTTAAGATTGCTGTGCAGCTTCACGACCATTTCATGCAGCGAGGTTCACTCTCGTGGACATTTGAAGCTGTAACATTACCTCTTGATCTGTCTCTTCGCGCTCGCTTCCCAAGCCAAAAACACGGCCCACCTTCATCTCCCCCTTGCCGAAGCGAGCGCCACAACACCAACTAGCGAAAATCCCATCCCAAATCCAGTAACGAAGCATCCACTTCAGCCTCATGGCGTTCACGACTGCAGCGCTTCATGTATTGGTTTCGGACGGTAAGTGAGGACTCAATTATCGATCCCGAAGCTAAGTTTTATCTCCCTTAACCTTATCCCTCCTCACAAATCGCGTCGATCATCCGTTGTTATCATTTCAAGATCGCGACTTACATTTCCCAGCATCAAGGGCCGTCTTCTGGGAAATCTTCACGATGCACGCCACTCTCTTCCTTCTAACTGTCATTACACTATTTTTCACATCTCCCATTCTTGCACAATATCCCAAATCCCCCAAACGCGGCCTCGTCTCCGTCTCAACCAACAACCCCCAAGACGAACCCATCTTCGTAAAACCAAACAATGGCCTCACATGGTACTACAATTACGGCATCTCGCCCACACCAGCCTACATCAATATCTCACAATCAGAAATCGAGTTCGTGCCCATGCTATGGGGCGTGAGTAACGTCACAGGCAGTACATTTCTCAAGAACGTCACGAGCATGATCGACAAGGGGAGGAATATATCGCATGTTCTGAGTTTCAACGAGCCGGATGTGAATTTCACTGCAAAAGGAAGCCAGGTATCTCCTGATGCGGCGGCAGCGAGTTGGATATTGAATTTCGACCCGCTGAGGAAGATGGGGATTAAGGTGGGGGCGCCGGTCGTATATGCGAATGACACTGGGTTTGCGTGGTTGGATAAGTTCTATGCGGCGTGCAATAAGAGGAAGTCGAATTGTACGGCGGATTTTATGAATATTCATGTTTTTGGGAACACGTCAGTTATTGATGCGTATCTGACGAAATACAAGAAGAAGTGAGTCTCGGTACTCTGGAAATGACATGAACGAGAGAGACTAATCGCTTTTAAGATATCCCGGCAAACCGCTCTGGATTTCGGAATTCGCGCTGGACTATTCTCCTGTCCTTGAAACCGAAGCAGCATTCAACGAGACAATTGCCATGTTTGACAACGATACAGCGGTAGAGCGGTACGCATACTTTGGATCGTTCAGGTCGTCGGATAGTGGGGTGGGGTGGAATGCCACGATGTTGGATGGGATTGGGGAATTGACGAATATTGGAAGTTGGTATTTGGGTGGAGGGATAGTGAAAGATGCGACTGCGACGAAGACTTCATCATCATCAGAGGCGACAAGCAGTACGAAGGATTCGGGGGCAGCGGCGTGGAGTGGTGGTCGCGGTGGTCGTCGTGAAATGCTTGGGATGATGATTATTTCGATTGTATTGGCGGTAGGATTACAGACTTAGCGTGGATATCCAGGTAATAATATGAGGTCCAAGATTATTTATATTACTCCAAATCGGGTAGCCGCCTCAAGTGGTGGGTTATCTGAATGGCCATGCCTGCTTCACGTCCTTCTGAAACCTCATTCCTAGTCAATGCCCCTCCCAGTCTGCCTTCTCCTCTCAAACACTATCTAAAATCAGTCTTTCAATTCTCTTGTTTTACTTTACAAGTCCTCTTCCCCTGCGAAGGATCAGTAGCCTCTTCAGGATATCTTGCAGACAACCCGTGTCGGCTCGCTGCCTCGCCCCTCACTAAACCACCCATCGTTTCCCTTCCTAGTCTGCTTCAAATCCCTGTAATGGGCTATCGAAACAAACATTCTCAAGTTTTGTCTTTACATTTCTGCTTTGCCTTCGAGGGCTGGCTTTCGTTCCGAGCAGCGAGACCTCCATTTACACGTGCTCAAATCAACAGTACCTGTCAGGTACGTACACTTTCGGATATTTGGTTCTCGCACACCCCCGGGTGATCTGAAAATAGAAATCATCGCTACAGTTCTATTTAGAACAGTCGCAGGGACTTTGGCGAATGACCAGGTGTTGTTCTCGCTGCGAAGCTCAGGTGTTGACAACGAACACGTGAGGTAAGGTCACGCGCACCAAGCAGACGACGATGTCTCAAAACACGAGTAGCTACACTGTTTAAAACACCTTGGGCTCGCATTCTATTCTTGGTTTCTCCGTGTTCAAACTCAAATTCCTGAAATAAGGCTGCTGTTTTGCTGAAAACTTTCAAGTGACAAGACAGCCCTCAAAACATCAACGCTAGATCCTGAAGTCATGAAGTCATGAAGAGCGATAGCCAAGCTAGAACGCGGTTTACGTCATCCAGTTCTAGCTCTTCCTCGTCGAGTTCCACTTCTAACGTGAACTACGCACGCATGAAGCAAGGCACTAGTACGGCAATCAAGAAATTCGGACCATTGCTCTTCACAGGTTTGGCTGCTGTGGTGGAACATCATTGGCTGAAGAAAGATGAAGATAACAATCATGAATCAGAGAAGAAAAGCTCAAGAGGAGGTCATAATCGTGAGATTCAGGATGAGAGGAAAAGGCGAGATCGGGGAGGCATGAGTGAGAGGGGAGAGGAGAGCAGGGAAGTGAGAGAGTTGAGAGAGGAAGTTGAGAGATTAAGAGGCATGAAGCAAAGCGATGGAAACCGAAACATAAACCCAAGCAAAAACACAAACTGGTCCAGAGAAGCCGAGAGGTCGTTCCAACCAGATCCCGTATCGATACCAATACCAATACCAATACCCCCCGGCTCAAACTCCCCCAGACCACCATCCCTAATCCGCGATCCACGAGCCCTACACGACGAATCCATACATCCTACTCACCCACACCCACACGACCACGAATACAAAGAAACAGAAGAACAGTTCATCAGAATGCCTTTCGCGCCCACACCTCCAATATCGTACACTCCTCCGTTTGTGTATGAATATGAACAATTCCCTAACATTGAAATGGAAAGAGAGGGGGGGAAGGAGAGGAGCGTGCCGAGACCGCCGCAGCTTTATGATCCGCCGAGCTCGAGAGGGAGAGTTTCAATAAGTTCGTCTTCATCTTCGTGCTCGTCTTCATCGTCGTCTTCGTCTTCGTCTTCATCTTCATCTTCATCGTCGTCTCCGGGGAGGTCTTTCTCCAGATATCGAGAACGAGACAAATATCTGCACAGAGATCGAAACATGAATCGAACCAAAAATCGAGGATTCCAGCGCTCGCCATCATATCCTGGTAATCATCGACCACAGCACAGACATCTCCCAGTGCCTCGAAGAATCCCACACCATCCTCATCTCGATCTCAATCTCAATCTCAACAAAGCCGATCCCATAATACACGCAACCCAAGTCGCCGTCACAGCCGGACTCGTCGAAGCACTGTACGTTAATGACGCGCCAGGGGAATGGATGGGAAGTAAGGGCGTGAGGGTGGGGACTGCAGCTGTAGCGAGTTTTGGGGGTGTGGTTGGGAGGGAGGAGATGAGGGGGAGGGAGAGGAGGGATGGGGTGGGGGTAGAAGGGGGGAGTGGAAGAAGGAGGAGGAGGATTAGGGATGTGCTTGTTGATATCGGGACGGGAGTGTTGGTTAGTAGGTTGGTTTTTGGGAGGGTGAGGGATACGGAGGGAGAGGGAAATGAAGATAGAGATGGGGAGGGAGATGGGCGGGTAGGGGGGAGGTGTGGTAACGAGGGGAGGAGGAAGAAGAGGGAGAGGTGGCGGAGTTATTGGTTTTGACTATTCTGCTGGAGAGGGGAGTTCTGTGTAGTTGTGCTTTGGAGTTGGGAGTTAAGAGCTTCGATCGAGTTGTGGATTCTAGGGATTTGTTTTGAAGTCATTATTGTTTAGTTGTTAATGATGTGATGTGATGTTTAAAATTATTTAGCGTAGATTATCTTTCACCATGATTTAATATCGAACTGGTGATGAAATCATCTTTTAATATAATTAGCCAGTGTATCTACATTGTCAGCTCAATTTTTTTTTTCTGAACAGTGACTTCATTCCTCGCCACTTCAGCTAAACTCCCCAACTCCCATATCCTCAAGTTCACAATGGTTCAGTATAACCACTCCTCAAGGGCGACCGCAAACGGTCCATCCATCATTTTGTTGCACATCGCATTCCACGCTAAAGATAGAGTTTCCAAATCTCCGCGCGCCTGCATGCAAGGCAGCCAGCCCTCTTTCAAGCTTTGCAAGTTATGGTGGATGAAAGCTGGTGTAGCCAATAATTATGATCTCCAGTGTTTGAACGCGCGCTTACAGTAGGACCGTGGATTTGGGAGGATTGTGGCCAATTGGCTGGAAGCGAGGGGGGAACGATGAGTAAGGAGAGGGGGCCAGGAGACAAGTTAGCATGGAGATAAAGCGGCTTACCGAGACCGTGGGTTTGGAATGGTGTTGGTGTTGGTATTGAAGGGCGGTGAGAGATGTTTTGTTGTTGGAGCCATGGCTGTAATATTTGGAGGCAGTGGTTGTGAAGCGAGGCAGCGACAGGCGAGGCGGTAAGTGAGGTGGTGGGATTGGGTGTTTGACTGAGGGTGTGTATCTTCAATGACAGACTAGAAAAATCAAGTAAAAAGCCTATTGGGGGTGCTGTAAACGGTGTATTCGTTTTGTATCTGGTGTTTATTTTCTTCTTCAATTGGATAAAACCCCCTGGTACCTGGCGTTTTCAACCTGTTGGTGCAAGCTTTAGTTCCACGGAATGGCGCCAGTTCTCCTTACGAAGATCGCAGCCGTAGCCGAGAATGCGGTGCATCTCTGCTTTATTCTTCTGCTGGACGTACCAATAAAATTTCTGAGCCGAAATTGAATGCATCGCGGGCTCTTCCTGGCAGGATTTGAACTTGAACAGTTCGAACTGATGCAAATCCCAGCCCAGACTCTCTGGCCTGCCTGTTGGGCCCCGCGGGAAATAGCCGATTTGAGGGTACAGGCCATCACCAAACCATCAAAAGGTCCTGGTGATGAAGTAGTATTATCTGCACGACCAATGATTTATTTTCTTTCAAATTAAAATATTAAACAGATTTAAGGTCTGTAATAAAGCTGTTGAAGTTATATCAAGTTGATATCAAATTTTGTTGTAGAGAATTCAACTGTTCAACTGTTGGCGAGCGTCCCCAAATCTCTACCACTTCCCGCGGGGGTGTAGAGCCTGCCTCAAGGTGAAGCGGATGGATGAAAAGGGGCTTAAGCGATCCAACCGCTGTACCTCCAGCGTGCAGATCATCTCCACAGCGATTTTTGGATACTACGGAGTAGAGCATGTTCTTTCATCTATCAAATTACAATATCAACCTTCACAGAGAATCGGCAGCATCTCGCATTGGATCATTCTCATGAAGCAATGCATTCCAAACATTTTCCTGTTATTCGTGGTTCAAATGATGCAACAACCCGACCCATCCCACGGTATGACTCAAACCCTCTTTCTTCCATCCCACGCCACGTAAGGCCCAAAGCAGGCACCCGCGCCCCCAACTAGCTCGCGCAGTGCCCAGGAACGCTTCGCCACCACAGCAAGAGAGGCACCCGGTTCCAGCAGCTCTTTCACAGCACCGCAACAAACGAAAGTGACTCAAACTTAAACCAAGCCAAAAGCATGTTCTTTGATAGCTGGATCTCGTTTAGGTGCTAGTCAGGTACAAAGCCACCACTATTGGCTGGAAGGATCAGGAGATGCGGGCTGGAGTTGGCGAAGTGCGGGGCAGGGCTGACTGACAGGCTGGTTTGATGGAATGGATGTGACTGCCTGATGAATGACGATGAAGATACCTAGGGATAAATAAGTAAACGGTCTCCCTCCTTGATCTCCTGTCAAGATTTTTCCCTATTGTCCATCGAGCCCTTCGTATTTTGGACAAATCGCTCAACCACATCACCGCCAATACCGACTTATCACTTCCGTCGATAAACCCCATCAAGGCAGCATTCGTACCACGCAACTACCCACAGCCCACATCGACCAAAATAATGGCGACCGATACCCCTCACAAGCAGGAATTCCGCATTCGAGATCTCTCCACTCGAAGCGTGCTCCTCTTCCCCTCCCGCGCCCAGGTCATCCGAGACATCAAGAACATCACCCTCCAACCAGGCGCCAACCAAATCGTGATCGACGGCCTCGCCCCACTCGTCGACGAGCACTCCATCAAAGTTGAAGGCACAGGCTCAGCAACCATCACAGACGTCACTGTTGATTTACTACCTAATCGTGAAGTCTACGAGGATGTGTACCCTTCCGACTCTGAAGACGAGGATGATTCCGAGTCAGAGGATTCAGATGCCGAGGTTGATGAGATGAAGCGTATTAATGATCGAATCAAGAAGTTGAATGTGCGGCTTCTGGATGAGCAGGAGAAAATCAACTCTGCTGCGAATCGGCTGAAGATCTGTGATAATTTCGGTAAGAGTGTTGAGACTGAACGACCTCCGCCTGCGGACCTCGATAAGTTGATTGCGGCGTACGATACTGAGAGGAAGAAGATCTATCGCGATCACGAAGCTGCCACTTGTGCTGTAGAGGATGTTCGAGAAGAGATTCGGAAGACGGAAAAAGAGAAGATGAAATTGGCGAAGGCGCTGGTGAAGGCTAATGAGAAGGCGGAGAAGGAGAAGTCGAAAGAGAGGGAGAAGAAATTGAGGAAGAAGGCTGAGACTGCGAAGGAGAAGCAGAGAATCAGAGCGGAGAGAGAATCGTTCTGGCCGAAAAAAGTTTACTGCATTACTATCAACTTGGAGCCATCCAGCTTGACGCCTGGCTCATCTAGGAGAAGCTCGATTGATGGAGATACCGTTGTCAATCTCGCCACTTCGGACTTCCATGAGCCATCCAATGCCCCGCTAAAGACTGGTGAGATCTCTTTGTCTCTGTCGTACATCACTCACGGTGCCTATTGGGCTCCACGATACGACCTCAGTCTCAACACCGTCAAATGTACTGGGGTCCTGGAATACGGCGCAGAATTGAAGAACACCACATCCGAAACTTGGCGCGATGCAAAAGTCATCCTCTCAACCTCCCAAACGACATTCAGTGGTCTGAGCGAGACCATCCCAATACTTCTACCCTGGCACGTCCGCTTGGAGAAAGGTGCTCGCAACGCAGACAGTTCTCTCTTCAGTCAACACGAGCTCCAAGCCAAACAGAAGGAATGGAGCCAAACAAAAGGCGACAGCAACCAGAAACCTCGATGGGAACTCTTCGGACGGGACGACTCATCGAGAAATGCGATCCTTGCCCAGCAAAATCAACAGGTTGCTGCGAAGAAATCCGCACGCCTCAACCAAGCCCAGAACATGCTCAGCCGAACAAGCCACGCTATGCCTCAGATGTTTGGTTCCGCACAAGCAGCAGTTCCACCTCCCCCTGGCGGCGCCTTGTTCAGTGCAGTTTCTCGTGCTCGAGGCCATGATATTCAATCCGAAGCATATGATTCACGTGGTGGCAGCCGCTTCCTGCGCGAAGAGAAAGAGGAAGAAGACGACTCCGACGGCGACATGGGCTACGCTCTCTTCGACGAGGCAACTCCCGCCCCCAAATCTCTAACCTTCGAAGAAGGAGCTTGGGAAGAAACCGGCATGACAACCACCTACGACGTCCCCGGCACCAAGACCCTCTCTCCCAACAACTCGACCATCAAGCACAAGATCGCCAAAATCGATTTCAAGAACATCATCTTCTCGCACATCGTCGTCGGCAAGCTCAGACAAGTCGCTTTCCTCAAAGCTCGCTTGAGAAATACATCCAAAATCACCCTTTTGAAAGGTCCACTGGGCTTAACACTCGACGGATCTTTCCTCGGCCAAGCATCCTTCCCGCGCTGCTCGGCCGGGGAATCTTTCTCGCTCCCTCTCGGCGTAGACCCAGCTATCAACATTGCATACCCCAAACCAACCGTCCGCCGCAGCCAGACGGGGATCTTCTCCAAGGAGGATAGCAACGTGTTTACCCGCACGGTTGTCATCACGAACACGAAACATAACGCCCCGGTTGAATTGACTGTTCTTGATCAAGTGCCTGTCTCAGAGGACGAGCGCCTGAAGATCGAGATTGCGAGTCCGAGAGGACTGAAGATTGGTGGCGAGCCGGTGAGGGCGGGACAGAGTGCGTTTGCGGGTCCTGTGACTGCTGTGGCGAGCTCATCGGGTAGTGTCAGAGGTGCTGGCACGGCGAAGGATGTTAGGGCTAGTGTGTATGGAACTGATGGGAATGGGAAGGAGGCTGCGCAGAATGGGGGGAAGTGGGGGAGTGCGGTGGCGACGACGAAGAAGGGTGGGGAGGTGGTTTGGAATGTTAAATTGAATCCGGGGCAGGGCGTTAGGTTGGTTTTGGAGTATGAGGCTACGTTTCCTGGTGGGGAGAGAGTTGTTGGTGTGCCGGTGTCGAGGAATCAGAATGGGTTGTTTGATTAGGTGGTTGCTAGCGTGCACGATCAGATTGCTGAGACGTCTGAATAGGATGAGTTTATGATTGGGATTCGTGGATGTTTGTGGTAATCTGGATGGAAACATAATTAGCTTACATCAATGGATATCATTCTCCCAGGCCCCCTTTTCTTCATGTTCTTTCTCATCTAAAGCTCTACACGCTCGAAGCAAGTGCTAGATACCGAGTGGGTGATACAAATATATGTATACCTACCTACCTCTATATCAAAATCAACATGAACCCCTCTACCAAATTTGCTGAGCTAAGGCGACTATTCGCAAAGAACCCCAGCCTGTACACCAACGCTCAGGTCCACCCCGAACTGCTTCACATTCCTCTAAAGCACGAACGACATTCATATCTCTTTCATCTGTCCCCAATTTCTTACCTCTCTCTCTACCTAGGTACCTTACACTGTTCTCATCCCACGGCCTTGCTAGGCTAGGCTACGCGAACATTAAGCCGCCGCCCAACGAGGAGGAGCTATCTAGGTAGCGACTTCCACCCACCCCGCCAAGGCTGGGCTGCCTTCCTTCCCACTGTACAACCGGGTTCGGTCTTTATTTTCACTACTTCGAAAGTACATACCTAGGCACCAACACGAAATCCAACTTCTCTCTTTGTTCGAATACACTGAACCAGCCTACAACTTTCGTGTCGGTCTTCCTCGAACTTTTGAGATACAGAAGGGGGAAGTTGAAGCGTTGGGGGGATCGTTTACTTTTGCGTTCGTTCGGAGGGTTATGAAGGAGGGTTTGTTGAATTTGAGGTCACCTTTCGCTTTGACAACGCGCGTCTATTGTGGCTTATGCGAGATTCTCCTTTCAATTGCGGAGTCGGCGGTGTTTTCAAAGGCTGTTTTGAAGGCCGTTTCAAAGGCCGGGATTCGAGGTTTGGTGTTTACCTTCACCTTCTTCTGCACCGTGTTCTCTCCCAGAGAGAAGACAGAAGCTACTGGTGTCTGTCTGTCTGTCCTCACAAGGTTAGCTTCGAATTCATTTTCGGCTAAACGATAAGGTGCACTTCGAAGTTATGAAGCAACTCCTAGACGCCTCTTCTTCAGCAAGTCGATCTGGGCCCCCTTCGTGAACAACCAGGCAAGTTTAGACAGTTCTTCACCAGCTTATATCCAGCTGACATCTCAAGACAGAACCAATCCTCGAAAACTGCCCGCAGTCTCTCGAAATGGCCAAATACTACTGCTGGGACTGTGACGGTCGATTCACCAGTACTGAAGCTCTTCAATCTCACTGCAGCGCAAAGAAACACATCCAAGCCATTGAATGTCCCCATTGCGACCTGCTTGTTGAAACTGCCAAAGAACTCTCCCAACATACAAAGGCCAAGCACATGAACAAATGCAACGTCTGCCGTACCGACTTCAACTCCATTGACGCCTTGGTAGCACACAATCGAGCTAAGCACGACATTTACTGCTCTGTCTGCAAGCTCGGTTTCCAGAACCCGAAACACTTCGAGGACCACAACAAAGCCAGACACCAGAAGGCTTGTGAGTTCTGCTTGGCATTCTGCTCGTCAGACAAAGAACTTCAAGCTCATGTGGCTGAGAAGCATACCTTTCCTTGCAAGGAGTGCAAGAATAGGATCTTCAAGTCCAAGGACGCTCTAAATTCTCACCAAAATTCGGATGCCCACCCCTTGAAGTGCACATTCTGCCATGCTCGCTTCAAGACTGATGACGGCCGTACCGAGCACTACTCGACTGCGCACTTTCGTTGCGATAAATGTCCTTTGATCTTTGGAACATGGGCACTTCGAGGCGAGCACATTCTTGATAAACACACCTTCGGTTGCCCATGGTGCGAAAAGAAGTTCGACAGCGAAAAAGGCCTCAAGACACACAAGACTGAATCCCATCGACATTCTTGCAAGACCTGCCAGAAGGTTCTGCCAAGCAAAGAAGATCTTCAAAACCACCTCGTCAAGAGACATTCATTCGAGTGTTCTGAATGCAACCTCAAGTTCAAGTCTACCGACGAGCTATCAAGCCATAACTTTGCTAGCCATGTTAACCGCTGTGAGGTTTGCTCCGTCCCTTTGGCTATCAATGATAAGAAGTCCAAGAGACACGAATTCGGCTGCGTCAAATGCAACAAGTGTTTCCCTTCCATTGAGGCCAGGGATAAACACAAGAGCAAGGAACATGCTTTCACTTGTGTGAAGTGTGGTCAGGACTTCAAGACTATCGTCAAGCTTGATGAACACAAGACCGTTGCTCATGGTTTCAAATGCACCAAGTGCGCCGAACTATTTAGATCGGAGTCAGCACTCGCAGAACATCACAAAAATGTTCACCAATTCTCATGCCGAAAGTGTGAAGAGAAGTTTGACGCGATAAATGAGCTCCTTCGACATGTAGAGCTGAATCACTTTCACCAATGCGATTCTTGCAAGGCAACATCTGGGGACACTGAAAACTTGGAAGCCCACAAGACGGCTCACCACAATGCCCTGAAATGCGGTGTCTGTCCCGATATACTCTTCCTCACACAGGATGCTCTCGAAGCCCACGCCACCGCAGTTCACGAGAAGCAGCAGACACATACTTGCCATCACTGCAAGGACATTATTTTTCTCTCTGTAACTGCCCTCAATCAGCATACTACTTCCTTCCACGATAGACGCTTCAAGTGCTGTCTCTGCGATGACTTGCCATTTCTGACACAAGACACTTTCGATGAACACTTGAAGACAACACATGAGAAGAAGCCCGTTTTAACATGCGAATCCTGTATCGATACCGTCTTCCTCAGCGAAGGAGCCAAAGCCCTCCACTCCGTTGTAATCCACGGCGACACCTCAACCGTAGCATGCGCACTCTGTAGCGAGCTAGCCTATCCTCCCGCCTCGTCATCCTCTTCCAACGATCTGCTCACGATTCACGAGGAAGCAGAGACAAATTCAGATCCAGAAGCAGATTTCGAACCCAAGCAAGAAACCTGGGAATGCCATTACTGCCCCAACAACCCCAATCACCCGTATCTCACGCAACTCAGTCTGCTCGAACATGTCATCACCAACCATCTAGAAAAGCTACACCAATGGTGCGAGCAATGTCCTGAGACGTACTTCACCACCATCCCAGCCTACGAATACCACCTCCGTACCTATCACCCCTGGCCAAAGGAAGACGAAGACATCACGGTTAACGACACCCTCCCAGCCAAGGCTACATTCACCTGCCCACACTGCCCCAACCACCAATGCACCACACCAGGAGATCTCACTACCCATCTATCAGACTCCCACGGCTATAAATGCCCCTTCTGCTTCACCAAATTCGAAAATAACTATCAACTGGTTCAGCATATCGACGCTATGCATTTGCTGAAATGCTCCTTCCATGAGTGTCTAGGAACGGGATTCAAGGGTGAGGATGCGCTGAAGAGACATCTTGCGAGGTTCCATACGAGATTTGAGACTGTTGTTGTGGGTGAGAATGGTGGTGCAGGTGGTGGTGGTTCGACTTCGAGTGAGGATGTGGGTGCGAGTCCGTCGGTTAGTGATGAGGTTGATGTTGGCGAGGAGGGGGATTTGGTGCTGGGTTGAGAGATGAGCGGGTCGGAATTACGGGTGCTTGAGTTGTTGCTCTCTGTTCGTTTTGATTTGCGTGCTCTCGGCTCGCTCTGGAGTTTGTTGTTGTTAGAGTAGATACCCGAGATTTGCTGGAGTTGAGGGGGATTTGACCGTTTGAATGTGCTGGGGAGGTCATGGGACTTTGAGATTGAAATGTGGAAAGGATGTGAGAATTGCTGATCCATTCAATGTTTGTATGTAGAGTGATGACTATCAAAATCGCTATTTGAATGTGGCAAATGAATTTCGTGACATCAAAAGCTCCATTTTTATGGATAACATTAGGAGCATCAATGACGGGTGAAAGCTGGATCGTACATCCCAAAGAAGGTCAATGTTACAGCCTCGGGGTTAAAACTTCCTACAAATCGATTATACATCCTCCCACTATTCTCCATCTCGTAGTACGAAACTACACATATCATGAGACTGTATCTTGTACCAACTTGTCCGTCCAATCAAGCCAGATGGACATCTAATTTGCAAGATAGTACAAGCTGGTCCTGATTATGTCCACCTACTTACTATATCGCATCTCATGAAGATCCTCTGAAATTTTCCATTGCTATACGTTTCCTTTGTTGCTCTCAACTCGAGTCTTGTTATGCTATCTCCATGTCGGATGCCCACGCCCACGCTTCCACGCCGCCTGTCGCCTTCACTTCACACCGGCCGTTATCAAAACTCCATCCCAAAAATTTGAAGCTTCAGACTCCAGAATTTAGACTCCACACTTTGATGCAAACTTCCCAACTCCAAACCCCCAACTCCAAGCCTCGAAACCGGCGCTGAACCTCCATCTCACGTAATCAGAATCTTAAGTCCCTCATCCAAATCCTTCCTTGCTTCCTTTCCTGCCATTCTTCCCACTTCCCACCATTTTCATCTCACCATCCTCACCATCCTATCTCATCTCATCTCCATTCCACCCCTAAAAAACCCTCCACTTCTCAACCCCCCAGATCAATCAAGACTCTCACCCCCCACAAGTTAATCTGCAGTAATCACTTCAAACCTGTCTCCTCCACTCCGTACAACCCGCACACTTCTCATGCTGGCATTTATGACAGGTCGGGGAGTCGGGTGGGTTTATGGTTCCGCACTACACTTACACTTGTTAACAACCAGTCCACCAATCGAGTTACTAAATACAGCAAAAAATAATCTAGAGGAACGACCAAAACACACAATAATTCCGCAGAAAATGAGCTGACGGGAACTGAATTGAACTGAACAACACAGCATTGAATCGAATGATATGGGAATCAAGTCCTCGAATCAACCCCCCTCCCCCCTTTCTCATTCCAGTCCTCCTTCCTCTTCTGCTTGGGACTGCAAGCCTCTGAAGGTTCAAGGAAGTAAGTGTGGAAAGGAAACTACAATAAAAGCTAGAGATAGGGAAAGCTGAAGCCAAGATCATCGCGCGGGGGTAGGAGCAGAGTTTGAGATGATGTTGTAGAAAGTGTAAGATAGGACGATATAGATATACGCACGGATAATTGCCGACCAGGCGTATACGAACAGCAGCAGATCCAGAATTCATTCGGCACCACCACCACTTGTATCCTATTCCCCATCTGTGACTCGCATTCACGTTCGGGTTCGGGTTCGGGCCCGAGAATATTCACCACCGTCGCCGATGTGTAGATCACCAGCTCCATTTGGGGCGATTCTCTGAACTGTGTGCTTGTGTGTGTGCTTGTCTGGAGCGCTGGGAGATGGTGATGATAGTCATCGGGATCCATTCTTTTCTTTTCTTTTCTTTTTCTTGAAGGATATATATGGCTTCGATGTAGGTTTATGTGAGGGAGAGGGAGAGGAAGCGTGGAGGATTGGGATATAGGTAGGGTAGGTGAGGTGGATCGTATAGGTGGTTGATGAGGGAAGATAGTGGGAAGGGATGGAAATCAAGATCGAAAAGCAGAGAAGAAGAAGGAGAAGGAGGAGAGGAAGGAGAAGACAGAAAGGCAAAGAGGGAGGGAAAAGCGCAAAGTACTATGAGTTCCAATGGAGGGGAAATGATAGACATGACATACACATAGTACAGAAGTCAAGAAGAGATGTCACGCGTACTTGCCTCACAAACGTGGAAGGAGGTGATAGGCGCGAGACATCACGATAGATAGAAGCGCTGCTTGGCTGTGAAGCCATTGCATTTCTCCCGTGATTGAGTACCACCCCGATTCTTCCTCTGGGCAGTCCAAACCCTCCCTGGTTTCTATCCCATATGCTGGGTGGCTACATGTCATGGTGGCGTCCAATTATATCACCGCGACGACAGACCCCCGATCAGGAAATTGGCTCTCCTCAATCCAATTCTCCCAGAACTTCAAGCCTTCAATGCCTTCTTCCCTACAAAGTGCCCCTTTCTCTTCAGCCATCTCGAGTTCTTCCTCTGCAACACCAATACTCCATCCAAACCGCTCAGCAGCATCTTGGGCCGTCACTCCACGGCCAAAAATTTGCCAGTCCCAGGGTAGGTCTTTGTCTGGTGGGAAGACGTGGAGATCGTTCAGCCAAGCTAGAAGAGTTCTGATAGTCTTCTCGTCTGTTCGGTCGCTGGATTGAACGACCAAGACACCACTCTTGAATTGTCGTAGGCGGACTGGAAGGCGGAGTTTCTCCCAGAGACGAGCAGCTTTCTCGAAGTCTAAGGGGCTGACGAGTTCGACGCCGCCGCGGGCACGATTGAACACTGCCCAGAGGTCTACCAGACTGATGATTCCGCCTGCTTTGCGGAGAACGCCTCGGGCGTCATCGGTGAGGAACTCGGCAAGGTTGCGGGATAGCTCAGAGATGTAGAGCGATTCGGAATTGCTGCCTCCTCCGAGCATGTCCTTTGTAGTGACCAACCCCAGAGCATTAGCAACAGCATTTGTTTCAGCACCACCTCCATTGGATGAGAATGATTCTGCCAAGGCAACAATCTCTTTTGCTGAGGCCATCAAGGCTTCCAAGTCCTCAAAAGCATTCCCAATGACAAGCTCGTTATTCTTTCGCATATCGAGACGTCGTTGTTCCAGTCCAGCAATCCCAACAGTCTTCACTCGCTCCCCTGTTGGGGTTGATGTTCCGGATCTGGAGATCGTTTGCTCCGCAGCAGTTGGGACAGGAGGCGCACCTTGTAGAAGCCATTTCCTCTGTTGCATTGAACCTTTCAAGCGTTCGTAGAAGATCGGCCCGCCACCAGCTCGGAAAGACAGTTTGATATTCTCTCCATTTTCAGCTGTTGGGAGATGGAGAGATTGTAGGATCGGACCAGGAGATTCCGATCGTACTGGAGGCTTGTCAAGACCTGATGGGATATCTTGTGAAATCAATGGAGCACCGCAGAGCTCACAGGACAGCAGCGAGGGATGGTTGAGAAATGTGCATCTGGGACACTGAAATGAGGCTCCTACTGCAGCTTGAGAGGCTGCAAGCTGCCCGGAAGCTGTTGGGCCGTCTGGCCATGTGTCTGATTGCGGTCGAGGCGCATCTGTCCTACCACGAAGAGGTATTGGAGCCCTGACAGGCATAGGAGGAGCAGCAGGCCTGTTTGTTGCATTCGATATGGCCGCCTTCATCACCAACGCAAACGTTGGTTTTATTCCACACGCCAAACATGGTGCTAATGGTGTACGTTCGTTCGCAGTATGTGGGTCGAAGTTCGAAGGGACTGGATTCGAGAAGGAGCATATGGTGCATATCCAAGTCGCCGTACTCGCAGGAGATGGTTCGGGAGTAGGCAGATGGAATGGACTGTCGGTACGAGATGGCGACGAAGTTGCGCTTCTAGAAGGGCCACTGAGGCTTGATACTGCTCGGTTTTGTATGGAGGATCGTTTGACAGGTTTGGGAACAAGGGTAATCTTTGGAGACGACTTCAAGAAGCCACCCTACATTGCATCTTAGCAAACGGAAGACCTTGGAAGATGTTTGATAGTAAATCCATACATAGAATTCATATCGTTCCACATATTTCAGATCAATAGCTGTAGAGTTCTTTCGAGGATCTCCATTGTCCACGTAACAAATGCGATGCGAGGTCAGATACACTTGTCCGTTCTGATGATCCGGGATCTTGAACTTCCTGCAAGTATCCACGTCAGCTTTATTGTCTATGAGACTCCATGCAGCATCCCGTCTGCATTTGCGCTGCATCCGCATCTGGGACAAAGTCTACGTACCCCTCATAGAGCCCAACATTGTCTTGGACAAAGAGCAAGACCTCATCTGGCAGATACGACGGTCGCAACGCAGTAGTGAGGTCTATGTGTTTAAGAAACATCCGGCCCAGCCAGTCTTGTGGCTGTTTGAAGTGGTCGCGTGAGGATATGAATCGTAGACATTGGCATGGAAGGGGACCAAGAGGGGCAGAATTGATGCCTGCTGGTGCTTGGATATCGTGGTACAAGTACAGCTCGTGCTTATCGATAAACAGCTGGTGATAGAAGATACGCCTATGGTCGCTCCAGGCGGCAGAGTTCCGCACGCTAATACCCGAGGCGATGCTCGCATTCAAGAGTGTCTTTCTTCCTTTCACAAGATACCTCTTCCTACCTACACTTCAACGAGCCTCTCCAATTCATCGCATCTCATCATCCTTCCATACATATACACAAGTTTCAGTAATTGAAAAACAACTATTCTCACCCCAAGTTACTTAAATTGCCTCACTAACAAAGCTACATTCCACTCCATCCCGTGTCCATTTTGGAGGTTCACCATAATGTATTTACCTTATGTGTTTATCCTGCCATAGTCTACCCGGAAGGTAAGTGATATCCTGCTATATGAAGCATTTCAATATTATATATGAAAGATAGAAGAGTCTCAACCTTCTCGAGTAAGTGCTCTTCCGGATTTTGGCAGCCATCCTCTTTCCAGCTAGTGTAGTTTTGTTTTTATGGCGCAATTGGCCATGTTGATTAATTATCTCGGGCCGGCGCGGGGAACGTTTATCTTCACATCTACCCCGGACTCATACCTTATTGTCCAAGATAAGGCTCAACTCACACTTCCCCACATCATACTCATGTTCCACAAATTCTCAATGATTCTGTAAAGACATTTCCCCAATAAATATCCCCAATCTCACAATGCCATCACCCTCCCTCACTGCTAGCCTCCTTCCCACTCTCCTCGCCGCCCTTCAAGCCTCCCTCTCTGTCCTCCTCGTCCTCCTCTTCGGCTCTCTCTCTGCACATCTTTCTCTGCTGTCCTCCCAAACAGGAAAAGCTCTCTCCAAGCTCTGCGTCAAGATATTCCTGCCCGCACTCCTGCTCACCAAGATCGGGTCTGAGTTGCATTCCGGGTCAGCGCACCGCTATGTATTGATTCTGATCTGGGCGTTTGTGTGTCATTTTTTGAGCTTCTTGATCGGGGTAGCAGCGCATTGGGGTGGGGGAATGCAGGATTGGGTGACGGCTGCAGTGATGTTTAACAATACGACGAGTTATCCGTTGTTGTTGATTCAGAGTTTGGATGAGACGGGGATATTGGAGGGGTTGTTGGGGAAGGGGGAGAGGACTAGGGAGGTGAGTTTGGTGCTGCGCTTCTTTCTAGTTCTTGTCGCTCTCTTTCTTCTTTTACCTTTGATTCTGATGTCGAAGAACTGGAATACGCAGAATGTGGTCCCCGAAGAAGTTTTTATTTTTAAAGTCTCATCCTGAGAATCTTAAAGGCAGTGAAACTAAACTCCTAGACAGGCAATCGAGCGGGCGAAGAGCTATTTTCTTGTCTTTGCTACGGTGAGCAGCTGCTTGACATTCGCCGTAGGACCGAGATTGATCGATTCCGAACACGCCCCTGAAGAGGAAGACGACGACAGGAAGGACCCTGAGGATGATGATGATGAAGATGACTCTCCCATTGGGCAAAATACCCTCCAGGCTCAAGACCGTGAACGGAGTCACTCTCCCACCGAACGCTCTGGTCTCCTGCTCCCACCGCAATCTCAAAATCATCAGTCCCGCCGCCCATCGTCTACACCAAACTCCTTCTTCCCATCTCTCAACCGCCCCTCCACACCAGAACCTGCATCCGAACCCATCTCATCCGCCTCAGTCCGCCGCCCGTCCTTAATCCCCAAACACCACTGGCTAACCCTCACGCCTCGTATCCAATGGTGGCTCCTCTTCCTCTGGGATTTCATCAACACGCCCCTCATCGGCGCCCTACTCGGCGCATTCATCGGGCTCATACCATCTCTCCACCGCGCGTTCTTCGCAGACACGAAAGACGGAGGAATTTTCACCGCGTGGTTGACTGCTAGTTTGAAAAGTATTGGTGGGCTGTTTGTGCCGTTGCCGGTGGTTGTTGCTGGGGGGAGTTTGTATGGGTGTTTGATTGAGATGGTGAGGGTGAGGAGGATGAAGAAGGGAGGGGACGGTGCTGAAGATAGAGAGGGAGAGGGAGAGAATGGTGTGAGGGGAGGGGGAAGGAGAGAAGGACAGAGCACAGAGGTATTAACTACGATTTTTGTTCTGGTTGTGAGGTTTGTGCTGTGGCCGGTAGTGAGTATTGCTACAATTTACTGGATGGCGAAGAAGTCGGATTGGTTGGGAGATGATCCGATGTTGTGGTTTGCGATGATGCTTATGCCGACTGGGCCGCCTGCTATGAAGGTATTTCTTTCCCCTTCCTCTACATTTCTCCTCAGTAGGATGAGCAGATGTTGCATGTTCCTGAGGGGATTTGAGATCATCTCTGCTGTACTGATACCTGCTGATACACTCTACCAGTTGATCACAATGGTACAAGTCAGCTATGCCAATGAAGAAGAGGAACACAAAATTGCGAAGTTGTTGACTGTGAGTTGCCCACCTAAGTTATTCCCTCTCACTATCATCTTTTTATTGTACTTGTACGTCGGAAATCTGTTTTGACAGAACGGAAATAGATATCGTACGCTATCTCGCCTATCTTAGCGTTCACTGTCGTGGGCGCTTTCACAGCTAGTCGGGCTGCTATGGAGAGTTAGTGTTAGTGAGGTGTTTTTGGGTTAGAGGGCGCGAGTAGGTGTAGAAGTAGATGGCAGAGGTGGTTGGCTAGCTGACTGAGAGGTGAAATACTTGAATAGAAGTAGAAAAGAAGCAAGCTTTAGTAAAGAAAGATCAGAAGTCCATCCGATTTCCTAGCAGTCCAGCTGCAATCCTTAAACTCAGACTTTGCTAGAAATTCAATAGAATCCTCAAATTCTGTCGCGGCAAGTTTCCTATCCTCCAAGGCTACTTTCAAAATGAATATTGCTTCGAAGATAGTCGTGTCTCCGCTTGACTTTGACACCATAATTTGAGAGAAGAGCAGGGCTTAGAATGGACTTCCATCGTTCTGACTCGAGGTGTCGAAGTTCGGAGTTTCTCAGGCAATCATATATTTTTGTGCGTATTACATATTGTCAGCGTGTCCGAGGGAGCACGTAGACATGGTAGGTGGACTGTACGAACTCTAATCAAAACAAGTCTACCTTTAGCGAGCTATGTTGTCAGCACTATGCGACATCAGCAGGGTGGATATCTTATCTTCATCTCCATCCCACTTTCAAACAAAAAGTATCAAAACCTCCCCAGGGAAAGGAACACCGGCTCATTCTCATCATCAAAATAAAAATCTGCTTAGAACAAATCATAAAAATAGCCTCCTTAGAACAACACACAAAATACATCACATCAGCAAAAAAATGGCCGAGTCCCCAGAATACAAAATCTCACCCGTCACCCCCTCCGACCTCCCCTCAATCGGCACCCTCCACGCCCGCGCCTTCCACCCCAAAAGCACCTGGCACCTCAAAGTCTTTCCCCCATCCCTCTCCCCCTGGTGGTCCACCAAATACTCCCTCGACATCGCCTCCCCTAACATGCACATCCTCAAAATTTCCCCATCCCCACCACCTGCAGACTCCCCTCACACCGTAACAGGCCTCCTCTTCCTCCGCAAATACAGCGGCCTCGACAACAACACCAACACCAACACCTGGCTCTCCTTCCCCCCACCCCCAGAAATAGTCGATCCCCAGACCTACAAAGCTCTAATCGACGCTATGGTTGAGTACCGCGAGAAATACATGTATGGCAGAGAGCATTTCTGTATTGAGCATTTTGGGGTTGATGCTGAGTTCCAGGAGAAGGGGTTGGGGAGTGCGTTGCTTGGGAGGGCGTGTGGGATTGCGGATGCGGATGGGGAGGGACTGGATGTTTTTGTGCAGGCGAATGAGTTTGCGGAGGGGTTTTATAGGAGGTTTGGGTTTGAGAGTGTGGGGAGGAGGGGGATGCCGGGGGGGTTGGTGGAGTGTTTTCTTGTGAGGAGGGAGGGTGGTGGGAGGGGGGTGTGATAGGGAAAGGGAAAGGGAAAGGGATGCTGGTGTAGAGGTAAGGAGTATAGATTTTGTTTATTCATAGTTCTATATAGACGCAGCTCGGGTTTCACGAAGAGTATGAAGCTTTAGTATGAGAGATGTCGAAAATATAATTGTGACATTCTAATAAGCGAAAGAAAAATCGAAGAGTAGCCGATGCGGGTATCAACGAACCCCAAATACAACAACCATAACAATGCATCATCTACAACAGACTTCTCCCCCTCCAGCCTACTATCAATGACAGCTCAATTCTGCAAACCACCCCACCCAACTTTCCCCACGCTCTCCAACCTAATACCTAGCCCCTCCATAATCTTTGCATCAAGCACCCCCCTCCCATCAAATACCCATTTTGGTTTCTGCAGACGATATGCAATCTTGTTCCAGTCTAATACTTCACCGACGCCGTTCTTCTCTCGACTCGAGCTGTTTCTATTCGCCTCGGAGACTTTGGAACATTCGGTGCATTCTTCTGGACAATCAGGTTGCGGAAGCAGGCATTGGAGAGGATCTGAAGTTGAAGTTGACAGTACTGAAGTCGGAGAGAGATGGTTGTTGAGCCTAAAGAGTTCCGTCTCTGTCGGTTCGAGGGAAGTGAATGGTCGGGGATCCCTGCTACCGCTTTTGGTATTCTTGCAGAAGGAAGACTCGGATGATGCGGATGATGTCTTGAACTCATCACATTCCGTCAAAATCAAGACCCCAGAACTGCCCTCGCAAGCAGCATAGACATCCTCATAAACCTCCACACATCCTCCATTCTCTCTCAGCGCTTCTTTCCCAACTAATTTCTCAATTTCGCTCGTGATTTGACTTGGCGTACAGTAAGGATCATAAACAGCGATCTCCATCGGCCCCTCCTCAAGAAGAATCTTGATACATTCCAACGCCGGCGACTCCCTCGTATCGGCCGTTCCCTTCTTGAATGCATACCCCAGAATCGCCAGTTTCTTGCCAACAAGCGTCCCATTTAGACAGCGAATCACCCGCCGTACAAAACGCGTTCGTTGCCAAGTGTTGATAGTAAGAACTTGAGTCCAGTACTCCGCGACTTCATCGAGCCCCAATGTCTCGGCAAGGTAGACTAGACTAGAAATATCTTTACGGAAACATGACCCCCCGAAGCCAATACCTGCTTGTAAGAATCTCGACCCGATCCGTGGATCTGAGCCGATAGATTGTGAGATCTCGGAGATGTCAGCTCCTGTCTTTTCGCATATCGCGGAAATGGAATTGATGGATGAGATGCGCTGTGCTAGCATGGCGTTGGCAACTAGCTTTGAGAGTTCCGACGACCAGGTATTGGTGGTGATGATTCGCGAAGGTGGGATCCAGGAGTAGATTGAAGCAAGTGTTGAGGCGGCAGCTCGTCCAGATGGGGTTGCTGAGCTGCCTATGAGTATTCGTGGGGGGTTGAGAAGGTCGTTGATTGCTGTTCCTTCGGCCAGGAATTCTGGGTTGGAGAGGATTTCGAAATGCTCGTTTGGACGGTAGACTTGTAGCTGTGCCATGTTAGATGGAATGAAAATATTGGTGGGATCCAAGACGTACGGTATCTCGAATCAGTTCTGAAGTCCTGCATGGAACTGTACTCTTTTCAACTAGAATCGCCCCGGTCTTGGTATGTAGAGCAATCTCTTTTGTGACAGCCTCCAAAGCAGTGACGTCTGTTGCTCTGCCTGCACCCAAGCCCCTCGTCTTTGTTGGCGTGTTCACCGCGATGAGCACGATATCAGCTTCGCTGATACATTTTGAGACCTCAGTAGAGAAGTGCAGATTTGGACTTCGTGCTGGGATATCTATCTCGCTGAACTCCGCACACTGACTCTCACATTCTGATGTTGTAGAGCTGGACGAAGACTCGGTCGATGAAGATGAAATCTGGTGGGATTCGTGCGAAATATTACATGTTCGAGAACCATCTCGGCCGATCCGGAGGATGTATTCAAGTCCAGGTTCGTGAATAGGTAAGTGTTTGGAGTTCCACTGTGCGATTCTCCTTGGATCTCGATCCACGACTGCCACCTTAATGTGCGGGTTTTGGAAAGCTATCATGGCTGCCGTGGGACCACCTATGATTCATTAGCTCATGAGGCATCTACCGATACAGAGGTAATGATGTACCAACATATCCTGCTCCAATGCAGCAGATGTTCTGTATGGTCCTCGCACTTGCCTCATTTTCATTTCGGGATATTGTGACTTTACTCGACATTGCCACGTTGATACTCACATCTTCCAGCGCATCTTGGAGTTTCATGGCTTGTAGAACTGGACTGAAAGTCAAACTGCCGTCTGGAGTGGTTGGTGCTGTTGAAACGTAGTTGCAGTTGTGCTCCGAGTCCGCCTCTGAGACCACGTTCGGTCTTTGTCCGTCCATTGTTGAGTCTCTGAGCCTTGCGCTTCAGACGGTACTGCGCTCGTCAGTAATAGAAATCACAAGGCTGTACTGTACTATTAATACCCGTGAAAGAGCTTCCGATGATCCTTTGATCACGCATGCAATTATGGAAAGCAGATGGTCTTAGAGACTCTGTAACTATAAAAAAACAAATGTCTGTCCGAAAGAGAAACGGTCACACAGCGCGAAGAATATAAACAGAAAGACGCGCATATGCAGAGCTGTATGTCCGGCAATCGCGACTCACCGTTTACTACTTACCTTATCTTAATCACCAAGGATCCCGTCACAAGGTTAGGCAACCTTTTGCAGAACTCAAGACACAAACCGAGGTCGGAATCTCAAAACAAAAGAAAAGCGCTTGAAAGCCAATAAAAAGTAACACGTTCTCAAGGCTGTGGTACAATTATCGAACACACAGAAACACAATGCAATGTTGACAAAAGGAGGGGTGAAGGGGTCGTCGGAATGTTGTCAGCCTTGCATCCATAGAACTGACCCACGTGGGGCTAGTTCTCGGCTGTCAGTTGCCCACCCTATTGGACCCCCAACACTAGAAAACAACTCCAGCCAATGAAATCGTATCTTGGAAAACGAGATATCAGGATGCATGTTGGATGGCAGGAATGTTGTGGTGATCTTGGGGTGTTGCTGAGACGCATCGAAGTGCCGTGTGGCTTCAAGTGTCAGGTGGGTAATGTCCAGAGTCATGACGATGCACGCGAGTCGTTCCGATAAATGCCTCTCTCCGCGTGAAAATGAAGAAGTCTCGAGAGAGTTTCTGAAAATTCGCATTCGAAAATTTTGGTTCTGTCGAGTCAGTCAATATGGCGGCCCCAAGCGAAATACATACTGGCCTGCCCTTCCCGGAAGTCCTACGAGGCAAGAAAGTCCTCCTCGCAACCGAATCCTTTGGCCCCGTCAACGGCGTCAGCAGAACAACTCTCAACCTCGTCACGTACCTCCGCTCCCAAGGCGTGAACGTCGCCGTCGTCGCCCCAGAAATCAGTACCAGCAACTCTTCACCACCAATCTCGTCAACCACCACGCCCAACAATGAAATCGAAATCCGTCTCCAAGGCTACCCGCTCCCATACAACCCCGAACTTTCAGTCGTGTACCCCGTCCGTCTCTCAGCTCTCTACAACCGCACCTTTGGCTCCCAGCCAGATCTCATCTACCTTGCCAGCCCGGCAAGTCTGGGTTTTCAGATCCTGCTTCAACTCCGTCAACAGCAGCGACCTGTGCCTGTGCTCTTAAACTTTCAGACTGATCTCTCAGGCTACTGTGAGATCCTCTTCCCGTCTCCACTGGACGATTGGGCTGTCTGGGTCTTCAGATCCGTGCAGGGATATCTATTCCGGCATGCTTCTGTCAAGACTGTGTTTTATCCTTCGGGGTTCGTGAGAAAGTATCTAGAGAAAGCGGGAGTGCAGGGTACGAAGATGATGAATCTGAGGAGGGGTGTTGATTGTGTGATGTTCAACCCTCAGAAACGAGATCAGGAGATGAGAAAACGACTTGCTCCGAATGAAGAATTCATTCTCGTTTGTGTCTCGAGACTTGCTCCTGAGAAAGGCTTTGAATTTTTGGCTGAGGCGGCTAAGAAATTGGATGAGCGGGGCTTGAAGTTCAAGCTGTTGATTGTGGGCGGGAATCGAAATCCAAAAGTTGAGCAGGATGTCAGAGATTTGTTTGGATATCTAAACGACGAAGGGAAAGTTGTTTTCACAGGCTTCTTGAAAGGCGAAGATCTCGCAAGAGCATATGCTGTCGGCGATGTGTTTCTTCACTGCTCGATCACTGAAACTTTCGGACTGGTCGTGCTGGAATCTATGGCGAGTGGTGTTCCTGTCATTGCGAGGGATGAAGGCGGCCCACGTGAGATTGTTGAGGATGGACGATCAGGATACTTGATACCACCAAGCGACCTGAATGGCTTCGTGGAGAAAGTGATAAAGCTAGGGAAAGACCAAGATTTGCGGGTGGAACTAGGCGTCGAAGCCAGGAAGATGGCAGAGGAAGCAACGTGGGAGAAAATCAACAATCGAGTCGCTTGGAAGTTGGCTGAATCTTTGGATGACAGCCCAGCACCACCTGAGGTTCCGAGTTTCTCGATCCCAATTTATAGTTGGCTTCTACTGAGTCCGGGATTGAGAGGTTGGCTCGCCTCTTTCATTGTCGATGCAAGACTTGCTGGAGGATTGGGTATTATTTTTGGTGTTTGGGTTGGATTGGTTGTGACTTGGCTCTTAGTACAACTTTCATTGCTGGTCAGGGCGAGAGCTCCTTGGATGGTTGAAGCTTTTCGTGGGGTTTGATGTGTTGTTGGGCATTTGCTTCTCTGCTTTCTTCGTGCTATATACCCGTTTGTTCTATGATTCTATACATGAGTCGGAATTTGCCAAACTTACCTATTGCCCTACCTTGTCATATATTGCCTTGTTGCACCCTTGCAGGACGTACAGTTGTGGCGAAGCTCTTGGTGCGAGTGCTTCCCAAGATGCGAAAGTTGCTGACAAGAATCGGGACCAGTGAAGATGTTGTTGAAGATGTTTTCAAGATAAGACAAGAAAGCCGAATACGCAAATCGACGATTAATGTTGTTGAAATGCTGATCTGAGGAGGAGAATTGTTCACGGAGAAGTGAAACCAACCCCGCTCGACAGTGTGTCTCTTCGCAAGCCCCAGGGTGATCGAAGGATTGATCATTTGAACTCGAGAAACGGTGAGAGTATTTCAAACCCGTACCGGAGAATGAAGATATACTTCTAACGTTCTGATTTCAGGCACGGGGGAGTTCAGGGGTTTACTCCTGGCGCCCCTGCATGTTTGATTTTCAGGGTGTCAGTCTGCCAAGTGAGTTGCCGTGGATCCCGAGCCGACACCCGTGACTTTACTGTATCCCAAACTTTATTTCTACCTCCTATGCCCAAAACTATCCTTTCACAACCGTCGCGCTTCAATAAAGTTCGATTCTCTCGACTGATGACAAGGGTTACTGTTCCTTTCATGAAAAAACTTCATTGTATGAATCGTAGCAAGAACTTTCTCGAGGCCGCGAAGGCGGACAACAGATAAATGGCCAGTGAGCGGCATGATCGCCATCCCCACCGCTGAAACCTTTCACGTTTACAACATCATGCCACCCTCACCTTCGGCTTCATGATTCGTTTGATGCCCGATACCAGAGCCTCAATTCAGGATGGAAAGCCGAGGCCAGGATCGAGCTAGCGCTCGTATCATGGTTACCCTTCCTCCAGGCCCATTAGTCACCACCTGGAAGGCATTGAGGTTTCGTCATTCTCCTTTGCTGTCCTTTATTTTTATCGTTTTTTTTTTATCTTAATTCGCATTATCGACGCGTTGTACGCGAAACTGGCTGGCTCCTGGTATTTGCTGCCGTCCGATGTGTTGTTGATCGACGGGTTCTCTTCTCCTCCATTCTTTTCACACCTTTAACATCTGCTCGTCTGGATACTTGCGCCATCTTTTCTTTCCCGCTGGCTGCTACATTCTTGAATATATACCGTTGAGCCCAGGTCAGCTGTCATGAGTTCCCACGAAGCCGTAACCACTTTGGTCAGCGCCCTACACTCGAACATCGACAGCATCCACGCCACTCTCCAATCCCTCTCGTCGCACCCCACCCACGAAGCAGAACTCCAACGCCTTGCTGCGGCGCGCGAAGCCAAGATCTTCGACCTCCGTACCGCCCATGCGCAAGCTCTCCAGGTGCTCGCCAACCAGCGACTGAAAGAACAAGATGAACTCGAAGCGCAGCGTCAGAGAGAGGCCGAGGAGCTTGAGCAAGAACGAAAGAAGGAGTGGGAAGATGTATTAAAAAGGCGTGCGAGGGAAGATGAAGAGAGGAAAGAGAGGATTCACCAGGAGGAGCTTGAAAGAGAGAGAATTAAGCAGGAGGAGGACGAGTGTAGGGAAGCTCAGCGAGAAGAGCGTGAATTGAAGCTCGCTGAGGATATTGAAAAGGAACTCGAAAGGGTGGAAGATGAAATTGAAGCCCGGGTCGAAGAAGGGAAGAAAGCATTGAGAGAGTTGGACGAGAAGCGCAGGGTAAGTACTGCGTCCTGCCACGACATTGTTATTCTTTTGCAGTGTTATTGATGCATCTTTCGGTTCAAGACTCTCGATATATATCTTGGTAGCTGACGTGAGCACGAAGGCCATCAACGCGGAGATTGACAAAGCGCTCAACATGCCGACAGTGTTTCCCAAAATCCCATATCGAAGTCGCTCAAGAACCTTGAGTAGAGCTGGAACAATGGAACTGCCTAGCTCGCCGCCAGCCCAAAGTATGGATTCCGCGAAGCCAGCTGTCACCGAGGAGATCCAAACACCAGAGCCGGGAGCTTGGCTTGCGAAAGACATTGGGAAGCAAAGCACCCATGGTGCCAGAGACGATACCCGAAATGCCAAAATCTCGATTACGTCCAAGTCAGAGGCGAAGGATTTCTTTGACAAAGATCTCAAGCATGAAGATGACGGTATTGATTCCGTGGATTCTGGCGTGGAGCTGAACAATGATCACCTCATATCTCCTACCACCCAAGAAGATTCTCAGCCCGCGGACTCACCCAAAGCATTCACTGTACTCCAAACCTCGGAGGATCCTTTCCCAAGCCCACCTTCGAAAAACACAACCGAGTCAGGATCTACTCTCCAATCCACGCAAATGACACCCATCGCATCCTCAGATGATTTAATCATGAAGGAGCTTGAATCTCAGAGCATGATGCTACCCGTTACAGATACACCAGAAGTTTTGGTAGATGCACAACTATCCATGGGAAGTTTCGATCAGGCTGTCTTCCACGACCCTATGGGCGATTTGTTGTGGGGAAGAGTATCTCTTGTCCCAGAAGCTCCAAAGAGTCAGCAGAAATTACAAGCCGAATTTTCAACGAAGCATATACACGACCCGATGGCGGATATACTATGGGGTCGAAGCCCATCGTCAACAAATGCACCAACACTCAGTCAAAGCTTGGCCAAAGAAGCCCTCTCCGACCCTATGTTTGATATACTATGGGAGCGAACCCAAAGGTCACGACCTGCTGCCTTACATGTCCCGCAGTCTCAGCAGACCGTAATGAGTACCCTCAAGACGTCCGGGGATCCGATGTTCGACATTTTATGGGAACGAACCAACATAGCACAATCTAATGGGTCAAGATCTCGGAACTATAAACAGACTGTAGCTGTAAATCCGCCAACCCAGTTTCATGATCCCATGTTCGATATCCTGTGGGAACGAACTCAAAGGCCGTCATCTAATGCCTCAGAGGCTCAACGAACTCCACACTCCGCAGTCTTCAAACCCTCCAAAGTGTTCGCCGATCCTATGTTTGATATCCTATGGGAGCGAACGAGAATGGCACCATCCAACGCAGTAGCAACTCCACGGGTTCAAAAGAAGGCAGTTATCCAGCCCTCCCAGCAATTCCCCGATCCTATGTTCGATATCCTCTGGGAACGAGTCCAGGTGCCGAAATCCCATGCAACAGCGGGACCAAAACACGAAAAAAGCGCAGCCAGGGATATTTCCACAGTAGCCGTTCACGATCCTATGTTTGATATCCTCTGGGAGCGATCTCAAGTCTCTCAAGCTTCCCAAGCTGTAAAAGCTCTACAGGTACCTGTTGAACAGACATCCAAGGAGAGCGCCTGTGACCCTATGTTTGATATCCTATGGCAGCGAACTCCAGTTCCGCCCGCATCGAAAGCTTTGAACATTCAAAAAGCACCTGTTCCGCATTTATCCCAGGATGCTGCCCGTGACCCTATGTTTGACATCTTGTGGGAACGAACTAAAGTTTCCGCCACGCCGAAAGCTCTGAATATTCAACAGACACCCATCGAATATGCATCTAAGCAGATCGTTCATGATCCAATGTTCGATGTGCTTTGGGAGCGAACCAAAGTTTCGCCGGCACTGTCGACCCTGAATTTTCAACGAACCCTGGCTCCACCTACATCCTGGGAAGTCATCTCGGACCCTATGTTTGACATCTTATGGGAACGAAGTCAAGTTTCGCGACCTCCCCAAGCTGTGAAGAAACAGCAGACACCTGTACACGAAACCCCTAAAGAGATCGTTCGCGATCCTATGTTTGATATCCTGTGGGAACGAAATACAGTTTCGGGGGCTGCAAAGAACCAACTAACACCTGTACTCGAGAAATCCAAAGATTTCATCAACGATCCTATGTTTAACATTCTGTGGCAGCGAACTAGATCGCCACTTGCGGGCTCACGACAAGCACTAGGGCGCGGCCAGGTGGGAGCTTCTCAGGAGATTAGCAGCGATCCGATGTTCAATATTCTATGGGGCCGTGGTCAAAACTCGGGGTCCAAATCCCCCAAGCTCGTACTGGACAGAAAAACGCCAGCCACTGCAAAGATCGGTCCGGACCCAATGTTCGATGTCTTATGGGGCCGAAGTGAACTCTCCCAGGCCACTCTGACAGAATCCGCACAACAGAAAACACGATATGCCATCGAGCACATTCATGATTCAATGTCAGATATTCTCTGGGAACGAATTCCGAGTTCCCAGCCAGCCGTCTATCAGAATCGGGACGTCAGCACATCTCCATATGCGACTGACTCGAACTCAAAAGTTTTGGAATATCGACAAAGGCCAGTCAAGGAACCCATTCATGATCCTATGTCCGATTCCTTATGGGGGCGGGGTCACACTTCATGTTCAGTCCATGATTTTGAAGTATTTAATGCGAATGCCGGACTGCAGGGTCATCAGAAGTCACACGAGGCCACAGAAGCCCAGAATCAAAAGACTTGGTCAGAGCAAGAAGCAGGTGAAGCTGTTCCCAGAAGCCACGGAGGTAGACTACTCGAAACTGGATCATGGCCGCTTGCGACTGACCGTGACCTTATCATTGATCACGGTGAAGACAACCTGTCAACGTCAAGCGTTGATGAGATCCACCATGTACTCTCGACGGAAAACTCTTTCGATCAACCAGCTTCCAATTATTCAATTCCTTCATCTCCCCAAAAGAATGATTTTGAGGACAATGAAATGCACCATAATCCTCCCTTCCGGCATCTTGAAGGCGAACCTTGGCCACTACGGGATGAACATCAAATCTCATTGAACAATAATGTCAGCAATGAACAAGTTGATCACGACGAAAGTGACGGTATTTCAGAAGGCGAAGATAACTGGTCTGAAAGCGACGAGGAAGAAGCGTTTGAGCTAGAGCAACGTATTGGAAGTTTGAGACCTCATCAAACCCATTGTATGAGTAACGATGACGAGTACCTTCCAAGATCGGCCAGCAGTATTGCGGCGGCGGACAGTGACGATGATCTTAGCTTTGAAGAGAAATACGGCGTCCCGAGACCTTCCAGCCCCATCAGATCTTTGTCACGAATTGAAAATCATCTCGAGTCTACTTACACAGGTCCTGATGCAAGCGAGTTTTTCGACGATGATGACGAATCGGAAGATGAAAGCTCTGCAAGACAGGCATACCCAGAAGATCTGGCCGATCAATACTTCCAGCGGGCAGACACCCCTCTTGAGATTGTTCCCGAGCATTCTCAATTGACAGAGTTCAACGATACTTACTCGTCACACCGATCGTCTGGTATCTTCGTTAACATTGTTGACACGGTCCGTTCGGACATTCCTGTTGTCCGTCAGGTGCAGCTAGATCATGATCAGCTGAGAGATGCATATGAGCTGGGGAGTGCCGGTCGACCACGTGCAGTCTCCTTCGAAGACGAAGACTCTGGATTTTCTCCAGCTTCGGTGTCATATGAGCCCTCGATGCGCGTCCGAGCACATACCGCCGACACCATCCCGTCGTTCGACTCGTATGCTCAATCAGATTCAATTCCAACCACTCCATCTGAGACTTCTTCCAGCCCTTTCGTCGACCACCCTCACGATGAACCAATAATTCGCGATTCTGGGAGGGAGCGAGGGATGACTGAAACTTCACAAACTACACAGGACCTGGCATTGGAGACTCCGAAGGCAGATACTTTCGATCCTACCCTCACCAATGCGTACCCTTCCTTCATGTCACCCAAGCCTAATTACGCAGACCTGAACGAGAAGTACCAGAACCCATCTGACATTGAACGCATGAATGCGGGATACGGGTCTTTTGGTGCGCAGACTGGACTAGAAGCACATAGAACCGAGATATCGCCCATTAGAGACGTTGGGAGGAACCCATTCATTAATGACCTCGACACGCAGATACCAAAGATGGCCAGTAACAATCCGTTCAAGACCTCAATGGGTCAAAACCCTCCGATATCCGGTTCTTTCAAAGCACCAACAGCAGAAAGCCCCTTCCGGACGGCCCGGAGCCCAGCAAGGACTCCGCCACCCCGCCTTTCCATCAGCCCTCAATCATCATCCTCGCCTTCTGGACTCCACGGCTCTACAACTCCATCGCCTGGTCTCGCGAAGCGTCCAGTTCCAACAGGCAGCCCTGGAAGCCTCTTCGCCAAGACGCGCTCTGTCTTCGAATCCGCATCTCCTCAGGGATCCCCGGCACTGACACCGAGTCCCATCACGGCCCTCTCCGCAATACGACACAATTTCCCTCCTCCTCCACCACCGCCCAGACGATCCATGGGATCACGTCCTTCCTCTCTGCATATCTCGGAACCAGTCCGATATTCTCCAACTATAGAGAAAGAGCCTGAACAGGTACAAACGAATGCACAAGAACAGCACGATGCGCCTAGAGAGGAAGAAGGAGAAGAAGAAATAGTGTTCATGCCCCGCAGCCTAGATGGGAATAATAAGCCCCCCTCACCGGTTTTCATCCCCGCGCGATCTGATTCCGTCGCTTCACTCCGCAAGCAAGAAGACGATGGTAATTTTGTCAGTAAACGAGCTAGTAATCCGTTTCTAGGCGGACTATCGCGCTTTGTTGGTGGTATTCAGTCGCAGGGGTTGGATGATAGTGTGCATAATCCTGCGAGGGAGCCACTTTTGAAGAGGGGGGAGGAGTTGTGAGGATGTGGGACTGAGGGAGATGGAGAGGTGACTGAGGAGCAGGGAATTTGAGGGTAGGTTGGGAGGGAGCTGTGTATGATAGATGTTATGTATACCTGTCATAAATATGTACGATATCTTTATTAAATTGTAAACTATATATCTCGCTGTATCAATGTCATTCCGGCGAGAGATCGACCACAACCTGATAATTATTGAGGTCCTTAACATTTGTTTATTTTCATGCTCGCTTCGCGCTCCATTCAACTAATCAAGCTGAACATCACTATGCTCATTACATACAGCCACATAACCTACCCACAACATTCAAACAAGCTCTTTACAGAAGCCCGAAATATCCCATACTTTCTCCACACTCTACCCCAGCAAAACTCATTCTCTCCCTCCCATCCCCAGCTATGAATCAGTCGGTCAACTACCCAATGACTCAGTATTTGCCCTCTTTGTGGGTCTTTCCACACTCCTCAATATCCTGCCATTCTCTCCTAAGTAGCTACATATTTACTCTCTGTAGTAATAGCTTTCCAAGTGCTGCAGTTCGAACACGCGGCCGGATTTGTGCCTTTTATTAGATAACATCTTAGTCTTATTACCTATTGTAAATGTGCTACTGATTCTAGGGCTTAATGAAGCAACTTTTGACGCCATTTTCTAAACACCCGAATGGGAAAAGTGTATCGAAGGTTTACTTTCAGCGAATAGAGCACGAATCTCATGCGATCCTCAGTTCAAACGCACGTGAACCACTTTTCAATTAAAACAAATCACAAACATAATCACCAGCTTTTGCCTTCACAAATAGAATACATTCGTAAAAGGCAGAAGGTACTCGCTACGTGTAAATAACAGATTCCAATAACGACTGACAAGAAGGGAGATACGCATCCACCAAGGCCTCGGAAAATCAAAAACCCACCATATCCATTACCCACAATGTGCTTCCTCTAAGCTGTTCTCTAGGATCTTCCAGCGTGGCTACGTCTTGGGGGCGGGTAAGAATACTCAGCCCCAGGTTTCGACAAGGCCCGGCACTTGCCGCAATCCACCGCTTCTTTGACTTTGAGATCGTATTCTGGGATCTTGCCATATACATCAGCCTTGGGAGATTGGGGACAAGCTGCAGCTTCTTCCTCTGTCCATCCAGGTTCGCATAGCTTATCCCAGTGGAGATTATTTTCTGGGAATCTTTTATCGCAGACTGGACACCAATATGTACATGGTCTGCACATATTGTCCTAGAGCAGGGCGATGGACTTTTCTTGTAGAAGGTACCGGAGGAAATTGTTTCTGGGACTTTGTGTAGGCCCTGTCATGGATATTTGCTTCTTGACTTCATATTCGATAGATTTTTCTGGAATACTTTTTTGTTTTACTATCGTGCATGAGATGATTGTGCTGTGCGTGTTGAAAAAAGAGAATTTGGGGAAGCCCAAGGGGCATTTATACCTATTTCTTGTAGAGGAAAGTTTATTTTGATCCGTGGACCGTGTCTCGATTTAGATACCTACAGGGCACGGAGTCCTTTGTGCGAAGCCCTTGTACAGTTGACCAGTACCCAAACTTTGAGGAGAAAATGCAGTACCTCAAAGAAATCAATATTTACCTATATGATTTGGTCCCAATTATAGACGGGTGACATCTATAATTGTAGCATCAATCTAAATTTGAAGTTGCCTCTTGCAAAAAGCTTTGTGCAGTTGATGGGTTTGATTGAAATCATCGCAGTCATCAGAGAACGCAAGCCAGCCCTTGTCCCTTTCAGAATAGCACACCATGGAGCCCTTAAGTCCTACCAGTAAATGGTACTTCCTTTGATACGCCAGGCTTTGTGAATGCTGCAAGGGGTTGAAGCCACCCTCAAGCTTGATATCTTTTCCGAGCGACACTGCTTGACACTGGAAGAGTATGTACAATAAGAACACGTCGAACTGCATAACAGTTTTCGAAGAGCATTTCCAGAGCGAAAAGATCGATTGATGGACATATCATACATTTATTACAAAATCATCGCAAATAAGAGACTGCCCGCAAGCAATCCACCAGCAAACCTCCTCATCTCAGGTTCGGCACCTCCAGTAGCAATAACAGGAGTGGAAGTGCTCGTCCTGGTACTTCCGACTCCAGACACTGTTTGATTAGCTCCAACCGGAGCAAAAATACCTCCACTTCTGCTAGCTACCGCAGTACTCGTCCTCATAACAGTCGTTGTCCTCGTAGCTGAGGTTGTCCTAGTGATTGTGGATGCACCTCCTACGGAAGTTACTCCTGCGGAGTTGCCTGCTGTGACGCTGACAAGTGTTGGGATTGGTGTTATGCTTCCTGCTGGTGACGCTGTGCTTGCCACTGCAACCGCCGAAGACACAGATATTGCTGGTCCTGCGTCTCTCCAGGGAGCAACGACACACTGAGCTGCCAGTTGATTGTCCACGTATTTTCCATTCTTCTTGGAAGGCGTCAAGCTCAGGACATATGATGTCGAGAACGATCCGGCAGCCCAGGCGATGTAGCCCAAGAAGACGTCGGAATTATCGTTCAAGAATTTGTTCTGAGCACAGAAGTCCGTCAAGCACTGTCAAATTAGCAACGTTCGTAGCGCAACTGCCAAGCCATCTTACAGAGTCTGTACTACCAGCTCCAGTCTCACTGACCAGCGCCTGCCTGCCGTTTTGCCTCAAGAAATCGGCCGCAATTGCAAATGCATCAGCGATGTTATCGGTCGTGCATTCGGCGTGGTTTCCAGAATTATCCACATCCAGATACTTGTGAAGGTCTAGAATTAACCCATCAAAAGTCCCGTCCGGATTTGTGACTTTGATTAAAGCATCTCCAGATCCGCTACTGACAAATTTCCCAGCACTAGCGAAATTTGTTCCGGGAAGCAGGATCATCTGAGATGAAGCGCCAGCATTCCTGATGGCAATGACTGCAGCCTGGACACTGTTTGCCCATAGTGGGACATCCACATCATGAGGTTCGTTCATGAGACCAAAAATGACCTTGTCGTTATTCTTGTACTTCGTTGCCAACTGACTCCATACATCTGCAAACTGAGCGTCTGTCACCGCGCCTCCACTCTGCCCAATGATCTGGTTGTTGAATCTCGCGAAGTTGTGAAGGTCAATCGCGCATAATGTTCCGAGCCCCAAGCACGCCTGCATGAGTTGATCATATTTCCCGAAGTTATTGGAGTCGAGGGTCCCGCCAAGTTTGTTGTTCACCAGGAACTGCCATGATACAGCTGGACAGGTCAGTCTTGAATTAGCCACAAGGAAGCAGACTTACGCAAACGGAATATATTCATCTCATCATCATTTACGAAATGTTGCATTTGTCCAACGGCGTCCGAGCCCATCGGCGATTGGGTCTTGCCAGTCGGACATGTTCCCTGCAATAGTTAGGATATTGGTTCGAGAACGAATGCCCTAATACCTACATCAATCTCGCACCCGAATTCAAAACCAGCAATATTCATCCCCTGGTAAAGTTAGTCTGGCCTTCCTTCATCTTGGTCTCAGCAAACAAACCATATATTGAACCTTGCCAAACACCCATGGGACACTGCCCAAAACTAAAAGTGACTTTAAATACATGATTTGAGAAACGAATGTATGTAGTGAACGAAATGAAAGAATGAACGAATGAACCGACAACGTACAGAGAACAGCCTCCAACAGCGGGAATCAATGATCTTATCATGCAGAATGTACAACTCAGCCCCTCGCTGTGACCGGGCTGATCAAACTTGGGATACAGATGCATGTGTGACAGAACTCCTTGGCACTCCACTCCCGTCTATTTAAGATGCATTTTGTGAAATGCATGAACTTCGGATGAACAATTCAAAGGCAGATAGATAAGCGAGCGAATTGGAGCTGCTGCCTGGTTCTGCAACGTCAGTGTGGCAAATCAAACGTCTGTGGTTTCAGTGTTGGGCACGCGCGGTTACTGACGATTCACGTGACCAGCATGAGATGTCAAGATCCGTGGTACACGCTATTGGGTTTAGCCGAAGCTGTGCCCTTAAGAGTGAGGGCTTGGAAGATTTGAAAGATGCGATTTTCCTCAATTTTCACACTGGTCGACTTGCAAGGGGACCTCCATCAAGCCCCGTCCTCCTAGCCACATCGTTAGGTAAGAACTTCAAGTTTGCACACCGGCAAGACTTTTCGTTTCAAGTCACGACCACCAACACAGTTGGACAAGGTCTGCAACAACTTTCATAATCCAAGGGGATTAAAATCCGATGAACGGTAAGAGAGCTTGTATTTTGATTGCCGAAAGAAACCCCCCACCCTAAAAGCCAACAAACTAACATTTGAGAATAATTCAAGATTATGACACTGTCTAAACAGGATTAGTCGCCTCTAGCAACAACATACAACATATAACATTGAGAGTGAGACAAATAATCCACAGTAGGACCAGCGAGATGTGACCATCAAGTAAGTCACCCCAGGGTACACGGAAGGCAATATCCTTCTCCAAACATTTACTGCTTCCAAGAGCAGGTAACTGTCCACCATAAAGCTGAATCACCACTGCACACAGTATGCCGTTTATCATCGTCCTTTGGAGGATTGATGCAATCGACCGTCCGATCGGGACACTTCATGGTTCCCACATGAGCCCCTTCATCTGCGTTGCCTGATGATTTTTAGCATATATGTTTCTTCAGTAACGAGGATATACGTACGGTACTCATCAATGGTCAAATCAAGATGGAAGTTACAGCCGTTATTGTCGAAGGTGTTGATGCCGTTGAGGTCCTTTGGTGGGTCTCCGTCCACAACATTTCCATCTTTGACGAACCAATCATCTTCATGCTGATAATCGTCTCTGTCGCAGATGTTGGTAGTGTCGTAGTCAGGATCAGGTGGACCCTGGTAGACGGTCCATTCGGCAGAGCATCCTTCGCCTATACAGAGGAGAGAGTACTCGATGTAGATGGTGTGGTCGACCAGAGTTGGAGTTGGCTCTGACGGGGCAGTGGTCGATGACGTTGTTGTCAGCCTCGCCGTTGGTGTATGTGTGATAGGTCCGGTACTGACACCTCCTCCATTTGAAGGGGGAATGGCTACTTGAGTAGTGCTTCCACCATTGGTCGTTGGGTACCTGCTGAAGACGTTGGGGCAGGGATTACTGTCGTCTGCGCAGGGATCAACTCCCTCTGTTTATGAGATCAGTACAGAGTCCCGCGATTTGTAAGATTGGAGAGATAAATTACGACGCAAAGGTGGATATGGCTATGAACTTACCACCATCGGTCGTGTCACCATTCTCGTCACCAGCACAGCCCATGTATTTGTAGACGTTGGCGTCGAGGAACCCTCCCGATGACTGTCGGCCTTTGATATCTCGTGGATGCGCACGTGTTACGTTAACGCTTGCTTCAACTTCACGTTTACGAGAAGCAGCAAATCCGGGAGGAGGATCAGTACACTATGAAATCCATCAGTACAAATTTGACTTTAGTACCGTCGCAAAAGTCGCAGTCGAGGATCGGTATGCTAGCGATTCGACCCAGGACGATGAAAATAATTATGCGGACTATTACGTACCTGTTGCTCTAGAACCATGTCATCCATTCTCCCAACTGCTTGGTAGCCAGCAGCCAAGTTCCACTGCGAGCCATCCCACTCATGCCTACCAGGAGATGGATAATGGCAATATGTCGAGGGGACAGTTGCGTAGACGGCATAGTCATTCTCTGAGGGATTCTCAACGACAATGTCTCCGTCAGGGTCCACATAGTACATTGTTTCAGGCGTTTTTCGATTGGTGTTTGGAACATCGAACCAAGGATCCCACGTGCGGACACCATTGACCCAGTAGTCATTTACCAGAGTGAACTCTGGACCATAGACTGAGGCGCAAAAGTTGTCGTTTACCTGGTCTTCGGGGAGGTAGCCTGTAAAGCTGGAATCAAAATCTACACAGTAAACGATACCATTTGGACCGATTCTGGGGTTTCGTCCTGTTTGTTCTTCTTGATACGCGTTGTATCTCGCAGCGACGGAACCAACCCAGTTTCTAAGGTGAGATCCGGCGTTCTGGTTCTCAAGTCCATCTCCAAATGCTCCTCTGATTACGAATTAGTGGTCATTCAATCTCACCGTTAGCAATAAGGGCTTAGATCTTGCTTAGACAGAGGAAAAGAACTTACCCAGGAATGAGTCGAAGTACTGATGAGCCATCTGCATTGCGATTTGGATTGCCAGAGCCAAAAGGATATTCTTCCACCTGGCATTTGTCAAGTTTCCAACCTGCCGGTGGATCGTCATCAGTGCCCGAGAAATAGTGTCCTTCGTACCTATGAAATTGAAACGGTCAGATTGAGAAGCTAACCTCGCGTAATATGTGGGGATAAACAAAAGCTCGCTTAGGACGGAACATACCAAGGCTCTGTATCGTGCAACTTTGATCCGGTAACATGAGTCAAGACTGAGGTCGCTCCACGAACGTCGATAGCTGACTTTGCATTCCCACAGACATTGGGGAAGAGAAGGTGCGGGCATGTGTACGTGGCGTAACATTGGCCCTGTGGCGGCTGTTTTGGATTTTGATTTGGAGCGGGACAGAAATCCGCACGCTTATCCATGTTGATTCCCAGAGTGTTTAGACCGCGATGAAGAATAGAAGACATCATACCACGTTTTTTCCCTGCCGGGCAACATGACTTCTCGTTCTGTATGTAGTCTTTGATGGAATCCATATGGCTGTCAACATTTCGCTGGCACTGGCCTGGTTGTTTGCCAGCGTCACAGCTCATGGTTCCAGAAGCTGGATCAAAGACAGGATAGTTACCATTGTCACACATTCCAGTATCTGTCTTCAACTCGCATGGATCATCTTCGGGTTCGTCGGGATCGTTTGGATCATTGGGGTCTGGTTCAGGCGATCCCGAAGGGCGGGGATTTTGAGGCGGGTCATCGTTCACAGGAGTTGGACCTGAAGGCGATGGACACTGTCCTGAAACCACAACACCGAAGATTTTGATACAGGGTAGGTGGAACGTTGGAAGTTCTGGAAATTTTGGCCACCAACGGAACTGTACCCAGGGGATCTCAGGTGTATCCCACACGATTACCGGCTCGCAGGTTTGGCACGGTAAAATAACTGGAACAATCGTTGTGGATGAGTCTGCACCGGTCGTTGTGATCCAGATATTCGATGTTATTGGGAAGTCAGTGAAATCCTGAAGGGACACCCCAGCGGGGATTGTGGTCATTGTAGATGTCACAGTACCGGTCTCGCGGGGTGTAGGGCCAACAGTAATGGTGGATCCGCCAGTTGTGATTGTCTCGATACCTGTGATAGTCGAGCCTGGAGGCAAAGTCAAAGTGACGGTAGATCCATCGGGCTATCAAGATTCAGCAAAATGATATCTCAATGGGTTTGGGTCGGACGCAAGATCTAATCAGATCTTGTATCGTACAAGATGTAAGTCATAAAAAAAAGAAACCTACTTGTGTCACAGTCTGTACATTACTTGTAGGGCCGCTAGTTTGAACAGGAGCAACAGTGATCGTCTGTCCATTGGTTGTTATGGTGGTAGGACCGGTCACGGGTGTTTGGCCTGGAGCGAGTGTTATCGTGATTGGCGAGCCATTTGCATCGGTCAGAGTCTCTGTCGTAGGTCCATTGCCAGGTGGGAAAGTGACTGGAGGACTGCCGCCATCGCCTCCCGTAGGATTGCCAGGGTCATTGAATCCAGGACACCATTGAGGTTCAGGGGCACAAGTGGGCCCTGTGCTCCCTTGGGTTACTCCGCTGGCGGGAGAAGGAGCAAGGACGGCCGGGCCTTGTGGAGATTCCTGATTGCCATTAAACGATGTAGCGGCAAATTCGAAGTTCTATCACGAAGGTTTCAAGTCAGCATTATCTACTCAAGTATGGCTAAAGGTTGGGAGAGGTATCGAGGCAAGCGAGGTTCGAATACCTCTCATATTGCAAGACCTGAACACTTGACATCTGCAGCTGAAGATCACTTACCCAGATTCCTGGAAACAGAAAATATACGTCAGCACAAGAAGCAGTGACGTTGGCGGCTATGCTCCATTGACTGCCTGCCTGGTTGACGTTTCGAGCCCATACGTGATAGCCTCCGGTAGAGTCGGTACCTGTCCAGGTCATGCTGCACACAGAGAAATACAATCAGCTATCAATATGATATAGAGAGAGGATGAGGCTACTAACTGGGCAGTGGTTGGATCATTGGCATTGATGGATAGTGCTCCTGGAGATGGGGGTTGGCCCGCACCGGGGATCACATGGTTGGCAATGAATGGTAGTCCTTGACCGTTCTTATTCCAGGTGACAGGTGCAACCAAATAGTTCCTGCCTTGTTTCAGGCCGGTAATTACTGCCGGCGAGCTTGTAAAAGCTGCTCCGGAAATGAACTCACAGTCTTCGGGTTCTGTATTCCAGTAGATGATGTTATACTCGACAATCGAGTCTGCATTGGGGCCTGTTGGGGGATCCCACGTAACGGTAAACCCATCTCCAGTAGGCTCTACAACGACATTTTGAGGCGGATCGGCGAGCTCTGGAGTGGAAGTTCCCGTTACTTGCCCAGAGAAGTCACCTTGTCGAGTAGGGCCCGCACGAGGACGTACGGAAATGGTATAAGTCCATCCAGGGTTTGACCACTGACAGTCCCAACGGTTTGTAGCTACAGATGTTGGAGAGAATTGAAAGAATGGTACGCCTCCATTGATGAGAACTTCGACATCGTAGCTGTATGCACCGTACACAGGATCCCACTAGATAGCAATTGTTTTAGTATGAGTCTAATGATTGAGGGACGACAACCCAAGTGTGTATGCAGAATCCAAGTAGTGTAAATGTATCAAATTTGTAATTTAACTTACGGTGGCAGTGACACCCTGTGGAGAAGAAAAGATCTGGAGATTGGTAATTCCTGGTAGTGGGCGAGCCAGACTTCCATCATCTTGTGCAGGGACAGCAAGTACAGTGTTACCAATCCCGAAATCATTGACAAGCGTTTCGGAGAAAGCATTCGCGATTTGGAATTCGCCCCAGGCATTTGGGTGCAGTCCGTCATACCCTGTAGCAAGTTAGTTGTCTCGGAGTGAGCAATTCGTGGAGAGTACATACCTGCTGGACAGCTCCTGGGGTGGCAATCCTGTAGACAAAGAAATAAAACCATTAGCAAATGCCAATTTTCCTTCTTGGTAGTTCGCACATGGCATCAAAACGCCAAGCTGAACAGGGACAACAGGCTCTCCAGAAAACTAGTTACAAGGACCTCAAGCCAGGTCTTTGATAGCTGTGCTTGAGCAATTTTGGAAAAATGATACTCAAAAATACTTACATATGTTTCCTCAAGATGTACCAGACGGATAGGTGACTGAGCGGTGTTCCATTTTGCGATGTTTCCAGATAGATCGTTGTTGTACTTGGTGGTGCTGTCAATAAGGTCTTGTCTGCCATTGATAAAACTACGTTGCGGTATATTAGCAAGGGCAATCTTGATGTTTGGGTTTGCAGCCCGGGCATTGTTGATGAAAGTCTCAACGCTGTTCATGGTTCCGTCGGCATCGCTATAGAACCAGCCCAGGTCGTTGAAGCCAAGCATGAAGAGAATGAGATCTGCGGGGTTAGCTTGAAGAACGCCTTGAATTAGGCCTTTGTCCACAGCTACGGCTCTACCTAATATTCGAGTTTATATTAGTCTTCATCTCACGATCTCAATTTGATGATAAATACATACCCCTAAATAGACAGAGTCAGCTTTTGATCATAAAAGGAGTTTGATTCAGTTGAAGGGTGCATGCTTACCAGACCGCGAAATGGTTACTGTTCGACAAAAATGCAGGATCAACGTCAGCAGCGTATCCTCCGCTCGTTTGAGGGCCAGGATCAGGGGCTTGCTGGCCGTAAAGAGGCGGCGGCTGTGGAGGTAAGGGCTCCATTGGTTGCATCTGGAGTTAAGGTAAGTCTCGCTGGACTCTAATCTGAAGACATTTATGAGATGGAGATTCGCATACTGTGCCCTTGTATGGCCCGACAAATTGAACATCAATGCCATTATTCCTGAAGAATTGCCAGATTCGGTATCGCCAAGTATAGTCACCTTGTTGACCTATAAAATGGTAAGCGAGTGTTTTCCACGTGACAATGATGCATTGTTGAAAGCAATATAGGCAGTAGAAAGTATCAAAATGTGTAGAGAACTTGGAATCGTACCATGAGTCATTGAATCACCAACGACCATCACCCTAAGGCCCGATTGTCGGCGGTCTCGACCGGCAATGCTTGGCCCAGTCGCATTTGTAGTTGCAACCAAGTTTGCGATCATGTCCTCCGCCTCAGGGAATACAATCCCATCCTGAATTAGAGGCAATCGAGGCGCGATTTTAGCGACAGCCTCATACTCTGGGAAATCTGTGATATTCTTTGGCAGAGGAAGTACCGGCTTATTTACGATCTGCCTCGCCTGCCATGCAAGAGATGATTCCAGCTGAACGGCTGAGGAGAAAGCGATGGTGCTGGGGGCTGCTGATGTTGGGCTTGCATCACTGGCTGCGTGGGTAGAGGCGAACAGTAGAAGACTGCACGTTAGGATGGATCGAAGATTTCGGCGAGTGCCAAAAGAGGCCTGCCTGAATTTCGTCATCATTACTACCAAGAGATGATGCCAGGAGTTGCTGATCACTTTGAAGTGGCTTTACCACTTATATATACGTACCGCCTACATGTCTCTCCAACTTTACGGAGGATGTCCCGGACAATCGAACTCTTTCGCAAGATGCCAGCTTACCATCCATCCGGTAAATTTGACTCATGGCAGGGGCATCATCTGATGCCCATTATCTCCCATAGCTGGGAATTTACTTGTGCTATGGTAGCCTGGATATGAACCCTGTTGACCAATAACAGAGATTCCATGTGCTTGGGATTCCTTCGCGTGTGGTTGAAAGCAAGTGTATAAATTTAAGATCTTTCAGGGGGCTTTCACACCTTCCTCTTAGGTGCAGAAATTCTTCGTGGCCTGCGCTAAATGCCCTCCACCTCTACAAGCTTCCTGCCCATCGTCAGCTTTTAGGTTGTGATTGAAGAAAGGCAGAACTCGCTTATTACACTCATGGGATTCGAAATCGCAATTTAGGTACTGATCTCATCTCAATAGAGTGATTTAGGAATATCTTTAGACGGGATGGACAGTAATGGCGACAATATGAAAGGCCCGGCACAGCGGCACAGTCCAGTGACTTCGAGGCCAGGAGTGTAACACTGCATGCTGTGCCGCGAAGCTAATATATGCGACATGAAATGGCTGACGAAAACTAGAACGTAAAGTAGCCTCGGGCGGTCACGATCTTCTCAGCCTTACACTGTCATTTTACACGTTGACTTGGTTTTTTCTGCTTCTCTTCATCTACAGTCTTTGCGGGTCATAGTCGAACGATCCGGTACAGCAGCTGCTGGAACAAGATCAATATTGTGAACGAAATCTGACATTTCTGTGATGTACCAAACGCACTATTGAAAACTAGAAACGGAGATGCGCATCAAATTGGGAAGGAAGCGCAGTTCGGCATCCAAAAAAATACTAAACCCCTCGGTATTGCAATATGTGCGTCTACGCCAGAGCTAAGCTCTGTCAGCACCAGCGAAGCTTCAACAAGCTTCTGAAAATTTATTGCAATCCTGCAAGGCTGAGAAGTGAGAGCTTACGACCCAACGAATGGCAGGTATGGTGCGGCCTGTGCCGCAGAATGTACCTGCCGTAGTTGATCTCGTAAAAGCTTAGTTGCAGAACAAGCGCCGGGGGTAGGCTCGGAGCTCTCTATTATATGCGATGAACCATCAAATCAGGAATCAGACTTTTAGATTCGAGAGCGCCAAGATATAGTGTTTGGATGAGAACATCTAGTCAGCTTGGCTTATAACCGGCTGGAAGCAGCTGATTGATTGAATGGCAGGGAATGCACTCAGTGAGCTCGACTTGGCGATACCGTCATGCCGTCAAGAAACGTTGTATCCTGGACGGCATTAATCCTAGTAATCTCTCAACCACCCACCCCTCCACTGTAGTAAAATTTAAGTAGACATACCGGGAAAAGGTGGGCAGCCGAGGTTGTGTAACCGAGACTAAACAAACCCCTGCTAGAGCTCCACGAGGCAATGTGACAGTCAAGGATTAGCACTACCTACTTAGCATTCGCCAAGATTAACCTCGATGGATCTATAGATGCATATTTTCATTCCAGTGTGACATTCCCATCATTGCACTTTTACATTTTCCCCTCACATACTCTGCAAGCAATTGACCAGAACAGAGATTTACCCCTCCCTGTTTTTGGGCCTCCCGGAGAAGAATAGTCAACAAGATGGACGAAGAACGACGTGCCAGTATCCAAAATGCTTTGCAGAAGTACCGCGACACTGTTTCGCAGCACAACTTCAGCCTGCTGAGCACCCTGGTGACACTGATGGAAGAAGAGCCCCTACCTCCCAAGGTGTCCGAAAAGGTCGCCAACCAGCTGCACGTTCGGGAACTTGCTCGGTACCTGCAGTGCACCATTCCTGAATCCGTCAAGTCTCCACGAGACATCCTCGATGAGGACTTGCGGGTGGAACTGACGTCGTTGTGCAATCTGGATGGGGCTTCTAGTCGTCCTGTCAATCGGGATTTGAGACGGGAGTACTTTGATGGCATTCGTGCCCGTATTGCGGAGAAGGATGTGGACGTCGCAGAGTTTCCTCCGAAGGACTTGGAGTACGTGTGTACGCTTGTCAGTGGTATTATTGGACCTGGTCAGTATTGCTCTCCATGATCGAAGGTTTCGAGTCAGAAGAATAGCTGGTAACATATCAAAAGGAATACCAAATCATCGCAAAGCGCAACAGATTGCATTCGTGTCTGTCATTGAAAATGAGTCACTGGATGATATGATCAAATCCGTTCATGTTCCCTCTCGTGGCGATGACGGAGGAGAACCTGATCCATGGACGGAACTTTGGCCAGAGTGGGAGATCACCGTAGCATTCCAGGTCGGTGGTGGCCCTCATGAATGGGTATGTACACACAGCGAGTTCTTCTTTAAGCCTCCTCCGAACCTGGACCTACTTCATTGGTTGAGATTTACGAGCAAAGATGCGTATTGGATGTTATCCGATGGAGCGCTGACTATGCTTTTAGTGCGGCTCTTATGCCCTGTACGGCCAGGGTGGGGGGAAAGAACAATGGGGATGGAGGTATGGACTTCATGATAATGACTGGTGCAGTGACTTATATGATACCGTCGAGGAGTTTCTTGCTTTCTACAGCCATTACGAAGAGACGACGGAGGAGTGGGTCAAGAAGAACTTTAGATCTGTCAAAGGTGTATTGCGCATGCGTTAAGAACTCTAGCTGGTTGTTCATAGCAGGCAGATAGATTTTTGCAGTAGACTTATATAATTTGCAATACATACTCCAACAGGCAATACAAACTCACCATTCCAGCGACGCGAGAAGAATGTAATATCTTCATGCCAAAGATGTAGTAGGAAACTATGTGAGAAAACACGAAGAGACCTCCAAGCGCGTTGCTCCAGTTTTCCTTGGCTGCGGCATCTGGGTATCGTTGCCGGACCAACAATCTCATCATCCACACGGTGATGTACAAGACACAAATTGCAACCTCTGGCTTCGACAAATCTAGTGACGGTGTTTCTCCCTCGAGAGCATTTATTGAAGTCCCCAAAGCCTCTTCTTGGAGATGACTATGGTATTGGCGGAATCGCGCCAGCCTGGACCGAGCCTCGAAATAATGCATGCCTCTCCGCCAGTAACTGACAGCTGCGATAGCACTTTCTTTGTCTGCCAAAGATACTTTTGATTTCCGTCCTTGACCGAGAGTAGAACTCTCGATGAGGAACATCTTTGAACTAGCTGGGCTAGCCTGAGTGTTACAGCTAGCCTCGAGTTTGAGATCCATCACGCGAAGAGCGGTGTCATTACCCAGGCTGAGCTTGGAATCAGGCACCGATCGGAAAGTAGTAGCCAGCCCGCACTTGCTCTCATCGTTGTAGAGGCGTATTCCATCGTCACTTCTTGAGTCGAAGTAAGCCGTCCATTCACAGTGAGGAGACATGGGGTTTGGATATGTGCTTTGTGATGTTTTAGTATCTTCTTAAGGTGATGAGTTATCAGAGTCAACTCACCCTACACGAATCCTGCCTAGACTTTGCTCTCCATCGACATTACTGAAATATCCTGCTTCACTGACCACTGCCTCGCCAGCAATGACACAGAGATATCTGGTTGCTTTTGGATCAAACAAGCGGACGGTAGCCCCAGGAGATATCTTCCACTGCTTCCGATGCTTTCGAAGGCTTTGTGGCATTTCTGAAAGCTCCTGGATCTCCCATATGTATCTTTCAAGAAATTTGTCCTGAAAGAAAACCCGGTAGGAGCCTTCAACAGACCACTGTTTTACTTCGTCGCTAGGACTAGAGTAGTCTTGGATGCTGTCTGGGATACTTTGTTTCCACATCATTGAGTCGCTCCAGAAGAATCCAGCTCCTGGAACATACAAGGTATATTGTGTGCCATGTCGGGGACGGAAATCAGGTGCAGTTCGTGCTGAGGGTGGCCTGACGGCTGGGAATAGAGTGATGTCTCGACGAGCTGCTGCTGAGAGATAACGTAGATTATAGTTACCACCAGCTACCGATTCTGATATTGGGAGAAGTGCTCCGTGAAGGAGTATGGATGATAAGGGACACATAATGAGTGCAATGGATAGACTCAAGACCCCGTTCCGGACGATGGTAACCTTTTTAATGTTATCACAATGCCTTAAATCAATGTAGGACGGTGACACTTACTGCCGAGCAGTTTCTATCTGCAATCCTCCTGCCAATTGACATTGCCCTTGTCAGGAATATCAAAATGTATGCTGCAAGCGAGTCGATAGAATTACAACCAATTGCACAGCTGGCGAAGATGAGAGTTTCCCCGAGACCAAGGAAAGACAAAATTCGCAACCATCGTGGGGTGTGATTGTAAGCTAGAGTCATCAAGATTGACATTGTCAACAATGCATCAGCGATGTCGTTCTGCTATCGAGCCGTCAGCGCTGATGTGGATAGAATCTCAAGGGTTCTGGTACCAATGGAAGTAAATCTTCAATTTCAGTCCAGTTGGACAACCAGATAATAGGAATTACTAAAAAACATGTTGCCGCTTTTCCGGACAAGTTGCTCTGCAGCTCCGTGTTGTGGACTCGCAGCCTGCTCACATAAACTACTCCAACAAATATCCATCCAATTTGTGAAGCAATGTTCAGAAGTAGACGAGCATTGGGCAATGAGCCAATAACAAGTGATAATGGAGGGAAAAGCTCTATGGCAAGCTGACCTCTTTTCGTAAAGCTGGCTAAGACATCATGAAGTGTGACGGCCTCGGGATTGTACTGTGGTCTGGCCCTGTATACTGAGATAAAACCAATAATCAAAAGTGGAAGACTGAGGAATGATTTCCAGTGGCAGAAAGCCCCCATGTTCTCGACCATGGGCGGTCGTATCCTAGGCTCCCCAGCCTGTCATCAATTTTGAAGGAAGATGATGGGAGGAAACGTGCAGAGTTAGATCAGGGTCGCCAGCCAGTTCACCCAGCTGACTGCTTAGTAGTAGTCCTGCCTGGACAGCATCCGGTGATATATCCCCGAAATGGGGTTCATGCGCCGGGCCTTGAAGGCGCTGCAGCATTTGATGAGGGAGTTAGTGGCTGATCTGCAGGTGTTGTTTAGCACTACTAAGTACTCGCTTACAGGCGTCCCTTGCCGGCCTCCAGCTCGTGCGGGCAACTGAACTCGCGCTTTCAGGAGTAAGCAATCAGCACTACTGAACTTACCGATCCCTGGGGTTGTCACTTGTCGTTCCAAGCGGCAGTGCAAAGCTTCATACAATCTGCCGAGAAGGATCAAATTCTGCATCGACTGTCGTAGAGATGGGTCTATGAAGTGACACAATCCCGCTTGGGCGGAGACTGATTGATTGGTCTCTGGCATTAGAGGCTTAGAATGGCCTTCACGCAGGCTGGTACTTGGCCGAATGCTGCAGCAAGATCCCAAGCATTGTGAGGCCCCTGAGACGTTTGTTGTCACGTTTCGAGGCATTCGTTCCAGGAATATCCGAAGCGGTGACCTCAAAAACAACATATGATTCAACAGATTTGAGATACTTACAGATTCCGGTAGAGATCACAAAAATTATGACATTTAAACATCTGGTGACCTCTACGTGGAGGTACAGAGGGCTGTTTAAGCCTTCGCACCTGCTGGATCTGGGAATGCGTGAAGTCTGCAATGCCTTCCAAGTCTCAAATTTGAAGATGAGGAAGTTACGAACGAGAACAGGATGACTACATTTCAAAATCACCTCGTCGCTATCTCCTTTTCTATTCCGGAATTTCATCAGATATCTAAAACCACCAGCATTCATTTGAAGAACATTTCCAGCATCAAAACTACCCAAAGAGCTTCATCATTATTATCATCCTCTTAGCCAAACATCAGTCCCAAACTACCACCAGCTATCAGACCACATCACCGTACCTCGACATGATGTCAGCATTGACTATCTCGTCATTGGCCGAAATATGTCCGGCGCCTGTCCCAGTCTTCCTCGTTGACCGACTAGATTATTGCCCAGCCATGCTGAACATCATGGAGCCTGCCAAGTCAGTCGTCGTAGAGAACCTATATTCTCTGATCCTCAATTTCACCGCTGGATCTCCCTCCAAGAACATTGAAGGTCTATCCCTCAACCTCGACACTGGACAGATTCCAAGTTACAGGGAAAGGTGGCTCGTTTTGGATCGTGGTACGACTTTGATGAAAGCAGCGCCCATTTATGTGGCTACCATCGGGCCTGTGATGACAGCAAGTACCACAGAATCAGACAACGCATTTTTTCCTTGAAGAAAACAGTTACTGACTATCTTGTAATGTAGATGTTCCTCGTCTCTTTCGATCCGGACTTGGTTTTCTACACTGTGAACATGAGCGCGCTTTCCATGTTCTTACTCGCTCTGCGCCTTCTTTACTTGGACATCGATAAAGAGCTCTTGTACGTCCTTGTTCCGGCATTTTTCTGGCTGTGCTATTGGCAGATGATGTACTGCTTGGTTTTCGACCATCGTCTCGACGATGCGCTAAAAATACTTTGTGTAACTGCCTCTCTATTGATCACTTCGTTGGGCGCGGGGATGGAGAGGATGGCAACACTCGTCAACACCCACGAAGCCAGCCCAGTCGATATGAGGTGATACCCGAAGGCTGTGATGCTTGGATCCAAAAAACAGAGGAGAGGAGTGTGAGGGACGCAAGAAGAGCTCTACCATGAGTGTCTGTGAATTCATTGGGGACCAGTTGGAGGCCTGGGTTTGTTTGATTGACTCTACGACCTTGAAATCGTTGAGTAAGCGGAATGAGCGAAATATTATCAGCGAGCGATAAAGCACTTAGGCATAGAATTGAGGAACGTCGAGGAATGTTGCACAACCAAAGCCCCTCAGTGACGATTCACCGCCTTCCTCTTCCATGAATTGCCACTTCTCAAGCGAATGATGACGTCTCAATCATGAACTTTGACATCCTCTCAAGACAATATTAAGTCCCAATCAATATAAGATGGCAAAAAGAGCAAGTTCCCGAGTCATGTCAGCAGGATTCATCTAACAAAGTCACAGCTATCATTTCGAGTCCATGGCGATGTCCAAGGTAAGCCCGAGGACAGTAACAACAAAGACACACTCTGACAACTTAAAAGGGGTCGGATTTCGGTAATCTATTTCCCAATAAGTAACAAGAATTCATACTTATAGTTCAGATACTTCACTCGGAAGAAAGCAACATCTTATGGCGTGACCGGATGGGTCAGAAACACAGCAAATAACAAAGTAGGCAAGGGTTGAGAAGTTCGGAAATATTTTTTTGACTTTGGCACAGGTCGAAGGAGAGGCTCAAGCCGAGGATGATATTCTGCAAAAGTTCATGAAGGATGTTGAGAGTGGACCAAGCCACGCCACTGTGGATAAGGTTGAGAAGCAGGAGATTGATGTGGTTGAAGGAGAGACAGGATTTGAAGTTCGCAGGTAGAGGAACTCATAGAGGTTATCTTGCGGAATTGACTTATTCTCATCCACCGCATACAAGATACATAATCGTTGGGCAACTTGAAGAACGACAGAGCAAAATGGCCAGATAATATGATTCGGTTGAGCTTTCTGTTGACATGGGTGGATACATAGGTACATTCTGTTGCCGAGGGTGCTTTAGTCAGAAAATCCAACTCGAGCAGACAAGGCCGGCCAAAAGAGGCAACGCAACATTTCCACCATTATGAACCTCTAGACGCCAGATAAGAAATCGTTCCGATGAGAGAGCACCTACTCGAATCGGTATTCCTAGCTCACGTGACCATTGTTACCCCAGAATTTCTCATCCGTCGGGTCGGCGACTCAGAGATGCCTCGGCTCCCCACGCTTACTATTCCAGACTTCAAAAACAACATCAACTCCATTCCAATCCGCAATTCTCTTCAATTATCTTCCCAATCAACACAACAGCCTTCAAAATGACCGAAAGACTCAGCTCCATTCTCAAGCACTTGACACCTGGTTCCTCTGGGTTGTCTCAAATGTATGCAGCATCATTTGCAGACGCAAGCACATGCTAATAATCAGCAGCACTTCAAAGAACGCCGATGATGTGGTTATCACCCTCGCCATCCGAACACCCCTCGCAAAAGGCTTCAAGGGAGGATTCAAGGATACAGAGCTTGACTATCTCGTATACGCACTGTTGAAGAAGGTCATCGAGAAGTCCAGAATAGATCCTCAACTCGTCGAGGATATCTGCTGTGGCAACGTATGTTTCCTAGTCTGCGAGCCTCTACAACTGCTAATGACAGTCTCTAGGTATCAGATGGCAAAGCCGCGTACAAAGTCCGAGCAGCAGCCCTTGCTGCCGGCTTCCCAAATACCACCGCCGCTTCCACGGTAAACCGATTCTGCTCGTCCGGACTGAAGGCTACACAAGACATCGCGAACCAAATTGCATCTGGCAACATCGATATCGGCGTAGCCATGGGCGCAGAAATGATGTCTGTCGGTGGGGACCGCCTCGAGAAGCCCTTCCACCCTGAGATCCTCGAGAACCAAGAGTCCAGAGACTGCATGCAGCCCATGGGCCAGACATCCGAGAACGTAGGCAAGGACTTCAACATCTCTCGCGAGAAGCAGGATAGATTCGCCGCAGAAAGTTACCAGCGCGCAGAGGCTGCACAAAAGGCTGGCTGGTTCGATGATGAGATTGTGCCTATCGTTGCCGAGGTTAAGGATCCCAAGACTGGAGACGTCAAGAAGGTTACTTTGACCAAGGATGAGGGACCAAGATGGGGCACAACTTATGAGGGATTGAGCAAGATTCGTCCTGCTTTCCCAGATTTCGGTGATAAATCTACTGGAGGAAACTCTTCCCAAGTTACTGACGGAGGTATGTTTATTCTTTCCACAGGAGAATTCTGTTGCTAATTTTATAGCTGCCGCCGTTCTCCTCATGAAGCGTTCCCGAGCCATCGAACTCGGCCAACCTATTCTCGCAAAGTACGTCGGCGCCACAGTCGCCGGTCTTGCTCCACGTATCATGGGTATCGGCCCATCGATCGCCATCCCCAAGCTCCTCTCCAAATACAACATCACAATCGATGACTGCGACATCATCGAAGTTAACGAGGCATTTGCTTCCATGGCAGTTTACTGCAAGGATGTCCTCAAGATCCCACACGAGAAGATGAACATCCGTGGTGGTGCTATCGCCCTCGGCCACCCTCTGGGTGCTACAGGTGCCAGACAAATTGTCACGGGTCTCAGTGAGGCCAGGAGACAGAAGAAGAAGATCTTGTTGACGAGTATGTGTATTGGTACTGGACAAGGTATGGCAGGCCTCTTTGTCAACGAACAGCTGTGATTTGTATTGTACTCTAGCATTTGGGGCTTGGGTTTCCAAACAAAAAAATGAATGACTTCTGTTTGACATGTTTTCTGTCATATGTCACGTGTTGGCGGGGTAGTCCAGGCTGCTATATTCATGGACGAGGTGGCGAGTGTCATCCCGTTCAAACATTCTTGTCGATGGCTATTATGGATCCTCTCACGATCGGGGCAGCCATTCCTGGCTTGCTTACTTCGGCCATAAAATTGATTCGACTCCTCAAATCATTCACCTTGTCTCCGGATTCACCAAAGTCTATGAAAGTAGTCCTCGGTCTTCTCATCTCCATTTCAACTTCCTTGAAAGATCTGAGGCAATCATTTGACGAACATTCAAACATCCCCAACAATAATCTTGATCTCATCAACATCCAGTGTCTAATTGTACCCTTGACTTCTTGTATTATAACATTTTCACACCTTGAGCATCTCATCGACATTATCCGAGCGGATCCGAAATGTCCAGCTCGCCTGTGTGCCAGGTTGGAAGGCATCAGTTCCTTGGACTATGTGAACTCTACCTTGTCGGACGAAGATGTGATCAGGATAGCAGAGACGTCGGAAACTCGTACCGAGTCTCGTAGGTTTGGGCATGGAGTGGAGAAAGAAGTCGTTGGTCTGGCTGTCTTGGACGATGGACTGAGCTGGATGATTCTTGCAGATTATGATGAGAGAGCAATGGCTGACAGTGGTAATGATGAGAAGCTACCACTGTTCAGGAAGCAAAAGTGGAATGAAAATCACCTTGAGGATATGCTTAAGATTCTACGAAACTGCCAAGAAATGTTGGGTTTATTGACAAGCTTGTTTCGTGGGTATGTTTTGTATTCACAGATGTCAAACCGCATCACTGATGACTGCAGAAGTATCGAGCAGTTGGATATTTCAATCCAAAGATTATCAGAACTCGCCTCGCAAATTCTGGAAGACAAACCCTTTCCAAACGCGCACGACGTAGAAAAGTTCGCAACCCACAACACTTCCTCGAATAGCAAAGATTCTTTGCGGGCCAATTCTACCTCGGAACATCTGGCCAAGCAAAGGTTTCAGCTAGCATTTCAGCTCTACCTACACGGAGAAATCTCTACGCTGTCATCGCCCAACTCACCATCTCCAATCCCCACCACACTTGACAGCATCGCCAATCAACCCCTCCCACTCCTCCCATCAGCCATCACAAACACAGCCTGGTACCGCTTCCCACTTCCCCTTCCTCCTGTAGACCCTGATTCCGAGCAATTCACCATCACAGTCAAAACATTAGCCGGCAAGCTCGTCTTGTTCAACATCTCAACCACGACGACATGTCGAGAGCTGAAGCAGCTGATCGAGAGGACGGAAGGTCCTCGTTTGGATCAGCAGTATCTTGTCTGCGAACCAGATCATAGATGGTTACCTGAGGATATGGTTTTGTCTGAGAGTGGTATTGGAGAGGGATCGAAGATTCATTTTTTGTTGCCGTTTTGGGGACGAGGGAGGATGTAGGAAGTTGGCACTGGCATGTGCTGAGGGAGGGCATGATGAAGGTTCACAACACCGCAGCTTTCTATGCTTAGAGGAGGGGCAATTACCTTGAGCTAGATGCATTGAAGCATCATATATACTCGTAAGACCGCGATCGAGTTTGGATTACTGTTATATATTTCCCCGCCACATTTGCAAGGCGTAGCGATGACTCTTGTAAACCCAGCTCACATGGGAAGTACGAATCGTAGATACAGAAGGATTATCTACCTAGAAATTGCAACGTTTTTCCGCAACGTTTTTCCTGCTAAGTTTTGTGATTTGTTTATGGACCATTGAACCTTCGGTCAAGCTTACAAGGAGTGAAATGCGTCAAGCTACAATCCTCGTCTCCAGATCAACAAAGCAAAAGGGGGTGGGGGAAACTAGCGAGACACCCCAGTTCCACACCGCCCGGCAGAAAAAGGGTTGATACCAAAATTTCTACAGTTGGTTTGCGACATCACATCCTGTCCTCCACACCAAGCTCATCACAATGCCGAAACAAAAAGCCCCCAAGGGCGCTGCAGCTGCAGAAGCCTCCAATGTAACCGACCCACGATTCTCCAATTTCTCGACCGACCCTCGATTCCGTCTCCCGTCGAAAAAGCACACCCGCACGAAAATCGATAAACGTTTCTCGCGCATGCTGAAGGATGACGACTTCTCCAATTCAGCAACCGTCGATCGATATGGCAGAAAGTTGAGCACGAGTGGAAAGAAGAAGGCGCTGGAGAGGTTGTATGTTCCAGACGAGGAGGAAGACGAAGATGATGAGAATGCAGATGTAGAGGTCGATGATGACGACGTTGTGGAGAAGGAATTGAAGCGCGCAGAAGCTTATGATCCTGCAAGAGGTGGCGGATTCTCGTCTTCTGAAGATGAAGAAGATGAAGAGGACGAAGAGGAAGGGGGAGTGGAGATTGTAGAAGAGGAATTCCCAGATCTGCAAGCTGAGTCTGCTGCCGTGGAGATGGGCGAAGTTTCCTCGAGAATTGCTGTCGTGAACATGGATTGGGATAATGTTCGGTCTGCAGACCTCATGGCTGTCTTCTCGAGTTTCGTCCGACCGGGAGGAAAGATTCTGAAGATCTCGATATATCCCAGCGAGTTTGGAAAGGAGCGCATGGAGCGCGAGGAATCGGAAGGGCCACCGAAGGAGATTTTCGCCAAGAAGGAGGAGGATTCTGAGGTCGACTCCGAGGAAGATAGTGATGAGGAAGAGGAGAAGATCAAGAAGGAGCTATTACAAGCGGATGATGGCAAGGAATTCGACAGTGCGGCTCTGCGACAGTACCAACTCGATCGGTTACGGTATTACTACGCAGTGGTGATCTGCTCAGACAACGAAACTGCGCAGAACGTCTACGAAAATACAGATGGGTCAGAATATCTATCTTCAGCAAATGTATTCGATCTGCGATTCATCCCTGATGGTGTGGAGTTCGACGATAAGCCCAGAGACGAATGCGAAAGCGTACCGGCCGGATATAAACCCATCGAATTCGTCACGGATGCTCTACAACATTCAAAGTCCAAACTCACGTGGGACACAACACCAGAAGAGGCGTCACGTAAAGAAGCAATTAGCCAAGCTTTCAGTGGAAGTCGGAAAGACCACCTCGATAACGATCTACGCGCATACCTGGGGAGCGACTCCGAAGAAGAAAGCGAAGCTGAAGCTGAAGCAGAAACCGACGGCCCGAAATTATCCAAGAAAGAACTCGCCCGTCAGAAAATGCGCGCAGCTCTTGGTCTCGCCGACGAACCCGCTCCATCGAAAAAGACCAAGGGTCCAGTAGGGGACATGGAAGTTACATTCACAGCCGGCCTCTCCAGCAAATCCTCCACCGGTGTATTCGAGAATGAACCACCCCTCGACGAAACAACAGCAGAGCGATACATACGACTCGAGAAAGAGCGCAAAGCCCGCCGGAAGGAGAAAGCTAAAGCCAAGCGCGAAGGCAGAGATCCAGATGCGCAGCCAGATGCAGAACAAGATCAAGAAGCCGAGAACGCAGATATGGGATTCGACGATCCGTTCTTCGCTACAGACGAAGCTGTCAAAGAGAAAGCCTCGAAGTCACTCCGCAAAGAAGAACGACTCAAGAAACGGGAAGCCAAAGCCGCTGCGGCCGCAGCATCTGCCACCCAGCGCGCTGAACTCGAATTACTCATGCAAGATAACGCTACAGAAGAAGGCGGAGCTAATCTTGATCATTTCGATATCAAGGAGATTGCGCGTGCGGAAAAGCTCAAGAAGAAAGGCAAGAAGCATAAGAAGAATAAGGAGGTTGAAGGTGGGAAGCGGGGTGGTTTGCAGCAGGGCTTTGAGATGGATGTGGGAGATGAGCGGTTCAGCAAGTTGTTCCAGAGTCATGAGTTTGCGATTGATCCGACGAATCCGAAGTTTGTGGCTACGGAGGGGATGAAGAAGTTGTTAGAGGAGGGCAGAAGGAAGAGGGATAGGGATGTTGGGGAGGGAGGTGAAGATGAGGTGGTGGTTAAGAAGAGTAAGAAGAGGAAGGGTGGTGAGGCTGAGGTTGAGGAGAAGGGGGAGTTGAGTGGGTTGGTGGAGAAGATCAGTAAGAAAGTTAGGCAGTGATGACTTGGTTTGAAGTAATGAAGAAAAAATAATCATGAATCCAAAAAAGATCCAAGTGCCGTTGCATATTTATACGTTATATTCCTACGTTCCCTGCCCTTCATTCAGCCAGTCTGCCGCCCAACGTGAAAAAAGCTGGCAGCGTAGCATTCAAAAGCATAGATCAAGGGACTTTGGAATGCCCATCGTCAGGTCCTGACATGAAATATAAGTGATTGACTGTTTACCGTAGTAGTTCTCTGAAATCAACCGTTCTCTTCCAAATTGACTTCAAATAACCAAGGATCCGATGCCAATTGATTCGGAGATCCGCGAGCTTTCTCCTCATCTCGCTTCCGCAAGCGAAAGTAAACACCAGCCACCTAATCCATGCCTCCCTTATCAGCAAACCAAGTCCCTATTGTCAGCTATCCAAACTCACTTTACACTTCGCCTGTCCGGAGACTCTCTATTCAACTAAGATTTGCTTTCCTCTCCTCTGCATATATTATGGATTCATCTCTCTTCCTGGTCTCAGACATTCTGCTCGCTTAGCTAAGATTGACGGCACACTGTGTTTGGCCTACTATCTTTTTTCCTATGGCAACGTATCGACCTCCGAGCTGACTCAGATCTATTCCAGTTTGCTGTAGGTATATTGAGATTGGCAGAGATACAACTTGATATGAGTTTGGCAACTACAATGTAGGGTTCAGGACATCAGTTCACCAGGCACTCAAGTCATATCATCTCGCTGGTCTCCTCACATCCCGATCTAGTCCTATCCCTTTCTCCTATCTTCATCGTACTCCACACCAAGTACCTCACATCAAGCACCTTTAGACTAATTCCAATTCCCCGCTACAATCCAAACCCAAGGTCACATTGTCACAATCTTCAAACTTTCAAATTCTCAATTCTAATGTCATGTTTCGCTTTTAGTACTTTGCTTTTGTTATGTTATCCATGTATCCAGACCCCCTTTATATACCTATCCAACAGCTAGATCCCTAGCCCAGGTATCCCCATCCACCAGTCAATCCCAGTAGCAAAGTCCCTACCTCCGGGGCCTGGAACCTTTTAAAATTCAGTTAGCCCGCCTGTCAAGTCTGGATGTTGAATTTTAAGATAATACACATCGATCAATTCCAAAGCGGAAGGATTGAGAAATAATGTAGACTGAGAAATAAAAAATGAGAATTAATATGTCCCCTGACGCCAGCGAGTGAACAGGAGCAGGATAGAGAGAGACGAAGCAATATTCCCTTCCTTTCCTACACCTCTGAATTGTTGAATACCGATTGTTGCATACTGCAGCTTGGAAAGAGAAGTCGATGTTGAAGTCGTATTGAAATAGAAGGTGCTGAAATGTAGATCGGGTTGAGATGTTGAATCGCAAAAGTGATTTTGAAACTCGTACATATAGCTAGATTCCGGAGTCGCTTAGCTGAATGTGAATAGGGCAAAGGTGGTAGACCTGCGCAACGTCGCAGGTTAAGTTGATCGTGGTGTGTTAAGGCGGACCTCAAATATCCTCATCCTCATCCTCCACCTCCATCACATGCCCATATCCCTCCATGCCAACATCTTTCCAACCAAATCTCTGATGCTCCGCACTTTCTCCCCGTCCCCAATTCTGACCACCCCACTGCCCACTAGCACCTGCATCCCCACTCCCACCCAGAAACTCCCCCGCATTGAAGTCCCCACCTCCATCATGACTTCCTCCCCCACCTCCACCACCCCCCTCATCCTCCTGATAATCGGCTTCAACACTCAAAATATCTCCATCTCCATCCGTCCGCAGGAATCCAAACAGATTAGCCAGCTGCTTCAGGCTCAGCGCCGCTCGCTCCTTCGGCTCGCCATCACGCATTGCCTTCTCCAGATTCTGGAGCTTATGTAATTGCATGGACAGCATGCGCATATCGACGGAATTTTTAACTACGATCCGTGTCATGTAGGTTTCTTTCTTTTGGCCTATGCGGAAGATGCGGCCGAAGGCTTGTTGCTCGACGGCGTGGTTCCACCAGAGGTCTAGCGAGATACAGCGGTTGGCCCAGGGGAAGTTGAGTCTATGTTCCACGGGTTAGAAAAAGTCCTTCTATTCCCGTAGTCTCCGGAGAATAATTTCGATTGGGCAATGTAGAAGAAGGGAAGGTAACGTACCCCAAACCACCACACTTCAGGCCAGCAATCAAGATCTTAACACCTTCATCATCACGGAATCGCTTGATTGCCTTCTGCCGATGCTCCAATGTTGAGTCACCAGTCAGGTACAGGAAACCCCATCCCTCACCATTGCAGATCCGACCGACGATTCGAGCTAGAGTTCGGAATTGAACGTAGATAACGACCTGTACATCAAAGTCAGCTCTCACTTCCCACCGCCGCCGGCCTTCCAATGTTCCCAGCTCTGTCCGTGACTTTGAAAAGTGTTTGTGAAACGATGAAGAGGAGTGAACCCACCTTATCCAACGGCGCTTCCTCAAAACCCTTCAACAGCAACGCCTTCAGCGCAGTCGTCTTCGTACTCGGCGTCAAGACAAAGCCCGGCTCCCTATCACTCTTACTGATCCAAGTACTATCATTGGTCATCGGTTCGAAACCCATAAGATCCCGTCCCCTGCTGAAAAAATCCTTCTTTGGATCAATTTCCTCCTGGCCCTCACGACCTTTGCCTTTTCCTTTGTTTTTGGACCGGCGTCTGCTAGATGAGGATGTTGTGTCGCCGTCGTCGATGAGAGGATTAATGACGGGAGTGGTTTTGTCGAAAATGCGGTTACATTCCGGGCACGTCATGTATTCGTTTTCCTGGGCGACGAGCGCATTGACAAATGTGTCGATGCAGTCTTTGCAAAACACATGACCACACTATTATATCAATTAGCATGTCTCTTATCTATCCAACTTCACTTCCACACTGCCCATTCAACACCACAATGTAAGAGCACCAGCCTCAGTACTACTCACATCGGTTTTCAATGGCTCAGTCGGGACATCCGAGCATAGAGAACAAGTAACTCTCTTGTAAAGCTCTCCCTCATCTAGGGTTCCCAGCGGCTGCTCCATATCAAATGTATGACCAAAAGACGACTGACCAAACGGCAGCATCTCATCATCTGGGACAACCTCACCTCGCGCGCGGGCTTCAGCACGATGTGCTTCGGACGTTTCGACCCACTTTAATGGTACTTGTCAGTACGGCTTGAAAGTCGTATTTTCAATGTCACGAAAAAGGTTCAGACAATCAAAATCGATATTTGGGGGTGAATTTGGAGTGGGGTGGACATACCAACTGGCACTGCTCGTAGAACGGTCTATTGGCCGTTTTGATTTTCGTCATACGAGTCTTCAACTCTTGTACGTCCTCCATTGTCCAGCTCTCCTTGATTGTACGCTCCAGCATAAATGGGTGTGATGTGCACTGTCGTAAGCGGAGGAGTTGGACCATGAAGAAGCCGTAGTTGCGGCTGGCATCACCCTTTTTGAAGAAGGCATTGAGGTTGTTTCGGAAGCGATTTTCGGTCTGTTGATTTTCCAGGTCAGTCAAAGTGTCCCGTTTCTGGATGTCTGAAATTGTTTCGCGACATTGAGAATCCCACTTGTCAAATATCCGACAAATGCGACATTGAAGCCAGGCTTTGGGAGGGTACTTACAATACGGTAGATGATGGTCTCCTCTGGTGAGAAATTTACATATTGAATATGAGGATGTGGTTCGGGTAGAGTAAGAATAGGGCGATTGAGAATTGATGTCTTCATAGTCCGACGCATCATGGTGTAGCTGAGGAGGGTAGCAATGCGGTTGTAGCAATCACTGGCGTCAGGATCACAGAAGTACTTCTGAAACATCGCCCAATCCATGCTATAATTTGCCTTGAGGAATCGGAGGTATGGAAAGAGTCTGTTGTGGTGTTAGATCAGCATTCTCTACTCTTTGGATACTTTGTTTACATGGATCGAATTCTTGGGAGGCTAAGCGAGGGAAGACAAAAGGAGAAACGTACTCTTCCAACCGGTTCAACAACGGCGTACCGGTTAAGCACAATCGATAAACACTCTTTAGGTTCTGACACGCTAAGCTGGTCCGCGCGCTGTTGTTCTTAATAGCCTGAGCCTCGTCCAACACAACGCGATACCAGTTGACTTGATGCAGTAATCCCATCTTCTCAAGTGCACCCTTGGCCCAAGCAGGATAACCATGGCGAGCAATCTCCATGCGACCTTCCTTATCGGGCCAAGGGAACTGCTTCATTACTACGTTGTAAGACGTTACGACGATGTCTATGTCCTCGAGGATGGAGAGGGACACTGTGGAGGAGGACTTGTAGTGTAGAATTTTGGGGAAGACCTTGTCATTGACATGAGCTTCGATCTCTTCCGTCCATTGCTTGACGATTGTGGCGGGGGCGACGATGAGTGTTGCTTTAACCTTACGCTTGATGTCCTCTATCCAATGTCAGACTAGTTCGTAATTCGACAGTGACTTCGACAGATGCGGCATCGCAGAGAGGAAGGGGTAAACTTACCAAGACCAGGAGGATTCCCAACCATGCAAGCCAATGTCTGTACCGTCTTTCCCAGACCCATACTATCAGCCAACAGCCCTCCATGCGGAGGTTGACTACTCAATTCTCGCTCAACCATCCACTGCGCACCCAACAACTGGTGGTGATAGAGCGTACTGTTCATCCCCTTGATCAACCACTTCCCATCCACTGCCTTACATTTGGCATAGCCGAAACTCTTACTCGCATCTCTAAGTTTAGCTTTATCACTGCGCACAGCTCCACGGGTCAGTGCATCTTCGGGCTCGGGAATATTGGCGAACAACAGTTGGAATTGCGTGGCTTTGGTTTTGTGGCCTGATATAGTCTCTTCGGCAGGGCGATTGAAGATGGGGTTTTGAAGACGGTCGGATATAGGATCGTTGTTCATGAGGTCTTCCAGAATCATGTGACCGACAGGGTCGACATTGTTGAAGGATCGAAATCGACCGGATGCGAGAAGACTTTGACCATTGGTGACGAGCTCTTTGCCTTTACCTTTGCCCTTCTTAGCAGGCTTCTCTTTCTCCTTGCCTTTACCCTTGTCTTTGACTTTGGCTTTACCTCGTCCTCTCGTAACAGGAGACTTGACCTTGCGTCGAGAAGCAGGAGCTGCAGCTGGTTCATGGCCTTTCTTCTTCTGAGCCTTAGCACGTTCCTTCTCACGACGCTGTTCATCTTTACGTTGCATATACTCGAAGGGTCCCTTTGCAACCTTGGCGCGTCTCTTACGAGGCTTGCCGGCTTTGGTGAGACCGAGATCTGGTTCGACCTCAGGGGGACCGTTCTCTTCAGCGAATATACCAGCCATGGCGTCATCGTCATTGTACTCTCCCTCGCCAGCGTTATCATCCGATTCGGATTCGGCGTCTTCGACCTCTTCAGACTCTGCTTGAAGACGGCGACCTTCTTCTGCTGCAAGTCGCTCTTCTCGCTCTCTATGACGGCGCTTGACGGTCTCCTCTCGAGTTTCAGGAAGGAACAGAGAATTTGGGTCCTCCTCCTGCTCATCCTCACCAATCCGGGATACAGCTACACGGAGACGATCTCTGGTCTCGATACGCTTTATGATTTTGTAGAGATGCACAGACTCGTCGGCTGTAATGGTCTTGGATCGCTGTTTACGAACCAGCAGGTTCTTGAGCTTAAGCATCTTCTCATACTCGGGGTCAGCCTCGTCTTCCTCATTCATCCAAGAGTTGTCCTCGCTGGCATCTTGCATGACGGCGTCAGCTTGATCAGAGGTACCGAAAGTATTGTCTTCAAAGCGCGCAAAATGGTTTGGTACTTCAGGACGTATGTGTCCTCTTGAGCTGCCTTCTCCATTATTCTGGGCCTTGCTTCTCTGATACATTGCTCTTTGAGCAGCCATCAGCTTCGCGGGATCAAGTTTCTTTCTTGGTGTATTTGGTTTCGGAGCCGGCGGTGGGTTGAGAGGACGGACATCATCGTCTCTTCTCTCCTCCTTGATGAATACAACATCATTCGAAGTCTTCTGGGGGCTTTGTGAGCTCCATTTCTGTTGAGCTGTCACTGAAGCTTGTTGAGGCTCGATGATCATGAAATCGCCGTCATCATCGTCTTCTTGTGCCTGAGGTGGAGGGGTAGGCTTTGAAGATGGCGTGCTTTTGATAGTTTGTCCAAAGATGGATGGTATTGGATGACTGCTGGTTATGGACGGACCATGTTTGCTAGATGGTAGAAGTTGTGAAGGTGGTCCACCGAAAATCGAAGCAGAGGTCAGTTGCGGGGTAAGTGATGTCGGAGATGAAGGCTGTCCAGGTGAAGATGAAGCAGCTGATGCAGCGCTCTCTGATTGTGGGACTTGAAGAGATCTGACAGGGTTCTCGACAGGTGGAGTGCGGGCGGCCGATTGTTGACGCGCTGCATAAGGAGGAGGATTATGAGTGAAATACATGGGGTCATGCTCCTCAGACTTGATCTTCAAAGCTGAACTCGACTCAACTTCATTGTTGATTTGGTCCTGAACTTGGCTCGGCTCACTGGCTGAAGCAGTACGCTCGATTGATGGAATCAACTCGTGAGAAGGAGATGACTGGGTCTCTGGCTCTTTCTCTGGTTGATTTCCAGTTGTTGACTCTGGTTCTTCATCAAGCTGGTAATCCAAGTTGTCATCCATATAGTCATCATTGCTATTACCATGACGAGAGAAATTGAAATCTTCCATTTTGTATGATGAAGTGATACTATGAGTGGTGCTTGGAAAGAAATATTTGTTCTTTAAACGGAGTTGTAGTTTTAGAAAGAAAATATAGTTGAGGTGATGCTGTAGGAAGGTAGAGGTCGAATGGCTGTTGGTGTTGTACTTGTAGGCTTGATCCTCGAAGCATTCGACTTGAGGAGGTGAAGTGGATTGAGTGGGCCCTGTATCTACCTCAGAGCGCTCCGCTTGATAGTTGAAACCCGCTGAATAAATTTTCAATGGTGAGCCTGAAATTCAATTAGTACCTGATGTTTGGATGACGTTGATCGCCGTGATGACGAGATGATTTCTCAGCAAGGCACAATAAATGTGAGCAGCTGCTTTGAGTTTGAGATTGAAAAGTGCAAGAACAGTGAGGACTCTATGGGTGAATGCTGAGTGTGTGGATGCGGAGATTCATATGTAGACCAAGAGGAGACGGTGTAATGACAAGGATGAATAGAAAGAACCCCTGCCTCACAGACTACTTAGCTGAAGACATTCCGTATGCAGGGCATGCACAAAAACCAACCCACCAGATTGTGAGCCTGTGAATGCACCAGGATGAGTTGGAATCATGAAAAGCGGACTCTGCGAACGAACTGTGAGGAGATGTAGAAGTGGATCCTCAAATTTTGGAAAGTAATAATGAATGGCTGCATATTGAAAATTAATTACATACCTCGAATCCGATGACAGCCAATCCGATGACAGCCAATACTAATGTTTGGGTGGTAATTTGTAGTCCAGAAGATGATAGGTGGTGCTGAGGTCATTGATCTTGATGTTGTTGATGGGGAAGGGTGTAGCTGTGAAAGACGCCCTTTAAATAGAACAGCCTTACCAAGTAAGCGAGGGTGTTGGAACCATCTGCGCCATCGCAGGAGGAAAGAACCCTCGACTACAATACAGGCAGGCAGGCAAGAAGGATTGAACAGCCAACCAAGAAAAAGAGCAGGAACCAACCGAAAACATACACCACTACTACCTCCCCACCCGACCTGTCATGTCCTCCCTCCCAACACGCACTTCTGACCCACCACGCTATCAACTTCGTGACCTGACATGCCAGGCCGGGAATGCCAACCACACCGAATGAACATCCAAACATAATCCTCGACCCCTCAAGATATTCATTCATCCATCCATTTTACCACAACCACCCCCTCCTCTACTTGTAGAAAGAAAGAAAGGAATCTTTCCCCCCAAAACAAACAAGCAAAAATCCACGCAGTCGGCGGGGGGAAACGACAAACCAAACCAAAAATATTCCACCCCATAAAAAAATTCCTGGACTCCCAATTAGGATCCAGACAACGGAAGAAATTCAGGATCAAAATCAAGGATTCAAAGATTAAAAGCAGAAAGGGAAGACAGGAGCAGGTCCAGAGATTACAATTTCGTATTGATTATTTACATAGGCACACAAAAGAAAAGGAAAACAGCGCATTAGTTCCTAGCTTAACCACTCCCCAGATCGCAAATCCCAAATCCCGATATCATACACCACCACACAAAGGTACCCCCATCCAAGGTAACCCCCCCCTCTCGAAAGAACATCCACGCCAGGCATTTCTACCTCCCCTCCCCGGATATACAAGCCAGCTCGTCGCTCGTGGGATGTTATCCATGCCGAAGATCGGTAATGTCGTGTCCTAAAAAGAACCTGGTACATGTAGACATATCTGAGTCTGGGGCTCCCTCCGGATGTAGGTATTTGCGAAAGACATCGATACGGTGGGAGACGGTGGAAGACGGTGGGTGGGAGGGAATGGATTTACCGAGATAGAAATCGAGATCCGGACCGGGACCGAGATAGCGGACATGAGGGGGTGAGGTAAGAGACTGGGACTCGGTCGGGATTCGTGATTTGAAGAAATGTAACGTATTGGCCCTGAGACATGAGGGCTGAGAGCTAGCTGAATGTATGGATGATATTCGATTCCACATCTCGGCTCATCCTACGGTAAAATGGAATGGAATGGAATCGTAATCTGTTGTTGGTTGTTGTGCTGTGTTGCGTGTGAAGCAATCCATGAGTGGTGGTCAGTGCGCCTCGCTTAATGCCAAAACCGGAAGGAAACAAGAAAACATCGCCTCCGAAATCCATACAAAAACAAAATAAAAAAACATCTCGGTAACAAAATCGACCCCTTTAACCAGCCTCGGTGACGAGATTGCCATTACCGTCTGTTTGTGGGTAATACCAAGCACAAACAGCGATAATCAGGTAAAGGCACTGCAGAAGCATACCCTCGAGCCCTAAATCACGTGTCAGTAACCCCCCCCATAACATATCAATCAAAGACCAGAGATCAAAGACTTACAATGAGACTTGCCATCCCCAATCAAATAATTGACCAAAAGCACAGCTACAAACAGCACCGCAATCTGGAACCCATCAAAACTCAGATCCATCTCGTCCTTGCCCATAATCCACCCGATAATCACCAGCAGCGGGATCAGGAACAGCGAAACCTGCATACTCGATCCAACAGCAACGCCAATGGCCAAATCCATCTTATCTTTCACGGCCACGGTCACGGCAGTGGCATGTTCTGCAGCGTTTCCTACGATGGGGAGAAGGATCAAACCGACGAATTCGATGGATATAGCTCCGCTGGCTGTAATGGCACTAATAGAATCCACCATGAACTCCGCGCAAAGCCCAATAACAGCCGTTGCACCCGCGAGAGTCGCCCACGCAACAGCAATATGTAACTGCGGCTCCTCATCCTCATCATCAGCATCCTCATACGCATTCGTATTAATAAGCTCGTCATTCGGCGGGCGATCCGTAACCGTAGCTCGTCCCGCACCAGCCGCAACACCACCTGCCTTCGCGATGCCCTTGGATATCGCTCCAGCGGGGACTTTGTTCTTGCGGGGCCGCATGGCGACCTTCTGGCTCTCCTCGTTGAACATCACGGCGTGGGTCTTGAGCTGGAAGTACAGGTATCCGATGTACACGACCAGGAGGATAACGGACGTCCCGCGCGAGAGAGCGGCAACGTGGGATTGGGATTTGATGGCTGCGAACTCGTCGAAGCAGGTGGGGATGATGACACTTCCTACTGCGAGGGCGAGGAGCGAAGCGGCTGTTTGGGCGACGGTCTTGTTGAAGAATTGCTCTGTACGGCGGAGGCCTCCGAAGAAGAAGCACATTCCTAGGACGAGGAGGAGGTTGGAGAGGATGCTGCCGATGAGGGAAGTCTGTACGACGAGAACTTCGTCGTGGGCGAGGGCGATGATGGCGACGATCATTTCGACGGCGTTTCTAGAAATGTTAGCTGGAGATGTTCAAAAATGAAAGAGGACGTACCCAAAAGAAGCATTCAAAAGTCCACCCAAACTCTCTCCAACATGAAGAGCAATCTCCTCGGTTGCAAAACTCAACATAGCCGCCAGAGGAATAATGGCAATGAAATTGACCACGAAAACCGCCTTCTTATCCACTCCAGCATAATTCAACGCTATTCCAATCGGTGCAGCCAAGAGCAGGATATTAATCCAAGAGTTGAGAAGCGTTCTCTGGATCTGGTTCCGAAGTGTAAATGGCTCCTTGTGAGGTAGGACCTTGCCCTTATACCACGGTCTCTTCTTCTCTTCATCCTCTCCCTCTGGAACCTCTTCCTTATTCTTCTTCGAGAACCGACCCAAGAATCTCTTTCGTGCCTTTTCCTCTTGACTTCTGGGTCGTGTCGACGTCTGATCCACGACCGTCTCTTCGCTATCGCCCTCTCTAGCCTTGCCGTTCGAACTCGACGCTGTAGTCATCTGGTACTCATTGTCCTTTGAATTCCTGGGTCTCTCATTCTCATCTGTGCCTTCATTGAAGTGGTTCGAATGGAATGTAGGTTCGGTCTGGACTGCGGATAATGGAGTTTCTCTCTCATCCATATCATCGGGTCTTCTCTGTCGCCCGGATTCGATGTCGGTTCCTGACGCTGCCCAGGTCTTCGCTCTGCTGGTCTTTCTGAATGGATTCCAGGAATCGCTGTACCATGCTTCTTTTCGCGCTTGGCGCTTTATGGAATCTAGAGACTTGTCAGCATAAATTGTACTTAAAATAATTGTAGAAGATCTGCGCACGCATATTAAACGTCATTTTGTATTATGTTGTAAAAGTCTGCCGTTCCTTGTCGAAATGGGCGAACTGTGTATTTGAGTGGGCGCACTGCTGGCGTTTGCGGACAACAAGGCAATCAGGCGGAATGTAGAATCCCCGATTGGTTGCTAGATGCGCTGGTGAGTTGTGTCGGGCGCAAAGGATTGTGCGCTGGAACACAGAGTCTGTCGCACGAATATATCGTGATCTTATCGATCTCTCAAATCCAGTGCTGCGGCGAATTGAGTTCGATATTGAATTCGCGGATTGATTGCATTTTTCCAAGCTCAGCCCAGCCTCGGCGCGAAGCTTGTTGTCGTTGGAATGGGGGCTGAGGATAATAAATGGACCTTGGCCGCCTGGAAAGCCTCGTGGCAATACCTAGGAGAAGCGGGGCGGGATTGTGTTGCTCAGCTGAAGTTGAACTGCGGGGTAAGACGGCAAGTAGATGTATTGCTGTTGCTGTCGTGAAGTCGTGAATGTTTGCTATTGAAGAAGAGAAATGGAAAGGGAGGAGGGAAGAAATAGTTGGAAATGGCCCGGCCAGGTTTCTTTGAAGGGAGATTTGCGTCGAGCCCAATTTCGGTGGCTTTATTTAACCCCTGTCGTCGTTGGTGATCCAACCGCTTTATTCCACAAAAAGAATCCACTTGTCCGCGTAAAACCCAGTTGACAGCCACTATTTTCATATTAGGCTCAAGAATTACAGGAATAGTCGAATGAAAAGTCGCGAAACGAATTTAGGACTCGTGTATTTCTCAATTGCGTTGCACAGCCATTGGCTAAGGTATTTACTGGCGCACGAGCTGGTAGGCGATTCAGGGCAGCTGGATGCGATGCAGATGCGACGCAGATGCCGGTGTCGTGTGTTGTTGTGATGACCTCACTTGAGTCTAGACTAAGCCAGACGATGCTGCAGGGGAGTGCACTGTTCAAACACAAGTCGGGATATTTACATACAATGACCGGAAATGACGACAAGGTACCTACCTATCTATTGAAGAAAAGCCTACAAACCTCTTGAAAGACTTCCCGAGCAGCTATATACATGTGACTACCTTTCACGTCTTTCAGTCGCGCACAGCGCGCGCTGTCTTTCCCAGCTGTCAATGCCCCAGCGGTGTGATATCAACATAGTTTTCTCCTGATTCGTGGCATGTCTACAGAATCGGGAAGCTTTCTCCCAGACCATTTCCTGTCTTCCTCATCCTGCCCCAGTCTCCCTTTCCATACGTCCATACATCATCCTCAGTCAAGTCAACTCTTCCCCATCCCAAGAAACTTGGCCAACTTGGCACCAAGGTCTTGACAAATCTTGACTTTTGCTTGTTTCCCCCAAACAAGCTCATCACCAAGCCCTTGGTTTTTCTGCCTCTCAGAATCCCTACCCCACTGTCTTCTACCCACCCGCGCATTCAGCCACAGCCACAACACAGAACAGCGCACCGCACTGTGACACAGCATCATCGCGCAGCGCAGATCGTTCGCTCCGCCAATCAATCACAACTGCGACTTCAAATGCGTTCTGTGATGCGTATTTAAGGTTTTTGTACCTCCGTATTGTGGCTTGACACTTTTAACTATTACATTTAGATTTTTAAACTCTGCGCATGGCTTGATTCGTAGGTCCTTGTCCGGCACTCGCAGTCCCGTTGTTCAGGCGGTTCAAGTGTTCAGCACGACAGGTGTGGCTGAGTACCCAAGCTGGAGTGCCAGGTTCCACAGTGAGGAGGATGAGGCGAGATTTATGGGACAGGAGAGGAGCGGAGGTTTAGGTGGTCGATGCGAACTTTCTGGTAGGTGATTGAAAGTTGATAGTGGTTAGGGAAGTTTTTGTGGTCGAGGACAATTTAAGTGGAAAAATCGGCAGTCGCATGCTCGGCAGGCTTCCCAGTATCTCACTCACCTCCCCCTTCCTCTATCTCGGTCCCAGTCTTGGCGTTGCTGTTGGATCGAGTATGCAGGTTTCTTACGCCGCCTTTGAAGCAAACTCTCCGCGACAGTCCATCAAGCAAGTAGCTGAACATCCGGGATCAGGATTCAGATGCTCAAACTTCAGCTGCCTGCAGATATTTATTTTCCAAAAAGAAGATCTTTGAGGGGCATGATGGGCACCACCTGGGGATAGACGAGGTTGGGAACGGACAAGGACTATGAGATTGGAGAATACGATGGAAATAATTTATGAAATGTGCACAATGTACAATATAGAACCTAGAAATCCTATATCAACCACATATCCCATCCTCCTAACCCGTACAGTAGAAGGAAACGAGAAGAAAGAAAACACTCCGACAGGTCTGCAGCGGAGTTATTCTTGACTTTATTACAAGGATGCGAACTTTTGATTGAAAGGGAAAACCCCCGAAAGTGTTGAACAGTCTCGATGTCATAAAATGATCAAAGAACTTACGCATGAAGAAGCAGCGTAATGATAAAGAAAGAAAAGTCCGAAATCCTGGGAAACCCCATTGTGATGGCAATGACATAGCCTTCCCTTGAAGACCAAGTCATAAATCCAACAACCAGGATCGAAATATCGCACAGCTTGTAGTGGTCAAGTTCAAGGGACAGACAAAGGAGAAGCCTACCTATACTGCATACTCACACCAGCTGACGGACACATTCGTGCAACATCCAGAATCACGTCTTGGTCAGGCATTAGCATCGTCGGGTTCAGTTAAAGTGTTCATTGTGAGACCAACCCTTGCACTCCTGTATCCCAGTACATCATTAACTCCCAAATTCAACGCCCGTCCAGCAAAAGCCCAAGTATGAAACTCTTCTCCTAGTATCGGTATCTGGTCGAGTAATCTGCAAAATATCAGCATGGCCCTGGGACGACATATGAGAATGGCTCACCCTTTGGACTAACAACCAAACCACGACCTTTCTTTGCACCACGGTAGATTGTCTCGATAATATCGATCAACTCTTGCTTGTCCTCGAGAACCCAGTTCAACTTGTTATTGTTACCAGTGCCGAAATCGCACATCATATGTTTATTTCGGAAGAAGAACATTAGGGTGACGGGGTCGTAGAGTTCGTACATCTGCTTGAAGTCGGGAACTTGATCGAGGTCGCAGACGTAAATGACAGCAAAGTTCTTGACACGATCGGCGATGCCTAGAGGAAGTTAGTGGAGGTTCTGGGAAGAGATGAGTGGGCGCTGTGTCCTTTGGGGCGCAGAGAGTGCAGAGAATTATTGTGCATCTCAAGGTCCCACAGAGACGGTACGACAGAAGAGTAGATGGGTAAGAAGGCTTACGGTACAGAACCTCATCCTGTCGCATGCAATCAGGGTCCCAATCACGACCGAAGCGGATAATCACCAGACGCTCCTCCTCCGACATGATAGCCTGGTCGACATGCCAACCTGTTATTAGATGTGGTAGTACTACGGATCCCATCTTGTCTGTTGTGTAGCGATTGGGTGTCGAGAGTTGTGGTGTTGAAGTGGAGGACTTTTGAAATTGATGTGAAGATCGATGAACGCAAGGCTGAAGTTCAAGAAGAAAGCGCTAAAATACTAGCGCATAAATCACATGACTGGGTGACCCCTCCTCAACATGTGACCTTTACAGTCCTCACATCCTAGGTACCTACCCTCGGCTACCTTAGGTAGGTAGCTTGGTTCATTAATCATCCCAGACCAGGTATTCTTTTGATGCCGTTCATTGTCTTCCATAATCGGTGCAGCTTCACATGTCATTTCCCGTTTGGTGGTTGTGCTCGGAGCCCAATACGCCTTGTCTGACAGGATAGGCAGATCTTCTGCGGGGTATCTTTGGATATGTGGGGTGAACTCCACTTGAAGGGCGTACCAATGGTAGAAGATATACTCATATACTTTCAAATATATATCTATTCAAATCTCTGACTCCAGCTCTGTTTCTTTTACCTGGTGGAGCAAGGCTTTTCCAGATAGGCTTCGATATCGTCTAATTCGTTTCTCTCTTATCGGCTTTCCCATCATGTCCCAACTCACCCTATTCGATCTCCCACGTAAGGGGAGATGTTCGTCCTGGTCTTACAATCCATGGAAAAGTATGTCCTGGTCCCTTTCCCCACATACCAGGAATTAACATAGTCAGCTCGTCTTGCTCTCAACTTCAAAGGCCTCGATTACAAAACAGAATGGGTCGAATATCCAGATATCCAAGCCCGATTGAGTCCACAGTACGTCTGTCATATAGACAAAGCCAGATCATCCGTCTAATACTCCTAGTGTACCCGCAAATCCCGAACCAGACCGTGACTGGACAATTCCCGCTATGATGTTCACAGACGGAACATATATCATGGACTCGAAACCCATCGCAGAACGTCTTGAGAAGGACTACCCAATCCCTTCCCTATATCTCGACTCTCCAATTATCCAAGAAATCTACCCCGCCGTCGGTGCCATCGCAAAGCCCCTCCGGGCTGTCTGGCTCCCCCGCGTCCCCGTCAATCTCCTGAATCCTCGCTCAAGTGAATACTTCCATCGAACCCGAGAAGAGGATGTTGGAAAGCCACTCGCGCAGTTTATGAAAGAGGAGGGAGGTGAAGAAGCGTGGGTGGAAGCTTTGCCTGCGATCAAATCCTTGGGTGAACTGGTCAAGAAAGAAGGAGGACCTTACTTGTTGGGTAAAACCCGTGTGTCCACCAAAATTGATCGCGAATATGACTAATTTTTGGCAGCTTCCTATGCTGATTTTATCATCGTTGCATTCCTTCAATTTCTAAAGGTCATTGAGGATGATTTGTATCAGCGGCTTGTCAAGGTTGAACCTGTTTTGGGCGAACTTTATGATGTTTGCAAGCCTTGGTTGGAGCGAGATGGACACTAAACCTCGGTCTGAGAGATATCGTTTTTAGTCGGATACTCTAGAAACGAAGTCTTTGTTATTTTTGGCATTTTCCACGTACGAGAGATCAACCTTTTGGTTCCTTCTTCATCTTCTGTGCTCATAAAGTGATGGCGAAACCCGCAATTAACTGCGAAACCGAACCCCGTTTGCTTTTTGCTACCACCCCGGACCTTACACGCCTTCTCATTATCCACTAGAGCAGTTTTCTGTAACCAAGCTCAAGAAGACTGTCGGGATTAGTGAGTTCTCTCTATCAGCTCCTGGAGGATACGTCTGACCGTCATACAATTGCTCGTGTAAGCCGCCGCAGCACGATGTTTTTGGGTCTCGAAAGATTCTCAGATGGTGGTTAACAGCAAATCAAATGAAAACTATTGTCTATATGCGAATTTCAAACACAAAAGTCCTCCCATCCTCTCCCTTCCCACGGTTTGGTCGTGCCTTGTACAAATCAGTCTGTGTGGTTGGTGAGGTTGAAAATGAAGATGGACTCACGACTGGAGAATCGGAATTGTTCTTGTCTGTTGAGATGTATGATGGAGAGCAGGTTACTTCGTGGATGCGTTTGTTCTTGATCGGTGAGGTCGAAGGTGGCTTCTTCGTGGATATATGTATTCCTTAATGGCCTTGACACGAGCCCTCCTACGTGAGACGTAATGTCCAGGAGGAGAAATGATGATCATGCTTCGAAGACAGGTCTGAACGTCAAACATCTGTTGGCGTACACATCGGAGATGCCGACATGTGTTCACTCTTCAAAACACGAAGTCTCAGTTACGATCCCATGAAAAACACAATACTGTACATCAGCTGGGCGCCACTCAGCCACGAATATGACAAGTGACTTTGGTGGATTTCATATATTTGAGATGTCTGTAAGCCACTCCTTGAGACCCAATCCGCCAACAATATATGGCAACCGGCCTCTGTGAAGCGTGGGTCCCGGGTTGGATGCTAAGCTTTGACTTCGCTCCTATCATGTCTTGGTGCTGTGCCAGTGGGCGTGTGTCTCAAATCAAATCAGGGCAGACATCAGACATCCTCGTATCTCTAATGGTACAAAGACTGAAAGCTCTGTCATTGATCTCCTTCATCAAGGCCCGCCTGAAATCCAATAGTCTTCCCGTCGCATCCGAAACAAAACGCTTTGCCGTCCGCCGCTTTCGGTTAGTACTCTGAGGTCTCTTGTACCAACGATGAATCAATATGATTTTCTCTGCTGCCGGTTGCAGAAGTGGCGAAAAGCCCCAAGGGACTCTGCATCTGGTGTCATAAGCCATGCAGCTTTGACCAAAATCTTTTTTTGTTCTTGTGCTGTAGCTGTGCATTTTGAGTCCCCCCCAGCCAGGAAGGAATTTCGAAAGACCCAGTAAGCACCAGAGTACTTGCAGACCAACTCAATTCAATAGTGATCCATAAAGAAAGTTAAAAGTCCGATCTTTTGACAGGAAATTCTATCATAAGCACGCTGTACCGCTGTAAGTGACCCTTTTTGAACCAAGGATTACACACCACGAGGGTGTTTAAAGAGGCACACACGCAACATCATCATAGCTGACTTGTCGTAGAAGAAATATCTATCCATCTACGATGACTCCCGTAACCCGATCAATGAAGCGGACCCCGAAGTTTCGATCAATCCACGATGTCACCTTTTCGGAAGTCTTCACACTCAATGGCGATGAAATTGAGTTCTCGCACACCTCTTTGTCCTTCGTGGATGGCGACTTCAATACCTATGCTGGTCAATTTATAGGGAGAAAATATGACCTCACTCTGGATGAAGTCAACAGCCTTCTCCAACACATCCCTGAGGAAGAAATATACCCCGAACCACCACCACACGTCAAACTGGCTCCAGCATGCCTCGATCGATACCACATCAAGCAGCCTAGCGTTGCGAGCAACGAGGAGATAAAAGAAAGCCATGTAAATCCAAAGATCATACTGGCCGAAGTGACTGCGATGGAGATGCTTTCCGAAACTCCACATCCGAACATCGCGAAGTACCACGGTTGTATCGTCAAACGTGGACGTCTCGTCGGCATAGTTCTCGACAAATACGCTTCAACTCTCGAGAACCGCGTTGTCGAAGATTCGCGCCCTTTCTGCAAAACACTTTTCCTCCGCCAACTCAAGTCTGCAATCGATCATGTACATTCGCTGGGCCTCGCCCACAATGACATCAACCCCAATAACATTATGGTGGACGAGAACGATACCACTTTCCTCATTGACTTTGGATCCTGCAAGCCAATTGATGGGCGTCTCATAAGCGCCGGATCACTAGGATGGATGGAAGAAGGGTCCGACTACTGGTTGTCGAAAAAGTCTCATGATCTTGCTGCGTTCTCGAAGTTGCAGAAGTGGATCGAGAATCCCAGCAGTAATGCGGTTTTCTCGAAATTCCCGGAATGGTATCCGGTCAGGTAATTCTTTCCATTCGTCGATACGGGTTAGGACATGCGAGGAAGGAGGGTAATGTGTTGTTCTCTAGAAGGATGGGACGAAATAGGCGAGGGCAAATCAACAATCAATGCATGTGCTGAAATTGCGAGTTCCGACAACTACTTCCACACATGATGTTATTCAATTGCCTAGACATTGAGATAGAAGAACCTCGTGAGCCAATTCCACAGGGAAGAGGGTATTCACTTGCGAAAGTGCATTGCTTCCTCACCTACCCCATCGGCAGAAACATGCATATGTCTCGCATGCCCTCAGAACATCTGAATGACCCGCATACAACTCCCTCGCTAGTGCACGGGGAGGTAAATAATAGCTTTGGACTTCCGGAGAAGCCCCAAATCCGGCAGGTCACTTAAGCGACCTTCTTATCCTGTCTCCCCCACCAACCATCCCATCATTGCCACCGCACATCAACCGGGCAATCCCCAAATGCCGGCGAATCCATGCTGATTTGTCGGCATTAAGCTCAGCCTTTTGCTACCAGCTTCCTAATATTACCTGGCTTTCCCGCAACGCCAATCTTGTCGCGAAACTTACCGCGGACACGACGAGGGGTGGTAATTTATCTATGAGGGAGTGGAGATTAAACAAAATGTATATATACTTGGCCTTCTTCCGACGCGAGGATGGCTACTTTGTTCTTTAGCCGCCGTCATGAAACTCGAGTTGTTCTGTATTGTGAGCCTGCCGCTTTTGGCCTTGGCATGTCTCTTACCCGAAGAGAGATATGGACTACCAAGAATAGTTCGTCGCCAATCATCAAGCAATGGCATTCCAATTGCAACAGGTGACCGATACAGCGGCGGTACCATTGCACCACGAGGTCTTGGGACGCAGTCAGTAACGCTGACTTCCCTCCTGAACGTCAACGAAATTGCAAGCGGACTTAGAGGTCTTGCTTCTGTTTACGGGATTTCCACTTTCACTACTCCGTACAAGACGTATAACGGTGCAACAATTTCAGGTGGGAAGGCTGGAGCAAATGGAACATGCAACAACGCGTATCGCGTGTAAGTGAAAATATGTATTGCTAGCGAGCGATTATTTACGTCGTGTCAGATACTTGAATGCGGCCATCCACGCACGCGAGCGTGGAGCTTCCGATGGACTCTTGTATTTTATCGGAGATCTGCTTTATGCCAACAAGAATAACGTCGGGCTCAAGTACGGTTCCAAAACCTACACCAATGCTCAAGTGAAGACAGCCTTGTCCACTGGAGTCGTCTTTGTCCCATTGAGCAACCCCGATGGCGTGGCCTACGATCAGTCGAGTAACAGCTGCTGGCGCAAGAACCGTAATCCAAAGTCATCCACTGGTTCTGCAGCTTCCATTGGTGTTGATCTCAATCGGAACTTTGATTTCCTGTGGGACTTTACCAAGCTGTTTGCATCAAGTGTTCGATCGTCTGTTGCATCCACAAGCCCCTCTTCCGAGACATTTCATGGTGAGCCAACTCCCAGTTCTGTTGATACCCAACTAATACATCCCTTCTAGGAACCAGTGCTTTCTCCGAGCCCGAAACCCAAAGCATCAAATGGGTCATGGACACTTTCAGCAAAGTCCGGTGGTTCGTCGATCTTCACTCCTACGCCGGTGACGTCCTCTACAGCTGGGGAAGCGACGAGAACCAGTCCAAATACAGCACAATGAACTTCCTCAACTCAAGCTACAACAGTGTGCGAGGTGTCTTGACCGACACTCCTGGCTCAGGAAACGGCTACGGAGAGTACACTCCAGCAGCCGAAAATGCAGACAATATCAAGGCGGCGACTCGGATGGGCAATGCCATGTCTACTGCAACTAGTCGTACCTACTCTGTCATTCCAGCTGCTGATTTGTATCCCACCTCTGGAGCAAGCGATGATTATTCGTACTCGAGACATTTTGCTGATCCGACAAAGAATCTGATCCATGGGTATACTGTTGAGTTTGGGTTTGGAAACTCGGCTGCGTCGTGTCCTTTCTATCCTACACAAGCGCAGCATAATTTGAATATCCAGGAGATTGGTGCGGGGTTCATGGAATTATTGTTGGCGGGTGCAGATATTGGGCTTGGTGGTGCGGTGACTTGTTAGAGGAAGGATAGCAATGACAGCTACCGTGGTGTTGAGTCGAAACTCGGGGATAGGATGCGTGGCACGGTGTGGGATAGGTTTGCCAGTAGTACTTGATTTGTCCAACCTCAACCAAATGACATCGTAAACGATGCAGAGATACTGGAAAAGAGCCAAATGCCATATATATATGGTAAAACAAAGAGAGAGTAAAATGATGTACAAGTCCTTGCGTACCAAGCTTATTCCCCGTTGAAGTCCCAAATTTCCTCATCCTTTCAGTCTATAAAGGCCCCCGGCATCTTTTTCGTAGGGCAATCCATAGTACTGGCATCAGATGCCTCAGCGTCAATAACCCGAAGTACCGTCTTCTTTGGAGTGTGATTGTATGGGGGGAGAAACACTGCCGTTGACGAATCCTCGAATACCCAAGCAACACAAACTCCATCCAGGCACCCATCTGAGCAGACAATTGTGTATGGCAGCTTTTCCATAGCATCAATGCCATACCCAAGTATCTCCTTCGGCAGCACTTTTTCCGTGGATGTTGCTTTTGGAGGCGTTGATTCGATCTCCTCCGAAGCCACAGTGATCATCGCGACCTCGCTTCGTTGCTTCATCCTGACGTCTCTCAGCCTCCTCCTCCACTCCAAATCAACTTTCATCGGCGCATATCCCTCTACTTTCCCACACCGCTCACAGCCGAAGAACCCACTCTTGCTCGTCACTACACCATCCCAGAGTTGTAACCTACATGCTCTCGTCAACGAATCCACCTCCCACCCCTCACTCCTCAAAAAGCTCCCATCACCCTCCAACTCCTCCTTCACAAACTCTTCAATATCAATTCCAGCATTTCTCAATACCCCAACCCAAGCAAGAAACAACCTTGGCTGATACAATGCCAGAGTCATCGGCGTCGCTGGCGGCACGCACCAATATATCGACCCCCAAGGCCGATGCAAATCCTCCGTCTTTCTTACCACCATCTCTGCAGCAACAGGACCCTTAACAAATAACTTCATGGCCAGGGCTCTATGCACCGCACTCCTCTCCTCGGTCTGTGGAATTACGCCTTGGATTTGATTTAACGTCCAGCGAATAAGTTCAGCATCGTAGAAAAGCTGCATCATTAAGATGAGAATCGAGATCCAGTGCTCATCATCGCGAGGGAGGAGGTGTGAGACTTGGCGAAATAGTGTTTGGGCTGCTTGCTTACGGGAGGCTAGATCCATGGGTATGATCCGTTGAGGGCGGTAAGAGTGGAGGATCATGCCGGTAGAGTACCAGACTGCTAATTCATCGTGGCCATCAGGGGCATAGGTCTGGAAGAGGGAGAGGAGGGACAGCTTTTTGTTGACATCAGTCGAAACGCTTTCTTGGATGGCTGCGATGGGTGGACTAAAATGTGAGTAGGTGGTCAAATATACTTGGAGGGAGAAAGGGTACCGTTTACCACGCCAGTCGTTGACATGCGGATCGGCACCTTCTTGTAACAACAACTCTGCAACATCAGGTTGTAGTGAGTGCGCAGCAATCTGTTGCACTGATCAGGTATCATCCTCAAGTTGTCGGGGTCATGCTTACCCATAAAGGCGTTCTGCCATCCGGATCCCGATCTCTAACCGACGCCTCCCCAAGCCCAATCAAAGTCTGTACTGCCTCCACATTCCCATTCCTGCAGAACTCGAAGATTGGAGATGTTTTTTTGATGACATTAAAGGGTTGCAGAGTGAATTGCCAGCTCGTTGATCTCGTCTGCATCACCAGTCCGTAAGCGAAGCCCAACCGTCGAAGGAAGTTAGTTGGATACAGGACGTAGTCGACATGCTCTTCGTTTGTTGATCTGGCCTCCTGTTGAATAATCCTCGTGGTGCGGCGAGATTTCGTACGTCTTTGAAGAGTGACGAGACAATTGATCATGTGTGTCTCGCGTATTGCAACCGTTTCGTACTTAACAGCATTCTGACTTGGAAAGTTCGTCTTGGGATCCAAATCTGATCTGGTCTCTGTCTTGATTTCGATACACATATCTCTACCAACCTCGGAGTCTCCTTGGATGAGGAGCTGCATGGCGTCCGAGAGCTGGCGTTGCTCGAAGAGGATTTTGCTGAAGCCTTCTTGTGTCGAATTGCTGACCGCCAGAAGATATTGTTTTTGACTGCGGTGATGGGAGTGTGATAGCCGACTGCAACGATTAGTTAAAGATTCGAATATTCCCAACGGCGCTTACATCAAAGCATCCAGCTGCGCAACTTGTAACTGCGACTTTGCTCTCTCAATCTCCTCCCTCAAAGCGTCAATCTGAGTCTGCCCCAACGCGATCCTCACTCGTCCTCTGAATCTCCTTCCACTCTTCTCAGATCGCAAATCAACGCTCGGTTTCCAGATGACCTCCTCAAGTTTCTCGACAGTGACTCTGCACCTATCAACTGCTCTCTCAATGTATCTCTCACTTCCCTTGGCCTCAAAAGCAACAGCGTGCACTTGTTCAAGCAGCTCACCCAAGACTTCCAAATCTTCAACTAATCTTCCAAGTCCAGATGGAGCTTCCTGCACCGCGTTGCAGAAAATGACCAGCTTATTTATAACCTTAGCCAGCTCAATCGCAACGGACACTACCGCAAACACGCTCGAAGCGGCAGACAGCGGCTCCATGAGTGGGCGAACTGAATGTTGCATGGACAGTGAAGGTTGCGGAGGTACCGATGCTGAAATAGAGGGATGGATGGAAAAATGCCTTGGGAGGCGAACACTGCCTCGATTTATTCGCCAACATTGTGTGACCTGCCCTGTTGCCTGCTTGAAGAGGCCATGCAGGAGGCCGCTGCTGGGGAGCGGCGCAATTGTCTCGGTTGACCCTTGGAAACTGTTGGAAATGTGCCTAGCAATAAGCGAGGAGCATCACGAGTTTCATTACGCGCTGGCGGGGAGAAGATTGCGATCATTGGTCTCCCCGAGAACTTCTTGAAGTGAACAATGCCCTTCAATGCCAGCGAGTTCCTGCGGTTAATGGCACGTAAATTGTACCATGCCAACTGGACGATCAATATATACTATTTACTGACAAAGTCAGCAAGAGTAGAGTCGAAACCATTAACTCAATATTTTGACCTGCCTAACCCTTCCAACCTGAGAAAAATTTCACATCCCACCTATATAGACTCTGGAGTGTACTTCCCCCACCAGTATACACCGTGTAGGCCCTCTCAAGAGGCAAACCATACCCCAAGCACGCAATCGAAATTCCCTCTCCACCAGCTCTAGAAATCGCATTCAACGGGTCCATACTCCCACTCCCAGGCAATAATCTTCATCAAAGAACTTCGTGAAAGAGTAAGACCAGACAGCAGGAATTAGGAAGAGGAAAGTGGCAAAGCACTCGACCATTCATACAACTATACTATTAACACACTACCCAACAACATGAATATAAAAAGCAAGAAGATCAAATATTCAGTCTCCGAAAGCACCAGGCATCATTCTCCTTGGGCAGCTGTCCTCCTTTTCCAACAGTACACGCCTGTGAAAAGTCCCAAGTGATCCTTCTGGCAGTACCTGAGGGTATGATGGAAAAATCACATCCTTAGCAGAACTGCCATCGAAAACTCGAGACACACATACTGAATCAACACATTCAGGCCGACAGACTAGTTTGTAAGGTGAAGAGCTTACACATCTGGCCTGGTCTAAGTCGTGGCATCCGCCTCCTGTTAAGGGACGACCCTTCGTCAGACTCACTTCCTCCCGAAAGTCGATGGTAATGTTTTTCACTTCAGCCCACCTCGGAAGAGACTGCACTTTTCCTTCTCTTACCCCCTGAAGATATTGTCTCCAATGCAGGTCGACCAGCTTTATCTCCGGATTGTCTTCCCTTCCACACCTGTCGCAGAGGAAATTCTGCCCCCTTACAAGGTTCCTAGGAGTCGAAGACTTTTCACTTCTGAATAGTGCCAGCAGAGTGGTCTGCGTCCAACCCTGGGCAGCGAGAGGAGACGGCGTGTGCTCGAGCTCTTTGAACACAAACTCTTCGAGATCGTGACCCAGTTCGAGAAGAATATCTCGCCACGCGAAGAAGTTTTCGGGTGAAATCATGACAAAGGACGTTGCAGTTGACAGTGCTTGAGCGCAGGGACGTGATCCTAATTGTATATGTAGGCTTGGCATTTTTTGCATCGCAAGTTTGATAGTAGCCGGCTTCCACAAATGAAATTCTCGAATAATCAGATCGTGTAGAATGTCGCCAGCCAAAGTTTCATCTTCCAATATCTCGATACCATTCAACAGCCAGTCTATGACGTTGGACGTATAAGCATGGTGCAGATCGCGGAGTATCCTAACTCGCTGGCGATCATCTGGGCACCATAACTCAAAAATACGAGAGACAAATTGTATGAATGATGCTTCGCGCTCGGATCTCGGGCCTAGGCGATACGCAAGCATCGTCCTGCCGATCAGGTATTTGACCGAGTAGTCGTCATACCCATCTGGTGCATAACGCTCGTACACACCGAGCACCGTTGTTCTCTTCTGCAATTCGAGATATCTGCGGGAATGAAGAGTGGCAATAGGAGAACTACTTCATTAGCATGAAGAGTTGAAGAAAGGAGCAATGAAACGTGGACAACTCACTGCTCTGTTTCCCAGTCAACAACATGAGGATCAGCACCATGCTCGAGTAAGAAGTCTACTACTTCCACCTGTAGTGAGCTCGAAGCATACTGTAAGAGCATTAGTTCGAGTCTTCGTTGCTCCACAATAGCTTTCTTACCCAAAGCGGTGTTCTGCCCTTCGTATCACGATCTCTCAACGATGCATAGCCACACGAGAGAAGTGTCTTGATAGCAGCAACGTCCCCAGTTTGACAGTAATGAATGATTGGCGCATCATCCGGAACTGCATTGAAAGGTTGAACTGTGTATTGCCAGCCATTGGTGCTCTTCCCCTGGATCCATAGTCCATATGATATTCCGACTCTCTTGAACAGCCATGATGGATAAAAAAAGTAAGTTGTGTCTTGCTCTTCGGAACTACTTCCGCTCGAGCGTATATCGGTGCGGATATGGGTAGTGGTAGATGTTTTCAACGGACCAAAAGGAGTGTTGAGGCGGTTTCTCGATCCGGATATCAATACAGACTTCTGGCGTGGACGTTTCTGCACCGGACTCTTCGAAATCGGTGAAAAGACACACTGATTGTCTATAGATTCTGGGCAGTCCGATGCTGCAATATCCGGGTAACGTGGAGGCTCCGTAGTCGGTGCAGTCAATAGCTGCATGTCTGAGTGCTGCCACTCGAGATTCGTCCTCGACAAGGTGTTGGACGGCTGTGAAAATGAAAGCCGTACAGCTTGTAAGACCTCCAGCAAGATCTGTTCCTGGGCTTGAAGTTTTGAACTTGTAGATCTCCTACAGATACTTAGTGCATATATGAAAGAAGAATGAGAACTCTTACTCAAATGATTCAAGCTTGACAATGAGCAGCAAGGCTTTCGTTTCTTTTAATTGATCATGCAACTCAGTGATGTCTGCCTTGTCCATAGCAATCTTCAAGGCACTCCACTTCCTCTTCCTCGCGCTCTCCGAAGCCAGGCCGTCAGTGGCCCTTCTAACTTTGGCATACAGAGCTGCTACCTTTGCTTCGCATCTCCCAAGAATCGCCTCGGCGAGTCCATCCATGTATCCATGGCGATTGAACGACTGAGCCTGTGCCAACAAGGCTGAGAGCGTCTGCACATCTTCGAACAGAGAACACACTTCAGCCGGAGCTCGCTGTACCTGTTTCCAGAAGGTTATCAGTTTGTGCAGGGTATCAGCCAATTGGATAGAAAGGCCGGCTACTGCAATGGCGGCTTCCATGGGTACGAAGGGGAGAAAAGAACGGGAATACAGTCTGGAGAGACGGGAAATCCCATCATTAAAGGCGAAAGGTACATTTGAGTATTGCTTGAGACGTGGCAAATTGTGTACACACCGAAGTGCAGCAACACTGCCCCACGATGAGCCTCGACATGGGCGCGTAGAGTGGGTTTGATGCAGGTTGCCTCCAGTCAGGCTTCCAACAGGCCTCGCTTAAGGCCCATGGACGCTCCCAGAAAAGCCAATGATTTGATACCAACAAACAGGAGGAAGTTTCACGGTGCTGCGTTTGAGGAGGCGCTGGCAGTGTCTTGATTGCAGTATCCTGTCAGAACATCTCCGTGATATGTGTATGATGGCTGACAACCAGAATCAACTTTTAGGTTTGCCGAGTCCCTTAAGCCTGAGGTAGACATCACACCCCCAGCCATACAGACTTTGCATTGCGATTCCCCCACCAAAGTACTCCGCATAGGCTCTTCCAAGCGGTAATCCATAGCCCAAGCCAGCAATAGAGCTCCCTTCTCCTCCACCAGCACCGGACAGAGCATTGAGTGCATCCATACTTCCACCTCCACTGCCTGGCAATTCTTCGTCCGAAAAGGTAGTAAATGAATAAGACCAGATATCAGGCAGAACCTCCGGGCTGATTCCACCTCCTCTGTCGCGTATGCGAATGGTGACTCCAGGTGCCGGATCCTCGAATGGTCTGATAGGGGAGTTGCTGTCGATTGGGGCGTTGTTAGTCCCTCTTTCTGACCTGGAAAGCCCGCCTCTAGGTGACTCCGGCTCTGCGGCAATGGTGATGACGACTGGCTCGTGAGATCTTCCTGATTCAACTGTTGCACGGAAGGCATTCTTCAGCAGCTCCGTAATAATGTATTCCAAGTGCACAGGCACGTACGCAAAGGTTGTGCCCGGCTCTCCATCAATTATCCATGTTGGTCGTACGCCATACTTTAGCTCGCAGATTTCCGAGACAAAGTTTCCGCACGAGTTGATAATCGACGCTGGCTGTAAAGCCGTGTCAATGACTCCAATGTATGAAGACGAGAGGTCTCCTTCTGGGGCGTTGGCGTTTGTGTCTTGATGGGGCTGTGATGAGAGATGTAAGGCAATGTGCTGCTCGGCGATCAGCCTCGTTCCTATCCTGGCTCGCAGATGTTCATCCAAGAATCTGGTGACCTCTTCTGGGTTGATGTATTTCCTGCACTCAAGGAAGCCTCTAGCTAGTGTTGGGATTGTATGTGAATGTGTCTCCACCAAATCCGCGAGCACACTCGTAAATTTGATCTCTTCCTCGAGTGTAGATATGGTCCTAGACTTGTATGGCAGTAGAGTCGATAGAGAATGTAGGTAGTTGTTGTATATGGTGGAGATGTTCGGATTCGATACCACAATGAAGGGCAGATTGCGTAAAGCTTGTATTCTATGTGCCAGACGGATTGGAAGGAGTGAGAGGGTGAAGTTCGCTGAAGAAAACAGTGCTTTCTCAGAGAGCGGAGGGCGTCCCTCTCTGGATAATGTCAGTCACTGTGGCAGATGCAGAGGATGGGATACCACTACTTTACCAGGTCTGCCAAGCTGAGGGAATGTAATTGCTCACTAGCAAGGCTTGCTACATCATCGTCGGCGATGGTTGTGGAGCTGGGTGGATGGGACCACTTATGGGCTGAAGGCGATGGGTGACGCGATGCAATGGAGGATCGCGCGAAAGTCCTCGAGGTGTAGAGGCGTTGTGGATATCCATTGCAAGACCGCAATGGTCTGGCGAAGGTTTTCATGGTGTCATTGAAAGCTGAGTAGGCTGATTTGGATTGTTGAGTTGCAGTGCCGTTGATGGAGGATCATCTCGCTGGCTGAGTAGTTTGGAGTGTAGAGTTGCGGTGTCCGTGATATGTAGAGGATGATCACGCGCCACAAAGCTAAAATATTACAATACCTACCACTACAGCGCCAACAGATAAATCATATTTTCGGCAATTGTGCTTTTGAATGTCTGCTTTTTTTCCATCAATTGATGATCGATTTCACACATACCACATCCATCACATTGCAAGGAGTGCATGTGGTTGTTGAAAATACATTTGATTCTGACTATCTCTGGCAAGAGCTGATGCCCCCCCACAACATGCATCCTGTCCTGGTATCCTCTTATCGTCTCCTATTTGTAAAGCAAGAAACCTCACAATTTATTGACTGCAGATGCGAACCTCTTGATCCAGCTCAGCAGATTCGATGTGCGGGCAGTCGCTTAATGTGGTTACTAAGTCCGCAGGCATATCAACACTAGTAGCGTCGTCAGCAATAGAACTCGACGGAGTGGAGTAGAAAGGACGTACAAGAACATGTTCTTGGACTTATAGGATGTGTCAATGACTCCTCCTTGCTCTTCGGCGAACTTCTTTGCCCTAGTGTGGTGTTAGGAACTTGATCGGCAAGTGAAGTAGATATGCATACGGCGCAACGTCTTCCTCCTTCGCACAACAAATCTGGCGATACATGTCAGTTCTTGACCCGTCATTGATAGAGGAAACGGAAGCCCATTGGAGGAATCACAGTTCCACAATTACTTACAATGTGTTTAATCAGCTTCTTCTCCTCTGCCATTCTGAAGTAACGGGTTGAAGTGAAGGAGTGGTATATAAATTGGTATAGTTGAAGACGAAGCGGAATGTAATTTACAGATTGAACATGTATAGAGAAGAAGAGATCGACTCAACTTGGGAACAGGAAATAGTCACTTTATAGCCCACCACCCTACAGACCTCTGCACCCCTCCCTCTCCCCACTCACGATGTACACAGCCATCCAGAATCCAGAGCAGGACCCCGCGACAGCCTAAAGTACGTCATCTGGTGGGACTCGCTGACGGGCACTGACTGCGACAACTAGCGATCAAGCCACGCCTCCATGCATACTAGTAAATGCCAGCAAGACGCTGATATCCAATACTTTCCACAGCTTTTATCAAAATGTGTTTCGATGCGCGCATGTGCCGAAGCTGACTTACCATGCTCAGGATCTTGGGCCGCTGTGAAGCGAGGACTGTCACTCTCCAGCTCGAGCTGATTGACGAGGTGGGATGCTGATAAGCTGATAGCGAAATCACTTAACCACGATTGGATTAGCGCCAACCTTAAAATTGATCCCGCCAAAATTTGTCTGGAGGATGAAAATCCAATTCGATGTCGAAAGCTATTCGCAGCATCACCCTGATCAACCATGGAGGAACAGAACAACAGGGCGCATAGGCCGTCTAAAGAAAAGAAAAAGACGAAGCATGTAGGAGGTGAGTCTGCTAAGTATATTTAATGAGCCCGGCTAATTCTCTGTAGACAAAAACCCCAAAGCTTTTGCCTATGCGAATCCAGGAAGATTGGCCAAATCTGCTGCTCGATCGCACGATGTATGTTCCGAATCATACCGTGATATACATTACTGACAGTAGACAGCTCAAAGAGAAACGCCTCCATGTCCCTCAAATTGATCGAATTCCCGAAGAACCACCTCCACGACTCGTCGCAATTGTTGGACCTCCCGGAGTAGGAAAGACAACCCTCCTCAAATCCCTCGTCAAAAGATACGCAAAAGAGACTCTCTCGGATCCCCAGGGCCCAATAACAGTAGTGACATCGAAACGACAACGGCTTACATTCATAGAATGTCCGAACGAACTCGAAGCAATGGTGGACATGTCCAAAGTGGCAGACATAGTGTTGCTGATGATCGACGGAAATTTCGGCTTCGAGATGGAAACAATGGAGTTCTTGAACATTTTGGCTTCAAGTGGTATGCCAGGAAACGTCTTTGGAATTCTCACGCATCTAGATCTATTCCGGAAACCACAAACTTTGAAGGATGCGAAGAAGCGGCTGAAGAACAGATTCTGGAGCGAATTATACCAGGGCGCACATCTCTTTTACCTATCTGGAGTCATCAATGGCCGATACCCTGATCGCGAGATCCATAATTTGTCGAGATTTATTTCTGTCATGAAGAACCCGAGACCTTTGATCTGGAGGAACTCGCATCCATATGCCGTTATCGATAGTTTCCGAGATGTCACCCATCCCACGAAAATCGAGGAAGATGCGAAATGCGATCGGACGGTAGTGCTTTCGGGGTACTTGCGCGGCACGAACTTTTCTGCGCAAGGTCAAAGGGTACACATTCCAGGGTTGGGAGATTACACGATTTCTTCGATGGAAGCCCTGCCAGATCCATGTCCTACGCCGTACATGGACCGAGAGATGGCCAAGATTACTGGGAAGACTGGGAGAAGGCGACTGGATGAGAAGGAGAAGAAGTTACATGCTCCAATGTCCGACAAGAGCGGATTGAAGATTGACGGAGATACGATATACATCACGAGAGAGAAGGGTTTCAGTTTCAACCCGGAAGATGATGAAGAGGATCGTGGTCAGGGTGAAGAGTTGATGGTTCGTCTACAGAACGAGAGGAGGACCCTTGGGCAGACTGATGATGGATTGCAACTATTTGGTGGTGGATCAGCAATCACTGAGGTGGATGAAGGTACGGGCAGGAAAGAGCAAAGATCGGCCAGGTTCGTTGACCGAGATGAAGAGTCGGAAGACGAAAATGTGGACGATGAAGGATTTGTCAGTGGGGAAGAGCTTGATTCTGGAGATGAGGCGGAAATCACAGAAGACAAGATGGGCAAGGCATTCCGAAAACCAGCAGACAAAACAGAGGGAGAAATTGCTTTTGCGGACAGTGACTCGGATCTGGGATCGATATCTGGCGATGAGGAGGTTGATAGCGATGACGAGGAAGACGAGGAGGATGACGAAGAATCTGATGAGGAAGGAGCTTTGAGGTGGAAGGGGAACATGCTACAGACAGCTTTGACTCTCAGCGGAAAGAAGAAAGCGTTCCGTACATCGGACCTTGCCAAATTCATGTACAACGAGACATTTACGCCGGAAGAGGTTCTGAACAAGTGGCGTGGAGAAGTTGAAGAAGAGGAAGATATCGAAGAGGATTCAGATGAAGAGACGTTCTTCAAGAAATCTGGCAAGGAGAACCTGGACGAAAAACTTGAAGACCGAGCGATTCCTATTTTGGATTATGATGAACTCGAGCTGAAATGGACTACGGGAGATGCCGTGGAAACATTGAGACGTAGATTTGCAACCGCGGATCTTCTAAGCGAGCAGAAAGGAGACGAGAGTGGTAGTGACGACGGCGATGGGGAGGATTCAGATGATGAAGGCGACGGAGAGTTCCAAGATCTGGAGGCAGAAGAAGAAGAGAAGCCGGATGACCTTGAAGCAGAACGGGAGAAGAATGCTAAGAGGAAAGAAGAACTGAAACTACGGTTCGAGGAGGAAGATCGTGAAGGCTTCAATAATGACAAAGCTGTTGCCCGGCGAGAAGGAGGAGAGGATGAGGTGTTTGGAGAGGACGACTGGTATGATGCACAAAAATCTCAGATCCAGAAACAGCTGGATATCAACAAATCCGAGTTCGAGCTCCTGGACGAAACTCAGCGTGTCAATGTTGAAGGATTCCGTGCAGGCATGTATGCAAAGATTGTCTTGGAGAATGTTGCGTCGGAATTCGTTACCAGATTCAATGCACGGATGCCGATTATCGTTGGAGGCCTTTCAGCAACGGAAGATCGATACGGTTTCGTTCAGGTCAGAATCAAGCGTCATAGATGGCACAAGAAGATTCTAAAGACCAATGATCCCTTGATCTTCTCCATGGGCTGGAGGAGATTCCAAACCATGCCGGTATACAGCATATCCGACTCTCGAGTACGGAATCGTATGCTGAAGTACACTCCTGAGCACATGCATTGTTTTGGAACCTTCTATGGACCTTTAATTGCCCCGAACACTGGATTCTCTTGCTACCAAACATTCTCGTCGAAGAATCCTGGGTTCAGAATCGCTGCAACCGGAACTGTCCTCAATGTGGATGAAGCAACAGAGATTGTCAAAAAACTCAAATTGACCGGAACGCCATACAAGATCTTCAAGAATACCGCCTTCATAAAAGACATGTTCACCACCGCCGTAGAAATCGCCAAATTCGAAGGCGCCTCCATCAAAACCGTTTCTGGAATCCGAGGCCAAATCAAGAAAGCCCTCAGTAAACCAGAAGGCCACTTCCGAGCCACTTTCGAAGACAAGATCCTCATGAGCGACATCGTCTTCCTCCGAGCCTGGTACCCCATCAAACCCCACCGCTTCTACAACCCCGTCACCAACCTCATCGGCTGGGAAGGCATGCGCTTGACGGGCGAAGTCCGCCGCGACCAAAACATCCCCACACCCCAACAAAAGAACAGCACATACAAACCCGTCGAGCGCGCAACACGACACTTCAACCCCCTCCGTGTGCCTCGCGCCCTAGCAGCTGAACTCCCCTTCAAATCTCAGATCGTCCAAACCAAGAAACAAGGCAAGGAAACCTACATGCAGAAACGTGCTGTGGTAGTTGGAGGCGAGGAGAAGAAAGCTAGAGATCTGATGCAGAAGATCATGACGCTGAGGAATGAGAAGGATGCCAAGAGGCGCGCGGCGAAGGAGGAGAAGAGAAAGGTGTATAGGAAGAAGGTCGAGGAGAATCAGGAGAAGAGGAATGAGAGGGAGAAGGCTGAGACGAAGGATTATTGGAAGAAGGAGGGGAAGAAGAGGAGGGCGGATACGGATGGTGCGGGTGGTGGGGGTGGAAAGAGGAGAAGGTGATTGTCTGTGTGTGTGTGAATGGGAAGTGGTGTATGGAGTCGCTTGTAGATATAAACATAGCAAAGGAGTTAATGATACCTGTTGGTCCTCATCTCGTCTTGTGGTTGTAGTGGGGATCGTTTGGTACGAGCGGGAACGGGCCCCGTCCTCCCGTGCCTCCGTATGTGAAACTCTTCGGATGTTTACAATAACCGGTCCCAGAAAACTTTAGCGACCTTTCTGTATCTTTGTATCGCGTGTGTCCTATTATCATTGGAGGTTCTCTTCCCTTCAGCCTTGTTGTATGGATCTCCACACTCGGCTAAGAAAACTAGCCTCGGCAAGTCTCCTATCGCGGGGGATCAACAAGTAAACGTCATGTCAAACGGACACCCGTTGCCGACCCATCACCCAGCAGCGATGAGTTGATATACCTGCTTTGTCGACTGGATATCATACTCATCTCTAATCACTGCCAACATGCCGAAAGCAATTGTGATGCAGCATGTAGAGGGGAAACCAGGGAAGGTTTATTATCCGTGAGAATACCCCTCCATCCCATCTCCACCTCACGTCACCTCACCTCAGTTCACAATCCATTTCCTGTCCTCACCAACAATCAATCAATCCAGTCTCTAGAAGCTATTCTAACACACTACACTCCCCAGCCTCCAACTCAAAGACCTCCCCACCCCCACCCCAGGCCCCAACGACCTCCTGATAACAATCCACTCCGCCGCCCTCAACCACAGGGACTTCTTCCTCCGCCAATCCCTCTACCCCTCCCCCTCCTTCACCACACCCCTCCTCGCCGACGGCCACGGCATCGTAACCTCAGTCGGCTCCTCCGCATCCAAATCCTGGCTCCACAAGCGCGTCATCCTCGTCCCCGGCCGCGGCTGGAAATCCAGCCCCGACGGCCCGGAATCTCCAACTGGATACGCCATCCTAGGCGGTACGAAGACAATCGAGTTGGGGACTCTCCAGGAGGTGGTCTGCGTGCATGAGGATGAGGTGGAGGAGGCGCCGGGACATCTGAGTAGTGCTGAGGCGGCGGCTTTGCCGCTGACGGGCCTGACGGGGTGGAGGGCGTTCGTGAGTAAGAGCGGGAATGCGGAGGCGGGCAGGAATATACTGATTACGGGGATTGGTGGGGGTGTCGCGTTGAATGTGTTGCAGTTTGTGGTGGCGATGGGGGCGAATGGGTATGTGACGAGTGGGACGCAGGAGAAGATTGAGAGGGCGAAGAAGATAGGTGCAAAGGGGGGAGTGAGCTATAAGAGTGAGGGGTGGGAGAAGGAGTTGAAGGGGATGTTGCCGAAGGATAGGCCGTTTATTGATGCGGTTATTGATGGGGCGGGTGGGGACGTTATTGCGAAGGCTGCGAAGCTGTTGAAGGTATACATTTCATCTCTTCAATTGTTCGAAGCTGTACTGATATGACCACAGCCTGGCGGTGTCGTCGTCCAATATGGCATGACCGTCTCACCAAAAATGGACTGGTCTATGAATGCCGTCCTCAGAAACCTCGAACTTCGTGGCTCGACTATGGGATCGAGGAAGGAATTCAAAGACATGGTTGCATTCGTCAACGAGAAAAAGATCAAGCCTATTGTGTCAAGAACGGTCAAGGGGATTGACAATCTCAAGGATATTGATGGGTTGTTTGAGGATATTAGGAATGGTTCGCAGTTTGGGAAGTTGGTTATTGAACTTGTTCCTGATGAGAATGGTGGGAGCAAGTTGTAATGGGGAATGACATGCTATGAGATACAAAATGCGTGTAGGAATGATTCTTGGTCTGATACTCGGAACTCCATACCGCATACAAATCTGCGGTTTACGAACCTGCGGAGTTAGATTGCGGTAAAATACCAGCAGCGTATGAATTTCATGGGCAGTGCTGTTTACAAGAATGAAGTTTGCGACCGATAATCAAAGCGCTGACCTCGAAGGGGGCGTTACCTTAAGGTGTTGGAAGCGTTCGGTTTGGCAGAGTGGAGCACATGTATCAGGAAGTGGAATTTTATACTTCCGCAACATCATTAACTTCTCCAGTTTCGACGTAATACTCCGGACATGCTGGAAACAAGCTGGACTCGCGTCGCTACTTAACCATCTACTCGAGTTGCAGGAGTAGCGAACTCTCATTGCAGCTCTCACATGCAGCTAAGCTAGACTGACCGTTGGAATAACCTTTCTGAAGTGCCGAGTTGTTGACGACTACTACCTATCTTCGTCACTTACTCACCGCTTGGACGACTCATACTCCGTAAACATCTCGGCAGGTTGAAGGTAAGGCGCTTCAGCCTTCTTCGGCTTGGTAAGTTCTCTTAACTTACTGTACTGTAGTCACCAATATCACGATTTCCACTGATATCTCCGATCCATCATCACCTCTCGGCACTCAAACTCCACCCAGCCATCCTCCCCTGTCAGTGCCAGCCCACTCCCAAGCCGGCACATCACACCCGCAAGGAAAGTCTGAGTCTGCATCAACCAACCACACCTCAACACCATCACCATCACCAAAAAGAAGTCAAAATAGCAATGCCCCCCAAGACACTACTGTACTGTAGACACTAAACCCTAAACCCACTCCAGACCACTACGAGTACTGTATTATTATTGGCGTCCTGAGTCCTGTCCAGCTGAAACTACGAATATCGCCATCGTCAACCACGACGTCATCCCTCCCCTCCAATACGCTTTCGCCTTGGATCCCTGCCCCGCATTCCCAAGCCTCAGCCACCAGAGGTCACACGTACCACAGCTTTCCGTTCATGGATGGTTTGGTACTGGATGATTCACGCCACGAAAGAATTGTGTGATAAAGGTAGGGATGGTGGGTGAGAGCGGTGGGTGTTATTAGTCTAAGAGATCGCCCTTTACGAATATTTTCTTCCTCTCCACTGCTCCACGCTCCTCTTCCTTGATTCAAGGATTTCCTCTGCATCGTCACATCTAGCAGCATCCACCTTTAAAAGGGATCCTCGCCCTTTTCTTTCAGCCTCCTCGAGTACGTTCATATTCAGCCTCAAGTTCCATCTGTACATCCGGGATCACGCATATCTGGTTATCAACCAATTAGGACACTCGATCAGAAGAAGTACAGGATACAGCTAGATATTGTACTGTACTGAAGTACACGGAATAAAGCAAAATGGGTTTCAACTATGGCATCCTCATCCTCCCTATCCGCGCCGTCCAGGCCCTATTCTCTATCATCGTCCTCGGGACTCTCGCATATGGTTCGTCCCCTCCTCATCCTCTTTTTTCTACCCCCTTCCCATCACTCCCACCCACCACATCCCAAACTAACATCCCACAGCCGCCGACCGCCTCTTCGACTCCCCCTCCGAGATCAACTTCCTCATCTTCGCCTCCGTCTGGACCCTCCTAGCACTAGCCTACCTCATCCTCGCGCCCATGAAATTCCCTCAATTCGCACACAAATTCGCCATCCTGGGCGTCGAGGCTGTAACCATGATCTTCTGGTTCGCGGGATTTATTGCCTTGGCTGATCTGCTGGGTGATGCGAGGTGTTCCGGGAGAGGTGGCAGGGGAAATGGTGTTTGTAGGAGTAGTATTGCCGGGTGTGTGTTTGCGGCTTTTGAGTGGTGAGTTTACCTTTTTCCTTCTTCGGCCTGGGGGTTTGTGGCTGCGGTGTTTCTGTGGGGGTGGGAATGTGCTTTGGTGGAGGTGGATGTTGTTGGTGGGGATTGGGAACTGGAATGCGCGGGGAAGGATAGGCTGAGACAGAATGGAATGCTAATGGATGAAAACAACAGGATCCTCTTCGCTATCACAACGGCCGTTTCCGGACTTCATGCTTGGAAAAACAGGAATGAGACGACTGTCAAGCAAGATCCAGCTGCTGAGGTTCATAACCCTGTCTAAGTATCTGATCAAGGAGAAATAGGATAACAAGGAATCGTATGAGAAAGGAGGAACGGAAAGATAGGACGGAAAGGAGCCTTTCGTTGCGTTTGTGGTGATACCCTGGGCTGTTTCTTTCAATCTTTCTGGACAGGCGAGGCGCTTGCGTGTCTATGATACCATTTAATCTTATCTTATTTTTCTACTGGGCTGAACACTTACCGGCGTTATCTACTTTCTCACTGATTTGCGTTCTGCTAATGTTTCCTGGTGTGTTTTTCTTATCATTGGGTTTTGAGTAGAGTGGTGTCTCAGAGCAGAATTACAACGATGATTTTCCTCTCCCCTCTACTTCTCTTTACTTACTGCGCGAATGAAAGAACGAATGTTTTCCACACCAACGCATCTAGTCCTTTCTTCGCTTCCTTCACAGCTGCGCTCTCGAGTACTTTCTCTCTCTTCTGTATGTCAAGAGTCAGGAATTATCCCACATGCTCATGATGGACCAAGGGTTCAAAAGCTCACCTCACTCCCCTCCCACCCAAGCACACCAATCCACAACCTCTCCCCCTGATTCAAACTGACCCCTTGAATTCCTTCCACACTATTTCCCGTCTTCCCACTCTCCTCCAAAACCACCTCCCCAACAACCCTCACAACAGCCCCCACAAAACCCCTCCACGCCTTCTTCACCTCCTCCATCATCTGATCCCCCCCATCCCCCTCACCAACCCTCACCTGCCACACCTCAGTCAACCCACACTCAAACACTCCACTGTCAGTCGCTCCTAGGTCGGTCTCGTACAACTGTGGGTTAGCTGGTGCGGTGGCGTGGGGCTGGACCAGGGATTTGAATGTGGTGAAGCCGGGGGTGGAGAGGAGGGTGGTGAAGTCGGCGGCGTGGTGCCACTCTGTTGATTTAAGAATGGGGGTGTCAGTCAGGTTTCTTCGCCAAAGTTGAGGAAATTCTCTCCGGAACGAAAAATACAATGAAGGAAGGGAAGGAAGGAACAAGGAAACGGTGAGGGGAGGATAAGAAAAGGAGAGATATGATAGAGCGAGGAAACGGGAAGACATACCAATCCCCAAACACGGCCTAAACTCCCCCGTCACATCCCTCCCATCTTCACTCACAACCTTCCCGAAACGTTTGAGTACCGGTGGCGTAGAGTGTGTATCGATGAGATTGCTGAGGAATGGTGCGATGGTAGAGGTGAATGCTGTAGCTGTTTCGGGGTCTTGCTTTAGGGATGGGAATACGAATTCGGTGATTGCCATTTTGGATTTGGTTTCTGGCTGTTGTGCTTTTGTTTTGTCGCTTTTGAGAGCAACGTTTGAGGACAATTGAGGATTAATTCAATTTGAAGTGGTACTCTTACTTCGGTTTGAAATCAAAGTAGGATTAGATATCCAACTGATTTAACAACTGCTTTTATATATAATCAGACCTCCCGTCTCCAATTATTCCATCACAGTAAAGTCTCAAACTGATTGTTCATCCAATTCAACTTAACGCCGATGGTCATCCACCTCATCGGAAAGACTGTTTACCATACAAGGCGCAATTCCACCCAAAAGAAGTAACAGGTCCTCTCATCCTCCAGAAACGATATCCACTCCAAGCGGAAATCCGAACGGCATCATCATCACAGATCAGCTTAAAGTAAACCCCGACGTCTTCCGTTTGTTTTGATCCCTTGACGAGTTAGGCGAGGAAAAGCACGTGGGGTGTAAGCATGCAGTGGAATTCCGCCAAAAACAGTGGGTCTGTCAGATCGACTCACCTTCGATTTGTCACCGTCAACTTTCTCTGTGTTTTAAATCGACGATATATCAATCACGAAGCGGAATTCCACGAAAGTCACATTCAGCCAATTCACCTGCTAGCACTTGCAAGTCATGAATCCAAGCGTAGTTATCGTGCATCGTTCCGATACGCGGCGGAAAGCTTGCGCTGGGTGTGTGAAAGCTAAGCGGAGATGTGATTTGATACTGCCCGCTTGCACGAGGTGCGTGAAGAGAAAGATGGGGTGCTGCTATGTATGTACGGCGGTCGTTGGTCAATGATTCCATTTGATATTTGACGAGAGAAACCAAGCCCGAGCCAAGCTAACCATCTCCAGGGCGATAATGGCACCGTGGTTGACGAGCAGCAGCAGCAGCAGCAACCTGTAATATCAACCTCGTCGGCTCAGCTCGAAAAGACTATCCTCACATGGCCAGTCATACCATTCACCCCTCCACCAGAAGCAGAACCAGCCATAGAGTTAGACCTGGGATACGAAGAATTCTTCTCCTCGCCCTACTCATCCTTCCCCTTCCCACAACTCGTCGTTACAGACCCCTTCCAAATCGACTACTGCATCTCAGAACTAAAACGCTCTATCGAGACACTCGTCCTTGAAGGTCGAACCCCATTCATCCACCCAGATCTCTACAGCGAGATCATGCCAGAGACGTACCAAGACCTGATTGGAGTATGTAGTTTCTACATGCACCGCACGCCGCAGAACTATCCCATGGTTTGCAGAATGATGAATGTGAAATTGAAAAAGTTGGGAGAGTCGGCGAAATCAGTCGTCCAGCTGGGAAGCTGGCTTCTCCATTTACAGGCGCTTATCATGTATCAAATCATGCGGCTTTTTGACGGGGATGTACAGCAGAGGAGGAATGCGGAGAGAGATATGAAGGTGTTGGATGCCTGGACGGAACGCCTGCAGTCGGAGTTCTCGGAGGTGGATCTAGCGCCTGCTGAACCGTCAAGAAATTGGATCATGCTGGAGAGTATTCGACGCACGTTGATGGTCTCATGGCTGTTGAGAGGGTTCTATAAATCCATCATGGAAGGCGTCTGTGATATCGTGCCTGTATTGACGACACTGATGGTGTCAGAAGATGCTGAGGCGTGGGAAGGAAGGATTCCAGTGACTGGGAATCAGAACTTGGTTACGTATCCGGCTTATGTCATGCGTTGGAATATTGGCAAGGTGAAGACAGCAAGCTCGTACGAGATGATGTTGTTGAGGGCTTGTCCGGATGCGATAATTGAGGGCATTTCGAGGTGGGGACAATTGGAGAGTCGATCCGGGGTGCTAGAACAGTGAGCATATGTTAAGAGTTCATCTGAGATGACCTCCACTCCTTCGTGATCTTCAATGCTCATCACTTTGTTTGAGCTTGACGTCAACCGTACAACAAATCATCCATTTCCCTCTGCTTCGTCGGCCTCGTTGAGTCTAAGCACGAGATCTGCCTTCTTGTCACTCTCCCTGTACTCAACCCCCCGCTCCCCACATATCCTTGTCAATCCACCCATATACATATCCTGATAATCAATCCTCCCCGTATCTAACCACTTCAACATCGCAGCCTTGGGTCCATACCCAGGCATCCCTCTCCGCGTACATATCTCGGACAGTTCCCGTTCTGTCCTATTCGCCCAGTGCGAGTCTTTCCAATTATAATCACACACCGGGACAGCGTTTCTCCGAGCTGCCCACATCTCATTCTGTATCTTGGCATCCTCGTGCTTCTCCTCCTGTGCTCGTGGATCTCTATCGCGTGGTACTGGGTGTCCAATGTATAATTCCATCTCAGCGTTGTTTTGCTCCAGCTTTTCCTTGCGAAGTTTAATGTTCTTGAACAAATCTTTCTTCTCGTGATTCCACAGTCTCTTGGCCATAACCTCCTTACTACCAGTACTGGTAAGATTCTGCTTGTCGAGCTTTTTGACTAGCTGTCCGGACGTCAATACTGTGTAGGGATTTTCGGACAATGCCTTAAGCTTTTGCTCCATCTCGACAATCGCATCCTCCCACAACTCACGCTGGACGTAAAGGATAGTGGCGTGCGAATCTCCCGTGTTGTGGTCGATTTTGTCATTGATTCGAACGCGCTGAATCTTAATCTCCTTTGTGCCATTTGCTGCACCGGTGACATGACGTCTGTTGAGAATTTCGGTCAATTCGGTTGAAAATAGGGTTTCGTAGTCGATCGACGAATTCTCGAGTCTGGCAATCAGTTCCTTGCGAGAACCTGCTGTGGGAAGATGTCGATCGACTAGAAAAGCACGGAGTTTGCTGTCGTCCTTTGCATCATAGTCAAAAGCCTCTCCTGCGCCAGGTCCATGTTCATCCGAATCTTGCTCTTCTTCGACAACTAATTGGGTAGAATATGTGGAATTTGGCTTGCGGACCACGAACTTTCCACGAGCGATTGCTGAGTTTGGGCTGGACTCCTGGTCAGCTCGTCGCGTCTGTCCTGTAGTGTTCTGAGCATCCTTTTCCCTCAGCTTTCCCCCCGGTACTTGGTCCGCTGTGATTTTCGCAGATTTCGAGGGATTCGTATTGGTATCGACTTCTGCCAATGGTCTTTTTGTTCGAGGCATGTTCGTCAAAAAGCTGTGCTGTTGAAAGCATGCCTGTCGTGGAGGCTTTGGGAGACGCGATGTTTTGATTCGGACGGATCAACGATGAACCGATGACGTCGAGGAAAGGGTTGGTGGATCATCGCTTAAATACCACAACTTCCACGACATCGCTTCTCTGTGGAATAAGTAATTCGTGTTTTTGTCTTTCTCGCATTGTTTTTCTTCTTTTGCTTTTGCTTTTCAGTACTCTAATGTTTCTTATGATGTCCAGCTTTCTATTTCGCATCCCTTCACAATTTTTAGGTTTCAGACTCGGTTCATTCCGGAAGTCTAGAAGCCTAGGATACCAAGCCTTGGGACCCGAGGCTGGAACGGACACCTTGTGGATCTCATGACAGCAAGCAAGGGGTTTTCGTCATTGAAAGTCTTGTCCGTTCTGCTACGATGTTGCCAGTATCTGGATCAATACTCAACTCCAAGAGCAACTTTTGTTGTCCTGCATCATGGCTTGCATATCGGCAGATGCCTCTCCCGTGAAGCTTGAGATCACATTCCACCCGACTCATGGCCCGGCCCCAGAATTCCCATGTAAGTTCACGGCTGAGGCGGGGCAGTGAAAGCTGGGCGAACATCAAATCTCTTCGTGCCAAGATGCAAATGGGAGAGTAGTCGACTTGGCAGCCGGAACAGACACCAATTGGAGGACCGGCATTAAGTTTTCAGGGGAGCAGAGAACCCGAGATCGAGATGTCCCGAGGGTTGGAATTTATATATCTTTCGTGATCCCCGCATGTTCTACGACCCTTGGTGACGGGAACTAGAATTGATCAAGGACTAGGTTGGGTAGAAACGCTGACGTCTGACACTATCGTCTTTCTATCCATGGAAACCTCAAATCTCGACATCGTCATACAATGCCTTCTCAATCTCCAAGGGCAGTGTTCCGGCGTCAACTCGCGGCAGCATCGTGTCAAATTCCCGATATATCAGAAGACTACAACCTACCTCTCCATGTCGGGGCTCTTTTCATAATCTTGGCGGTATCCTTCACCGCCTGTGTACTTCCAATCATCGTGGTGAAGGTGCCCAAGTTACGGATACCTCCGACGACTCTGTTTGTTGTACGGCATTTTGGAACGGGCGTGTTAATTGCTACTGCATTCGTGCATTTACTGCCAACAGCTTTCATCTCTCTCACGGATCCATGTCTTCCGACTTTCTGGCATGAGACATATCCCGCCATAGCGGGTGCTTTGGCATTGGCTGCTGTGTTTGGTATCATCATCATTCAGATGGTGTTAAGTCCAGGGAAGAATTGTTGTGCTTTCCCTGCTTCGATGATGGAGAAGGGGTCAGTGAGTGGTCGAGGGGTTTTGTGTGCTGATCCGGAGGAGGAAACTCGTATGTCAGGTGCTTTGGATTTGAGTACACAGCTGACACCATACAGCAATCCCAGGAACTCTTCACGGAAGAGATTCTAGCACGGGCAGACAGCTCCAGCAAGTCACTGCTCAGAGCGAAACTCTTGAAGCGATCGAGAGAAGTCAAACTCGGCTTTCCCACAAGCATGGGATGGTGCCGCTGACGTCTCCAATCGCTCTTTCAATGGAGCAAAAACACAAAAAGGAGTTGATGCAGTGTGTGTTGTTGGAGTTGGGAATTCTTTTTCACAGTGTGTTCATTGGGATGGCTTTGAGCGTTGCAACGGGAAATGACTTCATCATCCTGTTGATTGCCATTTCTTTTCATCGTGAGTCTGCCCAATCCACATGACGACTAAATCTAACATAACAGAATCTTTCGAGGGGCTGGCACTTGGATCACGGATCGCTTCATTGACATGGAAGCCAAATGCATACCAGCCGTGGCTCATGGCTCTTGCCTACGGCTGCACGTGAGTTAGCCCTGCCCATCGATTGACACTGCTGACATCTTCAGGACTCCCATTGGGCAAGCAATCGGACTCGCGACACGTACTCTATACAGTCCAGAGTCGGAGACCGGACTATTGATCGTGGGAATCTTCAATGCCATTTCGGCGGGGCTTCTGACGTACGCTTCAATCGCAGACTTGATTGTGGAGGATTTCCTGAGTGATGAGAGTTGGAGGGTACTGAGAGGGAAGAAACGGATAATTGCATCTTTGCTGGTGTTTGGTGGTGCATTTGGCATGAGCTTGATTGGCGCTTGGGCATGAACGGAATACGTCATGAATTGGCAATGGGATAAAAAGCATAGAAGGAATTCAATTTGCTGGGAGTTGTGAACTGCATACATTGTTCTTCAATCCAGATGAATTTCGGATTAATTGTCTCTAGATGTACCAGAGCGTCCATCACTTTGCACCCCGATCTCTTGTCTATCACTCAGTGCCTCAACACGGATTTTCCATCTTCATTTTGCCCTGAACCCCAGGTCCCACGACTTGAAGTCTGCCGACTATGCATTGCAAGGATAATTTGGATTCCCATCAGGTGGAAAATGCAAGTTGTCAAGTGCCTCCTGGATTCCACAGATAGGCAGTGGAAACATCCCGGGCGTGCTAATGCCCTGTTGTGCAAGATTGATGATGTTGTCTTCGATGGAGAGATCGGGTAATTTAAGGTCATTCTTCTCCTTCTTGTGGAATTGGACGACGGCGCTTTGGATGTCAGTCAGCTCGGGAATTTTATAAGATACTATCTTTCTGTTCCAATATCGTGTGAAACTGGACATCGGATCCTGGGTGACAGAGAAAAAGGAACTGTTCACCTTGAAACCAACATCTCCTTCCTTAACCCGCCGTTATTCACCCCATTGATTGTGTCCAGTCCAGGTGGTAAACTGATAACATCGTAGGTACAAGGGGCTTGATTCGGCCGAGGTCCACTGTAGCAGTATTGATGACCTAAAAGAATCCAATATGGCTCGGTACCAAAGGCGCATACGAATGCGTTGACTCCAATCTTACGGTTTTCGAAATACGCGGATGGATCCCAGCCTTCGCAACCTGTTGTACCTGCCTTTCGAGGAAGACCTGCTGCATTCCTGTGTACACCATTAGTATCCACCAGTAGTAGTAGAGTTTAGAGGAAAGGCGAGACTACTTACATGATGAAAGGGTGGATTCCCCCAGTCGCTGCCGAACCTCCAATGGTCCACGCTTGAGGGATAAGGAGTCCGACAATCGACATATAGAGGTGATCTCTGATCTCTGCTCCGTTTGGCGCCATTGGTTGCGCAGATGCGCCACCTTTGAGTGCTGCAGTCAGGAAGTCGGTGTTGTAAGGTCCAACGGCTCCTTCAAAGAATTTACGGGCTGATTCTTGGTTGGCCATAGTGAAGAATCGTAGGACTTCGGCGGCAAAGACGTCGAATGCTGCTGCGACAGTAGCCCCATCTGCGCCGCTAATAAATCATTTAGTTTATCCCATACAAGTTGACAACCAAGAGATGGCTGGGAGATAGCTGGGTAACTTACCCAAGATTGGTATCTTTAATCAGATTAATACCGCCGCTGACCAAGTTATTCACGCCGTCTTTGATATTGTCAAATGCTTCGGGTTGATTCTTGAAAGCTGCAATGTTTTTGAGCCCTATCAATGGATCAGCGTGACAATGGCGTAAAATATTCGATGAGAAACCTTACAAGAATTGAATGTCAGGCCAGCAGCGAGACCGAAAAGAAGACCTAGGACGTCCGTAGTCACTGCGAACTGGTTTGAGGCACTGAAATTTACGAATTCAGCCACGACGGTGGAACTGCCGAGTGCGAATTCTGCTTTGGTGTCCGTGATCGCTTTGTCAAAGGCATAGAGCATGTTATGTAAATTGGAAATGGAATTGAGAATCATGTATCTGCAGACAATCCTGTCAGCCTGAAGGGTGAGATGGGGAAAATCAAGGCAGCCTTACCCAGCTGGGCTATTAACACCGAGCCCATTCTTCTGCCCACATTGAATGATTTGATTGCAAACATCATCTGAAGGATCTGAGCAACGCCTTGAAGATGTACCATGGAAGTAATCTGCGATGATTTCAATGAATTGCCTCTTGGTACCTGGGTTATTTTTCAGGTAATTTCTGTAGTTTTGGAGAGCATCCGCCCAAGCCTATTTGATAGATTCTCATGTCAGCACTGACACTACACTCCCTGTCATACACCGCCACACCTTGAGAGGAGAGATTGGGAGAACTTACAGCATCGGCTTGTGCGTCCTTCCACCTCTGAGCGGGATCTTCAAGATCACTCGGCAAAGTCCCCAAGTCACAGGTGACATCTCTCCAACCAGCGGTTTCAGGCTGGGCTGTTGGGCATATCGTTCCAGCAGGTTGCAAAGTGCAAGCGCCCTCAGGACAATACCCATGAGAACAGACAAATGCACAGAGAGGAACGTAATCCGCGCTTAGTCCGGCTACTGGACAGCCTGTCTTGCCATTGCTTTCCGGCGGAGTTTTCGCATTTCCTGTGAGAGAACAGGTACATGGCTTCGGGCAAAATCCAAAGCCACAACTAAAACTGCAAAGACCATCATAGTTTCCATTACCTCTTCCAGCAATGCATTCTTGTTTCCAGCAAGTTGGGAAAGGCCCATCGGTTGAGGGTGCGGCAAATGGAGTCTTTGTATATGAACAGACATCAGAAGGACAATACCCATAGTTGCATGCATAAGCACAAAGACCCTCAAAACTGCCGTCGATGCCGGGTGCTGGATAACCTGGTTTATTGAGACTGGTTGGCTCCGGGATCTTTTTACCGAGTTGGGTGCAAGTACAAGCACTGAGGGGGCAGTATCCGTATTTGCAGGTGAAGCCGCAGAGGCCTTTGTATCCACCTACTCCTGTGCCAGCGACGCAACTTTGGGCCTTTACCGATACAGAAGTAGCACTCGCTGCTGAGTTGGCGGCGCTGTAACCCACCCATGCGTTCCAGTTCATAACGCTGTTCTTGCAGGTTGATGTGATGGGAGAGCTACCTACCATCTGTGCGACAACGACACCACTTCTCTTGACTGTCACCACGACATTGCCAGTTCTTCCACCGAAAGGAACGCTACCATGGAAGATGCCAATGTTGTCTTGTGGACGGTTGTCCCAGGTTCCCGCTTGCACTGACCCACCAATGGACACTTCCACCGTTGAGTCGGACACGAGCAGGGCCGAGTAGAATACTCTATCTTGTGAAATCTTTGCGGGATCAACTTCGCACTGCTGCTGGCTTATCGTATTCCCAGTTGTTCCTCCACTCCCACATGCGTTTCCGGGGGTCAGACGGAACCATGCAGTAACGCCCTCTCTTTGAATTGTAGCCTGGCCGTTCTTGTACTGATCAATGACATAAGGAAGGAATGCTCGCCAGCCATCGTGAGGCATGTTTTCGACATAGTTGAATGGTGCCTTTCCACGACCAAATGCTTCGTATCCATCAGAATGGAGGGGCTGTTTCGGTCATCAGTCAAGGCACGAAGAATATGAACGAGAGATTGAACTTACACCAATGTAGTGGGACTCTCCGTAGTCATTCCAGCTGATGATCTCCACCCATTCAGGCTGTACTGTGAGTACTTGCTGCAAACGATCATACCAAAGATCATCCCCCCTCCAAAGCCAGTTTTTCCCGTCGAAGCCTGGCATATTTGTGAAGAACATTGGAGCAACGGGCATCATGTATGGTTTGCTTTTGAGGAAATTGACGTATGAAGCATCGATGACCGTGAACATATCATCTGCCCCGTATCTATTGAAGAGGTTAGCAATCATGAATTCTAGGTTATACAAGGGGACTTTGGAAAGTAGTGACATGTAAGTAGATTCAAAGAAAGGAGCTACTGCCCATTGACTTACGGCCAGGCGGCCCAGTTGAAAAGCCCATCTACAACACCATTACTCAATCCGGAAGCTACAGAAGCGCCCTTCGAAGACCAATCTGGCACAAAGAATGCCCCTGTCTGCTTCTTCAATCGTACCCATTGATCAGAAGCCAAGGGTCCCTCAAACGTGGACACGAAGGGTTGATTGTTGTGTCTGTAATATGCAGGACGGTTGATGTAGCTTTGGAGAATACTGAGTGTGTCTTCTTCGGGCCAGTATCCATTTCCACCATAGTCGAGGGAAAAGAAGAGCTTGAAACCTTTGTTGGCGGCGGCCTGGAAGGCGGCATTCAAAGAGGGAACATTGTTGGCATCACCCCAGGCTACATTCAAAGCGAATGCATCGATGTGGGCAGCTTGAGCGAGACTGATGTCCGATTCCCAGTTACTGACTCCCCAACCAGCGACATTTGATACCTAGACATGGGTTGTTAGAAACGAAGTTCAGAAAAAACCAATTTCGCATCGTACCATGAAATGAGCGAACACGGCTTTTGCCTCCACCAATCTGATACTCAACAGTACAGCTACTACTTTGGAGATCTTCATGACTGAGAACATCAAGATAACTTTTTAAAGACAGTGTCTGGAGGTATGATATATCCAATGGGGTGGGAACGTACCGTGGACATATAGTACGCTGAAATTGCAAGTCCTTCAACAAACACGACCCTGTCTTCATTTAATCGACGAAAATCCTTCCGAATGTGTACGCGAATGGCTTTACCAAGCCGGACAGTCAGTTATGAGTCATATTGGTGTAGAAAATGTCATGTTCAGGCTGTTATCAAAACACGGAGCGGAAATTGGATGATGAAGGATTCTACGCAAGGAGACGAAACCGCGAAAATTTCATTTCAGATCCACAGCATCCCAACTGCCTGATCAAGCATCTGTATCAAGCTAGACATGATACATGATTGGAGTATTTGATGATCTAGGCCTGGGAACACGGCGCAGCACAATATCAGCGTAACCGCCGAACTTGGTCTCCGAAGAAGCCAAGGATTGAATCCACCCATTGCCATCATCTAAGCTTAAAAGAAGCTTAATCTGCAACAAGACATGGCCATAGCCAACTGCAAGGTACAATAAACGAGGACCGAGTTAAACGACAACCGAGTTAAACGAGCAGACGGAAAAACAAGGACGATATCTCCATGGACTTAAGAAGTCTCGCTCACCTAAAACATTGCGCCCTTTTGACTGATCTAGATCTAAGATACTGTCTCTTGGCTGCATGAGGCACAATTTTGTTGACAGTGGATTGTTTCCCATCATCTGCTTTTATATCCACAATACCCACCGAGGACGAGAACTTTACCAACAGTGCGGCCGCAATGGATCTAGATTTTGGTACCCGAGCCGCTTCGTAATCCGCTCGCTCGCTAGGACAATATCTTTTAACTTCAACATGTCCCACTGTGGCGAACTTTGACCTAGATGGCGCGCTTGTGCCCATGAAGAAGGTGTTTAGGACTTGGTGGGCACCTACCGCCATACCGCTGAAGAAGAGCAGCGCGAGAACATACGATTCAGTGAAGAAATCAAAGCTATCGAGGTAGAAGTTACGTAAACTTCTTTGCTTGTTTCCACAAGTGATTCATTCCCGAATCGACATTGATCCTTTGGACTGCGCCGTTCGACTCCCTATTTCGTAAAGCAGAGGCCACTGTCTGCGAACACGCTTAACCTGGACCATTCAGAGCGTCGAAATGAGTGCCTATATAGAAAAGTCTATGTTGGGTAGTTATCTCTGAGAACTAGGCCATGGTCCTAGATACAAAGCAAATTTATCCTTGGTCGAGAGCAGACTTGACGAGAACTGCAGCTTGGAAAGCTTTGTACATGGCATTTAGAAATTCCAAAAAGCGACCAATAGAGCGTGAAATAGGCTTATAGGCTCTTTGCGCTACAGATTTGGGCGAGCTTTGTACCCCTATGTTGAGTTCACCTTTCAATGTATGTGCCTGGTGGTGCTTCCTCGTGGTACGGAGCTAAGCTACTTTCAGCAAGATCACAACAAAAGCCGAGCCTACGTTTTCCCAAGCCATGTCTCCGCAAAAACTAACAACACTCTCCCCAGCGGTCAAAAATTGACACACATAGGGCTAAGCCAAACACTTTTTTTATATGTTTTCAACACAATTTTCGCTGGCGCGTATGCCACCTCCTCCAGCATGGTGTACCAGTCCCAATGGGACTCCATGCTCCAGAGATACCGAGCCCAGGGCAGCTCTCGACATCCAGAATAAAGAGGGGCCAGATTTGAAATAACCTAGAGCGCTATAGAGAGCGAGCAGAGGAGTTGTTTCCAGATGCATCTGCTGACTTTCTCCAGTACAAAGCAGAGCTATATCTTTACAGATCAGCATGTAAGTTAGCCACTGCAGATTCAGATCACACATTAATATCAGATAGGTGGTAAGCCACTCAGATTCCCAGGTATTGTTCCAGATTGATACAGCAACATATCCAGCACGCAATCTTTGGCCCCAGTGCCATCAATCCCATCTCAAGTTCTGGCCCAGCGCAACCCATCTCTAGTTTACACTTCTATCAAGCAACCAGATGTTACCACTATACCTCCAGCACAAATGGGAGTTTTTTGAAGACCCTCCAAGATCAAGGGAAGATGATGGCCGAAATTCGGGAAGAAGTTATCGCACAGGCTGCACGGCAGAGAACATTCTTTGAGGAACAGACGAGAATAAACCCAGAAGAAGACCCCAAGCTCTACACGCAGGATCAGGGTCTACTGCAAGTCCAATCCTCTCAACAATACCCCAGCTCTGAGCTAAAAGACGGTCTCAGTACTCAGCTCCAACAGTTGAGTCTCAGATCGGCTGAGCCAAGTCCACATTTGTGGCATACACCTCAGCCCATGGCACAGTACAATCCAGTTCCGGAACAATCTCCAGAATCCTTCCAGTCCCAGATACCACAACTCTACAGTCAAAATACCTCTCCACCTCGACGTGGTTGGACACAAGGACTAAATCGTGGAACATCCCAGATTTTCAGCCAAAACACATCTCCTCGACGTGGTCGAACACAAGGACCAAGTCGTGGAACATCCCAGATATTCAGTCAAAACACATCCACGCCTCGACGTGGCAGACCACTTGGGCCAGTCCGGGGTACAGGACAAGGTCCAAGACGTGGAGAACACTTCGGACCTCTACGAGGCAGACAGCAGAGAGCACGCGGCCAAGAGCATTCCGGCAGGTATGCCAGAGTGCCGCTTTGTCTGCAGCAGCGAACTTGGCTGGACGAACCTCCCAGATATGTCGAACCAGATCCCAGCCCAGTTGCAACTCCAAATCCTCGGGCCCAGACACAACTACTCGTATAGACCACCAAATTACTTCAGTTCGGTGTCCCATCTGCCAGTAGAGGATCAAGTCTGGGACAATATTCCAGATCTTCCAGGGCCCAGAAGGGCAAGCCCCAATGTACCAGCTCAAAGTGGCAACATCTCAGCACACAATCCCAGCGACATCGTTCCAGAAGCAATTTCAGCCTCTGCTGACTCTGATGAGGAAGCTGGGGGTGTCCTCATCCAAAACTAGACACTCCTAGGTCATCAGTAAAGCCAAGCTTTTCTCCCAGAACATAGACTTAAGTATCCCCTGGACATGTCTAGAATCTTACCAGAAATTTCAGGAACAGAAAAGGAACAGAAGCGTCCTTGATCAGCCCAGAATATCACTACTATATCGCAGACCGGTTTCATCGCCCAGACTTTAACCTCAGATATCAGATCTTAATCCAGCAGCTTCAATGAGAATTTCAAATAGGGACCACCAAAGCATCATAAGGCATTCCAATTGTCCCATAGGACTCTAACATCCTGAATACGGGAATCTTTTAAGGTCCATAGGCCACAATAAAGCTCTATAGGGCACTCAACAGTCACATATGACCCTATCATACCTTACAGGGTAGTTTGTTTTTAGCCAGTTTGTACACGTGTAGATAGTAGAAATCTATCATTTTTCTCCGTTTCAAGTTCAGCTTCCGCAAAGTCACTTGTATTGTCTACAACTTTGAAAGAAGCTTACCAAGACCATGAGAATCGGCTCATGGTTCAAGTCTTCGGAGCTGACCTGGATGCTCAAAATTTCTCTGGGCCAGGTTGGAACAAGCCCAGGCTCCACGATCTTCCATAATCGACGACCTGCACAATAAGAGTCAACGACTATGCACACGCTTAAATGGAGTAAATAAAGCATAGGGTGTGCATCATTTGAAAAATTCTCTAAACTAAGTAGGTATCTTATCCATCACAAAACTAACATCACCCCGCCCCTCCCCACCTCAACGCCAACCCGCCCCCACCCCCCGCCTTTTCACTTCCGCCGCTCATACGGCGACTCATCCCTCATAATATACACCTCCCCCACCAACACCGAACACCCCACCGCCATAGCAATCGCAATAATCGGCAGATTCACACTCGCGAAATCCAGCCTCCGAACATGTATATGCTTCCTCGCCAAAATATCCCTCCACAGCAGACCCGCAAGCGAAGCGCTAAACGCCGTGCTGAACGCCCCGTAGTTGACTCCGATCGCCATGCTGTATACTGTAGCCCAGAATGTGCGTTCTGTAATCGGAATGCCGGACTTTTCGTGGATCGTTACCCAGGTTTGGATTACCCGGGAGAGGAGGATGGTGGTGCCGATGTTGGTTCCGGCGAACTGGGAGGGTTTGGTTAGAGGGGTTCATGGGGGGGAGGGGACGAGAGAGGGGCTTACATTGCAGAGGATTACGGAGAGGAATGCCATTCCGCCGATGCTGCCGACTGTTCCTGTTTTGTTGACCCAGTGGTCCCATCCATGAGCGAAGACTGGGACCCAGCCTTTCGTGACAAGTGCTTGCACTAAAACGAACATGCAGAATGCGAAGGGAACGAGAGCGAAGGGGAGATGTGCAACTACTGCTGTGACTGTTGGGAAGGTTTCTTGTACCCATCTGTATCCGTCTGCTGTGAGAGATACGACCGTTGTGCGGCTAGATTGGTTATTGAGCCCATCTTCTGTTGAATTTCTCTCCAACACGGTTCGGTCTTTCTCGTCTTCATTTGGAGGTTTTGGGGCTGCTGGAGAGGTTGAGATGTCTGATGTTGGCATTGGCTGCTTCTCATCAGCTGCGGTCATGGTATGACTTGATGGTCGACTGTTCTGATCTTCTCCAGCTACGAGCATCGACCTTGAGGACTCAAGTCGAGGGCTGGACTCGGGACTTTGGTCTAAATTCTCGGAGATCATGAGTGTAGGATATGGCGGCTGTGTTCCCGTCCCATCCGCTGCGATCTCATCCTTGCCGTGGGACTTGCTCATAGGTTCCAATTCAAGTCCTGCGCCATGAGTCATCGCAGCTTGTCTCTCCTCTTCTTCCCTAAATGCACGTTCGGCACGAGCAGTCTCAACTTCCAATCGACCTCTGCGAGCAATTTCTCGTGTCTCTTTGCGATGATACCATCCGAATCCAACATCCCAGCAGAACATCACGAATGCTGCTGGTAACGTGACCCAGAAGACGGGATGCTCGCCTTTACTCTGACTCGCAGCGTTGAGAGCGAGGAGGGTCACGAGCGTTGCGGTCATGATTACAGCTCCGAATGCTGCGCCTCCTTTGTCGAGGAAGGGATTCATGATCTCTTCGAGGGAGAGAAGTTGACCTTCTTGGCCGTCTGCCATAGTATCCTCTTCCTCAACGTTCCCTCTGCCGTGAGGAATGTTTGGATTGACGGGTTTCCGAGCCTTCGCCTCATCGGAAAGTTCGTGCATCTTAATCGAGATCGGGATGAGTGACTCGTCTGCAAAAACGATGTACAATAAGAATGGGAACAAGACGATTGCTGTAATAACCACTGGAACGATCATGTTGGCAGTGTAGTCGATGAACTTGATCTGGAACGCACCAGCCAGGACAAGGTTGGTGGGATTCGACGAGACCAGGATGGCCGACGCAATGTTTGCGATAGCAAACTGACTGAATATCCAAGCTCTCGGATGGACAATATTGCTTGAAACTCGGGTCATGTAGGCGAGGAAAGCAGTTCCGGACAGAATGATGGGATCATTGCCGATGAAGCTCCCGAGGAGGAAAAAGAAAGCGTAGAGGTAGAAGAATAGTCTGTGTCCAACTTTGCCTGCTCTCTGCAGTACCTTAAATGCCAGGTATCTGATCAATCCTGATGCATCGATGGATATGGCGATATATGCCAAAGTGATGAAGAATACCATGATGTCGATGGGCGAGATATGGTTTGCTCCGATGGTGCCATCGTGAACTTCTCTCCGACCAATCGCTGAGATAGCGAGGAGAAAGAGATCGGCTATTAATGGTGCCGTGAGGAAGTTCAGAGGGAAGCGAAAGCGTACGAATGGCTTGATCTTGCCATTGTCGTCATCCTGGAGGATTTCATCCTGTGAGTGTGTTCGCCTGGGTGGGATTACTCGGCTGGCGCTCAACCCGTCCAGCAGAATGTTGTATATCTGACGAGGAACAAAGACTGGGACATGGAATGGGAAAAGTGTGATCACATCTGCGTCCAAATTAATATATAGCTACTGATCTCGGGTCCGGAGCTTACTGGTGATGACAAAGACAATGAGTGTCACAATGGATCGCCATTCTTTGATCTTGCCGGTGTTAAGATCATCTGTTGTGACGTCGCTCATTTTGATTTATCGTTATTATTATATATTCTGCAGCAAAATGCAACTGGGGGACAGCTTTATGGCGCTCGCTAAGGGGTTGGCATGGAGCGTGGAGCGGTGAATGAGATGAGGAGGTGAATCAGGTGACTGGGCAGGTTCTCCGGCAGTCCGACGTCATCTTCGATCAGTATGTTGGAGGATGTTCTTTGACCTCTTTTAGACGACAGCCTCGGTGACTGTGATAACAATCGTGAAGGGATGCAGTTTGTAGATGTAATGCTCACCCAGAGACCATGAAGGTGGCTGTGGCTGTTGAATTTTGACTCTAGCGGGTTGAGGAGGGTGATAAGCCTCGTTTCACCGCCCTCGGGTAGCAACTAAGCTTTAATTGGTGGGGCAGAAACGGGGCTGGCTTACTTCCTTTGTCCTTGTACTCGGTGAAGACTTGGACGGACTTGACTTGATCACGAAGGAGAATTGAGTTCATGAAAGTTGTTTGCGTTACTGTCACGCGATCAGCTGCCAAGCTGAAGAGACGTTTCATTATGCAAAGCTGTTATTTCTGTGTAAATACCGCGCGCAGAACGGGGATGTACTGTAGCCTCATTGTTGAGAAATCCCTCGGCAGTGGTACAGCGTGGATGCAGTGAGCGAAGGATCACTGTCCGGGCATACGAGGCGCCCAATCAACAAGCTCCTTACAGCGTCTGCCTACACTAAAGCCATGCACTCATCCTTAGATCCAGATTCCGGATACACTTCCCGTTGCGATGGAAGCTTTGGATTCTTTCCAGAAGGTAATTTGAAGTCCAATTGTTGGTGCCTGATCCTATAAATGCTGGAAGAGGGAGGTGGCCAAGTGCTGAAATGCTCATGACCTTATCGCCCTGAGGGAATCCTCCTGTTTTGTCCTTTAAAGCTGCAGCGCAAATCTCTCGGGCGACGATCACTATCTGGTGCACTCACTGGCTGGTGCCACTAACAGTCTGACACTGGGACAACTCCGACGCCCCTCAGCCGTTGGGGGGATTCTCTTTGAGCCGCTCAGTACTGTGGCCCTCCCAACCTCCTGATAAAAAGCAAACGAGCCCACCTCTTCACCTGCACCTGTACTCACTCAGCCCCAGCTTCAAGCCATTGGGCTTCCATTATCTTTCTTACTTTCCCCGCTCCTTGGTGTAAAAACGCCTACCTCTCGATCGCCAACGTGGGCTAAACTGCAGCACTGAGTTGTCAAACCTCCACCTCCATCTCAACGGGGATACACCATGAGAGACCATGCCAACTCTCCCATCTACCTCGTTGAATATTCTCAACAGCCGCAATATTACGAATTCGACCAGTGATGCGCTGCAGGTGGTTTGCGCCTGGCCTGTATCAGGGCAGTATGGTCCAGGTTCTAGAGTTTTGTGAGTTTCTTTTTGCCTCAATTCTGCCCCTCTTCTCCCCCACTCCATCTACCCCACCGAACCTTAATTCAACGACTCACAGCAGGGTAGATACTATGTCCTGGTCGCGACTTGCGTGTTCGCTCGAAAGACAGAATGGCTGAGGAATGCTTGCTTGGCTGCTGCATTGATTTTTCCTGCTGTGGCTGCTGTCCATGGAATTGTTTTGGCGGCGATGCATGTCGATGGTGGGTCAAGAACACCTTTTCTGGCTGTGTAATTGACGACTAACTGCTCAGGTGCTGTTGACATGGATGTCTTTGGGGCTTTTCAATTGTGTGCGATTGGCATTCTGGCAGCTCCAGTCACGGTTAGGGTGTCGAGGACTTACTTTTACGACCCTGGCCGGAATGCCATCTTTCTGTGGACTGGCCTTCTCCTTGCAGGTGCGTATTTCTTGATTGAACTCCTCTTATTTTTGACTAACGAAAATCAGGTCTATTGAGCCTGACTGTCGAATTCTTTCGAATCAGCAGTACTCCATGTCTATTTGATAACTCTGGAAACCCAATGCCCAGTAGCCCCAGCAGATTTCCCTACGATTCCGCGCCATTGTGTGGCCTTCGATGCTCTATCGAGGCTGGTCCTTTCTCGCCCATGCGACGTGGCGCAGTTAACAACATCTATGTTATTCCAGCCCCGGAGCATCTTACCTTCCACACGGCTACTCTGCTTGCTGCTGCGTGCTGTATTCCAGCCGTTCTTTCGTTGGTTTCTATGTGGAATAAAATTAGGAAGATCAATTGGATCATGAGATGGGGAAATGGACAGAGAGAGGAGAAGCCGGACGAGCCGATGTGAGTGCCTTGGACATTTCAGTAATTTTCTGCTAACACTCCGTGTAGTGAAGGAACAAACGGCGCCACAGTGGAGTCAATGAAGGGAGTAAACAGTCTGATGAGACGGTTCCTGAGTGTGGTAGAAGTCCCTGTGTTTGGTGCAGCTGTCTTGGCAATCTTGATCCTCGGCGAGATGAATTTCTTCACCAAGCAAGTTCGGTACCAGACGGAACCCATTGCAAGCATAGGTACGTCAATCCAGGATTATCAAACTTTGCTGATTTCGTTCAGGTCAATGGGCACCCTTGGTTGGTTCCGGACTGGCTGCTCTCGGATCCCTGTACCTTCTTCTCTCCTCAGACCAACCCGAATTGGACGAGAGAGGAAAAGCAATTGTCCATCACTGCAACTGCTCTAACCACCACAGCAGCATTAGCTCACCCTCATCCCCACCTCTTTCGCCCCCAGCTATTCGCAGAAGTTCATCCAAAGACGGGAGGAGAAGTTTAGAAGAAGTCGAAATCGTTCCCTCAACCAGCGGACCTGCAGTCAGAACCCAAACCAAACGATCATGGACACAAACTGATGCAGGGAATCGACGTAAAGTTGCGAACGTCCTGACAAATATCGGTAACTACATCGGCACAGCAGCACAAGATCGCTTCGACGATTCGGAATTCAAACATGGAAAGGCAGTCGATTATCCCGAGCTGCCAGGTGAAACATACCGGAACCCTGGTCTGGGTCTCATTCGCAGAGAATATAACCAGCCTCGCGACGACACCAGACCTTCGAGAGCGCCGAGCTTCATCAGTATATCTGGATATGAGGGGTCGATTAGAGGGGTTTCTCCACAGCCACAATCACCGCGATCTCCGTCGAGCCAGAGACCACATGCTAGTACAATGCCATCTAGGGCGTCGACGGAGGTGCAGAGTCCGGCTTCGTCCTCGTCTGTGCCGTTGGATAGAGGGAGGAGGCCGAGGAGAGATACGCTGGAGGTGCCGTCGCCGGTACATCATACTTCTACACGGAATGGCTTGCCACCTTGACTTGAAAATGGTGGAATGGTTATAAACTTGCAACAATAGCTAGAAGGGCTACGTCACAATGCTGCAGCACATAAATTCTGCTGAAAATGGCGTAGCAGACTCGGGGGAGTCTCCCCATATTGCTTGGATAGACAGAAAGGTAGCAGAAGGGTGGCTGCATCCCTTTGGAAGATAGAGATTTGCAAACCCCAGAGTGTTTCGATATGCGACGAGCTTGCGTCGAGGTGTCGCTTTTTCCGAACACAACGAGTCTCGTAGAAGGGCGAATGGGAGGAGACATCTTTCAAAGTCGCTGCTCCGGAGTCGATTGCCTCCAGTCAGGAGAGGGTGGGCTGAACCATTCACCTCTCTATAGCTTTATCCGCAAAAGATCCTGCCACCCAGTCCAAGTCCTGGACTTGGGCGTTGCTTGCAATTCGCTTGGCATACTCTCACCTCGGGAAGCCTACTTTCTACCATTTCAAGAGGTTGGAAAGGTAAGTTAGGACCTCATTCCCTCCAAGATCTATTGTCGTACTCAATGGATCAGGATTAAGAAGAAATGCATTCAAAACCCACCATGTGTCCTGTATATTCAATCAAGATGGTTTGATATTGATGTTACCTTTGACTGTCACTTGAAATCGTTGTATTCACTTTTTGTTCTTCTTGATTCGATCGGTGAAGGGTTTTCCTCCTGGCGCAGCGCTAGCGGACTGCTTCGAATCCCAAAGCGATTTTCGACCATTCTTTTCTGCCACCGTCCATTTGGGCTGGGCATACAATCCCTCACAATTCCTCCTCCTCTCTCACTTCATCTTCGTCCTTCGCATTCCGTACGCAACATCATCACAGTCCCCAAACCTGCATTGAAGGTAACCTTGACTCCTCCAGGATGCCTCCTCCGGAACCTGTCAAGACTGTCCCACTCGCAAGTAAGTATCTCCCTCACCTTTACTGGCACTTGACCGATCGTGTTTGTAGCGACAGTTGCAGATCGATGAATCATTCGAGATCGAGTCGTGGCAGCAATTCTTGCGTATCCCAGCCAGCTGAACTTCTTGCAGAGCCCAGCGCATCCGGAAGGCCACGTCATACCAACTTCGCAGTCAACACCTAGAAAATGGGCCGCTGATAGCAACAACTGTAATAACTCCCATTATATTCCCTTCCAGAAGCTCCTCGACAGCCTTGAGGTCCGTCCCACAGCTCCCGTGGAGCGGATGGACGCTCGCGCTTTCGGACAAGTTCCTGGCCGCGACACTCAGCTCTCTTTTGTCAAGAGATACCTGAAGCTTTTCGTCCTTCACGATGGTCCCCTCATGAAGCGGGAATGCTCATGGACAATTTGCCTGCGATATTCAACGGCGACCCTGAGGGCGAACCTGCGCAGTATGTCCTTGCAAATATCAGAAAGGTCACCGATGTAGCACGTTCGCTGCTGGTCCCCAACGTCCTTCGTCCCATATGCCTGTGAGTATCATCTCAGTGTTACCCTGCCCAGTTTTTAATTCTAATTCCCAGGTAGCTACATAGTCGAGACATCTACAGCATTCTTGCAAATCACACCAGCTGATTTCTCCAGCCAAGCCCAACGTATTGCGCAGCTCTGGGACCCTTTCCTCGTTCAGAACGACTGGGTTTTACAATGGTTCCTCGTTATGGTGTTTGGGGACATCATCAATCCGAACTTCGGCTTCACACGTTTTCCACCCACGGTTTATCCCCCGAACCCGGACAAAGTACAACGATTGACCGTACTCAAGACGTCGTTTGTCAACTTCCACAGAAGCCGTCTTATTGTCCTCTTGGATGCCTATTACGTATTCCTCGTCGATCACAATACCCAAGATTCTGTTCCCAATCACTTCGTGCCGAAGAACGTTGCACCCAAAGCTCTGCTCACAGGTGTAAGTATCGCCAACGCAACCACACAACCTTCATACATTGTACTCCTCCTAACAGATACCAGTTCCGTAATGAGTGGCGAAACCTCAATCTTCATGCCACTGTCGCTCCGTTTCACATTGGTATCGGGGACTACCCTTCATATAACGGTGTTAGCTTCAACTCGAAGCTAGTCCGATATGAGCTTTGGGAGTACATGCACCATTCCACCTAAACCACCACAACAACAATCCTACTACATGAGATCCCTTTCATACATAAATGTATTATTACTAGGCTCATCGTCTCGATCACTGCCTTAAGTAGTCGCCTCGACTTTAAACAGTTCCAATCATGCATCACAGTCGCCTCGACTTTATATCATTCAAATGACACATCAGAGTCTCTCTACCTCCATAATCTCTCTTCTATCTCACGGTGACTCGCGAGGTCATTGATTCCAGACTATCATAAGCCATCCCTCTTAACTTACAGTACACTTATAAGCTCTCCAATCATTCCTCTCGAGTTACCATTGAGTCTATTACCGCATCCTTCCTTGCTTTTCGTATAGCGACCCTCTTCCCTAACCATCACAGTGCATCACGATAAACAAAAATCCGGCAGAACCCTTTTCGAAGACTGTAAAGGTGGAATCTATCACGCATCTCCAGTATTTACCTCTCTACGAGTAATCGAGAAAAAGAACAGAGGAAGTGGAGGGTAGTACGAGCCTTCGTCACACCCGAAAAGTGGTAAAATCACGGCACGACCAGTAATACTTAAACAAACCTACTCTAATTTGGGCGAAATGTGAATTATTGTGACTAACAGTGATTAACCTGCAATCAATTTCTCAGGTTGAGTATATGTTGGTTTTGGTAAGGGGATCTGCTAATCGCGTAGTTATTTTTACTCTTTCAAGGCTTAAGTTCTAAATGCCGTCCGTTATCACACTTCCTAAATGCCGTTAACACTGGTAGGGTAAAACAATTATTCCATGAGAAAGGACAGAGAAAGAGGAATAAAACTTATAAAGTCTCCAAGTAACAGAATAGCAACGAGCGTCCAACGGGGGTCAAACCCTTGAGAGCTCGGAAATCTGTGGCCACTCTCTTTACCAGTGCAAACACGGCATTTAATACGGGAGTTGCTAGTTGCTAACCAGTTTTGTCCAAGCTTGATATGTTCGCCAATCTGCCCAACTACCTACCCATAGAGGGGAGCGCGGGACTGAGTACAATATTATACCTACAGTTGTTGCGCAGTCGATAGTTAAGTTACCGTCTGAGGACTGTTAATACTTTTATAGGTGACTGTTGGCAATTAATTTTGAATTGACTGTTTTAGGACAGTGTACCTAGGGCAGCACTTTCCTTTAGAGATAGCTAGTACCACTCAAATGCTAAACAAAGCACACTTTTTTCGTAGGCGTAGATGCCCGAAGGAATGCCCTATAATTAAGCGAGGAACGCTGAAATACGCTTGTGCCTCCCAGGTAGCTGGACAGGTAGGCGAAGTAGGTAGGTAACTTTAGTACCCCCCTTCAGCACTGCCCCGAGTGCCCCCTGGAGAAGTGCGTGCTCAGCATTTGCGGGGATAGGAAGCTAACGATTCGGATCTCGCCCTTCAAGAATCAGTGTAGTTCCGTGGAATCAGTGCGCCCTTTGAGTATCCGTTCCGTGGAATCGGTGTCCAATCCACGACGATCCCTAGCCCGCCCCCGAAATGGCTATCTGTACCTGAGATGGCACCATGAAGGTTTCAAAGTATATTTGGTTGCTTTGTAAACCTTGGGAAGATTGGATTGTTCTAGACCGATATCATTTGCTTGCAGGTGTAACCTCCGTCTGGGCTTAATAAAAGGAATTCCAGATCACCGTGCTTCGGACCAAGGAACATCTAAACAAGGGACACGTAGCCAGGAGTACCCGAGCCATGTTTTGTTGCCACTTGCCCATTAGATTTGGCATCTCGAGAACCGCTGCAGAGTAGTTGGTTTGAATAATGTTGAAGCGGATTAATTTATTCGGAGATTCTAGGCGTGTACATAGATAGCTTAAAATTGCAGACATAAGATTCGGTTACGGAATGCCAATGGAAGTTGTGAATCAAAAGGATGTCCTTTCGTCCTTTTAAAACCTCCTATATATATACATAAGTTTCTCAGAAGATGAAAGCGCAATACGGTCAGATGTTGTGCAAGTTCCTAAGGATATTCCGTGGCTTTACTGAACAGGAGTACGATATTATCTGCTGCTTATCCAGGGCTCGCCTCCACAAGAATACAGATACAGTACCCCACCAATCCCCACCTATCCCCACACATTACCCCGGAAACTGAAGTGCATGGCGCTCGGCCTACCCCACGTCTACCCCAGATTCTTACTCTGTAAGTAGTATAATTATTGGGCCTGTGCCCCAACAAATCACTTCAACTCTATCTTCCAGATTCCAGTACAGTATTGATCTTCGCTCCCCTTGTACGACTACACACTATCTATCATAACGACTCACACGAAACGTATTTTCCGACTGTCTACAATGTCTGCTTCGGATAACAAGACGGAGGAGTGTACCACAGAGGAGAGGGTGGAGAGCCTCGACAGGGTGTCAGATGACGAGGAGAATATCAAGATACACGCCACGACATACATAGCAGTGGCAGTGAGTTGCATCTTCATCGATACAGTGAAAATCCGAAAAGAGCTGACCTTCCGCATAGGCTATCTGTTTCCTGGCCCTCTCTCAGCTCGTCATCATCATCGGATCAGGACTCTTGGCCCAAGCCATGGGTACTCTCTTCGGCGATGTAAACAACTCAGTATGGTTCAGCTCAATCATCTTGATAGAGTCGATTGCTCTGATGCCCGTAGTCGGTTAAGCTTGCGACTACTTCGGACGGAAATGGCTCATTACTGCCCTATCGTCCTTGGGTGTTGTGGGTTCATTGGTTATTTCTCGAGCCCAGAACATGGGTACTCTCATCGCTGGCTTCATTCTGGCCGGACCTGCCCTGGCAACACAAGCGACCACTTTTGCAATCGTTTCTGAGATCCTTCCTCGGCAGCATCGCGGCCTAGCACAATCCGCTATCTCCATGTCGATGGGTACCGGCGGGGTCATTTCAATTCTTATGGGAGGTGCACTCCTTCGCAACAACGAATTGGAAAACTATCGGATCTACTGGTATGTTGCAGCAGCTGTATACTTTGTTGGCTGCTTGGGTGTCGCGGTTGGCTATCGGCCACCTCCACGAGAGCTCCAGCAATCACTCACGACTCTTCAGAAGCTGCGGAAACTCGATTTTATCGGCCTGGTTCTCATTGGCGGAGGTCTCGCCTTGTTTTCAATGGGCCTCCAATGGTCCACTTCATACTCGTGGGGTGATGGTCATGTACTGGGGCCCTTCGTGTCTGGCATCGTCCTCATGATCGTTTTCGTCATCTATTCATGGGTCGTCAGAAGTGACGGGTTCATGGATCATAAACTTTTTGGAGACCGCAATTTCCCCCTGTCCCTTGCACTCATCTTTCTGGAAGGCTTGAGTTTCTTCGCTGCCAATTCATACTTGGCTTTCGAGATTGGAGTTCTTTACCATCTGGATCTGCTGGAATCCGGATATCGATTCGTCGTGCTCTTTGTCGGCTCAATCGTCTTTGCCGTGATCGTAGGAGTCTATATGGGGTACTCCAAACAGGTGAGAGAGCCCGTTGTCGTTGGATTTGTACTTTTCGTCCTGTCCTTCGCCCTCTTTGCCGCCATCGACGCGCACACTGAACAGTGGAAAACCTGGATCTACTCGCTCCTAGTCGGCCTTGGTCTTGGATTTGTCTTACCCACTCTCTACGTGGCAGCCCACATGTCGACTCCCAAGGAGATGATATCCGTCACTACAAGCATTGCCTCCGCAACGAGGTCATTCGGAGGTGCCGTCGGGATCGCAGTAAACAACGCTCTGTTCACGGACTCATTCAACAAGAAACTTCCACAGAAAGTAGCTGCTGCAGTCCTCCCACTTGGCTTTCCACCATCGCAGCTAGGCATGCTCATACCTGCGCTAGCTTCTGGGAACGAGGAAGCTATCCGCGCGGTGCCGGGAGCCACCCCTCAAATTCTTGGAGCGGGCGGTAGTGCTGTTACCGACGCCTATTTACAGTCATTCCAAAGAGCATGGATTGCAGCTGCTGCTTTCAGTGCAGCAGGATTGATAAGTAAGCTTGCACACTTCATTTTGCACTTGTTACCTGCGCATTTTGCTAACTCTGCTGGTACAGTGGCAGTGTTTCTTCGAAACCCGAAAGAAGACTTTAACGCACACATTGACGCACCTGTCGAGGTTCGAAGAGCTCACCATGAGCATGAGGAGAGCGCGCTTGGTGTATCCCGGGAAAAGTAATCCATGACGCGGTTTCTTGATACGTCTTATGAATAGGAAGCATGCGTCTATGAATCAAATTTTGTTCTTGTTGGTTCCCTCTGTGTCTTAGTTCAAAGACGAGAAGGGTTGTGATTGTGAAATTTAGTCGCAGAGAGGAGTAGAACATAGAAAATGAATCATATTTTCTTTCCCAATCAACTTTTCTGCTTTTGATACTTATTACAGAAGAACATATTACGAAGTTCAAAGAGGGAGTCAAGAATTATTAAATTTAAATGACTCTCAGTAGCGAGGCTCCTCCTTCCACATACACGACACTCCTTTTGTCAATCGCCTCTTTCAACTCCAGCGCCGCCCATCAAACTACTCTCCACATCGCCCCCCTTCCCAGCCTGTCTCCTAAAATAAACCCTCTTAGCAAGCTTCCAGGCCTCGCAGCCCGCAAAAAACAACACGCTCTCCACTAAGACAATGCCCCACTCCCACGTAATGCCCTTATGCTTAAACACCACCGTGTTCAGCGTCGGTATGTACAGCGTCGGAAAGATCGTCACGAAGCCCGCGATAATCGACCAGAAGAGAAAGCTGTTTTGTCGAACGTCGTGGTACCATTGTGTGAAGAATTTGGTGGATTTAGGTTGCATGCGGAAGAAACTGCGTCGGAAATTCACCATTTCCCAGGCAAGGAAGAGCGCGAACCAGGTTAAGCAGACAAAAGTTGTTGCGCGGGCGCGGAAGCTAAGCGGTGTCAGTGAGGTGTGCTTTGTGTTGGCATTGGGGTGTCGGAGAGAAGAGGGTAAAGTAGGGAGTGTCTACTTCAAGACAGACAAGAGACAGGAACTTACACTAGGTCACAGCTGTCATTGTAGCTTGTGTTACATCCCTGTCCAAGGTTACCGTTTCCGAACCAGAATACGACTATCACGAAAGAGGCGACGCAGAGGGAAGCCATCCAGAAACCGTACACAACCATGTCGAGCATAACTTCAAGAGTGAAGACACCTTGTTTGAGCTACAACCACACGCATGAGTCAGCATTATCCAGTCCAGATGCCAGATCAAAAGAAGGAGCGTGGGTTGGAGTGCATAAAGATAAAGAACTGACATTGTGCGGAGGCCGAGACATAATATCAGGTGCAGCAACCTCCATGCCCAGCCCCATATCTGGCATACCCGACGTCACCATAATCACCCACAGAATCTCGACGGGAGCCAGTGGAAACACGGAGTTACCGCTGCTGTCTTTGAAGGCAAGGCCTATCAATAAGGTACATGCCTGTGCGATGTTTTCTGCCAACAAATGCAATACGAACTTCTTAATGTTATCGAAGATCCTTCGACCTTCTTCAATAGCATTAAGAATCGACGCAAAGTTATCGTCCGTAAGCACGATATCCGATGCATCTTTCGCGACATCCGAGCCGGCTTGCCCCATGGCTATTCCAACATCTGCGCGAGCCAAGGAGGGAGAATCGTTGACTCCGTCCCCAGTCATGGCGCAAAACTTCCCACGGCGATGAAGGGCGTCGATCATTCGCACCTTGGTGGTGGGTGTACAGCGTGCAATAACTTTAGGAAGCATGGGTAATGCGTCGACTTGGTTGTCTGTGAGCTTGTCGAATTGCGCTGCGGTCATGACCAGGCTGCTAGCTGCCGGGGCAGACATGGATGGGAGTTGGGATGTTGCGGGCACGATGCCGATCTGGCGTGCTATGGCTTCGGCTGTGCTGGGATGGTCACCACTGGTGATTGTCAGCAGATAACTTGAGAATAGGAGGGATGGAAGGTGGGTTTTTACGTTAGCATGTGGACTGCAATACCAGCCCTTGCGCAGCCTTTGACTGCTTCCGCGGACTCTGGACGCGGCGGATCATAGAGCCCAACAAGCCCACGAAAGGTGAAACTATGCTCGATCTCTGCTCTGTCAACGCCTTGGGTGTCAATCTCCTCAGAGATGGTCTTGCTAGCAAAGGCTAGGACTCGAAGCCCTTGTTTTGCCAAAGTTTCAACATTGATGTGGATCGTTGTCTCGAATTCTGTAGACATTGGAACTGGTGTCTTGCTGCCTTGGCATTGAATGGTGGTGCAGCATGGAAGGATTCGTTCTACAGCACCTTTGGAGAAGACGTGGCGCTGTGAAGGTGAAGAAGCCTCTGCGTAAATTGTTGACATCCGCTTACAGTCCGAATCGAACGGAAATTCAGCTATCTCAATCCATTCTGCTTTCTCCCCCTTCGTGAGCTTATCGCGATTGTGGTTGAAGCGCGAAGCAAAAACCTGGATGGATATTTCAGTTGGGTCTCCGCGAGCTTTCCATACGCCTTCCACACCCTTTTCCACTTGAGCGATGTTGGCGAGTGAAGCAATGCGGAGATAACTGAGGAGGTCTGGATCATTAGCATCGAATTGCGCCCATCCATCTGCATCCTCTTTTTTGTTTCCGGTTTCGTTCTGTCGTGGATTGCCTGGGAGGAAGCGGATCTCGCCTATCTCCGGATTGAATGGCTCGTTGGTGTTGCCAACTGTATAAGTACCAGTTGCGGCGACCCATGCCTTCTTTACAACCATGCGACCTACAAGACAATTAGCGGGGATACGTTTTTATCGTCCTCGATCGTACATACCTTGGGTCAACGTCCCTGTCTTGTCAGAGCAAATGTTTGTCACGGCCCCAAGAGCCTCGAGGGAATCCATTTTTCGAACAATAACATTCCTCTGAGACATGATTTTCGTCCCCACAGCCATGGTTATCGTAAGCACAACAATTAATGATGCTGGGATCATACTGAGGCCAGTAGCCACTGCATAGATGATAATCTCGTTTGCTCCAGAAAAGGAATTTGCTGCCTCAACGATGACAGCGCAAATGAGAGCAATGACGAAAAGAAGGATTGCAAGCTTTGATAATTTACGTGCTAGGGGGGTGCCGACATTCACTCCCATGAATCTTCCAACAGCATCAGCGCTAGTAAGTGCCCAGGCCTCGACGTATCGATACGACTTGACCTTGCCATTTTTGGACACATGAGGCTTGCGGACTTTGGTGTTACCGTCCCGCAGTGCAGTAGCAATAGAGCCGATCTCAGTTTTCATTCCCTAAGTACGTGAGCAAGTCGAGTGTCAAAGCCGAGGAGACAGAATGTACCGTTGCTATGACTATACCCTTTGCTCTTCCCTTTGTAACGGTCGACGAACTGTATGCAAGGTTCAATCGATCGCCGGGTCCGGTTTCCTCGTCAAAGACGGCGTCGAAAACTTTTGCGACAGGAAGCGATTCTCCCGTAAGTAGAGCCTCATCGGTTTCAAAATTCGTTGCTTCGATCAAGCTTGTTGAAACAGGACGTTAGCCATAGCTTCTCTTCGAACAAGGCAATTATTTCTTCTCACCGAACATCCGCAGGGATGATGTTTCCAGTGGACAATTCTACCAGATCGCCGGGAACCAGTTCTGCGGAGGCGATGACTTCAGTTGACCCGTCTCTTATGACTTGAGCCGTGGGTGAGCCGAGAGCTTTGAGAGCACCCATAGTTTTCTCTGCTGCGTACTCTTGGAAGAAGCCAACGACAATATTGAGGATAATAACTAGCGAAATGACGCCACCTTCAATCCAAGACTTGATGGCGAAGCTCACGACCATAGCCATGGTCAGAACCAACATCATCGCATTGGCAATTTGGTTGATAAGAATCTTGATCGGTTGGACACCGGGTCCATCATCCAATGCATTCTTGCCGTACAACTGGAGCCGAGACGCCGCTTCACTTTGGCTGAGCCCACCTCGAGAATCAGATCCAAGTTTGTTGATGACTTGAGCTGCTGTCATCGTGTGAGGGCGGTGTGCTCGTATAGATGACGAGCTGTCGGTTGAACTGTGGAACGAGTCAGCGTCCACCGAGGGCTCCTTTTTGTCGGCTGCCATCTTTGCGGCTGTGGACTTTTGATCAAAATGTGTGCTACAAAGAGTGGTAAGATTGGAATGGCACGAAAGAAGTTCAAGGGCTGATAGCTAGCTGACCGGCAGTGTTCTAGTTAGGTGCATATATTTGTTTCCTCCGACTTTACCTTGAGATATATGTACCTTTCTGTGAAGCCCCATCTTCAAAGCACATCAAGTGCCCTTTTCCTGTAGCCAAGATATCTCCTACAGCACTCACTACATACTCGAACAGACTAAACCTGGCTGACGCAAGCTAAGTCATGAAATACTTCGAATTTGTTCCCAAGTTGTGAAAAGGGTGTTCGAACACCTGGAGAAGTGAAGGTCCCGTTGGCATTTGGCACCAACAGTATTGTTTCATTCAATGTGCGCCTAGGATGAGCAAAGCCATTCTGAAGCAAAACGCAGATGGATTGAGCGGGATATCGGGGGTTGTTTTTATTGGAGCAAGGTTTTCGGTCTTGGAGCATATCGCCAAGTCCTTCCATGTGCTTGAAGATAAGGTCGATCAGGCCCGTGACAAGCTTCCAAGCCTACGCTTTTGAGAATCTAAAAATGTCTCGGTGGGAGAATATCTTCCAGGGGTTGGGAGCGAGTGACAGTTTTCGTGGCCGATATGGTGTTGCAGCGCACAAATAAGCAGAAGCGAGTGTGATGTTGATCCTCTCGGCATCATTATGCGGGCCAATCACATCCAACAGCATCCGAAGAGCCGCTTACATGAGCAGTGCCAAGGGTTCTCCAGTGGGGTCTCCGGCCTGTCAGATGCTCTCTCACACTCCTGAAAGCCAACTCCATTTTCATGGCCGACTTTAAAGCGTCGCTTCCAGGTCCCGCTCGGATACTGAGGTCGCACATTGGAGCAGCGCGCTCCTGGCCCTCAAAGCGTCGTAGAGGCTGCTCCATAATGGATGGTTCAAGGAAAAGTAAAAGCCGCGGCACGGAGATCCTCCTGGTGTCCAAGAACACTTGGTGTCTCTACCAAGGCCGTTGGAAACTGAAATATTCGAAAGAAAACTCTGGGCAGTTCCACTGGGCAGGGTCCTCGTTTGGGCTTTTGCGGCTTCTAAAGTCCTTGGATCATTGATCTCCAGTGTCCGCGGTTACAGCCCCATCATATCTGCGCCCTTTCTTTCACGCGACACGGGACTGATTGGTGGATAGAAAGCCACCTTAGAATTACAAGAAAATTGGCGGTTCCAGGTACGTGCTGTAGATAAGGCCCCACTCCACTGGGCTAGTGTGGTGTTTTTGACATTTCAGAGACCTCAAACCCACGAAGTTCTTGGACAAATATAATAATCAAGGGGAAACCTGTGTTTCCATCGCAACTATACGTTTCCAAAATTATGGATCTTTCTAAAAATAGAGGATCTACAATCTGCCTGGGCACTGCCATCTAGGCACGGCAATGATTTCATCATTCTCACTCTTAAAGTTCGCTTGCTTCACTTCCCATCCTGTCGATTGTCATCTGCTGGCTTGATGAGGATTTGCGTCATATTCTTTGTCCTGTCTTTTTGAACTTTATCTCGATTCAGGAAATCGAGTCTTCAACTTCGTCCGGCCCCTTTCCAGTGTCATTTCATTTTCTTCGACGAACGCTCTTCCCAGTTTTCTCTTTTGTTTTCACATATTCAACGCAGCAATGCCGTCTCTGGATGTCAGCGAGCTGAATATAGTGCTCGGAGTCTTGGGTAAAGCAACAAATCCTCAAGGTATCACTTCTCTTCTAACAATTTCAAGGCAGCTTCATAGTGTTGTATGGTATAATATCTGTGAAGATAAAAGCCCAATGGTATTTGGGAGAAGCGTGTAAGTAGTTTCGCGGCCCTTTCTACATATTATAATCTGACAAACTTCAATAGTACCCGCTGTCGTATTTGGGATCATCTTGGGTCCAATTGTAGCCAAGTTCTTGGACGCTGAGCGATGGGGCTCCGCGGCGCCTGAGCAGATGGGTGCCATAACACTCGTATGTCGTTCCTGTCGCACCCAATCATTTATCTGACGGTTCCCAGGGTGTAGCAAGAGTGGTTATAGGAGTTCAACTTGTTATTGCCGGTTTTCAGCTTCCTGCCAAGTACCAACTGAGAGAATGGATCCCGATGATGATTTGTCTATTGCCTGTCATGACAATCATGTGGCTTTTCACAACTGGGTGCATTTTGCTCACTGTACCAAAACTCACTCTTGTTCGTCACTTCAAACCTTACCCTCTGCTCATCACAGCTAATACCCACAGCTTACTGGCTTGGTCATTGGATCTTGTGTCACCTGCACAGACCCAATTCTTTCTCAAGCAATCGCCAAAGGCCCTTTCGCCGACAAATATGTGCCACGAGCCCTACGGGAGATCATCAGTTCCGAGGCAGGAGCAAACGATGGATTTGGGTTCCCGTTCCTTATGCTTGCGACATACTTGATTCGGTATGCAGATATTCCCGGTGCAGGCGAGCATTCTACTGCCTCCAAGGCCGACCTTACAGGCAATGTCACGACAGCAATTGTTGAAAGGGCTATATTACATGTCAGAGAAGAAGAGGCTGGGAGACTTGGTGGAGGCGTCGGCATCGCGCTCGGCACTTGGGCAACGGAAACATGGGTTTACATTGTGTTCCTCAGTGTCGTCTACGGCATTGTCGTTGGATACGGGAGTGCTAAAGCAGCCAAGTTTGCACTTCGAAAGTATGAAAATCCGCCAAATTGATGATGGGATTGCACCGCTAACGAAAGACAAAGAAAATGGATCGATACTGAGAGCTACCTTCTTATGCCCACTGGGCTCGGCGTAAGCTTTCCTCCCAATTGCTATCTGGGCCCTAATTTGAAACTTTTCAGCTCTTTCTTATTGGTACTTGTGGCGCTATCGGTACAGATGACTTGCTTGCCTGTTTTGTGGCCGGTAATGCTCTCAATTGGGATGGACAATATCTCGACGAAACTGAAGCGCTTCATGACGAAGTCAACTCATGTATTGATGTCCTCCTCAATTTTGGGGGCTTTATGTATATTGGTATCGTCATGCCTTTCGCCGATTTCCATCAGCCCGATACCACAGGTCTTACCATTCCACGTCTCATTGGACTAGGCTTTCTGGTGCTTATCTTTCGCCGTATCCCAGCTATATTGATAACGTATAAGCTCATGCCATCTTGCGTAAAGAACTGGAAAGAAGCACTGTTTATGGGATACTTCGGACCAATTGGTAAGTGTCTCCCTGGCTGAGAATAAGTAGACTAACAATTTGTTAGGCATCGGCGCAGTCTTTTATATTGAACACACGAAGCATCTTTTCCCTGAAAAAGGAAAGGCAAGTGACGCCGAGGTGAATGATATGACAGCAGTCATGGTTCCAGGTACGGAGTATGCCTCTTATACTGACTTTAGCTCACTTTTATAGTTGTCTACTGGCTTGTGTTATTCTCAATCGTCGTCCACGGCCTCTCCATTCCTGCCCTCAATCTGATCTACAAGTGGCGCGGTGTTCCTACCATTCAAGAGGACGATCCGCAAGAGATTCTCATGCTTTCAAGCAACGCAGCACTCCCCAAGAACTCGAAAGCAAATCCCAATAGAAAGTCCATCTTAGTACATAACCGCTTCTCGACAGCCGCACCAAGACCCAATATCAGCAGGCCAACAGACCTGTCCCGTTGGGACTTGGAGGGTGATAGACGTATGGACTCTATCGACTTGGAGAAGTTACGCCAAATCCAATGAAATAGGTTGGATGTAAGGGGAGTGGAAGGGTTTTGGGGGTTTTGCTGCTTCAAGTGTAAAATCAGATTTGAACTAGAATCTACTACAAAGCTTTCCTCCAATGTGTCTCAAGTCGTGCCGCATGGACGCGGTACTAAGGTGCTCGGGGCCTGCACAAGTCATTTCTCAAGACATCTACTTGACCCAAGGCAGGGTGGCTAAAACGCTAGTCAGTCAGCTACTAGCTGAACAACTTACTGAGCTAACTAGCTTATGTAGAACCTCATAGTTTTAAAGCTTAAACTAAAGGGCGTAAAAGCTACTTGAAGCTAATTCCAAAACCAGGCAGCTACGCCACACTATTTCTGCGAATAATCAGAGAGTCTCACCCTCAATCGCGAGCGGGCATCCAGAGATCGGACGATTCAACGATGAGTCCAAACGATACCCACGGTAGGCAAGGCAGTCAAATCGTGGTTGCAGCAACCGCACACTGGCCTCCACCGATATTGCTGGTGTGGAAGAGAGACTGCGGCGAGTACAGGCAAGTTCCCTTGACCATGGAGAGCATTGAATACAGATTCAACGCCGTAGCTAAGTTGGACGATCCTGCGCCTCTAGTCCATAGCAAAATCTGGGAGGATGTTGAGCGGACTGTATATTGCACACACATCACAGCAAAAGCCCCTCTAGGAGCTACGTACTGCATTCATCAAGTAGGTCACAGAATGTTTTTAAGGGAGCTTCAGCTGACAATCCAACAAGATTCGTCATGCAAGTCCAGAAATACGAGCACTCTACTTCCCACCATACCCTGCTTGGTACAATCCAGCAACCTTCAATTTCGACGCACCTCCCAACATGCAGGAACACTACCCAAGGTTTGGATATAGAGAACAGTCCGAGGAAGGTCGGCCTGAAGTCTCAGATGAAGAACAACCGCCGGAAAATGGTCATAGAGCTGGGTAGGAGGAAGGTGAGCCAATGGCAATGCATGGTCAAGATGTCTCAATGGTATGTACAAAACCCCGGGGCTGCTTCACCGCCACCAAGGACTAGAACCACGGACAAGGTACACCCACAAGAAGTCGAAATCATCGCAAGATTGACAAAAAGCAAGAAAATGAAGACATGAACTACTTTATGGACCTCCACACTATGGGTGTACTGCGACTCGTGGATCTTCCTTACCGGATCAGATAAAATTCGACCATTTCAGGATACAGGGAAAGCCATGGCAGATACAAGAACGCGACTGGACATATGAAACTGAGATGAATGGGGGGCCTATACATCCGCCAAGCTGGAGGAACAGAGGTTAGGGTAATCGATCTAGTGGCTAGGGAGTCAATCATGGAGCACACATTCAGGGTGATGGGGACGGAGATGTCAGTACAGGAACATTGGTTGAAATTTGCATCGTAGCACCAGCAGCAGCACATAAAGAACTGTTTGAAACTCCGTGACATTCCCGAAATGGCTCAATCATAATCTATTGATGTACATGTTCCGGGACGAGCTGCTGCTGAGGCCCAGACAGACTCTAAATTAATCACACCCTTCTGAGCAGCTTCTAGTCTACTCTTTACATCTGCAAGTTCGGTGCGTACTGATACCATTGTGTAATTAACGAATATTTGACCTCTGCCGTCTTCAATGTTGCTGTACTTGGCAGTATCGCTTGAGGTTTCCAGCACTACAGTGTTTGAGCCACAGCCTTTGACATGATGACGGATAAAAATAAAATGATTACGGATATACTCACGGGATTACTTGCTAACGATCTGACCATTTGTGGAGTCGATGTCTTTGGCGTTGTCAGGCTTAGAAGCTGTGAGAATATTGGTGCCAGAGCTCTAACCTCTGCTTTTCTTCTCCTTGTGCCTCGTCATAAGGACTTAAGACCGAGAGAATGACGGGCATGCCAGTTCAGGGAGTGAATGGTCGACCCGGTGGTGAGTGGATGTACAAGGAGAGAAGTGTCAAGGCATCAATAGTGTGATGATCATGTCAGAATTGCAGTTGCATAAGGAGCTACTATAGAGAGAGAGAATCTCCTATATAAAGGGGTAGCGTACTTAGTAGTACGGCCTATAGTACTAAGTCTACGCTTATAATCCCTATATTTCTAATAGCCCCCTTATTCTCTATATCTATAGTAAATAGAGCCTTCTAAAGTAGTATAATACTAAATATTCCTAAAGTAACACTAGAGTATCGCTGAAGTATTACTAATAACTTATATTATATAAGGAGCCTTAATTATGCCTAAAGGGGCACGCGGTGGAATCGCGGCGCGGGCGCCGCGCGGCGGAATCGGAGCGCGCTTTCGCGATTCTACACGCGTTTATAGGCCGATTTTAAAGATTTTTTAACCAATCGCATCGCCGCGCTCCGGGCTCTTTAACGCGCTAATTCTTATAAGTTTTTATAAGAGACGCGCTACGATACACGCGGGTGAAGTTGACGCGGGAATGCGGGCAGGGGGGTGGAATCGGAGCGTTGCGAGGCTTGGCACCCCTTTAAAAAATATAAAATTTAAAATCGACGACACGCTAAACTTTAATAATACGATATTATAGGGAATTACACGGGGATTCTAACGCGCTAAAAATTACTTCAATCGACTGACGTTTACTAAAGATAAGTTAGACGTGAAGTTCTTTTCCTTCTTTAGGTAAGTTTCTTGGAAACTTAGGTGGAATCAGAGCGCGTTTTAGTATCCTTTAATAGAACTAATTTATTTAAGCTGTTATAAGCTTATTATACCTTATTAACTTGGATTATAGCTTATTAGCTTTAAATCTCTTTATAAACCTATTTTTGAAAAAAAAATTTTACTTAGGGAGATTTACTTAGAAATCTAGTAGAATCAGAGCGTATTTTAGTAATCTCTAATAGAACTAGTTTATTTAAGCTATTATAAGCTTATTAGACCTAACTAACTTAGATTACAAGTTACTAGCTTTAAATCTGTTTATTAATAAGTTTTTTTAAGAAGTGTTTATTTTATCTTAGAATTAAGTAGAATTAGAGTATGTTTTAGTATCCTCTAATAGAATTAGGCTATTTCAGCTATAATACGCTTATTAGAGCTAATATATATAGACTATAAGTTACTAGCTTTAAATCCTTTTATTAATAAATCTTTAAGAAGTATTTATCTTACTTTAAAATTAAGTAAAATTAAAGTATATTTTAGTATCTTTTAATAGAATTCGTAAATTTCAGTTATTATAGACTTATTAGACTTAATTAACTTAGATTATAGGGTCAGGGCTAGGGTTAGGGTTAGGGTTTGAGGTTTGGGTTATATTTGTTTCTAACTACGCTAGCTTGCGACGAGTGTTTTTATCTCTCTCTAATAGTCTTGAAATACAGAAGGACTATACTAATAATACAGAGGGTAAGAGCCTGAAGGTGTCAGGGGTACAGAAGGTAGAGTACTAAGACAGAAGGAGATAATACAGGGTAAGTGGAGTGTGTACCAAAGGGTAAGTAAAGTGTGTATCAGAGGGTAGGCGTAGTGTGTACCAAAGGGTAGGTAGAGTGTGTGCCAAAGGGTAGGTAAAGTGTGTACCAAAGGGTAGGTGTAGTGTGAGTCGCAGGGTAGGTAGAGTGTGTACCATAGGGTAGGCAGAGTATGTACCACAGGGTAGGTAGAGTGTGTACCACAGGGTAGGTGTAGTGTGAGTCGCAGGGTAGGTAGAGTGTGTACCATAGGGTAGGCAGAGTATATACCACAGGGTAGGTAGAGTGTGTACCACAGGGTAGGTGTAGTGTGAGTCGCAGGGTAGGTAGAGTGCGTACCATAGGGTAGGTAGAGTGTGTACCAAAGGGTAGGTAGAGTGTGAGTCGCAGGGTCGGTAGAGTGTGTACTATAGGGTAGATAGAGTGTGTATCACAGGGTAGGTGAAGTGTGAGTTACTTAGGGTAGGTGAAGTGTGTGCCGTAGGGTAGGTGTCGTGTGTGCCGTAGGGTAGGTGTAGTGTGTGTTATAGGGTAGGTGTAGTGTGTGCTGTAGGGTAGGTATAGCGTGTGTTATAAGCTACCTACGTGCTAGGATCGAGGTTGCAGCGATTCCTCGAGCCTGAGTTAGGGTGCTAGCGATATACCCGTCTAACCACTTAGCCCTAGAGTGCCCTAATAGGCCCTGTAGGGCCTTATAGGTCTTCGCTGTTTCGGCTTCCATTAGGCCTCCTGCCGAGAAGATCAGGGGGTGAAATACAGGGCCTAAGTCGCTGTATTTAAGCCGTTTAGCGTTTGCTGCCTCTGATAGCGTAGCATAGGCTTCTTCGCGTGCTGAATCCTTGTTGATTGCTACTATTTGAACGTCGTAATAGTGCCTAGAAGTACCTATAAGCACTGAAAAATCCGGTCGTTGGCTGTTTTCTAGGGCTATAGGCGTTCTAGCTGGCGTAGGCTCCGATTCCACTTTAAGGTCTTCCCGGCTAGAAAGGGTAGTAATAAATGCACGGGTAACCTGGTTATGGCGTATAATCCAGCGTCGTTCAGCACCTCTACAGGTGTCTTCGTGGCCTATTTGAGGGTAGGCTCCACAGGCGGTACAGGGCGAAATAGGGGGCTTTACAGGGAGTAAGAGCCTAGTCCGTAGTGCTTCGGTAACTGTAGAATCCGCTAAAAGGTGGTGTTTTTGCGTGGGCAGGGTTCTAAGCCAGTATCGTCCGAGGTAGCTAGCGTTCTCAAGCTTCGATTTTAGCGCTTGTTTTGATAGGGTAGGTAGAATCTTCTCTTCTAGGTCTTGGTTAACGCTAGAGAAGACCTCTTGGGCTGTCGGTACAGGGCGTCCAGGGGGTTCCGGGTAGAGATTAGGGCATATAGCCACTAGAATCGATCGAGAGGCTTCCTTAGCTGCCCTATAGAGCCCTGGGGCTAATAAGGCGTGTATAGGGAGCCCTAAGCCTCCCTCTCTCACTGGAAGAGAGAGTAAAGCCTGGCGAATTAGGGTAGTCTTCTCCCCTGGCTCCCTAGCGATTAGGGCTTGTACAGCGTACTTGATTCGTAAGTCCGCTAACCTCCAGAGGTCTAGTAGGTCTTCCGAGTACAATTGGCGCTGTAAGTGTCGTAGGAGTAGGTGTATACTACCCCGTAAGAGTAGGGTAGCGTGTTGTTTAGGGAGGTCTCGTAGGGTATATAGCGCTGTAGCGAGAGTGTCGATTTTCCCCTGGAGAAACGTTCGGCGGTGTGCTACAGGGCCTATAAAGGTCCCTAAGGCCTTAAGTCCAGTGGTTTGTAACTGGGAAATAGGGCTTTCGGTGCTCTTTTGGCGGTTAAGAGCTACTGGAGAGTCCCTGAAGGCTTCTATAACTACAGGGAGTAGTGCTGTAGTTTCAGGGCTAAGGATATAGATATCGTCCAAATAAGCTATAATTGTAGCCTTCGGTAGGGTCTTTTGGAGGTGCTCTAGCAGGGGGCGGATCGCTAGAGAGAATAAGAGGGGGGCAATAGGGTCTCCTTGGCGTACTCCTTCAGCGCTTGCTAGCGTGTGGCCTTCGTTTGTTACTAGCACTGAAGGCTGGTTATAGGCCCATTTAGCGGTCCGATAGAGAGTAGGGGCGTATTTAGCGACTGCAGCTGCTATTGAGGTTCGTCCGATTCGGTTATAAGCGTTGATAAGGTCTAAGGAGGCGATTTGCTGAGTTTTTAGGGTATTTGGGCCGGTAATAGCGTCGTCAAGGAGGAAGATTATAGGCTCTACACCACCTGGGGTGCTAACGCCTAATTGGCAGGGTAGAAGCATAGACGGCTTGAAGGAGCTGATAAGGATCGCTTTTAGGGCTACCTTATAAATAAGGTCCCCTATAGCGATCGGTCGCACACCTCCGTCAGGCTTCTGAAGGCCTATAAGTCGGGAAGCACATAGGAGGTCGACCCCTGGAGCTGTACCCTGTCGAATCATATTCGCTAGGTGTGTAAGCGCTATAGTTACAGGGGAGTTTTCCGAATTTAGCGCTATATCAAGTAGCGGGCGGGTCCAGCCGCTGAGGCCAGGGGCTTTCTCTCTATTAATCGATCGAATAGCCTGTCGTATCGTTTCAGGGGTGATATTTTGCCCCGGGGAGGGGTTAGCGTTACTGAAGGGGTTATTATGCCCTATAGGGTGCTTCGAGTATAGCGTATTTAGCGTCTCTGGAGTGCTAGGAGCTAGAGGCGTAGGGTCGATTAGGGCTCTAGAGGCACGCCCTATATAGCCTTTTTCCAGAAGCTTAGTCGCTCTTTTGGCGGGGGAGTCGTTTGAGGGGGTAGGGGGTTCAGGGGGAGGTCCCTGAGTTTCAGGGATATCCGGTATAGTCGTAGGGTAGGCTTTCAGCGTTTTAGCGAGCTCTTCCTTCTGTAATCCTAGGCCGAGAACCCTGGGAAGCAGTAAAAAGTCCAGTAATTGCTTCTCTCTAGGCTGCCGTAAGAACGCTAAAGCCGCTCGATTAGCGGCCTCTGTAAATAG